CAGGCTCAGTGACAATCCATGCCTCTGGTAAGCACAAGTAGCATGGAAATTACTGAAGGGCAAGAAGGATGTCATTGCCATGGCTCTGACAGCTTTAGACAAGTCACTGACATCTGGATGGGTACTGTCATGGTTTTTCTGCGCCACAAGTCTTAAGCACCAAGAACTTTAGTTTATCCACCCATATACCATATACAGCATGTACCACTACGTCTCCACATGTATATCTTAGTATACCCACACCACTCGGACATCTCTCGGACATGTACCAGTCACATGACCCTACGTCATAGTGACATCATAGGCCTGGACTCTCTGGACATTCCTAGACTTAGACAGACTTCACTAGGCTCGAGCACACTATAGCACACCATAATGATGTATTAGTACAAATTCAGGGTACGCAGGGTCCTACACCCAATATCAGAGGCCTTACCCCACTTGTATATATACTGGCTCGAGCTGAGGCCTACACCTCAGTTTCGAGTTGGTCTTTACTCCTCCAATCTTACCAGAGAACCCTGACGGGTTAGGTGAGAGCAGACTCAAGGAGTTCTTGAGATCCTTTACAACTCATAGGTGGCACTCAGACAATACTGGGAAGGAGGACAACAAGCAGAGAGATATTTCTGTGCAAATAAGACCATAATTCGACCAGGTATTGACCTGTGTTGACGACTTGCAGTGAAGATGACCCGTATAGTAAAGGATTCCCCCCATTTTATTTGCCTTTATTTGGTCTCCTCTCCACCCTTTACCTTTTCTGGCTCCTCCGTTGTATCGTCGTTCTCAGTTTTTGTCTCCCTGTATTTCGGTTTCCTCTGTTATGACTGCCTTTTGTCCTTTCCACTTTTTGTCTCTGCTCTTTATCTCCTCGTCTTTGTCTCCATCACTCTCTGCCACTGACTGCTGTGTTCTGTCTTTGTTGCGTGCTGGCTATGCATCTTGCTCGAGGACATAAAATAAAATGTGTGCTGTGTCTTCATTCTTTTTGTCTTTCATGCTCTGTCTTGCCACAGAAATGTCTTCCTTCATGCTCATGGGCTTCTTTGCTGTTGCCGGTGGTCAGCGTTCTACATCTGTTAATGCTCAGCGTGGCACCTCCACTTTTTATAACTATTACTTCACTGCTATCCAGTGCTCCTCAGGTGATTTGCTCCTCACTCAGCTTCGCATCTACAGCCCTCGTGATGACATTCCCCTTTCTGACAACACTGTCATCTTCTCTGTTGCACATGTGCATGTTCCTGCCAACGCCACTGTTCTTCTCGACACATTTTCTGTCTATCCATTCCCTGGAGATTCCAATGACAATAACTATCAGTCTCCCATTCCAGACATGCCATACCCATATGCCATCGATCTTGATACAGTGCTTTTGAAGCATGACATCTTGGCTGATGGAAAATCAAAGGCTTTCTTGGTGGAAGTTCATGAGTGTGTTCACGATGAGCAACGCTCTTCCTCGTTGCAGTAAGTTGTTCTTACTTCTCCTCTCAACTGATTCTCATATTCTGTAGATGTGTATATAATGGGTCTTCACCTCGTTGGCTGTCAGTTCCTGCGCCCAATCCCAATTCATCCATATTCTTTCTTGGCATCTGTTCACGCATCCAATCTGATGGAATCCTCGGCATTGATATTGACTCGATCACATTTAACATTGGCCCTCCTTCTCTTCCTGTGGGTGGTGGCTCCTTGCCTGCAGGTGCTGGCCTTCTACTTCCAACAAATGCTGATGCTTCAATGCTCATGGCTCTCCGTGTGCTGTGATTGAACCTTCTTCTTTTTCCTCTATCTCTTCGTGAGTTTCATGCTTCATTCTTGACTTCACTGCTTAGTATCTGATGTTGTTTTGAATAGTACTTTATCCGCTTCCCCAGTTGCATCATCTTTGACACCAGTACTTCTGATTGCTCCCTATGCTGCAGAGACCTATGCACAGCTGCAAGATCATGCATTGATGTCGTCTGTGCTGTCAATTAGCACTTCACCCATTGTTGCCTCTACTTCAGATGCTCCACTGTCACCTTTGACTGTCCCTGATGATGACATTGAATGTGATGATGAACACATTGGGAAACAGGAGAATCAGGAGCATGAAAATGTGCCTGCTCTCACAGCCCATGCGAAGGGTAAGCGCAAAGCACGCAATTGATTTCTGCTACGTCTGCTGTTTCTATTTGTGCACTTTGCCTCAGTATAGTAATATCCCACTTTCGAAGTTCCAGTCTTCGAGTCCTTTCGAGAACTCTCGTTGTCCTTTCTTGAGTAGATCTTGATATGATCTGTTCACATTGTCATCTTGTAGTGCCTCCTTGATCTTGTCTATCAAATCATAATCTGTGATGACTGCAAGATGGGTATGTTGAATAGCTTTAATCGTGAAATATTCCGGTTTGAGCAGAGTCTTGTCAGAATTGTCAGGATTTACCCCCTCTTCATGATCTGACCTTCTGGACAGAGGATCCGCCCGATGCATTAATTTTTCTGGTTTGTGATGTAGTTGGATGTTGAACCGTGTAAGATATAGTGACCAGCGAGCTTGCCGCCTCATCAGCTTTTGTGCTGATTTGAAATAGGTTAAATTCTGGTGATCGGACCAAATTTCTACTGGGAGTGGATGACCTTCGAGATGTTGTCGGTATTCTTCCAATGCTTGAATAATTGCGAGCATCTCTTTGTCATAGATTTCATAGTTCTGCTCAGCCTCATTGAGGCTTTTCGAATGGAATGTGATTGGATGCCACAACCCATTGTCTTTGAGTTGTTCAAGGCATGCGCCAGTGGCAAAATTGCTGGAATCCGTTTCTAATCGGAATGGATGAGTATCATCCGGTAATGCCAGAATTGGAGCTGAAGTAAAGGCATGTTTGAGAGCACTAAATGCCTGTTGTTGTTCTTCACCCCATACCCATTTCTGATTCTTTCACGTAAGGATATTGAGTGGTCGAGACTTTTTGGCAAATCCTTCAATGAATTGACGATAGAAATTAGCGAACCCAAGAAAAGCTTGTACTTGCTTAACCTTTTTGGGTTCAGGCCAGTCGAGTACACCGGCGACCTTTTGAGGATCCATATGGACCTCGCCTTTAGAGATAATCATCCCTAAGTACTCAATCGAGGGTTGTTCGAAAAAGCACTTTTCTGGTTTGGCAAAAAGGTCATTGTCCCGTAACCTTTTAATTACCTCTTTGGTAATCTTTCGATGTTGTTTCAGATCGTTGGTGAAGATTAGAATATCATCGAGGTAGACGATCACATGGCCTTCCCGAATAAGATCATCTAAAATCTCATTCATCATGTGCTGGAAGGTGGCTGGTGCGTTACAGAAACCAAAAAACATAACCGTGGCCTCATATAAACTGCGATGCATCACAAAAGCTGTTTTCCATTTGTCACCCTTGCAGATGCGAACATTGTTGTACCCCCATCTGAGATCCAGCTTGGTGAATAGTAACGCGTTGCTGAGCTGATCGATAAGCTCACTTGTTCGTGGAATAGGAAAGCGATTCTTTTTGGTTATAGCATTAAGTTTTCGGTAGTCTTGTACCAGTCTTAGCGTGCCATCTTTCTTTTTGACAAAGAATACCGGGGCAGCAATAGGTGATTTCGACTTTCGAATGTAGCCTTTTGCTAGGTTTTCGTCAATCCATGAATTTAGGGAATTTATTTCCTCTGGATTCATAGGATATAGTTTGCTTGGTCGTGGTAATTCATGTTCTTCTTCAAACTCGATTGCATGATCATAAGGCTTTCGAGTTGGCATCCTTTCAGATGCTTTCTTGGAGAAGACATTACTGAATGAATGTAGATAATCTGGTACTAATTTTTCCCAAGATTCTACTTCATTAATAACCTGATCTTCTGGGCTGCCAGTGTTTGACTGGGGTGCCTCTTCTGTCAGGTCTTCTTCTGGTTCAGCATAGCTGCAGTCTGCTATGAAAAGTATCATGCGGGCTATTTGTTCGGCTTCGGGGTCGTCCATTTCAACCCACGAGATTATAGGATTTACTGCATCGATGTTGTGTCCATTAAACATTCTGAATGCAGTTGGCTCCTCATCTGCCACTTGTTGTGCTCGTTGCGAGATTTCTTCAGCTTCCTCCCTTGCAATGGCTTGTTGTTTTTTACGAAGCCTCTGGTGGTGACACGTACTCGGGCATCATGAGTATTTCCATTCTCCAGCTTGCCAGTTGATTTCTGGATTATGCTGGCATAAGTATGACATCCCAATGATCATGTCTAATCTCCCGATGTCCGTGACTAGCAGACAATGGGTGGAACCATAATCTCCAACTTTGATGTATGCTTTTACATAGTCAGTTATTTTGCCATGTTTATTTTGGGATCTGTCAGCATTGTACACCTTGTACGTTGTATTAAGCTTGGAGGTCGCGATTTGATTGTTCTTTATGAATCGCTTGCTGATATACATGGAATATGCTCCTGAGTCGACTAAAGCTTCGGCGCTCGATTTTTTGCCGTACACCCATAATGTAACTGGTAAGTAGAATGATGATAAATTTGAAGACGAATTCTTTATTGTTACATTATCATCCTCTGCATTGCAACGATCTACAGAGGTGTCTGATTTGGGTGCTAAATGTACAGGTCTTATATAATGTTCTGGGGACTCTGACGAGCTGCCTACAGATCCCCTTTGAGAAAACCCTTCCGATCCTTTCGTGAAGAGCCCTCTTCCACCTTCCTTGATGAACTGGATCCATTTGCCCTCAGGTGCCTGAGCCTTGAGAGGATTGCAGCAAAATCTTCGTCTGTATCCAACTCGGATGCTTCAGGCTCACTTTCTGAGTGGATGCTGTGGTCGCTGATATACGCAGCTGTCTCCTTACTCTTTCCCTTAGTCTTAGAGGAAGAGCTCTTCTTCTTCAGCTTTTTCTTGTCTTTGGTGTCAGAGCTTTTGCTCTCTGCATCTGATGAAGTGGAATCAGATACCACCTGTCATGTCTTGGGTGACTTTGACTTCTTCTTGTCATCGTCCTTTTTCTTTCCATCCTTCTTCTTCACGGCTGTCTCCTTTTCCTTCTCAATCTGCTTCTTGACATGGTCCAATTTGAAACAATTGGTGCAATACTTGCCGAAGTGTTTAGACGATTTGAAGAACGTGGGCTTGTTCTTCTTGCAGTTGGCACAAACCAACTTGTCATCCTGTACGCTTCGCGCTTTGGCATGGTGGCCTTCTCGTTGTAGCGACGTAAATATACGGAGTGCGAATGTAAGAAACTCAGTCCACTTTTTGGGCCAGTTGTCCTTGGTTGTGTCTGCCAGCATGAGCAGCCATGTTTTCTCCGGAATATGTTTCTTGATTTTTTCAATCAAGTCTTGATCCGAGAAGCCTGTACCAATTGCCTTTGGACAGAAGTCTTCTGCGAACTTTCAGAAGTCTCGATGATCCTTCTTAATGAAGGCTTCTAACTCTGTTCGCTTCTTATCATCCTTGTCCAATGATTCATATGCCGTGCGAAGTTCAGCGACGAACTCCGCCCAAGTTCCTGGTGCCTTGTTGTTTTCGTTTATTTCAGTAATTCAATGTCACATATATTCGCGTGCTCCTCCTTTCAGGAGCAAGAGGGTAGACATAATTTTGGACTCGTCTTTGGTATGTTCAGTATATTTCAACCAGAGCATTACTTGTTCGAGCCAATCATCGAGATTGACTCCATTCTTATTGTCGCCATATTTTTCCAGCTGGTCAATTTTTACGCCTTTACCCTTGTGACCAAACGACGATTTGTCATCATCGTCCATATCTGCGACATCATTACCACCCTGTCCGGCCTTCCTTCCTTGCGTGTTTGCCCATGTGCATAATCGTTCATGCAATTTTTTGAGTGCTTCGAGCGTGATGCTTCCTTCCGCTTCATGTTCTTTCAAGGCCTCCACTTCTGGTTCCAGAGTTGCCCAATAATCCTCGATGAGTGCTTTCAACTCTGTCGTGAGAGCAGCAGCTGTTTTTTCCAAGTCCGCTACCTGGCTGATTAGCTGCTGTCTGTGGTTGTCAAGGAAAACTGTGCGATTGTGGAACTCCGTGGTATTGTGTTCAAGCGCACTTGCTTGGTGCTGAATGAGATTCTCATAATGCACCACCGTTTGTTGACGCATTTGTTCTACCACATTGGTGACCAAGTCGACTACCCAATTCTTCACATTTTCAGGTATGTTCGCATTGAGAGGGGCCGTGTCTGCGAGGGCTTGACGAATGATAGGATTCGGGGGTTGTAATACAATATTAAGTCATGCGGGAAGCTCCGGGGATGGAGCACAAGAGAAACTGGGATCATGTGCAGTGGGGGTCGTCATTTTATAATTCTTCCTCTATCTCACGAAGGTGTTCTTCAAACTCGACGATATGACTATTTGCGATAGTGGCCGATCGGACAATTGCTCGACCTGAGCGCAGGTTATGTAGCAAATGAAGGTCTTGGTATATAACCTTGATGAAGGATTGCCACAAGAACCTAGTCTTGTCCCTGGCTGCGGGCCACTGATGGTTATGATGAATTTCGCAAAGACGCTCGACTTCTTTGAGCTAATCGACGAAGCTATTGTAAGCTTCAGTGAGACCTAGGTCCAGTTCTTCAGTTCCAATAGGGATATAGCGGATGTGTACCACAATGTTTCTCCAGTTGTATTCAGGGTATAGCTGAAGAGCGGAGATATGGTATACGTCGTGATAGTCGATGTGAAACGTATCCTCGTATGTAGCGAATGCTTCACCTGCTCTGTCCTGGAGAACACGTGGAATTGAGTCCCAAAGATAGTTAAAGATGTGGCCGATTGGATTGAGATGCTCGAAGTTATCACGATCATTTGAATCGCCAGATGAAGACATATACAAAGTAAATATTCATATCTACAGCAAAGGTCGCCCTGTGACCTGTATTCCTAGTCAATATTTCACGATAATATCTCGTATAATATCGCGAGCTACTCCTCCTTGATGCTTCTTTCCCTGTACGTAGTCACAAAAGTCTCGTACCATGTGTTGGTGTACGAAAGGGAGCTTGAATTCTGCTACATCATTGTGGAGATTCTCGAGCTTGGTGATTAAATGCTCGAGGACGAGGATGTCGTGGTCGTCAAGCTGATGATGGTATCATTTGGTGAGGAATAGGTGAACTTGTCGAAGAGTGCCTTCGATGCGCTGTGTAGAAACGATGGAGATCGTGAGAGAATATATGTAATGAGACCCTGTAGGAGTCTCAACATATGTCGAACGAAGTTCGTTCGCTGACTGAGGTGCTCAGTTGTGAGGCGAAACACTTTGGTAGTGCTGGGGGCCTGAAGTCGATGCTGATGCAGAAGTTCGCGGTGTGCGAACTGAAGGAGTTTGAAAAATAGAGACAGAAACGCTGCTGCAAGGTCGTCGACCTCCTGTGGATATATGACCAGGCCTTGGTTGAATGCTTGTACATCGCAGCTCATAGAACTCTTCTGGAGTTCTCGCTCGAGGATGTCGGATAATGCTGAAGTCACTGTGCGTAGTATTGGCATGGCTTATGCGGGTAGAGTCGGCGTCTGCTGGAGAGGCAGGTGAAGATATAACACCGCTAACGTGCGGGTGGACGTGCGAAGACGCAACACTGCAGCGAGTACGCTGGGCAGGCACTCGAGGCAGGTAAGATAAGCAGACTTATTCTTCTATCACAAACTTAGGACGCAGAGCGCCGACTAAGCCTATGACCTTATGATCAAACAATTACTGACTGTTGTCAAGGTAAGGATGACACAAGAGAGGATCAAGGTAAAGCAATGCCTTTGAAGTGGGCACTGGTAACACTGTATGAATAGGCATAGCAGAGATGAGAATAAGTCTGGGGGACTTATGTGTCTCAAAGCTCTGGCTTATATACATGAGCGGAAGGACCCTTGGTACCCATATGCCCCAGAACCGCTAGCTAATGGACATTGTCTGATTGGTTACCACTACCTGTCAAACTACGTGTGTCATGCATGCTGAACCTCCGAACTACTTAGTAAGACCATGGAAATGATACTGCCTGTAATGGCTACATCTCCGGTGGCATGGTATCTATCTACCTCGTGTATGTGAACTAATATCCCCGTAAGGACATATCTCCGGTGGCGTGTGTCTCCTTCATAGAGTTCTTCTGGAGTCTGACCGTTGCTTCTAGGTGGGATGATATTACTGTATAAGTTAGTCTTACCTAATACCAGCGCTACTTGTCACATGTGTGGATATCACGTGATATGTCACGTGACTAGTCCTGGACCTTCGGGGCACATAGGACTGTCAGTACTTCGTGTACCAGTTTGTTCCTTTCTGGACAGCCTAGCGCTGATGTCATGTGATGTTCTAGTCACGTGCAGATTAAAAAATGTGAAAATCTGTGACAGTAAAGTAGGATTACCTTGGCATATCCACGGCCTTTATAGATAGTTGCTATAGCAAAGTCCAGAACCATTACTGGTTTTGGCAATATATTCACATGTAGACAGGACAGGACCCCAGTAAGTACACCATAGTTAGGGTACCCAGGGTCCACCACTACATGTATATAAGCACATGAGGATCTAAGGGAAGACCTTAGATTCATTCAACTATTGTATGCAGCCAGCAGGCCAGCTCCCCCCTTCCACCTTTTGTGCAAGGCCATGCATTGGGGCTTTGCCTTGATTGCTGGTTGTATGTCACTGTGCATGTTCTCAGCCTAGCCCTTGTGGCAGGCTTTTCCAGGTTAGCCTTAGGGCAACCTTTTTATGTGGATCATTTGTGCAGGTCACACAAGCAGACTTGCCCTTAATTGGGTTAAGTGCTTTGTGCTTTGTGACAGACGAGAAATGATTATGGAACGTTAACAGCAATCGAACGTACTTGTTCGTTCCAACCAGATGTGGCTTTGTTCTGATTAAGCTGGCACTGATACAGCACAATGGAGTGCAATGCGAGCATTGAACGTGAACCTAAAATGATAGGAAAAGCCTGCACATCGGAGGCTAATACAGAAACTGATCGTCGGGAGCCACCACCAACAACAGAAAGTTTCGTAAACGAGCAATGTGAATGTGCAAACTCTGAATCAACAGCCTCAGTGACCACACCGAGGACGATGTCATACAATGCAGTAAAGAGCAAAGTTTCTGCGACCCCTGAATCAGAGTGAACACAAAAAACTTTCTCAAGCAAGCAATGCGAATGCGCAAAAACAAAATCAATAGCCTCAGTGACCGCACCGAGGATGATGTCATACAATGCGTTAACGAGCAAAGTTTCGACAACCCCTGAATCAAAGTGATCAACAAAACGAGATACTGAATACGGAATAAACACTGACCTCCACCAAGCCAAACAAATGCGCAACAACGCATAAGCAAGTTATAAAATGCTCCGAGTGGTGACACCATCACAAAAGGCGGCGATGTGCATTAGACGGTGAGTGGGTGAAGGGCAAAACAGTGTTGAAAGGGGGGGGCCAGCGGACGTTTCCTAACGCCCAAAGAAGGGGTGCATCCGCAGATTAGGTAAGAGCGAGACGCTAAACCCAAAAATGGCAATTTGCCAGCTTAACACTTACATAAGCCTGTCCAGTGTACCATTGTGTCAATGGCCAAATAACTTTCTGTTATTTGGAATCGCATCAATAAATAGTAACTGTTATACGGCTACACGACCCTTGTGTGATCGAAACCCTTTTTGCGTTATAATGAACAGGGCAAGTGCAAGAGGGAATTTGAAATACTATGAAACAATCGCTCGTCGGAACTAAACTATCGGGACTGCAGGGTCGTTCATGAATCTGGGCCATCCAACGTTAGACCGTTCGCAAGCAGGTTCGTTCGGATACCGGCGAAAGTAAAATGAGAACTGATATTAGCGATGGGTCCCCCCAATAGTTTGGAGTAATAGTGGCGTACCCGAGATTTAGAATCTGTGTGTGGCGCGCAATTCCTCTGCGTAGCGGATGGCATCGTCCCATGTCCTGCTTTTCCGTTCTGGCTACTTATAATTAGGGCACTAGCGATTGCGGTCGCATTAATCGAACAAATCTCTTGTAAATGCTGCCAAGCGAGAGTCTACACAAGCAGATTTATAGATTGTGCGAACATAGTTCCCTTACGAATTTGAACGAACGTTGAGCCCATACGATTCTCAAAGCCGGCACGCAAGCACCTACTCCTGCAGCATGGGCGAGGACGGAGTGTCGGTAGGCTGGCATAGGGCCATGCGTGGTGGGGGCGGAATAGTTATGGGCGGAGGACGAGGCCTCGCGCCAGGCATAGTCGCACTGCGCCCGACGCCAGGGCTCACTGAAAGAGAATGAGGATAGACACGGGGACTAGCAGGGTAGGGTGTGTAGGGAAGAGAAGGGCCAAACCTTCTCCCCGAGGATACCGGTCGGGATACGGTAGGGGGAGGGACCGCGACAATATCTCCACGCTGAGAGGAGGAGCTTGAGGTCTTGCTGCGCTTCGTGCTCGATGGCGGTAACTGCCCAAACGTGAATCGCTTGCTACGCACGCGGGCGGATGAAGGCGTAGGCAGGTGAATGGGACTGCTGCCCGCCTCTTCTCTGGTAGCTGTACGCGCAGACGTGTTGGACAGGCCGGACCACATCCTCCAGGGATAGCCCCGCGTAGACTCATCAGGAGAGACAGCACTGTCTCTTCGGAACCCGTCCGCAGATGCCTCCGTGAACGGCGAGCTCAACGATGTGCTGGGAAGTGCGGTGCGTGTCGTCGCGGCGGAATCATGGCGAGAAGTGAAAGTAAACGCGGACGGTGCTAACGACTCCGGGCTGCGCAACTTTGGCTCCCTTTGTGAACGCTTCTTGCTACGCGCAGAAGTTGACACTCGTATGATGTCGGAGCCCAGAATTGTCGACTGCGAATCTCTTGCTTTCTCGGGTTGTGAGTCTTTGTTGGTGACCACGAAGATGTTGGGTCGCTGACGCGGTGGCCGGACAATGGGCCCTAAGGGCAAAGTGGCGGAGACTGCAGCTGCGGCTTTCTCCTCTCGTTCTAGCTGTTCCGCGTATTGAACCTGACTCGGCAGAATTTTCTGCGATCGTGGCGGCGGGCGAAGTGGCACGTCTGTGACCTCTGCTGGAGCACTCGTAGGAAGCTCTCCAACTTCCTCATGCTCGGCAGTTATGCGAACGATGTTCTCGGTAGCTGCACGGCTGACACGGTTTTCATGAGGTCTGGCAGGATCCTTAGTTGACGATGGACTTTCCAGAAAGTGTAGAATGAAAGGATCCGAGCTGAGCAGGGACGTACGCCTGGGCTCGGATAACCCCTTGATATCGATAACGGGGTGATCCACATAAATCTGATCGGGCGATGCACAATTTCCATCGTAGAAAGCAGCACGATTTGGGTAATTGAAACATGCTGAAGAAAAGGATCAGTTTGGCTGCTTTCTGGAGAGATGCAGGATGTATTTTACCGATGACTAGAAGAGCACCCAGACTGAAAGGAACGAATTCGGCAAGCGTATTGACCCACTTAGCGGAAGGCACGATGGTGAAGATGTCAAGCACAAGTAAACTTGCCCCTCTGGCAACATGAATGTTCAAACGATCGCGGAAACGCATGTGAAGACGCGAGGATAGTATATGTCCCATAGACACCATGCGAATGACAGCGTAGAGCTCAAGGACAATCAACGTTGCAGAAAGGGATAATGATAATGGAAAGAAGCTGTTTGTTAAAAGTCAGAGGCCTCTTCACGTGTGTGTTGACCGCAACGCACTATTGCCTATAGCATATGGATGTACCTGTTGAACCCACGGTCCTGTACCTACTTAGAACACCGTCATTGCATTATAGAAGCTCGCACTCGACTCACTGGGTGGTCCCCGTACCTGTTGCGTTCAAGCCGAACACAAGCCCTAGCTTGGACATGAATGGAACGACCAACAATAGACAAAACCCTTCGCACCAAGAGCGGCGAACAACCCCAACCAAAACGCGTAACTTTCCCAACGTTTGACGCCAAATCGCTTCAGTTGCCAGCTGAGCATCAGCAGTCCTGCGATGCGTATTGAATGAGAAGCCATGCTCCCCCAGGCTATCACGAATGCTGATGCACATCAGTATCAGGATGAGCTGAGTAGATGTGCTTTCCAACAAACACCGCTACTCACTGCATGCGATTGCACCGCTGTGCGTGGTACCCATGTCAAGCAACGAGCAAAAATTCGCAGACGAAGCAAAAATAAAGCATAGATTGAGGACGAACACAAAGGCACTGTCGTTGGCCTCTTGCTGCGTGATTGACACGTTGACTCCAGTGGCCTGCCTAGGAGCTTGGTCATTATTAACAGATGCCTCGACATCGCTTGCCACCTGGGGATGTCCATTGAGGCGCAACAATCGAGAGACTCGGCGGAAAAACTCGCGAAGCAGAGCTGAACGCGTGATATGATACGTGCTATACTGAAATACCCAACCAAGAACGAAAATAGAGACGACGCGACTGCAGAAGGGGGAGATGAGACGCGCAATAACTGGTAGTAACGATTGCTCACAAGTTTGGATGAGTGATGGCTTCCGCGACCACCGAACTTTCTGGATCTTGAACGGAGACCTGCTCGTCCAGGATCGAGTGGAGCATAATTGAGCCGTGTCAACAAATAGCCAAGACCAGCTAGGCAAAACAGAGTCGTCGACAGAAAGGATTGACAGTCCAGCTGGATAAGAAAGAAAGGGTCAATAGGACAAAGTGACAGCTCGAACGGCCGCCTTGGGGGGGTTGAGCCTGTCAGATGGGCCTGCTCACAGCACCGTCAGTGACAAAGGCATCGGGGAACAGCACGCCAACCAACACGATGCATTTCAAGCAGCAGAGATCCCACCGGGCTTCTGGACCAGCCTTGGCTGTGCCTGGGCAGTGCGCAGTTTGCTGTCGCCAGAGCGGTTTATGCGTTACATCCATCAACGGCGTCGCATCCATCAACGGCGTCGCATTCTGCGCTAGTCGAGCGCTTGCGATTTGGCAGCAGTGCGGACCCGTCGGAACATAGTATGTCGACGCTTAGAAACTTATGTTTCCTTGGACTATAGTACAATTGTACAGCGAAGGAGCAGCCCACGAGTGAGGCTCCAGAGAGGTAAACATGGCTATCCGAACTAATGCCGCTGTCGTCTTAGAATTTCGAAACCAAACATGTCTGTCATCAAAGAGCATGCTGCTGCGGGGTCTGTTTGCGTGCGAGCTGAGTAAACAGTGAGTGTATTTAAAACAGAGAGGACGTTTTGACAACATTCGTTCGCCAGCAGAACTGTGATTCTACCGAGAAAAGAGATGACAACGGAGCGGCCACAGACGTTCAGACTGAGATCGATCGGAAGGTGAACAGAGACATGGTCACGCGGTTTTCACGTGACATTTAGTTTACAGGGTCATCCATTGGTCGCGGTCCACGATCAGCCACTCCCCTCCCTTCCACTTCAGCCACTCGGTCCTCCGCACAGTGGCCAAACCCGCCTTGATACTCGAACAACCTTGCACGGTATCCTCCACAAGCGCCATCGCACATCTATTCATTTCTTTGTGCAGTCCCCACGAATACTCGTACTATCCCTGAGGGTATCTGCTTGTGGCGCAGGACAACATGGAGGGCACACCTCAACTCAACACGGCCGCAGACCTCGAGATGCGTGCCGCAAGGGTAGCAGATCCCGGGATCGGTCAGTCAAAATACTCTCAGCTTGTACGATAACTATCAATATACTACAGACCTCAAAACGAAGCTCAATGTAGCGTGCGAGCTCAGAGAGATGCTCGACATCATCAGGGAAAGCGAGTCGGCTCGGGTCATTCCCCACATGGTCCCTGTCTTGCTTGATATTCTTCGGTCTGGAGAGCCGGCGTGGCACAAAGACATGCCGGAATTCCAATTTCGCCGCTGCCTTCTCGACATTCTTCATCGGCTCCCCTCCAATGACGCTCTCAAACCTCAGATGGATCCTATTGTTCAGGGAATGCTTCATATACTGCGCCACGATAACGAAGAAAACGGAGGAATCGCATGCAAGATAATGGTGGATATCTTGCGCGCGTACAGAACCTACAACCAACGGCATTTCTCAGAATTCATTGCCTTGGCACAAGATGTCTATCAGAATGTGCCAGGGCTAGTCGAAGAGCACCTGTCGGAAGGCTCGGCTGTCATGGACACCAATACTGCCCTCCCTGCACGACGTAGTCTCAAGATCATAGCGGAATTGGCAATGGTCATTGTTGCATACACGCAAAGCTTTCCCAATGAAGTACCACACGTCCTTCCTGATCTTCAGGCGATATCATTACAGCTTCTTGAAGTCGAATCTCCAATTCAAAAAAAGACTCGAGAAGACTACGAGGCTATGGGAGGCATATGGGCTGGCATGTCACCAGAAATCAAGAATACGTCAGCTTTCTCCGACTTGATGGTCGCTCAAGTGAAGACTGCCTCGTATCTAGCATTCGTTCTCCGAGGACCATCCCCAGACGAAGGAGGTGTGTCGGAGGAGGAACGTATTGAACTCCGGAACAAGTTTGGTATCTTAATTGGAGCTTCTATCCGTATTCTGCAGGATTGCCCAGCAACGGCAACAACTCCGCGTCGAGTACGTACAAAGAGCCGCAAATATGCCAGCTAATTAACCACTCGTTTCAGGACTTACTCATTGTAGTCAGACACCTTCTGACAACAATATTCAAGCGCGATTTTGCCCCTTACATCGACAAGATTCTCTATGAACCGGTGCTGTGGGGTACTGCTGTCGGATGCAGAGAAACCGTCAAGTAAGCAGATTCACGCGGCAGTGTCTTATACCGTCTCAAACAATTTTCCAAAATGTCTAGGCAGGTTGTCTTTGCAATTTATGGTGACTTTGTTACATCTCTACGAAATGACATGAGCGCAGCGCAATTGACGCGTCTCTGCCACATCTTCATACGACATCTACATGATCCTCGTCTCGTTGTCCCGCTGCACGTGTTGTCAGCGAAGATCATTTTTAGCACGATCGACATCATCCTCGTGAAGGATACAAAGCAGGGTGCCGGACGTACATTGACGTCGTTGCTGGATGCATGCGTGGACAAGTTGGAATCAATAGCTAATGTCCAAGCCCAGCTTGTGAGCAAAGCGGAGAATCCAAAGGGCGGGGAAGAGACTTCTGCAGAATTCTCTATTATAGAGAAGGCAAGACCAATTTCTGGAGCGATGTATGCTATTGAAAAGCCGGAAGAAACTATGCACGGTATGTAGGAGATATGGGGTCAACTTGCAGCAAGCTGATAGATGTCCATATAGTTTATCGACAACTTGTCAAACTGCTGATGCAGGGTGTGCGCGCGGTTCTTCACGCCCTGAAGAAATGTGATGGGCTTGTTCCCGACGGCATCGTAGTCTCCCGCCTCTTCGAGAACTCTGTCCGCTGCCTTGCTTTCTGGGACAACGAGCCGCGCGAAGCTAGCGAATACATGGATTGGTTTGGACAGGTCCTTGGCGAAGTGAATCTCCATGTCTTCCAGGAGGTGTGGACGCAGAAGATTGACTTTTTCTTCGACAATGTCGAGAAGCGCCCGATTTTGATGCATCTTGCTCAGGCGCTGTTCAGTCGTGAATACAGCTCCCCGACATTAGTTGCGATCTTGCTTCGCTTTCTTGTAAACAGGTTGCCGGAATTGGGCGAATACGAAGATCAGACGGCCGCAGTCTGCATTCGGATGTTCAAGATGACATTCGCCGCCGTAGCGCAGCATCCACAGGCGAACGAGCCAATCCTAGCATCGCATCTAGGAAAGCTCATCATGGATTCCTTCCCTCTGGCCGCAAAAGCGACAAAACCGACGAATTACCTCCATCTCCTGCGACTGCTATTCCGTGCTATCGGCGGTGGAGGAGGAAAATTTGAATTACTGTACAAGGAGGTCCTTCCGCTACTCCCCGAGATGCTGGAATGTCTCAACCGACAGCTACTCGCTTCTGAGGGCCTGATCCGAGACATGATTGTGGAGCTCTGCCTAACTGTGCCACTACGTCTGACACATCTACTGCCCTATCTCTCTTACCTGATGAAACCGCTGGTGCTGGCATTGCGTGGAAACGCTGAGCTAGTCTCTCAAGGCTTACGTACTCTGGAACTGTGCATAGATAACTTAACACCTGATTTTCTTGATCCAACTCTCAACACTGTCTTAAGGGACCTGATGGAAGGACTACACAGCCATTTGAAGCCGCTTCCCGCAAATCATCATCTTGCGCATACAACTATTCGGGTGCTGGGCAAATTGGGCGGCAGAAACCGTCGCCTCCTGGATAAGGATCCTTTGCTCAATTACTCCCATTACTCCGAGACGTCAAAGGCTCGGATCTCTTTTGGAGGTGCAATCCAAACAATCGAGCTGGGTCCTACATCCAGTCTAGCAGCGAGCGCTATGAGTCCAAGCAATAGCAAAAGTGGACCTTGGTATCGTCAGCATGCGTACGATTATTTGGAGGTCTGCCTGAGCCTCCTCCTACATGAGGTGAGAGTATTCACACCCTTAGAATCCTTCACTGTTTTACATCGTCTACCCAGGGCGTCAAAAGTCGTGACCAGCAAGAAGTGTTTGTACGCTGTCTTGAAGGGCTGTATGATGCTATCCATGTTCCGGAAGTCCAGGAACGAGCAGAGAAGACCTTTCTGGAGATCTCACAACTAGTTCTATCGTCTGAGGTTCGTCGAGCTGCCTCGATACCGGCGTTCTCGCGGAAATTCCCTAGTCAACTCCTCACTTGCTACTTGGACGCATTGCCACATGGTGTGGCTCGTGAGAACACGTCAGAAGCAAAGAAAATACAAGGCATCATCTCCAAACTCATTCGCGACCTCATTGCAATGACGGACGCTCCGAGCGTCAGCGCCCAGGATGTGATTGCTACATTGAACCAGATCGCTAATAGATTCACTGCACTGTGTCTCGAAGATCCTTGGAAACGCAAGTGTGCTGGATGCAGTGGCATCGGCATCATGACGCAGATGTCAGGCCTCGGAACCAAATGGGTCGCTGAGCGGCAGATTGAGCTCGTCAAGACGCTCCTCGTTGTTTTGAAGGACATGCCGTATGACCTTCCTCGGGACGTGGACGCAGTTCTCGAAGTGCTCGTGCGTATCATACGTGTTGGCGACGCTGAGTCTCGTGGCGATGAATCAGTATCCGGGAGGAACAAGCAAGTCCATCTAATTGGGATCCTCTTGGCTGAACTTGCAAGTTCAAGTGCGATCGTGAGAATGGCCTCACAGAAGTGCATCGAATTGCTTGCAGAACTCACAGGCAAGAGCGCAGTTGAGCTTCTGTCACCCCATCGAGATCGAATGTTGACGGGGCTCTACACAAAACCGCTCCGAGCACTGCCTTTCTCCATTCAGATCGGTATGATCGAAGCAGTTCGCTACTGTATCAGCCTGCAGCCTCCTCTTCCCGAGCTCAATGATGAATTACTACGACTTCTTCACGAGACGCTTGCTCTTGCTGATGCGGACGACGTCGCTCTCATCGGGCGCAGCAATCCACGCGGATCGAGTCTCGAAATAATCAAGCTGAGAGTCGCATGCATCAGGTTGTTGACTGCGGCTATGCCTCTCACCGATTTCTTTTCAAAGCAACATCAAACTCGTCAAAAGTAAGTTATTATCAAATCTCACTTCAAATTGTTAACTCTTAAATGCAATAGAGTCACCGGCGTCTACTTCAAGTCCCTGTATTCGCCGATTCCAGAGGTCAAAGAAGTTGCTCATGAAGGTCTTCGTACCGTGCTGGCGCATCAGAGCAGATTGCCGAGGGAGCTGCTGCAGACCGGATTGCGACCTATTCTCATGAACTTGGCAGATCCTAAGCGATTATCTATTCCTGGTCTTGAGGGTCTGGCCAGATTATTGGAACTGCTCACCAACTACTTCAAAGTCGAGATTGGCCACAAGTTACTTGATCACTTCAGGGTTGTTGCGGACCCTCAGATGCTACAGGCGTCATCAAGGCTTCCGCTATTGGAGAACGAGGGCATCACGAAGCTGGTACGTTTGGCAAACATCTTTCACCTGCTGCCGTCTACCGCCAACATCTTCCTCGAGAACCTCGTCAACGCAATTGTCCAGACGGAGGCGCAGATGCATTTCTCCGGTCAAAGCCCATTCTCCGAACCGCTCGCGAAATACCTAGACCGTTATCCCATCGATGCTGTAGACTTCTTCATGCGCCATTTGCATTTTCCGAGGCACATCCGCACCCTTAGAAGCATCTTGCAAGCCAATCTTGCATGCAACCTTCTTCGTGAATTAGCTTCGCGTACTTCAACTATCGTGGCGACGTGCTTCGAGGGTAGGGACCAGACCCTGATCTTGCCGGGATTGTTGTTATGTTCTGACCTCGCAACTCTTGTACCGGGCTGGCTGAGAGATAATGACTACGTCGTCAACGCAATCCTGAGCCTTTGGGATATCGAGCCATCCACTCTTGACCAGTCGGGTCTTCCAGTCGGGGATATCACGCAGAGATATTCTTTCATGGTCGAGATATTCATCAAAGCCTTAGAACAGAGTCCGCGAATCGATTTACTGTTCAACGTCGTTTCCATCTTTTCTCGAAAGTTGCCACTGGACCTGGTACACATATCACAGTTCCTCTATCGCCATGTTGCCTACAATGAAGATCTCATATATCGGAGGAACGTCCTGACCAGGTTCATGATCTGGTTCCAGGACCGCACTGTACTATGGTCACATAAACGGCATTTCATGCAATTTGTTTTCACTCCTACCCTTCTCGTTCATGCTGTCAGGTCGCCCACGAAGCTGGGGCTCATCGACGACTCCATCGTCAAGAAGATGCACACGCATATCTGGCAACCGATGACCGAGGATGGAACATTTGCGCAGTCCGACGACCTCTTCAAAATTGAGATCCTTCACTTCACTACTGTCATGGTGCACCGATATCCTGAGTTCCTTCAGGACGTGAAGAAAGACATCATCAGATGTGCCTGGCATTATATCACGAGTGAGGACACTGTTGTCAAACAGACAGCATATCTGCTGGCAGCACGCTTCTTTGAAGCCTTCGAGGGTCCTCAGAAGTTCCATCTGCGCGTTTGGACGGGCTTGTTGAAGCCCCCTCATGTAGATGGAAAAGCGCTCATCCGTCAAGCTCTTGATATCATCTCGCCTGTCTTGCTTCGATCACAGACCTCAGATCCTGGTTACCCGCAGTGGGCGAAGACCACACGAAGGCTCTTGGCTGAGGAAGGTGCTGGATGGCAGCAAGTCGGTCTGATCTACCATCTGATTGTCCGTCAAGCATCCTTGTTCTATCCGGTCCGAGCCTTGTTCATCCCGCATGTCGTCAACAATGTGCCGAAACTTGGGCTTGGGCCAACGGCCACCAGCGATTCAAAGTCTTTATCAGTGGATATATTGCAAGTCATATTCGACTGGGAGCAACAGGCGGCCAGCGAACGAACTGAACGTTCATCTCCTGTCAATTCGTCGGCATCAGAGGGCGAGAGTATTGCGACTTCATGGGTTACTCCCTTGCCGTTCCGTGAGAGTATTGTGAGCTTCTTGGTAAGGCTTGCAACTGCACCGCAGGACCCACATCCAAGGAATTCGGTGGTTCCACGGGCACTATCCCTCTTGAAACTCATAGTAGGTCCTAGTGGTTGGAGCGATGTCACGTTCAAATTGCACTATTTCTCTCGTGCGCTAGAACAGGTAATGTGTGCGAAAGCCATCGAGTGCCCATTGAAATCTGACTATCAATGTCCAGAGCGAATTAAAGGGGGATGCTGCTGTCCTAAGCCTAAGTCAGGCTCTGAGTGCTGCGAAAGTCTTACAGGTCATCAGCGCCGAGAAGGATGAGTCATGGTTCCGAACCAACGCACCCATTCTCACGAAACTCGTCAGAAAGGGTCTGGTCAGCGAAGACGGGCCAATCCAGGACTGTCTTCACCCTGTTTTTGATCGTCTGATCCATCTGTATCCCCTTCCGAAGGAAGATGAACTCCAGCAAACGGATCTCGCAGACTTTCATGCTTTCATCTACTCTTCAATTGCAGACAATCTCAGGAATGTGGGCGAAAACCTTAGAAATGCTGAAGAGATTCGTCCTGGTTCTGCAGTTGTGTTGAGAGGCGTTCTGCTCATGCTGAAATCTGTGGTACAACTCACCGCAGAACGCATTGAGCCCTTCAGCTCCCCTCTCATGAAGGTCTTGAGCAGGCTAGCAAGAGATCATATTCAAACCTCTCCATCAGCCTCGAATTTTGAAGCGATTGTGCGCATGATCATGACGATCCTGGAAATATCGCAGATTGCAGTGGCATATCTTGGCGACCAGAGGAAGTGGCTGCTAAGCACTTTGGTTGCGTTGGTCGACAAATCCAAGAGTGCCGTTCTTTGCCGATATATGCTCGATATTGCTCGCGAGTGGGCGATCAACAAACGTGATCCCTATCCCACCATGAAGGAGAAGGCAACCTTGCTGCAAAAAATGGTCACATTCGAGATGCGAGGGGAACGTGGAGAAGCTTTGTTCAACAATTTCCTCGAGCTCATTTACGACATATATACGGATCCTAGTTTACGCCGTACCGACCTCACGAGCAGACTCGAACAACCATTCCTCCTTGGCTGTCGAGCAGCAGACCCTAGCATTCGGGAGCGATTCATAGATCTCATGGACGTCAGCATACCCCGATCTCTTTTCGGTCGCCTGACTTATATCCTGGGCGTCCAGAGTTGGGAAGCACTCGCTGACCATAATTGGCTTTTCCTGGCGTTGCATTTGCTTCTCGGCTCAATCGATGCAGACGCCTCAATCGCACCCGAGCGCAAGGGGAGTATGGAAGCCGCTCTCTTCAGCATACCCTCAGCAATGGATCGAGCATCGACGCTGGTCAGGCCGATGCAGCGCCTTCTCTATCTTGACTCACAAGCAGTCCACTCTACCTGGATCTCCGTCTTTCCTGCTGTTTGGTCCTGTCTTTCTAGACGTGAACAAGTTGAAGTCACCCAGCACATGATCGTTCTCCTCAGCAAGGATTACCACTTCAAGCAAGCAAACATGCGGCCAAATGTCATACAGACCCTTCTGACTGGTATCCACGCCTGTTCCCCGCCAATATCTCTTCCTCCTCATCTCGTTAAGTATCTTGCGAAAACGTTCGGTGCTTGGCACGTCGGTGCAGAAATCCTGCAATCGTCTCTTCTACAAGTCAGAGATGATGAAGCTGTCATCCGTGATACCGTCTACGATTCACTTGCAGATGTTTACGCGGAGCTAGCCGAGGACGATATGTTCTATGGCCTATGGCGCCGTCGATCTAAATATCACGAAACCAACGTTGCGCTTGCTTTCGAGCAGTGCGGCATGTGGGAACAGGCTTCCAGCATGTACGAATTGGCACAAAGCAAAACGCGAGCCGGTGCCCTGCCATTCTCCGAGGCGGAGTTCTGTTTGTGGGAAGATCACTGGATTCTAGCAGCGCAGAAACTCCAGCAATGGGATGTTCTCTATGACTTGGCTCGGGCTGAAGACAATCATGAGTTGATATTGGAGAGTGCTTGGCGATACAAAGACTGGTCAGAGCAGCGCGAACTTATCAACATAGAGGAACAGATCAGTAAATTACCCCCAGATGTGGCGACTCCCCGTAAACGAGTTTTCGAATCTTTTGCCGCGCTGCTGAAGGGCTTAGCAAACGGCATGGAGAAGATTAGTGGCGACTTTACTCGGTATCTCGAGGATGGCATGCAGATATCCCTCTCCAAATGGGTTGCTCTACCATCCTATCTCTCTGCGGCACACATTCCGTTATTGCAGCACTTCCAGCAGTTTGTGGAACTACAGGAAGCTGTTCAAATCTTTGGCTCGCTCGCCACGACAAACATCGCCAATTTGGAGAAAAAGTCATCTGATCTCAAGATGGTGTTACAGGCTTGGAGAGAGCGGCTACCCAATGTTTGCGACGACATCAGCATCTGGAGTGACCTGGTTGGATGGCGGAAACATGTCTTTAATGCGATCAACAAGGTGTACGTGCCCCTGATTACTGGAGGCAATCAAGCAGCTGCAGGTGCAGGCAGCAATGCTCCTACTTATGGGTATCGCGGCTACCACGAGACAGCGTGGATCATCAACCGCTTCGCTCATGTTGCTCGCAAACATGACCTTCTGGACGTTTGTTTCAACCAACTCAATCAAATATACACCCTTCCCAACATCGAGATTTCGGAAGCGTTCTTGAAATTGAGAGAGCAAGCGCGTTGTCACTATCAGAAACCTGGCGATTTGCAGGCAGGTTTGGAGGTCATCAACAACACGAACCTCATATACTTCCAGGCGCACCAGAAGGCGGAGTTTTACACTCTGAAGGGAATGTTCCATGCGAAGTTCGGTCGTAATGAGGAGGCCAACCATGCCTTCGGTCAAGCCGTACAACTTGAGATGTCTCAGGCAAAGGCGTGGGCTGCTTGGGGCAAGTTCAACGACCATATGTTCAAAGACATGCCGAACGAGATGTCGCATGCTGCCAATGCTGTCAGCTGTTACTTGCAAGCTGCCGGACTTTATAAGAACAGGAAAAGTCGTCCACTTCTTACACGCGTTCTCTGGTTGCTGAGTGTAGATGACGGATCGTTGACCATATCGCGTGCTTTCGACACATACAAAGGGGACGCTGCATTCTGGTACTGGATAACCCTCATTCCTCAGCTTTGCCTTTCCATCAACCAGCGAGAAGTTAAGCAAGCTAGGTACATCCTGCTTAATCTGGCCAAATTGTATCCTCAGGTGCGTGCAACCCCTTTTCTTAAATGAGGAAAGGATCACAAGACGCGCATCGCAGGCATTATTCTTCCACTTGCGCACTACCAAAGAAGAGATGGCGTATCTCAGACATCAAATGAACAAGGTAGCTAGTCGGCAGGCGTCAAGCGCGGGTCAATCTCAGGGAGCCTCAACACAAGGTCCGTCATTGTGGATTGCTCTGGAAAAAGGTAGACAAGCATTGAAACTATTTCCAGACACGGCGGACGACACATCCGACATGAGGCCGACTGCAAGCACTGACGATTCGCCTTCTCAAGGGCATCCGTCTCAAACGCTAAGGGGTGGTATTGATAGTGGCGTGATTGCGCGGTCTCTAAGTTCTGCAAGTGATCCTCGCACATCTGATGCATCGTCGCATGGGAGCCGCCAGCCATGGGAATATGCTGACGAAGTAATGCAAATCCTGAAGACTGCGTTTCCCCTCCTCATTGCTAGTATGGAAAGTATGGTCGAACAAATCGGCGTCAGGTTTAGAGCGATGCATGAGGAGGAAATTTACAGACTGGTCTGTATGCTGCTACAGGAAGGCATGCAGGTAAGCGATACCAGCTTGCAGGTTCATCCACCATGTTCATTTCGCTTCAGCATTACGTGCTTCGGATGGGCGCAGATGATGAAGGTCAGCTACCTGCGTCGACTGTCTCTACTTTGCACAGGCTGTTGCAGAACCTTTCGGGATCGATACGGGTGTGTATTGTTGACTCCTCAGCCGGCAACCCCTAACAAACAACCTTGCCAACAGAAGGAATATGAAGATGATTTCCTGAAGAGTAAGCCCTCCTTGTACGACTACATTCAACGCCTCCAACGATGGAGAGACAAGTACGAAGGGTTCCTCGACGCTCGGCCACGTATTCAGTCTCTGGATATCCTCAGCCATTATCTGATGGAGTTCCAATACGGCAAGTTTGACGACATCGAGGTTCCAGGGCAATATACCGAGGTTCGTTGAGTAGAGCGCCTTGTGACTTGTTGAGCTGAACAGTGGTGCGTGCAGGACAAAGATAGCAATCAGAGCTTTGTGAGGATCCTGAAGTTTGGCTCGAAGTACGAGAACTGCCGCTCTCACGGGTACTGTTGGAAGCGGTTCGCAATACACGGCCATGATCACTCCCAGACGTCATTTGCTGTACAACTTCCTTCTGGAAAGCATTGCCGCCGAGAAGAAAGGGTCATGCAATTATTCCGCACATTGAACGGGTTCGTGCCTCGGATGTCTAATCTATGCCTTCTCTGATTGAGCTGAATATGTAGCGTTCTCATCCGGAAGAAGGAGAGTCGGAAGCGTAACCTGCATTTCCATCTGCCGGTAGCAGTGCCATGTTCGACAAATCTGCGTCTCCTACAGAATGACTCATCTTATATTACTCTCGGAGACATATACGACCAGCACTGCGACAACGTAGGCATCACTCGAGAGGACCCCACTCTGGTTATCGGAGAAAAGGTCAGAACGGCGCTGAAGGAATTTAGGCAGACCATGGGCAGGAAGGTGCGTCAATCGGCACTTACGAATAATGATACCTCTCGTACGATCATAATACCAGGCGGAAAAGAACGAGTACCTTACATTGAAGAAGGATCTGCTGGACGAGGTGATTCTGAAGATTGTGCCTGAGGATGTCCTCACTCGCGTATGTGGGTTCTCATCACTCGATTGACACAAGATTGACTCGTATATTACTCAGTACATGATTCGCACAATGGACGGGCCTATGGAACTCTGGCGGATGCGCAAGCAATTCGCCCTGCAGCTTGCCGCAGCGAGCTTTATGACATACATCGTATGCCTGACGAGCCGAAATCCATCTCGCTTCCACCTTTCCCGTTCCACAGGACAAATCGCCATGAGTGAGCTCCTGCCAGGTACGTCGCTTAGTATGGTCAGCCTGGACGAATGGAATGTAACCCGTCAAGCAGGAATCAACTCTCAAGTACCTGTCTTTGCTTCCAACGATGCCGTGCCCTTCAGGTTGACGCCCAACATACAACACTTCCTTGGTCCAATTGTCACGGAAGGCATCCTCGCCGTTGGCATCATGGCAATCGGTCGGTGCCTCACGGAGCCGGATGTAAGTCTCAACCTCATGTTTGCATATTTAGTCTCATTCATGCGCGAATAGTATGATCTTGAGCAGCAGCTCTGTCTATTCGCACGAGATGAGATGATGATGTGGTTGCAGACTCGCAAGGGTCAGATGACATACGATGTCTCATTCCGGTCGAACGTCGCAGCGGCCATTGATGGCATCGTGAAGCGTGCAGAGGTTCTGGCGTGCAAGCTCGAGCGCGAACAGGCATGTCGCAGATCCATAGATTAATGGACCGTTATTGACCAGCTGCATAAATAGGCGATCGGCAGCCCTCAGAACCCAGGGAACACTCCTGTGCTGCAAACCGTGATCAACCTCATCAGCTCAGCCACCAATCCGCTGAACCTGCTAAAGATGACAGAGACGTTCCTTCCTTGGTTCTAGCTTTTCTCGCCACCGTGCATTGTCTTGTTCGTTCGATACAATCTGTAACCGTAGCGCTACGTATGCCATCGGAATAGTGTATTTATACAGTTGCAATCTCAATATGCTATCATAGGTTATATGCGGTGGAAGCCTTCAGTCTGTCGGAAGGTATTGATGTGGCCCTCACTCTCTAGCATCATCTGTGAATCCAGTGTCATGCATCTACCCAGTGAAGGTCACGACGGTAGACACTCACCTCCTCTGCCATATTATATACATCCGATCCCGGCCTATTGTACATCATCGCATTTGCGAACATAAGATACACGTCCCTCTGAAACTCGAGCGAGTTCGAGATCAGCCCGTCCTTGATGCGCGCCTTGATCGTCTTGAGATCCATTGGCCGCTTTACGATATCGTGATAGTCTGGTGCCTCTGCCTTGCGGATTGGGTTGTGGAAGAGATTGCCGTAGCGGTGTGCGGATATTTGTGAGTGTAGCATGTTGATCATGTTCTGAAAACGCTTGGAGACACCTGGAGTGTCGGGTGCAGGCGGGCGGCCTTGTCGGCGGATTTTTGGGAGAGCGGCGAGAGCTGAAAAACATGTGAGGATGGGACTAGGGAAGCGTGAGCTGGAATACACACCAATTTCCTCTTCCTCCATCGGAGACTCTTCTCGAGCGCGCTTGCTTTCTCGCTGCGTCTTTGCATCCTCGACTTCTTCCGCTTTCCGTTTCCCTGCAGATGAATATGAGCAACAAGCCAATGCACATAGAAAAGTTTAACTGACCATCTGCTCCCCTGTGCTCCTCTTGCGGGGCAGGCGGCGATTCTCGCACAGGCTGTGATTCAAGCATGGTCACATCGGCGTCTGCAGCTGGTTCCATTGCTGCCGTCTCCTCACGTACGGTTACCTCCGCAGGCAGAGGCGGGTATGTACCTCGTATTTCGGGAGAGGGTGGCAATGACTCAAACTGCTCGACGGTGACTTCCGGCTCTACCGTTGCAGTCGGGACTTCCTCTTGAGCTCCTTCCGCAGGCTGTTCTTCGGATGGAGGGCTTTTGCGAGCTTCTTCTGCCTCCATGTTTGGGAGAGTTTTTGCTACGGCCGGGACAGCTTCTGCCTGCTCGGCTTCCACGCTTGCCTCGATGACTTCATTTTGCTCGGCAGTCTCTTCGGGTACCTATATGCGTTGAGATACGACAAAAGTAGCCGCATGGATTCGCTGCTTACCGGGGTGACATGTTCCTTCTCAAAATCCTGCTCCATGTGTGGAGGAGTAGGCTCTCTTGTCGGCGGATGAGCAGTTATCTCGTCTTTTGGCGGTGAGGGAGGAGTTTCGACAACGCCATCTTTTATGACAATCTAGTTCACCGTCAATGATGGTTATGCAAGACCAATATATAGACCAATATGCAGACGAACAGGTTCGGGAGTACCCTTCCGGCTCTGTAAAGCAGACTGCGGCCGCTGAAGCTCTGGTGTCTCCGGCGCGGGCTCTGATTGTGGGGCAGCATCCTCCTCCTTGACATCTCTAGCAGGAGCGTTGATGCCCAATTGAGCACGGATCTTGTCATCCCATAAGCCATCACGGATTTGGTCGATCTCGGCGACGAGCGTTCTATAGGGGGCCACACAAAGATGCGCGAAGTTCGAGCAGCATATATTCACAAAACTTACTTGAATTTGGCCTCCTCAGCTGCAATCAGTTCTCGTAGCTCAAGAACGCGGCGCTGGTAATGATGCTGGGCCAGTTTCAAATGGACCTTTGCTGCATGATGTTCTAAGTGACGATTGGCCCGTTCGCAAAAGATACTTACAGCGTGGAGCGGCATTTGCATCAGAACTTCCGTGCGCATTATGGTGAGAACACGTAAAAGTTGACGATATGAAACTGACCATTCCAAGCCAGCTTCCTCCATAAGCTGGCTGTATAAGACTGGACATGTCTACAACATCAGACACACTATTCAATAAGCGGCAACGTAGGGATACAACTAAATCTCGCTGACTTGGGGCGTGAAGTAGTTCTTCGGACGCGAGATCATGGGATGTTTGGACAAGAGTCCCGAGACGTCTCCCCATTTGTCTGAGCCATACTCATAGACTGCTTGAGCGAAGATGAGACGTTCGACGTTGTTGAGGCTGGATGCGTCGACGTCCGCTCGTCTAGCGCGCCCTGTTGAAGCCATTTGAGACAGAATCTGCAGGTGGCCCGAAATGTGCGCCTGCGGGGAGAGGCATGCGGCGTTGGCCGAGGCGCCGGATCACAGACCGCCGGACTCCGCAGCGATGGGCGGCACCTGGCGGCGGAAGCACGGAGGGAGGCCGAGGCTTGCGAGCAACGCAACACGCAGTTGCTGTCGCCCCTTTCACGACTCCCACCACCATGTTGTTCAAGGCTGTACCCCTCCTCCTTTTGCCCATTGTCGCCGCCGCCAACGGAATCCACAAGCTCAAGCTCACCAAGGTTCCTCGCACGACTCACAATCCTACTCTTGAGTCGGCGTATCTTGCCGAGAAATATGGCGGTCAGCCCCAGCTGCCCCTCATGGGCGCCGGCGGTTTTGGTCGCAACGTGCGTCTCGCACGGCCGACGCGACAAGATGGAGAGGAGCTGTTCTGGACACAGGAGGAGTTGCTCAATGGCGGCCACAGCGTCCCTCTCAGCAGTACGTCATCTCCACGCGTAACCCGAAATACCGCTGATTGTCTGCGTGGCAGACTATCTGAACGCGCAGTACTTTGCTGAGATTGAGCTGGGTACTCCGGCACAGTCGGTAAGAGAATAGATTGCTCTCACGGACGCTACCTCCTGATTTCCTGTTTGCAGTTTAAGGTTATTCTTGACACCGGGTCGGTTCCATTCAATGGAGCGCAAACTTTCTTTCACTGACGTCGTTGCAGTTCGAGCAATCTATGGGTACCAAGCACCAAGTGCACTTCCATTGCCTGCTTCCTCCATGCCAAGTACGACTCCAGCTCCTCAGGGTCGTACAAGGCGAATGGATCCGATTTCTCAATTCAATATGGCTCCGGCTCCATGGAGGGTTTCGTCTCCCAGGATACCTTGACGATTGGTGATATCGCTATCAAGCATCAGGACTTCGCTGAGGCTACCAAGGAGCCTGGCCTTGCGTTCGCCTTCGGCAAGTGAGTGCACGAATGTTTCTCACTCATTGCCGGCACTTACGCCTACGGCAGGTTTGATGGTATCCTGGGCCTCGCGTACGACACTATCTCTGTCAACCACATCACGCCTCCCTTCTACAACATGATCAATGAGAAGCTTATCTCCGAGTCTGTCTTTTCCTTCCGCCTTGGCTCGTCTGAGGAGGATGGTGGTGAGGCTGTGTTCGGCGGTGTTGACGAGACTGCATATACCGGCTCGATTGACTATGTCCCTGTTCGCCGAAAGGCTTACTGGGAAGTTGAACTGGAGAAGATTGCACTTGGCGACGATGAGCTGGTGCTTGAGAACACTGGTGCTGCCATTGACACTGGTCTGTAAAGTGTGTCAAGTCCATTTACGAAAGCTGATGTCCAGGACGCAGGTACCTCCTTGATTGCTCTGCCCACTGACATGGCTGAGATGCTCAATACGCAAATCGGGGCAACCAAGTCGTGGAACGGACAATACACGGTGGATTGCTCCAAGGTGCCTGACCTCCCGGATCTGACCTTCACCTTCAACGGCAACTCGTACCCGCTGAAGGGCACAGACTATATCTTGGAGGTGTCCGGAACTTGTATGTCCGCATTCACGGGCATGGACATCCAGATGCCCGGTGGTGGATCGCTCTGGATTGTCGGTACGTGGACTTTTTGCCTTATGAACACACTGTGTTGAATGTCTTTCGTGCAGGCGACGTCTTCCTCAGGCGATACTATACAGTGTATGACCTCGGCAGGAACGCAGTTGGTTTCGCCAAGTCTGTCTGAGTTGCAAACTAAGGTTGTAGGAGCGTTTAGTTGTGATGGACGTTCTACGGGGTCTCCGATTTCTCTTGCACGACTGGTCAGAATGTGTCCTTGTTGTAGTATAGCTTTGCATCGAAGTCTATTCTGTAATTGCATGCAATTTTCATGTCCTAGCGCTCAGTCACTAGTGCCACCGCGGGACCACAATTGCTCGGCCTTGCGAAGAACTTGGCAGAAAGTATCAACTTCGTAACGACCAGACGTCTGGACGGCTTAGAACGCCATTTCAACAGTACAGTATCGACAAATCAAGGCTTACGTGGACGCAGAGGTTGTAAATCATGACCCCAAATGCGGACATGGCGCTCCTGTCAAGCTCAATACCCTCAAGCAGCATCTCGCGAAGATGGAAGGCACGGCTACTCTCTGCATCACTTGAACAGCCTCTCGATAGGGTCAACGTACTTGGTGACGAAACAAGCGGGCATACCGGGTGAAGATTAATTCCGGTTTCATTTTGGGAGGATGTATCTGATGAATGTGATCGTCATCAGATGCGTGAACGCTCTGTCTTGGGCAAGAGATGGCGAGCTTCTGTTAAGCGGGGGAGATGATAAAACGTACGTTACTGTTACTGTACTTCTGATGGCGGAGTTGACTGAACGGCTCGTACAGAGTGCGGCTATGGCGGATGGATGCGAGCGACCATGATAAGGACTATCCCTTCGTCTGCCAGGCGGTTGTGCACACAGGGCACCGCGCAAATATCTTCAATGCGCAAATGCTACCGCATTCGTCCAGGATGTGAGTATTCAGCTCAGCTTCTTGTTGCGATAAGCTATGACTGTACGTTGAGATGCTTGCTATGCTGATGCTATATATGCGCGACAGAGCGAGCGTAGCAGGTGACAGCCAAGTGCGGGTATTCGACGTCTCCACTGCTCTATCTTCACGGCATGACGGTGAGATGGAGCTCACCACCCGCGCGGCGCAGGCCAGGGTGTTGCAGTGCCATTCTGCTCGGGTGAAGAGGATCGTGACGGAGGAGAGTCCCGACCTCTTTCTAACTGTGGCTGAAGTACGCTATTCTCTCGCACTTGTTTCAGGTAGTTGTGTTTAATAGGAGCCTCATCCCGTTTGTGCAGGATGGAACAGTCCGCCAACATGATCTGCGTGTCCCGCACAACTGCTTCTCTGGCTCCTGTCCATCCCCGTTGATTAAACTTTCGTGCAGTCTCAACACGCTTGCGCTCTCTCCGCTCACACCATACCAGTTCGTCGTTGCTGGCGAGGCTCCCTATGTACGTCTGCACTCTTCTATTATGCCCATGCTGTGTCTCTAAGTCGTCAGCGAAAAGGGTTACTTGTATGACAGGCGAGCCGTAGGCCGGTTCTTCCAGGAAGAATGGGGAATGCCACCGGACGCAGACAGCTTGACGACGTGTGTGCGACGGTTTGGCAGGAAGATGAGGGGCCCAAACGAGCGGAAGGGCGACGAACATATCACTGGAGCAAGAATGGCGACAAGCAACGGGCATGAGGTCAGCATTCGTTCGTTTTGCTATCAGATTCTGAGATGCCTGCTTACTGATTATATCCTAGGTACTATTGTGTATGTAGACTGATTTCCCATTTGAATGCAGACGTTGTTGCTCACTAAGGTGCAGCATACAGCTCTGACGTGGTCTATCTATATTCTACACTTGACGATCCTCAGTCATCTTCGTCGTCTACCAGAGCCTCCTCAGTCCTGCCGCCAGCTCCACCGCCACGGATTCCGCCTCGTACTTTTGAGGCTGCTGCCAGGAGTTTGACTGAGGCTCAGCGGGAAACCGATCGTGCGATGGAAGAAGATATTGAACGAATGATGGAGGAGGATGCAGAGATGTTCGACGGGGAAGAGCTTTTTCCGACCGACCCTGATGACGAGAATGCCGAGAATGAAGAAAGAGGCGAAGAGGAACAGGCGTCGACCTTGCTCCCAACTTTGCCAATTGTCCTCCCTCGCGCTCGCTTCGTCGGAGCTGGCAATGTAGAGACGATCAAAGATGGTGAGTGGCGACGTTTTCATCGTCGTGACTTGTAGACTGACGGACACAATTGTTCAAAAGTCAACTTCTTGGGCCCTCGAGACGAGTTCGTCGCCTCGGGTTCGGATGATGGTAATTTCTTCATATGGCGGAAATCCACGGGCAAGTTACACGACATCCTTGAAGGCGATGGCAGTGTGGTGAACGTGATAGAAGGCCATCCACATCTTCCCCTGCTTGCAGTCAGTGGGATTGATACGACAGTCAAAGTGAGTTATCATGGTCTGTCTCTCGAACTATTGCTGAAGAAGAAATGCTGTCGCAGCTGTTCGCGCCCGCACGTGGTGGACGTGCGTTCTCCAAGCTCGGAAATGCAGAGAACATTATCAAACGCAACAGTGAAGCCTCCTCAAGGACCGTTGACCTGGCGAGCCTATTTATACAGTACCAGTTACTCGCTGGCCAATCTGCTGTGTCAAGAGAGGGAACAACGCCGCAGTGTACATTCCAGTGATTTCTTTTTCATGCTTGTTTGACAAGTTCTCGTACATTGTATCGATAGGCACCAATATCTAGTGTACTCCATGTAACTGCCCGCCGATGTTGTATTCTTAGTTGCGCGAGTTGAAGTGGCTTGTGACGCATGTAGAAAGCGGAGAACAGAGGTGTGGCGGCAAAGTGCAACCATTTGCGTATTCTCTCCATCACTCCCGCTCATCATGTGGCCTTTTCTTCTCGCTGGCGGTGCATTTATGACGGCCGCGAACAGTCCATGCGAGGTTGTGCATAGAATGATAGAGCGTTCTGTACGAGGGAATTGATGGGCGTAATCCCGGTGCAGTGGATCCACGGATATTCGATGCGTTGAGTGGAATGCAACTCTTCCTACCTCCTCAGCTGCGGCTCTACGGTTCATTCCATTCCTTTCCGATCTTCGCGAGTAGAAGATACATTCTCTGCGTCCTTCCTTGTTCCTGAGAGCGGAGAGTTGAGTTAACAACAAATGTAAGTGAAGTTTTCAAGTTTCTGCGCCTGCTCGCGGTTGACGCTGTGCTGACGACTGCTTTGTCTATGCTGTCCCTCTCCAAGACTTGCCAGTGCTGAACAGTGTTTCTTGTCTCTCTGAGTGATTTGAATGCATTTCAGCTCACCAACTGAGCTTCAGCAGTGTCTACGGCCAGAAATTAATCAGGGCCGTAGGGGAACCCCTTGACCGTCAACTTGACTTCGTCACGACACGTAACGCGAGCGTCCGTCTTGATTGCCATCCACCATCTCGCACTCTCTCTTCAATCACGCAACCTGCAGGACCCGACCTCTTGGGGCCCAATTTAGGTGACTATACAACGGCGTGGTGGACAACGTTGACGCCGTCCCTCCCGCCTCTTTTGACCGGCAAGACAAGTCTTGTCTCGACTCACTCAGAAGCTCTTATTTTCTCGTTCTCTTGAGAGCTTCGAACACGTCGCTCTGGCATCTGCTGACACCATGAGACCAGACTCTTCGTCGTCCCGTGCCCGTCGTAATCCTGACGACTGGCGTATGCGCGATGACAATCAAACTTCGCATGACCGATACAATCATGACAACTACGGTCGCATCGGTAGGGATGACTATGAACCCGAACCCCACTATAACAGTACCGGTAAACCTTATGGGCATGACCATGGCTACTCAGCACCATCGTATCCAGAGTCCTCTTCATGGAACAGCCGTTATGAGAGGCACGAGAGGTACAATGCTTGGTCAGCAGACGAACCTCCACCGGCACAGCAGGACAACAGAAATCGCTCTAGGTACTCAAATGATAGGGCAGATGAAGGATGGTCGAGGGCTGAGCGTAGGAACGGCGGTGGTGGAGAATGGCGGCGTGGTTCGAACTGGGAACAGCGCCCGCCCGAAGGTCAATCCCCCACACGGGGCGATCCGCTTCCTCGCCAGTGGGCTGATTCTCATGCCGAGAGCTCTCGAAATGGAGACAGAAACGTGGATGATCGTTCATGGGAGCCCTCCGCTTCATGGCACCCCAATAATCAGCGTAACGGGTCTCAAGGTCAACGAAATCATAACCTGGGTAAGAATAACCAGCAGAACAAGGGCGGGAAAAAGCGGAACAACCGTCAGAAGCGAGACTGGCGCGGGGATGATGGCCAATTGAACAAGTGCGTTCCCTCGGTTCTCCTACTGTCAGTTTCCTGATTCTCGTATTTAGTTGGACTCGGAGGGACAATCAGAAACTGCCGATCAAAAACAACCGCCCTCTAGCCAAACGCCAGCCGCGTCGATCTCCTTCGAGAGGACGTTCGCGGTCTCCGGCAGAGTCCTACTACTCCAAAAGATCATCGCGAGGTCGCTCACTATCGTCTTCGGATTCATTGCGTCGTCGTCGCAAGGACAGTAGCCGCCCCATTCGTCGCAGTCCAAGCCCTATCGATCGTAACCGGAAGAAGAATGGTTACATCCCGAGACGATATTCCAAGTCTCGCTCTCCTCCTTCCACGCGGAGTCCCAGCATAGACAGCCGAGGTCGGGTTCGTCGTCGCAGTGCGTCAGTTACCACGAGTACCAGCAGGAGTCGCACTCGCAGTCCTAGTCAAAGCCCTAAGGAGCGACCTCGTGCAGTCCATCGTTTGCCTACGACCACGCGACCCGCTCAGATTGCGCTGGAACTGAGTCAGCAATGGAAATCGAAACGAAAACCCAATAGTCGCAAGTTCATTGAACGTGAATCATTCGCGGATTCGAAGGAATATGAGCAGCGTAGGGTGAGCTGCTTTTGCTCGGGAACCCAGGCTCAGTTCTGAACAATGTCCCCTTTTAGCCCCCTCAGACGCCGCCCAAGCGGCATGACTCCAGCCTTAGCCAGACCTTGGCCACACCGCTGCTGAACAAACCGACGACGAGCATCGATACTGCCGCTGTGCGCTCTGCGGATAGCTCGCCACTGGAGCCCAAGCTTCTTGCATCCTCCGCTCCTCGCATAACCACCACCAAGAACGCTGGTTTCAAACCCATCGGTCAACCGAGTCACTCCAACTCCTCGTTGAAGCGATTCTTCCCTGACGATGACGACGAACTCGAGCCTCCGCTCTCTGCGCGGCAGCCGCCAACTACGGTGCCCTCATTGTCGTCGTCTCGTTTTGTGCCATCAAGTCAAACTGCTGGGCCTTCAACACCTAAACGTCGCTCTCCTGCGTCCAATGGTAATGCTTCAGTCCACTCTCCGCTAGTGGAGAAACATTTCGTCGCAAATGTTTCGCCGTCGAAGGACGCCTCGCCATCGAAGCAGCACAGACATTCTACCGACCAACATGATGTTCGCAAAGACACCACCGTCCTTCCGGCCCTGCCACAAGAAATACCAAAGCGGCCAGTGGAGCGCAGCTACCAGGCTCCGGTTGACGATGGAGGACAGAGTGACAGTGTGGTATCTCAGCCTCCATTATCGCAGCACGAACGAGACATCGTTACCACCGCGATCACGCGGCCTTCCACTCCAGTGAAATATGGTGTGTACGAATGCTTGAACCAAGTCGGCGAAGGCACATTCGGTCAAGTTTGGAAGGCAAGGAATACCCGGGATGGCAGATTCGTCGCGCTGAAGAAGATCCGCATGGAGGCTGAGCGGGATGGCTTCCCGGTGACGGCGATGCGGGAGATCAAGCTCCTCCAATCGCTGCGACATGAAAACATCATACGATTATACGAGATGATGGTGTCCAATGGTGAGCGCATGCTCGATCGCATGTACTGCTCGGAGCTCATTACCTGACGCAGGCTCTGTCTTCATGGTCTTCGAGTACATGGATCATGATTTGACCGGCGTGTTGTCCCAGACACAATTTTCCTTCACCGATGCGCACCTGAAGTCCTTCTGCAGGCAGATGCTCGCTGGCCTTGCCTACCTACATCACAAGGGGGTCATCCACCGTGACATCAAGGGTTCGAACATCCTGATCAACAACCGCGGAGAGCTAAAGTTGGCGGACTTTGGCCTTGCACGTTTTTACCAAAAACGCCGCAGGAGCGATTACACTAATCGCGTTATTACCCTGTGGTATCGCCCTCCGGAGTTGCTTTTGGGTACGACTGTCTATGGTCCTGAAGTCGACATGTGGAGCGCAGGGTACGCCGAGTCTTGTGCTGACAATAGTTCTAATCTAATCCTGTCGTGTTAGCTGTATCATGCTGGAGCTTTTCACCAAGAAGCCAGTTTTCCAAGGCAATGATGAGATCCATCAGCTCGACGTGATCTACAAAATTCTCGGTACGCCTGTGGTCGAGAAATGGCCCGGCATGACGAGCCTTCCATGGTATGAGCTCGTGAAACCCAGGGAGACGATACCCAATCATTTCAGACAATTGTTCGAAAAGTGAGTTTCACGATAGCCAATAGGTCGATGGTGCTGATGGTCGTTCTTCTAGATGGCTTTCTCCTGCTGGGCTTGATCTGGCGGAGCGTTTGTTAACTTATGATCCTGCACGACGCGTAACAGCCGTACAAGCCCTCGAGGCGCCTTACTTCAATCAGGAACCGCCTTCACCCGCTGCACCTGTCACGTACGTATGCAATTGAACGTCTCTTGGTCTAATTCTAATGCAATTGCCTTCAGACTTTCTTCTATGCAGGGTGAGTGGCATGAATTCGAGGCCAAGCGTGAGCGGGCGAGAAAGAGGAGACGACTGGACGGTTGACCACATATCGTTCTCGTTCCCGTTCTTAAATGCAAGGTTGTTATACAATACAGACAATATCGGACGTCGATGCTATCACCACTGTCGTAGTACAATACCATGTATCTCATGCTTGCACAGTTCCAAACTTTACGAGGCCCCTCTCCGTCAAATGCTGAACAATCGACTCGACCTTCAACATGGTGTATTCAGCAAGTCGCTCGGCAAGGGTGGAAGCATATAGAGACTCACGTTCGCTGCCGTCAAGCGGATCTGCATGTCCCACCGTTTGGTGAATGGGGCACCTGTATCCTCTGCGATCTGTTCAACGTCGCCGAGTCCACCGGCTTTGCCCTGTGCATCATCCTCCTCTCGTGTGGCCTCGAACCAGATCAGCTTCTCCACCTGATCTATCGAGCCCTTCAGACGACCCTGTTCAATCATTTTCCGTGCCATCGTCTCTGCAGCGCCAGGAGTAAGATCTAGCAGTGCACCAAGGCCGCTGAAAGTAATGTTGTTGTAGATCTTCGAGCTGGCTAGGACATTGTGTTCCATAACTGCACGATCGAGCACCGTCGCTGGTCCCGTCCGCGTGCTTGCATTGGCATCGCTCATCTCCTCATCTTCTGCGACAGCCGATGCAAGGCGATCGTTGGAGGATTGCGCGATCTTGGCTAGTTGATGCGGTTTGAGAGTCACCTCGAAGTCCTTGATCTCGGCAGGGCGAAGAATACGATCGTGGAACATCTTGAGGAGGATAGTGTAGGTAGGGAGATCAGCTGTCCGCTCGTCTCGGCAGAGAGAGGCAAGAAGACGCGAACGGGTAGGCCCTGCCGGGGCAAGGACTGCACATGTCACTGCAGCAGATCTACGGGAAAGTGAGCGGAGGTGTGCTGGTAAAGAGATGGCGACGTACAGCATGTGTTTGCGCTCCCCTTCGTCAATCTCAGGCACCCAACTGAGTTCGTGGTACCTAGCGGCGGCTTCCAGGAACCTACGCGAGTAATCAAATATACGAGCCTGACACAGCTTAAATTGCAGTAACGCTTCTTTGTCTGAAGACGAAGGAGCGAGGAGCGCGGCGCGGTTGTAGTAGGTTTCGGCTTGTACAGAATCCTCATCCTCGAGGAGAAGGCGGACAATACGGAGGTAGACTAAGAATTTCTCCTCTTCCGCTCTGATGCAGTTGTCCCATCAATGTGGTTTCCTTGCATGCAAGCTAGAACACTTACCTTTGGCCGGCGTCCAAATTGATGCCCATTAGGACCTTCGCAGCGGCTGTCCACTCTTCGTCTCCTTCCAGAATATTGGCGAGTTGGAAACGGAGCGCGTTGACCTACAGTAAATATCAATAAACTCTCTCGTCTCTCGTGTATGGTCTTACCTGCTCCTCATATGTGATAATACGCGGCTGAATCGTGTTGAGGATGTCTTGCACGATTTGCTTTCGTAGAGCGTTGTTGCGGATCCGTCCGTCATCAAGGGCCTTGACCAGTTCAGAAAGAACCTGTCTCCCGATGACATGACCAACGTTCTCCTGGACAACGTTCTCTACTAGGATGTGGGTATCTGCGGCGAAAGATGTCTGATCGCGCCGCGCAAGCAGGTCGGTGAGGATCGATGCATATGCGACGGCCTTGTCTTTCTGATTTAGGCCGGAGACCTGGGATAGTATGCCCTCCATGTTTCGTCGGTGGGTAAAGCAGAAAGGAAAGAGACACAGACGAAGGGACGTGAGTGTGGCGGAGAGTAAGAGTCGGGCACGCGAACACGTGCGTGCTACATGTCGGACGGCCGAATAAGGCAGTCGACTTGGAAGATGGGCGCTGCCATGGACACGTCCAAGCCCGTCTCCAGGTCGCCAGCGCGGACTCCCCGATACCCTCTTTCGTTCGTTCACCCACGACCAGTGTCTTGCTCTCACACATCCGGGGCATCCTGTCCACTCGTCGGACGGATTGACACGGTCGCCCTGGGGATCAGTACAGCGTACGTTCATTGCTGCGTGATCTTATCAGTCATGCTGACGCAGATGCTCAGCTTATAGTACACTTCAGGCATCGCATCGTCCTTGCCTCCCCACCCCGCTGCTAGCCAGCGACCGCTCTCTTCGTCCTTCGTTCTTCGCCCTCCTGGCTCGCTGCGTCCGCCATGTCTCACCTTATGAGTAAACCGAAGCAGAGACCTTATTTATTCGACCTTCCCCGAGCTGCCCATCCACTGTCGCCACCAGAGACTGACGACAATGTCACTCAACCCTCTCTGTCCGCTCCTGTGCCCAGCTTCTCTCAGGCATTGGAAGTCGAGCCTTCATCCTCCCACGTCTCCGTAACAGAGATGCCTGCGTCCTCATACCGGAAACCGTCTTCGGTAACCTATGTCAACACTGGCTTCAGAGAGGCTCGCGAGCGTGGTCCTCAGAGGAGTCTCATCAAATGGCTCGTGGTGGTCATTCCTCCTGCTTCATTTTCTCGAGATCATGGCCCTCTCGGACACACGCTCTCCTCTGGACCTGTCAACAAATTGTCGCAAGGCATCCTCATGCCCTTGTTCCCTACTGTAGGTGTAGTACTGTTGATCACATAGCCATGCTGACGACTTCTCAGATGGGCGGCCAGCTGGGTGCGATTGCTCGCGAGTTCAATTTGCCTAGCACTGCGGGCTTGTGCCTCTACTTGCACACTAGTCACAACGGGATCCCTCTCTTCCCACGGATCTCAGACGAATCATGGCACTTGCTGTGGGCAAACCTCTTTGAGGCCCGCTCTCCAGCCCCGCCCCAGAGCCAGTTACCTATCGGGGGTCAGATAGAGTTTGACATTGATCTGATCAAGGCTCGATGGTACGATGCGTGGCTTGCATCGCCTCGCAAAGACAGAGCGGATGTGCCTCAATCCGTTGCACACTCTCGCCGTCCGTCACTGACACACTGGCGGGGTGACAGCAGGACGACATTCCTTGACGACCAGCTGGATGATCGGCTAGATGATCAGTCTGTCACTCACAGAGGAGCATTGAATGCGCCCAGGATTGCTCCAAAGAAGTTGTCCCTGTTGGATCGCTTGGATAATGCATCTGTTCTTTCTGGTTCGAGAACTGGGCGCAATCTGTCTCCTCCAAGTCCTGGTTACGACGCGCAGACGCGCGCTTTGTCTCCCATCGTTCAGGAAGACGAGCCCAAGACTGCCCGGAAAGAGCTGGATACGCTCGTGACTTCATGGCGCGCATCTGCATCTATCTCCGCCAGCCCGCTGGCCACGACGGGGCAGACCAGCCTTGACCCGGCAAACATGCCCAACACTCTTGGTGACCTTCCCTCTGCTAGCACAACTGAGCGCTCAGAGCTCAATTTGGAGGACTACACATGGTCACCATCGTCAGCCGGGCCGCAAGAGTACGACAACGAAACTGATAGTGAGTCGTGGCGACTTCCATCGCCTGACATCGCGGGACGCGCTATGTCCGATGCACCACTTACGCCCATGACCGCCACGAGTTGGGGCGCTCCGTTATCGTACCCAGCATCCCCGCTCGATGCCGGTTCAGAGTATGCGCAGTCTGTCGACGTGGCTGTGAGAGCCATGTCCAGTCGCCCGGCGACTCCTACAACTGCGACGTCCTGGGGCCCGTCTTCCCACCCAGTTTCTCCCATGCCGCAGCAGCCTGAGCTCCGTGTGCCTTCGCCCGATCTTGGTGACCGCGGACTGCCCAGCGTCCCTGTCACACCGTCGACTGCCACTTCGTGGGGCCCTCCATCTCCCGCAGCTACGTCTCCTGCGCAAAGCGAGTTCCGAGTTCCGTCACCCGATCTTGGTGCGCGGGGCATGTTGAGCGTGCCTGTTTCGCCGCTGCCTGTGAGATTGCGCAAACGGGAGGCAGTGCCCGAGTCCTCGCAGGACGGAGAAGAGGAGACTCAACCTTTCAAGAACGTATGGCCTTATCAAGGAGCAGAAGCTGACCATGAGGAGACCAAAAGCGAGGCATCCGTGGTTTCGCATCTCGCGTTCCCGTACTACGATGCATCTAGTAAGAATGTCGCCAGTGACGAAGGTTCGCGAGTATCCGAAGACGAGGTGGAAGAGCCAGATGACGATTCCGTGAAGCTCTTTTATCCGTATAAAAACATGCCTCAGCAGGAGCCGTGGAGTCACGTCTCGTCGCCTGAAGTGGCAGAGAAATCTTCCGAGGAGCAAGCTGAAGACGACTCGTCGAAACTGATCTTCCCGTATTACGACACACAGGATGAGGTGCGGACGCATGTGTGGCCATACCAAGCAGGCGCGGAGAGCGCCGAGGAGGAAGCCGACGACAGTTCGTCTAAGCTAGTCTTCCCGTACTATGAGGCGTCCAATGAGGTTCGAACACATGTGTGGCCATATCAAGCGAGTGCGGAAAGCTCTGACGCTTCAGGAGAGGAAGAGGCTGATCCGTCGAAGTTGACTTTCCCGTGCTATGATGCCTCCGAGCGTGCGTGGACGAATGTGTGGCCTTATCAAGCACAGGCTAATCCAACGCACTACCCGCAGTTCAACTTGTGTATGTGTCTGCTTTGCTTGCGCGCCTATCGTGTTAACTGAGCAACCTATGTAGATCCTGCCGTCTACCCCCACTTCGAGTTGTACCCATCTGCAGTGCAGGTGGCGGATCATTCGCCCGATAAAGAGGTGTCCGTCGTCTTTCATGCTCAATATCCGACTTTCAACCTATGTCAGTTGTCTATAGCTTTGTATGTGTCCAGAGATGCTGATGTTCTCTCCCAGATCCTGCTGTGTATCCTCACTTCGACATATATCCGGCGATCGCTGGAGAAGTTGCTCCGAAAACGCAGGCTGTCTCCAAGCCGGCTGCTTCGCGATCGCGCTCTCCAGTGCGTGCAGCTGCGGACTACCCCGGGTTTGTCCTATGTGCGTATGGAACGATACATCCGCAGTTCATGGTTGACGTTATGAACTCTAGATCCCCCAGTATATCCGTGGAATTTGCAGGAGATCTACCCTGCAACTGCGAAGTCCAACAGTCAACCGCGCAATTGGCAGCCAAGAGCCCGCCCCAATGCCACTACCGCGACAAGTGTGGGATCCAGCGCTGCGTATCCTACCTTCCAGCTTTGTACGTATGCTCGCTAAGTTGAAGGAGCGTGACTTCTCACCGTTCTTTTTGCAGACCCTGCGATGTCGCCACGCACTCCGACCAGTGTCGCTTTGGGGGAAATGGCTCTGCCAGGGCATGAACAGCTCCCGTCGGTCGAAGTGCACTTGTCTAGTGGATATCCTCACTTGGATATTTGTACGTTCATCGCACAGTCGAAACCGTGCATGAGCTCACTGCCGCATAGATCCTGCTGTCTATCCTCACAATCTCGAGCAAATCTATCCGGCGCACGTTGCTGATGAAGATACGTCTCCGGACAATGAGATCCGTGTGAACACGCGAGCGCAATATCCTTCCATCGAGTTGTGTACGCATTATTCTTTTCCAATGTCTTCTGTGTCGCTCATCCCAACGATCAGATCCGGCCGTATATCCGCACAGCCTGCATGACATCTATCCCGCGAGGCTAACGGATGAAGTCTCGTCTGACGTGGAGACGCGATCTCGGCCTGGGAGGCATGCAGAGATTCAAACGAAGCCTTCAGCCATCGCTTCACGTGCGTACATTCGTTGAACCAAATTCTACTTCTTATGCATAAGCTTGCAGGTCCATCTATGACTACCGAGGCTCTGACAGCATTTGTGTCGATGGCGGCTGTCTCTAGCAACTCTGTATCCCAAAAACAATCGGAAATATTCTCCATCGCATTAGATGCGTCCTATCCCCACTTTAGACTATGTGAGCTTATCATTCTGTCTGATGTCTTTGCCCGTCCCTCTTGCTCACCATCCGCAACAGACCCTGCTGTATATCCCGATAATCTCAAGGAAATCTATCCTCCCATAGTCGTCGCTGAGCAATCAACGCATGGAGACATGCCATCACCCATGCGCTCTGTAGCATACCCCCATATCAATATCTGTAAGTGCTTCTCCGCTGATTACGGTGACTTTCAATTAAGCGGATAAATCGCAGATCCCGCAGTGTATCCTCACAACCTCACAAGCATCTACCCATCATCTGGATTGCAACATGCTCTCACGTCTATGCATGATTCGATAAAGGCTGCTTCTCCTCAAGCATCGTCTGAATATCAAGCTATAGCGGAAACCCACACATCGTCCCCATACGCCTATCCCTTTGTCTTCCCTTGTGCGTTCCTCTGTGTCATACCGTTTCGTGTTCTCATAAGTGCTTACAGATTACTTCGTCTACCCTCACCTGACAATATATCCAGCACCAGCTGCACAGTTGGAAACGGCCGCCTCGCAGTACGTCGCGGATGTGAAGGAGACCAGCTACCCGGTCTTTGATATTTGTACGTGTCTCGATGAACCGACCCTATTTGCTGATTGCTCAACTTTGTCTATAGATCCTTCCGTGTACCCCAATCTGGTGATCTATCCCCCAGTCTGGCGGTTTAGCGAGACTTTGAAGCAGCGACAGGAAGTAGATCGTAATGAGACGGCCCTTATTTTCGGGCCTCCTCAGCTGCCAAACCATGAGCCTCGACGGAAACCAGAGTTGATTCATTCTGTCCTGAATGAGCAGGCCTCTGGTGCCTCCACAGAGTCCGCTTCTCCTGAAAGCGATTCTGTGATGCCTCTGCCGGCTATTTCTCCTATTGTACCCGTTATACAGCCCGCCCCTCCACCAGTACATGCGCGCCGTCGTTCACGGGCTGCTTCTGTCAGCGTTCCGCCTCCTCCTCCTCCAAAGCCGGTAGGTATGCATGTTAGCGTTCCTTCTGGTAACGTTATTGGGCAGTCCACGATCCCACGGTTATCGATGGCCGGTGGGCCGTTGTCTGGACGAGGGTTACCTCCGCATCCAGCTGTGCACCGCAGGATGTCTGTGGCTATGCCTAATGCACGGCGCGTCTCTTCTGCGGTGTCGAAACTACCCATTCTGGTGGAGCCAGACGAGGACGCAACTCAAATCAAACCTGCCGCCAAGCCGGCTTCCTTGAGACGACCTCTGCATGCCTCGAGGTCCTCGCTTGACCAAGGCCAGTCGGCGGTTCACATTGATGCCGCCAGCCCTTCCAAGGCATCGCCAGTTACTCAAACGAGCTCTGCAACACTGCCGCCTAGGCCAACCATGCTTGATGTCGGTACATCGGAGCTGAGTCGATCCAAGACAATGCCGAGCTCGAGAACACGGGGAAAGGCAGTATTGGAAAGGGCGAGAGCGTTCGACCAGTCGCGTTGTAAGTAGCTTTTGCGTAGTCAGTCTCGAAGATATTAATGAGCTATTCACAATCAGCTGCTACGCCGAGCGACGATTCGCAGTTGCGTCTTAACACGTCGGCTCCAGTGCCTTCTCGACCTGCAGCGCCATCCTCACCCACCGGGCGACCGATATCGAAGTTGGACCGATCCAAATATCCGTTCTCATAAGCTATATTCATAATACATCGGCGGCATATTTTAAAAGGAGGGGGCACATCTTTCGCGTGTCATTACACCTTATTTTTCGCCGTGTGGCTCCCTAATCTTTTTGATACCTATAGCAACCTCCTGTACACATAGCAATACGTTACAGCATAAATCATTGAAACGCTATGAGCGTAGACCTCGAAAGCTTTTATCAACCAATGTAGCTGACCGGCTTGGACCTCATGTGGCCCGTCGGTTGGGCGTTAGCATACAGCAACTCGCACAAACTCGATATACTAGGTGACTTCCTTCTGATCTTCAATCTCTCATTGCTGCCAGCCCCTGCTTCTATAGGATATGCATCCAAGGGCGATTTCGCGCACCTTGAGGCCGGACTTGCCCATGTGGACTTGTGATATGTTTTAGGTCAGAGCAGTAATTGACTGCCAGCGAAAGACTGCACATACCGTGCGGCATCTGTCTTTTATACCAATTGCATTTGATGGAGACGAAACGACCCGGGGGCCGTAAACAACGAGACAGGTTACGAAGCACTTGTATTTAAATTCAAGCATTAGAGGTCAATGAGGGGCAGCGAAATAGTACACATAGGTGCCACTCGTTATCGGCGGCATACAGCCGTGAAGGACGCGAGTGTGCAGAAGCAGAAGCAAGCCGCTATGGAAATATGCAGCACGTGATCGCGACGCGACGCGCTTGTGGCTGAACCCGACCGGCAAGTGCTGTTCGACCCTCCCTCCTCCAGTACCACACCACGTTGAAGACATGTTTCATCGAAATTAAGAAATCACGAAATTCTCGTAGTAAACAAGCTTCTGCTATCCATAAGCTCATTCGTACATGCTATCGCAGCACTCTTTCGATACACATGCTCGTACAACCAAGCCTGCACAGCAAACATAGCTATCTGCCATGAGCGCCAACTATTCATACAATCTGCACCATCATGTGAATATGTATCGCCTTTTCACTTTACGAATGGCCGTCAATGGGGAGCGGACGATACGGCGTTTCGAGGTATTTGATTTCGTCCGGTGTAAGCTCCACGCTCACAGCGCCTGATGGTTGGAAATGAAGTTCCATTCTCACATCGCGAACAGGAAACAAAACTATGGCTGCTTACCAATGATGTCCTCGAGGTTCTTGAGGCTAGTCGTTCCAACGATTGGCGCGGTGACACCTGCGACATATGGCGTGACTAAGAATGCAACAAACGATGGCGCAACAATACTCACCCTCCTTCGACATACTCCACGCAATGGCGATCTGTGCCATGCTCACGCCTTTCTTCTTTGACAACTCCTCGACGCTGAAGGCGTTCTTGCCGTCAGCAATGCTGTGGCAGATGGAGCAAATGGACAGCGTACCGCTTCACAATCTCTGGCGAGCCCGGACTGTCCTTGTAATGGTGCGCGAACCTAGAGAGGAGTTATCAGCATCGTGTGTGGAAACCGACATGACGAATGCAACTCACGGGTCTGTCTCACCTCTTTGCGTCTGGTCAGAGAGCGGACGGCAAAGGATACCACGGGCGAGTGGAGACCACGGAATGGAGCCGACGCCGAACAACTGAGGAGCGAAGAAAATCAAGCTGGTTAGCAAGCCGTTGTGTATCAATTCTCGAGCAAATACCTTTAGTGTAGGGAACATCTCGCGTTCCTCCTCGCGGTAGAGCAAACTGTGGTGGTTTTGCATCGAGATGAAGGGCGTGAGATTGTGCGTGATTGCATAGTCTTCCGATGCTCACGATGAGCCACTTCGAGCAAATATATGCGCAGTTTACTCACTCTGCATGGCATGGACTACATGATTTATGCATTAGACATACATGACTGGGAGATTTGTACAAGCAACGCATGACTTACATTGATACGCATAGCACGAGCTCATCCCAATGTAGCGCACGTATCCTGCCTTTACGACATCATGCAGCGCTTGCATCTGCACGTCCCCAATGAGCGATACAATCTAACGAATTTCAAAGGTACAAATGCGACGCACCGTCTCCTCGATCGGAGTGTCGTAGTCAAAGCGATGACCTGCGCAGATGCACATTAATAAATTGAAAATGTTAAATTAAAGCGACATGCGCACACTGCAGGAGGTCAATATAATCGAGCTGGAGACGCTTCAGGCTCTGCTTGACCGAATCGAAAATATGCTGCAAAGGGTTCAGTGATCGTCCGGAAAATAGCACGGAAAAGTCTGCATATAGTGACACACCTTGCGGTTAAGTCCGCGCTGATTAACGAGTCCAACCTCGTCAGGCTTCACACCCATTGACATCAGGTTCATGTCGTATGTCGGAGCAACCGCAGCAAACAGCTACATATTGAGATCGAATTCTGTGAATACAGATTGTGATAGCATCTAGAGACTGCATACCTTCGTCATAATTACGAGCTCCTCGCGCGGTAGGTTGAGTTCCTTGATCGCCTTTCCGAGCATGACTTCGGAGAGACCGTTGGAGTAGATCTGGTCAGGGAGGTCAGATTTTGGTGACACATGTTTGTATCAGACATACATTAGCTGTGTCGAACGTCTGGATACCATGATCATAGCTTTCGTCAAAAATTGTGAGCTCTAGATCCCCGAAAATACCTAGTAGACACAACTTACGCAAACTTGATGTGCTTTGTAACCTCGTCCTGGTCCTCAATGACCCACTTTTGCCAGCCCTTGCTTCCGTACGACATGCACCCAAGAATGATCTTGGACACCTTCAGACCTGAGTTGCCAAGCCGGACTGTACGAAGAAGTTATGGCAAGCCACTCAACGAGAGGCTGTAACGTACCATACGGCATCTCTCTCTTCTGCAGCGACATTTTCACTGGGTTTGCACTTGGAGACGACTGGGAAAATTGAGGTACTAGGAACGACCACGGTCATCATACCCATATGCACGCTAGATATACCACGAACCGTGGTTTACGGCCCGATGAAGAGAAGTATTACAAAGCGTTCAACATTCAGACCTCGGAGTTCCGGGAGGGACACTGGGATGAGAAATCCACCGTCTGCGTGCGTGATCGTGGGTGTAGTAGAGCAGGGGCGTCGACGTCAGAGCTCACAGCCTATATATATGCGCGCATATGGGGGATGCGCGATTAACTGGACCTGCCTTTCTGGGTGTGTCGTGGGTGAGCATGTGAGCGCAACGTGGCTGTGGGGATCGTACCCATCGGAAAATAGTCGGCATTCCCAGAACTTTTATACACACAGGCCTCTCCAGCGATTACCATATTCGAGGAGATTGCCATTGAGCCTACAGCTGCTACATATCGGCAGCGAAAGAACATAACTTTCTCATAAGTCTCGCAAGCGAGTAACAACCAACGTGCGTTATGATATGCATTGCGGAATACACTTCAAGTTCTAACATCATGGCCGATCTATCAGCTGCAGGTTAGGTGAGCCGAATGCGGGCGGTATGGGTGTACAGGGGATCTAGTCATGCCGTGCGCTTCGAGGAAGCTCTGATTCCTAGGCACGCGCGACAGTCCTATATCACCTGTAGGCTTTATTTGACCGCTCGCAGCGCCTTCAACGCCTCACACTATCCGGCCATCGAGGGTGTATCCGCGCGAGACGGGCTTGACGGTGCTCGGTGATCCCGGAGTAGCTGATTCCTCTGGAGGCACGGAGAACCGGGAGTGACGAGCGGCTGCCTCGCGTGCAACGCGCTGCTTCACCTTCTGACGATCATCCTTGATCCGCAACAACGCCTGCCAGAGGATGACACTTGGTGCTTGTGATATAAGTCATGAAATCGTACCTTTTCCTTCGCCTCTTCCTCTGCTCTCTTGGCGTTTTCCAGTGCACGCTGTTCCGCCTCTTTCTTCGGCAGCTCGCGTTCGAGTGCCTCTTCGAGCAGGGTCAAGCCAAGCTTCAGATCTGGCAGAGACTGTTTCTGAAAGATCAAGTATGGTGTGAAATCCTCCACCTGCGCCATCAGATCGTATCAGGTTGTGTCCATTAAAGACGAATCTTACCTTCTCGCGAAAGCCGAGCTTCAATCATAGTAGGATAGTATAAGCACTTTGGCGATGGCCATAGTTTGAACACGAAATTATGACTCACCTCCATTATAAACTCCAACGCGCCCTTGGGCTCGATGATTTTGCGCCTGACGGCATCATTCGTCCTCTTCACTCTCTGCCGCTCAAGGTTCTCCGGTTCCTTCAATATATTCTGCGCCAGCTTCTTGATAGTCTACTCGAAAGCTGCTCCAGCGGCGCAACACAGTCATCAATGCAGTGCTACGAACCTGCATCGAGGCTATGGCAGGATCTCTACCATTCCGCTCAATGATGCCCTTATCGATCATCCGCCTAAGCTGCTGTCTACGCGGATTCTCCTCGTCCCAGTCCTTGTACAGTTCACCGCGTGGCTCCTGGCGAGTCTGCCCCAAGCGTGTCTCGGCCGCTGCACAGAGCGCATCCCGGGTAGACGTCGACATCGCGATGGGCAAGCTGAAAGGGTCACGAAGGAGGAGAAGGATGGTTTTGGACGTGGAACACTCTGTTATATAGCCTGGTTGAAGATGTCGCGTCGCGTGGACCAGCCCGCATCAACCTAGGATGGCATGGTGTTCTACGTAATCGTTGAGGCTTTCGCAAATTTCCGAGAATATGGACGCCCATGGATCCCACAGTGGGTTGACGGCAACGTCGACGGCTTGCTTGGCCTTTGCGCCTGGGGAGTGTTGTCGAATGACCGGAGGCCGCCGCAGACCGACATTTTCGAGTGCGAGTTCGCCGTCTTTGATGGCTTGGTGAGCTCGACTCTCGAACAGACCAAGTACTTACGATGTGACGAACTGTGCAGATCTTAAGTGCTTCTGTCGTCCTTTCTAACCCTGAGCTCATAGCCGGGCTCTCCTGTCTCAAGCGGCTGGGGCCCTAGGCACCCGGGAATGCACGCGCATGCAATGTGAGTACTTGAGTGATCGAACATGTTGCCCCACCCTGTCTTCTCCATTGCACGCGATTCACCATCGTGTAATCGCTTGCTGTCGGTTCAGCCTTGCTCCAGCCATGATTAATGATTAACCAGGAACTTCTCTTGCCAGAACACAACACAATACATGTCAACGGTCACGATCTGCAGCACGAACTTGCAGCTCGATGAAGGTTCCCTGGCCAGCAGCTCGAGGAATCGGTTACTTTATTGACTAGCACTACCTGGACGTTCGTCGTGTGAGATGGCTGTTCTCGTCTGCAGATGGTTCTGGCGTTAAGGATGTGGTATGAATCCGGTGCGTCAGCGAACGCTTCCGTTCAACCGTTGGGTGGGATTGACGGGGCACAGCTCCTAGGTATTCGGGCGCCCAAACGGCCACGCGTTTCCCATACGCATCTGTGCTGCTGCTCTACTTAAAGAATCGCATCCAAGTACAGCTTCAGCGGCAATGACGGGCAGGCAATCTCCGGTGTGTGCGGTCTGATACCATTGATCTGATCATATTCTGACAAGAGGGTGAGTGGCAACGCACGGCGCCCTGAAGCTACTCCAGTCGTCCTCCCTCCTTCCTTCCGTCCCTTGGCAGTGCGCAGAGTTGCGATGTTTGTTGGGGCGCAGCACGTCTGTAATGCTATGCAGAACAGTGGTCGTTCCGTTCGCAGGTCCGTCGCGAACTTCGAAACGGTGCAGCAATGTCTGCAGAGCCTTCAAGACATTAGGAAATTTCTAATCGAGTGCTGCGTATGGGAAATCAGATGAGCTTCCATTGATGTCTATCCATCCGCAAGGCAGGCCAAATCCTGAGTCTGCATGCTGTAATGTGCCTGAGCTGTATGGACGCACTTAAGGACGCACTTTCCATATCGGAGAAAATGATAATATCGCGCTGTGCATGCCACGTCTCGTGTTTTGTCCATGTCTGCCGCTGTCAGGATACGCATGATCCTGGTCGTCGACTGCTAAATATATCGCTGGGCTGTGCATACTTATATCGCAAAAGCGGGCGTGGAAACTTACACCTGTGACTATCCCCCACCATTATCTGCTCAAACGCTATGGAATCCATCGAACGGAAGCTGGAACGTCTCGGAGACAGGACGAAAAAAATGGAGAATCAACTCACAATGGCTTGTACGAATCGTGAGTGGGCAAACTCCGTGTATGTGCTAACGATTTATGTGCTGCGCTGCGGCAGGTCAAGGGCAAGGGAAATGCTGATCGTACGGGCTCATCCAAGGTGAAACCAGTGGCGGTGAGAACTCTGCCGCAACTTCCGATCGAGGTGTGGGAGAACGTGGTCAACCATCCGTGGGACGACCAGCGTGCTTTGAAACGATGCGGCCTCGTCTGCCGAGCATGGTACCCTCCCCGTCGCTTCCACTTGCACAGACGGATCACGATCTGGAGTGCCAAGGGTGTGAAGGCCTATGCGACGGTGCTGAAGCAGACACCCGAGCTGTCGAAGTGGGCACACGATATGACCATACGGGGCAATCGGCTAGTCGCCTGTGGGCAGACGAGACGATTCCTTCAATCTTCGCGGGAACGCTCCGGATATCCTTGTCCGACCAATCGGCTAGCTCGGCCAGATCTGTCAGCACTGTCGACGGCGGCGATTTTGCTCGCTCCCAAGCTGCCCCGGCTGGAGCAACTCACAATATGGCAGCCATGGACGATGCACAGCCAGCTTCTCCGTCACTTGCCTCGAAGTCACATTCCCATCGATCACTGTCTTTGGGCGCCTCGTCTGCGCACTGCCACGCCTCGTCGAGCTCATATGTTATTATCTGAAATTTACACATGACCACTTCCACCGCGATACTTTTGGTTTATATCGCAATCGCGTCAAGATCAGGTCCTTGTCAGTTACGGAAAACAGAACTGACTCTGAGAATCTCATCAACTTCCTTGCTCATCCTTGCATCTCGAGTCGCTTGCAGATGCTTATCATCTTGTATGCTCCCGCTCAAGTTTTTGAGGCTGACTCACGATACAAATGGAAATTACAGCACTTGTTGGATACTGCATCTGGTTCACTCTCAGAACTGCGATTGAATCTCAAGCTTCATAGCTCAGGACGACAGACAAGTTCAGAGCTGTCTGCTGCAGGTGTGCACTCCGATTCCATAGTGTAAGCATTTCTGCTAACCAGAGTCTCTCCAGATCCGGTGCTATCCTTCACTCACAACACCTCGCTGCAGAGTTTATGGCTAACTGATATTGATATTTCCCAAGAGTCTGACCTGGACACCCATTGTGTCAAGTCTTACTTTCAATCAAGTCGGGCCAGCTTCAAGAAATTGTGATAGTGCTTGACTGGTTTGCACGGGCAAGCGGAATCGATGAAATGAGGGAAGAAGTGAAGAACCTGCTGAAAAATTGCGAGTCTGCTCACCACAGAGAGACAGACAATTATCTTTCATCCGATTCATTCACGATGCTGAGCAAGGTAGAATTTGCACTTACATCTTATAATCGCGAAGTGGAAGACCCCAATGCCGCCCTTACAGTGGCCGAGGAGCAGTGGAAACAGCAACTTGCACCTTTATTCCCACAACTAACCAGGCGAGGTGTCTTCCGGTGAGTATCCCACATTTTGCGTCCAGACTCACGCATTGATCTGTGTCGCGATATTGGAACTGCAGCGCCACATTGAGGGATTATCGGTACAAAGACAAAATTTGATCATTACGGCCATTGTATCTCCAGCAGGTGCTTCTCGAGTTTGTGATCTTCTCTTCACTCTGGCAACGTGGAAGGGCATGCTCAAGTAGGCTACCAAGGTTACTACCCTCGTCTCTCCCGCTCTTCGAAGTGTCGTACGGGCTCTTGGTACGCGGTCGCTTCCGTAATCCCTACTCCATATACATCGCGCACGACTACATAACATATCTGCAGATTCCATCAACTGGTTTCCTGCATACCGCCATTGCCATCGATCACTCAGACATATCTATTCTCCATCTCGTCTCCCCCTCTTCCGAACCGTATGTTCCGCCAGCAATCGCTCATTCCACGATCGATACATTTCCCAGTCATACGCAGTTCAATACGCGCTATCTGTCAAAATCAGCCGACGAGCTCTTGGAAGCCGCCAGGTGGTCCTGATCGGAATTCTTCAAGAGACATCTATCTGGGCATTTCATCGTCTTCACGGCGATGCCGGCGACACTTATTCTACGGGCTAGTTCGGAGAGTCGCAGGAGGGCCGCACGCTTCGATGGGTGCTCTGAGATGGACACAGCGGATTCATCGGATGCACTCCGCCTCGAGACTCCTGAAGGCCTGGTAATTTGTTTCGCGCCATGACGTCAACAATCTCATAAACAATGTCAAAACTCTGCATCACACAACGAACCATGGCGACACGACAAGATCAGGATCCACAGCAATCTCACTCTAGCCAGCGGACGCTCAAAGGAGCCTTCACGCTCTCCTCCCCCATGATCCGCCGCTGTTAGATCAGCGCAGGATGACCTAGATCCTCGTCTGCCACGCATCGTCGAACTCGAACGGATCGTCCCCAATCAAGGTCTGTCACTGCGCATACCTGCCTCCCCGAGCAAAATCAGCGCAACTACAACAACATATCGAAGATGATTTTATTCTACTGACGGGCATGTTACCAAGAGCCGTCGACAGAATGGGGCCCCTCAAATAGCGACTATTGAATAAGCTTCCTCAAGCGCACCTTCATGTACCACACATAACACCTCCCTCAGAAGCTCGAGAACGTCTTCCTACGAGAGCAGATTTCGCGCATAAAGACGCGGAACAGAGAACGACGAGACGCTGTGCAGCATGATAGATTCGGTAAGAGTTCTGCCGTCAGGTCGCCAAAACGGTATTGAGAATAGACGATAATCTCGATCAAAATATGAATCAGGACAAGTGTCGCCGACTGCGAGCACATCGTGGCACACTACCCTGTCGATGACAATTGCTCTCGGAGAGTGCACGGCACTGACGAACGACACTGACGAGCACATCTGATAGCTGAGCCTTGCTGGCATTCGACCCTCGCTAGGAAGGCCAGTGGCTCTAGCGGCCCCCCGCGCCACAATGGCGGTCCCTAAAGGCCGTGGCATAGGCATATTCTTTCTCAGACAGGACCTGCCAAACAAGACCGTCGAGGGACAGAGCTGTGCACGACACAGGATAGGATCACCGGGTGAAGGTGCTAGACAAGCGGCCTTCGAGATAGCATGGCCCACGAATGTGTTTGTCTCCGTTAGGTTGCCAAGGACAGTCAGCGAGGACGTATAAAAGGAGTGCATCCATACCTTGAGCTTTCAGTACCCCGTACCACCATCCCCTACCTTAAACATAACCTCGCAATTATCGCAATGGGACAGACATCCTCCGTGCTGCTCGTTCTTGTGATGTTCGGTCACCTATTTTCAACGTCTCTGGGGCAAACCAACGCCACAGAGGACGACGCCGCAATGCTCGCAGCGCCCGCACCGGATATCACATCCAGTGCTGACGGCTTGTCGTCCTTGAGCAACGCGGCTTATGCGGTCTTTTACATCCTGGGTGAGTCCCAGCCGCCCACCCACGCGGGTCAACATGAACTGACCACTTCCGCACGCATTTAATAGTTATCGCGGTGATGCTGTTCGTCATAGGTTGTGTCGTGGCTTTGACAGCAGTGATACTGGGCTACTTTTGGCAAGAGTACCTCAAGCCGCATCTTCCCCTCTGGCCGCTCAAGCAGTGTTTCTACCGGTGTGGCGCAAGATTGGTGAAGGCCGCAGAAGATCGAGACATCGAGAGTGCGCCTCTGTGTGATGATGATGAGTTATCGGCCTCCACCTGCATGGCGCGCCCGTCATACAGTCATCTGGCTCCTGGGAAGCCCTTCATAGTGGCGTCCAGGACAACGCAGATTAACTCGCAAAGGCATTGATCCCCAAACGTTAGTCGACAGTAACAGCTAGTTGTTTTGTGAGCTTGCTTCCTAGCTTCGTGCCACAATATCTGCTTATGTCAATGAAGCTCGCCAGCCTTCCATGGATGCTACATAGGTTATTCTTGACTCTCCGACATTTACTTCCATCTTTTGTAGTGATTCCTCTGGCTTCTGATCGCCATTGTGCAGATGAAATCTGCCAAGGTGTTCCAGTATAACGTTGGCACGTATACATTAACCTAAATCCACAGGACCTAAGACAAGCGCAATCATAGCAGCGAGGCAACATTGGCTATGTATACAACAATATAGAGCACACACCGGTGAATGTCCGAAACCATCTCCATTTATCTGATCATCGCTAATCGTCATCGTCATACGAACCATCGTATGGAGGTGGCACGTCATGATCCAATCCACGCTCATCATATACGACTTGTCCGTCTAACGTCTGACCAACACTGCCCATCCTGGACGTTCGCCTTGTGCTCTGGCCTGAGTCGGGCTGGGACGACGGGGACGTCCTCTGCACTGACGCGATGGCCTCGCGAGCCTCACGTTCCCGTTGTTGCCGAAGAGCTTGAGACTTACGGTCGTCAAGAAATTGTCTCTTAAGCTGTAAGCGAATCACTATGAGTGGGGCACTGCACCCGAAGCCAATGCGGGTACGCCACTGAAACAGGAGGCGTACCTTCTCCTTCGCCGCCGCTTCAGCCCCCTTCACCTCTCGCTTCGCTCGCTCTTCGCGCTCCTTCTTATCTATCTCACGTTCTAATGTCTCGTTGATGATAGCAAGAGCGATCTTCACATCGCTCATGTGCTGCTTATGGAAAACATAGAATGGCTGAAAGTTCTCAACCTGGAGAAAGCAGCTCAATAGTGTACCCAAGCCATTATTGGACGCATAGGGCTACGTACCTCTGGTCGGAATCCCATCTCCAGTTCCCCAGAATCAGCGTCTCACTGGATTGATATTACGCGTCGAGCTCACCTCAACAGCGTATTCTAGCGTACCCTTAGGCTGAACCAGTAGTCTCTTAATCTTTGCGTTTGTCGGCTTGAACCGCTGATACTTCGCCTCGCCAGGATGCTCCAATATGTTCTCTGCAAGTGTCTTCAAGATCTACACCAGTGCCACAAAGCATGCTGTAAGTCAGCAACGCACTGCATGGACCACAATGAGCGCCGACCGACTTGCAGCGACTCGAGCGCGAGCTCGCGCGCGTTCGGGCGCAGGATGCCTGGGTCGATTAATCGCCGGAACTCTTGTCGCCGCTCATGGTCAGCATCAAAGGCCGCTCCATGCCCCGAAACGGAGGCGGCGGCTTCTGCTGCCAGTCGCTCTTGCTGAAGACGCCTCTCGACCGCGGCGGCGATATCGGCATGTGTAGGCTGCATGAATGTTGTCGGTTCAGTCTCCATTCTCCCGAACACTCAGAACGTGCGTTGCGTGCGTAAAAATGATAGATTTTGTGACCGTGATAGAGTCGGAACCGAGGAGATAGTCAACGGGGAGGACAAGGTGAAAGACGCTGTCCCGCGCCACAGGGCACACGCACTAGGATGTTATTTCCAGTGGAAAACGAAAAGCGTTAAGTCTTATCTTATTTGTTGCCAGATCAAATAACACTTATATAATAACATTTTACAGTTAAAGAGCGTCACAAAAAAACACATATGATATGAAGGCAATATATGTATGTATAACTCTATGCATTCTCAAAAGTCATTGCTCACTTCAAACAATTTCTCGTCGCGCAAGGGGTGGAGGACAAAACGAAGATCCATTCAACAATTTTAGGATAGATGTCGATAGGAATGTGGTACACTAGACGCGGGTATACAAGGTCAAGCGAGCGACAAGATATAGGAGTCATACAGTAACAACTGGCGGCGGAAACATGCATTGGTAGAAGTTCAACAAGTCCAAGGTCCACGCAGAGACCACAGTCCACATAGCCACATAGGATAGATCACGTCATGATCGACCCAAGCATACAAAAGCTTCCAAAGCGCAGAACAGACGATTTGCGGCGGTCCGTTCGAAGCCGAGCATCTTGACGAAGAGGTCGCGAGGTCGGAGTCGTCGGTCGCTGTCAGGAGGAGTCTGTTGGCGGCGAGCTGGTAAACTCGCCGTGATCCGGCGGAAAGCGAGGCAGGCGCACACACGAGAGTGCAGCCGTGCGGATTGCCTTCGGGGGATCAGTGTCGAGGCTGAAGAGGTGCAGTGTGAGTGTGGTGTGCGGAATGCGATGCTCGTAGCGGAATGTCTTGAGTAGCTGGTAGCTCTAAGGCATCCAAGGATCAGCGATTCGCAACTTGCAAGTTCCGCCATCAATTAAAGAACGTACCAGTCTCTAGAATACTGGCTCCATGTGCCTTTCGCCGATAGGCTGTAGATAGCGATGTTTTTCGTGTAAGTTCACTGGGGCTCGCGCGGAGTATAGACCTAATGGAATACATGTGTCAGAGAACTGATGTCACCACCCTGCAGGAGCGCTGACCATATAAGGCTGGATTTGTGGATTCGTATAGGTTGTTGATCGCACCGGGCGACCTGCAAAGAAGACACACTTGAGTATCTACCGAACACCGTATCGTGACGGATAGCGCACCTCGACTGAGCAGAAGAAACCGTTGGGTAGACTGTTTTCCCGTCGACGGGAGGCACACTGATAGGCTGTTCTTGACGATAGCTCGTCGTTCGGGGTGAGGACAAGACAGGCACTGGGTTGTGGCACCGAAGAGAGGGTAGATTGTCGGCTGCGCCAGGCGATGCCTGTAAAGGGAAAACAAGTCAGTCTCTCACGTTGCAGAACATGCGTCAGAAATGCATACCGTGCAAGAATAGTATGTTGTTCTTCATAATGAGAGGGTAGTGATAAGAATGCGAGAAACGATAGAATTGGCACGTAAGGCGTGCCCATTCCGAGATGATGCCGGCAACGACAGGACAGGTACGTTAAGGATAGGGCAGACGCGTAATGTGCGCCAAGCCATCAAATCACCAGTGAGAACAGGACGGGAAAGTGTGTTCCCAGAGAGGAAGCCGGTAAGGACAGGACAGGTACTTGTGGCGTACCCAAACCGAGACTTACGTGAGGAAATGAGTCAGCCAGCACAGAGTGTACCATGTAGATGATGCTCACCAGCCAAAGGGGGCATACATATGAGACATCGGCGACCAGAGACGGAACAAGAAGACTCGTAGCGACAGGACAGGTACATAGGTCGTACCCAGACCGAGAAGAGACTGAGGGAATCAGAGGTGATATGTGGTGAGGATATGAAACGGAGACCAGAATCAAGACGAAAGAAGAAACTTTTGTTGAACTTTTGTTTGTGACTTTATTTTCTTTTTATTGGATTTTTGAAAAACTTTTATGAGGATAGGAAAGATATGTTGCATGGATCCGAGACACTGAACCAAGAAAAGACAGGTAAGAGGGAATAGAGACGAGGCTAATGAGTTGAAGACAGGGCTGCCGAGATTGTCATATGCCGCATAGAGTCGACACAGAGACCAAGAGTACCGCAGATAGAGACGAGATATTGATGAAGAGAGACGCGGATAGACATAAGAGTATTCCACAGATAGGTCGACCAATAGGATGCAGAAAGAAACCGAGTACGTCGCCAGCAGAATACTCACTGCCATCGAGGTGAGACCCAGCGGACGGAATAGTGGGGAAAAATGTGCGGAATAAAGACAGAACGGATGAGTTCGTCTTGGAGCCTCCAAACTGCAAGCACATGCAAAGGTCAGATCCTACCAGCAGTAGAGCATGCGAGAACTCACAATAGTCGATGTCGATCCAGAGGAGGCGCCGGTCCGAGTCTGACGTGATTTTGCAGCTGGGTGGCCAGTCCAACCACGCAATCACATCAAACCATCCGGGCTGTGTCGGTAATCGGGGTGGCCTGCCTTCTTGAATGCTCTTGCAGTCGCACCCAGGACGGCGAGAACTTCGCGAAGACACCGATTACTTAGAGACCCGCAGAACTTGAGAGGAGGATCTACTGTTGACGAAGAAAGAAAAGCAGAACGTAGCGAGAGCCCAGCACTACAAGTATCCTTGCTCTTGATGGTCGCCTAGAACAAAAGGCTCCATCGTCGATGCCCGATCTGACGATGGATAGTCTTCGTGGCGCCGAACATTAGGAATACTGAAAAGAAGCAATTCCAAGAACCAGGATCGCTTGCTGGACGGTTGTGTCAATGTGACAGAAATCTACGACCACTGCGTCAGAATAACTTTAATGTGATGCAAATGATTGAGACTTACTGAATACGGCATAATGGAAACCCGAAGACCACGTAAAAACAGGAGGAGTAGGTTGTACCAATGACGCATGGCGGGCATGTGGTGAGACGAAGACTACAGAGAGGCGGAGAATAGTTGCGTAGTTTGCAGCTCGAGATTTGACAACGAGCGCAGTTGACAGCTGCAGCGTGAACTCTGATGCTGTCGGACGCAACATGTTGATGACGTTCAGGATGGAGCGCCGTGAGGTTGCCTTTGGTAGTCTTGAGCTCGAAGTACCTGTAAAGGCGCATAGGTTGGGTGACGGTGAACAGCATAGAACAGAAAACTACGCACGGTGGATAGCTTGAAAAGCAAACCTATACACCGTTCTAAAACGAGAGACGCGAGGTGGGAAGCACGTCGGTAGCATCCACACTATATAGGAATAAACGGACGTGTCCGAGCGATGGGTCCGACTATCTTTTGCTTGAAGCTTTGAGCGACTTGCCGCGTATGGCATCTATCGCCGTTCTTGACAATCGACAACACGAAGTGAGGATCTTCGAGTTTTGACAAGAGATCGCGCGCGCGCGCAGGAGAGCCAGACCAAAGGCGATGAAGAGGGGCGACCAATAAACTAGAGAGATTATGTGGAATGCTCATGCACAAGAGAGGAGGCCATCCAAGAGGAGAGAACGCAAGATCCTAGAGACAAATCGAGGGAGATATAAGATGACCGAGAATTAAAAAGGGTCCAAGGAACAAATCGAGAAGAGAACAAATCGAGCCAAGAGAGACGGAAGTCGAGAATACGGAAGGAAGTCAAGAGCCCAGTACAAATCCAGAGAACCCGAATGGAGTAGGATGTCGAACATTCGCCGATAAAATGTGCAGAAGAACCATAGACGTAGACAGACCGAGTATAAGACAAATCGATAAGCCCAGAGAAGAACCACGGAAGACAGAACCAGAAACCAAGAAGACGGAGAGTCGAGCTGAAGATCGCGCAGAAGTAATGTCGGTGGGATCCCGCGAGACATGCAGCAGAGGATAGACGCATATATGAAGCCAAAGTATACCAGAGAATATAAGACGCCTCTTGCGGTTTAGACCCGAGAGGTTCTTGAAAAGCTTGAGGAAATCGAAAGACTTGATGTCATACTTGAAACGTGCCTCTTGAGGGCAACTTGAGAGACTCCGGCGACATCTGATGCACCCTGGGTCGAGCTTTCTTTAGCAGACGGGTGTACTTGTCACCGCTCGCGGCGCCGGAATACAACCTAATCTGCACTCGCCCACGCGATGTGTCGGGATCCCAAGGCCTCAAGCCAGGAGCGCCTAGTCGACCTTCGCAAAGCTCAGTCGGTGCTTGGTAGACTTCCGCGAAGTCGGTTTCCGCCACTTCATCCATATTGAGGACTTGAGGAAAAAAGGGATAACTGGACGCCGGGCGAAAAGGCCAAGGTACGATTTCGAAGGAGTATAAACAGGAAGGGGAAGGATGAGACGATAGGTCGGCGGGGTCAGGATGGTGAAACTATTAAAGCTTCCCCATGGGGAGATCTGGGAACAGGGAAGGTCATAGGGCTTCGCAACCGTATCGGAACCGGTGGAAGTCTGAGAGGCAACGAGCGTCGTCTCGTCTTCCTCGTCATCTGAAATCGTGAGTTTTGCCATGAGCTCGGTGAGGCGGTCAATCTCGTCCGTAAGGGAGATTGAGTCGAGCTTGTCGCAGAGCGCATCCATATCGGCACCGGCTGGCATCGACATGTCCTTGGATGCATACTCGTGAAGCGAAAGTGCCTCGAGCTCGTCTGCTAGATCGACTACGAGCTGGGTGCCGGAAGGGGTACGCCGGCGCCGCAGCTCCTCACTGGGCTCTTGATCGTCATTAACGATGTTCCTGGGCTCGAGCGGTTTCGTATCGACGTCCATCTTGTCATTTTCTCCGCGACCTTCCAGTATTGGAAGGTCTACCTGCATGGGCACAACCACGCGAGTCGCTGGGAAGAGGGGGAACGATGGGCGATTCAAGAAGATACGTGGAAGCTTCCTCTGGGCAACACGAAGCGTTAGATAAATTCTCTACCTGTGATGAACAGAAAGAACAAGCCGTACCTTTGGTCTTGACAGATCCTTCATCACAACATCAGGATCGTCGACTTCCATGGGCGTCTCTTCATGTACGGGTATCGCCTTAGCCACGGGGATGAACTGGGATGGCTTAAGGGCGTGGTACACCGGAGCTGGAACGCTGTTGAGGAAGTTGACCGGCTGAGGTCTCATGACGGGTTGCATGGATGTCTTGACCATCTGGGATATGTGGAAGGTGTTGTGCACTGGAGGCGGACCGCGTTGGGGGACGTTAACCGGCATGAGTGGCACCATGTTCTGCACCGAAGACTTCACCACATTAGATACGTGGAAGACGTTGTGCACAGAATTCGGAACGTTCTGGGGGACGTTGAACGGCGTGGACAGCGCCACAGGCGCCACGGGCTGCACTGGCGCCTTGACATCCTATGGAACGTTAGCGCCATGATGTCCCTGAGAATCGATACTGTGGAAGGCAATCACCTGCTGCGAGGAAACGGTGGGCCATACTTGTTGCTTGTTGCACAAGATGGAGCGGAGGCTCTTGCCGAGACGACCCATAGTGGCAAAGTAAAAGAGTACGCAAGGGAGGAGAATAAGTAGATAATAAATACGGACGGGCTGGCGGCTTGTCGGGTAATGAGGATGGGCTGGGGGATGCACACTCATCTCGTCCGTTATATAGGTTGGGCAGCGCGACGCGCAAACAACGCGATCGGTATGCAAACTTTGTTATGTTTGCGACATTAAACAATCGGTCGATCGCGAGCCGTATTAGAGACTGAGACCTGGCATTGAACGATATGCTGGATACACTGGCAGCTAACAGTGTGCTGTACGCTCACAGAAATGGCCCATTCATCTTTCCCTCGGATTAAAACTTGTGCATATACACCTAAGACTGCCTTGATACGATGTGACGTCGGTGTTCCTGAAATACCAAAAAAACAACATTGTTATGAGGGTCATATTGGCGGAAGGTAGCCTGGCGAGGAGGCAAAATGTCCTGGCAAAAAGAGTAGAGGAAACATTGGTCGCCCTGAATTAATTCGCTTCCGAGAAAGGCAGGTGCAGTGTTCGGTAGCCGAGACGCCCACAAGCGCCATCGTGTACCGCCTCGGTGTGTGCGCAGTCGCTGGACTCCAGCGAAGCGCCGACGGCCACACTGCGGGCATCATCCCGCTCGTCCTCCTCGCCGTTCTCGTCCTCCTACCCCAGCGAGACCACACGACATGTTCTGCTGATGAAGAACACAGACCGATCCTCTTCCCGCCTGTCCATTCCCACCTCACCCATCAGTTACCGCTCATGCTCCCCCACCCCCTCTCGCGCCCCGACCGTCTCCTTCTCCCCGACTAACACGCCTTCGCTTTCGCCATTTGTCTCGCGCACACTTTCTCATCTTAGCGCGCAGAAATCAGCTCACTCGCAGCCTCCGTCAGGGCAGGCTACCCCGTTCGAGGCTCCGTCGCTACCTGCTAGCGGTGGCGCGCAGTCCAATACCGCTCATAGGCTGCTCATGCCGACCGTGCGTTCTACACGACCTCCAGTCTCACCCCGATTATCTCAGAATAAGTCCTCGCCGTCGAAGATTCCGAAATCTCGGGGAGGGTCCGTATCCACTGTTGCTGCCTTCGCGGATCAGAGCGACCGCGCTTCGGCCATAGGCAACACTGATTGGATCGGAGATGGCTGCAAGTTTGAGCTCGTTGAGGAGCAGCTTGAGCTTGAGGGCTACCAGATCTTTGCTGTGGAGAAGTGGTGAGCGGTGCTTTGTCATCTTCGTCATACAACGCCTGAAGCATATTTACGTGTAGGGTCGTAGAACGGCGACGTCCTGTGATAGTGTTGACTGTCTTCACGGGCGATCCGAAAGATAAAGTATGGTGCATACACACAGCCTGATGTAATGCCCCTAACGTTGCATCCTAGATCATTGTTACAGCTCTCAGCCCGCAATCCACGTTGAGTCCACCAGAGGCACAGGCTGAATGGGACAAGGCAATACGCCATCTTAGAAGAGAAGGAGCACGTCCGAAGGATGTGAGCGACGCCACAATGTTGATCTCAGGCTGTCATTCTGACGCCACCTCTAGACGGGCAAGGGCATCCTTATGGTCACTTCCCTCGCCAACTTCCGCTCCGACTATACGATTGTACATATACCCCAGGGAAACTTTCTTGATGTCCGTGAGCAACTATACACCAATATTAATCTCCTCCGCATGGGATGCGGTGGGCGCAGCGCGCTCACTCTCGAGGAACCGAGGTCTGTGCTCCGTATACTATTGCTGCCTCGTTTCTTATATTCATTGTGACTCCATTCAGTGATACAACGAAGGATCGGTTCATTCTGATGTATCATATACCTGAGAAGACATATGCTCGCTCTGGCGCGTTGTTCAACGCCACCGTCCTGGAGTTAGTCAAGCTGATCCAAGCTGCGCTTGCGATCTTCGACATGTTCGACATCTCCCCAGAGGAGCGGAACGGGCTGTTATGCGATGTGACATGCGAAGGCATTCGGCGTTGGGTGACTGAGATCGGCGAACCGGTCATGGAAGTTGAAGTGCGTTATCAGTTAATTAACCAGTCATTCTGCAGCTCACCCTCGTTGATATCTCATAGCATATGGAGAGAGTGGTGGACCCGACCGTTGTGTCGGCTCTCTTCAGCCTGATTCTCAGTGTTCGGAACAAGCTGCATGCGCTTGGACATGTACGTCGTTGCCACCGAATGTTATTCCTCGGCTTACGTTTTGCGCATTTCTTCCGCAGTACGTTCCGAAAGATCCATTCCTGGACCCGCAAGGCTTCACAAGAGCTCTTGCAACTTGTCAGACATCCAAGCTCCACGCTCACGCTCACAACCTCGTCCATCCGCACTCACCCAGGGCTTCCTCTCCCCCACGGGCCAACAACACCAGCCCCAAGATTCCTTCAGCAGCTCCGTCGGCCGCCAACTCTCCCGCGCCACCTGCCATCTATATGACTTTGCAACTAGTCGAGTCAATCCAGTCCGCATATATAAAGAAGTCCCGCCAGAGCGAATCGTACAAGGTTCACCGTGTACTCATCAACAAGCTCGATGATCTCGCGTCCGACCTTCGCACGAGCGCCAACGCCGTAGTCAGTCCCGACGGCGGCGGAGGCATGTCTGTTAGCGCGTTGAACCCTACAACGGACTTGAATGCGCTCGTGCACGTCATCGTGGGAAGTCTGAGGGAAGCGCCGCATAGCTTGCGCTACTTGTGGACTGGGCGGCCGGACGAGGTGGGACGAAAGAGGAAGGAGAAGGAGGCAGTGTACAGTGATGTGGAGAAGGATGAGCGGGAGAGGGAATGTGAGAAAGACGGTGGGAGAGAGCGCAGCAGGGAGAGGGAGAAGGATATGAGGTCGTCCGGAGAAGAAAGCGAGCCTACGAAACCCTGGCCGGGTAGAGTGCAGCGCAAGATCGAGAGCTGGGCTGCGTAAGTGGCTTCCTCCTCCAGCAGATGAAACGCTCACTCCGTTACCTTGCACAGTCTAGGCAGGACGAAGAAGCTAAGCGTCGACTTCGGCGTGCTCGGGAAGGCGCTGCTGGAATCTCCCAATCGCGGAGGTCAAACCGAGCAGTGGGGTCAATCTCCTGCCATACCTTCGGTTCGCGTTACAGGGTTAGCTTCCCCTGATTGAAATGCCATATATTGCCTTCTATAACGTGTTGCACAGAGACCCGGATGACGAGGACCCCCTGAGCAGCGGACAGCCTTCTCCCACCTGTAAGTACACACCACTCTGCCGGTCCTTACATTAGCGCTGACGCCCATTACGTCTAGTGGGAACGACAACACCGTTCATGGCCGGCATGGGCTCCGTCAAGTCCGCTCAGCGCTCTGCGAGCGAGCTTTCAGAATATGACCGGCGGGTGACTGAGTTCAACCGGAAGCGCCCTGCGACAAAGGCGTACTACCAGTCGCGTATCACCAGCTGGGCAGATCCCTTCAGCGCACAAGACGAAGTAGATGAAGACCATAGGGGCAGACTCCGCGTCCCCTTCAGCAGCCTCCGGTACGCCGAGTCTTTGGGAGAGGAAGACGAGACTTCGGGACTGGTCAGCGATACGGAGATGGAGGGCACTGATCGACGGCGCAGGCCCCCGTGTGGGCCCCGACGATGTCGCAGCTTTGACGCAGCGACGGAGCTGCAGGACATGCGCGTGCAGCCGATCGAGCGGATGCGCATCGACGTGGAGCTCTGCGGCCAGCTGCTCATCATGCATCGGCGGGACGAGCACCTCGCCAACGTCGCCTCCTGCCTCGCCGCGCTCGCGGAGCAGCTCTCGCGGACGAATTCGCGGCTGCGGACGGACCATGAGTCGGCGCGGGGTGCTCTGGAGGGGCTGCGCGAGCGGGAGACGGTGCTGCACGACCTCGAGGCGGCGCGCACGCGTGCGGACGCGCTCACGCAGGAGACGCAGGCGCTCGCGTACGAGTCGGCGCAGTTTCTCGTGGACGACCTTTGGCACATGGCCGCGCAGCCGCGCCGGCGCGTGCTTGCGCTCCGCGAGAAGGCGTTCGGGACGGGTCGCCGTCAGCGTGCCGCGCATGGGCGATTTAACCGCGTGCAGTGGACGCTGGATGGGCGCGAGCGGCTCGTGGATGCTCTGGGCAGGACAGAGAGCGAGGCGGAGGCGGAGGATGGACTGCCTGGAGAGGAGAGCTTGGAGCACGAGGAGCAGGAGGAAGAGGCCGACGTCGTGGAGCACCAGTCCCTCAGGCCGACGTGGCTGTTGAAGTTCTTCAATTATTGGGGCAGGAAGTGGGGGCCTTCAAGGAACGGAGACAAAGCAGCTGAGAGGGAGACAACGCATCTCAAAGAGAGCGAAAACGAGAGGGAGCTGTCGCCCGAGCTTGGGAGGACAACCTCTGTTCCTCCACCCACAACTCCACCTCATTTGCGGACGCGCTATCATGCCCAGCATACAGCAACATTGTAGCACTATCGAGTATCTCATTTCCTAATCACCATACACGGCCATATATGCGTAGCAACTTGTATACTAGATGCATCTATCTTAACCCTGGACGTCCGACTAATATTTCAGCTGCGATATACAACGCGCAGGGTTTTTTGGTTGCTGAAATGGGTATAGACGTGCGCGCAACGGGGCTACCGCATCTTGATTCTACCCTGTGTCTTGCGCAACGCCCGCTTCTTTTCGCGATCCAGCGCCTTCACAAGAGCATGCCATCGTCAACTCAAACAACGCGTAACCGATGGACCGTGACACACCTTTGTCTGCTCCGCCGCGCTCAATCGCGACAACTTCTCCTCCGCAGCCTTCTTCCTCGCCGCAGCCTTCTCCTCTGCCTTCTCCTCCTTCTTTTCCTTTACCGCGTCCTCCCTGATGTCCTTGTCTAGCTCCTCTCTTACCTTCTTCAGCTTCACCCGTGTCTCAGGGCGCAGCTGCGCGCTCAGCCCGCCGCGCAGCGTGTTGGCGCCCCTGCCTGTTCCCGCAATTGCGTCTACAAGCTGGAACGCGGCGGTGACTAGGGGGAGTGTGGCGCCGGCATTGGTGGATTGGGGGAGTGCGAGCGAGAGGATGAGGTGCTTCGTGCGCTGTGAGGGCGGGAGGGGCACCGATGGCCGTGTACGCGGCTGGTCGGTGAGCGAGAGCGAGCGGAAGTAGGGGAGAATGGCTGGGTTGGAGAAGACACCAGGAAGGTTGAAGGTACCGATGGGCTTGAGCAGGTTTGAGGTGATGTCCGCAAGTTCTGCGATGTATATGAGCATGAGTCTATGGCAGATGTATGATTGCCCCAGGAGGCGCACCAGACATGACCGTGAGCGAAGATGGGAGACTGGGCTGGTCCGTCGTCTTGGTGATCGTCTGCAGGTATCTCCTGTCAACTCAGTCCCCTTCTGAAAGTTAGCACTTACTCACCAAGTCCCACCGCTTCGCCCTGATACTCTTCATATCGTCCTTCGCTACGATTGCCCATACGCACTCGGGCACAGCGCCGTCTGCGTCGCGGAACGTAAAGTCGAGCTCGACTGCGTCATATACCTGATAGTCCAGCTCGACGAGGCCTTTGCCGATCTGGTAGGCGTACTGCAGGAGGTCGTGCCGCGGGCGCATGGTGAAGGTTGTGTGCAGAGACACGATCGCGCGCCGGCCGGTGGAGTAGTTAAACCAATCGGAGTTGCCGTCTGCGTAAAGGGATGAGTGAGCAAGAGGTGTCTCGTTCTAGTTGGGGGAATGACGGACCGCGAATGAGACCCTGCTGCGTGGGCTTGGAGAATTGGGCCTCGAGGAGAGGCAAGTGCGCCTCGTACCTGCATCGACGTGGCCTCCGTAAGGATCGTGTCACGCGAGTATATCAGAGGAGGGGACGGACCACTTGTTCACTCTCGTCTCGTTTGCCTTCTTTCCCCAGAAGTAGAACGCTACAAACACGAGCACCACTGCAACAAAGAACGGCTCCTGCTGAAAGTCTGCAGAGTCATCCCGTCGTCATCGTCGAGTGGATGCGCATCAGGAGTGGAACTCTAGCACTCACAGGCGGGCCGAAAGGTGAGGAACTTCCACCTGTACTCGACGCCATCATAGTGAGACGCGAGGTCGACCGGCGGCGGGATGAGGAACCTGGGGAAGAAGGACATGAGTTCTCGTCAGGCGTACGGATGGATGCGCACCACGACGCCGTGCGCGCGCTACGCGTCTTCGCCGCGATCATTGACACACGTGACCCCGCGTATGGCGGGACTGCCTGGAAAGGCAAGCGCTCTACCGGTGACATTGCCGCCAATTGAGCAGCCAGCTTGCTTCTCCGGCAGCAAGGCACCGAGCGAGTCTGAAATCTCTGAGCGCTGTCAGTCTGCCGCTGTCTCTCATCCAACATGCGCACTCACATCTACTTTTCGGTGCTCGAAGCAGACAGCCACAGTGACCGTGCTGGATACGGAGAGCACTGGGCATCAGCCATGGCCGAGCGCACGCAGGTACGCCCGAACAAGCCTTATGTGGATATCGATCGCGCACTCATCTGTCGGCTGCACTATTCCATTTCACTATGTCTTGGAATCTGCAGGACCTGACATCGGGCTCCTCAAGTGGCAGTTCGTCACTGAACTCGCCCCCCTCCGACTACGCTGCATTCGTGCTGCACACGCTCTCGCGCACCGCACGTGGATCCAGTGCAATTGACCAGCGCGTGCTTCGCCGCTGTCTCGGGCTGTCATCCTCATATTTGGTCACGGACACGACGATGAACCCCGAGCGAGGGCTCCTGAGCTGGCGGAGCGGGTTCAGCCAGCTGATCGACGTGCTCGTTGCGCTGCACGCGCGCGGAGAGCTCGAGCTTGAGACGGTGAACGAGGCGAGCAAGGCGTGCTCCGAGTGCTGGACCGTTGCCGGTGCGTGGCGGGAGATGGAGGGGGGGCGGGAGAGCGTCAAGGGTGTTGCTGCACGGCTGAAGGGTCTGCTGGATGAGAATGGGAAGACGTACGGAGGAGGGCGGGTGTATGTGCCGTGATTCTTCCTGCTGCGCTGTATTTATATTGCGTCGCGGACTGTACGAGTAGTTGGAGTGCCTCCCCCTGCATGGTGCAGCGCCGCCGTGACGCGCGCCGGCTAGCGTGGCGTGACGTCACGCGCCCTCGAGACTCCGGCCGACAGCACGGACTGGCGATTTCTCCTCTCCCCTCGCCGTCTCCTGCGATGAAGGACACTGCTGGCCCGTCCCACACCAATGGCGCTGCCCATGGTCTCGCTCACTTAACTCTGGATCCTCCCAGTCCGCCAGAGACAGCCTGTGCTACGCCCCTAGCATCTCCTCGCCACCTCCATGCACCCGCATCCGAAGGCAAATCTCCTAGGAGGGATGCCCGCACATACCATGGACGAACACATTCTCCAATCTCGGAAGACCCGATACCTGACCTCGCCACCCTCACTCCTCTGAGGGCCCACTATCTCAAGAAGCAGCTGATTACCCTCCAGTTCCAGCGAGAGCTCGATGCCCTCATCGCTGCTCCGCCGAACAGTATATCCCCCTTTTCCTACCTCGGGCACCCATTCACCCCGCTGCCAAAGGATGCACCAAAGCTTGAGCTGCCCTTTCTACGATACTGTTTCCGTCATTTTGTCCTCTCCTTCCCGTTCCTCGCCGCCGCCCCGCGGGACTTCTTCCCTGAAAAGCTGCAGCCCTTCCTCGCTTCCATGCTGTCTCGCAACATGACTACGACGTCCATACTGGACGAGGATCCTGACGACTCGGAGGAGACCGCCCGCCACAAGCTCGTCGCCAAGTTTGAGCGCAACGCTGCAATGCTCATGACGAGCGGGACCAAGCTCGTCGAGAAGGAGGAGGTCGTCCGTCTTACCCAGCAGGACCTCGACCGGCTCGAGATGATTGCAAAGAGGGTTGCGGCTCGCGAGAAGCGGATGAGGGACATGTTTGAGGTGAATGTCGTCTGTGTGCGGGCCGTCACAGAGAAGGGGCGTGTACGAAGTCGGGTCCACGAGGTATGTGTGACGGAGAAACGTCTTCTGCATCTACTCACTTTGATCAGGAATTTATCGTACGCACACGGCGATCTCACCACCCAGACGTGTACGTCTCCCGCCGGTATGGCGACTTTAAGACACTTGCAGATGAGCTCCGCAAGGCTCATCCGAGCGAGTCTGTCCCATCTCCTCCTGCCAAGGACCGCACGATCGTCAACGTCAGCGCAACGTCGAGCTCGAGCTCGTCAGCCTCAAGCCCCAGCATGCCGGGCATGTACTCTACGGAGCGGAACTCAAGCGCGGACTCGTTCTCCTCACAGGGGACCATGAGTCCGACGTCTCCCACGGCGTATTCCGCGCAGGCCGCGCAGACATTCACCGGCGGTGCATCACGGCTTGCACGGGAGAAGAACCGCCTAACGCTGCGTGCGTATCTGCATACACTGCTTGCAATGCCCGTGTTGGCCTCGTCGCCAGTGCTCAAGTCGTTCTTGCTCGCCAACCCGACGCGTCTGTCGCGGGAGGAGATTGAGGATGCAAGGAAGCGCGAGGATGCGGACAAGGTCCGGGAGGATGGACGAAAGCGGTTCGCGAAAGAGATTGCGGCCCGTGTGGACGGGCTGCGGGAGGCGGCAAGGAGTGTGAAGGGAGAGTTGTTTGCGAAAGGTGCGTGTGGTGCTGTGTCCATCACGACGAGGCTCGTGAGGCCAAAGCGGTGCTGTACGGATGCTGAATGGAGCTACGTTCCTAGATGGCTTGACGAATATATTTGCAACGATCAAGGTTACGGATGATATTCACAAGCTGCCTGCCAACTATCAGGCTGTCATTGAGTGGGCGCGTATCTCGTAAGTCACAGACTATTCTGTTGTGACACAGTATCTCATGTTGTAGTTGTGTCAATTCAGACTAGCGTCCACTGTGTTCCAGCACTTTGTTGCCGCGGATAGTGCTTCGGAGAGCTTTGCTTCTCTCAAACGAGTACACGGTCTCATGCCATACTTCATGCTCAAGACCATACTCAAGATCAGTAACCCGATAGCTATGATCCGCAGTGCGTTTTTAGTATTCTCAGCTGCCATAAGTATAACGAGTTAACGGTGGGATGTATTGGCAGATGTGCTGGACTTGTTCCTCGCGCAACCGTTTGGCGGGAAAAGCCTTCTGCAAAGGTTGGTCTTCATGTCTTCACTCGCCAACAACAGAGGCTTAGCATATTTAGAATGTTCACTGGCTCTCTGCAAGAAGACGTCCGGGCTATTGAAGAGGACATCGAGGGTATCAAGGAGAATATCAACGACCCGATCATATGCGAGAAGGTCCGACAGTTCGTGTATGCGCCTCGCGAGATTCAGGCTGTATACAAGTCTGACGCCGGTACGTCTCGGCCATACTCGCTGCAGTTGCTCGCTATATGCACCATTACGTCCTTCCTGCTGCGTAGCGTCGGAGAACATCCATATACTTGCGGTAGTCTTGCGCTCTGGAGACGAACCACCGCTGTCCCGCGTCCAGCTACAGCGCGTGATGCGAGCACATTTCGCATATAAGGAGTATCTCAAGTATCTCGAGACGCTTGACGACTCGGATGACGACGAGGGTCCGCAAACGGAGGAAGCGTGGCTGTTCGAAGACCTCAGCGTACTTGCGAGGCTGTACTCCCGTCTGCGAGAAAGAGAGCAGCTGATCGGGCTGATATTTGAGGTGAATCGTGAATCGCTACAGCTCATGAAAACGCTGATTACGGTCGTAGGGCACAACGGCAGAGCTGCTGAAGGACATCATCACCATATTCTATGCACCCTTGGCGCAGGTATACCGGGCCGCCAGCATCGCCGACTCCCTCAGCGATCTCCAGAACTTCATAAACGACCTTATTCGGACCGTCGAACTGACAGAGGATCGTACGTCCAGCCATCTCTCTTGGTTACCATTGAAGCATAGTAACCGTCGCACATGCACGCTGGTTGTAGTGAGCCAGCAGGACCCGGCGAAGACGGTGCAGACCTTCATCGACCTCATCAAGCGGCACGAGCCGCAGTTCTACCTGTTCGTGCACAAGGTGCACTCCAAGGGAGAGGGGCTGTTCACGAACCTGATGCGTTGGATCGAGCGCTTTCTCACACTCATGCGGGACGGCCTCGGTGATCGGGTTAGTATGGAGTTTTTGCTGCCGCATATCGGCGGGGAGCGGGAGGAGATCGTCAAAGAGATTGACGCGGTTGCGCTGTACCATTACAAGCTGAAGGTGGCATACGAGGACAAGGTGCGGAGGCGGTTCGGGCGCACACAGGGGATGAACGATGCAGATGCCGAGGACGAGGTCGCGGCGGAGATGGTGAATGGCGTCATGAAGGACCTCAGCTTCGGCGAGCTCGTTCAAGGCGAGGCGGACGACCTTGCAGCTGAAGACACGGACTCGGATGAGGACGAGAGCGATGATAGCTCGTTCGAGTCTGACGAGAGCTACAGCAATGGGGGTGGCGAGTATGGACAGTACCAGCGAGAAGGCCCTTTCAACAGGAAGAGCTCATCATCATCAGCGTCGTCGTCGGTCAAGCGTTCACACACAATCGCACATGTTCCCATCCCGCGATCTCCGTCAAAGTTATTTCGCTCCAAGCAGAAGCAACGGGAAGAGCAGCCACAATTGCCGCTTCGCCACTCACGCTCGTTCTCAACCGTGCACTCCAATGCGTCGAAATTGTCGAAATTGTCAACGCACTCTCAGGAACCGCCCAAGTCGGCCCCCGCAGATCAGCGCTCGATGTCGAGGGGCAGGCCTCACTCGACACCGCAGAAGAAGAAGCAGCCGCCTCCGATCCAGCCGCCGGAGCTGCATCGTCTTCCAGAGCTACTACCCATCTTCGTTGAGATGGTGCGTTATTCTTTAGCTTATTTTATCACCACAGCTGCTCATCCCGTTTGCCTCCCAGGTGAGACCCCTGCTCCGGACACAATGATAACGACATCGTTAAGTCTCCAGATATCACCGTCACAAATCTCTATAGTAGCAACGAGGCTAGTTAGAATATGTGCGCATATCTCTTGTACCAGTGCAACGAACGATTTTGACTTTGAGCTTGATGTATCGACTAATCATAAAGCATTGTACGGACCGTCCGTTACCATGCCAATTACCAGACGTTTCATGTAGGATCGTCAAGTTTCGGACTCGGAACGAGAAAGTGCAGAGCTATATACTACAAAGTTGATGTAATTCCAGGATACGACAGAATATTGATGAGAGAGTAGGGATTGAAAATCCAGATAGCAAACTAGAATGCTTGAGAGGAGATGGTGAACCGCTTGAAGGTATAGCTTGTTGGGTCATGCGTGTCAGCACTTGCGTGATAGACACAAATAAATTCCACATACCCCAAAAATGCGAGGTCCTTGCTGGCACCAGTGGTATCCGCGCCGACGGGCTCGTCCGGGACCTGCTCGAGCTCGTCCGTCGGGAAGTACGACGTATCCGTGATCGAGCGCAACCGCGGGATGAAAGGCGCCTCGATGTTCCGAATGCCGGTCCAGTTCACGCCGTAGAAGAACGGGTGGTGTTTGATCTGATCCACGTTTAACCTTCGGTCAGGCGACGTGATGAGTCTGCATGGAGACAGGTGTCAGGGACCGTTGTGTTGTTCAGGCACCGTTGAGCTCAGGGTACGCCAGCATACACTCACCGTCGAATCAGATCCTCGGCTTCGCGGCTGAGGTGTACGTCGTCCGGGAACGTTAGGTAGCTCTGCCACCGTACGATCTTGTAGTACGTGTCTTGCGTGAGCTCCGAGCAGAAGGGAGGGTATCCGACAAGACACTCGAACATGATCGCGCCAAGAGACCACCAGTCGCATTCATTGCCGTATCCCTTCTGCAGGAAGATTTCCGGTGCGATGTAATCTGGTGTACCAACGGTGGAGTAGGCCTAGATTGGCGCAGCGTGAGTTCGTGGCGAACAACAGCACTCGAGCGCAAAACATACCAGCTTTCTCCGGTTGGCTTTCCATGTTGCAATCTGGTCCTTGCTAGACATTGTAAGATGGATTGCGTTGACCATGACACTGTTCCTTGATGCCGTAGTCGGAGATGCAACACCATTGGCAGCTTCCATCAAACGTTGGTAGTAGCTAGAGTCGTGTTGCTTGTGGAATCCTGTCGACAACCCGAAGTCAGACAGTTTGATATGACCGTCTTTGTCGATCAGGATATTATCTGGCTTGATATCACTATAGCCAACCTGAGCAAGAGCTAACTGGCGGTGACGCGCATTATTCTTACCGATGAATGAAGCCCAGCTGATGAACAGCTTCAATCGCCAGCACACATTCCGCGATGTAGAAACGCGTGACATCCTCGGAGAAGGTATCATACTTGATGAGCATCGTCATGAGATCGCCACCGGGGAGGAACTCCATGATCAAGTAGAGGTACGAGGAGTCCTGGAAGGAGTAGTATAGCTGCACGACCCAAGGGGAGTTCGACTCGGCGAGCACATCGCGTTCGGCACGTACATGCGCCAGCTGTGGCATGAATGAGCATTTATGTGGCACGATCACATCCAGCTGTAAGCGCACCTGATCCTTCTTCAACATCTCGTCCTTCCGCAGTGTCTTCATGGCGTAGATCTTCCCAGTGTCGCTCTTCTGTACCACTCTGACCTGTAATGGTCCGTCGGATCGTATACATATCATGACAAGCAGGCTGTTGAATCATACCTCTCCAAAGGCACCCTTCCCGATCACCTTCACTGTCCTGAAGTCGTCCAGCCCGAGCTTCGTCCTGCGAAGCCTCAGATATGCCGACTCTCGCTTGCCGAGCTGCTGCAGCTGTCGTTGCTTCCGCTCGTCGGACATCGTGGTGTCTGCAGCCAGCTTCCGCTCCAGCTCAACGCGCCTGGTGGGCATAAATACTCAGCATCGTCCAGCATGCTCACAAATCGCTAAGCACCTGTTGTTCCGTTCAATAGCGGCATCTACCGCAACCTTATAGAAATGCTCGAGCTTGAGCTGTGCCGCCTTGGCACGCGGCACCGCGTCCTCCGAGAAGCCCGCAGTAGTACGGTCGAAGTAGACATAGTCGGCCGGTTTCTCCTTGGTGCTCGATGATGCGCTGGACGACGACTGCGAGGCGGACATGGGCGAGCGTGGCTGGGGTGCGTTTGCAGCGGTTGCCATCGAGTGGATGTGCAAGCGGACCTCTGTAACGTAGCACTTAAGGTTATAGCCTTTGCCACGTGACTGATCGACTCTGCTGTGGTGGCGCACAACTGCCGTAAAAGGGCATAATAGGATCGCTCCAGCCTCAGATGCTTCCGCAGATTCTCCTCAGCAAATTCATGAAGTAGTGCCCAGAAAATTCTGGCAAATACATCAAATGTCGCACAACATAGTAAGCGTCCCAAGCATTTTTCACCACAGTTCGATACCTTCGAGGTTTGTGCCCTGGCAAGGATTGTTAGCATTAGTATGGATTGAGATACCGCCTTGCTCACCAGCTTTGGAAGACGGAGATACACATCTGTGCCTGTCTCACCGGGTCGTCAGACAAAACCACTGGGCAGCATTGCCTGTAAGCATACCGTAGCCGTCCAAGCTGACGAGTTCCAACGAACCGCCAAAATAGCTGAAGAAGTCGGTGAGGATCTCCGCGATGTAGGAAGAATGAACTGTTTCGTACGTTGCGAAAATATTGCTCATCGGGAGCCCGATCCCAATTCTAGGATGCGGGTTGACACCTGCGTTTTGTTGCGGATCCTCACAGTCTGATTTACTCTGCCAACTGCTCACTTGTTCGTCGACAGTAGCAGTCATCCCTCGCCCACTGGAGCTGATTCTGCGGAGCGCGCCCAGGCGGGACACGTCTAGACGAACCGGATTGCGAATATGTGAGAAGGAGAATTGATCAGACGGTGACCTGATCTCCGGTGTAAGGAGGCCTCCGCCTACGAGCAGTTAACTGAACGTCCAGCCCAACTAAGTTGGGGGATGGCACACCTTGATCGGATATGCGAAGGGCCACATCGTTCTCCCCAGCAACAATTGTGATTTGTATCGGGGGAAGCTGGCGAAAGGTCGGATGTCGCAGACGAGTCGCTCGGAAAGACTGCACCATATCTTAGTTAGACAGGAAAGATGTGAGGCAGGAGCCCTACATTCTTCAATAGTTCGAAGACAATGTACCTATAGGTCGGGTATGAGATGAATCTCGTCCGAATATCCTTGCCCTGAGACATAACTCACTCAAGATGCGCCTGAATATACGAGAATTTTGTATCCAAGTGACCATCAATGACGACGTCGGACCATGGAGCGTCAGCCGCGGCGCCCTCAATGGCATCTCCGTCCGCGTCATACGGTCTCTTCCGCAAGAATCTGGCACACTTCTCGATGCTCTCTTTCACCCGCAATCCCAGATGAATGATTCCGACACGATCGTCAGAAACGGTCTCGCCATTCCGTTTCGCCGTGAGGTATCTTGACAAGGCAATATGGTGTTCTGCCAGCACTCGGCGCGATATTCGCGACACGAGCATGCGGCGCATGAATGAGTCTAGGCGTTCTGGCGCGAGGTACGGCGAGGAGAGTGATAGACCAAGCGAGAGGTTCGGGATGACCGACTTGCTAGTCAAATTTTGGACTGTGAGCATCATCATGCACTTGCCAAGTACAAGGGAAAGATGCTCACTGTTCATCGAGAAGACCCCGTAGGAATCTGCAGAACTCATCGTTCTCAGCCAATGTCGTTAAAGGCGGATACCGACGGAATCTGGAGGCAATGGGTTTCAATAGGTAACAAATCGAACAATGGTCTGCACACCTGTCAAATGCAGACCAATACGCCTGATGTATACAGTCAGATCAGCGACTGAGGTCCGGAAGAAAATCGCGAACCTCATACACGTCCGAGACGCTCTCCTGGTTCACTACCACATACGGGAGTGTTTGCATATCCCGCAGCCTGTGCGCAATGCGGACTGGTAATTCCGTCCGCACATAGTTTGCACTCTTGAGAAGTAGGTCAACGCTATGCATATACATTCAGAGGCAGAATGGAGCACACCTTGATAATACGGTCCTCATTCATTGAACGGCCGAAAAAGACCTACATAAGCGACATTCTCAGGGCCACCCCAGGAGAAGCAGTAAACAGGCCATAAGTACCAGTTGCCTTAGAGTCAACCGTTGCGCATCTTTCGCCGCATACAGCTCCAGCTGCTTGTTCTGATAGAAATGGAAAGCCGTAGAGATCGAGCGCGAGCCGCCTGGTAGTAGCACCAGTCCTCCTCTATGCAAATGCATGCGACAGCAGTTGACGAGCATGCCCGTTGGTGGACTCAAGTGTAGAAACAAGTGCACTATCCTGTGCCGGAGAAGGCCAAGGAGGCGTTAGATGGCAATGACTCGTGTGGATGCGCATCGTCGTCTAGAAGGGAACTCCCATGGATTATTCGCCAGCCATGTTGGCTCATTGACGCCCAAGTGTGACGTAAAATAAGGTGCACGCATTGAGCGAGCGCGCGGGGTCCTATAGATGTATGTTGAAATGAATACCAATGAAATCAACGCCCCGAGAAGTAAGTACACGCCAGATGCTCCACTCAGATAAAGTATAGCTGGTCAGATCAAGCCTTCTTGTCTCAATGCACCTACAATCATGTATGCAGACCGCCGGTCTCTGTCCATGCCTATCCAGTCGCCCTTGCGAGGCTTTGGCATAACATCGGGGAGCACAAAAATATCACCATCGGCGTCCTCTTCTGACTTTTCAACCTCGTCGTCAACATCGTCATCCAGGCCGCCCAACACTTCCTCCCAAATCGCATCCTCGACATTGACTCCGACAATCTTTGCATCCGGAGTCATGGGAAGCATCGATATGAGAATGTTTGCGAGAAGCTCGGAGGCTCCGTCCACTGCAATTGTCTGCAGCACCGGTAATGGAAGGTACTCCACCTGACATGGCGATGTCTCAGCGAGAATGTCAACCAGGAGTGCGTAGCAAACTATTTACCTCGATGAGCATACCCTTCGGAGCACCTCCTGCGAGCTTGACGTGGCCAAAGCGAACAAGCCAGTCGTTTCCGATTGAGTAGATGTACCCGTCAATTGTCAGCTGCTGTTGCGCCATCCCGATCCCTTGGCTTCTCTGCCCGGCGCTGGACGCTCCAGGCTGCCGCACTGACACCCATCGTGCACGCAGTTGCCCTAGTAGTTGCTCCAGCGCTCCAGGTGGGCTCACAGTCACCAGCGTGTTCCGCCAATGTGGGGGTGGAGTCGGCGAAGATTGGCCTGGCTGACTGTCCGAAGCAGCTTGAGCGAGCTCAGCCCGCGTCGGTGAAGTAGGATCCTCCAGTACAACAAACACGTTGTCTACACAGTCAGCTAGATTGAGACACGCAGAAGGCGCATATACGTACCACCCATAGTAACTGTGTACATCACGCGCTCTGGAATGCGCATGGCAGGAGAGGTGCTGAGAGTGGAGCGGTATGATCCAAGGGAGAGGATCCATCTACCGCGCTGTACACCCTACATCAAACATCAGCAACATATATGCTGTACCATGATGTTTGGCCGAACTTGGTGATTTGCTTCGAGGTTCTCCCTTATTTTGTTGACACCGGTTGTGGGTGCGTTGATCCATCTCGCTAATCTTACGTGCCACAATTTATTTTAGTGCCATTAGCCAGTCAAGCGGGGGTTAAAGTTAATACTCACCCTATTATCCCCATCCTGCGGCAGCCATGAGTGTCGGGACTCAACAAGCGGGCGTAGGTGGCAACGAGCGTGAGTGTTGTGGCCCGATCACGATGGCCAGCGCGTCGTGACCTTCCGTGACAGAACGCGTCGCGTCACGGTGGCTCGTGCGCGCCAACATATCCCTCTCCAGTGTACACACGTACTGGTTCCAGGCGACAATTCCCCTGCAGATTTTTAGTGATTAACGACGCGCACGTAAGATATGCCTCCCAAACGAAAGGCCTCTCAGACTGTTTATTCAGCGGCCCAAACTCCTACTAGACGATCTGGACGACTGCGAGGAGATTCCGCGTCTGCAGCCACTCCGCCTCCTGCCAAGAGGCAAAGGCGTATGCGGTCCACTGCGGATGTCGAGATTGATGAAGAATCTGCACCTGAGCATGATAGAGAACCTGCTACGCGTGTCACAAGGAGCCGAGAGGCGAATTGGAAACCGAGCCCTGCCTCAGCTGCAAGCGCAGTCGCGGGATCCAGCAAGCTACGCTCGAAGCAGCCCGAGCCCATCACAACCACACGGCGAGGCAATCATGCTCGAGTCTCCGAAAATGAAGAGGTGGAGGATGAAGATGAATTGCTCCTGACGCCATCGAAACGGCCACCTGCAAGCCCAGTAACGCCTCCAAGGACGACAACAGGTACACCCCGCGTCGGCAGCGCGTTCATGGCATGCGTTGAGATCTCCAGCCCTGGAAGGCGCGCATTTAATGAGTCTTCCTCTGTTCACTCCTCGCGTCCCCAGTCAGGCTTGCGACACTTGCTCCAGGCACCTGTGCGAGCCCCGTCTCCTTCGCCTGTGAAACGGCCCACCGGGCAGTCCACTCCATCTACTCAGGGTCCTGAACTGCCTCAACGTTCCTCCTCGAGCCGTCGTAAAGCATTGCCGCAACCAATCTTTCCGTCTCTCCCGCGCTCTCCGCCATCATCTCCAACTAAACGGTTTCTCTCTCTTGCGACGCTTACTCCGTCCCCATGGAAACCCAGAGGAGAGGCTAATGTTCAGGTATCACCAAGTCGTAAAGGAAGAGGCATTCCGCCTCGTCTATATCCCTATCTAGAAGTGCAGAAACGTGCCATCCTGAAAGCCCTGCGCAACCCTCCGGAAATCGAAGAGGAAGCAGGCACAGAGCTCGAGGACGATGGCCCCTCTACCAACTCTATTGCGTATGAGCAGCTTAGCGATCTCCTCAAGGGCACTGTAGTGCGAGGAGAAGGCAACAGCTGCCTGCTCATCGGGCCACGCGGGAGTGGGAAAACGAGAGTAAGCGAACCGTCGGTCGCTCCACACTCACTGTTGACCGCAATCTAGATAGTCGAAAAGGCGATCACTGCCTTGCCCGACAACCCGATCGTGATCCGTCTCTCTGGCCATGCGCAACAGAACGATCGAGTTGCGATACGCGAGATCGCTCGTCAATTGACACAGCAGACGGGGTCCTCGTTCTTGCAGACTGAGGAGGACAAGCTAACGGACGATGCATTCAACGACCCGGAGGACCCGTTCATTGACCGCCCAGAGGTCGCAACAGATACCACACTCTCCATCGCCCTCCCACCACCAGCACATCTGCTCGCTCTCATCTCCATGATACCCACCCTAACCCGCGCGACGATTGTCGTGATCGATGGGTTTGACCAATTCGCCACCCACGCGCGACAATCTTTGCTATACTGCCTCCTAGACACTGCACAGAGCTGCAGGGCAGCCAAGGGGAACAAGGGCCTCGCGATCATTGGCGTGACGACGCGTGTGGACACGATCAACCTCCTCGAGAAACGGGTCAAGAGCCGGTTCTCAGGACGTATGTTGCGCACGGCGTGCCCTTGCCGGGTGGAGGATTGGCTTAGGGTTAGCCGCTCGATGTTGACTGCTCCCATAGAGACGGAGGCGGATGATGAATGGAATGGTCTGTGGGCAACTACCGTGGACAGATTCTTGAAACGCGATGCTGTGGTGGATGTCCTCAGGGATACGTTCGAGCTGACCCGCGATGTGCGAACACTCTGTCGTATACTTGTAAGATGGCATCCTCAACCTCACTGTGCCAATACTCATTCACATGCCTTAGACACCTGTAGTGGTTGAGCTGTCACCAGAAGCACCCACTCTTTCTGCGTCTACACTCGATTCAGCCGCTGGCATCCAACGTTGCCCTTCAAGGTTCCCTTTCCTTCCAGGTAGGCGCTCCACATCGTATCGCGTTAGTATCATTTGACTGACGCCTCTTCTGCTGCCACAGCTCTCTCATATCCAGCTCTTTCTTTGTTGGTCGCTGCGATGCACGCACAGACCTCCGGCCACGATGCATTCACATTTGAAATGCTGCATGAAAGCTTCCGCGACCAGGTTCGCACCTCGCTGTCTGCGCCGGTCCAGGTCGATGGCGGCAGTGTTGGTATGCTGCAATGCAGCCGGAACGTGCTGTTCGGAGTGAGTACAGTCATTCTGCACTATTGATATGATCTATTTGGCTGAGATATGTACTTGAACGCAGGCTTTCGAGCATTTGGTCTCCCTGCGAGCATTTGTAGCGGCGACACCTTCGACAAGCACATCGAGAGAGTTTGTGCTCTATAGGTGTGCCATTGACAGATTCGACGTCAAAACAGCAGTAGATCAGTCGCACCAAACCTTGAAGAAATGGCTCAACAAGGCACAATAGATGATTTCTTTCCCCGATGCATACATATCACTTGCAGCCAACGAGTGCGCAGAGCCGACACACTGGCGACTCTGGGAAGTTCTTTAGTCTGCTGTCAGTCGCCTGCACTGTGCTTCTATGTATGTAGCGTAGACTGGATGGAGCCCCGGCGGGGCTGTGGCGGGGCACGCTTTGTCGGACGTATCCGGTATCACTCATCAGATCATATATATTTCACGCAAGCTATTTGTTAATTGATATCGGATGGTATGATCATTACTATCGATCGTGATGGTACAACTCCGACCCGAGTGCTTTCTTGACTTCAGGAACCCATTTAGTAGACGTTGAAATCCTGCTGCACAATCTCGTTGGTCTGCTCGCGAGCTATAGACACAGAGATTAGCGAAGCATAGAAAAGAAATCGACTGAACATGATACGGACCCGATCGCTTCGCCCTCTCACGGTCCACGAAGTCGAGCTGGAGAATGAATGCATCAGTAGGCATCCTCGAATGCTCTGTCCGTGCAGTACTTACACCCTTGGTCTCAACCAAGCGGTCGACGAAGGCACCAGTGAAACCAGCCCTGTTGGCGAAATAAGCGTCATAATGATGTGTCAGCGGGATGGACGCGACTTACAAAAGCTCCTTGGCCTCAGCGTGCGAGGCGGGCTTTCCGTTCTGTTCGCAGTGCTTCTCGTAGGCCTTGGCGGCCTCGTAGGCAGCGGCACCAGAAATCACCTCGTGCGAGAGCTCAGCCTGGTGAGGCGAGTTGACGGCCTGTATGGATAGGACGCGTCAGTACATAGCTAGTGCTTCGCCAGACGCATCGAGCGCACCTGGTTGTATGCGTCTTGCTTGTCAGAACCGTCGAACCAACCCATGATGTTATTGAGAGCGTGTAGAGGTATCGATGAAGGGGGAAAGAAAGGGGCTGCGGAAAACGGCTGGAGGATAGGCTCTTTTATATGTGCGGCGGGCCGTGTCTTATGTCACCTTTTCAGCCCGCCGGCTCGTTTCGCCGTCACATCATTTTCGAATTTCTACTGCGCCCGATGCTGTAGACGTGCCAGATATGGAAGTTTTGTACAGAATGATGCAGATCTCGATCATTGGAAGTTCCGCGTTACAGGGCGCTGCAACGTGTGCAACGCCCTGGCATCGCTTTCCGGTGCTCTCTCCCCTCCTGCTCTATCTCTTCGGCGGTTGTCGGTCAGTTGAGCACCGTGCAAATTCATCGCTTCCATCACCCCATCCCCCCCCCCCCAGCGCCTCTCGGCCTCCGCAGTCGAACGTAGGTGCCCTCGTTGATAGCATTTGGGACGGCCTTCGTCATCGCTCCCTTTGTCGTGGAGTGCCAAGAATGAGCTATAATGAGCAATAACCACTAGCTTCATCCATTCTCCTTCATCCATTCAATAACCACTAGCTTCATACATTCTCCGCTCTTGAATCTCATCAAAGTTGGTTACCTCGCTGATCTGGTGTGCTCGTTTCTCGAATCAAAAGAAAACCCCGGATGAAAGATGTTGATTCCCTCAACTCCACCTGGTCACACACTGCTCGCCATGGAGACCGCCGCCGCTGCGGTGGACTAACTGGCATGGGAACACATCAGGAGTGATTGTTGTGCAGCTCCACCAGAAGCAGGAGGTCCGTCTACGCAGTGGACCAAAGCGGCATCAGCTTTTCCATGGACTACATAGAACTCGCATGCATGATGAGCGCAGCTTTGCCGCTACATCAATCACCTGAAGAAGCGTGCATGTGCGAAGATGCACCATGCGTCGGGTGATGTCAGCTCATTCCTTCTGATTGCACCAAGATTGTAAAGCCCTATCAGATGTTACGAGAGCGATTTCGCAAGGACTTGCCCAAAGTTCGAAATGGACATTCCTCCCGCGACTGAAGGAGGCTGATACGAGGATGGCCATGCGGGGTACGAATCATCATGCATCAGCCTCGTGGCTATAGAACAAGGTCTCAAACACAAGACAACGGGGCTGCGCCAGCTTTTCGGCATTTGCACGCAGTCACCGGACCAAACCAGCCTTCGAGCGTTGCATGGGATTGACCAATTGATGAGTTAAAGCCGAGGGGTGACTTAGTCCTCCACAGCAAGAGACAAGCTGACGCAAAGAGGGACTGCGACATTGAAGGATACGCGTCACTTTTAAATGCATCACGTGACCGTACCCATGATAGATCCGTGTTTTGAGCTCGCCGCTTGGGTCATTGGGGGCGACTCCGTACTTACCTCTGCCCACCACCTTCGACTATCAAACCTCATCTCTTTCTGAGAACATTTCTGTTTCATGCGGCCTAGTGACACCGCGAACATACCGTCCGCAGGGCCCAGTGCAATTCCAGAGCTCGATGCGAGTTATGTGGACGAATCGTGAGCAGGTTTCGTATGGCCCGCGCGCGGCAAACTTTAATCTGACATTATGCCGGACAGACATATGCAGGCCTTCGCGGAGGCACTGCGCACGGAAGACTACGATCTGAACGACCAGCCGTCGGCGGACAGTGTCAGTGTACGAAGCGGTGCGACGACGCCTCGCGTGCGGAAGATATCCGCTTTGTCAGATTTTGCGCCGGTCAACGTGAAAGTAAGCAGGTGAGCTCAAATGGGACTGAAATCGATGGCAAGACTTATCCGATAACGAATGAAGGCGCAGGAGGTCAAAGAAGCCGCCGCCAAGGCGACAGGAATGGCTCTATCTGATTGTTCGGTGGCCGCTTCTGGTATGTCGCGCCGTGCATCTAAAGACGGCATGTACGATAACGTGTCCATAGACGCTCATATTCTTATTCATTGCTGTCCAATTCAGCCTGTATGTGCTGATTCGGCAGCTTGTCAATGCGAAGGAATGGTTGTCTGCTTGTGAGCAGCTCAAGCCTTCGCAACGTGTCTCACGCGGCTAAATCGAGATAGGGCGTGGTCGCAAGGGCGTTCTTCGCCAAAGGCTGCGCAATGCACAGACTTACCAAGTAAGCGTCTGGGCAACAGGATCAAATGACTCAATCTGACACATAGGTGTACCCAAGGAATGGAAAGAAGCAGCGCTTGTGCTTGATGAATACATGCATTTCGATGAGTGGAAGCATATAGAAGAGGATCCTTATTATGATTGGAAATTGGTCAGGAGGGTGAGACCGAATCAGTACAACTGAATGCAAACGCTGACCACCATTATCTCTCGTAAATAAGGTCCGGAGGTCCCTCAGGACTCTCAGGGAGAGGAAGGACGTGCGCAGTCTCTTGGAGGTGCTCGAGACATGTGTCCGTCACAACTTTGCCGGTGTCGAGTCTGCAAGGTACGTGTTAGGCATTTCATATGTGTGCAATAGACAATTAATTTCGTACAGATTGTACAGTGAAGTAAGTCGTTACATGGGCATGCAGCTGTGTGGCCTAACGTCGCTACTGCTGCAGACATTCTATGGCACTAAAGATTTGATTGAAGGTACATGGTTTATGTCTCACGTTCATAGCTTGGTCGCTTATGTTGTTTTTCAAGATTACGTTAATGAAGAAGAGAAGGCACTGGAATTTGTTCGCGAGTCTGTGGAACTACCGAATGACGAGAAGAGACGGTTCTTCAAGAGCGTCAACACGAACCTGGGGACATCCGCACTGTGTCTGTCTGGTGGTGCTTCCTTCGGCTACTGTGTGTATCGTTTTCGCGGCCTTTTTTCCAGAACACTGATTGACTTGAGATAATCTTAGACCATTTCGGAGTGGTCAAAGCGTTCTTGGATGCCGGTCTTCTCCCACGTGTGATCTCAGGTACATCCGCTGGCGGTGTTGTCGCTGCCATGGCATGTACAAGAACGGACGCGGAGCTGAAGCGGATGCTTGTACCTGAGCTGGCAAGGCACATTACAGCCTTTGAGGAGCCTTTCGGCTTGTGGATCAAGCGGTTCTGGACTACAGGTGCCAGATTCGACGGTTTGCTGTGGGCGAGGAAGGTAAGTCACAATCAAGATCGATATATGCATCCACCAATAGCTTTCTTCCACAAGCTCTGTTTCTTCACGCGCGGTTCTATGACCTTCAAGGAAGCATATTTGCGCACTGGACGGATTTTGAATATCTCTGTCGTGCCGGCCGATCGTCATTCGTGAGTACATCTGTGACTCCTTCAGAGATCTTTGAAATGCTCATACAAAGACAGGCCGACGAAGCTGCTCAACTATGTGACAGCGCCGGACACGATCATCTGGAGCGCGCTGCTCGCGTCTGCTGCTGTACCTGGTATCTTGAATCCAGTCGTCCTCATGCAGAAGCTGAAGGATGGTAGGATTGTACCATGGAGTTGGGGCAGTAAATTCAAGGACGGATCGCTCAGGTAGGTCTAGTCTCGCATGGCGTTCGAGTCTCTCTGCTCATTCTTCCTATCTCAGGGTTGACATTCCCGTTCAAGCTCTTAACTTGTACTTCAACGGTATATGCGGTCGACTTATACAGCTCAATGAGACGTCACTCACATGAAATTGCTGCAGTCACGCATCCGATTGTGTCGCAAGTGAACCCGCATGTGCATCTTTTCTTCTTTGCCCCACAAGGATCTGCTGGGAAGCCGGTTGCACACCGGAGGAGTAAAGGTAACGTATCCGTCCAGGCCTTTGTTCTCCACCATGTTCAAATGACTTCCGTATCAGGATGGAGAGGAAACTTTCTTCTGTCTGCTGCGGAACAATGGTTGAAGCTCGAGCTTACGAAAAACTTTAAGGTTTGTGCTGTTCCCCTTTGTTTATGCCAATAGCTGATTTTATTCGTCACGCCGCAGTTGATTCGTGATCTCGACTTACTACCCCAACTGCTCGGTCAAGATTGGTCAAGCGTGTTTCTACAGCGTTTCGAAGGCAGTGTAACGTGAGTTGGTTTGCAATACCCAGTCCATCGGCTCGTTATCGAGCTATTCTTCCTATTCTTCTGCAGGATTTGGCCGAGGACCCGGATCATGGTGAGTATGCATTTCAAATGGGGCTTCAAAAACTTACGGTTTGATGGCTCCCAGGACTTTATGCATATTTTGAGTGACCCTGATCAGGTGGAATTGGCAAGAATGATATATGTCGGTCAGCTGGTCACTTGGCCGAAGGTGAGCTCATCTCTTTCAGGCCATTGAACGGCAGCTCAATTCGCCGGCGACAGTTGCACATGATAGAGAACAGGTATCGTCTCGAGAAGCAGATTTTTCTTGGCAGACAGGCTGTCCGAAAGGCTTTGTCTCGAACCCAGGAAAAGTCTGCCCAGAAGCTGGATGCGATGCCGCACGAGCGAGTTCCTGTTCCCAATACCGGCACGAAGCTTCCCACCCTCGTGGGCACGCCCACGCTTACGACGGCATTAGATTCACCACTTCCAATGGACACCGATGCGGAGACTGCGTATCTAAATCGGACCCGTAAACACGAGCGCAAACCTACTTCGCCCACCGTGAATGGCTACACTGCTGGCGGTAGCTCTCATGATTCTCATCGTCAATCCGTCAAACGTCGAACATGGGCGGCATCTGTGTCGCACCGCACGGATAAAGATGTTACGAATGAGGGAGATCATGGGGCAGCGACGCCTGGTTCCCCGCCGCCGAATGACAGCGAGCATCAACATGCGCAAGCTGCGGCTCGACAGACCTCATCCGCTCCAAGCAATCCTGTCGAGTTCTTGCGACGGCTAGGCAATGGGACCATCGCGGCTACGCTCGCACCATTCTCGTCCATGCGGCGAAATAACAGGGAGCAAGACGACAGGACGGTTGACCCGTCGTGGTCTGGGGACAGTTCGTCGGATGACGATGACCTATCCGTCATATCCCGGAGGCATCGACCTCCTTCGGTGTTTGATTTGAGATCGGATATGGAGAGAAGGTACCAAGAAGACGACGTTCATGACAATGATGACTTGTAGCTGCAACCTCCGCTCTAGAGATTTTTCACTGGAAACACGGTATAGGGTAGCACTTAGGATCTCACTTTGTAACATTTCGTCACAGTGCTCTGCATGTACAATATCCACATCATTGCTATTATGCATGTATCATATGTAAAACTCCCATGAAGGAATCACTTCGAAATACCTCTCATCAAGAATAGACTCAGCAAAATCTGAGCTGGATACATAGTCAAGTCGTGGAAGACCACCGCGGATGCCTGTTCCATGGGTTGATTCAGAGCTCTAATTATGTGGGAATGTCTAGATATTTGGGCATAGGTTGACCGTTGGGTTTCCATACAGTGAGTGACATTCTGAAGCTCATCCCTCGGAATGCTAACATAAACCATTTTGCCATCAATCTTGCAGGCAAATCCCGCTCCCTTCCGAAACTCAACGATTTTGACAGGTGTGATCGAACGTATTGCGGCTGTCATGTTCGTTTTCTCTATCACGCACGACCATTTCCAGAAGTTCAAGGCCACCATTCCTTTGCTAGCTGCTGCCGCCAGACATATTGCAGGTAAATATTCCTTTCCACGTAGCGGTATGGGTCGTCGTTCCGGTGTTCGCGCAATTCTTCGCAGAATCAAGGCGCGCCGGATCGCGCAACGTGCCTACGCAAAGGTTGGCAAATCTGGTCGAACCAGTGAGCTGTATCTTACAAAATATGATATACAGGCATCGTTTCAAATACGTTTGCTCAAACCAGGCGGCTCACTGCGCTCTTGGAGTCACTACTACACCTGGAGTCAAGCGAAATGGCAGATACATGACCCGCTATTTCAAGATGTTGTGTCTGACCTTGCTGAGGAGTTTGCGGACTGCACACTTCATGACTATGCCTCAGGTAAACCTGAATCATCGATGGTCGACATAGAAGACCTTGTCTCTACTTTGGTGGCTTTGACCCTGGGATCCGCCGATCATCTTGAAGCAACCGAGTCTAAACATCCCTCCAAACCGGCTGAAAACAACTTGAATGAGCTCGTGGAACTTATGGGAAATCTACGACTAGACGATCTCGATAACTTACATAACGCAGGCGAGTTCAGCTCGGAGTCGACTCTCGGAAATGAAGTCAGCCTTTCCCAAGAGTCGCTCTGCCCGGCTTGCTATACTATGTCTCCACAGCAATCTTCAGCTATCTCTGAACCATCTGCATCTGTGGAAAAGCTGGAAGAAGTCCATAAGGTCCAGACTCTGCTGGCGGTGGTCGGATCGTTTGATGACACTCCAAAGACGCATCACGCGGAACTTCCTGCTCCTGCTTCTACGGATCTCGCGCCAGTCATATCTTCAACCACATCCCCTGGTATCCACTCTGTACTACGACATTTTGCTTCGAACGATGCTACAGACACCTATCCAAGCCGACCAGCTCCGTGCCTGCGTAAAATTCCTACTATCATCAGGACGAGGAACTTCGCGTCTAAATGGTCCTCTTTCTCTCCGTTGTCTCTCAGCGCGCTTCCCTTCTTCTTTGAGGCCTGCGCAACTGCATTCTCGCCTCTCAGAGATAGAACGACTGCTTCGCTTCCTCGGGGTTGCCACATGCTGAAACTGGAATGATGACCTCCTGGTTCTGTCTAAACTATCCTGACAGTCTCTGTAACATCACAATCTCCCTCAGCCATGCTCATTCAAGATGTAACTCGTGAAGGACAAACTACAGTGTATCGCCTCAACTTTCCATGTACCCCTTGATTTGTTCTCATTACTAGATCTCTGCCTTGGGACGCTCAATATTCTGCGACTACTGCATCATCAAAAGCCTGGACATCTTGTCAGTTTGCTACATGTAATAATGACGGGAAATCAATACCATTCTATCAGGTGGACACTGTTCATTACATACCCGTACGACGTGCTTCTGAGCGTTAAACGTCGGACGTCTCTAGCTGATGGCGCGGGACGTGGAAGCTCGTGAGGTCCTCATCTTATGCACATATTATCTCATCCTTGAACTCCTTCGCAGCTATGAAGCCTTCCTATGACCGACATCGGCGTCTTAGTCCTCCTGAAATGCGAAATGTACTCTTCGGCGTACATCCTACCTGGGACGGGCAGCTCCGTCACAGCATATCCCACGCGTGGAGCAGTATGCAGGATGGGGCAGCAGACGCGAATACCAATGCATTTAAAAGACGTCCGACTCCCAGATACTGTCGATCTGTTCGATGTTGCGGCCATCCGAGAGCTCCAAGGCACATGGCGGAAGCGACGTATGATCGCCTTTCAGATCAGAGGGGAAGCGCAGCTCATGCACGACGTGTGTGAGTCACTGCCAGCTCGGTGTATTCGTTCCCAATGATTCGTGTGTTTCGAGCGGCTGTAAATTGCAATTGATGTTCAGTGAGATCCACATCATTTAAATTCTGACCTAATGTGCTTCTAATCGCCACTGCTTGACCGTTGCCAGCACCGCTCCTGGGAACGGGTTCACCGTCAACAAACGGCTCATTAATCATTGGCCATCGCAACGAGCGGCTGGTGAGCTAATAACGTCTACGCATGATCATCTGGGATGCACAAATGCGACGCTTCGCATCAGCGTCAGCAAGCACCAAACGAGATGCATACGATGCAAACCGTTCGTTCGTCTGGGTGATGAATATCTTCTGCAATCTGTTGATCTCCACTTTGTTCTTGTTCATCTGCGGCAATATTGCCTCCTTTTAGTCAAACCTCGCCATCCGAGTCAAGATGCAATGCAAGCGATGAGTTGTCGCGCTGGGCACGAACGAGGCGGTGCCCAGGACCGTGACTTTCACGACATTGAGACGCGGCTGAGCCATGCGGCAGGATCTCGTTAGCGGTATGTGAAATCGAGTGTGTCGGGAACAAGTCCTTGACACAGACCGTCGCACCACACTTTCAAGACGAGCACTCGGGATCATCAGGCAAAGCCAAGCAGCTTCTATTGCGAGCAAGTGATTCTCAGATTCTGCATCCAGCAAGATCAATTTAGACTACATTCTGCACAGGTTCGAGCTAAACGCACACCTATGGAGAGTCCGTGACGTGGTAAAAAGCTTTCATATAGTGCATGATGAATCGTAGAACGCACAGACAACTAAGATGGAAGCCCATCCCAATGATAGATGATACAATAGTGAGACAAGGATCGGAGGGGGCGAAGTGGGCGTTTACACCGACGGCAAGAAATATTGAGTCACAATATAGTGCAGTTGCAAGAAGAGTCCGAGAGATGGAGGGGCGGAGCGCGAGACAACGAGAGACAACGGAGATGCAAGTGCAGAAATCATGTCGATGTCGTGGATGGCAACATTACCAGACACAGGCTGTCCAAGACCACGTCAGGGATCATGCATATAATCGGTGTCCGGGATGGCAGAAATCGCTATAGGATACTTGGCCACTTCAGCCGCAAGCCTTCAAGCCAGCGCATATAGAGCAGCTCCGAAATGGGCGATTTCCGAGTCGGCGAACTAGGTTCTCCATTCGGCGCGTTCGCAGTTGATGGGGGCGGCAAGCCAGAAATCTCCTCCTCTTCGGTGACGACGAGACCCTTGGCTGTCATTTCACTTCTCCGAATGATGCGTTTGTGAGGGAAGAGACCGCGAGATGTTTGTATGTGTTGACGCACGGCAGGATTCCTACAAAGTGCAGGTGTAAGTCTGCTGCACGAATTCAGCTCAACTACGCACTCATTGATGCTTGAAAGAACATCGAGGATGATGTTGTAAGCAAGCTCAGGATTGACGTCCCTGAGTTCCTCGAACCCACGCGAAATCATACTCAGCGACTCAATCTCGCGAGCATCCATATCATCCCGTGTCACCTATGCCGAAGTGTTATGAGTTGCCATATTTTATACAAGATCGACCATACCTTCGCAAGTAACGGCACCATGACGTCATCAACAATCGATCTCCCCGCCTCGGCCGCCTCGCTCGTAGCTCGCTTCTGTGATGACTTTGGGCTGGTCGTAGGCGAAGAGGGACTAGACGAGCTACCCTCTCTGCCCTCCCTGCTTCGCGTGGTCCCCACATACTCTTCGGACATCCTCAATGACCTCACCGTATCGACCTTCTTCACCGGCCTAATCGTATCGACCCCATTCCCAATATCCGCTTCGCCTAGGACCGTCCCAATGCTCGTGTTATTCCGCGCTTGGAACGATGCCCTTCGCGTCGAACGGACGGAGCGTACAGAGCCCGAATACGCAGGCGGCGGCTCTGACGCCTCTACTGATGGGGGCGGCGTCTCGGGATCGCCATTTCCAACCGTCTCGTCTGACGAGTCGTCCGTCACCATCGGCGGGACGTCTTTCACGTCTGCAATGGTTGGAACCTGCTTGATTATCACCGTTGAGTACTGTGCCTCTGAGTTCATGCCAAGTGCGCCTGAGCTTGACAGCGGTACTTCGCTGCCTTTGGTCGCAGCGCTCGTGTCAATAGACTCCTCGTCGTACATCGACGCCTCGTAATACCCCTCGTCGGGAATCGTTCCGGGAGGCGTAATGTCTCTGGCCATACTGCGCAGCGAACCCATCGCGGATGTTGTGCGCACAGTGTCGAAGCTCCAGTCACTGCGAAGGGTGCCATCCCACGCACCGCTGTTACGAACTGTTGGCTGGTACATCTGCAGCCCTTTGCCTGGTGTCCGCGCACGATAGTCTTGGTAGCGCTCGATCAATTCGGTCAGATACGAAGTCTTCCGTGAAGACTTGATGAACCGGTGTTGAAGCAGCTCTTTCGCTGTTGGGCGCTAGCGAAACGTGTGAGAGGAGAGTAAACATTTGCAAGAATGTTAGTACATACAGTGTTAGAGTCTTTGGTCAAGCACTGTGTGACAAAGTCCTTGAACGCGGCGGAAAAGGCTCCTTCGAGCACTGGAGGCTTCGCCTTCGGAATCAAGAATAGCACTCGCATAGGGTGGTACTCTGCCAATGGCGGCTCTCCTTTCGCCATCTCAATCGCAGTAATCCCGAGACTCCAGATGTCTGCCTTGGAGTCGTATCCTGCCTGCCGGATCACCTCCGGCGCCATCCAAAATGGTGTTCCCACGAACGTGTGTCGCAGCGTGTTCGTCAATTGCGCCGCAACACCAAAGTCGGCCAGCTTGACCTTCCCCGATGCGGACAGGAGGACGTTGGCTGCCTTGATGTCCCGATGGATTGTACCTTCACTGTGAAGATAGTCGAGTCCTTGCAGCAGCTCCTTGCAGATTACTGCGATATGTGCCTCTGAGAATACTCCGGGCTTAAGTAAGTCAAGACATGAACCACCTGCGAGGTATTCCATGACGATCCATAGCTTGTACGCAACGACGAACGAGCCATAATAGCGCGTCACATATTCCGAGTCGAAAAGTGCAAGATTTGCGATCTCCTGCTGGATCTCGGAGATGTCGTCGTCCGTGTCCTCGAGGTCTAAAAGTGGAATGAACGGGTGGAGCTCGCTCTCATTTGCAGGGACACACACCAATCTGCTTGATGGCGACGATCTGCTTCGTCTCGTTGTGCATGGCCTTGTACACGGTCCCGAAGCTGCCTGTCCCCAGCTTCTCGAGCAGCGTATACTGGCTCGCAGGGTTGGTGCTTGGAATGGGATATGGTTCCGGCACGCTCTTCGCGTCGCGAGGCGAGCTCGGTGGGGTCTTTGTGAGCTGTCTGTGCTGTGGAGTGTGGCCATGGTCAGACGAGCTCGACTTTCGCAGGAGCCGGGAGCTGGGGATGACGCGCTGCATGCTGAGCGATGCGCGTTTCGCTGACGGATGAGGTCAAAGAGGGCAAACGCGGACGACATCATCCCGGATTTTGATACCCTCGTGGGGAACTCGGCATGAGGCACACGAAATGGCAAAGCGCTCCACCCTCATGACTCTATCGCATACACGCGCCGCACCAGAACCGGAGCTGAATAAAGACACATACCATATTCATGAATGGTCGTTAATGATCGTTATTGCTATCTGTAAGCTTTGACGGCGCGTTTGTATGGTTAGAACGCGAAAGAAAGAAGGTCCGGCGAGGAAGAAATGCGACCGCGCGGTGTCGCCGGGGCCAGACTGATGGAAGGAGTGGAGCGGTCGTCGTTAGGCAGGTCGTTACGACGTCAGTGGCAGCGACGAGAGATGGCTGGAGAACGTCGAGCACGGCGACGAAGAGGAAAGGGGGACGACACGGCTCGTCTATTACAGGGGGCAAGGAAAGGAGAAGGGCGGAAATGACGTGAGCGAAAACGGAGATTTCAGAGCGCTGAGATCGACGCTGCCTCCGTCCGGTCCGCGTGCGAGCGCGCGTCCTCGGCCCAGCGCCTCCCAGCACTTGCCCTCAGTTCGACCATTTCTCCTCCGGCCACCGCGGGTTTTCCTTCGACATCTCGTCGCATTAATCAACGCTGCTCGCAGCCAACGTCGTCCGGCGATGACCACGCCTGCAACGATCCGTACAAGAAACATACCCCCTGACAGCGTCAACTCACCGGCGAGCAATTCTTCCCATGTATGGGAGATTGTGGCATGAGACATCGCCGTAACTCGGACGCGATGTGCGCATGGAACGACACGCGGTGTCGCATGGCATGTCGAGTTGATAGTAGCGTACGGCATACAGAAGAAAAGAATCAAAGTCAAAGCAACACCCGCTCCACGACCTCAAATGACAACTCCAGAGCTCATGCCGCTTTCACCGCGTACTTCCGCAACGGGAAGTGGATGTCCTTCTTATGCTGCTTGAGAGTCTTCCGCGACTTCTCGTGCTGCGCGTGTGAATGCACTGTCAATGCTTGGCAACATTAAGCGGAGTGTCGCTGGGACGTACGGGTGTCAGTCGCCGTCTGATCGCGCGCGTCTTCTTGGGGCGGAGGTCAAGGGGCAAGTACTTCTTGCTCTTGTAGAACTCGCGAAGGTTTTGCCTCTGCTTTTGGTTCATGACCGTCATGACCCGAGCAATTGACTTGCGAACGGTGTTGCTGAATGGAGTCGGATGAGGATGGGAACGAAATACAATGACTGTGTTACGCACATCTTCGTCAACTTCGCAGCAGAGCCGCCGGCAATCTTCTGCACCCGCAGAGCGAGGAGCTCCTCCTTAAGCTCAACCAGCTGCTTGGACAAGTCATTCTTCGACCTAGAGCGATGGATGCCATGTTTAGCATCGCGACAATATATGCACAGTCAAGCAGGCTGCGCACTTGGACTGGAGCTCGTATGCTTTGACTTTGCCGGGCATTTTGTTGAAGTCTAGTGGCATAGACAACAGAGTCAACATGACATCCTTCCGAGAGCACCAAGCACCGCAAAAATCAGCCGGAAACGCCGGAACAGCACAATGCAAGCTCAGGCAGCAAGCTCGCAGATTCCAAGGCCATCGTAGAGCGTGAAGAGAGCATATTCACCTTGAGGAGTATCGTGAAGGGTGTGCGCGCCGAGCTCAGGATGGTTAGCCAAGCGTGGGACCGGCCGCGCGTGAACTGCCTAGTTATTGCAGCCACAGAATCTCACGCCATCTCCTGCCTCTTTGGGAATCTCCGCCACTGTTCTCAATTACATGCTTGCTCTGCTGAGGCTGGCAGTATACTACGAGGTGCAATTGCACCAACTCCGCAGGTTCTGTGCTCCAGCATTATGCGCAAGGCAGTGCCGATGAACAGTCTCGTAGCGTCCAGTGGGCCATGTGCGTCATCTGCTCTGAGCTCGGACCTTGGGCGGCATCTTTCGACAAGCACGGTCATGCTCTTAAGCTTTCTGTCTGCGACCTTATCCGCTGGCAGCGCCGCGCCTCTTTCCCCTAAAATTTCCTGACCTACGCTCCTTGCTGTTTTCTTGTATACCAACGATACCCCAGCGCCGTCGATGTCGCAATCGACGTATCCTCCTGGTCGGGGCCTCGACGACCTTTTGTACCTCTTCCCGCACGTCGAGGACGCCACGATAGCGGCGATCCTCAAGCATACCCTCCCCGGATCGGATGTCTACAAGCTCGACTCGCGGCGCATCCTTGAGTCACAATGGGACCTCGTCGATGATGAGTCGCTCGACGAGAGCGCCGTCTCGCTGCGCGGGACTCCAGTGGCCATCGACGTCTACCAGACGCTCGACTCGCTTCTCGTCCCCCTGAATGCATTTTTCTCCATCCTCACCCTTCATGGGCTCGCAAACGGCCAGCCGACAATGCTCCCGTACTATTTCTTCCGCTACTCCTCCCACCTTGTCAAAATTGCCACGCAGTACGAATGGCACGCCGTCCTCTCGTATCATCTTGCCTTCTATGCTCGGAGATGTAAAGAGATGCGTGGCGGTGAATACTCAGGATGGGGGAAGGTGGATATCGATTTGATGGAGCAGTACCTTGTGCCGTACCAAAAGCATTCCAAGGTCGTGTCATTGCGGTCTTTGCCATTTTCATGTAAATACTGATAGGCATTCGTCAATTCAGTCGCGTAAAAATGGTTGGAAGAAGTGAGCGGGGAGATCATCGATGGCACTTGGTGCTACAAAACATTGCTAGAATACACAGTACGATCGCATGCCTGTCAATCCTAAAATCCACTTGATCATAACGCGTCATCAAGGTATCTCGCAGATACGAAATTGCATGTAAACACAGATTCGCATATCACATCATGTACTCTTGCAACTCTTGCTTGACTTCTCGTTCGACTGCCAAGTGTCAATGTATTGACGAAAGTTGAGCGGAAAAAGACCACGGCTCAAGCTCACCTCCGTGTACTCCGGCAACTCCTCTAATATCCTCGCAAGCTGTCGTATGCGGTCAATTCCACGGCCATCGTTCTTGCGCGGTACATATCCTTGTCGCAACTCGACTTCCTGCATGAAGGCAGCGATGTGCGCGAGCGCTGGACCAAGATCTCTCACACCGGAGAGGTACGCCCTGCACGTCACGCGAAGAGTTCCAGCTCTCTTGTCAATTTTGTTCACCGGGGTAGACTTTGCATTACTCACCTGCTTTGCTGATACTCCTTAAGCAGGGTTTGCAGGCCATCTTGATGTGCGATCGCCCATTCGGTCTGTGCACGATACCGCTGCACCGCGTCCGCCTGCATCCTGTCCACTGCCTGTTTCAAACCAGACAGTCCAGCATGGATCTTCGCGTCCGCCTCCGCCCGTATCCTGTCTTGTTCCTCTACATGCGTCTTGAGGCCTTCAAGTCCCTTCTTCGTCTCCTCCAACAGGCCGACCAGCTGCTGATGTTCTTTGAGGCGCGTCAGCGCTCCCGCGTTCAGCACTTGCAATTCTCGGCGCAGTGCTGTTTGTGCTGCGGTGATGGAGCCGATGTTCGCTTGTAGGCTTCTGTAGCGAGCACGAAGCAGCACAAAGGGCACGAGGGCGAAGGAGCCCAGGACGGCGACGCTCACAAGGGACGACCTCAGCGTTGCGCGCCGTGGTCGGTCCCTGTCTGTACCATAATGTGGGGGTATCGATGCTGGTGCAGGAGCGATGGACGTAATCTGTGAGTCTGGTGGCTGCATGAAAGTGGACGACAAGCTGAGATGGCTGGGTGAGGGGATGGGAACACGCCTGCGCACGCCTCGGCACGTGTCACGTTATGATGCCGAAGCTCTCGGACACAACGCATGGAGAATCTAGCAAAGTAACAATATTACATGGGACTTCCGAGCTTGTTGTACAGTGGGTATGTTATGATATAGTACAAGAGGCGAGCAAGAGTCATGGAAGCAATGAATGGATGGGCACGTTACGAGGTGAGCGATCACAGACCTGAGCGCATACCCCATAATCAGTCAAATAAAGGCAGGTCCGAGCCACGGAGACGCATGGCGACAGAGGCGGTTGTCCTATTTCTTCAGCCAGCTGAACTTGTCTGCAAGATTCCGCCTCCACTCCGCCCCGGCCTGCTCACGCTTCACCGCATCCATCTCCACACGCTCAATCGTCTGCTTCAGATCGCGCAAGCCCTCCCGAATCTTCTTGCTTTCCTCTCTCCTCACCTCCTCATCGCCTTCCCACTGCGACCCAAGGCCGTCGACACCCGCCCTAGTTTCCTCCAGCAACCTGACAAAGCGTTGCTGCTCGTTCCGCCTAATCGCATTCTCCCCTACCAGCATCTTCACGTCTCGGCGCAGGGCTTCGTTCGCACTACCAAGCTGCGCAACCTGCTGGTGCAGAGAGGTGAGCCGGCTCCGGACGAGAAGGTAGGGCACTAGCGCGACTGAGGTCAGGAGGACTGTGCTGATGGCAGCGGCGTGTATGAGAGGTGATGATGATGATGACTGCCCGTCTGCGCTGGCCCTCGCGCTGGACCGTTCTTGCTGTGGCTTCGGAGGTGTCTGGGCCGCAAAGTGCTGCATGCTGGCCGCGATGATTAGGACGGCAGAGGGAGAGCTGGGCTGATCAAGCGATCGGCTTGACCTACGCACACGTGATGCGCGATCAATGCGCCTGAACCCATTTGGCACTGGCTAACCTCGACAGCACCATCGCGTAACCGTCACCAGTACCTAGAGCAAAATATATTGACTGACAGCATCAAAGCAGATTCCAAACATTCTCATCTTGGTTATCTTGTTGCTGTCGATGCCCTGGCGACTCGCAGAATAGTTGGTCTCGCATCAGCCACTTGCAATCCTGTCCAGCTCCGGAAGCCTGCAACACCTCTGTCGTCAATTCCATAGAACTTATTGCGTTCAGATGTTTTTGCTCGAGTTTGCACATATTCTGGCTCGCCCTCCGAGTTTTCCGCGGCCAGACAATGGGCACGATAGATCTTGTGGTGTACCGGAATACTAATAGTGACAGCGTACGATATCGATCGACCTTCCCAGCGGCGAGACGCCATTTTAGCTAAGGGTACATGACAGTCGGACATGACAGTGATACAATCGCACAAAGCACAGACAAACGACAGATCAACGCGATCAACAGCTAAACCTTTCGATACAGGTGACAAGAAATAAGCGATTACTTCACTAAAGGGTACAGATTATTGGTCTCATGATCCTTCACATATCAGTGTAGAGGCGCAGCTACGTTTTTGGCTTCTTCTGCCACTTCAGCTTGCTCAGCAAGTTGTATTTCTTCTTCGGTGGCACCGGCGGGGCTGGAGGTTCCTCCTTCGGTGGTAGCCTATACAAGGCAGATAATAGAAGTAGGAATCGTGAATTGTTGCACTGCAAGTTATGTTCGGAAGGTAAAATTCATACTCATCAACATATACAGGGACATCCTGCGGTAGTCGTTCCTTCGCCTGTGCAATATGTTTCTCATAAGCTTGCCGTAAGGCTTCGGGTATCGCGAGCTTCCTGCGCCAGACAGCCATACTGTTTCCACTCGGAGACAGCAGAAACACGAAGACAATGACTCGTGCAGCAGGATCATACACGGCCACTGATTCCTGCAAAATGCGGTCGGACGTCTCCTGCAACCGCGCAAGGCTAATCCAGTCGAATGCTGGTTGAGTAGGCGATCCCACGTCCGCGTTGGCGTGGTAGTCAGCATTTGTGATCAACGCACCACGCTCTCCCGTTCGCAAAAACGTGTTGAGCTATGGAAATAGGAAATTAACTGAGAGTCTTCACCAACATAGCTTAGACATACACCAACGATCGCGAGTCCGTTAGACATCGCATGTATCCACCTCAACAGCGAGGAGACGCGCTCGTCTTTATCTGGATCTAGCGCCCATCGTATCCTCCTCTTTGCAGGGTGTTCCCGACCAAACAAAGCACGTTGAGCGTATCTGAGTGATTCTCCATGAGAGCTGACGAACTGGTTCTCGCCAAATCCGTTCCGTGGAGGTGCCAATTCGAATATTGTTGTTGATCGTCCCGAAGCTATAGCCATTGTCCTTGAGGGAGAGGTATTGCCCCAAGGTGATGTAGGAGTCACTTTTTGCATTGCAGACTGGGGAGTTCTCACCGGAGGAGGTTGCCCATGGTTCCGCGGAGTCCCTGTATGACGGGAGACTGTTGGAGAGAAGTGCACGTGGTTACCGTCGTTCTGGCTGTCCCAGCCGTCATAGCCATTTTGTTCATGGTAGCCTTCATCGTAATCCTCTTCTTGCTCCTCTCCGTAATAATCGTCTTCATCGTCTTCATAGTCTTCATCGTCTTCATCTTCTTCATCTTCTTCATATATCGTCTCTGCCCCCCACGCGTTATCGTTGTTGTTGCCCCACCCTGCGCTTCCCCAGCTATCCGACTGCTGCACTGACGATGCTGAATGCGTCGAATGCTGCTGTCGAGACTTTGCCATACCGCCACTCCCATTGCCCCCTCCGTATAGCTGTTGCTGTTGCTTGAACTGCTGTACCTGCTGCATGCGTGCTTGCTCGATCTGTGTTCGGAGCTGCTGCTGCATCAACTCGTGTTGAATCGCAGCCGCGGCTTCTTGGTGAGCAGCGGCATATTGCTGTCGCTGAGCCGCATCCATGGGCGGAGGGGGCTGCGACTGTGAGGCAACGCTCTTAGTCTCGTTCGGATGCGTGAGCAAGGAGCGCAACATCTCTAACTGTTGCTGAGGAGACAGTACAGGCCTATCTCTCGGAGATGCAACGGTAGGGAAAGTGATAGTGGCAGCGGTAGTCACCTTGGGCAATCCCTTGCCTTCCCTTCCCCAGGTCTTCCACATGCTGGGCGTGTGTGCAGCTACCGCTGATGCTTGGGGAGGGGGAGGGGGCTGTGCTTGGGCGGGTGGTTCTCCCCGGGTTAACCGTACGTTGTTAGGTGGGACGCCCCATGTATCAGCTGTGGGCCATCTGCCTGCACCTGGAGAGCCCCCCCAGCCGCCAGCAGTGTTGTCAGCGCTCGCAGACGGGGTTGCAAGCGGCGCTGAGATCGGCGGCGCGGACGGAGTAACGGGTTTCTTTGACTTCTTCCCCATCTTCTTGACGTTCATGGCATCGTGAGCGGGTGAAGTTGGGTTTCCCCAGCCTCCCATAGAGGCATCTCCAGTGGGCATACCCCAATCACGTCCAGTATCGGCCGCTGCATCAGCGCCGCTCGCGAACGCCGGAGAGCCATCTGTGGGTGTTCCCCACTGATCATCTGCGGCATCCGCACCAGCCCCCCAGCCGCTATACTCATGTGTAGCGGTCGCGGCCGCCTGAGAACCTCCCCATCCCGCTGTTTCACCGCCTGCTGAAACGGCGTTGCGACGGGAGCGAGCCATGTTGGGGACAGACCAATTATGATGTTATCAAGGGGAAAGAGCGGAAAGAGACATGATCGCATACATAGCAGACTTAAGATGGGCTGAGCGACGCACCCGGAAGGACCTGATGATCGTATAATCCTAGGAGAGCTATTTGCCCAGGCAATGCATCCAACGGCGCCTCGTCTGGCGCATGTATGATATGTGGTACAGTATATGGGCGATCGACGATACTCGGCTCGAGGGACAGCGGTCCGACACTGGCTTTCTCAGCAACCGTTGACCTAGACTTCTTTCCGCCCTTCGCCATGCATTCCAAGGTCAATTAGATCACAGTTATCGCAATCCGTTGTTTGAGGGTGGTTTGAGGTGGCCTTTGACACAGTTTTCGAACGCGACTTAGCAAGCGGGAGTGACTGTATATGCCACACCCACGCAGTCGGTTCCGGATGCCCACGCTGTGACTAGTGGGGAAAAGAAGATGATGAGATAGTACAAGCTCGGGCGCTGGAGAAGCGTTGGAGAGGGACATGAGGCATGGCTCGACTCCGGCCGCAACAGAACAAGCGTCGCCATTGACTCTGTCAGACAAGCACAGGGTAAGCTGGTCCATGGCCTCCAGGGCTTAACAGTTGCAGCGATTGGCACTGAGAAAGCCGACACCCATGTAGGGAAAATCTTGCTTCTGAGATCTGATCTGAAACTATGCACTTGCGAAATCTGAAGCCATGGGCGGTGAAGGTAGTAAGTGGCAACTAAGAACGAGTGAGGATCAATATCAGCTTAACAGTATGTCAGGTCATGCTTATAAACAGTCTCAAATCTGCCTTACTCGGTTGCAAGGACGCGGCAGTCCAGCCTACACGAATACCATCGAGAAGGATGCCATCGAATTTGTCTTCGATAAACGTAACAATCCTGGGTAGCGCGTCTGCCCAACCGTCTTCTTCGAGAAACCATTCTTCTCTTGCATTGCGTCTAAACGGCGATGTCTGGTTGTTTGACTGTGGGGAAGCCACACAGCACAGAATTCAAAAGAGTAGCGTGAAGATGGGCAAGATACAGAAGATATTCATCACACACACACATGGTAATGCGAGGTGGTCGTTTTCCTGGTTGCCTGACTGGACTTATGGTGTATTAGGCGATCACATCTTCGGCATCCTGCCCCTCCTTGCAAGCAGATGCGATGGCGCTGGAGGTATGGTGGATGATTCAGCTGATCCTAGGACACAGGAAGAAAGCCGAGAAACGACCCCGGTGAGTGTGCTCGCTCGTCGACCGGCAGCAGATAGCTAACAGTGAACCTTACAGCCTATTGAGATCTATGGTCCGCTCGGCACGCGTGCATACATCCGAAGCGGCCTCGCGTACACCTACACGAACTTAGCTTCGCCCTACGTTGTGCACGAGCTACGCTTTCCGGCCGACCCGTCTGGCGACCACACATCCCTCCCTCTCCACACGTCTGAGTCGCCGGACGGACGTAACATCGAGCAATTCGACGGCGTATGGCCTGAGATCTACAAGGATGAGCTAGTTACGGTCTCTGCAGCGCCGATATTACATTCAATTCCTTGTGTAGGCTACGTCGTGACCGAACTGCCTGTCCCGGGAAAGATGGACCCGAAAGACTACGTGCCCCACCTCAAACGCACCAAGACTCCGATGTCGGTCATGAGGAAGCTACAACAAGGCGAAAGCGTCACGCTATCTGATGGGACAGTGTTGCACGGTCCTTCCCGGAGACCTGGCCGCAAGCTGGCGGTTCTTGGGGACACCTACGACCCTTCACCAATCGCAGAGCTCGCTGCAAATGTAGACCTGCTAGTGCATGAGGCCACAAACGCGCATCTACCTGGAGTGGATCCGAATACAAAACCAGACGACACGTACGAAAGTGTCGAGGCACGCACCAAGTCCCGCGGACACTCAACACCACAAATGGCAGGAAAGTTCGCCAGAAGAATAGGCGCGAAGAAGCTTCTGCTGAATCACTTCTCCGCGCGATATGCGGGAAACGATGATGTGGATCCGGATGCGAAGAAAATCATGGACGCCATTAGAGAACTTGCCGCTGGAGATTTCGAAGGAGAGGTGGTGTGTGCAAGGGACTTCATGAGCTTTGATGTAGAACCGCGGCGATAACAAGGTATTCGGAAATTTTCAAATAGCACGTTGTGAGTGGTGGAGCCAGTACAGATGCAGTTGTTTTCGCTGGTAGGTCAATCGTCCGGAGGATCGGACAACTCACTACTTTCGTCGCTCGCCTCGCCCTCCTCCAGCTCCTCTTCCCGCGGTTTCTTCTTCACCTTCACGTCTTTCGGATCCTCCGCCACTTCACCCATCTCGATATCGTCGTCTTCTGGTGTCTTGCTGGACAGCGTAGGTGTTGACCTTGCGGTCGAAGAACGTATCACCGGTGTCGAAGTCCGTGATTTGCTCGGGGTGAATGATCTGGCACCAGGATTGAGCAACTTCCTTGCCAGAGGAATTTCGTCTTCAGACTCTCGCTCATTCTCCCCGGCCTCCTTGTCCTCCTTGAGTTCTCCCGATTCTTCTCGTGTTCGAACGCTGACCGAGTCGCCCATTTCGATGTCTTCTTCGACATTGGTGCCCGGAGTCGGACTAGCAGCACGAGAATCTTCTGCCACCTCCGGCTTGCCCATCAGACGTAGGGAGTTTAGCTCAGAAATCATTGAGTCCAAGGCGTTCTTTTGTGTATATATTATCCGGCTCTGGTTTTCGTGTTCAGCACGAATGGCCGCCATATCGTTTTCCAACGAGCTGATAGATCTGTACGTCGCGCGTGAGCATCTTGTTCAGCACGAGACCGCGGTGACGAACGCGTTCAGCTCTTCCCTGCTTGGCAAAGTGTTTATCTTCTCGGCAATGGCATCGTACTCAATTTTGCGTCTTCGTTGTATCTGAGCATGCTCCAAGGACAACTTGAGTTGTTCGATCTGACTCTTTAAGTTGACGTGTTGGTCGGCTTGATTGAACAGCGCGCTCAGCGAACGTTGCAGATGACTGTTCTTCATAACGCACCTATTCGTTCCTTCTCCATCTGATACTCCTCCACTTGCCGCGCCTCCGCTTCGCAGACCATCAAACTCTTCTTGAGCAATAATTGGAACGACGCGAGCTCCACCAGGAACGCTTCTCGCGCATCGTCGACCGAAGAAATAGCCGATGAAGGCGGGGTCGATGCTGGTGTATACGCCACGGTCATGTAGTTGTGGAACTTCTTGGTCACACGACGCAAGCCTTTCTCGTCATTTGTGATTCGGGAGTGTATGATAGCGTCTGGGCGGAGGTCGAACGGAGTGGCATAAGCAGCAATCGAGTGTTGCTTGTAAGACAGCACGCACCTTCTTCCTGCACGGTCATCGGTGGCGCGATATATGCCACCTCCTGCCCAGGTATTGATATTGAGGAAGAAGACTCCTGCATGTTGACCGAACGATGCTGGTGTGGCTGAGAACAGGATACGATAACGCGCGCTATGGACGTGACTACTGTGACACTGGATCGCGTGACAGGGAAACCGACCGAGGCGTAACGCTCTTAATCGTTCTTGGGCAGTGACGACGTCGCGCACGTTCGCCGGATTGGGATTCAGCCCAAGTCTCCTTCTTGGCTGGTCGAGACTTTGCAGACTTCAAAGGCCTCAAACTCTACCCACCATGTCGACGCAGCCTCTGCTGCAGCGCACGGCAGCTAAGCGCATAGCTCTGCCAGTCAGAGTCGAGCCCAAGGTTTCATTTGCAAACGAGCGCACATTCCTATCATGGCTGCATTTTACGGTGGTCTTGGGCGGCCTAGCGGTGGGTCTATTGAATTTTGGGGACAAGGTGCGAATATATAGCCTTCATGTGCGCTTTCATTGTTAAGCGATGTGAGCAGGTGGGCAAGATATGTGCTGCCATGTTCTCTGTCGTCGGTGAGATTCTCACTACAGGAATGCTCGCGCATTGACCACGGTATTGCTCACACGGTCACTGACAGCTATGGCTGTAATGGTCTATGCCCTCTATACATATCATTGGCGCGCTGCCTCCATTAGGAAAGGAGGTCGTGGTCCTTATGATGACCGAGTCGGACCCGTAGGTGCTTCAATACCCATATCGATCACAGGCGGCTGACCGGGTTGCTCTATCTAGACAATATTGTGCATCGCCTTACTCAGTGAGTTCACACACCTTCTTCGAGTCTGAAGTCGTTACTAAATTGTTGCAGTCGCGATCGTCATCAATTTCATCCTTCGGTTCACACAGCCAGACGACTCAGAGCCATGAATCACACCATCGCTAACGCCGCACTTCAGCCATTCAGCCCTACCTCGCGCCGATCAAAGACGATTCACACCGACGGGATGGGAGGGTTGCTTGTAAGTCAGGATGATCTGTACCACGATCTTCGCATACGCCAGAATTATGTCTCGTTAGCACAACCACCTATCCATGCTGAATCTCACCACCTCTTGGATACATCACTGTAGTCTAGCTGAATATATCCATTCATGTCTTTCTCTGGTCTGCAGAAGTGCTCATAGTGCATGTAAAGCTTGAAAACTACCCCTCATGGCGGCCGTTTAAGCTCAAGACGGGCGAAAGCACAAATGAATGTTGCGGAAGCAGCCTCTAGTACATGTCGGAAAGAATATATTCGCAGCGAACCTATTTCTGTATGGCCTTGTAAATTGGCTTCTCAACTTCATGAATGGGCGTCTTGCCCTCTGGCGCCCCAGGAATAGTTTTGACAAGCCCCTTGGTGATTTTGGTTGCGTTAGGAAGAAGCGCATGTGTGGAAAGCGAGAGACTCACAAACTTCTCAAACATACACTTGTTCAGCGTTCGCTCGGGTTTCCGGCACAAATAGTACTCCTGAACAAATCCAATATGTGCATAACGATGCAGGACTTCGCAAGAGGGTGTTCTACACGCACCTGGTTGTTCTTCTCCAAGCAGTTCCAATGTTGCTCGAACTCCTGGGCGCAGCTGTCCCGCATCTTAGAGATCCTAGAGCAAGGGGAATCAGGATCGGCCGTTCCAAGAAAATTGCACGCACAAGTCTATCGCACACCTCGTCACTCTCCTGCCCTCCTTGAGACAATGTTCCGCGTCACGGTTCTCTGCCTTGCAGAGCATGAAGTCCTCTGCGGATGTAGATAGTGGATCAGCCCAAGAGCGAATTAAATAGCGACATCACCGCCTTATCCAGATACTGCACAATACGCGTATGTCCGCAGGCGATCCGCATATGCCAGCCTGAGAGACTACAGTACGCACCATTGTAGTCCTTGCAGTATGCTCCGAGGAAGAATGCGGCGCTCTTCAGCGGCGCACTGGTCGCGCCCAGCTCGGGGACCTTGGGCACGCTGTCCGGGAGCGGCGTGGGTTCCCTATAGGGCCGTTCCGACTGGGCAGGATCGTGCCAAACGCTCATTGTGGTCGTCGATGGGTAGCGTTGTTCGACGACGCAACCGACGCCCGTGCGGGCGTCTCCGACTTTGCCCAGATATGGCAGCTACGGCGCCTATTCTTCCAAAGTGGCTTGGTCTTCCGATCGATACAACTTACCGGACTGCAACACGGACCAGAGGACGTTCCTTATCTAGCATAGTTTACTCATTATGGTCTGTGTTTCCAATCTCTCATTTTTGCGCACATTATCATATTGTCTCGACAGCCTCCCCGAGTTCAGCCCAAGACATACATTCTACCGCTCAAGACGCACAAGCTCACCGCATATCTGACGGCGGGTATAGGCGACACCATCAACTCTGTCAAACAAAAGGCGTTGTCTGCACTGACGACAGAGGTCCTCGACACCCCAAACCCGCATGCCGCGATGGGTATGCCCGTGGACGACGAGCCAGAATGGACTGTGCCCAAGATCTCAGGGCTGCAGGATTTCGAGCTGAGCAGGGGCATCAAGGAGAGGGGCAGGATAACTGGGAGATACGAGCTGCTCGATAGTAGCACGACCGTTAAGAGTGTTCTCGTCAATTGGGATACACTCTTCGTGCAGTTTAGAGACGAGAATGGTGAGTTCGACCCATATTCTATGTATGATATCTTCATACGATCGACCTCCAATCATCTCTGTGTCCCAACGTCACATCCTCGCGACCTACGGAACGGTACCGCCGACATTCAACTCTGCACGCCCCAGGCGACCTACTACCTGTCAAGGTCTCTCTGCCCCCATTGGACGATGACGAAGAAGCGGAACTGGCAGCTGCAAGGAAGGGGAAGCGGAAGGCACACCCAGAAACATGAAAGTGCGAGTTATGTCAAGATCCTCATGCTGTCGTCTTGCTGTCGCGTAGTTTGTTTCCTCTTGTTGCATCTGGTTACAATGGAGAGCCGGTTTCATTTTTTGTCGCCGCGCTGAGCAGCATACGAGGAAAGCGTCCGGTATTAGGAGTAGTAGCGCTTCGCATGATAGACCCATGCAACTGGATCGACCAAAGCCTCGCAAATCATCACTGCGATGGGAGGCGTTGCCATCTTCGAGGGCTTAGAGGCAATAGAGCAGCTGCGACCTCTCGACCTTCCTCGACGAGCAGGTTGTATGTGGAGCAGGCATTCCACTGTGACGTGGCTGTCATTAGCATGAGGTGGAATAGCCGGGCGCGAAATCCACATACCGTATCCATCACATCTACTTGTATGCCGAGCCCATTGAGATACTGACGGAAGACTGGCGGGACGAAAGACACCGTCTTCCCTGTCCCGAATAGCAGGATCTCTGTATGCCACCAGCAGAAGACACGTCTGTCGCTGTTCCTATCGCGACCGAAGTAACGCTGCTCACCAGGTTTGGGTACGACTACGTCAAAGACTTCGAAATGTTGCTTGTCCCAGCCGTCCCACAGCCTGTCCGGTACATCCCAGAGAAAGACTCGGTTATCAAGAAAGATGCAAGCAGAGGGGAGTATGAGTCCGTCGGCTAGTAGAATACCCCCCGACGTGATGGTCTTAACCTGAATGGCGGCACTGCCGCCCTCAATGATGTTGGTGAGTCCACTGCTGCCTTGACGCGTAAAGCTCGACGCGTGGATGCATCGTGATCGCACACGAGATATTGGACGAGTGGTCAATGTTGCTACAGTGCGAGTGAGCATGTTGGCCATATTGCAATGAGTCCTCTGGGCAGGCTCGTAGGTGACTAGTCAAGTGCAAGATTAGTGAGGCAATAGTAATTCTGACCGTGGGAACCAAAAGGGTTCACTTAAGTTGAGCGCCCAGAAAGCTCCTTTGTGACTGCCATCGCTTGGAAGAGTCCGGCTCCTCCAGCTGCCCTCGCGATCGGAAGGCTGAAAGTCGCGTACTGGATATAAACATAGCTTTTTGTAAAGCTGAAGAACCGGCGATATGGCAGGAGCATCGGCCGCAGACGTCAGGAGCATACTGTCTCTCCCTTCCACTCCGGGACCCTCTCAGATGCGGAAGACAACATCCAACACGGAGCGCGCGCGCAAGCCGGACGGTATCTCAAGAGAGCTCTACTCTCTTATTGGACCCTCGGCGCCGACGCTTGCTGCCCAGTTCGCGAAGCCTAGGCTGAGGCAGAAGCCGAATCTTGGCGGCGGAGGCAGGGTGAAATGGTAAACTCGCAAGGAGACCTCCTTGCTTGGCTCTACAATAGCTGTGTGCTGACATGGCCAAAGGGAATGGAAGTCATTCAAGAATGGAGCGCGCTCGGACTCGTTGAAGTTGTCGCATTGGACGAAGGCAGAGACGGATCCTGATGCTGGTACGCTCTGCTCTTTCGTCGCGGAAGCATGTACCGCAATCACATCTGTATGTAGACTACCCCTTTGCGAAATACAACATCCAACCTATGGCATACGTGTATTCACAAGATGAGTATACCCGATTCCTGGAAGGTGAGTATTGTGGCATGCTTGTCGTCGGGGACCGATGAATGACGGTATGATGAGACAAGGATTGGACGAAGGAGGAGACGGACTATTTGTTCAATCTTGCCCGGGAGTATGACTTACGATGGTACATCATCCATGACCGATACGAATATGAAGGTGGTCCGGAACGAACCCTTGAGGTATGCTTGTTTTTCGCCTGGTTCTTAGGATATCATAGATCTACTGAACTTACTCCAGGACCTGAAAGATAGGTACTTGAGCGTTTGTCGAAAGCTTGTCAGGAATCGTCCTCGGGCAGGAGACGAAGCCACCCGGAACCAGTTGATGTCAAGCCTAGCGTTCGACAAAGGCATGTTATGTTCTCAATGAAGTCATTCATTTGGCTCATCGATACCATCAGAACGCGAGATTACAAGAAAACGCTACATAGCAAGTCTTGAGAGTCGAACGCCACAGCAAAAAGCCGAGGAAGATGCCCTCTATGTAGAGCTCAAGCGGCTCGAACAAAATGAAAGACGATTCAAGCGTGACCGCGAAGAACTACTTCGTACCCTACTCGGCATCGAGTCCGGGCTACCTGATATCAAAGAGGATGAGGATGGCCTTATGAATGGGCCTGCAGATACGAGAAAGAGGAAGAAGGGAACCCATACAGCGGAATCAGAGACACCTATCTCAGCGACGCCTTCTTCGAATATCATCTCGCTCGGACAGCCGTCCAAGAAAGGGCACTCAGCGAAGTCTGCTGCATACGGTGCGTATCTTCGGCAGACGCACTATACCGTCGATACCGACCAGAGCTTTGGCAGACGCTCTTCACTGCATACATCGTACCGATATACCACCGGCAAACGCGCCGCCCACGAAGACCGCGCATCAGCCAGTGTATCTCCGATCCTATAAGCTCCCCCAGCCAAAGCTCACCTCCGTGGCCAAGGTGGCACAGGCGCTCGGAGAGCTCGGTATTTCACACACGCGTCTCGTTATGCCAACGCGGGAGAACTGTACGCAGCTGGAGGGGCTTCTAGACGCAGCTACGGCCCTTGTGGAGACCAAGAAGGTCGTGGACAGGGTCGAGCAGGATATTCGTGTTGCAAGAGAAAGACTGGGCACACAGGGAAACGAGAGTGCCGAGGATGGTACGGGTGCTGGAGAAGCTTTGCCAATCCCGATGGATGTGGATGACGGCAATGAGGGCGACGTGGATAGGAGGGCTCAGAGCGTTGTGAGCACGCGGAGCACGAGGAGCAGGAGGCAGGTGCGTCTAGTCAAGGCCTGCATATTTGCCGAAACGCTGACTGCAATACCTCGCCCTACAGTCCCGACGGTCTATGTCGATCTCTTCCGTCGATACGCCTGCCACGGGTGCGATGAAGAGGCAGAAACGCCCATAAAATATGCGAGACTTTGGCTTCCTATCTGTATACTGTGTAGCTGTATCGTCATGCTTGACTAGCCCATATTTACCTTGTCCTTTCCGAGCTTAGTTCCGAGTTTGAATGTCCCGTAGGTATGGGTTGGCGGTCCTTGGGCGGTCCCGCGAGTCGCGCCAACACATGCTGTCCGTGACCGCGTCGCGTCGTGTTCCCTTCCGCCACCGGCCGCACTGTCTGTCGTTGCATTCGAGTCTAACGCTCGCCCTGCATTATCCTACTAGCTGGTTGACTAGTGACCGTCCTTTCACCTTCTGTCCTGATCAATATTATGCTGTTGTCATCTCGTGTCATGAGCAGCGTTCGCTCGCGGCAGATCCGGAGCTTTGCCACCGCCCTCAGTCCAAGCCACTCGATATACATCTCCAACTCCACGAACCCATATTTCAATCTCACTCTAGAGGATTGGTGAGTGAGCTGCGATAGACGTCAGATCGAGCATGAACCGTCTCTTCTGTGCCGACTAAGGCTATTCAGACACAAGCCTCCGCGGGACCCACTGCTACTCATCTACCGAGACCGACCGTGCATTGTGATCGGCCGCAACCAAAATCCATGGAAGGAGGTAAACATGCGAGCGTCGAAGGAAACTGGTGTGCCGTTCATCCGCAGACGGAGTGGAGGTGGGGCCGTCTATCATGTACGTGCCGCTACACACCATGCACAGTCCGACTCGTTATGATGAACTTCGGACGTCTCGCAGGACCTCGGCAACACAAATTTCTCGATACACCTCCCACGAACTTTTTTCGATAGACATGCCACCGCACAAGTGGTCCTCCGCGCGGTCCGCTCGCTGGGCGTCGACGCCAATGTGAATGACAGGAATGACATCTGCGTGGGCAAGGACAAGATAAGTCGGGTTCAGTGCAAGTCTCATGCTTGCTCTCCGTCAGGGGGGACGTCAGGCAAAGGCTTACACTCGACACGCTCAGACACGTATCGGGCTCGGCGTACAAGATCGTGAATAACCGTGCCTACCACCATGGCACGATGCTTATATCCACCAGATTGGATATGCTTGGTGACCTGTTGCATTCAAACAAGGTACGTTGCACACTAAACGTCACAATTATGTACCTCAATCTTAGTAGCAAGCAAGCAGGACACGATGGAAACCAAAGGCGTAGCATCCGTCCGCTCGCCGGTCCGAAACCTGCAACAGTTCAATCCCTCAGTGAATCACGAGAAATTCGTGGACGCTACAGTCTCCGCGTTCAGAGAAGAGTATGGCATCAACGAACAGGTATGCATCAGGCATCGTACGGTATACCGTACTAAACGACCGGCACGCAGATCTGTACGGTCGACGAGAATGAGGAGAATCTGAATATTGAGTACATACGCCATGGAATGGCAGAGCTCCCGGCATGTATTCATGCAGTCTTAACGATGTCTAATGAGTACGCTGACACTCAGTACGATAGAGCTGGGATTGGGCATATGGTCAGACCCCAGAGTTCACCCACGAAATCACCCTTCCATTTGAATGGAGCACCCTGGTGAGGGATACCTCGTATGAGAGCTCATCAACGTCAATGACACAGGAACAACTTATACAGACCGCGAAAATTCATTCACGGCACGGCATCATCTTGTCTTGTACACTCACGACATCCGATGCTGTAGATGATGCACTGAAGCAAAAGTTGATCACACTGTCAGCGAGGCTGGAGCAGCAAAGGTATGGGTTTGTGGACGAGGCGAGTTTAGGATCGGACATTCTGGAGGACAGCGAGATCAGGGTTGTCTGGCATTGGCTGAAAGGGGAGATGGATAGTTGACGGTGACCCGAGAATGTTTGACGATGTTCAAACTGGAGCGATATATGATACGAGCAAGCGTAGTTCTTGGGTTGCAATTGCAACATTACACGAGAATGTGGACGGGAAATGGAATGCTCGCAGCGTTGTCGAACGCTGTCTATCTTGTCCTCTCGGTATACCACACGCTATTCGTCTTGAACTCTTCCGGTGCTATAGCGTTGGACTGTACCCCATGTTCAGACGAACGTTGCGGAAAGAGGCTGTATTATACGTACTGTCTGCCCCCGGATGTGTCCCGTCAATCGCTTGTCTCGGTCCATCAACATCTCGTCCCATGTATCAATGTGGTACCGGGGAGGCTGAGGCACATCATGGTAGAACGAGCTCTCTCAGTAACGTCGAACCGTACGCGAACGATTTGAACGTACCTTCCCCAGATTCTGTGCTCTCTTAGAGATGTTCAGCAGCGTGCCCGCTGCAGCGAACATAGAAGCAACCAGACCTAACAGGACTTCTCAGAATTACGCGGAGAATATTCACAACTCGTCATTCACCAAATGGAATCAACGCCTCCCATGGAACGGGCATGATGGGCAAACTGAGAGTCAATTACTAGCGGGGTTGCGGTCGAGTTCCCGATTGCAAGCGCTAACTGATAGGCGTGACGACTCCCATTGTCACTCAAGTCACAGTAGTATGGTATGTCACATATATTGAGAGAACGATGGTGTCGCAGAGGGATTCTACTGGTAACGAGGCTACATAGCATGGAAAATACACAGCCAGATATCTCAACGTATAACAAGATCGACGAATATGTGAGTTGAGGTTACGCGGTCGGTGTCTCTTGGAACTTGCCTTTGATAATGTCCGCGGCTGTGGGTGCGCATTTCAGCAAGGTCTATATCTCCGTGCGATTATGAGTATGCGCCGACGTACCTTGTTCAGCAATGGCGTAAACAGTCGCTGTTAACAGAAGGATATTCGTCCGTCAGCGACAGCCGACTTCCGATGCATTCTGGCTTACCTTGGGGATGCGCGGCGAACTGCAACGGTACTACGGAAAGATCGACAACGCGGATATTATTCGTACCATATACCTAATGCTTTATCAGCCTATGAATCGCATGAGAGATTGAAAGCTTAGCACCTTCAACTCGGGATCGACAACACCCCCGCTTGAGAGCGGAAGCATGGAGCAAGACCCGGCCGTATCTGACAAAAAGAGAGCATGAGCAATGCCCAAAAGAAAACATAGGATCTTACGTACGCCAAGTTGTCACAAAGTTCTTCTTGATCCACTCTAAATCGAAACATATTAGTAATGTAACTTAACACGACAGCTCAGATGCATACCCCGGAGCTGAGCATCATCATCCACTTTGGGACCGGGGTTGAGCTCCGAAACTGGACGCAATGAACCCGGTAAGCCATGAATAAATAGGATACCTGACTACCAGAATAGCATACCGATCATATCCTTGAATGGAGCAATCTCGGCCAGCCCTCTCGCGAACCTGACCGCTTCGCACCATATGTCCAAGTCTACACTAGCTTCGTCGGCAACAGCACGAATGGAGAGCAATTATGGACATACCGACTTCCTCCTCCATATAGTGAGGATCAAACTCAGGGTCCTTCCGAGGGTCAGAAGAGATGGCATGCTGAAGGGAAAACTATGGCTGAATGACTCGTCATCGTTGGCAAGACAACTACTCACAATGGTACCCCTCGAGAAACAGTGATTCATAGCAACGATTACGGTGAGATACCGCTTGCCTTCTGCGGGCGGGTCTACAGCAATCAAAATGGTCGACACGCATATACCCAGCTGAGAGAGGCGCAACATACTAGGAGAAGAGAGGTATCCAGGAAAACTGATAAGCTCGCAACCTGGGGCACCGTTCCTAAGGCGCTCAAGTTGGATCTCGTATTGCTCCAGCAGCCCCGGCGGGTATGTATGTGCATTTCGCGCAATCTTCTCCTTGGCAGCTTGGTAAATCTCTTCTGCCTTCGCCGACAGCATATTGAGAGGGACAAATCCGAATCCGACGATACCTTTCGTGTGTATCCCCGATCCGGTGGCACTGGAAAAGGCGATGTAAATAATATGTCGCCGCATACTACGTATTCAAGGTAGGAAGAGCTCACTGGAGTTCCAGGTGTTTCGCAGCTTGCGTAGGGTCGCGCAGCAAGTCAACGGTCTCGAAATCGCAGTCATCGCGCAACTCTGCTCGCAGATCAGAGCCATCTCCAGGATCGAGGATCTACCCATCTTACCGAAGCTAATTCCGACAAATACGTGTTCTTGTGCATTCTGTCCGACGCCGGGAAGTTCAATCCTGGCCGGCACATTAATCTTCTCAAGGACATCCTTTCTGCCGATACCGGAAAGCTCCAGGATGTGCGGCGACTTCAACGCCCTATCTCGCCACGTCAATTCAGCTCAAGTGAATGTCTGCGAGCGACTGACCCCGCAGATAGAATGACTTCCTTCTTCGCATTGACAATGTATGTCTTGTCGCCGTGTAGGAACTCGACGCCCATAGCGCTCAACTTGCCGTTCATGGTGGTATCTGTGTGCATTCGGTTGACAGAGGCAGAAGTAAGAACGGTGAGGTTTGCCCGATCTTTGTTGGGAAGGTAGAAAGCCTGAAGGATACCATCAATTACAGCTGCTCGAGAAGGTAACAGACGAACTCACGGTTGTGGCATATGACCGGGTATGTGTAGAGGGATCATATGTGTTGGGAGCAAAAAATACACCCTTGGGCTACATAGCAGCATGAATATATTTACACGTCAAGCTATACATGAGCAACGTACGTCGCCACTTAGCTGCATGAGAAACAAATTGAGTCCACAACCTCAAATAAGCGTGTATATGAGCTTACCGGATGAGGAGCAATCGGAAGACCAGCATTGATCAACGTCTATGCAGACATGATCAGTACCTCTGCATGGTGGCTATAGCTTCTCCTGACCTGTTGGAAATGTAGCTCGGCTTCATCGATCGTTCCGGGGTATGAGACCTTCAATGGACCTTGATGCACGACATCAACGACGATAGAAATATAAAAAATAACATAGCGAAGGCATACCTTGCGTACCGATTCTCCATGCATCGAAACACATGCGATTGCGCTTTTGCACATCGGCGCTAGGCGGAACGAACCTATGTCAAGAAGGTCGCGGGTCAAAATACCACTATGAGTATCAGGAACATGCAATCTCACCCTTCCGTCTTACTGAGGTATTTCTCATAGTTACCCCAATTCCAACCAGGGCTGCCGAGCTTCTCGAAGTCTAACAAGACAGTCAATTATTTCATGCTACGAAGTAAATGTTTATTCACCGTTGATCTCTTCGGCAGGCGGCTTCGTCCAGCACATGAAATTGATCGCGGAGCTACCACCAAGTCCTTTTCCCCTGAGACAGGATCAGTTGGCCGCGCACGCGATGAGAATAGAGAAGCAAGACCTGAACCAGAGCTGCTCAGCATCGCCGACATGCTTCTGTTTCGTCTGTAGCGAAGTAAGCATACGGCACATGCGTATCAATCATGGACGTACTGTTTGGTATGTCCATGCATATTCATTGTTGGAAAAGTGGCTTCCCCAGCCAGCGGGACGCACTGCAAGAGGAGCATATTGCATTCGTTGAGGCGCTAGGGAATTAGCGGTCGTCAAGGCTCACATATCGTGGCATCATTGAGATTCTCTCCTCCTGCTTCGAGAACGAGTACGGAAGTTTGTGGCTCTTCGCTTAGCCTTGCTGCAAGCGTTAATCCAGCCGTCTGGGAACACCGCGTTAATTAAGTAGAATGACATGTGTTGATGTTGGACTCACTCCTCCACCTGATATTCCGCGCATTAATCAATGATGTGGCGCATTCCCTAGACGATGCTCACCGCAGATGATGTAGTCAAAAAAGTTATTAGCGACGCTCTCCACAGATGTAGACATATTGCAATCGTCGCGCAGACAAGAGACGGACAGACGGGTAGGCAAGATGGGGGTTTCGCAACGCGAGTTGCTCAACGAAGCATGCCGCTTTTATCAGCAGACAGCTGTGGCAGGCTTCTAACTTGAACCATGCTGTCGCTTTGATGATCGCGATGAGATCCCCGCCATGTGTTGAAGATGATTGGCCTGAGGGCAAAACGACCGCCAGAATCGTCTATCGCCTGCCAATCTGCTATTGGCATATGGAACCACCACCGTTCAGCAGGAGGAATCGCCGGAGTTCTTCACGTCTGAAAGACAGCTACCATTCTGGGGCTAGCGTGCCATGAGGCGGATAAGTATTGGCGCAGCTGTAGTGTTTCGCACAATATCCGAAGCAGCACCTCAGCAGACCGGAATGCAGGCATCGTCGAACGTGAGGAGACCTTATTCGATGCATTCTCGATGGCACGATGTGGCGAATGAAAGAATCATCGCAGTCGCCAGAGTGCGCCACCAAAACCCTTCCATGCCATATTAGGCAACTCCTGTGGTTAAGTCGGTTCCGCGCGATTTGTTCTCGAGCGCGGTCACTTGATAGCGATGCACGATCATGAGTGCAGCGGCGTATGTAGCGGCGAAGGAACACACCCGCAACGATATCAGAACCATGCCCCAAAAATTGAGCGAGACACAAAGCACGAGCATATGCATCGGATAACAATATGTACACGTCAGTATGAATCTTCTGCGTATTCAAAAGTCTATGCGCGATCACAACATTGCCTTTCTGCAAGCGAACCCTAGATGGTGCATCCTACCCAACCTCACGCAATCCAACAACTCCATACTTATCTCCGAACCGTCCTCTGCATCTTCGCATCCGCAGTGGCGACCAGCTTCCGTGCCTGAGTGTTCTGCACGTCGCCGTCGCCGTCATCCAGACGAGCGAACGGCTTCCTCACCGCCGAACGCGCCTTCACCGTGTCATATGCCGTCGAGCGATCCGTTTTACCACGGATCGTCTTGTCGCTATCCTCTCTCCTCGCAGTAGGACGTGCCAACCGATCGCTCGGGCGTCCAGACACCCGCTGCCTCTTCACATCCCCATTCCCCTCCACATCGCTCACATCGTTCTCCGAGTCGGAGTCGTCGGCCGTCACGCTGCTCAGCGAGTCATGCGGGCCCATCGGCTTCGACCGCACCGACCCCCGCAAACGCGCCTGCATCTGAGCAGAGCTCAGCCTCTCCGGCGACGTCTTCCCGGTTGGCCTTTTCCGCGGAGGCTTTACTCCAGCGTGTTCAGTTCGCGGAAACGGCCGCTTGCGCCCGGCAATGGATGACGTCTCGGAACTTGACGTCATCGAAGAAGCCTGCGAGTTGGTTCGTGTCCGCAATCCGGAGCCGTTGTCGGAGGTCCCGAGACCCGACGTGGCACTGTCCGCAGACGACGCCGACAGCAGCCCGTCTGTCGCCCTCGGACGCGCAGCCTCGCGTGCCAAGCGCTTCGCAGTGGGTGTGCTGAAAGTGGCGTTGAAGTCGTCCTCCTCCTCCTCGACATAGCTCGGATCGTCGTTGTTGTCCACATCCATCGACTCATCCAGGTCGCGCTCGCTGTGAACCTCAGAGACGCTCGCGTCGTCGCTCCAATCGCTCACGGAGTCGAGATTCAGGTACTCACGCTGCGATTGGAGCGACCGTTGAAAATCCCGCTTGGCCGGCGGGGTCGTCTGGTCTTCCTCGGCGAGATAGTACATAGACACTTCGCTCTCTTCGCCAATTTCAGTGTACATTGCGACCTCTGCGCTCCGTGCGGACCGTGGCGGCGTCACTGGTTCTTGTATGGCAGGCATCCGAGGGGGAACAGGAAAGGGCATAGGTGGATATGTAACCGGCACGGAAGGATACTGCTGCGGCTCTGTCGGCTGAACTTGAGGCACGACGGAGGGCTGCTCGAAGGTAGGCGGTTTTTCTGAGGGAGGAGGCACTCCTGATAGAGTGCGAGTGTCTTCGTAGGCACTCGGCGGAGGATACCAGGTCTTGTACGGGGGCGGCGCTGGCGTGGGCTCCCTATACGCTCTAGCGCTGGACCTCGTGCCTTTATCCGATGGTTGAGAAATAGCGGTGGTTCTTAAACTTTGGGTCGACTTTGCGTGCCGCACCTTCTGCGACTCTCGCCTTCCCAAATCGTGCGCGACGCTAGTAGCGCGGTGAATTGTAGATCGCGGACGGCTCTTTGGCTCCACGTCAACCGCTTCCTCTGCGGTCCGTCGCGACCTGGTAATTGGTTTGGTAATATTCGCGGCAGGCTCCGCCTCCGGGACAGCTGAAACAACGGGCTCCTCCTCCTCTTCCAGAGGAACATCCTTCTTGTTTCCATATCTAAGCCGTCGGTAGTGATGGATCACATAGTGGAATGGGAGGGTCACCAGGAGGAACACGAAGTCGGTGACGGTGAAGGCGATATCGAAGATCAGGTCAAGCGTCGCTGCATATGGCTTGATCACTGGCTTGATAACAAACAAGAAGACAGGTTCAGAGCCCTGCAGCCCGCGATCGTGATATCAGCGCTCTCTGATGCGTACGGTAGGAGGCGCGTTACTCACACGAGCCCTCGAGACCAAGAAGAACAAAATCAATATCGACTTGATCTCGTCGTAAAACGGCACAAAGAGGCGGACCATCGGGTCGAAAGTTCGCTCGTAGATGACATAGCAGCACTTGATGGGGACAGATGGGGACTCAGCGGGGCGTCGGCATGGGTCGCGTGGCCACTCACCCATACGATCCAGACAGTCATGCAGCCCTTCATTGAGCGCTTGCGCTGGCTCATCGCGCGCGCGGTAGGCTTCCCGCCATTCTTGGCAGAGGAAGGAGGGAGCCTGAGAGTCTTGAACGTGTCGAATACGTTCAGGAATATGTATACCATACGAAGGATCGGAACGATCAGCTGCATCTTGAACGGACCCGATGACGAGGTTGCAAAAATCTAGACGCGTGGCACGTAGAGCAATAGTGGCAGGTAGGGTGAAAGGGATCCTCTGAGCGCGTCGTGAGCAGAGGGGGTCGGGGACGAGCGAGGTCGTTAGGATGATGTTGGGAGCGGATTTCAACTTCAGCAGGGACGAAGGAGCAAAAACACAAAGCACACTTTGATCAGGTATATACGGCTCGATCAACACAGCAACGGTGCGAGTGCCGCGAGTGTGTTATGCAGCATGCGCGCCGAGTGGGTGGTTCACTCCAGTCGAGTTGCAAGTTCAACTCGAACACGACGGCGCGTCTCCAACGAGGCGTGTTGCTTACGTAAACCGCGTTTCCCAGCGCCACCGGTGGCACAGCTGGCCGCTCATCCTCCTTCCACGTTCACACACACCTCGCCCCGCCGCCATGCCCAAGATTCGGACAACGCGCACTAAGAAGCCCCCAGAAGGGTTCGAGGACATCGAAGGTGTGCGTACTGCACCCTGCGTTGCTCAGACGACGGCTGCGCGTGACTGACCTGCATACCTTCTCGCGCGACAGATCCTCGATGAGTACGCGAAGAAGATGCGTGACGCCGAGAACGAGACCCACGAGGGAAAGCGCAAGACCGAGTCGCTCTGGCCAATCATGCGTATTTCGCACACCCGCTCGCGGTACATATACGAGCTGTACTACAAGCGCGAGGCGATCAGCAAAGAGTTGTACGACTGGCTCCTGAAGGAGGGCTATGCAGATGCAAAGTGAGCAACAGGCATCTGCTTCCATGGATCGTGCTCATGACGCAACCTTCCAGCCTGATCGCGAAGTGGAAGAAGCCTGGATATGAGAAGCTCTGCTGCGTGCGGTGCATCCAGACGAGGGTGCGCATCACGGCTCTGTATACTCGTGGCGGGCGTACTGACCTGCGGTTTCTAGGACATGAATTATCAAGGCTCGACGTGCCTTTGCCGTGTGCCCAAGGCCCAGCTTCGTGCAGGCACTGTGGTGGAGTGCGTACATTGCGGTGAGTCCAGTGTGTGTTAAGCTCGTGGGGACGCTTGCTGAGGTGCGCGCCAGGGTGCCGGGGTTGCAGCTCGGATACCTGATGCGCTACGCGCTCCAGTACTCTCATGCTAGTGGTGAGGAAGACCTGTATGAAAACTAGCCTATTGACCTGTTTTCTTGTCTGGCCGTGTCGTGTAATATATCGCTAATCTAGTGTGATCGCATTCCTCTGGCCTTTTGGCTCTGGAGTCGACTGCGCACGTCGGCGAACAAGAACTTCGCGTCTTTCACCAGGCAGAGCATCTGTGAAACTCTGATTCACGTGTCTTGCTGCTTCCGCCCCTTCACAAGCCCCCCTGGTATGTACGTTCTGCTGGTGTACGGCATACGCTGTTGCCTTCTCGTCAACAAGACACTCTGCATGGTATGTTTGTGATGACCTTCTTGGCTGTCTGCCGCATACTAAAGGCGATGTTCGAGGCATTCGTGATACGTATGAATGCGAAAGTAGTGAGTAATCCGTATATAACATTAGAGGACGGTTTTTAAGCCCGAGACGCATCAGAACAGTAATGAAGTCTTGGGCAACTTGTCCTTCTAGCCAAATGGAGCGTTTAAATCATCCCATCCGGTCGTGTGCCAAATTTGAGCCTTCAAATTTGCCAGATTGTTTTTTGGTTTCACCATGACATGCTAGACGCACTTCGTGTGTCCATGTATAGCAGCTGCGCTCGTGCTCGCTCGGTCTTATGAACCACTCTTTGTTTCTATGTTTTCCTTTCCGAATCAAAGGTTACAGTCGCATGTCGTAGTTAGATAGTCAGATTTTGCAGGGTCTCCTTGGACCTTGAAGCTCAGGCGCATACAGGCAGCCGCATATGGCATTAGATAATGTGGCGGCGGACTTGCGGAAGTCCAATCTGGATCTCGCTCGATGCGGCGATCTATCACTGTGGAAATACGTGTCCAATCCACTGGCCAATTTTCCAGTAAGGCCTGCGGCGCCCGTTTTGAGCTTCGCACCCTCTCCATCGACGCTCTGCACGTCGAGCAAGCTGCTTCTTTCACGTACTCACTTCGTCGACTGTCAGTGCTTGGCCTCGAGGCTTTGAAGCTTGCGCTTGAGCTTGAGGTCTCTAGATCTTTCGCGTTATGCCGACGACGGCTTGGGTATTCTCCAGCGAGATGCCTATCGGCGGCCTCCCTACCGACGCTGCGTCAGCAGAGTTCGCCTCCTGATTTTGCTTGACGTATTGCTTGTGCTGGCCGATTCTGGCGCTTCAAAGAGGGCATCGAGCCTCCAAAGGTGTCGATCCCCTTAGTAGTCACTTGCCAGCACGAGGCCCAAACTACGGCTAGCCTCAGGACGGTGGATCTGATTCCTGTGTTGAGCGCTATAGCTAAAGACCGTCGAGGATCCATCAGAAGAAAACGCCACCTCGTAGATGAGGAAGTGACTGTCCCTTTACCGGTGCGTTATCAGATGTCATGAGATCGACGGCATCGTCAGGCTGAATGGACTGCTCGGTGTTTATCTAAAGTGCAGGGCTAGCAGCATTGGACTCAGAAATTGAGGCTCTGCGGGCGCGTTGTCCGGGCGAGGAAAAAAAAGGCTTCAGGCTATGGGCACTCGCTCTTGAGACAGTGATCACCTGGCAGCCGCAAACGCGCTCTACCACCGCCTCGACACACCATACTGAATCGTATGGCAGCCGGCCGTGCTCTTGCTTCCTCGTAATCACATACAGAGTTTGCAAAATCGCCGAGCGTCTTCAAGTTATCTGGCGCCGCGGTCAGGTGATCGCGTTGCCGTCGATAAGGATCAAACTCAGTGCTTGTCGGCGCTTCAACGTTTCCTGCCCCGCGAAGAGCTGTTCCCCCTTTGATATCGCCCGGGTGAGCTGCCGTTGACGGTGAACCGTTGCCGCTGTGCGCTCCTTACATCGTGTCGCGGTGAGTAGCATCGAGGTGGATGCTTATTCGTGCTGATGCTCAGCTTCTTCCAAGGATCCTTTAGCAAGTCTCACGGTGAGCATACATTCCAATGATCGGCTAATGGCCTATCTTGACCATGCCACTCCATCGTGATTCCGTGCTATTCTCAGGAACAAACGTCCACGAACATCGCAGAAGTCGACGTCGCCAACCTTACATACATCATACTCCACTTTGATGCCCGTCCAGCGGAGACGACCCTTGTGCCACACCTGCGGGTCGCCGATGGTGGGGCATAAGCGGCCCAACGGAATACTAGTGTGCCCTAGTCCAGACCTTACTCCCAGACCTTCTCCTGCCAGACTCACACGTAACGATGCTGTATCCACCTTCGATACTATCCCGGAGAACGGCGTATGGCATCGACGTAACCCCAACTGGCGAGAACCCGAGCCATCTCCGTTGATCGACGAAGCGGGCAGGAACCCTTCCTGGGTGCCCACGGAACGAGATGGATGCACCCCGTTGGATGGAATCGACGATGACAAACACTGGGAGCAGGAGGAAGATGCGGAGTCGGACATGACACCTACTGCGACCCCTTCCAGAGTCCTCGGGCGGACCATATCGCAGGCGCTCATCGATAGCATCCCCCTCGCCAGCCTTTTCACTACATCCACTCGCGACCTTCCTATCATACGCGACGTCGCGGACAGACATGGCTTAACCATGGGCGTGGTACCTTCACCCAACTACAAACGCGGCCCCGAGATCAAGCGCGAAGACGGGGAGTCATCCCACGCGAGGAACTTAGGGCGCCAACACTCGTGGTGGTTAGTCATGGGTCGGGACAAGGCAGCAGTGTCGCATCTGCTGGATGTCCACGAGCGAGATGCGGGAGGTCAGCGGGGCGAGTCTCCAGGCACGAATGCGTACGATAAAGTAGGCGCATACCCAGTTGAATCCGGTGCCAACAGAATGACGTTTTTGGACGTTCTGATCGCGGGGGTAATTGGCGGCTTGGTGGTGTTCTATGGGTTGTCAGTGTTATGACTCAGGAATGCGATCACTGGATCAGTATTTACGGAACGATACTACGCCAGATATGCGATATGTTCCTCATGTACATTATCGAACCATGCTTGACATTCTGGCGCTTCTCGAGAACTCGGCGGCCGCTGCCCAGCGCCAGCTCATAAAATAGGTGGAGGACAAGTTGTATAAAAGCTCAGGACGAGTGGGTAACAGACCATCTTTCGTGCCCAAGTACTGCATATCATGGCTTATTTGCTCAAAGGCGGCGTTATCGCGACATTTGTCAATAAGAACAGCACACCCTTGGTATATAAGGCTGACGTCCTCGTTGAGGGCTCTATCATCAGCAGGATCGCGGAGAACATTGTAGCAGGACCAGATGTCGAGGCCATCAACTGTGAAGGCAAATGGATCACACCAGGGATGGTCGACACTCATCGGTAACGATCATCACCAATTTCATTCCCTGCACACGCTGACGAACAATGCTAGGCACCTCTTCATGACCGTGTTGCGCGGTGAACAATGCGAGTGCGTTATCTTTTCATTCCTCGGCTGAACGCTTATTCTGATATTTTCAATGCAGCTGGCTTCTGTCTGAATACCTAGTGAAGATGTCCTGGTAAGTCGAAAGTCAGTGAAACTGCGACAACAGTCTGACCGTGCGGCATAGGAACATACAAACGGCTCTCACCATAGACGAAGTTCGCATAGGGCAGCTTGCTGGTTGTCTCGACGCTCTTCATTCAGGCGTTACGACAATCTGCGACCACTTCCATGCGGCACTGACACCAGAGCATGCAGAGGCATCTCTCACTGCCACGATCCAGTCCGGTGCCCGAGTTGTCTGGTGCCCCGCGCGGCAAAGCGCGCCTACGCAGATATTTCCGACCATAGAGTACGGAAACGAAGAAGAGACGTGCAAATGGCAAATGGAGAAGCTGCTGGAATGGGGCTCGAAGGACAGCGGCAGGCTGACGCCGGACGGTCGGGTCACCCTAGGCCTTGCGTAAGTGCGAGAAGCCTTACCATGGAACGTCAGTCAAAATATTCATTCGTCAGGTACGATCTCGTCGGGGCAGGACCAATGAGTGCGCATCAAGCAGCGCTGAAATATGCTCGCGAGATACCGGTGGCTATCATAACGGCCCACGTCGTCAAAGGTAGACGACCCGCTGGATGTATGCGCATCGGTCGATTCACGTTGACATTTTCATCTAGAACCTCGAATTCTGAAGTGGAGGGACGGTGGACTTTTGGGTCCAGATGTCATCTTCTCGCACTGCAACAGTCTGTACGATCGCACGGACCCGGAGGACGAAATGTGGACCGCGATGAAAGAGTACGATTGCGCTATCGCATCCACGCCCGTCGACGAGTTGGGCATGGCTCACGGGAACCCGGTGGCGATGGAGGCCATTCAAAGAGGTGTCAAATGCGGACTAGGAGCGGTGCGTCCTGTCCCATGACGCAGACCCTGTGCATGCTGAATAGCGGAGATTAGGACGGAACATCAATCAACGGGGGTGACATCTTCACCGCGATGCGCTTTGCGCTTCAGTTCGCGAGGGGTATGCATGCGTGCCGCCAGTCTTCTTCGCAACTATGACTGAGCATGACGCATACAGGACGCGGTCACGAGCATATTGAGCGCAACGGGCACATTCTGCCAAAATATAATAAGCACAAGTCAGCGGATGCCTTCCGGCTGGCGACGCTAGGCGGCGCGGAAGCACTCAACCTCAGCCACCTCATTGGTTCCATAGAAGTCGGCAAGAAGGCCGACATCGTCGTCTTTGACGCGGACTCGGCGAATCTCGCGGGTATCGAGGATCCTATTGCAGGCGTCACGTTCCACGCCTCAAATGCGGACGTTGAGCTCGTCATGGTCAACGGCGAGATTGTTAAGTGCGATGGGAAGCTGATGAAGGTTGAATGGGGCCCGGTCGCGCGCCAACTGAAGGAGAAGGCAAACGACGTGAGGTTGAGATTCCCGAAGGAGAAGCTGGAGGCGCTCTGGACGAAGTATTACGATGCCTCTGGAGCGCCTAGGATTTGATCGATTTATTTCCTGGCCGCTGACGGACAATAGCGAATATAGCTCGAACGTGTAACATATCTTAAGCTTTGTATATCATGATGTACTTACGGAGTATTCGTCCCGTATGATGCATCGCGAACTATTCGTATTGTCCAGGACCCTCTGACTGAGAATTTGCATATAAGCATGCTTCGCAACGGCACTTTCAGAAGTGAAGCTTACCGGAGCGACGAGAGAACCGCTAGGCATGTGACGAGATTGCAATGTGCACATCACAAGTGAATATTCATCACTAATGGATGAAGAGCGCAGAAGCTGAAGGCAGGTCCCGTGGACTGTCGAGGTGAATAGAGTCAAGGTGATCAAGCAATTCATTCCGCGCATATCATATGCTGATGTCCTGCTAAAATCATGCGAAATACAAGTCAATAACTGGCAATGATCTGTAATCCTCGCCGCGAGGCTCGTAGCTGCGGCACCGATAATGCAGTCTGATTGAAATGCGTTGTGTGAGCTTGCCATTCCATGACCGCGGAACAGTTGGAAGTTCAAGGGCCAACGTCGCAAGCTTTGAGCGGAGCCGACAACCAAAGCTAACCGTGATAGCACCTAGATTGGTATGAACGAGGCCGCGTTCGCCACCTTTTCTCCGTTGGTATTGAAGCTAGCGCATGTGGCCGCCCTCAAGGCACAGTTGGTCAAGCGCTCGTTGCGAGTTCAGCTAGTGTGTTGTCATCCAGGGCAGGGTCAAGCTTCCTTCATGCATCAGAAGCAAACACCCGCGCCGCAATAACGCCGAGCAAGAATTAGACCCGGCTCAATTACCTCAACGCAGGAAGTAACGGCAACACAGCAGGATAGTGTGTAGGTGGCACTAGCACTGGCAGAGAAGAGCTGAGGCAACCAAAGACGCGTCAGCTCCGAGTACGCATTCGATGATCCTAAAGCCGTTACCGTCTGACTTTGCAAGGCACAATAGATTTGCAACATGGCTATGATACTTTAGATAGTGTTACGTTCATGACATTCCCAGGTTCCCAGCTTGTCCGACAGACAGCAAACACCTTACCGTCTCAACTCCCCTTGCTCACCCACCCATTAAGGTACTGTGCTCCAAGATCTATTTTGGTCTTCCCACTAGCACCATGCCATCGTCCTCCTCAGTCTCTGTCCCATACTCGCTTCCTGAACGCGTCCTGCCACCCAAGATTGACGTGGAAGAGGATAACGCTTCCTCAGATGCCTGAGTTGATGCCCGACTTTCTGATCGCGAAAGCGGATCAGAAGATTCGGACCCATGCGGAATCTCGGGCTCTACAGGAAGCGCGGAAGTTGTTTCTGAAGAAATCGGAGGCTTGCCTGGCTCATTCGACGGTACGGGAGTAAACTTGAACTCTTCTGGCTCGTTCGGCAACGAGACGGGTATGGATATCTCGCGCAATGCGTCAACCATTTGGTCATGGACACGCGCTGCCAGTATATGCACGTCTGCCGTTGTCAAACCTTCAGTCGAGACAGGTGGTAGAACTGTGCATTAAGGGATGATACGGCGGGCTCGTGAGCTCGGAGGGAACCCTCCTCGTCAACGATGCGATAATTGCTGGCCTGAACACCCACCTCGAAGTTTGAGCGTGCCAGTTTCGAATACACCTTTCCTGTACAATCTCCAGTAGTTCTCACATACGACTGGGACGACCGGCGCTCCCGCTTGGATTGCGATATGGAATGCGCCCATCTTGAACGGCAGCATGTCGTGATGTTCACGCATGGAACGCGTGCCCTCAGGGAATAACCATAGCGACATCTGCTTTGCGCGCATCGTCTCGCCGGCGGCGGTCATCGAACGCACGGCTTTCGCGCTGTTGCCCCGATCGATCCACACCGCGCCGGACAGCGACATGAACTGGCCCAATATAGGAGACCATTGCAGTTCCTTCTTCGCAATGATGGACGTCTGGCGCGGGAATATTCTGCGAGCAGGGCGCGACGGCCGGGCGTCAACTCCGGCTGGGTGGATGAAGTGCCCAGCGCACACACCTTCCCAGATAGAGGATGTCAAGCATGCTCTGGTGATTGCCCACGAACACCGCCGGGCGTGTCTGCAGGTGCTCTTCGCCCTCGACGATGAGCTTGATGCCAATCGTGCGGCTCGCTAGAGCGTAGAAGCTCCGGCCGGCAACGAAGAACACGTCGAGCTTGCGGCCGATGAGTGACATGCCCACGGCGCAGATCGCGCCCCATGCAGAGCATACGCCCAGTGTAGAGATGTAGACCGCGAGACGAACGTAGTACCGTGCGATTGGTGATGATTGGGCGAGCGTGTGAAGCACGAAGACGGGGATCGACGCGTATGCGAGCGGTTTGACGATCGCAGACAAAAGCGAAGCCATTGTGCGCATCGACGACGACGACGACGGTGGAAAGGAAGATGGTCGGACGGGGCTACAGGACCGCGCTTGCTGGGGTAGGACACGCCAGATCCAAATTGTCGTGCTCGGTGGCTGCAGCGTTCACGCTCGTCGGAGTTTCAAGCACGCGTCTCAGCCAACGTGGACCGTCCATGCCCACACACACGCAGCAGTCCTCGCGAGAGGCGCGTGCACAACAGCTTGCTCGACCCGGTGAGCAGCCTCCGAAGCGCTGACTCTCGAAGAGGAGAGCGACAATCCTAACAACATACCGTGATAGACAGGAGCGTCGCGTCTGGGAACGTCGCAGGCGGCGCATCCGCACCGCGAGCCACAGTTGTAGCTGCAACATCATCGAAGTCACCTTTCTCAGCAAGCACGGCCAGCACATCCGAAGATGCTCTCTCACAATTGGATTCCTCAACTGGAAGCGCCGCTAGGTCTTCAGAAGCCCGCAGAATAATCGCGAAGGCGGCGAAGACCACCGGCAGCATCGCTCGGGTAGAAACCCGTACAAAACTTGGCTCAAGCGTACGATTCTCCGGAACCGCCAAAAAGAAGATTCAGGAAGACCCGGAATCACTGTCGCTCTTTCGCAGTGGCACTTCCAAGAATGACGTGAGTAAATAATGCTATGACTGGAAAGCTTTCTTTGTAATATATTGTTCCATTAGCCAGGTTCAATGGATCCTTGGTACAACGAGCCTGCACACTCGATGGCAGAGTCGGACACGTTGCATCTTGCCGCGCAGCTTCAGTCGTGGCTATACATGTCCTCTACATTAGAAACAAGCTTCGAGGCATCGAAGCAAGCGGCGAACAAGGAGCTGCAAGCGCGCGCTGTCGAACTCTCTGCTGAAGAAACCAACATTGCTGACGCCCGCATTCGCTTTGAGGCCGAGCGGCTTCTTGACTTCTACGAGGAGCTCACGGACAGCTCGGTACATACTTTGTTCCTGGATGATGACCAACTATCGCTCATGACAAGCTCCAGACACGCTCGATTGTCCCTGTGATGGTACAGAACTTCCTAAGGCACGAAGACGAGTGCTCGCGGACCACATCCGAGGCTCTTCGTCTTGCATGTTTACATGCCAATGAGAATGCGGACATTACACAGTGCAATGCGCTTTTAGGTCGCATCGGTAAGCTTTGGCTCGAGATAACATATTTAGGCAGCGCTCATACACAGTTCCGCGGTGATGCTGCCAGACGCTCTGCGGCAAGAGGCAGACGATCTTGAGGTGTCGATACTTTCAATAGTGGATGCCGACACGTCAGAGGCTTGTGCAAAGGAAAATTGCAGTGTTTCTCCCTCGCTACGTGGTCTACTGTCCGTCATCCACGAGAATGGCGTCAACCTGATATACGCTCGTAGTCTTGTGCAATGCTCGAAGGATAGCTTGCGGATAGCCTTACGCAATTGGAACACAGAGCTGTTGGCTTGATCAGTCTGGCTTGCTTCAAAGTTGTCATACGTTCTGCATATCTTGGCGATGACTGGAAGAAAACGGATGTATCCACTCAGCCATGAGGCTCTCCCGGAGTGGCCGGTTCCTTACCGCAAGTATCACCCTTTCCTCATTCATACATATCTCGACCTGCCAACCTCTAGTAACTTCGGTCATACATTTCGTCCAAGAGTCATCATGCATTTGGCATGCCCACGACCATCATATGACGAGGCTTCAGCAGTCTTGCTTACCGGTTCAGCAAAAACTTAAACGGTCACTCGTGCGGTGCTGGAGTCAAGCCAATCCGAGCGATCCTATCTAATCTTGTGGCACTCTATACGTTTTGGGGAATACCGGACAGTACATAAGAATTGTGTGTGGTTTAGTCTGCTTAGCCTCGGACCTCTGCGTTACGCAGGGATTGTAGCATCAGGATTCTTCTCTGCGGCAATCCACTGTAAAAAGAAACGATGTTCCCGCAAGATTCATCCATGTCGAAAGACTGCCATTCGAATTGCAGCATGTTTCATTGCCAATACATACCGCATTTCATGCATTTCTTTCAACGACTACTTTCAGGAAGCAGGCAACATACTGTCTGGCCCAAGGGATGATTGAGGCTCAATTGAGATTGTTGTGACCCTAACCATATCTTAGAAGTGTTGTACGCTCGTTTCTTGCATTTTTTTGGCGCGCATACTTGTCTGATGAGTGCGAGTATCAACGACCCCTTCCTCCTCTCGAGCTATGCTCTCTCCCCCCGTCTTGCTCGCCCGACACCGACCTCGTCCTCGTCGGAGACACCATCTTCTAGGCAATGCTCGCATCTCCTCGTGAATCATCGGCATACATTGTCTAATGAGAAAGACGATGGTCTGGTAACGGTAGCTGTCCAGGGAGATGGCGTACATGTCTTGGACGTGAGTACGACCTTTAACTCGCAAATGCCGTATGAATCAATTCGTGAGCAGATGCTGACCGACCTCCGTACAGCTTTCGACTTTGCATCCAGCAATCTCGCATACTTTGGGGCCATCTGTTACGTTCTCATGTCCTCCTGCGACTCGAACCACACGCAAAGATGGCATCACGTATTGCACGACATTTGCGGTCATTGACTCGTCACCTGAGACTCTGCCGGAGGATCGAGGGCGGAACGTCTGGGCGTGGGAGGAGCAAATCACTGGGGGTGTGATGTCCGGGGACGTGCAGAAGAAGAGAAAGTCTGCTCTGGTAAGTACGTTCGAGCGTTGAGTGTTGTGTACAACTGACGAATCTGCTATCTCAGATGCCCCATGCCATTTCGTATATCTATGCTCCTGATGATCTTCCAGATTTGATTCTTGTCGTTAGTCACTCTGGAGAGTTGACAGTGGCAGACATGGACTTGAATTTGCAGCCAACTCTTACTGAACAGCAAATAGATGCTGAAAGTGTTATGCTCAAGCACTTTGTGTTCCCTCGCACATCTTGCAGCTTCGTACCAAATCGTTCTGTACCGTCTCATGGCGTCATTGCAGTATCTGTCCTAAAATGCGCCGACCATCTGCAACTCATCGTGGTCGCGATAGATCGTGAAGGAGAGACCCAGCCGGTAGGCGACTGCGAAATATCTCTAAACGACCCGGTGGGCCATCACATGGATTTCTATCAACGCCAAAGACTCACTATTTTGCATCAGAATGTCGCCGAAATATCGTTCAGCCCATCCGGCTGTTTAACTGTTCTGAGTATGTTGTATAAATTCTCAGTTGCTTCAAACTGTTACTCATTCATCTATTGATAGCGCGCGCTGGGATTTGGTCATCCTTCCAACTCCATCCGAACCCTGCCTCACCCTCCTCTTCCTTCACAACTAGTCCGCTAACAGAATCTCTACATCTTTCCTCTCTAACCTTCATATACCATGGCAACGATGCCGTAACATCATCCTCCGACCATCGCCTTGCCGAACTCTCCCTTCTTGCCCTTACCTCCTCACATGTCCTTCTTTCTGGCATCTTAACCGGCGGCCAACCCGAGATCGTGCTCCTCCTTTGGGACGTGCAGTACGGAGTACTGCTGACCGAGCAGCGCTGTAGCGTGCCCTCGACGCTGGGACGCACAAGGCACCGCGGCATCCACATGGAGCTCGTCGCGGCATCCGACGGGCAGGCACTGCTCGCGCTCTCCCCCTCCGGAGACTCCACCCGCCCGAACGACGGCTCCGCTCTCTGCTCGAGCGTGCTCGTCGTGCCATATATCGTGCCTTCCACGTCGACCATCGCCAACGCCCGCGGGCGCGCGGCCGCAGGGCAAGCATGGCTGAAGGCACTGCCGATGAAGATGAGCGTGCAGCCAGGTGGCATGGACGCAGGCCAGGCGTGGCTACTCTCGACGCTGTCTGGAATGTTGGATCACAGGAAGGAGCAGGAGGCGGAAAGGGTGTTTGTGGACTGGGTGAAGGAGCAGGAGGCTGTGCTCGGTGCTCAAGAGGCAGAGGGCCCAAAGCCATACCTGGGGTACATCTTTGTGAAGCGCCTACTGGATATTGTGCTGAAGGCGCCCCCTGAGGAGAGTACAAGTGGAGATGCAAGCGCAAACGCAGCTCCAGTTGTATTGGCTTACCTGCCAAAGCTGACGAGATTCTTGTTGGAGAAACGGGCGGTGAGCAACGGGATGGTGGAGGGTGGATTGATTGCTGCCTTGAGAATGCGGCAGGATTGGGTATGTCTATGTACTTTCTACCTCAGAAAGCTGCTAAGCCATGCTATCTTTTCAGCAATCGATCACTGTGGCTATGGAGACAGTCTCTGACCTTCCAGAAACCGACATAATCACACTCCTCGCAGAAACGGTTACTCGCCACCGGCAATCTGCCTCCCATGAGGACGCCATGCAGGTCGACTTGCCCTCTGGGACGTTCTCCCTCCTAGCCTTCCTCGCATTGTGCATAAATTATCCCACGTCTCCCGCTGCTCTGCGGGTGGCGTTACACCAGCAGCTCTCGGAGGCCGGAAGTCTTGTAGCCGTGCTCGATGCCCTCGATGGATGGGTCGAGCATTCGTTTGCCCAAGAGATCCAGCTGCTCCCGGATGGGCTGAAGAAGGACGCACATAGCATTCTCGTGCCGGTTTATGTGGAAAGTAAGAAGGTCGATCTTCCCCCGGTGGATAAGGTACGTCTTGTATCCTGCGCCAATATTCCTCTCTGACCCATCATGCACCATCCAGGTCCTCTCATTCATTCAAGCCATCCTGGATGCCTCCTTCCTCACCCTGCTCGCCCATAAGCCTGCCCACAAGCTCCTGCGTACGCTTCTCTCGCGTCTGCAGCCCGAACTCGCGGTCCTATCCGAGCTGGAAGCGTTGCGCGGCCCCCTACAGCCTTTTGCGAAGACACATGCGCATGCGGTGCACGAGGGTGCACATGGCATCCCAAAGGTGGATACCAGTGTGGACTGGCGCAGGCGAAAGAAGGCGACGCAGCAGCAAGCAGAGATGGCATTAGGGTTGTATCAGATGGAGGAGCTTGTCATCTAGGGTACATGTATATGAAGGCTCTTGCAAAAGTATACTGTTTGAGTCGCTTTGCTCGACCTTGTAATATTGTTCCTGTCACTCCGCCTCATGATGCATGCTTTGTTGGCACTGACCTGCGAGGCTCGAATGACTGAACAACAATCTCAGCTCATTGTTCCTCGTTGAATATATACAGCAATGCTATCTATAATATACATTGGGATAGGACACGGTATACGGCGGACTGATGGATATATAGCGATTGTGGGTTGGAAGAAGCATCTGCAAACGCATATGTTTGCGTGATGGCTGCAACATACAAGCAAGAAAGCAGGAAAACAATGAGCGTTCAAAAAGCACCGTCAACATCGTCATCGGTTAGTGTAAAGAAAAAGCAGATAAATTAAGGTGTCTGTGAGGAGTGTTATGGCTTAGGCTTCGTGGGCCATAGAGCGAACGTACCAATATATCTCAACGTAGCAAGGCACAGTTGCCATCGTAAAGTCCTGTCACGCGCCCCATTCCTCCCAAACCGGGCGTGAAGTCCACGGCGAGCCTCTCGTCCTCTCCTCCCGCACTGCCGCCAAACTCAAGCCCGAGCCACTCCCAGTGCCTGCCGCACCCAGCAGCCAGCCCGTCCACCAGCCGGTCCCCTCGTCCTTCTCGCGTTCCTTCCCTTTCCTCTTCGCACTGTCCTTTCCGTCCTTTCCGTTTCCTTTTCGCCGTTCGCGCGACTTTGTTGAGTACGGCTCGGGCAGCTCCGCGAACGAGATGCGCTTTGGTGTCGAACGTCCGGATGACGTGCCGCTGCGAATGCTGCCATTAAAGAGACCCGAGATACTGAGCATATCAGGCACATCAAGAAGCGTGGACGTGTGTGAAACGTCGTTGATCGGCGTGGGAGGCGCGGAACGATTCTTGAGCACAGACTGGCGCGGCGGCGAGGGCGGGCGCGTCGATGAGGAGTGTCGCCCTTTGGTGAAGAGGCGTGAGATAGACGCAGTCGCGTTAGACGTACCGGATACCGGGGAAACTGTCGATGGCTGAAGGAAGGAGGGGCGGGGCGGTCTAGGAGACAGCTCTCTCGGAGGCTGTCTTTCCAGGATGCTGCGTAATGACTCCAACGTGCGGTCGACGTGCAGCGTATCTGACTCAGAAGATGCTGATGAAGATGATAGCTCCTCGATGGGGGGTGTCATCGGGCGCGGCATACGAGGAGAAGAAGATTGGCGCATGGGTGTCAAGGACCTTGAACGACTCCCAGAAGCGATGGGAGGGGACGATGCCGGCTTCGCAGGCGGTGACTTGGAATGCCTTCCTTGCCGGATTGTACGCGAACTGGTGCTCGAGCTGCGTCCTGTCCGAGTCGAGATACTGGATGACAGTTGAGGGGAGGATGAGATCGACGCCGACGCCGACGCCGTTCCAGAGCGTTGGCGAGAGGATGCAATGCCCACAAATGACGACAACACATCCACGATCCTCCTCGTCTGGTCAGCAGGTTCTGACAACGCCTCCTGCGCAGGCTCAGACAGTGTTTCAGAGGAGGGTAACGGCGTAGGAGGCAGGTGCGAGGTAGTCCGTTGACCCAAGGTAGGGGGAAGCACTATCAGATTCGGATCTCCCGAGGAGTCTACGTACATGGTCAGGGCTCGCGGTGGAGGCGAAACGAAGTGACTTCGGTCATGATTGGAATACTGAAGCTGCGAGCCGCTTACATGGCGGAGTTCTAGCGAGGGTCTCCGCGAGGGTTTCAGGTCCGCAGCAAGGCCAGAGGAGGGCAGGCTCTTGCTCATCGTATTACCTCCCTCGACAGTCTTAGCGCTGTCTTCTCCCGCCCCACCAACCAAATCGTCCACACTCTTCGAGATCTCGTCCAAGTCCTCTAACCAAGTTTCGTGCAGATCTCTGTTGCCTCTGATTCTGGACGTCAACACTTGCGCACGGGCCTCTAAGGAGCGGTCTGCCATAGAGTCAGACGCTAGAACTGCTGAGAGGCTACTCTGCGTTGACATGGATGACTGGAGCAGTGCATTTGACATTTCCAATGCGTGTACGCTGCGCGCCAATAAGGAGTCTAGATAAGGGTCACCAGCCGAGCTCGATTGCCGCCTGCGAGTGCGAGATGGCTGGGAGAAACGTGCGCGACGTGTGGAACTCGGCAGCAATGGTGAAGGTGGCAAGTACACGACCTGAGACTCGTCTGTGTCCGTGTCCTCGTCTCCCTCGTCCGCACTGTCAGGATATTCTGGCGGCCTGTCCGAAATGTCCCCTACTCCAAGGAGGTCGTTCTGGTTCGTCCAGGGTGGAGACCGAGTGTACGCCGGGAGGGTGGTCACCGTTGAGTCCGTGGAAAGCCGTAGGGCGGATAGACGTTTGCGGTGGTGACCGCGACGCGGAGACGTCGCACTCATAGCGTTCTCGATGTATGCCGGCGATCCTATGTGAGTCAAGGCGGAGCCGCTCGGCGAAGACGGAGGCTCTGCTGGGAATGGACTTAGATGTTCATGTTGCATATGCACTGGCAGGAAAGCGGTTGGTGCAAGCACGTTCCCTATGGCAAGTCGGCCTGTTGACGCCTGTTTGGCGCCCGCTCTCCGCCACCCTGAGGCTGATCCACTCGAGCTATACCTGAGGCTGTTCCTTCGACCCTAGTCAAGAACTTGCTCACCGTGTTGGAGGAGGCAAGAGGGAAGCCATCGACTGGTTTATCTAATGATGTGCGCAATATTTACCGAGCTGGCTCTGGGAACATTTTCTTGTGCGGCCCGAGGTTAACCCAAAGTGCCCATTATGACAGGTGTTCAGGAAGACTTATCACAAGTACTTATGTCTCCAAATATAATAAAGAGCATAACGTAATATTTCCTTTATATGTTTTGGTGTCGGAACTTTAGATATTTTCACTGTATAATAGAAAAAATAATATTGTTACGCCACTGTGGCCTAAGGCAGGCATTCGAAGCTGACGAAACACGTCCAGGAACCAAACAGCCCAACTAGTCATCTAAATACCACAACGTCAATGCTTAAACTCGCACGACTGAACAATCTAAGGGTAATCGTATGTAGTTAGCGAAAGTCTGTCTCGCGGGAGCTACAGCACAATGATATACGGTCAATAACAATCATGCAGAAGCGGGAACAGTAGCGCTCTGAGCAGGCAATGTCTCCGAGACCACCTGGAAGGGGCCGACGCACGACTCGATGTAGGCTCGCGCAGCACGCTCGCGCATCCTCGTCGCGGGTGTGTAGAACTCCCACGACGTCCAGAGGAACGAACGGCCATACCGTCCCGCTATCTTGTCATAATCAACTGCGGGGTCAACACGAAGTGAGCAGGGATTCTATCTTCGGACGGTCATGAATGGCGCACCCTGAAGCGCATTGCGCAGGTCGAGCCAGACCTGCGTTGTGTCAGTGAGAATCACGTCCACTCCCCAACGAACGGCCTACGACGATCATGATGAGCACCCATTGAAGAACATGCTTGTCTGTGAACGTACCTCCACCATATGCACTGGCTCATTCACCGTCCACACCATAATTCTCTTCCCAGCCTTCTTGCATTCTCTCCTGAACCTGTGGGACACTCTCGCCTCAGCAAAAAACTGTCAAAATGCCATAGAAATGCATACCTCTCCCCATCTACAGTGCACAGCACCGCAAATCTCATCGAGAACACGTCGCAGCTATCCCAGAAATACTTTCTCGCAAGCTCCGTACTGTTGCCGATGTAGGAACGCCTGCAGTAGGGCAAGTGTGCTTTGGCATGGGGAATAAACGTCGTGTGCCAGAGGCCGACAAGAATGCGCGGCGCGAGATCAGTCTCCCAGTTCGGCTGAGCAGCGATGATCTTGTGCATCAGGCTAAACAGGCGTCCCGGGTCATTCTGAATCTTCACATCGACGTTGAACTTGACGTGACGGTTTTCCGGCTACGGCCAAGGCGTGTCAGCTGGAGGGCCATTAGTCGTCTCGATAGCCGGATTACCTTCATGAGGAGAGCCACCGTCTCTGCAAAGGTGGGTATAGCCTGCTTAGGCTCCTTCGTAGTCCTAAGCTGCTCCATTCCATTGACCCCATACCACATCTGCTCCCTGATCAGACCTAAATCCAAAGTTCATCAATAATGTCGATTGGGATAAGCATCATCATTAACGCTCACCAGACCCATTCGTCGTCCGGTCCAGTGCTGAGAGGGACGGTGATCAACGCTTCGTACAAACATATAGGCAAGAGTACGCACAAGGGTCGTGGAACATGACGACAACGTCATCTACTGAGACGTGGACGTCTGCTCACGAGTGTCACGGGCTACAGCGAGGTACGTCGCCTGAGAGATAAATACCGCTTTCAATACCCTCGGCTCCATCGCGAATGGCCTTCTCAAAACTGGCAAGGGTGTTCTCTGGGTATGCTGCAGAAGCCTAGAGACAAACGGCGTGATTCAAGTGGGATTAGTATCATTTACATGTGTACATGATGGCTATGACTCACTCCGCGGTGACCCCAGCACTCGGGCAGCGACTGTGGCGGCGACATGGTATAGGAAGAGAAAGCGCGCGAGAGAAAATGAGAGCGGAGGAGAGCAGGATGACCTCGAGAGAAAAATCGGGGCAGGGACGGACATGCGTTGGTAATGCTTATATATGCATCGGGGGTTCTCCTGCTCCCGTAGAGGATACGACAGCGAGTGCCCAAAGGCCGGAGCCACGCTTGCATCGGTTCTGTCGCTGAGAATTGGCCCAGGCTGCGCCGGACGTTGATAGCAGAGCAAGCGAACGTGCTTTTGTCCGCTGATCTGCTTCTCCTTAAAACAAATTTCCCATTCGTGCTGCTCTCCGCACACGTTGGATGGATGAATCACCGCGTACCTTATTGGCCCACCCACGTGCTCCATCTGCTGTCCCGCTTGCGGCTACGATGTCCACGAATTTCGCATCCATGTCGGAGAGGGTACGCAGGCCCCGGCGCTGACGGAGCTTCTGGCGCTCAGGCGTGAGTTTTAACCTTTACACTTACGTCTCCTCGCGCTGAGCCCAGAATCATTCTGCCTTAGCCATGTGCTCCGATGACGTTCCCTCATATAGTGCGCGCGGTCCGTTACACCGACGTTGCGGTGATGTTGTCCGCAGGATGGCAGTAGGCGTGCTCAATTCTTAGAGTTCGGCACGCCAGTTCAGTTCGTCGACCTCAAATACCAAAGGAACGGCGATGCCGAGCAAATGCCGAGAATTACATAAGCAAATGTGGCTGTTGAGATGTCCGGCAGTTAATTCTATCTTTGGGACATTCCTACATTTCTTGTGTGAATTGCTGCTTGTGTAAACCCCAAATTGCGATGCGGACATCCCTGAAAAGAAGACTGCACACCCACAATCTTCTCACGGTTTGTGGTGTCCAGCTGCAGACAACCTCGGCGGGGATCACAGTGACGAATGGCTGTGTATCTCACTCTCACAAAGTCACAACATAGATGAGGAACAATAATGACATTGACAGCAGCTACTGCATGGTCCTGCATATTGCTGTCATCAAATGTGCTGAGATAGTCTGTGTAGTTATTGCTTGGAAGCATTTTAACATTCAAGCTAAGCAACTCTGTGCATACATGTTGCAATCCATGGTAAACCAGAGCACTAGGGAAGGTGCGACGGGAGATGGCAATAAAAATCGAGAAAATGTAAAGCAATCCTTCGGAAATAATCTCGCCACTCCTGTTCCCTGCCTAGCGTTCCCACGAGCCACTTGGCTTACATAATACTCGGCATCTGCTCGGCATCGCCGTCCCCTTGGTATTTGAGGTCGACGAACTGAACTGGCGTGCCGAACTCTAAGAATTGAGCACGCCTAGTAGGACGAGAGGCAGGGTCCGAATATCCAGTGGAGCGAAGTCGAACAGGACCGAGAGCGGGCGCAATGAGCCAGGCCGCATGCTCGCCCTTACGGGCGAGATGGCTTCTATTCTCTGCATTCCAAGCACCCATTCCTCCATAACCGTACTGACGAACCTGAAACTCTTCGGAATCTCACAAGCACAAGCGAGCAGTAGTATGTCCACAACACGCGTTGCGATTCTTACAGGTCAAGTGCTCTCTGAATACACTGAGCAGACTCCGCGCTGAGACTATCCAGTCAGCGATGCGGCGTCCGCGGACGCGAGTGCCGACAGGTCCGGACCTGCTGTACGCGACCTCCTTATCATCAACGGTGAATTCGAATGCAAGTATTCGCTGATCGTGCCCAACGACGAGGCGCACGTACGGCACACCGTGCGTACGTGGTGTGAGCAGGGCGACGTCGATTGGGTCCTCACCATTGGCGGTACGGGCTTTGGCGTACGCGACAGGACTCCTGAGGTGCGTTCATCTGTCCTTCCGTCCTCGACCGGTTGCCCATTCAAGGCGTCGAGTCAAGTACTGACCGGCAACATCTCATCTGCAGGCCATACGCCCCCTAATCGAGCGCGATGCCCCTGGTCTTGTTCACCTCCTGCTTGCGTCATCCTTGCAAAAGACACCGCTCGCTGCACTCTCGCGCCCGGTAGCGGGCACGGTGAAGAATACGCTAGTAGTGACCCTGCCGGGAAGCATGAGGGCCGCGCGAGAGAACTTGGAGGCTTTGCTCGCAAACGGCGTCATCGACCATGCACTTCAGCTAGTCAAGAGCGGTTCCGGTGTGCAGCTGCATGCAGCTCTCGCAGCTGTGGCATCTGATCAGCACTCGAAGGCCCATCACCACCACCATCACCACTCCCATGCTCCCCAGCCGAGAAGTGTCCTGTCACACGACCCTGCCCTGCCAGGTGCGTTATAGGCGGCTATATGCGCACAGATCATCTTGAGAATGCATATTCGGTAGTGACCATGAGGCCAAGGGAGTCACCATACCCTCCGGTCTCGGTTGACTCAGCAACTTCTTCAATTCTCAGCGCGATCAAACCTCTTCCCGTGGTCCAGCTTCCTGTACGTACTGATGGTCAAGAGGTCCTTCTTGCTGACATAGACTTCCGACTCGGACAGTTCGGTCCAGAGCTGAAAGGACATGTGTTAGCGGAGGATGTGCATGCCCCGCAAGATCTGCCGTCCACGTCCACCGCGAGCGTCGATGGCTACGCTCTGCACTGTACGTTTCTCTCATGCCCGCACACTAATGCCACGGCCTCACCTATCGCAGCTTATGACCAGCCGGGCGTCTATCGGGTGCTCACCTCACGCACGCACAAGCTCTCCGACCCGCTGCCGCTCGATGCAGTCTACCGCATCAACACAGGCGCACCACTTCCCGCGGGCGCAGACACGATTATCATGGTCGAGGACACCCGCCTGCATAGCACAGTGAACGACGACAGCGGGCAGGAGGAGGAGAAGGAGGTCAAGACACTCGTGCAGGTGCCGAAGGGAGATAACGTGCGCGCGCCGGGGTCGGATATTCGAAAGGATGAACTGGTTCTCGAAGCTGGGCAGGTGCTGCACGATACCGGAGGGGAGATCGGCACGTTGGCGCTTGTCGGGCGGAAAGAGGTGAGAGGTGCGTGTTAGTCGTGACGTACGTATCTTGACGCAGGATCTCCTCAGGTCGGCGTGTACAGGAAGCCAGTCGTCGCGATTATGAGCACCGGAAGCGAGCTCATTGATGTTCGCGCGCCAAAGTCGCTAGAAAGCGACAGCCAGGGCGGGATCTCGGACACGAACCGGCCGTCGCTCCAGGCTGCGCTCTTAGGAATGGGCTATCGCGTTGTTGATCTCGGGATTGTGCCTGACGAGTAAGCCTGCCATTCATATAACGCCACACGTACAGCTGATTTCTGCCGTTCACAGCCTCGATGCTCATGTCTCGACGATTGAGAAGGGCCTGCAGGAGGCAGATCTGTTGCTCACGACAGGCGGAACATCAATGGGCACGAGCGATCTGCTCAAGCCGGTCATCGAGAGACAGCTCGGGGGCACCGTGCACTTTGGGCGTGTCTCTGTTGAACCGGGCAAGTCGACAACGTTCGCAACCATCCCCGCGGCCGCGCACCCGAACGGAAGCATCCCGATGTTCGCGCTGCCAGGCAGTCTGGCAGCGGCTCTCGTCACCTTCAACATCTTCATGGTACCTGCACTGCGTAGACTCGGCGGGTGGCCCATGGAGCACTGTCAGTTGCCTAAGGTGATGGTCAAGGTGCGCGGAGTAAACGAACTATTGTACGGGGTATGTGCTGATCCGATACAACATGTGCTAGATACAAGATTCTATGCAGCTCGACCCTTGCCCGGAGTACCACCGTATCATCATCAAGGCCGGTCCGACGGGCCTCAATGCGTACAGCACGGGTGGACAGCGATCAAGTAGGGTTACTGGTCTGAGCGGGGCGAATGGGTTGGTGGCGTTGCCCGCTAAAAGCGGAGTCGGTCCAGACAAACTAGAAGTTGGTGAGATGGCTGAGGCGGTTGTCATTGGTGAGTTACAGATGTATTAAGAAGCACGTAAATATAGAACATGTACAATAACGTACCGGTTTCCACATATTGCGACATGCGATACTATCTCTTCATCGTGGCCAACTCCTGTCATGCATGGATTAGACTCGGAAGAGTATCTAGAAGTAATGCACACCAATTCATCAATTTCTTTTTGAAGCGCAGCGACTTCATCTTCCAGTCGTTCTCGTTGTCTGGTCAGCATTTGTATACGCCTGACATCTAGCTTGCTCACGCCGGCCGTATTCATGTGGATGCCACCTCGCGACGACGGCTGGGCAGCGCTGGCCTCAACCTACGACACATTCCGTGGAGCTAAGAAGACGGAGTACAGAAAGCAGCGATACCTTCGCCTGCAGCAAGCTTTCCTTCTTGAGGAGGATCTGCAGGCCCTTCTCAGCGCGAGCGATCAACTCGTTGATCTGGGGTTCAATCTCGTCCGTCAAGTCCGCCTTGTACTTCCGGACGGTTGATTCGTCAACGAGTAGGAACACCTGTTGAGAGCAGCGATGATGCAGTGGAGCTAGACGACACGTTAATGCGGTGCGTACCCGTTCATTCTCGAGAACTTTGGTCATACGAGGTAAGTCCTGCGTTCCTTGGCGGATGATCTCCTGCGCCGCATGGGCCTATCAGCCCTCCATTAGCTTTATGCAGTGCAGACTGTGCGTATTCAGCACGACCTCTTCGCAACAGTCCTCCATTGCCAAGACGCAATCCCGTAAGAATGGGCTGCAGACAGCATTGGTGTCGCTCCGATACTGCTCGGGGTTGCCAGCAAAGACGGATTCTCGCGGTCGGTACTTTGGGTGTACGGAGAGCCTGGACGCTCGATGACTCCGGTCAACCATGGTGCACAATGTGTCGGACGCGAGAAGACGCAGGCGCAACCGCCACAGACGCGTCTGGCGCGCCCCCTTTGTCGGAGTTTACCCTAAACAAACTCCGTCACGTGCCATATATAAGAGAGGGCAAATTTTCGTCGCGCTCTCTCCAGTGTCCGTCTGACTTCTGAACCGCTAGCATCTGATGGCGTTATTCTAGTCAGCGGAGCGAGGCGTCCCCCGGGGTGCTCACGAGACCAAGCACGTCCCTCCGGTTCCCTTCCGTCAGGGAGGTCGAGCGGGAGGGGCCTGCCGTGTTATATTCCTATACTCTCTGTAATGCCACTATGTGGCGTTGACAGTTCGGTGAAACCATAACACTGACATCTCTCCGCATATCATCCTGCTTGTACATGTACTGCTCTCTTGACTTCAATAAATACCTCGATTGGAATGTTGCTCATATCAAGCACATGAAAAGGATAGCATGACAAGGTATAAAATTAGCACTTAAAGACCTAATTTTATGTCCTCGGACTCCTCGCCATATCCTCATCATCACTATCTCCAACACTGAAGATCGCCGCTGAATGAGGCTCGTCATGCGCTCGCTCCTTGCCTTTCCTCGACCGGAACGGCTGTTCTTCGTCCGCAGCGCCATGCCCATTGCTTTCAGCCATGTTGTCAGCTAAGGGAATGTTTTCCTCAGCGGTCGACAGAGGAAGCCCCTTCATACGATTGCGCCGTGAACGCCACCAGAGGAGCCCACCGATGATTACCGCGATGATGACGAGAACCAGTGCTGCTGAGCCGGCATTGTAATATGCTGGGTAGAAAGAATATTAACACTAGGAGAACGCCCGAGCAGCACACAAAACGTACCTTCCCACATAGCCTTATCCTGCTCCGGAGTTTTCGCTGGTACTGGGGTTGGAACGGGTACGTCATCAAGGAGCGTCGGCAAGGGCTTGCTGTCGTCGCCGACGGAGCTCGGTATCTTCGCCGAGCCCTCGAGAATCTTGCTGAAATCAACGCCCATGAAGCGCAGAATCATGTCATGCGTCACATGCGGGACGTCGAATCCAGCCATGTGCGACGCATTGAAAATCTGTGAAGAACATTCCTTTAAATATACGCATGTCTATGGCCATCAGACAGCGAGACGTGCCTTGACATAGGTCAGGTTTCTCGAGGTCACCCATGTGCCAGCAGGTGAACTATCGACGGACCATGACTGCGTCTGCACCGTCTGGACACAATTACAATGAGCGTTGCGCCGTTCTCAACATTCGTCCGACGTACCCCGAGGCCCGTCTCTCCATTCCATGTCATCGCTTGGATTAAGCTCTCGATGCCCACATAGTTGCAGATGAAATCCTGGTCGCCAGCAAAGAGCATCATCGGTATCCTCTCCAGCACCTTAGGGATGACCGTAATTGACGATGGGGAGGTCCTCGTCGTGAACTCGGTGTGGATTATGCCCCTGCATTCGGTCCATGTTTGTGACGCGTCAGTCGCGTGAAGAGCGCTCACAACATCACGACGCTGACGAACTTCCGCGTCAACGAAATGTAAAGTGCTTTCGAGTACCCAAGGGCTCACCTTCAGGTAATCATACATGGCTGGGAGGTCTGACGGCCAATTCATTCCACACGCTGGTGCCTCATCCTCAAGGCGAACGTCGTAAATGTTGACGCACATCTCCTTTCCGTCAACACTGCAGGTCATGGCTCAGAGGAGGTTCCCGAATGACATCTCCCTAACGTACCTCCTCTTTCGGCCGGAGACAACTTGCTCCATGACAGACTCGCAGACGTCGACCTTTACGGGCTCTGGTGTTGAGTATTTGGCCATCTCCTGCATGCAGCGATCCGTAACGGCTTTGCCTCGCTTATAGTCCTGTACGGCGGGTGAGAATTCAAGACAGTCGCGACAAAATAACTGCTCACCTCTGAGTTCTCCTCCACCAGGCCATGCTTCACGGCATACGTCAAGAACGAGGGATATTGATGGCGCCCGTCTATCCACCCGTTGCCGATAGCAGCTCCGCGCAGTGGAATGTTCAGGTTCGATTTCAGTATCGCATCCGCTTGGAGGCACATTAGTCTCTCCACACGTCCGGCTTGCAAAAGAACCTACCAAAGTATGGGATATATTGTCCAGCGAAGCTCTCGCCACCTAAATATGTCTATTCTTTGATATATCATCGCGGGCATGAAAGTACATAGAGAACGTACATCGACATTCTGATACTCTGGGAAAACTCTGTAGAAGTTGCGGAGAAACTCGACGAGTTGTGTCGACGCCTGAATATCATTCTGTGAGGATAGTTAACTCAAGGTGCATGGTGCACCGACTCACGTCGTCCAACTCGTGTACATAATGGTCAGTCGACGTATACGAGAAGCCGGTGCCCGCAGGTTGGTCCACTGCGCACAGAGGATGACACGCATAATGAGCATCTACACACCTTGCAAGCAAAACCAGGCTTACCGTAGACCATAGTCGTGTATTCCTCCCATCCTCCTTCGATTGTCTTGAGACCGCCGTTTCCGTCGACACGCCATGGCCCAACCTCCATCATGAGCCCATCAAATGATGAGCAGCCGGGTCCACCCTAACAATGCACAAACATTTATGTGAGATCAACACAGACTTGCGGTCCACCGTACTCACGTTGAACCAGAACATTATACGCTCCTTGTCGGCTGTTCGCCGCGCCTTGACCATGACGAAGAAAAGGTGTGCAGTAACATCATTTGGAGGCGCGGAGGCGGCATCTGGGTCGGATGATATGTGTCCGGAGAATATGTGCAGAGGGTGCGTATCGTCCTGGTGCAGGTCGGGCAGTCGTTTCACATAGAACGACGCAGCCGACGGAACTGCAGGGTTATTCGTTCAGCACATCGTACAATTTCGCAATTGGTGATACAAACTGTCTGTGGGTGCTGCTCGGCTTGGAGAAAGGAGCGAGATGAAAGACAATAGAGCCCATAACAGGCTGAAGCATAATCTGCAAGCCATCTTCCACGATAAATTTATCGCGACAAACGAGGGACAAACGGACCAGCTGAGTCCGGTAACACGACAGACGGTAGTGATAGTAAAACTGCAGCTGCGTGGCAGAGGTATCAATGAGAGAACATATTCACTCGTCGGCCCAAAAACTGGGTACCATCAGCACTGCCCGGGCTCGGACTTGACCAACGCGCGTCTCTAAATTAACTGACTTATCGAGGGGTTATCTTGGCCGACAAGCCACCTGATTGTCCTGCGCTTATCTCCTTCAAGTTCCCGCTCACTGACATGATGGATTCAGATGCAGACGACGTTCCTTCCCTACCGCCATGAGGCTTCTTTCCGCCGCGTCGACGCTGCTGGCGCTCGTCGTTTGCGCCAGCGCGCAGTACTTCTCTCAAGGCTGGCAGCCCGGCCAGCCTGTTGCGCGCGACGCGCATCCGACGGGTACCGTTGATATTAATCCAGCTTCTGCGCCGACGAGCGAAGGAGATGGCTCGTCGCGTTTTGATTTCACGAGTTTGCTCACGTCCGGACCCGTGGGCTTCCTGGCAGGGAAGATGGGCGTGAACATGACGGAGAAGTTGCAGCAGGCAAAGGCGGAAGAAGATATATGGGACCCTCGTATCCCCCTGATTACCGACTCTAATTACGAGGAGATCGTCGTCAATGAGCCTCTTTCACCGGAGGAAGAGAAAGACAGGGTGTGGTTTATCATAATGTAAGACTGTCCTGTACTTCCGAACGTCTTGCGGTTGATCAGTGTTCCTGTAGCTCCGTCTCGAAAGGTGGCAAAAACGCGTTCTCCATGAAAGCGGATGAGCACTTCGACAATGCATACAATCAGTCGATAATCGAAGGTGACCTATCAAATGTCAGATGGGGTCGCATCGACTACTTGAATGTCACCTACATCACGACAAAGTGGTCGATCTGGCAGTATGTCTATTACTTAACTCGCTTTTTGTACGCCTAGCTCAACACAATATATAGAGCACCATATCTAGTCGTTTTGACCGACCGCGGGCAAACATTGCGCTTCTACAAAGCGAATTCGGTCAGACTGGATCCTACCACCATCCGAGAATTCTTAAGGAACGAGGGTTGGCGTGAAGGCGAACCTTGGGGTGGGCCCTTTGCACCAGGAGGACGATGGTAAGGGATAACAGTTCTCGTCTCCTACGCACAAGCTGACATCGGCTCGAACAGGGAATATATCCTTCACTATTTCGCGCTCTCAGCAAAATGGGTCTACGAGTTCTTGATCATGTTCCCAAAATGGGTGCTCATGATTGCGTCTGCCGGCATCGCGAACCTCGTGATGAAGTATATGCACACCGCCGCCGGTACAGGCAAGCCACAAGCAAACGCAAAAAAACCCGCGCCAATCGCGCCTTCGTCGCCTGTAACAACGACGGTTATCCCAAACAAGGCTAACCCAACTTCGCCGAAAAGCAGGACCAAACAACGGAAGAATGCAATAAAGTAGCTGCATTTTGTATCGATGTGATGTAAGAATGCAATACGTTTCATAGGGTTATATTACATTGCGTGACGTGAAGCTTTGAAATTTCACCTACAAAAGCAGTTTCGCTTATGATATCACGGTGAGTCCAATCTAATCGACTGGCCATAATCTACGAGATGGGGTTCATCCACGCTAGCTGACAGCGCCAAAGACTAATATTACATTGCCAAGAAACAAGTATGCAGAGACTTCCATCACTCCCGGTACGGATACTCGAACTTGGGCTGGTCCTTGCGTCTCCAAAGCTTCTTCCTAGAAAGACGTGAGCACCAAATCGTACCAAAGGACCACAAAATTGTCTCACGCCTTCTTCGTGACAGCATGCGTTGCAAATACCTCCACAGCGTACTTTGCCTTGAACTCGCGAATAAAGCGCGGATCCCTGATATCATGACCTCTCAGACGATAGATATAGATTGAAATGAACATTATGCGGCTCACCAAAGTTCACTGGCGATACCAAGGTCCTTGCAGCAACGCATCAAGGCATTACTCTTGCAGGCCTCCGACGCAGTCGCAATGCCATCAGGATCAAAGTACTCCTGTTCTCCCCGCGCAACGGCGACGAGTCTTGTGAAAGACACGTAAACTTACGGTTTGCTGACGCACAGACGTCTACGAGGACGACTTACCGCCCTAGACAAAAGAGAGCATGCTCCCTGCTCACGACCTTTGGGCCGATATCTAACTTGCTCCACGGTGCTAAGCCCCAACCACCAGGTCCAAACGCCTTATTCAGAACGCGACGGTACTTGATCTCAGGGAGGTAAATCATGCCATCTGAAAAGGGAGTTAGCCTCGATGCTTGACGTGCTGCTCTACGAATTTAAAGAGCATACCAGGCTTGACCTCCACATCCTCGGGATCAACGGGTGCGAGCAGCAGGTCAATGGTCTCCTTCGGGAACGGCTTCGCCGACAGTCCTTGGTACCCATTGGACCAGTCAACAGTCCCGTCAGATGAGTCAGACTGGTCAGCACCGAGGGGCGACGACGATGAGGACGCGGTTTGTGATCTCGAAGACGATCGATCGCTTTCCAAAGGCGTAGAGACGGCTTCTGGAGAAACGTCCTGGTCTGATACTTCATCGGCTACCGTACTACCGACAGTTGTGCTGGCTTTCGCCACTGGACTAGTGTTCTTGTTCTTGGACAAGAAAGTTTTGCGCGCGTGCAGCGCGCTGCTTGCGGCACCTGCGTACGTCCTGCTGGAAACCAAAGGAACTCGACATGACGATCTCAATGCGGATATACCGCAGAAGGCGACCCGGCTAGCCATGTTGAATACAATCGCAACTGAGCCGTCGAGGATGAGGATGTGAGAGAAATCGCTCGCCCCTTTAGCCCACGGCGCTTTGGGACCTGGGTGATGGACGATGAACGCGTGTGTCACAGGATGTCACGTATTACCCGATTAACCCTGGAGCGCGTCTCAGTGGACGGCGTGTTGCGATCAACCCGCGACTTGCACTCGCTTTCGTCTGTCTGTACTCTAATTGAACTTGGAAACCGACATTCTTCAACTGTCAGCATGGATCCATCGACCTCGGGAACACAACGCTTTCGGTTCAAGCAGAATCAAAGCCCTTACATACCCTCCACAGCCGAGTCTGCTTTGTCTGCTTCGACAAGTGCTCCAATTGTTTCAAGTACGTCCTCAGGAGCATCTACGCGACCTTCGTCAAGCGCATCAATCCGGTCTTCCGCCAGTGCTCCGATGCGCTCCACGACAAGCATGTCCGCTCGCACGTCCTCAGCTCCAACTGCTAGTAGCTCGCGTCCTACGTCGCGCTCGACTCAGCGGTCTGCCTCTCGCTTCTCTCATCGTCCTTTTCCAAAGCAGTCATCTCGCTTAGTGCCTCACTACCAAGCACTTGTCAAGGAAGTTACAGGATTGACTGCTGAGAACGACTCAGATCGCTTCCACACCGCTGTCGACCACGTATCCAAAAGGTTAAACCAGACAGTCAGGCCGTCCGGTAGCTACGACATTGCCTCAGCAAGAAAACACATAGCTGGGTGAGTGCGATTCCCGGTATGATTCTGCAATTGCTGGAAAACGCGCATATAAGACATATTGAGAAAGCTCGCATCAATTCTCACAATGGTTTGGCAAGTGCAATGAGAAGTGCCTTTGAAAGATTGCAGAACCTCATGAAAGAAAGCGATGACCTGGATGCGGAGATTAAGGTGAACAGAAATCAGCAATAAGGCGATGATATTGTACTCACTCGTACAGCACGCAAGATGTCTCGTATTCCTGATCATCTTCAACTACTTGTAATGTCATACATCGTTGCACCGTTTCATAATACGTTCTAACCCCCGACGTAGATCTCGCTCTCGCTCCCTCCATCGTCGGATACTCTGTGGTATGCCGAAGAATACCTGAATAGCTTACAGAATCCTTCAAAAGATCAGCCCACATTAACCTGGAATGATATTATAGCGGAGGAACCCTTCGAAGGCGAGCATTGGGAAGGCGTGTATGGTATGAATGGTGCAAGAACCCCTAGTGGAGGGAGTACTCCTTCGCTTTCTCCATGGGAGGATTTAGATGAGTTGGATGACTTGGACGATTCCTCATCATCGTCCAACCCGGTTGATTCCGCGGAAGAATCGAGTTCTCCGCTTCAAAGTAAGGAGAAGTCAGGCATTCAGGACCGCTCATTGGCTACCTATGACCATCGCCAGGACGTTGAAGATCTCCAAGGGAGACAATACTGGCGAACGGAATGGCGTATCGATGTATCTACCACCAGACCATTCAATATTGGAGATGCGTCGACGTTAGGTACAGTCTTCACTGTATAGTATGTTCCTCCTATCTGATGTTCTTGATGCCAGGTCCATCCACGCAGCGCATCCTGACTGATTGGAGAACACTGCAGATTGCCAAGCTCGAGCAGGAGGCCAGTTAACAAATTGTATACCGGCACATAACGCTCATCATTCCACAGAGGTACATATACGAGTATGATGCAGTTCGAGAAGTTCTCATGGGGTTACAAGGCCGAAGAAATATCACGATGGAGTGGACCTACACCGGCGACCACCCGCTTTCTTTCATAGTCAGTATCTGCTATTCGGTCAATCGTGATATCCTGACGTTGCCTAGCCCACCTCGACCCACCGCCTTCTTCATCTCACCTCCGCCAGCCAGCATTCAATCATATCCTCATTCGCACGATTAGCGACCATTGTCGAGCATCTACGGAAGTTCGTCGTAGCCATATTCCAGAGTGCATCCCTTGCTCCAGTGGACCGGAGTCAGAACATATCCTGGCACCAGAACCAACGACGGACTACTCTCAGTCTCGAAGCGTTATCCTCAGCCATCGACGCTCAAATTCGCGGATTCGATACATGGTGTGCTGCGAGAGAAGAAGAAATGTGCAAAGCGCAAGCGGGCGTTGGCCCGCCTCTCGTTGTCAGCCTGCTGAGCATGGACAAGGCAATTAGGGACAGATTCTTTGCAACGTTTGCAGTGCTATTGACGGTCGTGCGCGATGTGGCCACTGAGGCAGCACGGAACCCGGAGCCTTTGAAGGAGATTTGGACCTTGCCGGATCTGCCGCCCAAGATGTCTCCATCGACTTTCAGCACTCTGCTACTCAACTCACTGCTTGATGCTGCCCAGAAGCACTTCTCGATGGGAGATGTCGTGACCTGCGACGCGTTAATGCAAGTTTTTGGTGAAACTGCTGAACCTCTCTGGAGCATGATGGGCCGTTGGATGAAGGATGGCATGTCAACCAGAGAAGTCGCTAGTCTCAGCAGAGAAAGACAGCAGACTCCTGGAGACCTCGACGATGAATTCTTCATTGAGGATAACGAACTGCCGATGCTGGATCCAGATTTTTGGTCTGACGGCTTCGTGCTTCGAGGTGGACAAAGGGACCAGGACGACGACAGGCCGATTTCAGTGCCGACTTTCTTGACCCACATCGCGAAGTACGTTCTCGAAGCTGGTAAAGCGATCGGACTCCTGCGAGCCCTTGGGGTCCCGAGTACCTTCGAGCGTGAAGTCGAGCAGCAATGGATGGCAAGCTGGCGGCCTTTTCGTGCACTCCTTGGTGACCGAGGAATGGGAGCTAACCGCGCTGTTTCTGTGCAACAGATGGTAGCCGTTCGGTCTACGGATGACCTGTCTCGACTGATCTATGACGAGATTCTTCCTCACAGCCTGGCTGCCCAAGAGATGTTACAGAAGGTCCTGGTCGAGGAGTGTGACCTGTGGCTGCATCTCGCTGCCATGGAAGACTTGTTCCTGATGAGGAGAGGTGATGCGATGTCGAACTTTGTCGATAGACTGTTCGCAAGGGTAAGTGAGCTTTCTGAGGACGTGGAGATTGACTGATGATTTTATGTGCGTAGATGGACACTAGGAAGGCGTGGAACGACTTCCATTTCCTAAATAGTGCATTCCACGACGTCGTACAAGCCGGATCGCATAAGTGGATCGACGCTTCCCTCGTGAGGTTTTCGCACAGAGGCAGCAGGGACAAGACCATCACCAGGACCATCAAAGCCATCGATGGTCTCCTTATCGAATATGCCGTACCGTTCCCACTGACGTATATCTTTGCTCCGCGAGTGATGCAAGTTTACTCGTCCATATTCTGCTTTATACTGCAGATTCGCAGGGCGAAGAGCGTGCTGGAGCGGATCTTAATACGCAGTACGGTGGCAAACATGCCCCATGTCGGAAGTGAGATGAAATTGTTTTACGCCATGAGGAGTAAGCTTTCGTGGTTCGTCAAGTAAGTTCCACAGGGATGTCGCTCAAGAAGGGAGCACTAATCCTTGTATCAGCACGCTGCTGAACTTCGTCGCGACGAACGTCAGTAACGCCTCACTTGGTCTCTCCAATCGTCGCTCATTCAGCTGGTTATAGGTCTTGCATACGCAAGTGCTCAACTTCCATAATGCACTGAAGAAGGCGAAGTCTCTAAACGAGATGATTGCGCTTCATGATGAACAGTGAGCAGCAAATGTATGCCCAATTTCGTCTTCGCTGATCATGACGCCAGCCTGGCCAAAATCGAAGGGCGCTGCTTACTGCAGAAAAACGTGCGTTATCACATAGTTCGGTCTCCTGCGTTATATGAATCAGAACATACTAGACTAATGCACTGTACCGCTCCATCATCTCTATCCTCGACATGTGCTTGCACTTCAGCGATTATTTCGTCACGTTCGCGGGCGACACGACGCACGACATCTCTCGCCATTCCATCCTTATCGCGAAGCGCCACCGCAGCCGCCGGGTACGGCGCCAGCGCAAAGACATCATCGGCTTTTCGCACACGCTACGTGAAGTCGTCGACAGCAGTTCTGAAAGCGAGTCTGACTTGGACGAAGATGCTGCGGACGCACCAGAGCCGTCGTTCTCCTTGGGCGCGACGATGACGTCAATGGAGGGAGACGACTTCATCGAGCGTTTACATACGATGTCGAAGGACTTGGATGCGATCGTGCGGTTCATCCGGCGCGGTGTCGAGAGTCTCGCAGCGGGCTCCGGTGAGGCGGCCTCCGCGTTTGGTATATTCGCATTTGCATTAGAAGACTGGGATAGGTAGAGGTAATGGTATAAGGCTTGATGCTTGAAACCACAGCTGACTATAGGTACATCGAGGCTACGATTGAAGAAGCATATAATGTGTACTGCAAATATCACCATAAGTTACCTCGATCATAGATAGTGACCAGAAAGTCAAGTTCAAAAAGCGCGCATATGCTTGCGCCGCCATAGGTTAAATGACACTCTGCCCGCCCCGCCTGTCGACTCGTCGATTTATGCCTCCGAGCAAGATCTTGATGATGAGGTCGGCAGTCAAGCGGCCACCCAAATACGGCGTCGTGTCCACAATGTCGCGGATGCCATAGTTCTGGCTCAACCCGTTGTCTAGTTCGTTCAGGAACTCTGTGGCTTGAGGGTCGTCTCCGATTTGCACAAACTGGATGCCAACCTGTGAGTATGATGTTTGGGTTTAGAAATGGGTGCCTGATGATCCAATTCCCTACACACCTGAGTAAGAGGGAAGTTGTTACGGTCCAGTCTTCTCGCTGCTGTAACGATGACTTCCTCTGGATCATCCGCTAAGCTTACGATCAGCACATGTGTCTGTTAGGAACTTCGTGGAATGCTCACTTGGAGCACCATCTGTGATGACGATGAAATTGACCGGCTTCATATCCTTCATGCCTTCATGGTCGCCAGCATCTACACGCCTCTTCGCACGTTCGAGATTCTCAATGTAGAACAGCAGCAATTCCTCAAGTTTCTCTCCGATGGGTGTGATCCCCCGGGGCCGAACGTGGTCGAATATCCGCTTTACGACCTGAGGGTCCTGTGCCGAAAAATGTACTTCGTACGCGCAAAGTAGAGCGGAATGAAGAAACGTACCCTCACATCAGTCCCTACATGCTTGTCATTCAAGAAGCATATATCAATTCCGTCCGCATCGTACTTGGATGCGACGTCCGCGAGCGCTGAAAGTGCATCTCGCGCCTAAAGCAGGCCGCCTAAGCAAGATAATGATAACTCGCAAAAAAGCATTTACTTACCTCTTGCCATCGTTCGCCCTGCATTGACCCAGAGTCATCAATCACAAGCACTGTATTGTACTTCCTCAGCGTATCCAGCGCGTTCTCGACGCTGCTCTGCCGCATAGGCCTCCGGAGATGCTCCGCGCGCTGCGCGGCGCTCTGCAACGGCGGCACGCCCGCGGGCGTTCCGTTCGCGGAGTATGCGCTCGCCAGTCCCTCTGCCCTGCCTTGGCCGGCACCTGCCCAGCTGTGTCGATGTGAAGACGGTGTGCTCGACTGCGGGACGGAGAGTGAACTGGGAACGGGATTAACGGCGCTTTGTGCCACTGCCACTGCGTATGGTGGCGGGACGGGATCGACGTTCAAGTGGGTACTCGTACTTGGCGATGACGAGCTTGCCATCGCAGACCTGCTACGTCTGTGCGATGGCACAGAGAGAGAGCTGTGTCCCACTGGGTTATTCCGAGCGGTTGCTGCCCTGGAGAGCGATGCGCCGTTGTCGCTCATACTGTCCCATTGGTCGTACGCCGGTGACTTCGCGTTCGGATTGTATAGAGAGTCTGCAGAGTCGATGTTAATCCTAGGCCCTCTGCGAGATCGTGAGGATTGGTTGCCCATGATGTTGTTGTGAGACGGTCGAAACGGGGGGAGTAGATGACTCATAAACCTTGCGTTCGGAACCACATTAATACCTCTGAGCGGCGTTAGTGCCACTCGGAAATCTCTGCACAGCCTGCTTTATCATGTGTCCTCTTCTACGGCTTGGGACACCACGAGAGGAAGACAAAGCATGAGGAGTCGAGGACTTGAGTCGGAGCGGCACGCGTTTTTAGCCGTGGCAGTGCTAGATCTGAGGCCACAGTGAGGCTATGGTTGAGCACAGGACTGTCACGCACGAGCCTGAGGCTATCCATTTTCGATTCTCAATGCTGGCGCTGATTACAGGATGAAAACGGACGAGGAACTCGGCACGTTGGACAGCATCGCCTCCAGAAAAGCTTAATAGTCGTAACCATGTGAAAGCCATCACTAACGTGCGAATGATTATCGCTGGCCATTACTGGTCTATTCGGATATCCAGTGAAGGACCTCCCATAGAACTAATACAATGATGCATAGGGCGATGCACGGTCCGCCAGTCGCGGAAACGCGTTTGCGCTCGCGAGCACGACCATCTGCTTTTCGTGAGAGATGTACCCACGCATGAAGCCCTTGTAAATCATATTCGCCGCATAGCACTCAGCCTCCTCTTGCGACACGTCCATGCCCGCAATCTTCAACGAGGTGTGGAATAGGGACACCGGTATTCGTGTACCTTTTTGTGATGCGATCCAACTAGAGAAGACGTCAGCATCGATTGCCGAGACGGCTGACAATGAGGCTGGAGAGACGTACACCCGCCGGAAGAGCCCTCGAATGCAGAGCTCGCGCGCGCGCTCGAGCGTCAAATACAGATTCAAGTCCACAAGCCGCCGCTCGGATTTGTCTAGGGCTGCATCGTACCCCCCGATATCGCCTGTCTGCACCGCAGAGATGAATGGGGAGAACAATTCATCTAGCACGGGAAAACGGTCAAGCAGCTCTCGTGTTGGCAAATGTCCCCGGAGAAGCCGCAGAGGCAAGAGGTATGTCAATATTCGCCTGTAGCGGGAAGATCAGCAGACAAATGGGTGGATGTATGAGCTGGCGGTCCTCACTCCTGGTTGCTATGTGCCTTGATATCGCAGTTGTAGAAAGCAAGAGTCAGCTCCTGTTCAGCCTGAAGGGGATATTAACCGACGTCAAACGGGGAACAGTATGCATAGCACCTTCGCAAAGTCTTCGTTCAGGAAACTGAGCATGCCAATATAGTACCTGTACGTAACCTAATACTAATACCGATGAGTCACTGCTGAGCAGAAAAGCGGAGATATCCATGCCTGATGTGAGCGCGGATATTCGGTTAATGGTGGGATATCAGGATTGGCGTCAATGGCGCGCAGGATGCTCTTGGAAAGCGATATTCGTTTCACCTGCATCCATTGGTGGACAGAAATTTATAATGCATTGATATGGATGATGAGCAATACTCACGCGGAAGTAGCATTTGAGGATTAGTCCCACAACATAGTATACACCCCATTTCCGTGATTCAGCATATGGTGACTGCCTGGGAATACTTTCAGCATGAATAGCTCTACTGATGAGGTCCATTCAAACCTGTCAGTTACACAACTTGAAAAGGCTTTGCTGATAATCCTGGCAGCTTCCTCCATGCTGGCAGTGCCTTCCTGTCCTTTGCTGCTCGCCTCCAGATCTGCCTGAGCGTTACAGCATGATTCAAGAGCACTGCGCCAGCAACCATCAAGAACTCACGTCGAAAGCCAAGTCTCGCAGGTCCCGTAGTATTGAGAACAGAGCAGGCAGTGTCCATCCGCTATTCATGGCGAAATATCGCAGGAACAGGCTGGACGAGCCAGTGCATCATCAGCGTCAAGTATCGTCCAAGCAAAAAGTACACCATTCACTTTACGAGCGTGCACTCCTCCTTGAACGCCTCCGCCTCCCGCTTTTTTGCACAATGGTTCACGACCAGCACGTAGTGAATGGCAATTTCGTCCCAAGGGCTCTCCATGCTCCCCTCATAGTATGCTAGGGACTCGCGCTGCACTTTACTGAGCATCAGTGACACCAGATTTCAAGGCAGGCTTCCACGCACCGTTGGATTCCGCATCTCCTTCACGAGCTGTTTGCCATGCTCGCTCGTTGGCTTGAGCAGGAACGCGAGCTCGGGCCCCTTTTCCTCGCGTAGGGCTGTGGCTATCTGAATGAGAAAATTTGAGAATTTCCCCGCGCCGCTCATGTTGCCGTGATTGATATTAGGCTCAGGATCGGGAACAGTGGGTTGGGAGGAATTACAGACTTTGTGGTGGCGGTCGAGCGTTTACCCGACGCCACAACACGGACTGGGTCACGTGACACTGTGGGGATCGCATTGGCGTTGCGCCGCCTACACCCCAGACATGGAACCATTTTCTACAGTTATATATGTGTGCTATATCTGATTTGGTATTTTCTATTTAGAATATGTATTTTGCATCTGTTGCAATTGGCATGATATATTCCAAGTTTGGCACTTGACTTGCTATAGTGACAAATTGACATCATATATTTTACTTTGGCAGGGATTCAAAATAGTGTGCATGAGGTAATGCAACATAGCAGATTCATCACGAAAAAGTCTTTCACCCCTCAAGTAATAGCATGCACTGCAAAGAAAGTACCGATTCCTACAGCGAGAAAGGTGTGAAAAATAATGGTTTATCTTTTACTTTCCCCTGCTGCAGCATTTTATCATTTATGGCTGTTTCATGCAAGTTCTTGCCCAAGAAAGGTGCAGAACATGCCTTTTCTAAGCCTTTCCCCAAAAACATTCCCTTGATGGGGAAGGCCAGATTATTAAATTAAATTCTAACACTTTTTTTCAATAAGAATTGGTACTTTCATCATTTGAAGCAGTGCCACATTTTGTGGGCAAAATTTACAATATACAATACTGCATGCAATAGAAACAAATCTGTTCTCTAAAGGTAAAATACCAAACCACATTTAGCATGCATATTTTACTGTAAAAAATGGCACCATGTCTGAGGTGCTAGGACGGAGCCAGGACAGAGCTTGAACGCGCTCGCCCCGCCGCTCAACGTACCATCTCAACGCCATTCGTCTGCTGCCAGAATGTAAGTATTCGTTGGGTAATCCCTGGAGTGACACCTGGGCACGCAATGCACGAATTGATATGTTCTCATGGCTGTCTCGGCTATAATGCCCTGGTCGCAATCGATATCATCATGAATGCGACAAGAACGCGGGCATATGACGACTGCTGCATTCCGAATTGCTTACCTATCTGCTGTCGAGCACGCGATATAACAAGCACGCATACAGCTTCCTGAGCACTCAACATCTCACCGAACCTCTCACATCCACTCCTTGCATACAGACAACATGGCCCTGCAGCCCACTCTCAGTCCCTTGATCGTCGCAGGGAGACCTAATGCGCCTCATACGCTCGATATCTTCCGTACGTATTTGCATGCAGGGATCGTGGTCGGAGCTGGCCTGAGCAGCCATATGCAGTCGACTATGTCTGCCCGTACTCCACCAAGACGGCGAACACGATCGACAAAGTCCTGAGGCCGCTCCTGGGCCCCGGAGGCAAGTACGACGGCAAGGTCAAGGTCATCTTCAGGCCGCAGGTGCAGCCTTGGCATGCAAGCTCGACTTTTGTACACGAAGCTGGCCTTGCGGTTAGTCTAAGGCGCACATACGTTGGTGCCACAGCCATGCTAACGTGCACGGAACATCATAGGCGGCCTGTGCGGCTCCCGAGAAATTCTGGACATTCGCTCTGACCGTAGGCCGCTGCTTTCATTGATTAGCATTTATGAACGTACCATGTTGACCCTATGTATATAGCTTTTCAATAGACAAGAGGAGTTCTTCGACATCCCTACCTCCACCCTGACGCCCCTCCAGATTCGCGCAAAGCTCGCCGAGATCGCGAAGGAGACCATCGGTGCCAGCAACTCAGTCGTCTTCACCGATCTTCTCACTCACAAGTCCGGCGCCAACGGTGGCGTCGATGTCACAGATGATCTCAAGTACACCAGTAAGTCCCTGCATACGTGATTCTCTGCCAAGCGTAGTTGATCACATTTGCTGCCTTCAAAGTCAAGTTCTCCAGGCAGAACAGCATCCATGTGTCTCCCAGCGTGCTATGGGATGGCCTATACCAAAGTGACATCTCCAGTTCCTGGGGTGAGAAGGAGTGGACCGAATTCTTCGATAAGAAGGTACTTGTTTGAGTGCGATGCTGGACAACTCGCAGTGTGCCCAAAGTTGTTGTAACGCAGGTCTACGTGGGGAAAGAGCCAAGTTGCATTGCTATAACATGATAGTTCGATAGCTGGGTAATAGTGATGGATGTCGCTCACTGCTCTAGAATACGTCGGATTTGTTCGTTTCATTGCAACAATTTGACGAGCATATCTCTCACAGCTCGTGCGTCTGCAGTGCCCCTACTCGCTTTCATAACACGTCCGACCATTCTGTTGACCACGTTCATGTTGCCCTTCCGGAACGCCTCTGCTTCCTGCGGCATCGCCGCGATCGCGTCGGTGCACCACTTTTCAAGAGATGTGTTGTCTTCGCGAACAGCGAGCAGGGAGAGCTGCTCAGCCAGCTTCGAGGGCTCCCCCGACGAACGTGTATCTAGCATATGTCGCAGGAGCGTCTTGCCTGAGGTACCTGAGACCCGAGTTGAATTACATATCGACGCGTTAAACCCGAAGATACAGCTGAACATACCGGTCATCTTGCCCGCTTGTATCAAGTCGATGAGCTCGCCCATCTGTTCTGCGGATATGGGATTTTCAGAGAAAGTTTCCTTTCGGTAGGCCAGTTGTCCCAGCAGCTCATGTGTGATCCTTCGCAAGCAACCTCGTCAAGCCCCTTATGAATGTTGGGAGCATACGGCAACTTACCAGTTCACGACCACTTTCGGATCGCGTCCCTGAGCTACCTGATCAAAGTAGGCTACCGCACCCTTGCCGAGCTCCCCGTCGAGACCGACCTCGCGCCCGGAATCGACGTCCATGAGCACATCTGTATCTCTGCGAGAAAGGCCGATATCTTGCAGTCGCGCGCGGGTGGCATCTGGTAATTCTGGCATCTTGTCCCGAATTTGTGTGATGTACGCCTACGGAAAGACATGCTCTCGAGCTCACATTTGCTCCATGAGACTACGCACCTCGTCGATGAGCAACGGTGGCAAGTTGGGATCGGGCATGTATCTGTAGTCCGGGGCATCCTCCTTGCTGCGCAGTAAATACGTTTCGGCTCTGTCCTCGTTGAACCCGCGCGTCTCCTGGGCTACGGACTGTCCGCTCTCCAGGAGGTCGATCTGGCGACGAACTTCTGACGCTGCAAGACCACGTCATGAGGGTAGCCATCCAAAAGGAGAGACAGACAACATCGCACTAATGGCCACCATCATGAACTTGACACTGTTCAAGTTCTTGATCTCACAGCGAGTTCCGAACGGGCTTCCATTACGGTGAACTGAGACGTTAACATCGCAACGCAGAGAGCCCTGTCGTATAAGAATAAGTCAAGGTCCAAATTTGATGCGATCTAGCTCACTTGTTCCATATTACCGTCACTAGAGCCCACTGAGCGAAGCAAAGCCTGCAGAGCTCTGACATACTCGCCGGCCTCCTCTGGGGAACTGCACATGTCCGTCCTATCGTTAGGATATATGCTATATGGTACGCTTTCTAGATACTTACCGCATGTCTGGTTCAGATACGATCTCCATGAGGCCTGTGCCTGCCCTATTCAAGTCGATGAACGAGACATGTTGACGTGGTTCAAATGTTGATTTCCCTGTATCCTGCACTCCGTCACGACGTGCTTTCACAGCTGTCTTAGCGTTATCACCTGTTCTAATTGGATTTGCTTGATGCGCACGAATGCATCTTTCCTGTCCAGTTTCAGTCCGCCACCGGTGGCAAACGGCGCTAGTCCATCTTCAGGATGGCGTTCTCGACTTCAGAGTAGCGCAGACACTTCGTACCGTAGTGCTGTGTAATCTGATATCCAGCTGGCAGGTCTGCGTAGAAGTAGTGCTTTCGGTCAAACGCAGACCGTCGCTGAACTTGGGCGTTCAGCGCTACGGCGGTCCTGACACCGAGCTCAACACATTTCGGATTGAGACGCTATCAAGCAGTGGAGTGTCAACCGTTCCGAGCGCTGTGAGCATGAAGACGTATAGATACAGGTAGGGTGCCGGGGAACGCGGCGTCATAGGCAGAGACTCGCGTGTTCGGAGGGAGGCTGTAATCGGACGTCCAGGTGCCTTTGTCGAAACACTGTGGTCACTGACTATTGTCCAAGGCGTGCAGAGATACTGACTTGAGAATAGCTTAGTCCGTGATTTGATCTGAGCGTGAACCTCGATGCCGACAACCACATTCCACCCTGGCCACCTCGCGTCTTCATGATTCGCCCTCAGAGTATGCGCAAGTCGCGAGCAGCGCACGCCTGGCGCAAGCTTCCATGGTACTCTGGCATGTCCGAGCATACAACCTGTTCGCCGTTCACCTGTGACTGTTCTGCGACTGTTCTACAGAAATGACCGTGAGTCCATTCGGCCAAATCCTGCAAGAGTGATAGGATGCTAGCATGATTCTCCCAATAGATTTCACTGTATCTGTCACCAATACGAGCCCGTAGCTGACTTTGTCCCCTGGAATGTTAGACGATTTTTTGGGAACGAGAAGTACGCAGGGGCACAAGGAGCCTGGAAGCGCCCGATAGGTTTCGGCCGTTGCCGCGCTCAGGTGGACTAGGGTGGACTGGCCAGTTTGTCATCGGACGGAATACACAGCAGGTCCTATCTCACCGCCAGCTCGCTTTCCACCATCGAGCAGCCTCTTAGCAAGAACAAGATGTCGACAACACATGGGTGAGTGTTTACCATGCATAACATTGAGATGCAGCGATTCAGAGGTCGCCTAAATGTCTGTAGATACCTGGGCGTTACGCCCCCGATCTCGACGAACGAGTCCAATGAGAGGGAGAAGGAGGTATCAGTCTCACTGTTGGAGGAGCTCCGGAGACAGGGTACCTTCGAGAGTGAGGAGGAAGCAAAGACTAGGTGAGTACACAGACCTGCTAGTCTTCTACGTTAGGAAGCCACAGCTTCCTGCCGGCCGTGGTCCTGTCGCCCTCGACTCGCCCAACCATGCGTTATATCCTGTGTCACATACTGCGTACCACACTCTTTTCCAACTTCACTGGTTCTCTGAGTATTCCGCTTCAACCATGCGCAACACCGGTTCACGCTCTGGCAATGGTCGCTGACCATTTGCACCGCATCATTACAGAGAAATCGTCCTCGGCCGTCTCGCTGCACTGGTTAAGAAGTTTGTGCACAAGGTTTCGAAGGCGCAAGGAATGTCAGACAGTGCAGCCACCGCCGCAGGTGGCAAGATCTTCACGTTCGGTTCATATCGCCTGGGCGTTCACGGTCCCGGCTCGGATATCGATACCCTATGCGTCGTTCCCCGGCACGTTTCGCGAGAAGACTTCTTCGATGTGTTTGAAGAGATGCTGAGGACTACCGAAGGCGTGACGGAAGCATCCGTATGAGCATGCACTTGGTTGCTCCAGGGACATCATTGACGAAATTCATGCAGGGCATTCCCGACGCCTATGTACCAATTATCAAAACCAAGGTCTCCGGTATACCCATCGATCTGGTCATGGCCCGTCTAGCCTTGTCTGTAATACCGGATGAGCTGTCTCTTCAAGATGATGAATTGTTGCGTAATCTAGATGAGCGCTGCGTGCGAAGTTTGAACGGTAGGCTCACCTCGTTTCTCCCTCGAAGACCCGTCTAATTACCGTGCATAGGCTCTCGAGTGACGGATGAGATTTTGCGGTTGGTCCCTAACGTTACGGTATTCCGAGATTCATTGCGATGCATCAAGCTCTGGGCACAACGTACTGGGCGTCTATGCTTCCTATTGGACAAGCCAGCTGATATATTCTTTACAGGGAGAGCCATTTACTCGAACGTGAACGGATTTCTGGGTGGTGTTGCTTGGGCTATGTTGGTTGCTCGAATATGTCAGCTGTACCCTAATGCGATTGCAGGAGCAATTGTCAGCCGCTTTTTCATTATTATGTATCAATGGTTAGTCGGCCATCATGCATTGTTAGGGGCTATGCATCAACATTTTCGCCCTATAGGTCTTGGCCGCAACCTGTGCTGCTGAAGCAAATCGAAGACGGTCCCTTGCCAGTCAGGGTCTGGAACCCGAAGGTATGGCTGATTCTGACATTTTTTATTCTCGCTTGAGCTCATCCCTGCATTAGCTATATCCTGCCGATAGGGCACATCGCATGCCGATCATTACTCCCGCCTATCCATCAATGTGCGCAACCCACAACGTTACCGCGTCAACGCAAATGATCATGACAGAAGAGTTCAAGAAAGGCGAGCGGAATGACGATAAATGGTTATGCGAGTCCTCACACTATTGTTATAGGTTCCGAAATTGTTGACAAGGTGATCGTTGGAAGCGCGAGCTGGTCGGAACTCTTCGCGAAGCACGACTTCTTCCACAAGTACCGCTATTATTTGCAAATTATAGCTTCTACAGGCAGCCCTGAGTTACAGATCAAATGGTGAGAGATGACTACTTGCTAATTTCAATGCACTCATATCGCGATCTCTCGCCATGATAGGTCTGGTACAGTGGAGTCTCGGATACGACAACTGGTGATGAAGCTTGAATATGTCGATTCATTGACGCTCGCGCATCCGTTCATCAAGGGGTTCGAGCAAATACACTACTGTCTTTCAGACGAGGAGGTGCGAGCGGTGGCACAAGGCGAGATTCCCGAAGCAGTGGCGAAGCGTAAGAAGGAAGAAATTGAAGGCAAGGAAGGTGCAAGCACTGTGTATTCGACAACATTTTATATTGGACTTGCCATTGCGCCAAAGCAACGTGCGTGAATTCTTCGCCGAAAGTCAACTTTATCTGCTGTGAATGAATAACTGATTTGCCGACATCTGAAGCTGGTGCTATTGGCCCTCGCAAGCTAGACATATCGTATCCTACGACAGAGTTCACCAAACTGGTGAAGATGTGGGAGAAGTACGAAGAACACTCCATGGGTATTGTTGTCAGAAACATCAAGAGGTACGTGGAGACTCCCTCTATGCGAGTCGAAGTTTGCTTACCTATAATCTGCAGCTCTGCGCTGCCCGATTACGTCTTCGACGCAGGCGAGCGGCAACCTCGGTCTGCACAGAAGCGGCCAAAGCACAAGGTCTGTACCGACACGAACAACCTTGCTATTTCTGCCAATATTTTACTCATCGCTGCATTCACTCATCAAGGGTACGGACAAGTCGAACGGCACTTCGCCCGATGTGCCCAACAAGAAAAGACGGTTGGTGGAGTAAACTGGTATACTCGTCTTTCCTAACCTCTTCGTTCTGGATGCGCTTGATAGGGCATCAAATTCAGTATCCGAGTCGCTCTCCACCACGCCGATCGCAGCGCATCCCCTCAAAACAACTCAAAACGGAGTGGCTATTGCGTCCACCTTGTCGACGCCTCCGCCAGCTGAGTATCGCCCAGCAAATACTGGAATATACACCTCAAGCGTCAAGGACTTGTCTCAGATCAAGTCGCCGCAGCTCCCGCTTGGAGAGAACGTCGCTGTGGCCACTGGCGTCACGGCACCATAACAGCGAGCCTCTAGACATTTTTTGGTTGTTCATCCTACATGGCTGCAATACGCAAGCAATCAAGGCCGAGGCGTCTAGACAAGTCCATGCACTTCTTCCTATAGTACAATGTTTGCTTCTGGTTGGTTTATTCATCTTTTTCTGGCCTACAGGTGTCCTCGCTGGCTCGAAGGTCGGCCGTCTGCTCTCGGAAAGTGTCTATGGACGACATGTTATCTTCGGGTGCATATCGGCCTTCCTGTCGGCTGGCATGGTCCTAATCCGAAGAATGTTATTCTCCTGTACTTTCGTAGCAATCGCTAGCTGCTCTGTATTATAACCGTAAATCTATCAATATCTTGTTGGACAATGACTTATTTCTTGTCGTGTGCTTGTCCTCGGGCGGCGTCATCGTGAACATCTCGCCATGGATTTCGAGCGAAATGTAGTACGACTTTACAAGAGCAAGATAGTGCACATGTTGAGATACAGTCTAGATATCTAACAAGAGTCCTTCTAAACCTAGGCGGAGAGAAGATATACGGATGTGGCCTGAATGATATGTAGATCCTGTGGATTGTACAGTCTAAACCTAGGCGGAGAGAAGATATACGGATGTGGCCTGGATGGTATGTAGATCCTGTAGATTATACAGTCCGTGGTCAATTACATGCCGCAGCTGCGTAAGAATGCAAGAACATCGTTAGATGTCGTCAGGAGCCACAGGATAGGATGATTGCACAACAACAATACCAAGGTGTAATGTAACAGTATAATGCCCGGAAAACTGCATAGGTAAGGGAGAGACATCAGCCTTCCTTGCTCGCGTTGAAGTACCCAGATCTCCGCCACAACTGGGCGTTGGCACCCCTACCTGAACGCGCCAAGGCCCATCGGCGAATGAGCAATGCCGCTCCAAGCAGTGCGAAGAAGCCAAGGATGGTGCCGACTGCGATGCCCGCCTTCGCGCCGCCAGAGAGCCCATGCTTCGACGTAGACGTCGAAGGGCCGGATCCTGAGCCCGAGCCCGAGGATCCCGGACTCGACGACGAGTTCGAGTTCGCCGTTGGGTTCCCACCGAACGGCCACCAGTCTCCGCCGTCTGGAGGGAAGATGCACGTCAGGCCATCGCCATCGGTGATGTTCCGGAAGTTGGACTGCTCGCGCGAGTCGGAGACGAGACTGTGGTCGATGACAAACGGCGATGAGGTTGGGATGGTCTCATCGGTCGAGCAGTTAGGTCCGCGCCTGCCGATGAAAGTGGTGTTCCCGATCAGAGTGTTCCCCTCGACGGTGAAGTTGTACGCGGAGGACATCGCGATCCCGTACCCAAACGCGCCCGTCAGCTGGTTGTTCAGCACTGTGCCCGATGAGCTGACGTTGTTGTAGTATTGGTTCCCGAACCAGGTGCGCGGGCCGATCGCGATGCCGATCCTGTGATGAGGGAGAACATCTCAGCGTACAATCGAAGTAGGAATGAGAAGACGTACTTGACGATGACATCATCTGCATTGGTGCCGTAAATTTCACCAGACGTCTCATTATTGGTCGCGAAACCTCCTAGGATGGTATTGTTTCGCACAATAGTGTTCGTGTAGTTTCCTTCCCACGGGTCGTAGTCCACCATGTTGATCCCGCCCAAGAGTGTGTTCTATAATTTCCGCTCAGCATCTGCCAGGCTATCTCGATGCTGATGAAAGCCTACATTTTCGATCCAAATTGTGTTGTTCTCCACAAGTGTGCCGGGAGACCCAAAAAGGACAATACCACCATCCTGAAGTTCTTTTAGGAATTCTGCGGATTATGGCCTTGTTTACAAGATCCTCACCGTCGGGTTGCGGACCATATTGTTGCGGACCACAGCATTCATGCAGCTGACGCTGATGCCGTCTGCCCACTGCTGGAACAGATCGGTACCGCACGGACCGATGTCGTTGTTTTGCACGGTATTGTTATCACACTTGAAAGTTCCCTCGGCGATGTGTAAACAAGACCAGCCCCGCGGATCAAATGAGTGAACGTATTCGATCAGCTGGCCGGAATTGTCTCCGCCCATCTCAATGTTTGCGTCACCGATGATTGCACTTCCATTCCCGCGCGTGCCATTGATCTGCATATGTAACGGCTAATGAGTTGTTGTCAACGGAAAGGATCGAACTACACTACCTGAATGTTGAGTAACTTGAGGTTGCTGCAGCCGGCACAATTGCCGTATATAGCGGTGGTATGTCCCGTACCGTTGAAGACGGGTCCGGACACAACGAGTGTTGCACGCTCGTCTCCTACCGGGTAGCCTACGGTGCTGATTTCCTGTCCCTCAGCATAGAAGATGATTGGTGCAGTGATGTAATATTCGGTGTTCGGGCATAGCGGCAGCCTATACCCGGGTCCAGATGAGTTGAGCAGCGTGTTCAACCGATCAGTCACAGTATTTTGCGGGTCGGCGGGTTCACAGTCCTCCCTGGCGAGCAGCCTTGGTGCGTCTCTGTTGAACGGTTATATTCGCATATAACACGCCTTTAAGGCGAAACATACCTCGCAAAGAGGCTGATGTCACGCATACCCATAACATGCCGCCTGTGGTGAAGTGTACTGCTTGGAAGCCGTGCAGACGCGCCTGTCGTCGACAACAAGACCGTAGCAGCTATCGTGAGGACTGAGAGGAAGTTTGGTATCATCGTGGTGGTTGCCAGCAGGAAAGAATGAACAAGGAATCTTAAAGAGGCGAGCGAGTACAATGCGGTGTATGGCGAGAGGACGCCGTGAGGGAACGAGGAGGACGCTTGCCGGCGTCCGATATAAAAAGCAGGCAGGCGTGTTGCAGATAATAAATGCAGATAAATCGCCCTGGCACCTTGGCGGCAGCTCGGAGCGTTCTCCTCGCTTCCATCAGCCGCTTTCCTGCAGCCACCAACGCGCCATCTTAGTCGCTTACATACTAACCATTTGATGGACGACTCGACGCTTCCCTCCAGATCCACACGTCGTCCTCCACGTTCAATGCACACTAGGAACAATCTTGCGGTTCTTCCAAAGCCAAAGTTCTCAATCAAGTTTGCGGGGTAGGCATTTAATCTGTGGCTTAATGATCTTCCCGTGTTTCAATTAACTCCGAACACGTTTTCAGGCTTTTGCCTGCAACAAGATCACAGAATGTGCGTAGTATTATGATGCCTCACGATGTCGTTCGCTGCTCTTTGGACTTCTGAGCCTACCTCAGCTGTTCATCTACGCTGTCTGCGACTTTCTTGTGGTGTGGCACCGTCCTCAGCTTTCGGGCACTCTTGGCCGTCCGGCAACAACCCGGCATGCTTCCTCTAGCCTCATGGAACGTCACTCTTCATCGAAGATGGACCCGAGTACTCCAAGTCAATCGCTCTGGACTAGGTCGTCTGCTTTGGTGTGGCTTCGTACGCGTACATCTGGCTGTCGCATGATCCTCCTGCCTTCTGCGTCTGGAAAGGTTTGAACACTCCATTTACTTCGTCCTTCAGTATGACGCAGATCGCGCCAATGCCAAGTTTTCTTGCTATCGGCGTATCGGGAGTCTTTCATGAACGTTTCAAACATTGCAGACTGCTTTGCCAGTCGAGTACATGCGACGGTTGTTTTGCGCATTCGACAGGGATCCCCAGATATGAATCCGAGCATGCCACAGCCTCAAAATATCTCGCTCTGGTCTGTAGGGGAAGCATGCAACATCCAAGTCCGCTGAGGGGCTTCAGGTGCATGTATGCAACTATACACAGTCGAGTACCAGTTACTTCATCAAGTGGAAGCATATCTGACTCCAAACTGCTTAAACAATTCATGTGTCGGCCTTCCATCTCATTCTGTCATATTCTGATTCAATTCCATCCTCTTAGCCAGGTTCGCTGACACTAGATCGAAACTCACATTTGTACGTCGTCGTCAGCACAAAGAAATGCCGCTACGAGAGTCCGTAATATCAGAGACGTCTCCATATACGGAGTTGGGCACACGCGCGCTATGCCTCCGTGAGCCCGTACTGCTTCTAGCATACACATCGTTGAGCCTTTGCATTCCTGCAGATAGCTGGCTTCGTCTACATCCTGCATGACGTCTGATAGGTTGCATAGCACTGCAAGGATAGTGTCTGTCGGTGTATCGCAAGATGGCACAGGCCAGCGGATCGTCTTACTGCCGGTGGTTACGATGAATGTCATCACAGATCGCGGATTTCTCTATCGAGCGAACTTGCGTCACTCAACTTCATCCGGTTGATCAGTTCAGTTCTCTTACTTTGAATACTCATTGGCGACAGTCGGCGCGTCCAATGCGGCGACCCGGAGCGGCGTATCCGTCATGAGCATAGAAGCCGAGGCTGTGCTATGACAAGCGGTCATCTGGTATGTCAGACTGCGCTTTGTCAGTACGTATAGAGCCAATTTCATCACGAGCGGACCTTGTCCTACCATTGACAGATGGATGTTGACTATCCGGCGTGAATGAGCGGGAAGGTTTGTGACGTTAATAAAGGTTGTTTAGTCTACTGAATGGTTCCTGTGCCGGCCGCGGGACTGAGCTTTCACCTGGAACAGATCGAAGCGTGCATGGCGTACATTCGCTCATACCCGGTAGCGGCCCTGTGAGCAGCCTTTGACGTGGGATCTGGTAGGAGGATTTTGCTTGATGCAGCCCTGCAACGTACGTTCTTGCTCGGTATGGAGAAGCACATTACTCGGCAGCTTCGTGGCTGAATAATCGTCATGAAGCATCAGTGAGCCTTACTTTCCATCCTCCGACCGTTATTCGCGTCTGATGTCCATCAGCCTTCGCTCCTGATTGCTGCTTCGATAGGACGAGCCGGTTGTAGGCAATGTCCCACCAGCGGAGCTATGTCGCGCATTCAACTAAGTTCGTACCCCAATCTCCTCTTGAATCTCGTACACAGCCGGCAGAGCGCCTCATGGCGCTTCGCTGAGAAGCTCCCTGACTGAGAATCATAGCATCATCACGAATGGCACTTTGTCGAGCCAAAGGATTGGACGGGACCCCAGCGGTCCGCCGGTAAGCCCCATTCAGTTGAGGCTTGTGTAATTCCGTTTCAAAAGGTGGCTGTAGCCTGCCCGTATCTATAGCATGTGAGTTGCGAGCTTCATGCATGAACTGATGGGCTTAATAGCCCGCCCTGACCAAGTTGGGTTCGTTCTCATGCACATTAGGCACATGTAAATCCCTAGTGACATGATGCATCTCCCGTGAACTTCCCGTCGTTTTAGACTGGTCATATGCCGGCGGGCCTACATATGGGCCGAACGATCTGGGTCGCTGTGCGAATGCCTCCCACACGGTATTACCGGGATTCGCGTCTGAGCTTGCTCCTCTGGTAATTTGGAACCAGTTTGTAGGAAACTCCGCCCTTCGACAGGCGGTGTAGTCTCACCGCAATTAATGATTGATGGCTGCGTTATCGGTGTTGTTAGAGTGGAAGTAGCTGTGTTACTGAATGAGTAGAAGCTGATTAATCCTACACCATTGTGGCAGTGGCATCTTGATGCTAGTGCTGCCACCCCATGCGCCGCGATGGATGATGACATACAGTCATATACACGTACACGACATGCAAAATCAGCTCTGCGACACCCTGCCCGTTCACATCACACCGTGCGGTCGCGAAATGATAGGTATCAATCGTAATCTGCACGTCTTCGTGATGCAGAGGTCCGGTCATGCCCATAGCTCTTGCCCTCGTCCGCTCCTTCGTACCGACCTGTCCCACGCCTGTCGTCCTGATACCTGTGCGCGGGCGAGCGAGATCTCGGTTCTCTGCTGTGAATGGAACGCCCGTCCCGCACGGGAGACCGCGTACGTGAACGGCTGCTTCGCCTTCTCGGTGGAGAATAGCGCATCCCGTGGTCATCCCTATCCCTATCGCGTCGTGGGGTTCTGCTTGGCGACTGGTTGGGGTGAGCAGGGGAGCGGCTGCCGTATCGGCGGTCACGGTCGCTGCGAGCGGGCGAGCTGTCTTTGCCGCCTAGAGAGGTGAGAAGTTCCTCCACAGCACGCACTCCTTCGGATTTTCCGAGCGCCTTCCGTGCTTTCTTTCGCTCCTTCCGTGCACGTCGCTCTTCTGGTGTCTCGTCCTTGTGCTTGCTCTTTGACTTGGGTTTTCTCGACTTCTTGAGAGCTTTCTCTTCTTTTCGCTTCGCTACAAGATATTCGTACATTGGGTCTTCAAGGTCGATGGGAGGTCTCTCATCCGCGGATGATTCCGACTCGACATTCTCCTCTGACGGATCGAATGAAAACAGTGAGCGCATGAGAGCGTTGGAGGACGATGTGGAACGAACCCATGATTATCTCGGGTTTCGCGTTGAGGCTCTGCTCTTCCCGCTCCTGCCATTCACCTTCCTCTCCTTTGACCTTGGGCTGCTTGTAGTTCCTTACATGATCGACCCGCAAGGTCCTCTCTAGGACCTTGGCACCGTTCAGATTGTCTACAGCCAGGATAGTCGAGCGCTGGTCCTCGTACATTAGGAAGCCAAAGCCCTTTGTCTTTCCCGTAATTTTATCGCGGGGAAGGTTGATGTCCATGACCTCTCCATACCTAGCCTGGCGGTGAGTATGAGAACAAGGCCACGAGAGGCGACTCACTGAGAGAATATAGTGATGACATCTCCTTCAGTCAGATCAGGATGGAGGCCACCCACAAAGACGTATGCTGAGTCTATCGCACGGGAAGTTGTGAGTTACAGCGACAGACAGTCGTAGGCCGCATGCATACCCTTGTAGTCATCATGCCATGAACCAGTCGCGCCAAGCTCGAGTTCGCGCTCGTTGATCTTGTTGATTTCGCGCACAATGCTGCAGGCGTCGTTCAGCCATCGCGTCCTCGCGAGCCTTCAGACAACTCACTTCATGGCTTCAAGATGCTCTGAGAGAGTGCAGACCGTGGAATAATGGGCGTAAAGGAGGGAGTGTGATTGACCGTATACCAGCACGTGCACGACGCGATCGAAGCATGGCAAATTTTGGCGCGCTCAACGTCGAGCAAGTCGCCTTCCGCTCGTCTCATACGTTGACCAGACACCATGTCCTCATTTTCGCTACCTACTATCAACGACAATCCTGACGGCGGCTGGGGACCGTCCTCGTCCAACTTGCCCGCACAGTTCAAGTTCAGGGACATTCCTTACGCCCCGTACTCAAAATCCGACAAGCTCGGTCGTTTTGCTGACTGGAACGATCTCGCAGGCGACGGCCGCCAGAACGTAGGCGTCCCGTCCGCTCAGGGCCCTTCTCGTGGTGGAGGGCCCGGACGAGGGAGGCGCGATGGCCAGCCGGCGTTTGGCAGTGGGACTGCCAGTGCTTTCGCTTACTTCCACGCCGAAGATGAGTCGAGCTTCTCACTCGTGGATAACAAGGCTGGTGCAGCACGCAGAGGCGGTGCCCTCGGCAGAGGTCGGGCGACTGGGAGGGGAGGTTCTTTCCAGCGGGGGGGCTTCCAAAGAGGGCGTGGTGGGTTCATGGGAGGGCGTGGGGGTGGAGGCGGCCAACGCGGCGGACGAAGGGGCTGGAGAGACTGGGAGAAGGTGTGTCAGCATGTCAAGAGCTCAGAAGTATGGTCATTCATAGCAATTCTTTTCCAGAACAACCGTACTCGCGAGTCCTCCGTCGCCATCTCGCCTAACTGGTCAATGCTCGAAGAGATCGAGTTCCACCGACTCGCCAAACTGCGACTAGAAGTCGACGAGCCTGAGGATTTGTAAGTGTTTTTCGAATTGTGATTGCACTACGTCTCTGAAACTCGTCAAGGGATTCATATGGACGTTTGTTCCCATATGACAAGACCTACGATCGTATTACGACGAAGTCCGAGAAACCGCTTCAATTGGTGGACCGCATCAAATATAACACTACTACATCTGACGATCCCGTTATCCAAGAGGTCCGTTATTCTTAGTATCTCATTATATGCGAAAGCGAATGCTAAGCGACAATCTTCTTTAACAGTTGGCATCAAAAGATACTGCGACTGTGTACACCACGGATGTCATTCTCAGTGTTCTCATGTGCGCACCACGCTCCGTCTACCCATGGGATATTGTTATCCTGCGCGAGGGCAACAAGCTCTTCTTTGACAAGCGTGACGGCGGACCATTTGATACCGTCACCGTTAACGAGAATGCGGCGGATCCCCCACAAGACCCATCCACTGTTAACCCGAACAACCCGAATGAGAAGATTGTCGTTCCGGAGACGCCTTCCATCAACTCGGCGACGTCCCTATCCCTCGAAGCCACCTACATTAACCAGAACTTCGGCTTCCAATCCGTGATCGAGACCCCTCCTCCGCCGCCTGTAGACTTCCCTAAGCCGAACCCATTTTACGGCCCTGACGAGACGGAGCCTCTCGCGTCTTGCGGATACCGCTACCGTGTGTTCGACCTAGGCGTGACAGAGGACGAGGATGTCAAGCTCTGTGTGCGAACTGAGGTCGATGCCTATTTGCCAGGTCAAGGTAGCCCCCTCGCCGGCCAGGGGCTCGTCACCATTCGTGCGCTGAATGAGTTCGACCCTCGCGCGCAGGGTGCTGGTGGCGCACCGGACTGGCGCTTGAAGCTCGACTCGCAGCGTGGAGCAGTCGTCGCCACAGAGATGAAGAATAATAGCTGCAAGCTCGCCAAGTGGACCGTGCAGAGTGTCATCGCCGGCGCAGACTTGCTGAAGATTGGGTGAGTCATCACTTTTCCCAAACGCCGTTCGCCCTGTATCTTCCCATGTCGAGCTTCGAGGTTGCACGGCTCCTTCGCTCGCCTTCTGACCCTATTTAGTTGGTGACAGTGGCTAATTAAATGCGCTCATTCCCGTATAGGTTCATCTCTCGCGTGAATCCCCGCGATAATACCCGACATGTTATTCTTAGCACGACCTCGACTCGTCCCATGGATTTCGCTGGTCAGCTGAATGTGTCTCTCGCAAATGGCTGGGGTATAGTCCGCACTGTCACAGACATGTGCATGAAGCAGCCCGAGGGCAAATATGTCCTTGTGAAGGACCCGAATAGGGTAAGTTTCATTCCGCATGATCATCTGTCCGTGAGGTGTTGTGAGGTGTATATGAGCTGTTACCCGTTTCATCGACGGAAAACGGAACCACAAGCTGGTTAACATCTCTGCTCGGAGATTCAGTTGGTTCTCCGTCGACGCTTCACTCCGCCTACTCAGCGTCCCAGGTCGTAAGCTAGACCGGTCGGCGAGGATCCTGCGACGGGCGAGAGTCGTTCGGGTACCTCACACCCTGTCCATTTAGTTGGTGCATACCGGCTAGAGCGGGGACAGCCTCCTGTTCACATGCTGTTTTGCATTCGAAACACTTTGGCCATATCAACGTGACCCCGAACATTGGCTGACTCATTTCCGTTGATCCCACAGCCTGTGCTGCGACTCTACGCGGTACCTATGAATGCCTTTACCGGGGACGACGACGAAGATGAGAGTACGTTTGATGGAGAGGAGCCGGAGTTGGTTGCCGGCGCGTAAGCGGGATCGTCCTTGCCATTTGTATCACTAGCGTCGAGCGTTGCTTTCATCTATCCGAGATGAAGACCTGTTTATCCTGTGTGTGATCGACTGAGCTCGGGTCCACATGCTATGCTTGCAAAATGAATTGAGCTCCTTGTGAGAAGCAGTCGCTTGGGCAGCTGAAACGATCAGACTCGCAACCATCATTGTTCGCATCATCGACTTTCCTCTTGCAGTATGACTGGATCTCTCTATTCTAGAGCTCCATATTTTTCCGATTGGTGTGATACGTTCGCTATCGTGTTCTTAGATGCATCTCCCATCAAACGAGGCACGATCTCTGGGACAAGCACTCCACCAATGCCGCGGAAGCATTTTGAAAATTTGGATGAAATACGGAGGCAAACGTGTCTCAAGAGAATCACAGCGAGTTTCGGAGCGCGGGCTCATCTCAACATCAAAACAGAATGCCGGAAATACCATTTATGAACTGGCGCAAATCAATGAGCCTTCAAGCTGTGCGCACCAGACCATGGATGGCTCGAGAGCCATTGCTCTCAGGCCGATGCACGGAAGAAACGCTCTCGGATCAGCTTTAGCGTCGGATTTACATCTCCTTTGACTGCGGTACGTGAAGTACCCGCCTTGCCGCTAGGTAGTGAGTGGCGGCCGGTAAGACCGGACCATGAATTCGGAAACTTGTCTTGCAATACACCGAAAGCCAGGGGTAAATATGATCGCATTTCAGCTCGACGTGACATGATCGTTGCCAGATAAAGCGCATACATGCAAGGTGATAGCGTAGTGACTGCGACAGGCGTGGCATGTGAGATTGCAAGCCAATATATTGGCCTCCGATATCAACGTCACCTCCTCCAATCTGGCCTGTCATGGCGAGTTGAAACCTTTGGCCTCTAGACGGAATGTGCCGATCGCTGTAACAGGAATCGAGATACACAGATGGGCAGACGGAACTAGGTCTGTGAACTAAAGAGAATTGCAGCCGCTGCCTCAACGGTAGGACTAGAACATGCACGTCAGCGGGTGTGGATATTTTCACGAGAAGGACCATGCCGGACGCTCACATGCCAGGCACGTCGTCCTGCGGAGGTGAAACGGCCTCTGACATGCGAACCTCACACCAAAACCAGTTACTCACCTCCGCTGCAATACATCGGTAACCACCTCCCGCGTGACACCTGGGAACATGCTCATCAACATCTGGATGTCAGACTCTCGCTGTGCTGCGGATGCTCCCCGCGCTCTGAAGGACTCTGCAGGATTTGTTGGAGCGCGCGGTCGGCGAGCCGTCGTGACGACCTCGTCCTCACCGAGCGTTGGCCGGTCTGTCCGGCGGCGAGATCTGGACTCAGGCAGGACACGGTTGCTCCGTCTGATTGGCCGTTCCTCACCCAGTAACGGAGCGATCCACTTTTGGGCAAATGTTTGGACTCTATTGACAGTGGGAGAGTGAGAATGAATGAATGAATTGTACTATGCAATCCAGCTGACCGATGAGGTATCCGCCAGCTCTTCAGCTGCAAAAAGTCCGATCTATATAGATAACCGGACAGGAGGCCGAGCGCTGTAGGCAACAGACTTGCTGGAAAGCGTGTAATAGCAAGCTGTATAGAAGAGTCAGAAAACACGTCAGAAGAATGTAGCAAATTACATAATTGTTGACAAGGAATAGCTCACCTGTCCTGCCACCAAGTACACCCATATTTTGTCACTAAGATCAACGCCGAATATCTTCATTTGGTATGCTTGAGGTACGAGGCGTGCATACTGATACAGGATGCTGAACATCATAGCAATTGGACCCGATGGGATGTCATTGAAAATTGCGCCGGTAGTACGGGATGCCTGGAGAACCAGAAGAGACAGAAATGTCGTGATTGTCGACGTGAGCATCGCCACGACAATGAAGGACTAGGTTCCGCACTTCAGCGGCCTATGACAGCTTGAATACCATCGCGAAGCTTACTGAAAATTTGGCGCTTCCAAACGACCGCTCAATTTGGACGCCGACGTTGTACAGGAGCAGTTCAATCAAGAAGAGGTCGCTGGAATTTGCGCATGCGACGTGATGAGCGAACAGCCGCCAATACTGTCCTCCTCCGCATCAACCCCTCGTGTTTCATTGTATAAATACTTCATACACTCACCTGATGGTATTTAGAAATGTGCGGCACGATCTGAAGGTGCATGTAATGCTTGACATCGAAGATGCCCACTGCTATGGATGTCAAGGCGATGCCTATCATCAGGCCTATCGAGCTATCTCAGTGCCTTCTAACCACAGATCTGTTCTCAGGTAAGACTTTCCTTTTGAAACTGGTGCATTTTCAAGTGACATGTCGATTCCAAGAGGCACGAGTCTGCGAACTCAACGCCACGCCACAGCCTGGTATCGTGGCGCGCGATGCGTCACGGTCTCGTGACCCGTGACAGTCTGGAAAGAGGCTTCAACTTAAGTTTTGCATTCCTTTGCAAAATAAAGACCAGCTATGGCGACGTTCTGCTCAGCTTACAATTCAATTATTGACGACTCGTGGCGGGTTGAACCTTCGGAAAGGATCCGACGATGATTGTCCTTTCCGCATGAACCTACCAAGTTATCGACGAACTTAATCGCACATGATGGCAATGACTTGTCGATCGAAAACTCCGGGTAGCTAGCTACTAAAGTTCGGACCCAGTCTCCCTCTCACCTGACGTCCTCAGCGGAAGCCTGACCTCATTTAGCAGAGGGAAATATCTTCCTCTCAGCCAATACGAGAAATAGACTCAACCTCGGAAGGCGTGACGCGGTGCTCGAGGTCTCTGCGGATCTATCCAGGCTCCAGAAATCGCAATTGTCCGAACTTCTGCAGCTATCGAGGTGCAACGTGTTTCTGAAACCGATGCCAAACCTCCGTATCCTCCGGGGAGGACTCGTCATAGCTATTGTGGACGCAGCTGCATCATCCTGATCAGCTTCTTTCTGCACAGCGTTGGATAAAGCCTAACCTTCGAAGGCCTAATTGCAGCCAAGGCTGTATCCTGCGGTCGTGGCATGCGCACACGTATGGTATGCCAGTCCCCACCGAGGGGTTACGGACTAATGCATAGCAAGTGCTCTTCTTTACCACGATGCACTGGCTCAGCCCCGAGGGTGAACGGGACTCTTGGGCTGCCGACACAGGATAGTGTGGAACGTGCTCGGAGACGCCTCGCTACGAATTCAGTGTCTCAAGTTCCCCGCCACGTGCTTACCACCGCTGTCTTCCTATCTTTCGGCCCAAGACCTGGAAGAACAAGATCTGCTTTTGCCAATATATCTCCCTCGTCCGATCGGGAGGAGGGAGAAGGCGCGAGGACTTCCTCTTCGCAGACATGTGGCACGGGTCCAACTTGGTGACGCCGTGCGAGAAGCTCACGCGAAGTTCTGTGCTTTAGAAGAGAGTGTCGCATTAGCCTCTGTCTCTCTGCAGAGCAGGCTGAACAGATTCATCACATCACCGGAAATGAATGCTGGATAAGCACAGCTTTCGGACTGACCGGCAGAAGGACTCGCGCTACACACTGCTTCAGCTTCAATTACTCACAACGTGCTGTACATTGACTTCCATCCGCCATGCGCCTCCCCAACGCCGGTTGAACAGCGTACCTCACTAACGAACATATCGAGATCTCCCATTCAATCATACCGGCCGTGATTACAGCGATGACACGACGTTTCCATGTCATGAATCGTTAATATTAGGGCCTATCGTCCGGCGTTCAACATTCTCCTATTGACGTCCAGCATCCGAGTTCTCGAGACGCGTCTGGTCTGCACCAAAGAACCAGTCCTCTTTCACAAAATACGTCCAAACCGGCTGCGACGATCATGAAAGAGCTCGTTCTAGGCACCTTCTGCCGCGTTTCAATACAGCCGGCTGAGGAGGCAGTCCATGCTCCCCATCGCGCATCGGGTATTGTACGGCGATTGGACATGTTCTTACCAAAGTTGCCATTGATTGACGCACCTCCTCTGATGCGTTTCATCAGCTATATACACTCTTGCGCCATCACCTTCAGATCTTGTAATGGCGGAATGCGCGCTCCCGATCAGACCAAAATCGTGCCAATGTCGGGCGCCTACCTGCGAGTGAACGACCACGGCGTCCGAGCTCGAGGTACGTTTTGATCGCTATTGCGTCTTTGCGCTCGGCTGTGGAGAACCAGTTCGTCATTGGCGTCCACGCATTCAGCTGGTGGACTGGTGGATGGTGCCTGGGGAATGCATTGAAGAAGACGGTATCAAGTGGTTCTGGCTTCTCGTCCGCGTGCAACACCATAACCGGCGGGCTAGCACAGAACATTGGCTCGAGCAAGGACTTCTCGTGGAAATACCCGAGAGGCTTATCACGAAGCCTGCAACAACGGTCATGAGGTCCTGTACCTATTCATATGCGATGGGACGAGTAGCCTCCGCCAAGAAAATGGATTATTCAGTACAAATAACAGCAGAAGCGAATACAGCACCAGACGTCGGTTGCAGTACAGAACACGCGATGCAGTCCATGAGAAGAGAGGCACAAAGGCAGGAAGAACACTAAGTCGGTCAGCACAGTTACGGCTCAACACCGACGACACCGCACTCGAGTGAGCACGACGTGGCCGGCGATCGTGGTGCCCTAGCACTTCCGTCCGCCTTCGCTACCAAGTCAATGTCCGCGCAATAGGACGATCCGCGCGCTAGGGATGATCCTTCACTGCCCTTGCATATGCAGCAGCCGGGGACACTCCTTCCTCCTCGTCCCTTCCCTCGGCACCATCGGTACGACGCGAAGACCGAGATCGCAAGAGAATTCGACTTGCACCGACCACGCCCCGAATGCTCTGCGCGACCAGCCGAGTCGTCACCCACTGCGCTAGGGACATCCCGGGCAGGAGGTTCAGAAGATCCTGGAGCGTCACACGTCCATCGTAAGCCTGTGCAAGCGACGCATGCCAGACGAGACAGAGCATATGCACACCTTGATGTCCCAGAAATCCCGGTGGTGCGTGATCTTCCCAGCGTCATTGAAGGACAGCCGAGTCATCATGGGAAGAGATAAGTGGAGAATAGACGGCGGAGGGCTCTGGCCGCCGTGTCCTCGCGCGCTGAGCGAAGGCGGTCGCGTTCTGTAGGGGAGGGACAAGGGGATGACGACGGAGTTTGACGTAGGTTCATTGGGTTGGAGCGACGACGAGAGGAGGCCAGGTAAGAGATCAATATGCAAGACGTGCTCCACGATCGTCTTCTGATGTCCGTCTGGAGTCGACTACATTAGCGCATCATGCAGGGCGCGCTCGTCCATTCAGCTGGCAGCCGATCGAGCACGGTGGTTGGGATGCGCCGACGGCGCTCGGCACCGTCGTCCAGCCACCACTGCGCACTCACCGAAGCTCTCGTTCTCGGCAACGTCGGTCACCTCGTTCCACATGCTCATGAACTTGAACCACGGATCGCCCCACCCTCTTCCGCGCGACAGACCGAACATGCCGTAGAGGAGCGCGAGGGGGCGGGGGATGTCTAGTTGGGCGAGCTGGCTGGAGATCGCGTGTACGTCGGCGATGACGGCGCGGGAGGAGGCGGTGACAAGGGGGTTCTCATACGTCGCGTTGGTCTCGTAGAATCGCTCGATCGCGTCCCATGTGGGGAGCGTAGGGCCGTAGACGAGCTCGCACACTTCGAGCGCAGTGTGGCGATGAGCAATCGATAGTGCAGAGGCCGTGTCGGGAGGTATTCCATCTGAGCCGGTGGGAAAACTGACTGTGTTACTCATTGCGCAGTGGTCAATGCTTTCCTCGCCGTCGTGCTCGTGGTCGTGCTCGCCGTGATGACTGGCTGTGGCAAAGTCGAACGTCGTGCACAGCAAGCGCGGTGATCGTGATAGATCGAGGTCATCCTCGTGATTTCCACTCAGATCATGGTTAGGGTCTGTTGGGGTTAGGAGCTGCGACGGGAGCCCACACAATTTTCTGCCGTGTCTCGACTCTTCAAAGCATTCGATATCTCCATCAAGAGGCCTGTCACTGTGGCGCAAAAGTAATCCCCGCCTATCCGCTCCGCGTGCACCTGCCATTAATTACGGCCCAAGGCACGCGCGCACGCACGACATCCAGCTCCCGGGGATGTCAGGAATGCTGCCCTCGCCCAACACGGCTAGCACGGCCGCCGGGGACTGACGAATCGTCTCCTCAAAGGTTCCTTTGCTCATGCAGCACACCCATGTCCGCCGGTGCGAAGATGATTGGCCTGCGCGGGTCGCCGAGCGCCCTACCCTTCAGCAGAGATGCAGAGATTGCACCGGCGCTCAGATAGCGTGTGTCCTGTGAGTGTGACTTGCGTTTTTTGCTCACTGTCTGAACGAGAGGCTGCACGTGTAACGTTGCCTGTGCCTAGCGGCCGACAAGCAGGGCGGTGGGGAGAGTGTGGGGCCACCCCGTAACCGACGACTAGCCGCCTTGCGGCTCGCACGAGCGACCCCGCGCGGGAGAAGAAGCTTGCTTATGAAACGCCGACACGTACTCAAGTCGTACCTACGAGCGTGCGCGCGCACACATGACGTCGCTGCCATTGTCCTAAGCCAGCCCGCACTATGCACTAAACTCGACAAGCAACATTTTGTAGGTGTAGGGCGACATTTCCATGTCCGAACGGACTGACAGGCTGTTGCACTCGGGCTGCGGACGAGTCGCTTGTCCTTAGGCTCAGCAAGCACGTACCATAAGCGAGGGAAGCCTCGCGCACTGCCGTCGTACGTACACAATGCGGGCCTACCCACACGCTAGAGGTGCTACGTACTGAATTGCAGCGGTGACACGCGTAATTATAGGCAAGGTGCATTCTCCCTCGTCCCGGTTCCGCGCGATCACATGCATGCACCGGGAACTTAGTGTGTGGTTGTGTGGACGTTCCACCGCAGAAGTTCTGAAGAGGGGACTACAAATGCACGTTCAAGTTCGACGGCCCTTGGTCCCCGGCACGGAGGGCTAGACACAGCACAATAAGCGAAAAAGCCAGCGATACGGCGCAGGTATCCCTTACTCTGCATGACACGGCCCATGCATTGTGGACGTTTTTCGCAGACAAAAGGGGAACGAATTCGAAGTGAGCCAGTTCCTGACGCCAGTGCCGCGGGCTTTGCCGTGCATTCACACCTACGCGCGCTTTATGCCACCTCTCGCTGGCCATGTCGAGGCGAAATCCAGATACGAGATAGTTGGGAAGCTTGCTTCTGCCGTTAGCAGCTCTCGTCCTCCTGTATGCCGGAGTCCACATAATCCCTCCTGGCGCGTGCAGAAGTATGGAAGCACTCGCGCAGATTGGCGAGGCGTCTTCGGACGGAGCTAACTGCTCTACAATCGCTCCTCCACTTGCAGGTGCCAGGTGCCTGTAGGGTGTGACGCCCATAAATAGATATCCAGACATCCAGGACTTACAACGCATGCACAGCACAGCACAGCATCCATTACCACTTCAGACGCTGCGATATTTGTTTTCCATCAGCTATCTTCCTAGGATACACTGCAATGCATAATGTCAGCTGCGATGAGATATCAATTGATAGCGTTGGGCTGCTCGAGCTCGCCCAACAGCGCTGCGTCCACGTCACGCGGCATCCCGCGCGCGAGTTCGAGGCACGCGTGCCAGATGTGAAACACGTCGTCCATTCTCTCCTGCCCTCCTGGGCTTCCTGATCACCGCTACCGCTACCGTACCCTCGGGGCACACCAGCCCCAGCTTCCTGCAGCCCAAGACTGCCGGAGATACCAAGCGGGGGGCTAAGCCGTACTCGCAGATACACAAAGCCTAAGCAGGAAGGCCAGAGTGACGTCCGGGAAGCAAGCAGCATTATGGCATCATCCGAAGAAGCCTGCGAGTTCGTAGGCTGTGCTCCGAGAACGCGGTCTTTTCGAACCGCAGTATTGTATGAATGAACGATATCGACCAGCCCTGCTTCTTCGTGTCCCTCTTCCGCAAGATAAGCCCACGCGAGCGCATCTCGACTCGCGAGGCCGCGAGCACCGCAGCTTAGGCAAGCCGGCGGGCGCCAACCAGAGTTCTCCAGGATCCAGGACAGGTTCGGCGAAGGCAGCAGGTCGCCGGGGTCGCGTGCGCGCGTGCGCCACAGTCGCGTTCGTCCGAGGATTAGCAGGACATGGGGGATCAGCGTGGGGTCAAAGAGGAAAAAAGCCCGGCGCTGCGTGAAGGATTCGCCGCCGCCCAGCACCCGAGAACCGCGGCGGAGTGGTTTCGCTCCCCTATTAGCCCCTAGCCTGCAGATGGCTCACAATAGCACGGACGGGCATGGCGCGGGCGGTGGTGTGGTGTAGTGGCTCCCTGTTTCATGAGAGAAGAACGTGGGGCCCCCAAGGACGCCGCAGACTCGTCTGTATTGCGGTACAGCCTCTGCTTCTGCGGTGCGGATCCGGGAGAGCCATATGTCCCAGTCATGCGTGGCGGAAATAGGCCAGGGAGCAGGCAGAGTTCGCCGGATATAGAGAGATTGTACGAGTGGCATTGTGGACCCGGGGTGGTAGCTCGGGGCGACGGGGTGGAGTGAGCGAACTGAGGATCCGCGGAAGAGCGCCGTGATGTTTGTGTCGACCCAGACGGCTAGCAACCAGATTACGGTCTTCCGGCAATAAAAGTACGTACAGCCAACGACGCTTGCGACGAGCTGTTTCTGTCAGGGGATGGCCGGACATCCGTCCAAGATGCCGACGGCCCATGGGGAACTGCGTTTGGCGGGATGGCGCCGCGTCTGAGTGTGCACTTGTTGAAACGTTGACTTGTCACGGTGGTTAGCGCGCCACCATCCCACGAACGTCGCACTGGCTGGGAGATCGTAAGCCCCGCGCCCAGAAGTATCCGCGTCCGCGTCCCTGTCGCGCTGCAAAAAAAAGGAAGAAGACAAGCGCAAAAGCGTTGAGCTCGGAAGATTAAGCATTTTTTCCGCGGGTTCATGTGCGCGTCGGGCGCATTAATAGGGCGCAGTAACCAGTTTGTAATCGGCGGATTAAATTGGGCGGCTCAGTGTCAGTGCGAGTGCGCGCCGGGTCATCTTAGACTTTGCGTTCGTCGTGGTGCTGGCGCACCGCTGACCTCCCGCTGAATACGGTTTCGCCCACAATATTTTCCCCAGAATGGTGGCCTCCCATGTAGCCTCCCCACTTGAGCGCGCATTCGACCCGCCTCGACTCCACTTCTTCTCAACGCCAGTCCGCGTTGCAAATTTGCGCTCGGTACCAATCCTCGGGCAGGGTCCTCGAGATAGCAGCCGTGCGGATATGTTATGTGTGGCGAAACGCTGAGGCGGGGTCGGGTGGCCGCCCTATACCCTCGACGTCCTAGCAGCGCACACGCGCAAGTCTTAGTCCAGGCACGCGGACTTCGGGCGGGAAGAGCAGGAAAAGGATAAACGAACACCACGTACAGAAAACATACACCGCTTTCAACGGCGGGAGGCCGCCCCCAAAAAAGACAAACGAATACTACACATCACGGCTATCGTACGATGCACCACGCCTTCCTCCAGCCGAGTGTCTCCCACGCAGCACGCGGCGCCGCCCCGACGGCCCGCCTAGCGACGTCACCGCGTGCTCTCCACTACACGGCGCGCGCGGCGCCGGCGCACACCAACGCCACAACCGTGCAGGGAGGCGTCGCCGATCTCGATGCCCACCATCCCTCCCATCACGCCACCGACGCGACGAAGCCCCGCGACAACCATTTACGCATACCCACACGCACGCATACGTAAGCGTCCGCGCCAGAACTCTCAAATTTCACGCACAAGGCCAGACAAGCAAGCGCTCGTCTGAGATGTAAAAATTCTTCTTTCTGCATTCCTTGTAAGATCTCCTTATACGCTACGATTACACAGACTATGCAAATGAGACGGGGCAACTTATACGACACACAGTTATCATAAATAGATAGGGGAGGAGGGGCGGGTACGCGCAAAGTCCGAACACCGAAACCTGGATGAGCACCGGTGCAACGACGAACCCAATAAGTAACGAAAGAATAAAAAAAAGTCAGACTCCAAGAAACCAACCGAGAGAGATGAAGAGCATGCGAGTGTATAGAGTCGTTCGTGGTGAGAGTGCAAGCCGAGTGATACAGTGAGCGCGCACGGCGCAGCAGCTATAAAACAGTACAGGGCGTCGTCGCGCCGCGGCGGCGGGTCTTTTGGCCATGCCCCGCGCGGTGGGTGGGTTGGTATGGGCCGTTTTGCAGGTATCGATATCGGTCCGCCGGTGGCGACAGCAGACGCGAGCGGTGGTGTACAGCAGCAGCGTGGCGAATAGATAAGATGGACGAACGAAAACGATCAGGCGAATGCGAAAAAAAGCCGCGCAACTCTAAGACGATTCATGATAAAGCAAGAGACAGTTAGGCCATGACGGCCTTGTGCGGCTTCGCGTTCTTGGCCGACCCGAGGTCCCCCGCTTGGAGCGGTATGCTCTGCCACCCGGTCACCTCAGCCATCGGAAGCGACCCATGGCGGAACATCTCGTCCTGCGTCTGCGGCTGCCCAGAGTAGTACGGCATCGTCGCAGACTTGCGCGGCGCCATGTGCGGTGACGGCGTCAGCGACGCAATGTCCGTCAACGGGGCGTTTGGCAGACGGATCCCGCCCTCCGACCCCATGAGAGGTGGCGACTGCGAGTTGATATCCCGGGGAATGGGGTACGTCTGCGACGCTGGCGAACCCATAGACGAGGACGGGGCAGACCCTGAAGAGTAGACAGAGACTGGATGAATACAAGCGAAATTAACACCGTCTCGAGCGCGGCAAAACGCGGCGCTGCTCACCATTATCGTCCCAGTCGCTTGTCGCACCGCCCGATACGGAAGAGCTCGTCGAAGAGACCGACGATCGCCGCGGCATCATGCCGCCCGCCGCAGCCTCCATCTCGCTCTCGCGCGGCTCCTTCTTGACCATGGGCGCCATCTTGCCCGCCTTGGGGCTCCCGTTCGCGGTAGTCTTGGGCTGTTTTCGCGACTTGCTCCCTGCACGAAGCTCATCGAAGCGCAGTGGGCGTGGGCGCAGGTGCGTGCGCTCGTACAGGCCGCACTTGTTGCAGACGATCTTGCCCGGGTTGAGCGTCGAGCGCCGCCAGCTGGGCGGCTCCGTCGTGTGGCAGTTGAAACAGCGCCGCCGCAAGTACTGCGTCTCCTTCGACGCTGCGTCGTCCGTGTGCTGCACGAGCAGGCCGTTGTGGGGCGGCAGGCAAGGAAGCGGAGGCATGCCTGTCGAGCCCGGCCGGCAGTAGCCAGTCTGGGAGGGCACGATGACGGGAGCGTCTTCCGTTTTGATGCCGTCGAGGTGACGATAGTCCTGATAGTGCGCATGCGGCGAGTGCACGCTGTGCGCAAAGGGCTCGAGGGGCTCGATCATCGCCATCTGTGGCGAGCCGTCGAGGGAGAGCGGCTCGCTGTAGACGGTGCTCGGGCGCGAGCCGTACGGGCTGCCGCAGAGCGAGTCGTGGTCGTTCATGTATGGTGGCGGGGTGTACATGGGCTCGGCGCGGTCCTGGCGGACGTAGGGGAAGGTGTTGCGGCGGGTCATGGCGATGTCGTGCATGTGGCGCATGCCGTGCAGCAGGGGAGAGTCGCCATGGGCGGTCTGGGGCATGTGGGCCCAGTGCCCCGGGGGCGGCAGCGCAGAGCGGCGGTGGTGGTCGGCGTACGGGTCGTGGGTGACGTTGTGCTCGGACATGTCCTGGTCGTAGAGCTCGTCGAGGAGAGAGCCGCGAGAGCTGGGCGGGTTGTAGGACGCGGGGTAGGGCGCGGACCAGATGTGGGCGGCCTCGAGGGTGTGGCTCTCGGGGACGACGCCGTGCTCGTCATGGGAGTTGTCGAAGAGGTACCGGGGCGGAGCGAGGTCGATGGAGGACTTGTAGTGGGGGGAGGGAGCGAAGGACGCGTGCATGTCGTGTGCGGCGAGGGAGGCGGGGGAGGGTGTGCGGGGAGTGGACGCGTCAGAGTAGGGGGAGCAGTCGAAGAGTAGCGGTTCCATGCGCGGAGGCGGGACGGCAGAAGAGCAGTGGCACGTTGCGTGAAGGGGAGGCAGCGGTGGCTTGAGCGAGTCTTGGTCGAGGCGTTTTGAGCTGCCCGTGCGCGCCATCCGGGGTCCTGCCCTCCCATCCTGTGCCCTGCCCAGAACGGCTTAGCGCCCTCCCACAATCCCTCGCGCCGGCCATCCCCTCCCGGCTCTCCCTCTCCTCCTTTCCCCCTCCACCGCCCACACCCCAGCAGCACGCACCGCGGATGCGCAGGACACAAAGTTCGCCGCCTGCGCACGCGCGCGGACCTCTCGCCCGCAGCGTGACACGCTCCCACGCCCGTGACCCTAGTTACGCCAATTTCCAATGTATCTGCGTGACATCGCACATTCCATATATGGGGAGCCTGAACTGAGGTGTGCTCTCATCTCAAAGAGATCTCTCGATTCAATGTCCCCCGCCGAAGATCTCTCGGTTGCTGCCGCCGTCTCTGTTACTCCATAGCGACCGCCCTCGTCCAATCCCCGCCCCTCCCAGTCCCCGGCGTCTACCTCGTCCCCTCCCCCGGCTCCCGCGCGCCCACAGTGCCACACGCAGGCTCCTCCCCTGTCTGATCCTCTCCTGCCTATCTCGGCCAGCACTCCTCCGCCACCGCAGTGCCTCCTCCGTCCGTTTCACCTCCGCCCCATCTCGCCATCCTCTCACTTCTTTCGCCCCTTGCGCCCACCGCCCACTGCGCCTCCCCCAAGCCCTTTCTTCATGTTCGCTGTGCATTCCTCGCAGAACCAGTTCTCGGGCAGTGGCGGTTTCAAATTCACGCAGTTCAGGTGGAACTGTCCATGACGTCCATGTCAGCATGCTTCGCAGCCAGTACGCTCGACCTACTCACCCATTGGTACCGGCAGTTGGGGTTGTCGCATCCGATCATCTAAATTGTACACAATCCCCGCCGCCACAGTCAGTAAGGAATGCATGCCCTCCATAAAGAAGCAACCGTCCACTTGGGCGTAACCCCGGGCGCTCCGGTTGACACGTACCTCCCCGTAGGACAATTTCTGGCAGAAACAGTACAGCTCCTTATCCTCTGCGTCACCCCCTTCTTCTGCCCCTTCCTCGAGGTCCTCTTCACCTTCCGCATCTTCATCCGCATCCAGCCCGACAGACGCCGTCACGCGCCGCGTGCGTAGCGGCGACTGGCGAGTGTGTACCTGTTGCGACAACCTGGACCGCTGCCCCATGCCGTAACTACTTACCGACATGGGCGCGGGGCTCGGAAGCTTAATGCTCCCCGCGGACGCCGTTGCGCCCACCCGCCGCCCTGATTACGTACGTCGAATTTCCAGTAAAGCAGAGTCGTGCAACCAATCGAATAAGAGAATCCCCGTTAGGTTCGGACGTGAAGTGGAAAGCATTTGTGAAGAAACCAGAACCATGCCAACACGTTGCGTAAGACGATCGTCAGATATGAGTCTCCACCCAAAATCGAAGCAGCACGCACTCTTCTGCAGAGGCCCAGAGCTCGCCGCCGGCGACGGGGATGCCTCTCTAATTGTAATTGCGCTCTTGAGGCTCTCGTTGATTTTTTCAACCGACGTCTTGGGCGTCAGGCTTGCGTAATAGCCAGCCTGCACTTCTGGCGCCACGTCGCCTTGAAGCACGAGCACCCGGCTCAAGTCATGATCCAACCGCGCACGCGCCCGCTGGACCAGCTTCACCATCCGTTCGGAGAGCGCTATCTTCTCCGCGGCAAGCTGGTCGATTTCCGCATAGTGAGCGGCGATGGCGTGTGGGATCGCGCCATCCTTCGGCGAGAGGATCTGGCCCGGGGCAGACGATCGCAGTGAATGTCGGATGTACTTGGCACTTTCCTTCTGTATCTCTTGTTGTAGTTCTGCTCGACAGGAACGGCAAGAGTGTCCAGAGGTGCAGTGACGAGGCAGTATAGATGTATCGTATTATAGGAACAACGAATTTGGGCGAAAGTGTCGAGGTTGCATCGCGAGGAGAAAGGATTTCCGAAATCGACAACAAAACGCATCAGAACAGCCACGAAAGACAACGCCAGATGTGAGTACAACGCAGCAGTCAAGAGTACAAGGAGTCGACGCACCGTGCGAACGAATATCGCGGTGTTTGATCTCTGCGAGGAGATGTTGCGTCTCGTTTGGCAAGTTGTCCAAACCTAAGATGGCGGGAGATATATGATGATGGACGAGACGGGTTAGCGACCACTCTCAATGTTAATTAGGCGATGTGATGACCGACGCCGCCACCGACGTGAACGAGATCAAATGAGTGATCGACCGTGCGTGTTAGTAACCGGCAGCCCCAGCGTGATGTGGCACGTTGTGTACCCTTGGGGGACCAGGGGACACTCTGGCGAGGCGTGCGCGGTGGCCTATCTTGTGGCACGGAAGATTCATGTGATCGCGTGTGGCGGGCGGAAAGGGGTGATGTAAAGGGCGTGCGACACTTACTAGAAATGTATTCCGCCGCAATGCTTGCTGCTTCCTCCAGATTCGCGTTCATCTTCTTCGAAAGTACAAAGAGCTACAGATAGAATATTCAGGAAAAGTGTTTGAGCGAGCTGAGCGAGAAGCGTCCGCGATGGCCGTTTGAGATGATGGTGGCAGAGGGACAAGGAGTGGTGGGCGCACCGCACCTGCCAAACTGGGAACTCAGCCGATCAGCTAGCGGAGATCGAAATCGTCGCGCACCATTCTTACAAAACCATCGGCGGCGCGCGAATGACAAATGTCGCCGCACTCCACCCGGCGTCTTTTTGTATCTCCGGCCAACGCGGTTCCCGGGGTCTTAGCTTTGTGGAAACTGGGACGGTCCACGGCCCCTTCACGTCCTGCCGCCTGCGCGTTCTTCACAATATTAGCCCGCGATGCGGGCGGGGACCCTGCATTTCTGCATGTCTTCGCCGTTCGCTAGCGTCGCCGCGCGGGCTACGGGCAGTTTCGTGTCGGCGGTAGGAGATAACGGCGGAAGATTTGTGCGGACCATTCCGTCGCCTGCGAACGAGGCTGAGCGCGAGAAGCATACGTGATGCCCGCCAAGACAGATGGTGAGTGCCATCTGCGATCACGTTCATCAAGGTCATTGTTCGAGTCAACGTTATTTGCGGCTGCAGGCTGTGCTCTCCTGGCACTGAGAACCACACTGTCGATGTCCACTTTCGATCCCAGCGACGTGCCTCAGGCAGTGCCCCCAGTGCGCCGTGCGTTACTGTGAGCGCGCACGCGCTCCGTGTCAAGCAAGCTCGGAACTCATTCGCTAGGCTGTCAGCTTATTGCGTTCGGTATGATTTGGGGCTTTTCTTGCATCATGGGATCCTGTTCCGCTTGCCGAGGGTGTCCTCGTTGCATGGGCGGCCCGATGAGAGTGTATTCGCTGTGAATCTTTTCCGCCAGGCCAGTTCCTTGGGCCTCAATCGCGAATAATGCTCGGGAGCATGTGGCACTAACTGTCGGTGCCGATGCGTCCTTCATAGCCTGTACAACCTCAGCAGTCAAGGACGACCACGTACGTTAGCAGCCCTCGGAGCCGTCAAACCCGTGGTACGCCGTCCGCACGTTCCTTCCATCATTCCCAACGGAACCGTGTGCTTCTCAAGTCCTCCGAGACGTGCAAAATGAACGTGCGTCCCGTCAATAACGTCGTTACAACAACGTCGTTAAAAGCGTTCTGGAAAAACTCAACGCGACGCCACCGTCGCAGAGGGAAGCGTCGACTCTCTCCTGGCACCTCGTCCGCCGACGGTTCAAGACGGGAAAACGCAACTCAACGCTCCCGACCCTTGGTTTGCGCCTTCCTGAAGCCAATCATCCGGTGCAAACTTCAATCGGTGGTGTCTAGGCTACATAGCCTCGCGGCTTACCGCGAGAGAGATATGATGTAAGCTTCGGTATCGCCGGTGACCACGGTGCGAGCTGGTGGTGGTCGTCGCCCTCGACGATGGCGATTGGATGTGCGACACCGGCTAGCGGCGTCGCGGAGCTGTTGTCGCTGTCTGAGACGATGCGGCGCTCGTGGTGCATCGTCCGACCCGCTCGTCGGCCTCTCCCCAGCTCAGCTGAGCTGACCTGTTCCTGGCAGCACGATGCTTCTCGTCCCTTGCTTCTTCCGCTCTGCTTCGTGTCCCTCATCTCTAGATCCGGGTGCAAGTTTCCACATAGGGCGCGCGACACTCACACGAAGACCTTGCCGGCAACCGGCTGCGGTGGTGAAACACTTGCCGAATCCGCTTCTCCATTTCAGCAGAGTCCGCTTGCCACCATCCGCTCTGTAATGATACCGTCGTAGCGCGTCTCCCCGCTCACAGTACACTTCTAGCATACCAGTGTACCAGGTGACTGCACTGTGTTGTGTCGCTGTCTATCTAGCCGACCTCTTGCGCTCCCATTATGTCATAAGGAGTCCCGTATGTAGTTAGCTGAAATGGTATACAAATTTCTCTCACGGAGATGCTGTACGCGGCTTCGGTCTGGGCTATGCTGTATGGTCCGGAATACGCAGAACGATAACGCTTATTTTGAGGGCACTGGATGCCACTAAGGAATAGGACCTGACCGTATCACCGCAGGGCGGAGCAATTGTGGAAAAGACGTAGCGTGCATGGGACATACACCATACAATACGGGCGGCTAGTGCGTGGCGATGGTTGACGTCTTATTCTCCTTCAGGTAGGATGGCGTTACCTGTGTAAGGAAAGCGGATTCCTTTTCATTCCTTCTCCGTGCTTTTCGCCCTCAATAACAGTCATCGAACCGCTTGAAGTTGCGCGGGCGACACCGCCATAATCTTGAAGGCGCTCACTCTTCGGCCAAGGGGGTAAGGCATATTCTCTTAATAGCACCGGGAACTTGAACATCGGACGGGCCATAAATTGAAACCAATGGTGGACCCAACTGAGGTTAGCGCAATGACGAAACCTTGCAGTAATGCAGAGCCCTCAGCACACCATCCACATTCCTATATGGAGCTTGCCTGAGCATACCGCTTTCCTCGGCCTATAGAATGCAAGGATGTAAATGAGGTCGTCACGCTTGCGCATTTGTCGCATGGGACCGACCAGGGGGCTGTCCATTCGTGGCAGCCGTGACACTGCCGTCGAACAGCAGATATATGCGTCTAAATACGGAAAGCAAATGACAAATATCCTCAACTGAGAATAGCCAGGCTGGATATCATCTTGTGTTGAATTGTGAATGCAGAACTACTCGTGATTCAAAGATCACTCACGAAGGAAGCTGATATGGCATTGGCCCAGGACACGCCTTCGCTGTCAAAACTGAGAAGCTGGAGTCCCCGATGAGAACGACTGATCATACTTGCCGATACATTCTTGACAGGGCACAGCCTTCAGACGTCGGCAAGCCACAGAGCACACGGTAGCGGCGTCGAAGCTCTGTCAAGCTGACGATGTCGCGGGTAGGGAGGCAAATACACACTTGTGCGGAGGAGCGTGAAGGAGTTCCGGCGGCGTTTTGATACCGCATCGCATATGTCAAGATGTTGTAGTGGACAGATGCTCCGTCGCCATGTCCTTCGGAATTACGTGAAGGAAGGACCGATGTCTTAGAGCGAATCAACGAGAGAATCCGTCCACTTCGCATTTGCGGATACTGTGAGTAATTCGAATGATTTCAATTGTGCGCCATGCAATGCACTCTGGGAGCCTTGATGCATCGAATGAACAAGATTGATGTCGATCTAAGCCGAGACAGTTTCCAGGAGCCGATATTTAAAACCGAGGTATCGAGAAGGTGAACCTTTGAGCGTCAGGAAGGTCTATCGAGAGATGACAACCTCCGTAGGCGATGAGGCACATTCTCCTTTTTCTGTACGGGCTACTCGCCGAGATTTTCCTCAGACATGGTTCTTTGAAAGATCATCTCCTTATTCGTGTTGGCAACGCGGGCAGATGTCAAGCGGTTGTGGACCGAGCAAGCTCCCAATCGGAAGTGAAGAGGTTCTTCGGCTAGACATAGAAACCAGACGAAGAGTGATAGGTCCGCCTGGTCCACGCATCGCAGATATTGCAGACTTAACAGCCGAGAGCGAAGGTGATGACTTCGAGCAAGACGCGGCGCGGGGACGCGGTTGTGCTGGCTCGATCACGTGGCGCACTCCCTGTGAATGACACGGGAGCTTCAGGCCGGACTTTGTTGGCATCGAACTGCCTCGCGGCATGCATTATACTTCGCCGTCTGGAACGACGACCACAAGTTACGCTCTCAACTAGAGCTGATCAATCCAAGGACGAACAATGCTGGGATCCTCGTGCTGTGATTCATTGGTTGCATTGCCTCTCGTCCTTCTCACGCTGTGCCTATCCCTATCGAATCTCCGTTGTACCTATGCTCAGCCGGCCCAGTTGCAATATGAGGACTGCTTCTCCAGCGATAACACGAGCGTGAAGCTCAATATTTCCACGGTATATGCACAGGTCCTTGATGATGACAGTGGAGGAGGGAAATTCATGAACCTCACCGTTCTGGGCGAAACTCCCGAGATGATTCCTGCCCAGGCAAACACTTCGACAGGCGATGTTGCAAGTGAGTGATGATTGTTTTATCTCAACTTGCATGCTGATCATCCACAGCGACTCTCTTCACGACTACCGAGATGCTAACCTTCGAGATATGGAACAATAACACGTTCTTCTGCGATTTATTGCGTCCCGCCACCGGTGAACTGGCCAATGTCACCGGCAAAAACTATTGCCCTCTAGCTCCAGGGCCATTGGCTTTCTCAAGCTACATCCCACTGCCTACCAACTATGAACTGGCCACATTTGATACACACCTCTATGCGTTGGACCCGTACCAGCGTCTCCTCTTCTGCATAAACGTCAACACGACCCTACTCGACCCTGGTCCGCTGAATTCTGTCTATGGTCACGCCGGAGTCATCTTCTGGGTCACCGTCAGCCTCGCAATCGGATACTGGCTGGTGGTCGGAATAGCTCGATTGGCGTCTGCATGGGGGAGGGGTTCCACAAGGAATGGGAAAGGCGTTTGGTCGCGTGTGGAAAGTGCTGGATATATCCTCGCGAGCGCAATCAGCGGTGAACGGCTCGCCACCTCGCCCGCTCTCATGAGATTCTGTGAGTGTGGCTCTGGTCGTGTGTCATAAATTGTCATGTAATTAGCAACCCAGGTACTCCATCTCTGAGAGATATCATTTTTCACACTCAATGGTGCGCCACGCTCGCGATGGTTGCCGTGAAATGGCCAGGTTTCATATGTGAGTAGAGTTTGTCATACCCATGCGGTTACATCTGACATCATAAATCAGATCCCATCATGGCACAGACAGCTTGGTCCACATTGGTGTACAGTACGAATATCTTATGGCTTTGACGCAACATACTTTCTAACGCATTCCTCAAAGATATTACGTTATCGCAAGGTTCCACCGGCGCCCATTCCCGATGGAACCCCCTCACAGTTCCGCCATACGACCCACCTGCGGAGTTTTCAGCACAGCTAGACAATGCCTCCTCACCAATTCACATTGTCGCTGATGCCCCCAACCTGATTTTCCAATTGCCTAGCGATGCTACGCCGGGTTTATCATCCTTCGCTTGGGCGGTCGGCCTTCGCCCGCAGGACCTCTTCGGCATGTGTCTTACCCTATTCCTGGCCATCATAGGTGCAACCATACTGTTAAGTGTTTTGGTGTGGGCTTTGGATTGGGTGGCATCACTTGCCACGAACGGAGAAACGCAGCCTCCTGCGGCGCTGGGAGGCTCGCGAAGTCCCCGCTATTCTGCCGGTAGCAAGGATCTCCTCGATGGTGTTGTCCAAAATCAATCAGATGAGAACAGATCCCTGAACAGCCATCTCCTGCTCCGAACAGTCGCTTTTTTCCCTCGGAACAGGCCGTGGTTGAAACTAAGAACTAACTTCGTATCCTACCACACCAATGTACTGCAAGGGAACTTGGTCCGCATCCTGATCTGGTTCCATCTGCCAGTGACTATTTTCTCCTGCTACCAAATGACTCTAGGCCGGGAAAACGCCTCCCTCGGATCTATCATCCTTGCAGCGATATCCTTCGCTGTTTTGTCCGTTCTGCTTCCCATCTTTCTCGTGGTTCGGTTGACGCTTACCAACACAACAAAGCTGTACGATGAAACATGGACGCTACTATCTCTCGGGCCTCTTTATAATCACTATCGGCATGGATCACAATTGTTCGCGTGCTTGCTATTTGCCACGAACATAGCATTCGGCGTAACCATAGGCTGCGGTCAGAAGAGCGGCACTGCACAAGCGATTATCATCTTAGTGGTGGAAATTGTGTCTGCCCTTGGGACCAGTATCTGGCTGCCCTGGGGTCAAGGCGCGAGCATGGGATTGATTAGCTTCCTATTCTGCGTCGCCAGGATTGTCATTGCGGTGTTGCTTGTTATCTTGACGCCAGCGGTAAGCGGTCTCCTCGAATGATATCTTCATACTGATGCTCACCATTTGCACAGGTTTCTGTGGATTCAGGGGCCGCGCAATGGGTTGCATATGCAATTCTGTGTATCCTTGCCCTCATCTACCTGGCATTCTTCTTGATGCTTGTAGTCAAGATCATTGAGGGTGTGACACGCATGTGCAGTGGTATTGGATTCCACAAGAGCAGACATGTCGTTGACAGTGGGCTGCTCGGCGTGCTCGGGCTACTGGGTTGTTGCGGATCGCGCAGACCCCGCTCTCGGGCCGATCTGAGACACGTCACAAAGCAACCATCCGCTATACCTCTCACAATGCCCAAAGCCGCGTTTAGAACTGATACGCCAACTGGTTCTACTGGTCCGCCCTCTGTCTTGCGGCCGGAACATGCGCTGCAGCCATACAAGGAGGATAGCGATGACGAGACCGGCTTCATCATGGGAGCGTGGCAACCGTTCCCCGGCCCTGGCTATACACCAGTAGACGACGGTAGTCGTACCCCGGAATTGCCGAAGACAGGCTTTGCGCGAGTGGGTGGAGGTCGTGCTCACTACGAGTCACCGTACGCGATCGCGTCCGGGTCCACTCAGAATTTCCCGAAATTGGACAAGAAGTCGCCATCCAGTACATTGGCTCAACGCCCGGTGCACCTCGACTACTCGCCACCTCCCACACCATCCATATCCAGCGTCGCGAGAAGAGCCGACATCAACTACCTCCCTCCTGGTGCCATGCCACCTCCTCATGTTCGGACCAAGTCGCAGACAGCCATCATCGAGGACGCGTCAGCCCTAGCTGCGTTCCGCTCTCACCTCAATCCGACGGACCCAGAGGAGCCTGTAGAGAGCGACGATGCGCCGCCGCCAAAGAAGCGTTGGTTCAACAGGCGCAAGTCTCGCCGCATGAGCGAGGGCGACCTGATGACCATGACAGACATGCCGATTTCTTCACCACAAGAACCCGGCCGTTCGTTCGTCGTCGTGCGGAAGCAAAGACCTGGCATGCCCTCGAACGACGCATCGAACTCATCGAACAACTCCCCGGAGCCAGAACGCAAGTCGTTCACCGTCCTGCGGGGCAATCAGTCCGAGTCGCACGCAACATCGTCATAACGGGGTATTATCTATCGCTTACTTACTGTATTCACTTACTAGGGCTCCACGGACTGAATAGTTTACGCTTGCAAAATTGTACATTGGGACAGCCATATATCCAAGTCCGTAGTTAGTCCAGTACTGTACTCATATATCGCTCTCATCGCCTTCATGCTCTCTACTGCTACCGCCTACCCAGAATACTCGCCAGTCATCCTGACCCTTGCGTACCCATCCATAGACCCCTTGACGTGCACGCAATCGATCTGCCACTTCTTCCTCCGACCAGTCATCGAGGGATGTCGCTGAGTCTTGACTTTCCATCGACACTGAGCGTCCGAGCCAAGATGGATGCGTGTCACTCCAAAAACCGCCACTGCAAAGGAAACCAGTGCTGCCGCTTACGTCGGCCATCGCGCGAACGGGTTCATCGTCCCGTCGCTTTCCCTTGCGTTCAGTAAGAGAAGATAGAGGCAGCTCCCGGACTTCAATACCGTCCTCCCCAAATGCTACGACCTGCAAGAACGGGGACTGCCCATGTCTACGTTGTGACGGCGTGCATACTCTGCAGCTGACATGCGTAGGCCGAACGGACCAGCGAAGAACGCGATATGGGATTGTCATCGGGATGCTGGGCGGTAGCGGATGAGGCATGATATGAGACTGCTTTCCTCGCGTCAAGACGCACATGCTCGCAGACAACGAGTGGTTCGCCTCGATAGGCAGGTCAAACTTGACTGGCGGCACCCAGACTCCCTTGGGCTCTTTGACGAAGCCGCGCCCGTCCCAGGAGGCACGAGACTTGCGTCCCATCGACGACGCACCTGGAGGGGCCAGGAATTGTTGCGCGCCGTTGGCCTCCTCGAACAGCTCGACTTCGCTGACTGCCGAGTCTGCGATGCGGATGATACCCGCTTTTTTCTCGAAGATCACAAATAAGCTGAGCTGATTGGAATACCGCTGTGCGGAGACGTTCAAAGAGATGACGCGCGAATGGCGGCTGTTCACACGCGATCCGGAACGGACAGCGGCGTCGGAAGCGCTTCTGGACATGGGATCCGTGACCGCTTGGTGCACGAATGCGATACTGCGCGAAGTCAACGGCGTGTAGAACTCCTGCGAAGGAGCATGTTGTCAAAAATGGCGCGAAACAATCGAGTACTAGCATTTGAATGACGCACCTTGATCAGATGGAATGCTCTCTCGCCCTTTGGTGCTTCGTACAGGAAGATGTTAGACTTCGTCGCTACCGCCAGAAGTGACCCTCCTCTGCTGCGCTGATTCTCGTTGCGATAGTGATCGAAGAACAATACGGACGTATTGTGCAGCCGCGAACCAGGAGATGCAAGTGGCGTGTAGTGCGCGGCCCACATCAACGGCAATTCATCCACCATTTCCCAGGAGGAGGGAGAACCGGCGTCAATGGGGCTATCAGACGGGCGTGGCGGGAGGGGTTTCGTGTATACCGGAGAGTCGGCGACCTGCGAGTAGGACGCGTGCGGCTCTGTCACTGGGTCAGGTTCAGCCTGGGGTTGTGCGAGGGGAGCGTCGATGACTAGGTTTCGGAGTCCTTTGGTGATGCTCCCTTGTGGACGATGTCTCTTAGGGTGGTTGAGCCTTCCCGGGGTGTAGCGCAGATTCAGAGGACGATTCCCCTAGCCGATACGTTGAGAAACATACACGACCTGAATTTCAATGCTGCTAACCTTCTGCCCAATTGCCCATTTCGCGAGACTGACAATGCTAGCGAGGTTGTACATTCGTAGCGTACGTATACTATCCTGGTCCTTCGGAGAATCGATATCGGGACCGACCAGAGCGAGTACAACGCCCTGCGGGGTACCTTGACCAGTGCTTTCAGCTTCGAGAATGGACATCTGGAAGACGCTGCGAGCAGCTGACTCTATATGTCTGGTCGATGGAGAAGTACTGAATGCTTACGCTTCGCCTTCCCAGATGTGCCTCACCTCTGCATCCGCTGGACCTTTTTTCACGAGCCCTGTCTCGGTCCATTCGTGTGGGTACATGTCCAGGACGGACAGGCCATTGTCGTGTCCGATGAGTAGTACTTGATCGTTGAGGATTGGGAGAAGACATCGGATGGGCGCGGTCGCGTGAGGGAGGAAACGAGAGCCAAATTGGCATAGCTTGAGATGTGATGGGAATATCGTCTCAGGGATCAGTTCAGCAAGCAGCGAGGGATCTGAATCGAGGCCAGGTGGAGACGCAGGCTGAAAAGAGGCTGAAAAGTCTGTTTGAACGTGTAGCGGTGGCCCATGAACATGTGCTGGTAGTATCTGCTCCTGCGACTCCAACGCACTTGACGCCGGCAGGGAAGTGGACGAGGATTCTGAGACCGGCTCCGAGTCCTGTAGCTGCGCGAGGATCAGCCATCACCGCAGTTGTGCTGGCAGCGCAGAGACGAGGAGGACTCACACCTTCTCCCCACCCACGCGCCCGTCGCCGTTCCAGATCCTCCGGTGTCAGGTCTGCATATCGCTCAGCAGCCCTGGGTGAGCGGATGTCAGTACTCGTCCGAGAGATTGAGAGATCGTCGCGGCACACCTTTTCTCTATCCATTTTCTCCATCGGCCAAACCTGCGACGGGTGCTTCAGCAACCTCCACGTATTCCGATTGCGTTACACACCTCGAGTTTGGCCCGTGCTGCGCGGCAAGTTCGTCGTAGGTGGGCAGCGAGTCGTCGCCACGTTCGTCGCGCTCTGGGAAGACCGGCACGTCATCTTCTGGATAGTCGTACTCGTGGTTCATTGGCAAGAATGTGCAACGCGGTGCTTGGCAACCGTCTGGCTCGACCTTGTTGGGTCAGAGTCGGACATGGGTTCTTGAAATATGAGCTGCGAATAGCCGGACATCGAAAGCGCTACGGATCAGATCAATCCAGTGGCACTGCATTACCATCTCCATACGATGCGTCAATAATAAAATTGAAGCATCTGTATATCACAGCTTATCTGTGCCCGCGTCCGGAAAATCATGGACAATACAGATCCGACACATGTAAGACATAAAGGTATGTAGAATACGATGACTAGAGAACGAGAATACAACGTTCGGCATCGTCGAAGACGGACTTCATCGCCCGTGTGGCACCAGCATCCTCACGAGAAGGCAAGTCCCGTCCAGGTAGCCACAGCACCGACCACTGCGCCCGCACCACCAACAACCAATGCTGGAAAGCGCCCCTTCTTCACCTCGTTCTCGCACGCCTGGTCGACAGCCTCCTTCTCCGAACCTCCGACGTGCCCGACTTTGCTCACTAGCTCCCCGTCTCTCCCGAAGGCCACCAACCGACTATTTTCGCCCAGCGAACCAATCACCTCCGCAGCGAGCCCAACCGTCTTCGCCCCGGCAAGAAGGTCGGAAATACCGTCCGTTGGGTGCTTCAAGATGACCACAGATCCCTCTGAGGTCAATCTTGCCCGATCTAAGAACATGCGTTGCTCGTCTTGGCTAAGTGTGCGACCGAGAGAGCACGCTTTGGCGATATGAGGTGGCCGATCAGCGTCGGGAGTGGAGGGCCTCGTAGACGGACTGTTGTCCGTTGTGGTGCTTGTCGGTGGCACTGCAGGCTTCTTTGTGGCAGGTGCCACCATAGCCGCGGGTTTAGAGGTGCTCGCAGCTAGGACATCCGCCTCGAAAATGAAATCAACCTTCCCTGACCGTCGTCTTTCGCGTTTCTCGTCAATGGGGTCAATCTGGAGCGCCTTGAGTGACTCCGTCAACCCTAACGTCCCGCGGGGCGACGAGTCTAGTGCAGGAGCGGGAGAATCGGCGTAGGGGCACCCTGAGCGTGGGTGGCCAGTGCGCGGCCGTTGACACGTCTTGCAGTGGGGCGTCTTGCGAGGACTCGAAGTGCTGCGGTTTGGACTGGTCCTCATCGGCGACACTTTGGCCCACGAACGGTTTATAGTCACGGTGTCGGTATCAGCCTTCACGGCTGTCTTCGTCTTAATGGCCATAGTCCGATAATGGAGGATGGCGAGAGAGGAGGAATGGTGAGCCTGCTCACGAAGACGTGCGCATTTGTGTCTGTGGTGTAACCCTATGCGAGCCAGGCCACAGCCATGCGCATGGGGTGCGGAAGCGGTGCACAGCCTCGGTAAACGCCCCGTCGGCATGTCCCGAGTGTAGGCTGTAGGCTAGCTCGATGTGACTCCAGTGCGTACGTCGCACGCTTTCCACATGTACATGCATGGAACAGAGCGGCAACGAGGTGAGAATGTTGCACACCGTATTTGTTTTTTGCAACCTTTAGCATCGTTGACATTTCTATGGATCCTGATACAATCATGCCTTGGGTTATCAAGTTTCAGAGCGTCATGTTATAAAGAACCCCTTGACTTACTTGAACGTATTCTCCTTGCGACATCATGACTTTCTTGACCGCTCTTTCAAGCACAATGTCGGGTACTGACCACACAGCCCAACAAGACTTTCGAACTCGGAAAGATCTTACTCTTCCTTCCATCGCCGACAACGCGGCGTTCATGCGTGTTATCCTCTTGATGGTTACATCGCGGGCTTTAAACAAGGAGGAACTTACAAGGCAGCAACTTAGCCTATTGTTGTCCGACGCTGAGTTGGCTTGGAAGATCCATCTAAAGCACGTCGTCACTGCGACTCCGGGCTGCGCACGAGCAAGGTTAGACGCGTGAACCGTCCTGGTGCATCTGTTGTTCAGCTTTTGGATAACGGCCCGTGTTCTATTTCACACTACTCGCCTCGGCCGTGAAGGTTAGAAGCCTCAACGCACCTCCGAGCGACGTATCCAAGGAAGAGTGGATGTTCGTCTGCGATGGAAGCTATAAGGTTCGGTCTCAGCATGCTGTTCTCACGTGAAGGTATTCCCCATCCTGGTTGCGCTTTGTGAGGTACTCGTCGTCATGTCTACTTTTCAATGACACATGCACCTGAACATGAGGTTGCTACGGTGGTCTCGCTCAAGAACCGTGCGTCGTACAACTCTGTCGGTGCCGATGTTGCCTTTGACGTACATTGTCGTTCTCACAGATGTTAGTGATGTTCCGAAACTATTCACCGACGGCAATCTGGTAACTAGTATGAGGGCCGCGAAGGTCTAGAAGGCAACAGGAACCAGTCAGCCACGTTTCTGACACATTTTGTCAAATACAGGTTCAATGTCTCACGAGTTTGACTTATTGTCAGGATAATTGTTGTCCAACTTTCATAAGAGAAGGCGCAAATGATACGGAAAGGCACCGTCCAAAGCTTTCCGGATAAGAAATTTGATGAAGGTATCCACCTAGCAGCTATCTTTTATGATCGTTCTCTGCCGTGAAAAGTTTGTGATGTTTGAGAAGCATCTAACGTCTCCCTAAGGACCGTGCAGATGATGAGTTCCTGAAGATTGTGTCGGCTTGGCATGGAGAGACTGAACAAGATGAGGTTTAGGTGTAGGCTTGCGCGCCATAAACTTGGACGATCGATGAGTAGAGGATGAACCTCAACGCCACCGCCACCGACGCGATCGCGTGACCGTGGTGATCTATCGGCGATCTCAAAGCTTACTGGTTGCCTGCTCACTGTGTCGTGCTAGGTCGACTTCAGCTGTTTACATTTTCTACTTCGCCACCCATGGCAAAAGGCTCGCAGCTGTCGCAGCTGAAGGCAGCTATTAACCAGGCTGGACTGTCACGTCCTCAGCAGAATGGCAAGAAAAGAAAACGCACTGCGCCGGACCAGAAGGACAAGGAGAAGAAAGCAGCGAAACTGCAGGAGATACACCAGAAGCTGAACCCGTTTGATGTGAAGGTCACGAAATTAAAACACGATGTGGGAGGCAGAAGGATTATAGGGACAACTGGTCGGCCGGCGAAAAGTAAGCAGGCGGGGATCGAGCAGGTGCATTCAACTGTTATACATATTGAAGATTGCGCTGACAAGTACGCCGCAGAGGAAGAAAACGCTTTTAAAAGAGTATGAGGAGAGGAATCATGCGGGAGGTATCGTTGATCGCCGGTTTGGTGAGAACGACCCGACTATGACGCCTGAGGAACGCATGCTGGAGCGGTTCACCCGCGAGCACCAACGTGCATCCAAGAGCTCTGCGTTCAACCTCGAGGACGAGGACGAGCTCACACACTACGGTCAGAATCTGTCGAAGCTGGACGACTTCGACAATATGGGGCTGGTTCTGGACGATGACGAGGACGAGGGCCAGATCGACAGGCAGACGGTGCAGAAGGCCCACTTCGGAGGCTTCGAGGAGGAGGAGGCGGAAGAGGATGATCAGGATGAGGTACGTTCTATTTTCGCGTACGTACTTCAACATCCTTGTTCTCATCATATACGCAGCCTGCACGCAAAAAGACGAAGGCAGAGGTCATGGCAGAGGTGATTGCCAAGAGCAAAATGCACAAGGTATGTTCTTCGTGCCTGTCTCATTCCGCACCTGCTAAATAACATTGCTCAGATACAACGGCAAGCGCAACAAGAGGAAGATGAGAGCCTGCGTCACGAGCTCGACCAGGAGCTTGATTCCATTCGCTCCCTCCTCTATGCCCCCGATCCATCCGCAAGCAAAGCTGTCCTTGCAGACGAAAGTGGCGACGTTGCTCCTGCGAAGGCTGTCGCGGAACCTTCGGAGCAGGACCAGGAATACGACCAGTACGTGCGGGAACTCGTGTTTGAGAAACGCGCGAAGCCGAAGGACCGGACGAAGACAGAAGAGGAGATAGCGCTAGAGGAGAAAGAGGCTCTCGAGAAGGCCGAGCGGAAGCGTGTACGGAGGATGAACGGGGAGCCCGAAGACAGTGAGGATGAGGAAGAGGGCACGACGAAGAGAAAGCGGAGGAAGGGGGTCGGGGATGACCTAGAGGATGACTTTTATGAGGAGGACGGTTTGGGAGGCTTAGGCACTGGGTTGGCTGAAAGTGCGGAGGTGGACATGAGTGAAGAAGGCGAGGAGGCTGAAGAAGACGATGGGAGCGAGGATGGCAGTGAAGATGAGGACGAGGAAGATGAAAGAGAAATCGTGGATGATGAGGAGGAGGAGGAGGTCGAGGAGGGAGACGAGGCTTCGGACGGCTCTGATATTGAAGGCGAGGAAGGCGAGCCGGAGGCTCTTGTCAGCACTGACAAGCAGCGGACGGCGAAGCCAACATCTTCATCTACCAAGGAGCTTCCGTTCACATTCCCTTGTCCGACAACTCATGAAGAGTTCCTGGAGATCGTGGATGGAATCGATGACAACGACGTGCCGACCGTGGTGCAGCGCATACGCACGTTGCATCACCCTAGTTTGGCCGAGGACAACAAGGTCAAGCTCCAGGTATGCATATTCTGTCGTCGCTATTCATTTCGTTGACACAGATCACTTCGCTAAGGGCTTGACCGGCGTGCTTATTGACCATATACTGTATATCACATCGCCACCCACGCCGCGGTTCACGCTGCTCACAGCACTGATGCCTCACCTTTTCGCTCTCACCAAAGCATATCCCATACAATCCGCGGAACATTTTATCGCAAAGCTGAATCTCATGCACAAGAACCTTCAACGTGGGCTCTCGCGCGGTGCAACTGAGCCTGACACGAAGACGTGGCCAGGACTGCCGGAGCTCTCCTTGCTACGAGTCATAGGCCAGGTGTGGTCTACGAGCGACAAGAATCATAATGTAGTCTCTCCCGCTCGACTGCTTATGGGTGCATATCTTGGGCTCGGGCGTATCCGGTCGCTGCAGGATTTGGCGAGCGGCCTCTACCTCTGTTCACTATTCTTGGACTATGAATCGCTGTCGAAGCGGTTCGTCCCGGAGGCGATCAACTTGCTTGCAAACGCAGTACTTCACTTGGCGCCACATCGGTTCAAAGACAAGTCATTAATACCAGGACAATTCCCTTGTGTAGACTACGGCTCTGAGCATTGTGCGTCCCTCACCATCGATGTACGAAAGGCGAAGGGTGCCACGATGGGCAAGCCAAATCTCTCTGCCCTGCTCAATGGAACAACGTCCGACGAGCAGTCAAAAGTAGACCTCCTTGGTTTGACCCTGGAACTCATCGGGCGTTTCGCGGACATGTATAAGAGCCTTGATGGCTTCATCGAATTATATGATCCAATCAAGGAACTTCTAGACGGTGTCAGGTCGAGAGACTTACCTGAAGATGTACTGGTGTGTATCCTGATTCCTTTCATTGATTGTGGGGATACTAAACAGCGTCTGTAGAAGCGTTCTACTGCACTTCGAGATACCCTCGGACGACTGCTCAAGTTCTCTCGCGAAGCACGTCGTCCGCTCATGTTGCAGGCTCACAAGCCGATACCCATTCCGACCTACATTCCCAAATTCGAGCAGTCCTCTTCCAACTACCTCCGCAATCATGATCCGGACCACGAGCGCGATGGAGCTGCGAAACTGCGCCGACAGTACAAGCAGGAGAAGAAAGGCGCGATCCGCGAGCTGCGGAAGGACGCACGATTCCTGGCTGCCGAGCAGCAGAGGCAGCAGAAGGAGAAGGACAGGGCGTACAATGAGCGTATGAAGCAAGTGTTCGGATCATTGGAGTCTGAGAGGGCGGAGGAGAAGGCGATGGAGCGAGAGAAGATGAAAGAGAAGAAGAGAGCGGGCAGGAAGTAGTCACATACTATTGTATAGACATCATTGTCTCTCTTCTGCTATATTTTGTCTGTCCTTCGGCACGTATCAGCTGAGAATTATATTAATTGCGTGTCTGTCTGCGACTCGTGAAAAGGGACTGTGGCACTGAGGAATACGGTCACGTGCGCATGTCGCCGATATTGTGGCGACGCGTACTGAACGTTCCCTTGGTCTTTGTGCCGGCACCACCTCTTGAGAACCTTCAGCTCGCGGCATGGTATATGAATCTCGAGATGCCCATTCCAAAATCTATGCCTGCTCCAGTTCCCACCTTTGCAAAATCAGACGAAACATCTGCCGCCGATCTCCTGGAATTTCTGCAGGACCATCTCGGGGGACCTGACTCTGGTAAAGATCCGACGCAAGGCTCGCAAGATGCTTCAGATCAGGCATGGTTTGAGACACTTTGCAGCACGACCCAGCAACTCTTCTCTGCGTTTCCTACTCCCGATGAACTTCCGTGGACTGCAATACACGAGCATGTCAAGATGACCGAGACGGTCCTGGGTGTTATCCCTAATTCTCGCATTAGCATCTTCCCTCTGCTAGTACAGCCAGATGGCTCCTCTCAGCCAATCATACTCCGTCTCTTCAATCTATATCTCATGCTTGAACTTTGGACCGAAATCCCCGTACCAAGGGAAAAGGACTATCCCAGTCCCAGAGATCTACAAGACAGAGTCATGTCAACGCTGGTAGCGGTGCTGCGGCGGCTGGGAGGAAATCTCAATGTATACTCAAGGCAGAAGTACGGTTCAATGCTTCAGGCGCTGAGGCGTGCGCTGTCAGGTTTTATAGCAGCGTGCGATGGTATGCATTTTCACTTTACCGGATCGCTGCTGCTAATGTGACCCCACAAGAAATGCTCTTGCTATCCCAGCCTTCTGAATATCCGTCGAATATTCGTCTCTTCGCAACGCCCGAGTCTAAGCAAGGCAATGTGAGTGTTGCGTGTTATAGCTTATATGTCAAGATTGCTTACCTTTCATGCGATCGCATGTGTCGTGTCCCAGGATGATTTTTCCTTCATCACGATATCTAGTGCTTCATCGGTCCCTATATGCCTGATGCTTGTGACTGAGGTCTGTGTGCGTGCGGCAGACACCTTGCTTTCGCAATGGTACTTGAGCGACCTCGTTCGTTCCATGGCGACTTTAGCGAATAGAACAGTCGACTATGTGCTATCCCCTTCCTGCACAGCAGTAGCGACCATCAGAGCACGACTCTTGTCACGATTAGTTCAAGCTGTCGACTATTCTCCCGACACAATGTCCCAGCTTCCAGCACGAAGTGATTCGGTTCTGTCGCGGCTACTCATATATAGATTACAAGTTGGTCCGGACGCCTCGTGGGACGTACTTGACCAGACGTTAGTGACATGCTCTGCAAGCTTGAAATCCTCTCCTTTGCTTGGAGATTTACAAAATATACTGACGTTACTGCATCTGGAGAGCTGGGATGAAACAGGCAGTATGTTAAGGGTGCGTTAGTGGTGCAGTTTCTCGGTAGGCGGAAATGCTGACATAGAACAGGTTGCAGGTCAATCATACCTGCTTTCCTGCGTCCCTCATCTCGACGGTGGAGTTCTCCGGATGATTGCCGATGCGCTAGGAAATGATGACAAGAAAGCTTTGTATAAGACATTACTTGACAAAGTTCAGAGCCGACTTGCAAAGGTTGCCGTCGATCACGGAGAGCATATGGAGGAACATCCCGGAAATAACCTGTCAAACAACACGCAGTGGAAAGCTACGGTAAGGACCGGCGTACAAGCCATCGTCGAACCTGACGAGTTGGCCTGGATGGAGGATGATGACTCCCCATCTGATGCGCAATACATTGCGCGCGCTCTTCAGGATATCGAAGCAAGATATGGCAGGTGAGGGCACGTATCAATGATGAACGAATGCATCTGATGAAGCTATGTTCAGGCCTCTGTATAATCCTGCTGCTCAAGGCCGCGAACAATTGGCAATTCAGCTCGGTAATCTTGCATGTGTGCTAGTTCACGCACATACAGATGACTGCTCGGTATCATCTGAGATGCCGTCGATCGACACAATCTCTGCATTCGTTGCAGTCGCGAACCATCTCTTAGATGGACCGGACGAGGAAGTGACTGCGCGAGTTCGCAAGGCAGTCTTTGATTCCCTGGCGAAGACCTTACGCCATCACACATCTGGATTTGGTGGCGGGCGGTTAGAGCGCGTTAGCGAACTGATTCTGCACGGCATGAAAGATGCGGATCGTACTGCTCGTCTACGCGCAGGGTGAATATTCAGATCCTGTCATCTCCACGAACGTTTGTTTGACTAGCGTCGCAGACAATCACTTCTGGAACTCGTTAAACTCTACCAGAGAATAGGAAACGGAGCATCGAAGCGCACGGAACCTCTCTTCAACAAGTTATACAGATTGTTCGAACATGCCAATGATCGTGTCAAAGAGACCACTATCATCACTCTAGGCCGTATCGGGTTGTGAGTGCTGAAGACTCTCGTCACTCTAAGTCAACAACATATTCAGAAATTTTGTGATAGGATTGCGACAGGAGAGGTCCTCGGCCAAGACGTATGCTGCCTAATTGCTCAGCTCGGACAGCCGAGCCCAATTCTCAAAGGCACTACGCATATGCAGGTTGGTCTGAGCCTCACTCACTGATGCGAGAGGCTGATGCGTCCTGGTACCCAGCTGCAAACTCTTGCCAAGCACCACAACAAGACCCTTTACAACGTGGTATCGCCGTACATGGATCAGGTCGCTCCCTATCTGGTCTCTCGGCTGTACACGCAACCGAATCTCCTTGTGGAGACTTGTCGGCTCTTTGCTGTGTCACCTGTTGACTTTCTCTCCATCACACTACACCGCACGATGCCCCAATTATTTGCAACTCGCAACGTCAAAGTCCTTGACACGATCTCGAGAGAACTCGATGAGAGCACCTCCCAACTTTTCATGAAGCATTCGCATCACATTCTGGCGTACGTCTTTCGCCTCCCTGCACCGGGTGAAACGAACAAAGCGCTGTCATTTATCCTGGACATGCTAAGGACATCAGCTCAGAGGGATATTGATATCACGAGCGTGATTCGCAGCTGCATCGTTCCTCTACTAGCCGAACTTGTGGTGGTTATGGGAGACGAGGACCCCGATCAGGTGGAGTCGGCAAGTACTGATATTCTGAGGCATGCCTGCCTTATCTTGCTCATCAGCACGTTTCAGGCCAAACAAGGGTTATTTAAAGTGGTCAAGATATTGCGACAATCCCGAGAGGCATCTCCGCAAAAAATTGGAGCCTTCCTGGAGGAATACATGTTAGGCATAATCTCTCATTTGAACGATCTCTTGCAAGATGTCTACGGAAAACGTTCCCTCGACCGCAAGAAGGCGATAATCTGCAGCATGGGCCGATTTGTCGCCGAAGTCGGAACAGCGGTCAGCAATGTTGCTCCTCAGGTACAGTTCGCTAGTGCCTCCTCGCTAAGGCTTGCATAAATGATTGATGCGATGATCCGCAGATTATGGCAACTCTGCAGACGACATTGGTGATTCCGCAGCTCGCGGATGTCACGCTACAGAGCTGGTACACGTTCCTGACAACATTGGACACCTCCGACCTTGGGCCCTACGTTGGACCAACCAGTGCATCGTTTGTCGCCTACTGGCCTACATTCTCCATGCAAGGGCGGGAGATTGCCAAGCAATGTCTCGACTTCATTGTCTCCGACAAAGGCGCGCAGCTTGGACGATACCTCGACGAAGTTGTCGAATTTGGGTTGATCCCGCAACTATCCACGACATATCAAGTCCTTCTAGCCTCACGTAGCACATGGAGTGCAAGAGAGAAGTTCCGACGAACGCTTGAACGCGCCTTGAGCGAGAGTCATACAGTCTCCATTCAGTCCCTCTGTGAGCTGAAGTCACTGATGTTGGAGAATGACGAGGAGTTGATCAGAGCATTGACCTCCGGCGATGTCTTCGATCCATTGGCTAGTCAGCTTCTCACTACGCTACTCTCTGTCGCTTGTCGTGATGGCGAAGACACCGAATCCCTTCGCATGCTCGCATTCGACTGCATCGGCATCTTGGGAGCGATTGACCCTGATAGACTCGAGATCAACACTCATCGTTCCCGCAATGTGATGCTGAGTAACTTTACAGACGAATCGGAGTCAGTGTCTTTTGCTCTTCACTTGATTAGAGACGTGCTGGTCGGCGCCTTCCGCTCGACGAGCGATATCAAATATCAGAGCCATCTTGCCTATGCGATACAAGAGCTTTTGCAGTTCTGCAAATTCACTCCTGCTTTGGTGAACCCAACGTCCACCGGCTCGATTCCATTGAAAGTTCGAAACCGATGGAACAGCCTACCGAAGCACGTATTAGAAACGATCACCCCGCTGTTGGACTCAAAATTCACGCTGGACCCACGAGCACCAGTTCAAGTAGAGCATCCCGTGTACAAGACAAGAAAGTCCTATCGCGAATGGGTCCAGACGTGGACAAGCGATCTTCTCACCAGAACGTCGGGAGACCGAGCAAGAGATATCTTTCGCGTTTTCACAGCGGTAGTACACAATAAGGATGTAGGAGTGGCTCACCATCTCCTGCCCCATTTAGTCTTGAATGTCCTCGTGTCTGGCTCTGAGGAGGATGCGCAGCATATACGCAATGAATTCCTTGAGGTTCTACGAGACCAGGTAGAACCCAGCAGTCAGTCTACACCTGATAAGAAACTGCTCAGTGCACAAGTAAGGCTCTTTGCTGAACGCAAACCGAGATATCTGACCATGCATTTCCTCAGACAGTATTCATGCTCCTTGATCATCTCAACCAGTGGGTCCAAGCAGTCCGCCAAGAACTCAGTAGCACGAAGCCTGAAAATAAGCGGACACGTGCGAATGTGGCCCTGAACGAGGCGGAAGAGCAGCTTCTCAAGATAGACTCTATTCTGTCCAGCATCGACTCGGCTTTGATGGCGAAGGCTGCTTTCCAATGCAAGGCGTATGCGCGATCTCTCGTGAACTATGAGCGTCAAATATTAACTCTACAAGCTGGCGACGTTCAGCATGCCGCATTACAAGATCATTTGGAGCGCTTGCACGAGATATATGCCCACCTGGATGAACCTGATGGCATGGAGGGTGTGTCCACTTTCATTCTCTCACCATCCCTGGAGCACCAGATTCGTCAACATGAAAGCATTGGTCGTTGGACATCGGCACAGAGTTGCTGGGAAGTTCGCCTACAGCATTCCCCGGACAACCTGGATTTCCACCTGGGTCTCCTCAGATGTCTACGCAACCTTGGGCATTACGGTATGTCCGTCCGACCGCCTCGTTCCCGATGTTTTCTGAAGGGTGATCGTAGATACGCTGCGGACTCACGTAAAGGGCGTACTAACTCGTAACCCGGGATGGCAATCAGAACTCGTCGGTTTTCAAGTCGAAAGCGAATGGATGATGGGCAATTGGAATGATGTCCGGACGCTCATTGAAAACACCACATCGGAAGCAGCGCCCGTCCTTCTTGCACAGGTCCTATTGGCGTTTCGTAATGGCGATGCGTCCGATATATCTACTGCTCTATCAGCTGCACGCAAGGTGTTAGGTACTCCCATTGTAGCTGCAGGCGCCGGAGGCTACCGCAGATCTTACGACGCAGTGCTCAACTTGCACTTGTTGCACGAACTGGAAGCCATACATTCAGCGATAGGAGGTCTCTTTGCCGATGGGCAACAGTCGATCAATGCCGGAAATGCACTAGAGCGTCTATCGCGGTGTCTCGATGCTCGTCTAGAGTCCACTCTTCCAACTTTTCGCACTCAAGAGCCTATACTCAGTATGCGAAGGATGGTATTTGGATTGAGGTGCGTTGTGGTCCTGTCAAGCATGTGGTAAACTCACTCGTTCTTACAGTGGATCCGGCAATCGAAACATCGACAATGTGGTCGGAGAAGCGTGGCTAGCCAGTGCAAAGATTGCCCGGAAAGCAGGCCATCAGCAGACTGCTTTTAGTGCCATTTTACAGGCCCAACAATGCAAAGTTCCATACTCATTCACTGAGTCTGCCAAGCTCACCAAAGCTGGCGGTGAACCTCTCAGGGCGTTACAAGAATTAGAGAATTACATGCGATTATTAGGCATTTTAGAAGACGGGACTAATGTAATCGACCTCACGCAAGACATTGATGACCCGAAATTGAAGGCGAAGGTACGGTTTTCATTCTTGAAATGCTCATCAGCGCTGTATTTGCGCTCCATGTAGACCCACGTCCTCCGTGCTCGATGGATGAACGACTCGGACCGGTACGATATCTCGTACGTTTTGAAGGCGTACAAGCGCGGATCAGACTTATGGCCTAAGTGAGTCAACCATTGGTGTTAAAGGACTCAAGCTAACCAGTTAATATAGGTGGGAAAGTGGACAGTTCCATGTAGGGCGCTTCCATGATGAGTGTTTCAAGACGCTTTCTCCCGCAGACCAGCAGGACAGGTCAGCTCGAGCCTAATATGCATACGATGTTTGACATCTTGACAACGTATCACAGAGGAACGAGAATGAATTTGCAGACTGTGAAAGCGTTTGCCAAGGCGATCAGATACGGCTCGAAGTATATATATCAGACCGTTCCGCGTTTGCTCACGCTCTGGCTCGATATGGGAGAAAACAGTGTTATCTCCACAGGGAACATTTTCCCGCGTATCAACGATGAAGTCGCCAAGGCCATCAAGTCAGTGCCAGTGTATAAGGCACGTCTGCTCAAGGATGATGTCTTGTGGATCTACCTTACGGTCTGTTTCAGTGGTACACTGCATTCCCTCAGATAGTGTCCAGAGTCGGCCATGGGAATGAATCCGTCCACGTTGTCCTGTCACGGCTCATCTCAATGGTCATCCAAGAGTATCCAAGACAAGCACTCTGGCTATTCGTGTCGGTAGTCAAGTCTACAAAACCACAGCGAGCTTCCCGAGGCAAGAGCATCCTCGATTTGCTAAGGGTTCGTCTATGGCATAGTTTCGTCTTTACGCCTACTGATATCCTCAACGCAGGCTCACAACCGTGACAACGTTGCGACGCTCATCAATGAGAGCCTGAAGATGTCAGAAGAGCTCCTTGTCCTCACGAATCGCCCCGTACGAGATGACAAGAAGACCATGAGTATGGCCAAGGATGCGCCTGCATTGCTCCGTCTTGCACCTTCACAACTTATTATACCGATCCAAGAGTCACTCATCGCTAGCCTTCCTCCAACATCCTCGTCGGATGCTAATTACCAGCCCTTCCCGATCAATGCGCCGACGTTTGCGAGTATGTGCTTTCAAGGCAATGCTTGTCGTAGACACTGGCCGCTAATTCATCTTCCATCTTTCAGGGTTCCAGGATGAGATCGACATCATGAGATCCCTAGCTAGGCCTCGCAAGATTACTATCCACGGCAGTAATGGTCAGATCTATATGTTTTTGGGAAAGCCGAAGGACGACTTGCGGAAAGACGCGAGATTGATGGACTTCAACGCCATTATCAACAAGCTTCTCAAGTCGAAGTCGGAATCACGCCGCAGACAGCTCCGTAAGCTTCATGCCATCACATTTTATTTTTATGCCTCATGTTTTGCACAGATATTCGTACATACGGAGTGGTTACGCTAAACGAGGAATGCGGTTTCATCCAATGGGTTCCAAACACTGTTCCTATCCGATTCATCCTAACCAAGCTATATGATAGGCGAGGCACGAAGAGCTGGGTGAGTGTAGCATCAATTGCGCAGCTTCAGACGTGACTGATGTGAACTCCTGGAAGTCGAACGAGCTGCAAGCCACTGCCGCCGAGATCAAAGGCAAGACCGTTGATAAGGAAGCCGCTCAAGTCTTCCAGGACAAAATTCTGGCCCGGTACATGCACATACGTTCATCAGACAAGTCCAATGGCTAACGACCATGCTCACAGCTTTCCTCCCGTCTTTCATGAGTGGCTCATCGAGACCTTCCCTGAACCTACGGCCTGGCTTACGAGCAGATTGGCATATAGCCGTACTGCAGCAGTCATGTCGATGGTCGGGTTCATTCTTGGGCAAGTGACTTTCATCTCGTAAGCGGGCTGCTTCCTGAAACGCGTGCATAGACTGGGTGATCGTCATGGCGAAAACATCCTCCTCGACACCAACAATGGGGACGTCGTCCACGTGGACTTCAACTGTCTCTTCGAGAAGGTCGGTGAACGGTGCTTTATTCAAGAAACACAGACTGCTCACGAAGTCCTCAGGGAAAAACACTCGAGATTCCCGAACTGGTGCCGTTTCGTTTGACGCAGAATATCGTTGATGGACTTGGTGTTACCGGCACCGAAGGTATGATCGCTCGCCTCTACACAGCGCTATGTATCGAGCTGAAAGCATTTGAACCAGGTGTCTTCCGGATTGCATGCGAAGTGACTATGCAGCTGCTCAGAGACAACAAGGATACGCTCATGAGCGTCCTCGACGCTTTTATTCACGACCCGTTGGTTGAGTGGGAGGATGAGAAACGCAAGAGGGTAAGCAGGTATCTACCGATTTGCCTGGAGTATTCACCCCGTTGTGCATAGGAACATTCACGCAGCAACATCAGTCGTTCTACGGTGGATCTCCGCAAGATGGCCATGGATGCTCTGCGGCCCATCGAGAAGAAATTGAACGGAATCTATACAACGAGCCGGGAGAGGCCTGAGAAGGAGACGTCGACGAGCAGTCTCGTGGAGATGCTGATACGGGAAGCTACGGATAATACGAAGCTGGTGAGTTGTATGAAAAGCAACGTGTTCACAATGTCACTAATAGAGGCATTCGATCTAGTGTCGGATGTATGTCGGCTGGACGCCGTGGCATTAGAGTCGGTTTCGTTCGCGTCCATTCTGAGACTTTGTACGCTTGCATTTGGCTTTCATGCGTCACTGTTGTATCATCCATGTTGTAAATGCTACATCTCTGTTCGTACATCTCGACCTATATATAATACAGTGAAAGGAATCGATGAGCATCTCGTCAGCCGGCAGCCTGCAGCTGCCTCTGCAATCGCTCGAGCTCCCGCTCCTTCTCAATCAACCTATCCCTCCACCTGTTCGTCTCTGCCACGACCTTCTTCCGCGCCTCCTCGAGCCGCTCCGCTTCCTCGCGCTCCATCTGCTGCGTAAACTCGGGCACGCCGCCCTTGGACGCCTCCAGCGACGCAGGGTGTGCGGTGTGGAACGGTACGGGACGGCGCGTGTATCTCGGGAGAGGGGTGGGTGGGTGTGCGGTGAGGATGTTGAGGAAGGACTGGAAGGGGTCGTTAAAGACGATCTCGTCGTACTGCCAGGAGTGCACGGGCCCCATCTTCATGGCAGCTTCAAGAGGCGGGATCTCGGGCTCTCCACTGCCGATGGCGGTCCATGGGTGTAGCTTGAGATGATGGTAAGTCATGACGGCCTTCTCGCCGGACTCGGGAACGAAGGTGATGCGAATCTGGATTTCGAACTCTCCCCATCTGTTGAGTGGTTGGGTGAGGAATGATAATGGTTAGTACGACTTTGTGTACAATGCTGCTCACCCTGTCTCTGTGATCTCAAAGGGAGCTTTTTCGACACCTTGAAAACAGAGGTGTGGCTCAGACTAGGACAGACCACTTAAGCGCTGAAAGACGTACTCCTTGTCGGGTTCGGATATGTGTCATGCAGTTTGAATGTCACCCGTTTGATGAAGTAGCTGAGGTCGTCCGCACCCCCGACGATATCAGAGTCCGGCGCAGACGCGGCGCTACGCACAGCGACGGTCCATCGGTGAGTATGGTCACGATGGGCGGATTCCTCCCGTTCCTTTTGAGTCAAGACCACCGCAGTGTTCCCATAGATTATGGGTCTGTGTATGCTGACGCCCTGTGCGAAAATGTGAGCTCGATAACGGGCACGATGGCGAGGAGGGGCGCACTCGGACACGAACGCGCTCGTTTGAGGCCATGGCGGTCGAGGCGACTCGAGCCACGCCCGCCTTGCAAGTTGAGACTCCGCCACCGAATTCATCCTTGGTAGCCTTCCGTCACCGCCCACCAACTCATCCGCCCCCATTTGCGCGCACTTGCCCATCATGTCCCCGCTGTTGCGCCCACTCGTCTACAGTGCGTTGAATTTATTTGCTACTATTCTCGCTCTGCTAAATCATATTCACAGAGGAGAACCATGTCACGGAGTTGCAGAGGCACGTCCAGGTATAATACATATTCACCACGTCGCATCGTGACCTTCTGCTGAGGCTTGTGCAGGCCTCGCATGAACCGGTCTACTACCGCCTCCCTCGCGGGAAGCTGTACGTCAGTGAGTACATCTCCTGGCTCTTCTTGTGCACCCAGATGTTGAATGCTCGTTGTATAGAGTCGTACTACGCCGTGTTCGCGGGAACAATGGCGTTTACCCTCTACGGCGCGTTCTCCCTCATAAGGGTATGCATTCCGCCGCTGCCGTTCGTGGAACTATCTGAGCTCATATTGGCCACGTCTGCAGGGCAAGCCTTCCACGCAGTAGAGTGTGTGCGCATGTCGACCGTAGGGCTTAGACAATGTAATTCTTCGACTATTATGTCTCGCCGTGCACAAAGAAAGACAACGCTGCAATACGATTATCTTTCGTTATGATGAGATATATGTCCACCGTCTACGCATGGACTTCGTGGGTCCTCCGCTCAGGCCGGTTGAGCAATCGGGTGTCACGTCATCATTGATCCTTTTCTTTTCTGCTACAATTTCTTTGATTCTCTGTAAGACTGGCTACCGAAATGCACGGACATGGAAGGTGCTTCTACGCGTTTGATTTGCGTTAGGCCGCGAACTCCCCCGATCCGAGAGGCTTTTATTTTGATTCACGTGCGGGCGTTGCGCGACTTGCGCTCACCGTCCAAAAGCGTTAGCTCACCGTCTCCCTCCCACTTCATCCCTTCTCTGTCGGCTGCACGAGTTCAATGACAGACCAGTACATCTCCCCAAAGGAGGCGCGCGCCTCATACAGGCCAAACAACGTACGTTGTCCGACGCGTTCTCTACGAAATCCCAGTCCGATGACCCCGCCACCCAGCTCATGTCCCCTGGCCTCAAACGTGCACGAGAGCCGTTCCGCGTGCGCAACGCCCTCACTGGAGTTGTGCTTACTGGATTTGTCGCTTCTGTGTGGTGGTACTCCATCAGTGCCGTAAAGCAGGACGTGTTCGACGACGTTGACGAGGAGGCGCGCGCGCTCGCCAAGGCACGGGCGAGCAGTCTTGCGGAACAGGAGGCAGAGCGGCAGACGAAGAGCACGGCGGTGGCGGCAGTGGAGCCTGCCCTGCGTGAACCATCGGTTGCGTCAGTCTCGACGGCGGGGAGAGGACTGTTGCCTCCGTTGCTGGACAAGTGGCTGCCGCGAATGTTGGACCCATCGACGAAGACATTAGTATGGGGCGCTCCATCTGTAGACAGCATAGGAAAACTGTGGGATGCCTCGCGTCGGCAGTGATAGGATGTCAGCTTGCATTCATTGTCTGTCTATTTATCCACTTATCTCATCACCTGCAGTATGCACGCCCTACTCAGCTGTTTTGTGTTAGATCCCCCGTCAAACATGTATTGATAACATACACATGTTCAAGTTATATCGAACGAAACACCACATTGGCATGGGTAGCAAGAAAAGATACGAACGTATTACAGCACATGGGATAGCGAGAAAGCGGCTTCGATAAGCAAATCACATCAACAATCTAGTCATTTACTTCCTACGGAGCCATCACAGGCCAGGAAACAGTCGGTTCATAAGACTCATGCACACCCTCTTCACACTGAGGCGGGATGACCAGCTCCGGCTTGCCAGAACATCCGGCCACAGTCTAGAGAGAAAATGCTGAGGCCCCAACTCGTGGCTCGAGGGGCCTGCCTCCCATGTCAGCACACAACAGAGACCAGCACTAACACATGGCACTCACGGGACTACGATCCCCATGTTCTGCAGGCCCTCCTTTGCCGCCTCGTTCTTCGCCGCCTTCTTCGTGCTCCCACGGCCCCCGCCGAGGCATGCTCCGTCGACCATCGCGCGGACTACCCAGATCGGCGTTGTGCGCGTGCCTTGTCCCTCACTGTCGGCCCACACCCACTCGATGCCCTTGCCCCGCTGCTGCAGGTGCTGGTTGAAGAGCGAGAGGTGCCCGACGCTTGCTGCCATACAGGGCGGCGGAGTGCGGGTGGTGCTTAGGCTAGATGGTGGAGCCAGGTTGGGGGAGGGCGGCGGGGGATCGGGGGAAAGGCCGTATTGAATACGGACCTGGCGATAGGCTTCGGTGAGGTAGGGCCGCAAGAGCGTGTATAGCCAGTCTTTCACCACGTCGAGGCCACGATCGAGGTACAGGCCGCCCACGAACGCCTTGATGTGAGAATGGGCATGAGGAGCGAGGTTTAAAATAAAAATCCATTGAAATCACCTCAAACAAATCGGCTAAACGCCGTACTGCGTCAGTGGATGTGATTATGGCGTATATAGTGAGTCATACATGCCTTGTATGTTGATTGAGGCCCGGAGCGTCATCGCTTGTGCAGGGTGCATGCGCAGCTCCTCCGGGAGGCGATAACGAACAGAACTATATTGCACAAACCAATCAAATGAGCTTTCACACCTCGAACGTGTCGCTCTAAGACCAGATTGCACGCACATGGCTGCCAGCGTAGGGTTGCCCACCAGGAGAGCGCGGACTTTCTGCAGCGCATGGCAATGACAGTTTATCATTAAATTAAAGTATCGTGAGACTGCAGGACACACCGTGGCCGGGCCGACGCGCAAATTGGGGCACACCTCGCGTATCAGGCTGGTGACAACCAAACTGACGACCGAGTCCCCCAAATGCTCATACCTGCGGCGTGCGTTCAGAGACGTCGTGGAGGTATGAAGAGCACGAGCACATCGCTTACTTCTCGTTGTCCGGGCTGGGGTCTTCGGGACTATCCTCGAACAAATGGGTGGGCCTGGCGTAGTAGCTTCGATGAGTGTACACCTGTGTCTTGATATCCTCCGACTGTATTTCGGGCAAAGGCGGGAGATCCTCAAGAACAAGGTCTGGCCTGTACACGAACGATGCAATCGTTGAGCATTTCGCTGCACCCAATGCTGTAGAATGGCGCACATAAGGGCCTGTCTGCCATTCCTGCTGGGGAGGACATGCTCAGAGGTCATTCGTACTTCAACAATACAAGCAATACCCACTTGGACTCCATCTCCGGGTCCACAGCGGACTTGGACAAGGGATGAAGAAACTGTGAGCGCTGTCAGCATGATAACAGAGTCGCCCTTATATACTCACAAGCAGAGATCGATATGGGGTGACAGATGGACTTCACCCTATACATAAGAGCGCTACGGGCGGAAAATCTGCATCGCACCGCCTCCATCGAACGGTTATTGATAGCGATTCGCGAGGGCGCTCGGTGCATCTTCTCGGCACGAAGTGTTCCGTCGTCTCTCCGATGATTCTGTTCGAAAACGAAGCAGGCAAAAGGTCCCGGTCAGGGCGGGAAATGCAGGAGAAACGCTGGCTGACTGAGCGTTGATAGATCGTCGTTAGCAAGAAGGGCAGCGCTATGCGTTAGCCGAGCCACTACGCGGTGGCATGAGGACATGTGACGAGAGAGCGTTTAGTGATCGTTCAGAGCCATCAACGTGGACGCTTCTATGAATACAGCGCGTACAATCTACGATCTACGAACCTGCCAATCCCCATCCATACCAACTCATGCACTTGCTTCTGTCGCAGGAGCAGCATCGGCTTGCTCAGCGGCAGCGCCGGCTTCCTGCGGTCGTAGCAAATTTACAGAACATTAGCACCCATGTTGCGACCCAACCTCACGAAATGCCTGACCTTCTGCTCGGCTGCCGCCTTCATCTTGAAATAGTCCACATGCAATCCGCACTCGGTCTTCTCCTTGTTACCCGCCCATCTGCCCGCGCGCTCACCTACATCACCCTCCCCGCTCTTCACTGTGCTGTGCCAGTCACCCACGCTGCGGTAGCCTTGGTCGAGTAACTTATTCCGCGGGACATTGTTTTCCTTAATGTACCACTCGACGAAGGGGAACGTCCAGGCAAACAGCGGGTTCAGTTTCAGCAAGCCTGTGCTATCAAACTCGAGGGGCTGCAGATTGGCGCGATCGGCACCCTGAGAGGTTCTTCGCCCGGTGATGACCGCCTTGACGCCGAGCTCCTCGTACGCCCGGCGTGCAGGTTCCACCTGGGCAGATGATCGTCAAGATCAGTATATTCGAAGGTGACATGGCTGCGGACCTTGACGGTATAGTCATAGAGCGTCTCGTCCCTCTCCCACAGTTTCTCTCCGAACTTCTTCTCGAAGTCTTGCACCGTCTCACAGTCCGCAGGCTTGTACACGTAGATAGGAGTCGTGTATCGCTTCCGCACTTCCTCCACTAGCTCCAGGGTTTCGGGGAAATGATACAGGGTGTCGATAAAGATCAGAGGGGGAGGCGAGGGCGTGATCTTCGAAAGCATGTCTAGTGCGACGAGCCCCGTCAGTCCGAATGCGGTCGTCTGATACAATCCCGGGACATGCTCCACCGCCCACTTGAGGATATCCTCGGGTGTCAGATCGCGTAGATAGGCATTAATACGGTCAAGCTCTTCCTTGGGAAATGGCAGCTTAAGGGGCCCGGAGAGAGTGGGTCTCGACGACGATGCGTCCGCGACCATAATGAGTAGAGTCAGACTTGAGACTCGTCTGCAGTTCACGACAGAAACAGTCGCAGGACGGGATGTGGTAAAGAGACGAGTAAGCCATATTGTGCCAGGATGGGTGGAGGATGAATGCGGTTGTCTCGCACAATGTTGACACCATCGCCTTTGGCGCCCATGATTCAGCAAAAATTCGACCCGCGACTGCTGTATGTATGTAATAATGATCAAACACTCTTTCATTGAGTGCCTAGTAGAGCAACATCAGAAAGCTCAATAATTGGGTCTACTTCGAGGCAGTGGCTGGTTGTAATGTTCACAGAAATACAATTTTAGCATCTATCATCAACATCAGATGAGGAGACGCAAGCATTCTCCTTGAGTTTATAATGCAACAACACTAGATGCGCAGCCATTCTTCTCCATGGAAGATCACTCCGCGCGGCACGAATGTTGGATAAGGGGCGCCCAACAGCACAGCGACCGAATCCTGCTCTTCTCGAAATCCTTGCATGTGAGAGCCGGTACTCCACGCGAGTGCTTTCCGGGGCTACTGCAACCGGGGTATCGGTCAGATGCCGCAGCATTCCGTGTAAAATCTGACATGTCAATAGCATCAGTCAAGTTCCATACAGCTGCCAAATGGGAAGAACGAAAATCTTGAGCTCCAGCTCGGCTCATTGCGAATGTAAGAAGTCTGGAGAATGAGAATGAGAACGTCTGTGAAGCATGCATGTCGAACCTCGCATGGCCGTCAACGCTCCGATTGCAAATTACAGCCATCATTCGACCGTGTATGCTTCTCGTCCTCCGGCGGTTAACTGGTGATGCACCAGAAACGCAGCTTGTGACCGAGAACGATCGTATGGGATACTGCTTATCATCGTCTTCGCATTGTTTCTCCTTAAAGGGGGATAGGGCGATAGGAGGGGGGAGATTGTAAAGTCGATCTCACTCACCTCGAAATCGGTCTGCGATACGACGTAGCTCGTATGGTATTAAATCCTCGTCTTGACCACACTTCATAAAAAAACAGCTCAAATCCGACCAGACAGTACTCACTTTTCTGCCTTGACCGCGCGACGTAGAAGCACCAGCCGAGTCACGAGCTTTAACCCGCCGGTTGGGTCGTCCTGATCAACACACCATCGTAATGTTACATCAATGGAGAAATGCATGCTGGTTGGTTTCATTGAAATAAGATATCCTTGTAAGAAACAGGATGATAGGACAATGGGTAACCCCAGTTTGGGTGTCTATGCTTCCAGAGCCCAGTGGGGTGATAGCCATGCCAACTTGGTTTCAACAGGCAAAAGGCTCATAAGGGAAGCTCCGAAGTAGACATAGACCTCAGCCAGCGACCATGAAGAGTTTTTCGAGGGAGCTCACAGACCACAGGAAGAGGGAGGAAGCAGCGGGCATCGGCCGACGAGGCTGTGACGAAAACGCGACACGTCACGTGCACGTGCCTTTTCGCGCAGGTAATAGACGCGCACTGTCACGCGTCATTTGTGGCTACCCCTCCTCACGCAACTGCGTTAACCCCCGACCCCCGGGAGCCAAGTGAACCGGCAGCATTTGAAGCTATAATAATCCACCGTGGCGTTCTAATGCTCTCGATTTTCATTATTTCGACCGCATTTCGCACATCAGGTCATCTCCATTGTTGAATCCTTTGTTGGTCCAATACTCAAGCGTTTTGATTGTGACCGGACATCTTACCGCGAGATATGTGGACAGGTATGTGATTAAAAAGTTCACGCCTTTTGTTTCTTGAAATGTATAGCAAATGTCGAGGTGCCTGTTCTGTTCAATGCTACTCCGTTGGAGAAAGGAATTTTGACAGAATATTTGTCAGTTCCAGGCTCGGAGTTACGAGCAATCACCGACTATGTCCTGCATTAATCTGCGTGTGCTCTGCCATAGCGTTCCAGTGTGTTGGAAGGTTGCGCTGTGCCAAAACGCCTGGACGCACCATTGCACCTGATGACTTGCATCAAACCACATAGCGCTGGAAAAATCCAGATGTCCTGGAGTTATTCTACGACCGGAAGGAAATCTCTCTCGTTGCCATCAGATTTTTGCGATAAGCACAGCCTTCGTGAGAGTGCCTTATTCCAGCAAGCATGCATATGTTTCGCGCCCTATATCGCCTCATGCATCTTGGATTCCTGCATTTTAAAAACGCATGAATATAGTAACTTGGGATACAATTGCAAATTTTAAAGCTCTTAAGTCCATCAGCGACCGATAGTACAATATCGCACTATGCTAAACATTACAGATAGTAGAAGCTGATGCATGACGCAGTCCGGATCACCCCAAACTTTATGACATTAAGGAGCGACAACTCCGATGGGTTCGAGGTGCTCATAAATCACCTAGCAGGCCCGACCAGTAGTTTGAGCTTCTCAAATCCTTCCTGACCAGCCTTATGCCTCACAAGCCCTCGAAACATGTAATTGTCGCCGAGATAGTCCACTCGCCGCACGCCGATATGCTCCTTGAATGCCCCGGGCCCCTCACGCGGGAAGGTCCTGCATCGACGCGTATAGACTCGGGATACCTTCTCGACATCCGCTTCCGACAGCTCCGCCCACTCAACTTGAGTGACTGGCTGCTGCATATGCTTGTGCATGGCTATGAGCACGTCTTCCAGCGTAACTAGTGCATCATGCGAGCTCCTTTCGACCGGAAAGAGGCGTTTCCGCTCCTTCTGCGCAGGCTTCACCTCGATGGGCCAGTTTGGGATGGAATCGCAGATGATGGTTATGTGCTTGACAGGAGGATGCGTCGCTGGCTGACTGAGCTCTTCCTTCGACAGCGCACCCACTACTGTGCTTCCTTGTTCCCCGAAGACTTTTCGGGATAAAGGCATGCAACGAGAAGTCGAACAGAAGCGGCAAAGAAGCCTGATATTCATCATCTAGCAGGGAGTGGAGTCGGGGCCTCTGCCTGGGAGAAAGCGGCTGATGGACCCTAGGCGGCGTCACATACGCGGGGAAAGCGGGTAAGAACAATGCGGGCTGCGGTGCAGCGGCGTGAAAGACTGCCGGTGCTACTCGCTGCGCGTTGGGTGGTGGGAAAGGTGCGGGATTTCGAGCAGGTGGTTGTTCGGTTTGAGGAGGCAGCTCTGGTGATATGAAGATTGGCGATACGCGCGGGAGATCGTAATATGGGTAGAACACAGGAGTGATGAAAGCAAATCCAGGCCAATGGGCATTGGGGTAAGCCATGATACTGGACGGTCGATCGCGAGGAGATGAAAAAAATGTGTTTTGCAGGACCCTTCGGCAGACCGACCGATTTATATATATGTAACGGGCGGCCACTGTGTGGCACAGTCCGCGGTGATTGCGAACGAGATTCAGGCAGGTCTGCGTAGAGTGCCTCAATCCAGCCATTAGAGGTATGCACGGCGCACAGCTCCAATTGTTGTGGCAGTGAGGCATGGTACATGACCGCACCGACTGGGTGGGATCAAAGTTTGAGTTGACATCCAAGCACTGAAAGCGCTGCACTTACCCCCCCCCCCCCCCCCCCCCCCCGGGTGGAACAACCGTATACAAGGCATGACATCGGATTTACCCACAATCTGATGATGACCGCTTCGACATGTTGATATGCGGTGTTCATGTTCCATGCAAGCACCGCTATGAATTGAATGAAATCCTGTTCATGAATGCTATGAGTGCCTGAAGCTTCGATTAGCGACGCCTGATGACTCGAACCGATGCATGCCCTGCCTTCCTAGGCGTCAAAGCTCAAAGGCAACATGCGTAGTAGACGGTCGAAGTCCAGTTGGAATGTGCCATAAACCTAAACATAAGAGCATAACCCACCGCTGTGCTGGCAATCAATGTTGGCGATCATCTTCGTATGAACGAATCATGAGGATGAGCCGACGTACCATACAAAACCCAGTTGCTGAAGCAGTAATGATTAGGTCGAGGACTGCCCTTTCGCGACGCATTGGATTGCAAAGGAGCAACTTTTGAGACCTCTTACCTCACAATAGTTATACCGATGCTTTAATTATGTCGTGTGCATCTTGTCCACGGAGGAGATACCGAACATTTTAAACCGATCTTAAGACTTTCTCGCTGGCATGATGCTGGATTCAGGATAAGAACGCATAGTGCCCACGACTTTCCACTCCCACCCAATGAGCTGCCGAAGACGTGGCCTGAATAAATTCTTCCGCTCTGAATGATTCCGATGAACAGCCGTCAACACGATTCAACTGGAGGCGGGCCGAGTCGCAGCTAAGACCAGGACACGATTTGTGACACGTGGGAAGCGTCAACCTGCACCGGTCACCCGACAGTGATTGGCTTGCATTGAGTAGGGAACTGGAGCCACCGGGAAAGCCACGAAGTATTGAGCGACTCCGTACCTGCCTTGCTCTTGTCCCGCATGCGCATGGTGCACCATGGCAGCAATTTGATGAGCTCAGGAGAGGTTCGGCACCGCTGGGAATCTGACGCGATGCCTGATGGGCACGTCTGCTCGAACCTTGATGACAAGTGGTGCATGGGTATCCATGGAGGAAGCGCTCATAGCTAGTATGCTGCGTCGAGAACCGCAATACGTGGCGGTGAACGGCCACGGAGAATTCGGATGCATCACAACGTTACGACTGAATCTTTGCGAATGGAAAGCGGCTGATCATCGATCACCGCCCGATGCTGGTATACAACGGCCGAGGTTGTTTGATGCGCTCATGACCGGGAAGTCACGATGGAAGCGGCCACAAGCGAACGCCCATGGCTAATGAAGCAGAGACTGGGAAGACGTTTTTTCAAGGCACGGCTCAGTGAGGAACAGTGCCATCTTGAGCGGTATAGCAGCAATGGTATCAAATCTTACGTTACAAAGCACTGCTACACGAGAATCTGCGCTCAGCGAAAGTGGGGATTCATCATCATTGCCGTTGTCGTCGAAGCCATAAGGATAGAATCTTGGGAGATATGTTCCGAGATATAGATAGCATTATGATTGTCTCGGCCCAACCAACAGCTTGAGCTTCTCGTAGTCTTCCTGTCCAGTCTTGCTCCGCACAAGGCCTTTGAACATGTAATTGTCGAAGAGGTAGTCCACCCGTCGCACTCCTTGGCTCCTTTCAAATGCCTCTACAGACGGGAACGTCCTACACCGACGCGTATAGGCACGGGCGACTTTTGTCATGTTCTCCTGCGATAGCTTTGCCCAATCGACATGAGTAATGGGACGCTGCAGCTCCTTGTGAATGGCGATGAGCACGTCGCCAAGCGTGATAGGCACATCGTGCGAAGCGAAAGGAATGGTAAGAAAGTTCGATTTTTCCTCGGGTGGCTTCAGTTCGATAGGCCATTTTGGGATAGCTTCGCAGGTGATCGTCATGCGCTTGACAGACGGATGCGTGGCTAGTTGGCTGAGCTCCTCCTTCGACAAGGCTACACCGTCCGACCGCCCAGCACCAGTAAGGCGTGCAGCCTTGAATGAATGCAGTGACAAATCAAATAGGAGCGGTGGTCCTCCAGGACCCTCGCCACTTAGCAAGGGGTGCAGCTGATGCATAGGTCGGGTGGGAAGGGGCTTCGAGTACATGGGAGGCGTCAGAAATGTAGGATAGGCAGGAACAGCGACCCATGTAGGCTGCGGTAGAGCTCCGTCAGACCGCCGGCGATGATGGGTGTATTCGCTGGGAGGCGCGAGTGGTACCATGGCTGGAAGAGCCTGGTACATGAAGGGAGGTGATGGAAAGGGCGCGGGATTGGGTGCAGACGTCATTCCAGCGTGCCAAGAGGGTGGCCGCCCGGTGCGAGGGGGAACCACGTGCTCATCCTCGAAGTGTACTTGACGACGAGGTGGCTCTGGAGATGGCGGAAATGAGATTGGAGGCACGAACGGCGACACTTGTGGGGAGTTGTAATACGAATAGAGGTAAGGAGTTGTGTAAGGGTATTGATACGAATAGTAGGAGTCGGCCATAATGCAGGATTGTCAGCTATGCCGCAGATGAGATTGCGCACCAAAAGCCCGTATGGGGTGCGACTCGCCTATTTATCGCACACGTCCACAAAGCAATACGAGCAGTGATATCCAGGGGTGATTGAGCGGAGTGAAGCGCGAGGTAACTTTAAGCACAGCTTTGACTGTGGACAAGCAATATGTTGCGTTGGGACAGAAAGTTGCATGCACAGCATTGTTGAAAGGCGGACTTTATGAGAATGCAGCTAGACGCTGATACCGCACAAAGCGTCAATCAGCGGAGTACAACAGGCCTGTGATGACTCCTTCATGACTGAAACAACAGTCAATCCTTTCTTCTTCTCACTGCATGCGGTTTGCTTGAGCGTCGCAACCGAAGAGATGAATCGTACTCACGGCTGTCAATATTGCTTTGAACTTTGACCTCGATCAATCAACATTCACTGCTAGATCCCCCGAGTCCCGAGGAAGGAAGAAGGACGCCAGCTCCTGTGAATCGGCTCAACTGACCTGGTAAGCGTACCGAGACATGGCCGGGAGCGCGCGCCCAGGAACCATTTAGCTGCGCCGAGAGAACATGGATGAGTGCTAACATACCGATGACAAACAAAGTTGGTAACTGCGCGAATTTTCCAAAACAGGCATTGCTTCGCGTTTCGGCACCGTAGACTGCGTAAAAGCACGGCACAGCGATAGTGTCAGTCAGGATTCCTCGTACGGCGATATCACGCAAATTTAGTTGTCTAGGCGAAGCAAGTGCATCGCCTCCGGATATCAGAGTTTCAAGGGGACGCTTATTACTCTTTCAAGCTAGCGCGGTGCTTGAAGTGAATCCAGGAAAACAAAACTTTCACGATATATCTTCCTGACGTTTCAACAAAGCGAGACTCGCAGACGAGTTGTCGGGGTGCGCCGTGAGCTGTCTGGCCTTCCCCACATCAAAGCTAAAAGGCTCTGTCGTCGAGATTGCAATTGCACTGCGACAGACCGTCTCCACTCCGCCGTTTTTCCTCTGGGGTCCAGGCTATTCCGGTGTTTCGCAATAATATGACCTCGTCCGAATGATCGCCTGCGGTGGTAAGCAGGAATGTCTAGCACAAATGCCGGCCATATTGTAGCAGCACTCCACGAACAGCTGCAGATTCTCGCGACGCAAATATCATGACATTACAAAGCATATAGAAGATGCAGTCAATGTAAGGAAGGTACATACTTTGAGGAGATAAAAGCTGCAACGCAACAATGGCACATGCGCAAAACTTGCTTAAATCGGATGTAATATTTTGCTCCGGGACCACGGAGCTGTGTTCGCTTATGAGATGCGTTTTGTTTAGATACCGCCGAATGCGATAAGTTTGGTGTTCATATACTCCGCGATGCCGTGGCCTCCTTCGCGACCTAGAATGGGACCACACCACATAGTCAGCAACAGTTTTGGATGTGATGCAGCGGCGCCGTTTGAGAATAAAATGCTAGGATGTGCGGTCCGCGTAACATCGCGATCGTATAGGCGCGACGCAATACCGCTGGAAATGCTGCAAAGTTCTGAGATGTGAAGACGTAGGCGCAGATTGTCACATTCTTCCCTGGCGCATCAATTACAAACGACCATGACATTGTACGATTGGTCGTTCACCGAAATATGATGATCGATGATGTCCACGTCGATTCAGGCGCCAGAGACGTCTCGTCTCGGCACGCAGAGTTTGGCACTAAACAATGGAAGGAAGATGCGCCAATGCACGCGATAGCATCAAGGAGCAAAGATGCTGTAGTAAAATTGTTTCCAAGACTCATTCCACCACCCATACTGAGATGCGTGACCACACGCGAAGCAGAAGCAACGCCCAGATAACTGGGAGATTATGATGAAATGCCGCTGATCCGCATTCAGGACCGCAAGAAATGAATGATAAGACTAGGAAGAGGCATGCATCCGGGGCTAGGTACGGATACCCAGGGCACCAGGTAGATGCCACTCCGCGATCGTCGTGAGAAGAGAAGCACGGGAGTTCTGTAACAGAGCCGCAGCTATGCCCCGCAAGATTCGCACACCAAAAAGTTTGAACGTGACAAGCGTGCGGAAGGAGGCTCAGTAGAGAGCAGCACTCACCAACCCCACTCTCTTTGACCCCTCCAAACGGAATGACCGCCTGGCTGATCACGCCCGTATTCGTGCCCACCATCCCTGCCTCCAATGCCTCCGCGACGCGCCAAACCCTGCCAACATCTCTCGAGTAGAAATAGCTCGCAAGGCCCATTGGCGTGTTGTTTGCCCACTTCATCACTTGCTCCTCGGTTTCGAACCGCGTGAGCGAGGCAATCGGGCCGAATGTCTCCTCCGAGTTTATAAGCGCGTCGGGCGGCACCTCGGATAGCACCGTGGGCTGAAAGAATGTGCCTTTGCCTTCAATGCGCGAGCCGCCCATCATGAGCTGGGCACCTCGCTTGAGGGCATCGTCAACATGCCGCTGGACCTTCTGGATTGCGCGTTCATGAATGAGAGGTCCATGCGTCCTGACAGAACGTATATGTGAGTAACTGGTTCCTGTGACATCGCCGATCTTACACGTCACTGTCAAGTCCGTTGCCAACCTTGAAAGCGGCCACGCGCTCTGCGAGTCGAGATGCAAAATCCGCATATACCGAAGACTGCACGTAGAACCGGTTTGCGCACACGCATGTCTGCCCGCTTTGGCGGAACTTGCATGAGATGGCGCCTGTCATACAAAGGCAATAGGTCCACGTCATTTGATAGGGACGAGCACAAATATGCACCTTCAACCGCAGCGTCGATGTCTGCGTCGTCGAACACGATGAACGGCGCGTTTCCACCCGCCTCGATCGAGACCCTGCAGAGTCGTTCGAATCAGCTCTCTCCAGTCTTGACAAATTGAGCACACTACGCACTTCTTCATTCCCGCCGCGGCATATCCATACAGCATCTCTCCCACAGCTGTGCTACCCGTGAATGTGACTTTCCTGACGGCTTCATTCTCGCACATCTCCTTGCCGACCGCTGAAATGTTCGTATGCGTGGTCACGACATTGATCACGCCTGGAGGGACGCCGGCGCGGAGAGCAAGCTGTACATGTCGTATCATGTCATAGAGAGATCCGCGAGGCATTTGCACGAATGTGCGGCGGGAAGTGTAAAGGAGGGTCGATGAACAGATATATGCGTCACATTTCGCGCAAACAAGGTCGATTTACGATAGTGACAACATGTGCGTCAATGTCGAAAAGTGAAGGTGGCATACGCAATTGAGCGAGTATAGTCCAGCTTGCCCTCAGTCAACTGCGTAAAATTGTACTGGACGAACAACGCACCTCAGTCAACGCCAGTGCCGAAAACGGCGTCTCTGAAGGAGGCTTAATAACTGCCGTGCATCCAGCCGCGAGAGCGGCACCAAGCTTGCGCGTGATCATCGCCGAAGGGAAGTTCCACGGCGTCATGATCGAACTGTATCCATAACGTTTCAGCGCTTAGCCTGCGATGAAGGCGTCAGAAACTTACACAACGCCAACCGGCTGCTTTATAACAACGTTGCGCAGACCCGAGAATGGCGAGGGAATGACCTCTAAAACACGAAGATAACGTCATCCGTGTGCGGGATAAGGTAGAGGTAAATGCTTACCGCCATACGTCCGGATTGCTTCCTCGGCTACATAGAGCGGTCATCGACACCTGGCATCAGAGGATAAGGGAGAAAGTCATACCGAACCACTGCAAGAGCAATCAGCAATGGCTCCGAGTAACAAATCTCACGATGCACCTCAAGGAAGGATGACGCGTATGCGTTTTCGCTCTGAGTAAGGCGTGAACGCGTGAACCATGCATGCCTGCTGATGGATGCCTACTTTGGCTTCGAAGAGTGGCTTGCCGTTCTCCAGAGTCTACCAGCAGGGAATGAAGACAATAACAAGGCGTGTGTGCCGAGTGACCTACGTTTATTCGCGCGAGGTCATCTTGATATTCCTGCATGAGGCGATAGAACCTCATGAGAATGTCATGTCGGTGCTGTATCAGTCGGAATAGTTTGGCAAACCTAGCTTTAGTACGATAACAACGTGCGACTCACCTTAGCGGTAGTCTTGCTCCAGGTCTTGAACGCGCGGGAAGCGGCATCAATAGCTTGCTTGGTCTCTGCAAGGCCCATCTCGGGGACAGTGCCAAGTTCTTCTTCAGTGGCAGGATCTGATAACACCATGGGCGACGCCAGCCATCAGTACACTCAAAAGCGCAAATGTGATGTTCACTGCGCACTGATAACCTTGATCTTTCCGCCTTCAATTGCATCAACCCACTTTCCGTCGATGTACCCCTGCATCTTGAGGAGAGACGGCTCCTTCAAGCCAAACTACGGCCCAACCCCGTAATCAGCGATGCGTGCACTGCACTAGAGAACTGCGCATATAGCAGCACGTACTGCAGCCGTGCTTGCCATCCTGTATGCAGCAAATGCGTGACTTATGAGAAACCTTGACTTGTTGGAGGTCGTCGTGGTGGCGAGTCTGAAGGAGAGTGAGGACATCCGCGTCGGTGAAAACCCCATGACTCGAGCAAGTGGTAGGGAGGAAGGGCCCCGATCCCAGCTTGGCGTCAGCATGACGCAAATCCAAGGTCCTAATCTGGTAAATAAATATTAGCGCTCAAACAGACCGGTGACGTACTTGGAAACAGATGGTCCCCAGTTCGAACCTGCGCTGGCTCAGATTGTTTTTTACCGCGCTCGTGCACACCCACCTCCCGATTAAACACTGCTTGTACAGGGTGTAATCGCAATTCATGCGTGATTACAAGGCGCAAGCGTTGCGTAATCCTTTCCGACATGTTAGTAGCTACTAGCGCGAGTACGTCCCGATAGTGTGGCTGCTCATCACCCACAATGACTTTTATCTTCGTGGCTTTCTACAGTGTCTCACGTTACAACTGGCATAGTCGTGGGGTGAATGGCAGACCGACCGTTGAATATCGTCGAATGACTCCCCATCTCCTGGCATGCATTCAAAGTCTCATCACACGTGCGACTGGGTCCCTGTCATACAGATTTTGATAGCACGGTGACAGTTCTCGGGGATCTGAACGGCGCGTACCGAGTGAGTCCAAGCCGAGTCCGTAACAGGTGATATGCCAGCATATACTGTGGAACGTGCGGAAATTGAAGGAATTGTCTCGTCTGCCCGCAGGAGATTATAATGTACGCGCTGCCTTACTATCAGAGAAAGGAAGCACTGCCATCTCATAAGGTACCCAGCATTACTTTTGAAAAGCATCTTGGTCGAGAAGATGTAGTAAGCTAACCCAATATCATTACTTACCTAGTGACTGGGCTTGACTGAGTTCCTGTCTGTGTCGGAAAGCAACCCTCCAACTCCAGTCAAGGTTGTCTTTTTCACAAACTCAGGTTCAATGTAATAGGGCTCAAGCATGCACAAGGAAAGCAGGATTGATCGTGGCCTGCATATAACGAGAGCTGTACGAGGATGCCCGCTGAGCCACGTGCGGGCGTCTCTCTCAATCTCACTCCTCACACTTGCCTCACACGCCATGAACTACTACAGGAACATCAAACCCGAGAATCCACCCCCGGCACCGGTAGAGAGCACGCCTTCTTCGCCAGCGAAAATGACCACCACAAAGAAGGTGTCGTCGGACGCGCCGGGCGGGCGGGAATACAAGTACTCCCAGGAGATATCGCAGATGATGTTCGTCTTTGGCGAGGTGCAGGATCCTAACCCGGAGACGGTCAACCTCGTCGAGGATATCATCCGGAGTCAGCTTATTGAACTGGTATGTGCTGCCTATGGTCGAGAGTTGTGATGCTGACCGTCTCCGTAGATCGTACAAGCGCGTATGCTGGCCACGCGCCGCGGAGCACGGTACCTCTCGGCGGAGGACCTCATCTTCCTTATACGACACGATCGTGCAAAGGTGAACCGGCTACGAACGTACCTATCATGGAAGGACGTGCGGAAGCATGCGAAAGACTCTGGAGGAGACGGAGGCGGTGGTGTGGAGGTCGAAACGTTGGAGGACGGAGCAGATGGTACGCGTTAACGTCCTACATTCGCCGCTTTTGGCTTAGCGTCTCCTCCCTGCAGACAAGTTGACAGCGAAAGCACAGAAGATTACTATCAAGCTACCATGGGAGATCATGACAATTTATTCGGACGTCCTACAGACGGATGATGAGGAGGATGAGGACGATATCGAGGCACACGAGGCCTCTATTCAACGTCTGAAGGTATGTCCATCCGCTTTTCATGCGTCGAATCTCTTATTCAGCTTCCTATAGGAAGCCGATGATGCCACAAGACAGATGACTCGAGAAGAATACCAGCACTACTCTGACTGTCGACAAGCTTCCTTCACTTATCGCAAAGGTACGCAATCACATTTCTCTTTTCACTGAAATCACAAAGTTCATCCGATCGCCGTTAGCCAAACGTTTCCGAGAGTTCCTTAATCTCCCTCCTTCCCTCGACCTCAAAGCCAACGACGATACCGTCGACATTGTCGGCTTCCTAGCTTTCGAGATGGTCCGTTCTCTTACAATCGCCGGCCTTGAAGTAAAGAAATCTCTCGAGGAGGCGTACCTGCGCGAAGACGTGCACTCGACTTCGCCAGCCCTCGGCAAGCGCAAGAGCGCATCCGGACTGGGCGGGGACGCGAAACGTATGCGGCGCGACGATTCGCCCGACCACGACACCGAGTCGCCCCTCCCGACGTGCTCGCTTTTCCTGCCTCCACCTGAGGCACGTACCGCGCTGCGCCCGGAACACATCCAGGACGCGTTCGCGCGCATGCAGGCGGACTGGGCTCACCGGCGATCTGCGGGCATGCACAACTGGCGCGGAGGCCTCGTTCGGACTACTGTCAGCCTCATTTAGAATGTTGCAGACCTTTGCTATCCTACTGCTGTCGCGCTATCATCTGCTCTGTATAGATTACATTGTATTCCAATTTCCACTTATACCAATCCGTCATTGACTAGCATCTACATGTATTGTACAACATCAATCTTTTGCTTTGACTGTCCATATCAGACTATTTGAAAGCACTTCTGCGTGAGCATTCAAGACATTATTGGAAGAGCAGCGAGGCGGCCACGTCCAGGTTGCCTCCTGCCGCATCGAGGGTCTGTATTGCCATCTCTCTCGAGGTACCCAAACCCATCAGTGTCTGTATCGCCTCCTCCGAATGGTTTGTTTGCGAGGGGTCTGGTCCCGCCGCCTGTCCTCTGCCTATGTCAGCACCCACCGATGTCGGAGGCGTGCCAAGGGTATGACCCGCGCCAGGGAATTGCTGACTCGGACCCGATCCCGAGCCAGACGGCTGCGACGACACGAGCGACGGGTTGCCTTCCGCTGAGTCGGCGTGCACGCTCGCGTGCGAATCACGCGCCTTCTCGGGCAGCTCATGCTCCGCGAGGAACTTGACCTCGCGACCCTGGATGCGCAGAACATTCTTCTCGAGGTCGATGCATGCTTGGTGCGCTTTAAGCATGTCCAGTCCGAAGAGAAGATCGACGTCACGGCCCTGAGGTTTAGTACGGTTTTGGTTAGCGTCGCGCTAGTGGCATGTCAATGCAGATCGGACTGACCTCGATGACGGTGAAGGAACATGGAAGGTAGAGGTCCGCGAGCTTGAGCTGCGCACTGTGTATCCGCCCGAGGATCCGTGCTGTACCGACACCAACGGCAAGTCCGCTGAATCGTTTGTCTAGGAGTCGCATGATTCTGCAGTGATTCAGCACACTGAAAGTCATTACACTAAGATCCAACACACCCGCATGCTTCTGCACACTCTGGGCTCACTGCGAAACGGACTGCTGTCAGAGCTTGCCTGCCTCTGTGCGACGCCTTGCTACTCACTGATGGTTTGCTGCGCTCCACTGTCAACGAATGCCTTGACGGGGTGCCCATTCACCTCCACATGTATGCTGGACCACACGTGAATATACATCCACATCGAAGAAGACTAGTCACGCACTATAGCATCGTAACCCGCCCAAAGACCTCCGGGGAATATTCCAATGCATGCTCCAGATTTTCAAGAACGGCTTGCTCGCGGATTGCCTCTTCGATGCGTCGCTGAGCCTCAACGTCAAACGGGTTAGCCGCAAGTGCCCCCATTTCGCGTTCCGCTTGCAGTTGTCTTGCGTGAGTCTGCCTTAGGAGCTCGGCGAAGCGATGGGGGTCAGACTGGGCAGCGGCGGCCATCTCAGGGTTGGTCTGAATGGAGGGCATCACTCAGCATAAGTGTCCGACGCGCAGCACGACAGGTACTCACCGACCGAAGCTGCGCCATGAGGGCAGGATCACCGAGAAGTTGTAACCGCATCATCTCAGTATCCTGTGGCGCCTCTCTGCACCATCATGAGTGATTCGCAGCGGGACTTTAGCACATCGACGCCACGCACCTCCCTCCAACGTTAACCTTCCTTCGCAGAAGCAGCATCGCATGATCGCCGACGCCCAACCCGGCCATCGTGGCCTTCGGATTTGTTAGATCGCGCTCTTCATACGATATGCTTTGATCTGCGACTGGAATGCCCGACTAAGATTGGACACGTCGAAGACGTAGAAGTTGTGGTTATATAAAACAAACATGAATGAAGGTCGCGAGGGATGAGAAGCTGCAAGATCGATCATGGGCAATACCCACCTCTGCCTCAAGAAGGGCCATAACGTTCTCGAGCTCCATGTTCGGGTCGATCTCGACAACGAATGACTGCCCGAGGTCGGTGAAGAATGTTAGTTCCATGTGCGTTCCTTTGCTGTGTCCGAATGGCTACAGTCGTCGTCGCAAGCGAGATTTTGGATGAGGTTGCGCGGTGTGGAGTTAAGCAGTGTCGGCGTTCGGGTTATCCACCTGTTAACCCAGCGGCGAAGAGCGATTGGACACTACTTCGACTAAACGTTCTCTCAAGAGTGGGGAAGCGTAATGAATGATCCCGAGTAGCCTCGAGGCGCTTAAGCGCAGAGGCTTTTATGCCCAATTGCGTGTACAGCTAGACGCGTAATACAGCGAGTACGTATACCAATATTCAGTGCGACGAACGTGGACAGCAATGCATGCGGAAGGCACTAGAACATCCTCGTGCGCTACGCGAGTCGACTGTGCACTGCAAGCGCGAGGTCAAGGTCGTGCATACGACCGCGCATACTAGGTCGCCTTTTGTCTCCCGTGGGCGGGCTCAGATAAAAAGCTCCTTTAGGCCAACCTTTTCTACCACAGCATGGACTCGATGTTCCTGCGCGGCTCATCCAGGACACGCCTGATCGCTATGATGGCGAGATTGTAGCCACTGTGACCGTTTCAAAACGCATGCCATGACCTCAGCGGCCGAAGCGCGATGGTGCTGGAAGCGGCGATGTGTTCTTACTTATAAACCGAGCTGTTCCTGAATATAAATTTTCAAAAGCGAGTCCTGCTATGTAGGATGCTTGACTTGCAATAAGATTTGTGGGTAGCGTGGAAGCTATATGCGCATACATTATAAGTGATGGCCAACACATCGATTTGTGTTTTACTCACCCTTCTTAGTAGCGATAGGCATCGGGCGTGACGAGAACGGCGCGCCTGACGCTTCATAGTGCCTGCGCCGCAGGTCAATACTTCGCGATTTAAATGTGACAGGAGCATGCAAGGGAATCGTGGAGGTGGCTATTCGCTGCCAGTAGCGCAGAGTGCCAGAAGGATAGCCAGTGTAACCGCAGCTCCACAATCTGAGCCCTAGGCTTCAAAAATGACTCTGAGAGAATGTATCCAGTTGTTAGCAATCAGCCGACAAGCACGATCGAGACGACTTTAGCGCCTTCCTCTGCAAAAGGCTCGTGCGCTTGAAAATAGTGGCGAAAGCAAAAGAAGAGTGACAATGCCCTGGCGATGGTGTTGAAATAGATAGCATTCATTACCAGTGTTACACGTGGTCTGTCGAGAGATCTGTTGTAGTGCACTGTTCTTGTGGGACAGGTTGACGACACGATTTCCGTGGTGGCGGAAGGTTCTATCGCGTAGCGGACATCTCTATCTATGATATAAAAACCTCTGAGTTACCGACCAGTGCGTCGCCCTGCTATATTGCTCCGGAACAAGGACGAGCTGCACGTCAGTGGCATCGTCAGAGTGGGTACAGACATGCAGAAAAACGGGACTCACAGTCGCGACCCACCCGCGCCCCGCGACATCAATGCACTCGCACTCTCGAATGCAGATGCCGACAGACTTGCATCTGCAGTGACCGTATGAGTGTCACGAGCGCGCGCATATGGCCGAGAGACGCGACGAACCGCTCAAGTCGCTGAAGCTCGACGCTTGGCTTCCTTGCTCACTGAGCGCGCTATGCTGCGTGTTACCCGCAGAGCCCAAGTCCATCCGCCACCCTGGACTGTCTGTCCTTTCAGAAGTGCTTGCCAAAGTCCGCACGTGCGTCTGCCCATACGCCCGCCCAGTCGAGATTGCTGGTGGGCTGCCCGACTTATCCGGTGGGCTGAAGTGACGCGGAATCGGTGAAGTGAGACGTGAGGACGATGGTGGAGGAGATAATGGCTCTTCGTATGTATTCGCGCTGGATGATGCACGGTTGTCCGGGTGTGAACGCCAATTGGTGACCACCTGCAGATTCCGCGGCGACGAGGGAATAGACGGGATAGAGCCCTGCGCCGAGCGCGAGCTCATACTCGAGAGGCTTTGCTGACTCCTCGACGTGCGTTGTTGAGCGCCCGGGTAGTATGCAGAGGAATACGAAAGAGGTCCCGCACGCCCGCGGTCCTGCATCTGTGCCTTTCCTTTGTCCTTGCTAGTGGACGAAACCAGTCCGAGCGCATCCTTCGTCATCATGAGCTGCAGCTCCTTCAGCTTCCGCTCAAGGGCCTCTTGCTCCTCCGCCTTCCGGTCTTCCTCCTCTTCTTTCCGCGCCTCCTCTTCATCCTCGCTCTCATCGCTATGCTCGTCGTCTCCAAGCCCGTTCGCGTGATCGCCCGACTCCGCCCCGTATGCCGGTGAGAACGTTGGCGAGAGCGGACGATGAGGGCTGCCACGGCTTCTCCGCATACCCTGCAGCGTGAGAGTGGATGACGACGAAACCTTCTTGGTCGGCCGTGTGGGCGTTGTCAGTGCACCAGACATACGGGAACTCGTCTCCATAGCGTGAGATACGGACCGTTGACTTGGCTGGCGTCCCATAGAGCTTAGCCGCGCGCGCTGGCTACCTAGCGAGCTGAGACGGGCACGGACACCGAGTGGCCGCGTTGGCGTGGCGGTACCTAACATGCGTCGGGAGGCCACTTCGGGGATACGTGGAAAGTACTCATTCGTCACTGTGGGGTGACCGGGCGGCGGGTTTCCCACAAGGTGTTGAGCAGAGGGGAAGACGACACCGGATGCCGTGGAGCTACGGACGCCTTGAAGGCGGAGGCCACGGAGGCCTTCTTCGTAGCGTATCTCAGCGCGGTACAGAAGGTAGGGCAACGGAACTTGAAGGTGCGCAGCGAGGCCCTGCCCTTTCGTTGAGGGATGAGTACCCGACAGATGTTGAACTGGTGACGACTCACAATCGGTGCCCGCTCCTTCGATCGCGCGCGATTTAGCAATGACCTCGAGGAGGATCTGCTCCTTCTCGGCGTTCCATTCTACCTGGACTTTCCGGTGCGGAGGTTCAGCGCACGGCGTCCTGCTGAGAAGGTGTGATACGCACTCGAGGAGGGTCAGGAGGCGGGTCCTCGGGTCTGTTGTACGGTAGGCGGACTATCACTCGCACTGGAGGATGCGCTGGTGCCATGTCAGATACTGCGAGTACGAGGTCTGTCGATGACTACAGGCAACGTAGAGCGAGTTCGCAGTGGCAGTGAGCGGTAGAGCACCGGAAATGCAGCAGGTGGTGGATTGAGGTAGACTATTTCAGTTAAGTCATGAGCTATAGCCAGAGCGCTAGCGCTTGATCTATTGATGAAGCAAAGCTTTCTAGCGCGCTAAGCCGTGATCAAAACATCGACTCTGCCGTGACGTCCTGCTCGTTGCCAGCCCCGACCTGGGTCAACTGAGACAGTCTTATGGTGTCGTTTTGCTCAGAGGTCAACCAAGGACGAAGCCCATACGATGTCCTCACGCACTCCCTCCCCCCACTTCGATTCCATCGACGCGCTGATCGACCACCTTCTCGCCGACCCGCAGCGCGAGGCAGTCGCAGCAGAAATAGGCGGTGCGCGCAGCCTCAGGTCCTCGTTCCTCTGTACGGCGCGCCTCACACGCTGCGGCCCCAGCACTCCGCTCAATCTACGGGGATGACGCCGTGAGCCTGTGGCGCCTTCCTGAAAGCAGCGAATATGCCTCAGGCAATGGAACCAGGAATCAAGAAGCCAAGGGGACTATCAGATATGAGGTGGCTACAACGTGAGTTCCGCGCATATGTTCTTGCGATGAGAATCCGAACATTCCGTTTCACCCAGCGTCTCACCACCGTCCGACCCATCCACCGATCATCCTCTCACTCTCCTCGTCTCCGTCCCCACAACCTATCCCGAATCATCCGCTCCGCAATTACAGTTGCTTTCGCGGTACATAGGCTCCTATGGCGTCGACGCAGCGCTTTTCGGAGCCGTCCTGCGCACATACATCTCACGCGATGGCGTGGAGTGGACAGAAGGAGGTGTATGTGTGTTTGACGGTGTGGAATGGGTGCGCGAGCACTGCGTGCAATGGCTGGGCGAGAAAATGACGCAGGCGAAGGTGGACGAGATCACGAGGGAAGATGAGAAAGCTACAACGCCAGAGAGCAAAACGCCCGAAGCGTTAGAATCCGTAGAGAAGAGCCAACAACAAGATTCACGACCGGAGACTGAAGTTCACATGCCCGAAGGAGTTGAAATTGTTGTTGCTGAGCCCATATTGGACAGAAAGAGCGTATTTATCGGTCGTGCTTGTAGCATAACCCACCCATCTCAGGTTAGAATGACTTGCTTTTATCTTTGTGTCCTTGCCAGCATTTCAATGATATATTCATCACATCAACTCGACGTGCAGGTACCGCAAATACTTGCACACCTGGTGGCAGATCGTCGAATCGCCCGTGCTGCTCACCCAATTATAAACGCCTGGCGGTGTAGAGTAGGAGACAATATGCATCAAGGTACAAATGACCACGATCGCGTCCGCGCTAATGCATTGACGATACTTCCGTCCAGACAATGACGACGACGGTGAGACTGCCGCTGGCGGACGTCTTGCCCACCTATTGCAAATTCTGGTAAGTGTACTCTGCACCGCTGGTGGGGTGCATGCTGACTTCCCGACAGGAAGTCGAAAACGTGCTCGTTATTGTCACTCGCTACTATGGCGGCATCCACCTAGGGCCCGACCGTTTCAAGCACATCAATCAGGCTGCGCGAAACGCGCTCGAGCTTGGCGGCTTTCTTGATGCACCTGGTGCAGAAGCGCACAATAGTGGACGAAAGAAGGGAAAAAGTACTCGGACGAAGAAATAGCGCAATTAATGAGACTCGCTTGGATATATTTACTGCAATGCTGTTTGATTTAAAGTGCTCTGCGAGTCGCGATTTTTCCTGCTTGTTGCAACTGCTCGACGATCTGGGTGAGTCCGCAAGTCTTTAGCCTCTCTCAACGACCGTGATCAATCACTACTTGATTATTCGTGTCCTCGAAGCCTCCTTCGCCACTCACGGCAGACACCTACCGTGTGTGACTGCCTTTTTTGCGACAAACCTTTCGCAAATGTAGTTCGCTATCCTGACATTTGGATGTAAGGAAATTCAAAGCAGATTTATGATGATATTTATAGGACGAAGAATGTTGTTGTCTCCGTACGGGAAACAATTGGTTTCACGACCTACTTGAAGTAATTGCACTACTTTAGAATGAGTGAGACTCTTCAATCAAACGTCCTATGATTGAATAAGGAAACACTATCTGTCCCTGTAGTGGAAAATCAAATGTGTCAGATATCAGGAGAACGTAACATTGAGCCGAGCCCACTCATTCACTGCAGATATGGATGTCATGCGTGAGAAGATCCTATCGATGATCGAGTATGGAAGTATTTGGTGTTCCCGCGCTTGTGGGCGCATTCCTCATTGTCGCCGCCACTGGGCGGAAAGCGAAATTGGGCCACGCTCAGTGAGACTTATTCGCATCTGCAACTCCCGTCGCTTGGCACTAGCAAGAAATCCATTTTTGAAGGTTTTTACGTCCTGGTCTTCACTTTATCGACGTTTTAACGGCACATTCAGTCATCGGGGTATGGATGTCCGATTCACTCTCCTGGACTTATCCGCGGCACTTATAGAGGAATGGCAACGCGCCTTCAATCAACACCTTCCGAATGCCGTTCCCGACAGAATAACACTCGTTCAGGCGATGTTGGCTGATCTAAAGCCTCCTTTGTCTCAATTCGACTGCATCGTTTCGCCTGCTAATTCGTACGGTCGTCTGGATGGAGGGTGAGAGCACATTTATGTGAAGTGAGTGGCATAAAAATATTCTGACGTGCCAACAGTTTCGATTACTTCTTATCGGAAGCCATCGCGCCTGCGGACGACTTGCTGGCGCCGACCCGGCTTGTCCAGGCCACGCTGTATCGCCGTTGGCGAGGATATGCTCCTCCAGGTACCTGCACCCTTGTCTCCTTGTCTGGCTCGACTTGCGAAAACAACAGCCATGCTTGTGCTTACATCGCCATATGCCCGACCATGCGCATCCCGGAAGTCGTGCTCTGGAATAGAGAAGTTGTTTACAATTGTGTTTGGTCGCTGTTGGTTGCGGTTGACGAACACAACCGCTCCGTGAAAGCAACGGGAGCTGGGACCGAAATTAGAAGGGTTCTGATGACGGGACTGGCAACAGGAGTCGGATGTGTCTCAGCCGAGAGGTGTGCGCAGCAAATGGCGTTGGCGATGAAGCATTTCGAAGATGCTTCTCTCAACGCGGATAAATGGAGCGCGTTGGGATGGGACGATGCCATCCGCTACACAGAGGAATCGCGCGCCACACACAGATTTTAGACCTCGGGTACGCCGAAAGCAGTTCATATTACAGGAGGATTATTGCTAACACAAGTTCTCATTACATGTTAGCCAGTTTCCGAATGTGAACCGTGCTTGTGTGAACCATCTGATCCTTAGGTGGTACACACTGTATGAGAATGATTAATCACCATGATTCCGAGGTTTTCGTTTGGGAGAGTGACTGTTTCTTAGTTATCAATTGACCTCTTATACTTGTTCTTGTCTTCTCTTCCTTTGGTGATGACTCATGTGATGAGTTCCTAGGTGGTCAGCCCCAACATTTAAGGTACGTATAGTATTATGTGCTGTTATATGCTTGTATCTGCGTTCAAACCGCTCAACCTGTGTCCGGTCGTTTCCTTGCGGCTCCAGGTGCTCTCCTTTCAGCTGATATGACATTTTATACTCACCGTGTCGTCGCTTTTTTAGTGTTCTTCAGCGTAAGTCGATTGACCGGCAGATACGAGGCGCGCTACATAAGCATGGCAATACGATGATCTAGGGGAACATCACTACACCACCGCTAGTGTTCCTTCCGATTTGACTCTAAGAGCGAATGACTAACGCCGCCTCGTGAGAGCTGCCGTCATTTTGACTCGAACAAAGCTGCTACTGTAATGAGTACAAGTAGTCAACATCCCTTCTATTATCGCAGCCGAGGGCATCACACACCCAGACATGGAACCATTTTTTTACAGTTACATATGCAGGCTATATCTGGTTTGGTATTTTCTCTTTACAACATGTATTTGCATATGTTGCATTTGGCATAGTATATTCCAAGTTTGGCACTTGACTTGCTATAGTGACAAATTGGCATCATATATTTTATCCACATCTCTGGCAGAAATTTGAAATAATGTGCATGAGGTAATGCAGCATAGCATATTCATTACAAAGCAGTCTCTTGCCCCTCAGATAACAGCATATAGATACACATTCGGAGGAGGGCCACATTCTGTGGCCAATATTTACAATTTGTACATGAAACATGGATATAATATGTAATGTTACTTTGCCACCATTGCAATTTGAATGCTAAATTTGCAATATACAATGCTGCATGCAACGGAAACAAATTTGTTCTCTAAAGCCAAAATACCAAACCAGATTTAGCATGCATATTGTACTGTGAAAAAGGGCTCCATGTCTGCGGTGACAAGTCCGCCGCACGCAGCATATCCATAGATGACTAATATCCGAGGATCGGGAAAAGTGTCGCAGCCTCAGGGAACCTGACTAATCAATGTCATTGATCTCAAAGGCTTATTCTAGGAGTGCTCACGAGGACTCTGGAGAAGAAATGGCATCAGAAGGCTTCGAAAGCACGACGATCACCTGGTCAGTACATCCGCAGGCTGTCTCTGATGTTCGGGCACGGGCATTATGGCCGTGTATTCTGAGAGCGGCTGACTGTGCTCGGAAGTGGACTTTCTCGGAGCTATATAACCTGTCTCAGTATTAGCGCATCAAGGAACCATTCGTTCTTGAGCGATATTATTTGCTAATGGCTACCGCAGCAACACTCGCGCCTCACGACGTACCTACCACTCTCAATTACTATGTGCCTGCGGGGGATGATGAGCCACCGTTTACATACGTTGAAAAGGCTCCGGAGGGAAGGCCGCAGACCAACACCGGCCTCGAGCCGCATCCCGTTGTCGTCCAAGATGCGCGGGGCAGAGAGTCGGAGTTCTCGATTGACACAACTGGCTTCCACTTTGTCAAGCATGTCAGTGCGGAAAAAGACTTCGACGACGAGGAAAGGATCAAGACGGTGTACTACAAGGAGGTTGAGGAGCTGCTGAAGCGGGAAGTTGGTGCCAAGCGGGTCTACATCTTCGATCATACCATTAGGTTAGTTCGTTTGATCTCAAAATAGCGATATCTCAGTACTCACTTTCATTTCAGACGCAGACAGCAGGATGATCGTGTCAATGAGCCCTCGGCGCGTGGTCCGGTGGTGAGTTGCTTGTCTACAGTGCACATATCGTTGCGATGAGCTCATCCTTCGCGAAACAACCTCAGGAACGTGTTCACATCGACCAGACCTTCGATGCGTCCGTGAAACGTGTGCATTATCACCTCGGAGATGAAGCCGACCGTCTTCTGAAGGGACGCGTTCGCATCATCAACGTCTGGCGGCCGATCCACCACACTGTAGCGCACAAGCCCCTCGCCGTCTCCGACTGGCGTCACCTCGATACGGAGCGCGATTTGGTTTCTGTGCGATTGATTTATCCCCACCGCGAGGGCGGCGTCTTCAGCGTGCGCTACAACCCGAACCACCGCTGGTACTACCTGTCGAACCAGACACCGGAAGAGGTGACGCTGATCAAGTGCTACGACTCGGAGGTGGACAAGGCGAGGCTGACACCGCACTCTGCGTTTGCGGATGCGACGAGTCCGCCGGAGGCTCCGCATAGGGAGTCCATTGAGGTTAGATGCTTGGTGTTCGATAACGAATGAGCTGGCAAGGTGTTCGCTAGACTCTTGTATTGATGTGCCAATCTGGTGGAAGTTCGTCTTGTGTCTTCGAGCGATGAGCAGCCGAGCGGATCGTATCAGAATGTAATAACCGCATAAGTAAATACTGTTGCACATAGTAATAGCATCTGAATGCTGGAAAGCGCGATTCCTGGTGTCAATGCATCAAAAAAAAAGTAGATACGCAAACAATCCGGTAGAACATACGCGTACAATCTCCAGCAATCCAGTAATCACACATCATGATGCTCCAACTGCCTCGAATTATTCTCGGATGTACCATGGCTGAAACCATTTGCTCACCGGAAATGCCGGAGTTTCTTCAGAATATCGGCAGTTCATACAGAAGTGACATTAGACACGCACCTCGCGCACGTCTGAGATCTGATGGGTCTCGCAGAGGATTCGCAGCGCATTCGATCGCTGTATCCGCTTTTTCGGGTAACGACATTATAACCTCCGGTAAAGCACAGCAATTGAGACGGGCGAGGTGGAAATTCGTTTTGGCTCATAAGAATCACGTGAGCAACGCGCTTGTGGCACTGACACTAGCGCCCACACTGCGACAGCCACCGCCACTCGGTATGCGTCTCCCTCAACAAGATAAAGTCAAATATGAATGCAGCAAATATTCCGCAGGTACAAAGTCTTTGTTGAACATGATCGGACTATACTCAAGTTGAAAGCTATTTTCTCGCGGCTTGCTTATTTCCATAGTATCTTGCTGACTTCCGATCTTGACACAAGAGAACTGCGAAAGAATTGGCGACAACACGAACATCATTGGAGAAATACCTTTGCATCTGATTAACACCGGTGACAATCAAGCTACTTAGAAACCGCCACAGCCACAGCCATTGAATCCATAGACTGACAGACGTTCTTGAGCATGTTCTACACAATACAATTGCATCCGCATGAAGACCTCCTCCCAGACCGGCACATGACCCGTCCATACACATTGCCAATGCCAAGGACCGTTAGCCCCTCACAGCCTCGCTTTCTCCGGAGCCTCTTCCTCCACAACCAGGTTAGAGAGCGTGCCAATGCCGCCGCCGACATAGGTGCTCATGTAGTCTCCGCCCTTGAGGTACAATGGGGGCTTCTTGACGAAACCGACACCCTTTGGCGTGCCCGTGAGGATGAGCGAACCGGGGAGGAGGGTGGTGCCCTGCGAGAGGTACGCAATGGTCTGGCGCACGGTAAAGATTTGATTGCTATAGTGTAAAGATAAATGGCAGTCAATGCTACTGAATGCACGAGTAGGTAAAGGGATTCACGCACGCGGTGGAGCCGTCCTGCAGGACCTGACCATTCACAACGGTCTTGAGTGGGAGGTGCTGAGGGTCGGAGATCGCGCTTGCCGCGACAATGCATGGCCCGAGAGGGTTCGTGTCGTCTACCGGCCGGTTCATCAAACGACAATTGATTTGCCACCGAGAACTACGTACCAAAACTCTTCGAGAAGCCCCATTGACCGCCACCAGCAGACATCTGCAACTTACGGAATGATACCTGCACAGAAAGACGCGTGTCAGCAGACGACATTTTCGAAAATGCGTGAGACAGACTAACATCGTTTGCACCGGTGTAGCCGAGCACGTAGTCGAAAGCATCTGCCTCGGAGACGTTCTTCGCTGCCTTGCCGATGACGATCACTAGTTCGACTTCATAGTCGGGGATGTGCTCCTGTACGGGCTGAGCGACTCGCGGGACCGTGACGACTGCGCCGGGGCCAATGATGGATGTCACCGGCTTGTAGAAGAGAACCGGGACACTGTTTAATGTGAGCACTGGCGCATATACACAGTAGAGCAACACATACGAAGGCTTTGCAAGGTTTGCTTCCGCCTGAATGTCATGCATCAGCCAAATTCATATGCGTATTTGAATTCTAGCGCTGACCGCGTGATCGGCATAATTCAGACCCAAGCAGCGCACAACACCTCCAAGCTCGTTGCGAGCGAGCGGCGAGAGGAGCTCCTTGACGGTCAACACGTTCTTCGTGACCTGGGCGCTAGGGTCGATTGCAGAGCCGAGAATTTCGTATGCCTTGATGGTCTTCTTGAGCTGGTAGGCCTGACCCACTGCGTATCCCTCTACTCAGCATCGGTGTATGGCTGCGAGACATGGAGCATACCATCCAGCTTGGGGTCGACCGGTTCACCGAGGTGAACCTGCGCGGTCTCTGCCGCGACAAAGCGGATCAATCGCGTCCATTGCTAACAGGCAGAACGTTGTCAATCACGCCATCGCCATAGATGCTCATTGCAGTGGCGACCTACCGTCCTGATGGGGGCCATAGGGAGTCGTTGAGCAGGAGGTTATGGGCGTGATGGTGGTCGTAGGCCAAAGATGAGAACGTGCGAGTGCGAAGTGTGGGACATGCTCTTTCGTCCGCAAATGCGGCGGAGCTCCGCACGAAGAGGATGCGGCCGTCGTGAGGATCGCGTGCGTCCACGTGCCTCAGACGCTCCCGCGGCCCGATCGTGGCGCTGACGCGGTCAGGGTTCAGTGCGATGGGCAATACCGCCACAGCTCGGGTGCTGGCTCTGCGATCAGCATCGCGCGCATATATGTACTTTTAGCATCATTCCGACAATGGACGCTCGCTTGAGCATGAGGGAGACGCTGCAGGATGCTCTCGACGAGGTGTGTGCTTCGATGTTATTCGATAGAAGACGCGTTTGACTCCGAACCCGACCTGCTGGCGGACAGTTGGTCTCCCCACGGACATCGGCCGTGCGCGTAGGCGAGGTCCTCACGGACTTAGAACGGCTGCTCGCGGAGATTTACATGGGCGATGGGGACCCGGCGTCCGAGCGACGGTGCGCATTCATCGGCCTGCAGGATGCGTTTGAGTGCAACGGTGGGTGCCATGATGTGGCCTCGTGCTGCTGTTGACTTGCTCGCGATCACGCAGTGCCCTCGCGTGTCTTATCGTGGATATCCCTCGTCATACCTCGGCTAGAATACTTGACCAGCAAGCGATCTGATGGTGCGTTTATTATAAGGTGTTCTTCGTAGAACCTTCGCATGTAGCTGATGTGATCAATATCGTGAAGATGACCGGAAGTTTGAAGTGTCCGTACTTTCTTCGCAGCTCGTGCAAGCATTGTCTCTCGTGCAAGGTGTAGCATTAACCCACAAGGCCAGCAAACGGTATCTAGGGCGTAGATATGCACTTCAAGTTAGTTAGATAGGACTCGTCCATCCTGTCGATGGCTGACGATCCTCGGTCGATAGGTTCTCCTAGATCTACTGTATATTGCCCGTCATGTACCACTAGAGTGTACCAGTATATCCTCAAGCCGCTCCGCTTCTCCAAACTCCTCGATAAATCGTTTTCCAATCGTCAGTCCGGCCTCGATACCACTCGCATCTGCCATACTGGACACCCTAATTTGTGTGCTCGTCGATTCTTCGCCTGCTCTCCGCGTGTTCGAAGAGGCGAACGGCGTGCAGGTGGTGGTGAAAATTCTCCGAAGAGCAGAGACACCGCGAGAAGTGAGGTAAGCCGTTGAGTTTTTACTCGCTCTTTACGATGTGGCTCTAATTTATTTTACATTTTCAGGATGAAATGTCTCGAGTTTATATATTTCTATCTATTGGATGAGACAGCCCCGGCCTCCCAATCCGCCAGTGATTCCACCCAGAGAGGCGTCTCGCCACCCTGCGGTGACCAGTCCCACCCGACGCACCAGCGCTCCCTGTCAGACGTCTCCACTGACTCCTCCACCTCTGGGTACTCCATCTTCTCCTCCGCCTTCATCGAGTCTTCGTTCTCCTCCGTCTCCGCGCCCTCCACTCCTTGTTCCCTTACCAAGTGTTTACAACTGTCCGATCCTTACGTTGCTCAGGCCGAGTCAGTCCCGCGGACGCCTACTCGCCTGACTCCGTTCGGCCCTTCCTTGCGGGCCAATGCCAATCATGCTGAACATGCAGACTCGTGGTCGCCGATGATGCTTCACAAGGAGGGCAATCGCACCCCATTCAGCCCGAAGAAGGTTGCCGTGTCCCGTCCAGGAATTACTGCGGCGAAAACTACCTTGACATCGACGCCTACACCAAAGACGCCGCGCAGCACCACAATCATATCGTCCGCGAGCACAAAGACGGGACTTAGGCCGCAGACGCCTCGTGCCTCTCATCATCTGCGTGGCTCATCGTTGTCGGCGCAAATTGAGGCCTCCACGAGGTTCTTCTCGTCAGAGCTCGATGCGCACAGCACACTGCACCTGCACGCCGGAAAGCACCGTCGTGCGCAGAGCAGCTTGGGTGGCGGCTCGCGGACTCCTGACCCGTCCACTCCCAGCCAGTCACGCACGAGCTCGGGAAGCACCGCCTATGATTCGAATATGGTCGGGGTTTGGGCGAGCAAAGGCAGCGGGACGCGCACGATGGAGGAGAAAAAGAAGATTCTGGGATCGATGCTCGGGAACGTCGACGCGCTCGTGGAGGGCGTGCGTAAGGCGGGAATATGGGGTCTCGCGTAGATGCCCACCGCCAAAGCTGCTTGAACGAAGGCGAGTGTTTATGATAATTTATCAATGGCTGTGTATAGTTCTTGCCGAGGGTTTGTGATAAATGTAGCGTAGACCGTATGATACCTCGCTTGCCGTTGTTCTTGTCTCGTTTTCCGTGCGTACATGCCGCGTTTGACTTTTGTATTTTTGCTTTGTCGCTTCGCTTTCAAGCCTTGTTTTTATTGTCTGCTGGTATTTCTCTGATCCCTTATACGGTCAAATACACCTCGGTCGACTCGAGACATCGCGCAAGAACGGGAACGTGCTCGAATCTTGCACAGCAAAGAAAATACCACTTCTTGTTCCAGGAAAGGTATTAAAATTGAATTGAAATACTTCCGCCTTTCCCATCAAGTGAATAATGTCGGGAAAAGGCTTGGAAAAGCCCATCCTTTTCTGGGCATTGATTTGCACCAAACTGCCTTTATTGATGCAGAAAATGATGGGATGTTGCCCCAGGATACTGTAGGAATTGATGCATTGATGACTGATCGCGAATCAGTCGGCCGGGATACCCCGATACTTGTTTCCCCGCATAGGTCATTTCTTGGTTCGTCGACGTCATTTCTGCCGGTCTGCACAACACGATGGGCGACGTCGTGCAAGCAGAACACAGAGTCGGCCGCTGAGGCGTAGGATGGCGTCACGACGCTCACACAAAATTGTGACAAGAAGCAGCGAGGAAGGAGCTCTGGGCGTGACGAGGATGACGACGAAGCGGCTCGAAACGGCTCGAACAGATCGAGTCCCTGGCTGCCTTCGTCTCGTCACGCGCCCGGCCGCTTTCCACAGCCACCGTCGTGGCGCAGAGTGCCTCGAACGCTATAAGAAGCGGCTCCGCTGCGTAGCTCCTTCCATCTTACCTTCAACCGTTTGTATTACCTCACTTACCCACCACACCGCCTTACTCTTTTTCCCTTCACCACAAATCAAAGACATTATGACCCGCACCGAGCGCGCATCCTACCCCCGTGCTATCATCAAGGACCGTTCCGAGGCAAAGAATGCTATGGACAAGCATATTCCCAAGGGTGGCGCGGGCGCGCACAACTGGGGCGATGTCCAGCACGAGCACGAGTATGAAGAGGAAGGCTCGCTAGACGAGGATGCCGAGCGCGAAGAGAGTGGAGGTACGTGTTCGTCTGTACTCGACGCGTCGTGATGTGCTTACCATTCCCCTCAGCTCGGCCTCCGGCAGAGCAGCGTCCTACCCCGGAGCGCAGGACAAGCTCCCTTACAGAAGAGGAGTTGCAGAAAGCAAGAGAGTTCAGAAAGAAGGCTCTGAAGAGTGAGGGTGAGTACCCACGCGCTATTGATCCCTTGCTTCGACGGCAATGCTCATATCTCGGATATTATTCAGGCGTTGACCTTGCTGCTATCGCGCGCACCTCTGCTGCTGTTTCCCTCTCTCCCCCCAACCGGGAAGCCCCCATCACTTCTGACGCTAACGTGAGTTCGCCGCTCGCTTGCTGCAGTCACAGGGGTTCTCAGCTGACTCGCTACTGACTCTTGACAGACTTCTGCTGTGAGCACCGCATAATTTATTAATTGCATCATCCATCTATGGGGCATAGATGATCATATATAGCTGTAACTCGTACGGACGTTGTTGTAAAACAAAGCAGACATAGCAATTGTACTAGTGTCTTTAGGAATACCATCTCCAGTCAGCAATAATTTCGGCTCACTTTGAGTGTCGTGTGACTAGATGTCATTGATGGCATGTCATGGGAATGTATCGGCTGACCCTTGATGCAACAATTGACCCGAAGCTCGAGGTTGGAGCATGGTAGTGAAGGTACTTTAGTACCGTGCTTCCACTCACCTCGAGCACGCTGTCTCGCAGTCCATGGTGATCGTGTGACCCTCAGCAAGCGGCTGTGGATGGGACATCTGCTTCAGCCGAGAAGGTTCTTGCATGTGGGCTACATGTGTGACTCTGCGAAGCAATCTCCCACTGTCTGATCGCTATGATCAGCTTAGGCTGAGCTCAGATTCTCTGTCTTTGTGAGCTGCAAACGCGTCTGTGGCTGAGAGAAAGGAGTACCATCAAAGAAGCTTGGATACTCAAATAGGAAGGTGAGGATCTCTCCTGCTCTCAGGCCTCGCCTGTATCAGCGCTCAACGCTCAACGTTCAACGTTCAACTCGCACGGGAAAGTCTGCTACTGGAAAGTCTCGCAGCAAGGGGAAAAGAAATGAGTGCTGCTGTTTCTACCCAGTTCTCTGAAAATCAAGTTGCGAAGACGACCCGTCGGGTTCCATTCGTCCATGTTGTCGACCCACTGGTGCGCGAGGCGCATGCGCTCCGAGGTGCTCAAGGTGTCGGCAGGCACACCGCTATCTTCATCGACCGGAGCTGCTTATTTTGCTGATATGAGCTTTCAAGCTGTCTGTTGTTCTCAGCCGTGCTAGAAGGCTTCATTAGTGAGGGTTTGTGTCTTTAACTACATTGAAAGCACTTTTACTGAAAGTCTTCAAGGCCAGCTAGACACAGCATAGAATGTGGCGAAGATACCAACAACTGGTATCCGCGGCGTATGTCCGGCCGGAGTGGACGCTGAAGTATTTGGTCACTACCCCGAGGCATGTGTTCGTAGCGGCGATGAGGTGCCTTCACGTGTTTTCCGCCACCGGAGGTCAACTGAAACCACTGCATTGCTCTCGCGCTGTACTTGTAACTTGTAGCAGACCGAGGACTCTATTTGAATCGCGTAATGACGACGGCAGCTGGCGTCGTTGAGATAGCCAAAAATCACATACCGAGTCATGAACAGCATTCGGCTCTATATACAAGGGACAAGCGAACACCGGTCACGCTCTCTTTCCGTAATCCTTCGCATCGATGGACCCTTCTTCCTCCGTGAAGACGCCCGTTTCAGCATACGAACGGTGCCGCTCCGCCCACGCGACAGCATCGCGCCGTCCCTTCGTTACGTCCACGCCTACAGCCACCAAGTATGTCAGTCACCGCGGCAAAACTTCAATTCACGGAGAAGCACGCACTGAACCAGATGACCAGGCTCGCCGCTGTGCACAGCGCGAATAGAAAGGGGAACCCTTTCCAGTTGTTCTGCGTGTTGTTGATGATGGCCTGGATGACGTTGGGCCCGATCATCGACGATGCGCGGTTAGACAGACCGAAGAGGCCGAAGAACTACGTCGTTGCGGCTGAGCCACCTGGCGAAGGGTTTGCACATGATACGAACGTACCATGTTGTCGAAGCCCGGCGGCGCGAGCTCTGCCATCATCGTTTGCGCGAAGGCATAGTAGGGCGCTTGGAACAGGCCGAAGACGACGTTGTACGCCCTGCATGAAGCTTGTTGACATCTCTAACAGGACCATTTCCATCATGAGCTTTGCTTACCAAAACTCCCATTCGTTGTGGAATCTGCAATGATCTATAAGTATCAACGATATTACACTTAGAGGTCAGCCACAAACCCAAGTTTGGTCGTCCAAATGCCAATCATGCCCCACAGCGGGATGAGGATGGTTACGACATTAGTCACAATGAACTGTCGACATTCTATTAGTTACCAGACGAGATAGACTCTGCCGAGATAGATCACCATCCGCTTAGTACTGATTTTCCAGTATTTCTGGATGTACCAGAACCCCAGCGTGCTGTATCGCACGAGCGCATCAGCAATGATTCGCTCAGCATCCCGTGACAAGTGTTACCTGGCCGTGGAGGTGAAGGCCTGTGCCAATCCCAGGTAGGTGTTCTGCAAGAAGGAGAACTGGAACTTGTCATTCTGACATATGGATACGAGGGTGCCAGTCGTATTCAGGCCCTATCAAGAACATGCAACATCAGCACCCACTCTGCGATAGCTGAAGGTCGGATGCACGTACGTCGGATAGCAGGAAGAACGAAAAGAGATAGATGAAGGTATAAGGAAGCTTCTTATACTGCTTGAGAGCAATCCAGATCTACGAGGGGTCAGCACACACCTAGAACAGGACACTGAAGTACGCTTGCCTGCTTCCACCCTATCGTGAGGTAATGTTCGCCCTTCGGAAGTGCAGGCCCTGGACGCGGCTGCTGGAAGATGACTGACGGAGAAGACGCAAAGTATGAATAACGATAGTCCAGTAACTGGCCATCCGACTCACACCACCAGATGCCCAGCAAAACCCAGTATGCGTTCGTCCTATGGGTATGGTCAGTTCCCGCATAAATGAAGAAGGATGCAAGCCTACTAACAGGCAGATGGTGTAATTGTCCACCAATGGGTTACTTGCAAGAGGGAGGAGTATGGATAGATTGAGACATAGCACGAATATGTACCCCAGGTTGCTGTGCACCTAGATCATCTCAGCACATCGGTATGTTGCGTCTTTCGCAACACCTTATTACACCCACTGTGCTGATGTTACTTATCCTGTTCTTCTCCAGACTCTCCTCCAGCTCGTATTCTTCAGCGGGGATCTCACCACTGTCATACTTCTCTCTCAAAGAACGGGCATGCGGAGTGTTGCGGGCTAGCCGAGGAAAAACAGCAGCATAAAATACCAGCGTGGCGCCGTACGTGACGAAGCCCACGATGTACAGCCCCATGGCTGCGACCCAACGTGAAGGAGCTGGTGTACACGCATTAAGATCAGAAGCCACAGATCAGGTCGAGGTACGCCGTACACGTCAAGGCCATGCTGGCAAACTGCGCTCCCCAGCAAATGAGTGTGATGACAAACAGCAGCCATCGCCCAAAGGTGCCGTAATCAGCGGCGGACCCGATCGTCGTGAAGATCACTGTCATGATCTGTGCAAATATCACACCGGTGATGAATGTTAATGTGTGCCTGCATGCTAAGACACCGGTGACGTACAGCGAAGCTCACTCCGTTCGCGATCAGGACAATTGAACTGACGGACTTGGTTCCGCTGCCCCATGGCAGCACGCACTGCTCGGACGAGCTGCACGTTGAGCCTGGGCCCTGCGCAGGGTCCCAGCCTGCTGAGGTTGCAAAGGACTGGAACAATGTCAATGAGTACCCTGGAACGCGGATCAAACATCATCGTCAATCGCTGTACAGCGTACGACCGAGATGAGTGACAGACCGTTTGGCCCTACGCCCTACGCGAACACATGCGGATCAGTACAACACGCGGGCGCGACGTATATAAAACACGCTGCGGACGCACGTTGTCACCATTGCTGTACACTGACATACCGCGCACATTCAGTCATGGTTCGCAGACACAGCAGATCAGCATGAGAACATACGATAATAGCTCCAAAGTTCCTGCACGATACATTGATGAGACCTCAACACGCACGTCCTCCGTGTCGCACTAGACGCACCTTCCTCGTTACCAACGGCTCCTCGCGTCTGATTGGAGCGACCACAGCCACTTCCACTTCTGCCTCTGGGAGCTTGCTGATCCCTGCTACAGCAACCTCTTCGGTGGGAGTCGTAAACTCGCCTTCTACGTCAGTCATTATGTTCTGAGTGCGCACAGCAGACAAACAACGGAGGCATCGAGAGCGGGCAGGAAGCACCGGGGTGTGTTTGCTGATTGCGCGGCGCTCATATGTAGTGGAATGGAATTCCCATGCGTGCACTTATCAAGAAGCGCGAGACGTTCTGGGTATGGTTGAGAAGATAAAGGGGCGCTCGCCATGCGCACGCTGCATCAGGTAGGCGGAGTACTGATGCAGTCTACCCGCGGCGTAGAACACGAGATACCGGGACATGTATAGGTAGCGAGTAGCCCGGAAGGTTGAGGATGATTTGATCTGTCCTTGATGCATTGATGCCTCAGATATGAGACACGGCAGCTAGATAACAAAGTTGTTCAGGCAGAGAAGTAGAGTGCAGCACAAAGAATGGATTCGAGATATTCGTCTCCAGGTCTCCCATGGCTGGGAGATCAATTATGGCCGCTTCGTGGTCAAGCCGTGGTCGACGTTTTTTCTGCGACAATCTGTGACAGAGCGCGTTGTTCCCACGGGTGTGCTTGCCTGCGTGCAAGCTCGGCAGCTCCTCTCTTCATCTTTCCTTTCACATGTTCTTCGCCACTGGATGTTAACTGAAATCATTGCAATTTCGGTTGTGCTGTATTTGTGACTTGTAGCAGACTGAAGGCCGGACATTTATCATTTCACGATGACGAGTCACGACGGACGACGGCCCAAGTGGCATTGAGATAATCAAAAAATCACATACCAAGTCATGAACAACATTCGACCGTATACATACGGAAGAGACAAGTAAAGCGAACGCCGGTCACGCTCTCTTTCCGTAATCCTTCGCGTCAACGGACCCTTCCTCCTCCACGAAGATGCCCGTCTCAGCGTACGAACGGTGCCTCTCCGCCCACGCGACAGCATCGCGCCGTCCCTTCGTTACATCTACGCCTACAGCCGCCAAGCATGTCAGTCACCGCAGCAAAACTTCTACCCAGGGAGAAGCACACACCGAACCATATAAACAGGCTCGCTGCGATGCACAGCGCGAATAGAAAGGGGAACCCTTTCCAGTTGTTCTGTGTATTGTTGATGATTGTCTGAACGACGTTGGGCCCGATCATCGACGAAGCGCGGTTAGACAGACCGAAGAGGCCGAAGAACTACGTCGTTGCGGCTTAGCCACCTGGCGAAGGGTTTGCAACATGATACGAACGTACCATGTTGTCGAAGCCCGGCGGCGCGAGCTCGGCCATCATCGTTTGGGAGAAGGCGTAATAGGGCGCTTGGAACGAGCCGGAGACGACGTTGTACGCCCTGCATGAAGCATGTTCACATCTCTAACAAGACCGTTTTCATCACGGGTCTGCTTACCAATACTCCCATTCGTTGTGGAATCTGCAATGATCTATAAGTATCAACAATATCACACTCAGAGATCAGCCACAAACCCAAATTTGGTCGTCCAGATACCGCACATGCCCCACAGCGGGATGAGGATGGTTACGACATTGGTCACAACGAACTGTCGACAGTATATTAGCTCCCAGAGGAGATACAGCCTGCAGAAGTGGACTACCATCCGTTTAGTACTGATTTTCCAGTACCTCTGAATGTACCAGAACCCCAGCGTGCTGTATTGCACGAGCACATCAGCAAAGATTTGCTTAGCATCCCGTGACAAGTGTTACCTGGCCGTGGAGGTGAAAGCCTGTGCCAAGCCGAGGTAGGTGTTCTGTAGGAAGGAGAACTGGAACTCGTCATTCTGACATATAAGTACCCGTGTGCCAGTCGTGTTCATGCCCTGTCAGGATACGCAACGTCAGCACCCACTTTGCCATAAAGTGAAAGTCAGATGCACGTACGTCGGACAGCAGGAAGAACGAGAAGAGGTAGATGAAGGTGTAAGGAAGCTTCTTGTACTGCTTGAGAGCAATCCAGATCTACGAGGGGTCAGCACACACCTAGAACAGGACACTGAAGTACGCTTGCCTGCTTCCACCCTATCGTGAGGTAGTGTTCACCCTTCGGAAGTGCGGGTCCTGGACGTGGCTGCTGGAAGATGACTGACGGAGAAGATGCAAGCATGAACAACAGTAGTCCAGTAATTGACCATCTGACTCACACCACCAGATGCCCAGCAAAACCCAGTATGCATTCGTCCTGTGGGTAGGTTCACTCTCAGTACAAGCCAAGGCTGATGGAAGCCTACTGACAGGCAGATGGTGTAATTGTCCACCGACGGCTTACTTGCAAGAGGGAGGAGTATAGATAGATTGACACATGGCACGAATATATATCCCAGGTTGCTGTGCATCTAGATCATCTCAGCGCATCAGTATGTTGCGTCTCTTACAATACCTCGTGACACCCACCGTGCTGATGTTACTTATCCTGTTCTTCTCCAGACTTTCCTCCAGCTCGTACTCTTCAACATGAATCTCACCATTGTCGTACTTCTCTCTCAAAGTGCGCGCATGCGGAGTGTTGCGGGCTAGCCGAGGAAAAACAGCAGCATAAAATACCAGCGTGGCACCGTACGTGACGAAGCCCATGATGTACAGCCCCATGGCTGCGCCCCAGCGTGAAGGAGCTGATGTGCACGCATGAGATCAGAAGCCACAGATGGATTAGAGGCATGCCGTACACGTCAAAGCCACGCTGGCGAACTGCGCTCCCCAGCAAATGATTGTGACGGCGAACAGCAGCCATCGCCCAAAGGTGCCGTAGTCCGCGGCGGACCCGATCGTCGTGAAGATCGCCGTCATGATCTGCGCAATATATCGTATCAGTAATGCATGCTAATGTGTGCCTGCGTACTAAGATACCGGTGACGTACAGCGAAGCTCACTCCGTTCGCGATCAGGACAATTGAACTGACGGACTTGGTTCCGCTGCCCCATGGCAGCACACACTGCTCGGACGAGCTGCACGTTGAGCCTGGGCCCTGCGCAGGGTCCCAGCCTGCTGAAATTGCCAAGGACTGGAACAATGTCATGGAGTACCCTAGCACGGGGATCAAATGTCATCATCAATCGATATACGGCGTACGACTGAGATGAGTGACAGACCAAGTGGTCCTACGCCCTACACGAACACATGCGGATCAGTACAACACGCGGGCACGGTGTATCATGAAGCACGCTGCGGACGCACGTTGTTACCGTTGTAGTACACTGACATACCGCGAGCACATTCAGCCGCGGCTCGCAGACAGCAGATCGGCATAGAACATACGGTAATAGCTCCAAAGTTCCTGCACAATACATTGATGAGACCTCAACACGCACGTCCTCCGTGTCGCACTAGACGCACCTTCCTCGTTACCAACGGCTCCTCGCGTCTGATTGGAGCGGCCACAGCCACTTCCACTTCTGCCTCTGGGAGCTTGCTGATCCCTGCTACAGCAACATCTTCGGCAGGGATCGTAAACTCGCCTTCTGCGTCAGTCATTATGCTCTGAGTGCGCGCAGCAGAGAAACAACTTAAGCGTCGAGAACGAGCAGGAAGCAGTGGGGCGTGTCTGCTGATTGCGGGGCGCTCATAGTATGTAGCGGAATGTAATTCCCATGCGTGCACTTATCAAGAAGCTCGAGATGTTCTGGGTATGGTTGAAAAGATAAGAGGCGTTAGGCAGTGCACGCTGCATCAGGTAGGTGGAATACTGATGCAATCTACCCGCGGCGTAGAACACGAGATACGGGGACATGTAACCAGTAGCCCGGAAGGTTGAGGATGACTTGATCTGTTTGATGCGTCAGATGTGAGATACGGCGACAAGATGACAGAGTTGTTCAAACAATAGAGTGCAACCCAAAGAATGAATCCGATATTCTCGATGACCGTGGCTGGGACTGGGAGAATAAATCCCTGTGACAATGTGTGACATCGCGCGTTGTTCCCACGGGCGTGCTTGGGCGTGTCTCCTGCGTGCAGGGCGGACAGGAGCTGAGACCTGCATACATAACTCAATCTCAGCAGCTCCTCTCTTCACCTTTCCTTCCATCTCTGTCGCCTCCAGACTCCGTTGCGAAGATGGTATTCCGGTTGTTTAGCAGAAAGTCTCTCACAGCGCACGAATCACTGGCAGGCCTGGCGTCTGAAGCTCCTACACCCTCAACGGTCGCGAAGACACCATCAAAGCCCACGGTGCCTGCACAGACTCAATTGCGAACGCCGTCACCGTCCGTTGAGTCTGCTTCTGTTGCGAGGGTGGGGTCGCCTGCTTCCAGCATGGCGCGTCTATCTGTGAAGGAAGGTGCAGCGCTGCCTTCACCCGCCCATCCATCTCTATCCGCTTCCGATACCGCGATCCCTCCTGTTCCTGCATTCACCGCTCTGGAACCTACCGTCGCATCACTCACCTCTCACATCGCCTCCATCCCCGCAAAGACACTGCACTCCTACCTCCTGTCTCACCTCCGGGACGCCCCCGAACCCATCCTCGCTGCGTTTGCGACGTTCTTCGCTGAGCTCGTTCCACCCCCGCGGCTTCATTGCGTGCGCTGTCACAAGGACTATGTGGAGGTCGAGAACGATGATCGGAGCTGTCTGGTGCCGCATGACGACGAGAGTGCCGAGGTCGAGCGCGTCGGGAGGACCGCGAGAAGCGGCAGGCTCTCGATCGATCCTGGGACGACATACGAGACGCTGTGGGGATGCTGCGGTAAACTCACCGAGGGAGACGGGGACCAGGGCCCGCCCGATGGCTGGTGCTATGAGGGCAAGCATACGGTGTGTACTCTAATCTCTCCTCATATCTCTTCATGACATCCTGACCGTCTCCTGCAGACTGACATAAAGCGCGCCCGTTTCCGGGCCGACTCGACTCCCCAAGACGACAAGCTCACCTCGTGCATCCGGCTCAACTGCCACGGCGTCCGCGACCAGCTCCCGCGCACGAACCTACGCAAGCGGAAGCGCAGCGTAAACCTCCGGGAGCCCGCTAGTGACGAAGCGGCGAGCGAGGGCGAGCCGGACAGCGGGATGGAGGAGATCGCGGGCCGCGCGAAGAGCAAAGGAAAGGTGGCGGGCAAGGGCAAGGGCAAGGCGAAGGCGAAGGCCGCTGCTGCAGACGATGAGCATATGGACGTGGACCAACGTGAGCACGAGGACGCGGAGAACGTCAGCATCAGCGCACGCGGACGCACCCCTGCTGCTCGCAGGCAGTCCAGGGCCTCCGTCGCACCCGCCTCTCAAGCCAACGCCGGAGCCGCTGCTCCCAAGCGCAGGGGCCGCCCGCCGAAGCCCAAGCCGGCGCAGCCTGTGGAGACGACGGACGCAGACGCGGATGTGTCCAGTGCGTCGGCGCAAGTGAAGCGGCCCGGGCGGAAGCCGAAGAGCAAGATGTATGTGGAGGAGTCGGACGAGGCGCAGGATGCGGACATGGATGGGGAGCAAGGTCCGAGGACGCGTTCGCAGAGCCGGACGCGTCAGGCTAGTGTGCAGACGGGAAGGCCGAAGTCGGCCGTGAAGAAGGGGAAGGAGAAGGAGGTAGAGAAGGACGGCGAGAGTGATAATGAGGTGCCGAAGAAGAAGAAGAGGCTCTCTACGTAAAGACCAGCGCTACGCTGCTATGCTCAAGACATCGAAAATGATGTCTGGTCCCTTTGGTTGATCTCCATCTGGACAAACTACCATCATGTTGACTCACGGCCGTTGTTTATACCCCGAGTGAACTTTCTGCTCTATGAGTGAGTCTATCTATGATAGTTTGCTCGTGCATTGCTCATCAATTAGTCTCAACTCTAGTCAGATATCTATCTCTTTCTACTGGACGAGATTGTTGTATGTGACCATTAACGATATGAGAGCTACTCGTTCTCGAGCTGATAATCTTCTGATGATGATATCGATGACGTCCACTGTACGTCTAATCTCGTAGCTTGAGGCTACTTCTTATATGACTCTACCTACGAATATGTACATCTTCTCAGCGCTCCAGCATATGCATCTGCGAGTCTTACTTTATGAACTGCTACGATGATCTCGCGAACTCGAATGGTCTTTTACGTCCTCCGTCTTCTCTTCTGATTCATCGAATTTTCCGATTTGCAATGATAATGATAATGAAGCCGCTGCGCGTGCACAGGACACGAGGGACATCCCGAAGTTGACTCAGGCTTCAGGGTCGTACCTTTTATATACAGGAAGGCCGTTCAAGTTGAACCGGTTTCCCTTTTCTCAACGTCCCTTCTCCCACGCGCACTCTCATGTCGACCCCCCTCGACATTACGGTAGTCAACAGCGTGCATCCTGCGCCTAGCGGCAATGGTGCGCCCGTGAATGGCAATCCGCTCGATGCAGCCACCGACGCGCCGCCGCCGCACTGGTTCACCTTTCCGCCGTTTCCCGCTCCCCCTCCGGGTGTGACAGTCACGCCGTTCAAGACGTTCAAGCCGTCGGGCATCGTGGTCGTGCAGAATCCGCCGCCAGACTACATCGAGCGCGATGGGCTGGGCATCCCGACCGTGCCGTTGCGCGTGAAGCACAGCCTTACGGAAGGCGAGCAGCGCAAGAAGAAACGGAACAAGACGGTCACGCGTCCGGATGGCACGGTGCGACGCGCGACGTGGTGGGAGGAGTGGGAGACGGGCGAGGACGCGAGGAAGATGACGGCGCTGGTTAACCCGTATGTGCTGCGTCCTGTCCTCGGGGGAATGCAGACTGATCAGACGCGTCGCAGCTCGGATTCACGCGTCGATCGCCTGCATCAGGCGTCGCAGGACTTCAAATCGTGCCGTCCATGGCCTGCACTTCCCTCGGTAGTCCCGCAGCTCTGGGATGCGGTAAGCGCATCGAGTCTCACCAGCGCGTCTATTCATAACCTGATTGTCCACAGTTTCGTCTGTATGTCGGGATCATCAGCAGCGTCAATCCACCCGTTTCGCGTAAAACTCTACAGACGATGCAGGCGCAGAATGTTTCGGACGACGATGACGACGACGACGAAGATGCAGATGATCCCAAGGTGAAGGAGTCGCAAGCGGCCGTAACAGATGAAGAGAAGGAGCGTGCACATGAGCTTGGAGACAATTTTCTCGAGGCGAAGGATCTGCATATGGACAACTTCTTGAACGACACGGAGAAGAACATCAAGATATTCTTCTCGTCTCACTTCCGCGACAAAGGCCTTATATGGTACGTGACTATATGCATAACCAGCCTTTCCCCACTTATCACCGGCGAGCAGGTCTGAGCAGCGCGTACGCGAGGGACCCATCCTCATCGGCTTCTTCCTCGGGTTCCTCCTTCGAAACCGTGTTTTTCCGGAACCTGAGCAGGAGAAAGGCCTCCGACGCGCTCTACAGGTCATACAACTCGCTCGTAAGGAGCTTCCGGCCACGTTCATTATCGGCAAAGCCTTGCCCGACAGTCTCGGCGTGGGCTGCGAGAAACTCTTCGGAAGTATGGCGGAGATCGCGTGCATCAACATTGACTTCGGGGACAATACTCAGGCGGACGTCACTGAAGATCAAGAGGATGAAGGCGAGCCCGAGACCAAGAGACGCAAAGTCGAGGAGAAGGAGGAAGATCGTGCATTGAAGGAGGCCATCGGCGAGGTAGACGCAGAAGTCATCACTCCCGAAGTCATCGAGAGCCTCGGAAAGGCCGTGCAGCAAGAACGCGAGGCAGCCGATGCCGACAGCGATGGAACGGGCGCCTTAGCCTGGGGCAACGCCTCCGCCGACAGCGGCTGGGGCACGGGAGGATGGGGTGCTGGGAACGCGAGCTCAGAGCCTCCCGACCCCTGGGCTCAGCCGGGTAGCACCTGGGAGATCATCATCGAGCCGAACCCGATTATGGCCTTCCTTGGCCCGACGATCTTTCCACTGACGCATACAACGGGCGTAGCAGAGCGCTCCACGCGGCGCATCCTATCACTCATCCCTGTACAGGCCGCATCTCCCGCTCCTGGCAAGGCAGCAAGGAAGAAGGCCAAACAGCGTGCGGGAGGCATGTCGGACGCGGAGAAGGTGGAGGAGGAGTTGTGCGCGCGATTGGTGAGGGCGACGCTCGCGCCGTGGGGCGACTGGGAGCGGCACACGGGGTCGGACATTATGCGGCCTAGCGTGTTGTCACGATCGCGCGGCCCATTCATCACGGAGGCGGACCAGAGCGAGGACAAGATGGACAGCGAGAATGGTGCCAAGCCTCACGACCCGTTCAAGGACGAGATCACAGTATTGTTCGAGCCGGCGGTGGCGGAGAAGCTCATCATCGGCATGGGCCTTGCCGGGACGTGGGTGCAGCTCGCTCGTCAAGACCTCAGCGCTGGATCCTGGACGGACAAAAATGCTGCGGGGAAGCAGCAAAGAGACGAGAAGGGTGAGTTTGGGGTGCCCACCAAATTGTGGTACATGGAGCACCTGGCCTCCATCATACCGAGCTACCATACCGAGCCATGATTTTGTTACGTTGTTCAGCTGATGTGAACCGTCTCTGCTGCTTATGACGCCTCGCGCCGTCGTGCTCTGTTTCTGATCATCAAAATGTACCAATACTGCTGTATATCGACAATGTGCTGTATCGTGCCTTCCCAATCAAAATCTGACCGTTTGAAATGTCGTGACGGTCTAACGGATGCTTACCAGCGTCCATGTTCGGCGCCCGGCTGAACGGAGACTACATTATTACACTTTCTTCTTCCCCTAACGCCAGCCAGAGCATGGTGTACGAATGAAACAAGTCAAATGTTCAATCAACGCTAGTTATCTCAAAGATGCGCGCGAATTCGTAGAAGCCGTGAAGCAGTGCAACGATTGTTTCGTGAACTTCATCGTCAGCACCGATCTGCCCGACAATTTGGCCGAAACGCAAACGGATCCCAATCCATAGAAAGCTGCTATGCGTGAATAGAGGAGACGGATTCCTGTAAAAGGTCCTCATTTCTCGTCAAACGGGCGATGGACACATGAAATTACCTTACTTTGAGTCTCATCAGATCCGCGGACAATGCAATTTCACGATGGACGATTGCAACCCATTGCTGTGTAGATTTTTCGGTTGTGCACTTTCTCATGCCTTCCCGCCCATCATTATCGATCCCGCTCTCATAGACAGAGTGATCAGTGGGAGAGAAGCAGCGACGGCGTTCATCTCAGCGCGGATAGCTCACATGAAGAGAGCCACCTGAAGAAATCGAAACCGCACATAGATTTCGCACCCGTGCTTCGGAAGGAGTAAGTCATCAGCAGAGCTCATGCATCGTCGACTAACTCCGGCGAAACCGGAAGACGTCACCGAACTGATTACCCTGCACTCCGAATTTACCAGCCAGGGCCCGATCTCGGCGATGACAGCTGGAGTGCGAGGAATCATGACCAATGCAGCAGTCAAGATGAACTGGAAAGGAGTAGTGGGCGCCACTTGATTGAGGATGTAAGCACTAACCATCTCTGGGAGCTACATCGATATTCGTATTCGTTATCTGGCCCGACAATGATTCATCTTATCTACACTGGGATCATGCATTAGATTTTCGCAAGAAAACATGTCGAGGTGTCCAGGCGTCAGTCATTCGTGCTGTGAGCATGCACTCCATGCAGTAAGCGTCCAATAAAAATGGAGGTCACAAAGGCAAGCTGGGCTCAATCTCTCCCAAAAGCATTGTCGCGTCCTTGCTTCCCGTTAGAACTGTGAAGAGAGTGAGGTCAATGTCACAAACAAGAACGCCGTAATCACTTACTGATGGGCTCCTTTGGATGGAAGTCAACCGCGGTTACAGTGCCCTTGTGACCAGGTAGCTAAAGAAACCATGAGGTCTCGGGTCATGCGACGAGAGACAAGGAGACGGACCTTGTACAGCACTTTTCCGCTCTCGACATCCCATATGCAGACTGTGCGATCTGCTCCGCCAACTGCGACGCGCCGACCGTTATCGTCCTTACTCCACGCGCCTCTCAACAAGGTGTTCTCAAAACCGGCGGGCGCACCCATCAGTACGCGGTGAATACGCGCAGGCGACGGCGAGAACGGCCGGACATCGTGGATGACGGTCTGGGAAGAGAACGACGGGGAGAGCAGGAAAGACCCGTTAGGTGACAGAGACAGCGAGGTCGGCGTGTCCGTGTGTCCTGTGAGGCTGTACACCTGCTCATTTTTGCGCAAATCCAGAACCTATGTGAATAGAATTAGCAACACAATGAGGCGACGACGATGCACAGCGCTTACATGGATTTCGTTGTCCAGCGCGCCTGCATAGATGTTCGCGCCATCTGCACTCCAGCACACAGACGTGACTGGACAACCGAGCTCGAACACGCTTATCGGTGTCTTAGGGCCCTCATCTCCACCCTCCCAGACCCTCACCGTCCCATCATCTGCACCCGTCACCACCAACTCGGTGCCTGCTCCACCGGCCATTGTCCTGTCAAGCGAGTTGATAATGCCTCGGTGAGCGCGTAGCTTGCGTATGCGCTGACCAGTAGTGAGGTCTGTCACGTTCAGGGTGTGATCCGCTGAAACAGTATACAGCAAAGGAGAGAAAAGCGACCATTGAAGGTCGAGGATGGGAGCCTTGTGTAGGTTCGCGAGTAGTCCATAGTTGGTGTTCGGCGCATATGTTCGCCAAAGGGCTAGAAAAACATCCATCAAAACTGTTTGCTTATGCACTGAGAAACAGTATGTAGACACACAAACGCTGCGATCTGCAGAGCAAGCCGCAATATTTTGGCCAGTAGGGTCGAACCTACAGCTTAGAATCTCTGCCTGTATGTTCAGGTCAACTACGCTCGGAAATGACACGCCTTCGACGCTCTACACTGTGCATACTAACCCCATGCGATCCGCTGAGACTAACAATGGGAGCTTCAAGACTGCTCGTTCGCTGCACTGTTCGAATTAGTGCCTGCTGTCGTTCGTCATTGGAGGAAGAGATCGCGATTTGGTTCGTCGGTGGAGACGAGGATCGTGTCCTCTTCACTAGAGCTCCGCCTTGAGGTGGTGATGCTGTTCGCTTGGACATAATGTTGAGCAGGGTATATGAGCAGAGGCAAATGTGGCGAGGATATTCAGACGTGAAGTATGTAAATAGCGCCCAGCACTTCGCCTTCCCAATAAGGTGATGGCCACATGAATGTCTCAAATTTGCTATCGACAGACAAAAGTGCGCAGTCCGTGCATAAATCATGGAGTATATACAGATGCCTTGCTAGGGTATCTGGCGGAGATTCGGATGAGGGAATAACACGATTGCGAGGGCATATTCAGAGCATTCATGTGGGTATGCGATAGCATATAAGTTGTCAGTAGATCGAGCATATGGTCATAATGTCAAGAGATTAGTCCATGTGATCGTAAAATTGCTCCCCACCTGTATTCGGTCGTCAGCGGATTTCTATATGAATTATAGATATAACGCACTCGTCTTTCCGCATCTCGGTGTCTTGTAGCCGCCATTTCAACCGTCTGTAGCATTCGTCAGCGATGAATATGTATATCGACAGCCAACACATACGCGTTCTCCGCGAGTAGCTCATTCTTCTCTTCCTTGGCTGCGCGCAGCTGCATGGCTAGTGCAGTCCGAGCTTCATCTTCAGGAAGACCCAGATCATTGAATATGTGATCGAGTTCTTCGTTGAACGCCTGCAGTAACATGAGAATCGCATCGGCTTATACAAACAGAAACACTACCTTGTACATGCGGGACTGCTCTTTGTGAGTGTCATTCAGGAGGCTCTTAAGCACTACGCATTGTCGGTTTGCGCTGCGCAGTTCCTCGCTCATCTGTTCGTACTGCACATATTGCTGTGGTATCAGCAGATTAGCCAAGTCATGTTGGCTGCTTCCAGATCGTGGAAGTCATTCACCTCCTCGAAGCCGGTGGTCAATCCCTGCAGCTCACCTTGAAGAGTCTCCTGTCCCTTCAACGCCTTGTCCAGGCCAGCGTCGACCTGATCAACGAGATCGTCAAGCACACGCGTCGCCTCCTTCAGCCGTGGAGGAGGATCCACTATTCGTGGCGATGGAGGGCTTCCAACGCCAGCAACGCTGCCAGTCCGAGAGCGTTGTGAGCTTTCTAGCAGCGGGTTGATGTTGCGTTTGCCGATTAGCCGCTGCATTTCCTCCATCCGCGCTTGTGCCTCTCTGGTCTGCCATAGCAACGATGAGTAATTCGTGAACTGCCATTACGAAGAGCAATACTATACCAAAGGTTGAGCAGGTGGAGGCCTTGGCATAAGTCTACCTGGGGTCCTCGGCGGCGACGTTGGTCGATCAGCAGGCTCTTCAGTGGTTGGAGTCGCAGGCGTAGCAGGCGTCAATGTCCGCAACTTCTCTGACTCTAGCTTGATACGCTTGACAGCACGGCGAGAAGACTCTATCTAGAGGGTCATGCTCAGCACGGCGTGATAGAACAATACGGATCGACGCACGTCTTCCTTAGTCGTCTCAACTAGTCTAATCATGCGCGCCATGTTCTCCGCAACCAATTCCTTCTCCATCGGTAAGCCGGAAGGCTCTCCGCGAGGTGAACGACTTGGCGAACGCGAGCCTCCTCCGGGCGCACTATGCGTCACGGAGGTGAACGCTCTTTTCCAAGAACCCGATGAGGACGTGCTCGCATTGGTCCGTATCGACGCCTTCTTCCTGATCGCCAGAGGTTCTACACTTCCAGGAGTACGTAGTGTGTCCGTTGAGGGAGGTCTAGGAGTCTCATCCAGACTGCCTGTGCGACTGAACTGCTGCAGTCTACTACGAGGAATAGGTGTCCTTCTTGACAACGCCGTCGTTGAAGGTAGATTCATCAGAGGAGTTCCCATAGCAAGTTCGGATGGAATAGGTTGCACTGATAACACCTGTGCGCCCCTTATGGATGAAAGAGGTGAGATCGCCCGTGGACCCATCGGTCGTAGGTCCACGGAATGTCCAGAATTTGAGCGATCCCTATATGATGGACCTGCGGTCGGATGTGTATCCGGAGGATCCTCATCAGACAGCTCCTCCACAGGAGCAGGCGGCAGCTCCTTAGAAGCCCTTGAATGTGGCCGCATTGAGGTTCGTTCGCCTGTGATCGCGACTGAGTGAGCTTATATAGTCGGAGATAGACAACAAGACATACGACCGTAATCGGTGTCCATCAAAAGAGGAGGGTATTGTTGATCGCGTTGGCTCTCACCGTTGCGTCGAGCCAGTTCCAAGCGTAATGCAAGGTCACGTTCAGATGGATCCAAATTCATTCCACGATGCGCCCGCGGTGCTGCCCCGAATTCCCGTCCGCTGTCATACTCGTCGTCAGCGGCCATTCCGGAGGGTCCTGCCACCGGGAGAGATGCGATGCTGTTCCGCTTGGGTGGCGATCCTTCGCTGTCAGACCCATTCAGCCTTGGTTGTTTCCTCTTGACAAGCCTCCTTCCCCCGCGCGGCAGAGAACGAGATCGCCCGCCATTACTACCAATGGAGCTGTCATCAAGTGAAGTTGCTGCCGTGGTAGTCGAATTGGCACGTGAGAATCGAGAGATATTGTCATCGTTCGCGGATGACGCTTCCGTGTACGTCGACGTCCGACTACCGGCATATGACGTCTTTGACCGTCGATGGCCAACGGCTGACCCCATAAACGACTCGCCCATCACGGATTTTGGTCGATCCGACTTGAATATGTTACGACTGATGGCATCAAGCCCAAAGATATTCGCCCGTGAGCGAGTTGTCGATGGCGTTGGAGGAAGAGACGCACGTCCGGTGCTGAAGTTGAAAAGACCGTACTGATGGACTGCAGGAAGTTAATATGTGATACGAAGAAGAGAAGAAAGACATACTTGTATGCACTACTCGTTCAGGAAGCCGATTAGTCTGCACGATGTCCTCGTCTTCTTCAATGCCAGGATCGCTGGTCGTGACCTTGTATCGGCACAACTCGCCCTCCAGCGGTTGTACCCGCACAGCAACTAACGGGCTGCTACGTATTGCGAGTGGTATTGGATCCGCAGTCCCCGAAGGATCGAGATGAAGGACAACCTTCGGCTAATGGGATAATTTGACGAACGTGAAGATCATATAACTCGAAATGAAAGCGTTCTCACCTTCTTGGCCTCTTCGAGATAACCAATTCTGGTGTACACGTTGAAATACGTGATAGCATTTGTGATCTTGCTCCCTCTATTCTCCACTTCAAAGTCCGAAGAGCGGAGTACAACAGACTGGTTAAGCTTCGTCCGATATCTTGCTTGAACATCCCAGAAGTTCTGCAAAAACCGCGCCTTGTCTTCCTGCAAGGCTACCGTGTCGGCGTTGGGGTTCGCAGGAAGAGTTACTGTAAGAGCACGAAAAGGCCGCCCGGACCAACGGTCACTCTGGTCTCGTGGAGGGCGCTCGAGGAACATGTGTATGTCTATATGAATGAATCAGATGAAAGACTGGAGCTATAGAATGAATCAATATGTGCTCACCTGCGCCACCGACATCAGCTACGGCAACCTCCACAACATCCACCACGCCCTTGTAACTCATGCCAGTTTTCTTCTTGCTTCCAAGCAGGATCCCGCCCGCCTTGGTGGTTTTCTCGGGATCATCTAGTCCAGCAAGCTCCCTGCCACCTTTATCACCACTCGCCGGTCTTTTCGTGATCATGAGTTTGTCGTCAAATAAGAAAAGACTACAGTGAAGATTTCCGCCTGGCTGACTCCCACCGGCACCGCCGGCCGCCACAGCAGATGGTCCAGAATTATCGAGAAGGACATCCTCAACGTCGATACAATCAACGAAGCGACGTGAGTTCGAGAAGAGAGCAGGAGGGAAATCTTCTATACTGGAGTTGAGGCAATATAGGATCTGCGCCCGTTTCGTCTCCTCGTCCGCCTCCGCTGCAGCTATTTGAGCAGCGATCTCATCAGCTTCCATGAGTGCCTGACGTTGAGGATCTCCAATGGCCATCAATTTGATCATGGAGCGGAACATCAAGGTATATCTGGGTATGCGCTGCACGGGCTCCATCAATAGTTCACGCAGTCCTACACGGTTCTTGACATCAGGTCCAGAGTATTTGACACGCTACACACACAATTAAAGTCATGGAGCAAGCGATGAGCGAAGCGAAAAGCTCACTCACGTCAAGGAACTGCGCAAAGGTAGAAGACTTCTTCGCCTCGCGCTCGAAAATCATCTGAGCTTCTTCCCGTTTGGAATAGTATTTCCTGTAGTGCTCAAACCCCTTCAACTCCTTGAAGTGTTTCAATGCCACATCGCCTACTCCAGGGCCGCCCTCCCGACCCATCTTCTCAAGGTCCTCCAGGAACGCTTGATTGACCGGCAGCAGATGATCTATATTGCCGAACAGCGTCTTGGCTTCATACAGTGGAAGAACCGCAGTATCCTTGCTGCGAGCGAAACTTCGTAAAGGGTCGGCATAATCGTCTTTGAGCATCTTGAGTCGATTGACGTATGAGCGTTCAGTGGTTAGCAGTTCCTTGACAATATCCGCAAGACCAGTAAAATCGGTCATTGCAGGCCGGCGAGAGCCCTGTTCCACCGTGTATTCATTGACGACCTCACCACAGAAGGCAGCGAGTGAGAACTCACGGGAGACAAGTCCACAAGTGGTGGAGAATGACATTCCATCGGGTCCGGCTCTGACCCGAGATCCATCCTATCACCAAGTGATTGGATGAGATCGCGCATGTCTACACGTATGTTCAGTCCATGAATCCTCGTCGTTTGGCTCCGCCAGACCTCCACGTGGTACGGCCTGCTCATGTGCGCCTGGCACGCACCTTGAGACAATTCCTCTCCATAGTCGGCTCCTTCGACCACTACACCGCAGAAATAGGCACGTCTCGTGAAACTGAAAGTGTTGGATTTCGTTCGTGGTCGTATAGCATCGTCGCCCAGGGAGAGCGGGACCTTGCGGGGAGAATGAGCCATGTCATAGGAAGTCGTGGATGTATGCCAGCAGAGAAAGAGTGCGGGGTCGGAAAGTGGGTCGACGGATCCAGAGGACGGAACACAACGCAAGCAGATGCAGAGTCGACGAAGTGGACTAGCCGAGGAGCAATGGCCTTGTCGCTCCGTCCACGCGCTCGGTGTCGCACTAGCCGAAACCCAACCACAGGGGATGTTGTTGCTTATTTGGTCCGCCTATCGCGTCGTAGGACGTAGGAATTGTGTCACGTGGACGCGACGATGAGCCGGGTGTCGCTGCCAATTCCTCTGAAACAGAGCGACGAAACAATCCGACGAACCTCTTATGCCTTAATGGTCCATCTGACAGCCGGAACTGGAGGGGCGAGGTTGCGTGCCTGCTGCTGCATTGTCCGATTTCCTGCCTCGCGGGCCTTGGCGGAGTGTCGGGGCTACCCAGCATGTTGCGCGGATACTTTCATCGATTCACGGTTCTGGATTGATGCATGCAATACCCTCGAAAGTACTCCGCCGATCCATGAGGAAGGCGAATCTGGTAGTAACGTGCGGAGTAGCCCGCATAGGGACGCCTCATCACAGGCGTGGCGCTTCGTCCTCGCGAGACCGGTCCTCTGCAAGGACAATGGCTAGGGGGTTGGCTGGGGCTGTGAAGGATGGTGCCAGCGTGGCAGTTTCGTCCCTGCGGGCAGATGGACGGGATCAATGAGAGGAGAACAATGATTCTGTGCAGGGAACGTGGCACGTGCCTCGGCGACGCGTCTGTGGCACGCCGCCCCGTCGCGTCGGGCAAACGGCGCGGAGTTATAGCTGATGTTCTCTCGTTTCGTGCCATTACCCTTAGCCGCACCTTCCTATTTTCTGCTGCGATTTTCGAGATGTGATCTTAATCGGCACGGGATCACTGCTAGATCTGAACGGGTCCGGAGATTCTCTACGGCCTCTTACAGCGCCACTGCCTCATGGCAACGAACACTTACGAGAAAACCCAATCATCCTCTCGTTCTGTCCGACAAGCTATATTGCCTCAGCTCATGAGCACTGACACTGGCTCAGCTGAACTGTCATCCTTGAGATCAGGAGGGGTGTGCGGGCAACCAAGCTCCGTGACTGCCAACAATAAGCCACGCCCGCCAGTCAACCAACATGCATGATGCGCGTTCCGCAAAGGTTGGGACATTGGTTCTGGGACGCGTGGACATTGCAAGGAGGACTGCACGCATCGCAAACGCGTGGATCATACGCGCAAGTGGCAACCGGACTTCAAGCTTCAGCACTCAGTCAGCAAACCTCTTTTCTTTGCTCAATTCATGCCCGCCTCTATACAGAATTGGCCGTATCCGCACCTACGTGGACGCAGGCACTACTGGATCCGTCTTCTCGCTCCGGCCCTCCATCTACTGAATCAGAGTCATTGACAGCCTCTGCACTTGTGACTTTGTTCTTCTTTCTCCGGCTTGAGACGGGCAGGGGTAACGCCTGCGCCTTCTTTGTCTTCAGAATTTCCATGATCTCTGAAACAGTATGTCAATCAGCCGACAAGACACAGATAATGCGATCAATGTACGAACCGGCGTGGGTCATGTCTTCATAACCCTTCACACTGCGCTTCATCGTGAGCCATCGCCGCTGTAGCGAATGCGCACTCCATATGTTCCAATGCTCATCAGGAAGAAGCTTCCAGTCGATCTCAGTGTCGTCTCGGACGTTCAGCGAATCAACCCTGCCAAAGGCGAGTCAGTGAAGCTTGGAGACGGTGAAGCCGGTACGCACTTATGCACTAAGATGTACGCATCCATCTGACTCCAACGCGGCCTCTCGCCGGCGTTCTTCATTTGAGTGCTAAGCGTATCTGTCCTGTTTCATGGCCGGTCAATTCTGGTCATCATCAACGATAGGCTTACTTACCATTTGATTCGACACTGCTGTCTACCACGTTTACCGCCCATACGCTGGCTGACGACACCCCAGAAGATATCATTGTCAATATCCTTGCCCTTCTGGAGTGTCATCTCAGTGACAATCCTCGTTAACTCTTCTTCCTCCTCCTTCGTCCACGTCCCTGGGCAAACGTCAGCCTAAAGTCGCTGAGCGAGGAGAGTACTGGAATATTACCTGAGCGACGCGTGCTGCGGTCTTGAAGATGGTTACGCCATCTATCCCGGCAGTCCGATGACATCCGTTTGACAATGAGACCGACCTTCTCCCACTGCTGTCCATGATCGGACACAGCCCTGCAGTCAAGCGATGAGCAACGAGATGAGTAATTTTAAGCAGCAATACTTACCGCGCTAGCTCGTCATCTTCCGAATCCGTCCACTTGCCCTTCCGGCTATCAGGATGACGAGTGCGACGAACATGGTGATACACGGCGATGATAGGGCGAAGGTGCAATGCCGATGCTGTATTCGATCGCTGGTCAGAATACAGATGGATCAGTCAACATGTAGACGCACTAATCTCTTGCCAGAACGAGTCCCGGCCCCTCTCTTTAGAAAAGATGACGTTCTTTTCGATGTCGTACTCCGTGAGACCTTTAGCCTACCAGAATGTGAGCGCCTCCAGCTTCACCATACGGGGAAGATACTCACCACACGATAATTCTCAATCGCGGCATTGAGCTGCATTTCCTCAATGGCAGAGAACTTGCCCTTCTTGTACACGAGACCTATATCGAGCACTATCAGTGCGTATGCTCCATCTGAAAAAATTATTCCCACCTTCTTTCTTCACCATCTCAGCAAGTTTCGTCGCGTTCATCCAGACATTCGCCAACATATGCGCGTGCTCCGGATTGTCATGCTCAGCAGGTGCAGCTTCAGGAGGCGGCGGCGGCACCAGTTGCGTGACAGCAGCGACCGGTTGAGCAGACTGCTGTGATATCTTCTTCTGCTTCGGTGGGCACCCAAGAATATCGTCCGACCTCGCTGGCTGCTGGCCGATAGGCGGTGGTGCGGGCCCTGCCGGAGGAGGCATGAACACAGACTGTCCAGTCACCGAAACGTTCACAGCGCTCGCAGCCTCTCCCATCGCACGTAAAATGTTCATAACCTTGGAGACATCGAGCTCCTGCAATGCCCGCAGCAGGTCTTCGCTCGAACCAAAGTTCAGATCGGGGCCCGGAAACATTAGTGGTAGCAGAGGCGGAGGCTGCCCGTGGTGGAAGGGCCCTGAATGTTCCGGGGGGTGATATGGAAACGGAGGAGGGTACCCCGAAGGATACTCCACGAACGGCGGCATAGGTTGGTCAAATGCAGCGTTCTCAGGAGTCAGCGATGCTTGATTGGATGTGGCCGATGCTGCAGCAACAACAGCTGAGAGAAAATCCGCCGCATCGGATAGTTCCTGCGCTGTGGCCTCGTCAGGCTGCGCAATCTGCTCCAGTGCTCCTTCCTGCTGCCGATCCTGCTGCCGCACCTGTTCCTGCCCCTCAGTAGTCTTCCGCTTCTTCTTCGGCGGCTGCTCAACGGCCGCAGCGTCCTTAGTCTCAGCAGGAGCTTGCTCCAACGGCAGCTCGATCACCGGCAGTGGAGGGGCCATAGCAGGAGGTGTGTCCTTGCGCGCGGTGCTCCTCCCATTCCTCTTGCCAGACGCGTCATTCCCGTCCCCGACCTGTGTGCCATCTTCCTCATTCCTCACGCGCTTCGACGACTTGTTTGTGACGGCCGCGGCGGCGTTATTTGCGTCGCCGACGGCTTGCTGGAGAGCGAGTTGGACGTCTGCAGACAGTGGCGACGCGTCGCTGGACATGACCAAAACGCGATGGTTTAGGGCGGGTCGGAGTGGATGAGGGCAAGCAAGTTGGCGTCGAGCCTCGGCCCAACGAAGCTGCTTACAACCGGCGTCGGCCGATAGTTCCCACGGCCACAAATCTTGAAAAACGCCACATTAATTAATTGTACAGTTCACTAAGGTGCGGGGCAAAGTTGATGGCTTCAACACCGTCGACGATGCCTTCCAATACCACGACGCTACAATCACACAACGTGCCTACAAGAAAAAACATCCGCTCCAATCTAAGCATATCTAGTTTAAATCTATTGCTCAAAGAAGTCCTTCGTGACCTTCGCGAAGATCTGCACAGCCTTCTTCAGGGCCTCGAACTGGTGTAGAAGGCGTCAACGATCCCATTCTAGAGAAACAGAACGGACACGTACGTCGGCGTTGCTGAAGCTGATACGGTAGTGGCCCTCCATCTCATCGGTCGGCGGATTCAGTGTGTCCGCCGCGAAGAACCATCCCGGAGAGATCAGCACACCCGCATCTGCGAGCTTCGTCCAGAGCTGCAGCTCGGGAGTCTCCTCAGGGTCCCTCCTGTACGCAGGGAGGTTCCCGAAGAACAACCTCATCTGTCGACTAAAATGAGCGCAAGCAGATCTTACACATGACGACCGGACGAACCCAGATGAACATGCCGGAGGACGGTGGCACGAAGCTGAACAGCCTCGTTCCAATTGCACCCTTCTCGGTCGTCACGAGCTCCTTGCCAGTCTTCGCGTATGCATCGAACACGTCACAGCCCTTCCAGTAGCTGACCTCCGAGGACGATGGTACGAGATGGAACTCTTCGCCCAAGCAGTCGATGAAAAAGTCTCGTCGTGACTTATACTGAACAGCAAGACCTGACATGCCGAGTTAGCATCGCGGGGTTTCGTTTGTCTCACAACTAACCTCGCAGCCACCGTACATACCCGTCCTGCTTCCAAGTCAACAGCAGCTGGGTGACGAGAGACTGTGTGTGACGGCCTCGTCAGGTGGTGTCTTGTAAAGAGAGTCACTATCCGCTTCCTCACCTGCCCAAATCCACAGGGCGCCTGCGCCGTGGTCTCGCCATGCCTCTCAAGCCGTTCGGCAAAGAGAGGGTTGCAAGTGTGCCAACCAAGGCGGGAACCGGGTGCAATATACTGTCATTTTCGGTGAACTACTGTTGAGCTACGCATACGGAGCATTCGTACCTTAGAGAAGGTGTCGAGTCGGATCACACGGCCTTGATAGTCGAACCTGCCAGACGGTGAGCGTCAAAACGGCACGGGATAAATGGAAGCACGCGCACTTCAGGTAGCTTGGGGCCAAACCAGCAAGCCACTCCGCATCGCTAGTGCCGCCGTGGGATTCGGAGCTGCGTTGCGTCTTCGGGACGTATCCTCCTTGCTGCAAGAAGAAGTAGGGGTCGTCTTCGACAATTATGATGTCTGGAGTTACAACGACATTACATAAATCAATCCATCGAGAATGTTCCGCCCGGCTGGACACCTTACCGAATTCAACACAGATGTCGTAAATTTCCTTCTTCCGTGTCGCGCCCATCGTCTGCGTGGCATGATCAGGCTTGTACCGACGATGTGGCCATAGATCGACTCACAGATCCGCACGGGTTCTGACCCACAGGGACCGTGTACATGACATGCGGACTGCAGTGAAATTAGTTGCAAATCATTTGAAATAGTATATGCAATCACATACCGCTTGCATCCCCGCGCCTTCTCGTCCCATTCAGAGAGCACTTTGCGCAGACAAGCGGAGCTCATGCCGTCTCCATCCATTTCGACAGGAATGGCATGCATCCCGTACGGGATGCTCGCAGCCATAGCAGTCGGAAAGCTCCATTCCTCTGTGATGAAGCCCTCACCAGGGTTCATGAGAGTCTGCATTGTGCGCGACCAACTAATGCTGGGTCTCAGGCCCATATGCACATGGACAAACCGAACCCCACTTACCCTTCGGTGTTGCCAATGTGGACCATGATGGTGCAGTCGCTGTAGGCTGGCTGATACACCTTCTCAACAAAATCCTTGATGAACTTCTGGAGCTGAGGGAGACCCGTTGCCATGCCGTATTGCAGCGCCTGAGCGAGGTTGACGTCACCGTTCTGCTCAGGCCACCTAGGGATTGTGATGGGAATGGTTTTCTCCTTAGTTGGACGTCCAAACAGCTTCCAGAACCACGAGAGACCAGAGTCTTGCTCATCAGCCTTCAAGGAGAACGCATTCGGCACGATGGCTGGAGAGCATTCTTTCGTTATGCAGGTTCGCACCAGGCGCGACAATGCAACCCACCGTCACCACCAATGTTATTGAACGGGAAGTAGTTCTCGTCCGGGACACCTGCATAAATTGTTCATTTTCACCGCAGGATGTGCCCATCAGACTATCGCTCACCTCCAGCAAGGCTTATCAAACCCGGCCTGCCGTAGTATCGCGCAAGACCCTTGAGCGGCGACGTAGCTCGGGCCTTTGACAGCTCGGACAAATGGTGCGAGAGATCAATCGCCTTCTGACGATTTTCGTAGGTCATCTCGTCGGGTTTCTCAGATGTGCTGGAAGTGCTGGGACAAGGAGGGCGGTGAGGCCGAAGGTCCTGTGGGAGTAACGCTTGGCCGGCATGACTGAGTTGCAATCGGAGGATGATTAGTAACATATATACCCCTCTGGGTTCTTGAGCAGAAGCCGAGATAAGGGGTGGTGCATCTAAGCTGCGGTACACGCTGCGGAACGGTGCTCAGAAATGTCCAGAGGTAGTCGCTGCGATTTGGGCGAAGGGAAAAAGTGACAGATTCAGACACTTGAATATGTGGATCACAATCTCCGGCTAACAGAGGTTATGGATCACGCAATGATCTTCATAGACGCTGTTACTACAGACATAACGATCCAGTTAGTACATCGAACTCTTATTGGTAGTCATCGGCATCCCAAAGTTATAGTATCACCGAGGGAGCGTCGTTAAATTGAGCGGTCATGCAGAAACGAAGGCAATGAAGTATACAGCTTGCGGTATCGTCGACATCAATCAGTAGTATATGGCCGGGGGCTGGCAAGCCGAGAATTCAAAGTGTGGGCGATAACCTGCCAGTCACAGTGAGAGAACGAGGATGTGTGATATTCTTGTATAGCTCAGAGCCCTTAGCCAAAGTTAGCCAAATGTTCTACATCATGACAACCTCCAGAACATTAGCTCATTCGTCGTACAGAGTCCTGACACTGACATGATCCTGACATGTGCATCATCAAAAGACAAGACTTCGATATCTCTTTGCATCAATCGCTCAGGCCAAATCAATAGAACAATGCGGACAACTGACGAGTATATTGCCGCGAAAGATATATACATGGCATACAGCAAAGTCGGCATATGGCGGCATACTTGAGAATGCCCATCCCTGCATGACTGCAGCTTAAGATCCAGCTGTGTATGAGTACGTTAATGAGACAAGTTCGGGCAGCATAGCTAGCAGCGTCTGCTGACCTGCTGAAACGTCTATGCATCGCAACCCATTCTTTCACACATCGAGCCGTGCTTTGCGCGCTCGTTGCCACGCGTATTGCTAGGGCGATTAATAACTTCGCAGAAGGCCTGTCGCGGCATCTGATTGCACAGATTGTAAACCCTGATGCCCACGGGCGACGACTGCTGCTAACAGACCTTGAGAGAAATTCATCTGCACCCTAACAAGAAGCGCGATGGAATGCGGGTGGGCAAAGGTCGGCTGAACGCTGAGAGACTGGGTCACCGCATGCGTCTCCACACAAAGATCAATGCAGGCTTCTGAGAATTCGCAGGCGAAGCAAACACTCACCTCGCATGGAAGGGTGGGGAGTGTAAGCGATCCCAATGGACCGACTCCACCCGCCGGCCTTTTTATGCATTGGGGGCAGTGAGCGGAGATTCGAATCAGATATGAATGCAACACCTTGAACTCCGGTTCACCAAATGACTCGCTGACAGCGAATTTGGGCTCGATAGGGGCGCCTGGCTTTTATTGCATACGCATGACGGCTGGTCTTCGCTTGCCGCTGGGTTGCGGGACGCATCTGATTGGGAATGATGGTTTCAGATGTCTTCGGTCTGATATCTTGCGGAATGGCTGGCGCCTCGCGACACAAGTGGATGAGCGCTCACCGAGGAGCCCGCTGATCATCAAACAGACACTTTCTGCAGGGCCAACATAACCCGAGTACAGATATTATGTAAATGCTGCATGTTGAGATTCATCAACGATGGTAGTGACGTTGACGTAAGCGAGAAGATGAAGCATTTCATACCCGCGTTTAGGGCCGGTCATAATCCCCTAATCGCTTACGGACCACCGAATCTCGCTTGATCACGATCACCATCTCGCTCATCGCATCAGTCCTAATCCTACGCAGGAGGAGGGAAGGAAAGTGAAGGGCTAGTTGGAAGAGGGAAGTAGCGAGGTCAGTCGCCTTAACGTAAAGTTCGTGGCCTCGCGATAACCGACCAATCTTCTACCCCCTATGTATGCGCCGGTCAGGATCTCCGAGAAGAAGTTTGGTCAGGATGGCGTATCAATTCAGCAGGAAGGGGTGTTTTAAGTGCGGAAATCGTGCGTATGTCGGATTACGTTCCAAGGAGGCTGAATTAACGTGTCGCAGTCGGCCACATTGCGGAGAACTGTACGTCAGAGCAGCGTCTCTGCTACAACTGCCGCCAGCCCGGCCACGAGTCGTCTGCGTGCCCGGAGCCTCGCACGGTGGCTGCCAAGCAGTGCTACTCTTGTGGCGGAGTCGGTCACATTCAGGCGGAGTGTCCGAACTTGAGGGTTGGTTCCGGGGCGAAGTGCTATGTGAGCTATATATCACGTTTACATTACCCAAATCTGAATGTCCCATATAGAATTGTGGTCGCTTTGGTCATATTGCACGTAATTGTCCTACCGCCTCGGGTGGTGGTGGATTTGCCTCTCGCGCCCCTCCTCCTGGCCGTTCTCTCAACACGTCCATGGTCCCCCCCGTAAAGTGCTACCGCTGCGGAGGCCCTAACCACATGGCCAAGTGAGCCTGGACCATGAATGCCTATTCTTGATGCCGCTAACGTGTTGAATGTTATAGGGACTGCTTGGCTGCTCCTGGATCTACGGTCGACTCCACGTCTGTCCCTGTCGGCAACCCGAACAAGAACAAGACCTGCTACAAGTGCCAGCAGGAAGGACACGTGAGGAAGAGCCCTAATACACGCCTTGCAGATATTTACGTTCGCGGTTTTCTCTAGATTGCCCGGGACTGTCCTGAGAACGCTGAATACGTTGCCTGAGACCCCCTTCCTCTCTTGATACATCTTCACACGAGGGTTAAGAGTGTCGATTTTCTCCGCTCTCCTCGCGGTCCGATCATTTATAGTCATGCCCACGATCTGCTTATTTATGAGCTGTCGACTGTAGCCCCTGTATGATTGTTCCTTGGTATCCAAGAGTCGCATTGACAGTCAGGCGTGCTACTTGATTGGGAGCTTGAAAGATAATTTCAAGTCGATGCCGGCAGAATGCTCAATAGCAACCTCCGTTAGTGTCGACAATGATTGTTCATTTGGTGGGTGAACTTTGACATGTTCGTTGTGGCATGACTAATGCAATCTAGATGGAATTAGAAAAACGATATACACGTCATTGATTCATTCATCTGAAATGACCTACATGCCCGTACTCGTATTGCTTTGCCCGCCTCGAACGGGGCAGGCTAGGGCCTCACGATGGGCAATCTTCAATCCCGATATACATGCTGCTTCTTCCATCCATTCCTCCGGCATGCGCCCCCCTTCTCTCAACCACAGTTCTGAAATGTAGTTGTCTTCGTTTCCCAGCCCGGTTCATAACCGACAGGGCCCTCGCTCATCTTGAGAGGATACCTGTACTTCGTATGGTACGAAGACCCTGAATGGGCGGAACGCCGCTCTTCCGACAGTCCGTGTGTTCCTTTGAGATGCTCTAACAGTTAGTCTCCGTCGATTAGGTTCAACCGTAATTCTATCTGCTTATCTCCTGCACCAATAGCATCGGGCAGATCGTATGTCACGTCAGGGTCTTCGTTATGGATTCCCAGGCTCATTCAACGACGGTTCTCGGGAGAACCGACCATTTGTAAAACAAATTCACGATTGATTGAGCGGGGTTTTCAAGCCTTTGGCACGCGTCACCAACGGGTGGTAAGCGTGATATATTATCCGTAATGGCAGCGGTAAGCGTGTATCCTGTTTTATTTTTTTTGAATAAGCGTGCGTGCTGTGTCGACGGCGTTTGATTACGGATAGCACACCTTCGCAGTCGCAAGCATGTGGGCGGTCACTAAAGGCGTGGATGCCAAAGCATCTGTCTTTCGCTCGGAATCTCGGTCCCGTTGACAGTCATTGTTCCCGTTTCATGCACAAGGGGAAGATAGAGCCACGAAGGCGAATTCAGTCTAGACCAATTCCTTACGCCGCCCCCAAAGTCGTAGTGTCCGCTCATCGATAGGGAGGGTCATGAGCTCGCTCAAGAGAGGACGAGATGGTATACGGTGGACTGGTCTAGTCTGCGAGCCATATCTTGGGCGAATCGCGGTCAATTAAGGTAAAGCATGTGGAGTTCGTCATGTCCGTTACTCGGAGTATACTCACCAGAGGTGGACTCTCTGCGGCCGCCTCCCTTCCCGCGGCTGCAACTTTTCCTGCCGTTATCAGTATCTCTGTGATTCTGGTTCATGGTACGAACGAAGTCGAACAGTACCGTCGACGTCCATGCCCTCCGAGTCGCCCATCTCAGGCGCCATTCGAGTTGGCAGGGTCTGATGCGTGGACGGATCAAGTAGGCACCAAGTCGGCACCGTATGGAAGTCTCTTTCGGCTGCATTGATCAGGCGCTGTGAAGTGCATATAGACTCGCAACCGCTCTTTGCTGCCGCTGCTAAGCTCTGGCGCCGCCCCTCTCCACATATCCCGGCTTCATTAGAGGGTGCGTGCCCGATTGCGTTCAAGAGTCCCACCCTGACGGCTCGGCCAAAAGATAGAGTAACTCACGGCCGGACGAGTCACTGCCGTTTGCGTGTGTATTTCCATGCGCTTCTTGTAGGGCTGCACGATGGCCTCGCCTGGGTAAGAGACCTCTCACGCGACTCCCTGGGTGGGCTTGAATGCCAAGTTGTCTCACCACGCGCGCAGGGTTTCAAGCAAGCCTGTAATCGAGCTCCTTGCACAGCCTCGCAAGAAGTGGAAATACGCACGGGCGTTGGTGATGCATGGCCGTGCAGGTACGTAACACGATTGCTATCTTGGATCCATTTAATTGCTCTTCTATGTAAGGTTACCTCAAAATGCCTGAGGAGCATGTTGGAGAGACGTTCTTGTTCGTGATCCCGATTTTAGACAGTCTGCTGAGTCAGCTTGGAGCTGGAGACGAATGTCCCGTTATAATAAGTATTACAACCATAGAAAGTTATTTTGGATTGAAGTGGACCGCGTTTATTCGTCGAGCGTTGGCGGGATTGGGGGAAAGGGGGAGTAGCTGTAGATGGTGCATGTAAAGTTTTCATAGACACAGTCTCTGGACAACTGTGCAGGGGTTTCTGGGAAATTCTCTTTTTTGAAAACGTCCACATATATGTGCCGTCACCGAAATCCAGCACACGAACTCATCCCAAGAAGCGATGGAACCAAAGTAAGTGCAGCCACCTTCTATCTTCGGCCTGGTCCATATGTATCTAAGCATCGCTCCTCAAAGGCTTTCACCATCACCTTGGACACCTGTCCGAAAAACGCTGCCGACACTGCGGCATGGACGGGGTTTGCGAACGAGAAGGAAAGATCAAGGGTCACGAGTGTCGGTCCACTGTCGCGGTCGTCCGGGGATTCTGGCTGAGCTGGCAAATCCGGCGTAGGTGAAGTGACTGACAGTGGCGGTTTGCTACTTGGATGAGGGGAGTTGGGAGATGCAGGTTGAAATCGCCAGATTGTATTGAGCGTTTTGAACAGTGGAGTAGACTCTGAGGCAGCAATCTGTAATATCACGATAAAATCAGAATCTCTCCTCAAGATGAGATGCAAACCTTACTTCGAGCAGCTCGTTTGGACGATACGTCACATCGCTGACGTAGCTCTCCTGGAAGGAAAGGAATCCGACAGTCATGGACGCTCGCATAGTCCCTGGTGCATTGTCTGTGGCCGGTTTGCGCTCCAGCACGCGCGCAGCCGTACAGAACGGTAAAAAGTGCGGGTAAGAATCTACATCCGCGACGACATTATATAATTCGCTGGGTTTGTATCTGCAAGCGGCGGTCACAAGTGGATCTCCAAGGCAGATGAAGATGACGCGTACGGCAAGATCTTGCGCTCATGGTATGTCTGGCGGTCATGGCCGTCTCCGTTTGACCCTGGGAATGGCGAGAGAGATGAGAGATCCGGGAGAGTGAAGAAAGACCTCTGGGTGGGTAATCTGTTGCAGCGCGAGGCCAGGCGGACGAGCGGAAGCATATTGCAAACACGAAAGTACTTTTCCTTTCCTGGCTGCGCTGGGCGGTGGCGGCTTCGCTGCTGTCTCGCTGCTTGTCCACTCTTCCAACGACCCAGCGCTGTATGCAAAAAAATACCCATAATTCACTCGCGCCTTTGCAATGATAGTATCACACAGCCTCTCATAGACGCTGCTATCTGCATAGTCGACTTGTGCTGTTTGTACCTCTATATCTGCATCCTCTCTCAATGCAGTTTGCTGCAAATCAATATTCCTACTCATACCCCTCGCCGTGCTCCCACTATTTAACGATTCTTACTGGTGAAGCACTGCGTGAATGCCGGGCTCTCAATACGAGGATACCATAGAACTGGGAGGGTCTGTATATACGCTTGGTATGCCCTCGTTTTAAGCTTATTTGTGACTGCTGTCCTGTAGGAGACAATATTCGGATGGCAAATCTGCAGAGGATGGGTTCGATGACAGGTCTGAAACGCCATCGGATCCGGACCGTCTCCCCATCGGACACAGTCGAGAGTCTCTGAGTCTGGTTGAGAGACCGAGGCAGTCAAACAAAAAATACAGTCGACGCAGTACCTTGCGCGAGCTCGAGCGCTATCTTCAGCAAGAGCATGCGGAGATTGAGCAGAGCAGGAGAGCGCTCAGGACTGCTCTGGAGAGGATAGACAACGAGACACATCGAGCACAGGAGGCTGAGAATCGTGCGTATGAGCTTGCACGACGCTTCAAAGAAGCGAACGATGCACGTCTGGCTGCCCAGCAGGAAGCCAACCGGCTACAGACGGAATTGACGCTATACAAGGCACAACTCGAGACTGTTCAAAGGGAAAGAGCCACGTTCCAGGACACAGTGAGAGACTTGGAGGCACAGAGAGATGACGCGGAGGCTGCTGCAGCAAGGTCCCGCACGAAGGCGAGGAAATTCCGGGAGCAGCAACTGATCATGCTCGCACGAGAAGAAGGGCGTAAGATAGGCTTCCGAGAGGGGATGGGAAGCGCATACGATGAGGCCAGGTCCACAGGTTATCTCACGCGTCCCAATCAACTTCAGGACGAGGACGAGGATCCTCGAAACAATCAATCGCGCGCAGAACCTCTCGAAGAACTGTCGCGGGTGGTCAACCTACCCTCATTCCCTCGAGGTGGCGTTCCAATTACCCCATCTTCCGTGACTGCCACCGCCGATGAACCGCAGTCTGGTCTAGCAAATCAACAACCATTAGGTGGTGCATATCCCAATGCTGCTCAGGGCTCGCGATTCCGAGAGAATATCACCATCACCAACCCTAGCAACTCCACGCTCAACTCTATCCCTCCCGCACGTTTCCAGGGCCCCTCTTCATGGCCTGCACCTCCACAAGCAGGCTCGTCAAGACTCACCCCTAGCGTGGTACGTACCGCGTCACCGTCGCCCGGCCACCCGGACTTTTCTGTCCCACCCGACAACTGGATACCCACAATGGGAGCGGATGGACGCATGATGCTGCCTCCTCCACACGAAATGAAGCTGCCTCCGCCGAGCCCGCATACACCTCTGTCACCCCTTCCAGAGCTCCCCGCTGAAATCTCAGCGAGCGCTGCCGAGAGGCCTCCTCAAACTATCGCACGCGACTATGCATACCTCGGGAAAGGGCGTTCCTCTCCGAGGTCGTTGGCAGAGTCCATGACGTCGACTGCGCTGTCTCAATTCGACCTTTTGAGCTCGCCGAATAATCGAGGTGCAGGACGAGGGGACAGAGGGTCGACGCTCAGTGCCATACCTGAGGGATCTATGGAGTTCAGTCCGCTCACAGAGAGCCGAGCACGTAGCACTGTCATGCCTGATCCTATAACATTTCCGGTCCCCTCTCCTGCTCCAGGAGGCGATACCACGCGCAGATCTGCATCAAGAGCTGGACGATCAGATAGGGATTCTACGAGAAGCGCTTCAAGGCAGAGGCAGCCGAACCGGACAGTACACGATGATGTCCATGACGTGATGCCCCGAATCGCTGAGACTGTACGGTATTCGAACCCTAGCGTACAAGAGTGGCTGGAGAACAGTGCTTCGCCTGAGGTTTGTCGGTTCCAATCGCTTGGTTTTCACTGATGCTGATTCGTCGTGATTGTTATAGCAAATATCACGAACTCCCTCAAGAATGTCTCAGCAATCACACTACCAACCATCTGTAACAGGCCCTACTCCTGCTAGCAGGTCTGGGTCACCGTTCCGCAGGCCTTACTCAGCAGCCAGCAGGGAGAGCTATGGGCAATACCCTCCACATTCTGTCAACGCCTTTCCGGACGCTGGCTCTGGCCGTTTGGAGCATGCACGACTGTCGTCTGGTTCTGTCGCCATTTCAGTACAACCTCCGGTACGTTTCTTTAATCAGCTCCATGGTGAGTCCTACTGCATGCTGATCGTAAAAATTCAGTCCGGACCTGAGTCCACTGCCTCACCATCAGCTGCGGTCGAATCCGGCCATCTGACACCCAGTGCCACCATGCATTCCTTGCGCCCTTCCCCGTCTACGCAACCTCATATACAACTTGTGGCGCCCTCCCCGAATGTGGACCGTTCACCGCTGTTAGGGGTGCTACGCTCTGCGAACGAGCTTCCAGCAGGTTTTGTGCCTTCCGGTCCTCCATCGCCGTCCGTCCTACCGCCAGCTATGCCCGTTCCACCCCAGTATCCGCCTGCACAGGGCGTCACCAGCCCAAACCCCACGATGGCGCCTATCCCTCCGAGCGCGAGCGCGTCGTATGTAGACGTGTATGACAGGGCACCGTCGCGGCCCGCGAGCAGGAACAGCGGTAGGGGCACGTACGCCGAGGGCGCGCGTCCCCCGTCCGTAGCGAGCGCGCACAGGTCCCGCCCGCCATCTGCCCATTCTTCGTTCTTCGCCCCTCCTCCTGGGCAGCCAGTACATGTTCCCGGCTCGCCGGCGGCGCCTGTGCGATTCCCTGCTAGCCCAGGCCAGAGCAGCGCAGCAGCACATGTTTCCATGCCGGCGACCGCGAGTCCACGTTCATCCCTCTCGCGTCTCTCGCCCGCCGCTCGTGAGAGCCGGCTGGGCCTACATGCGGGGGCGACGCCCGGGCCGGTGACCAGGGAGGTCAGAGAGGCGAGAGAGAGAGGGAGGAGCAGGGAGCTGCACCGGGTGCCCTCGACAGGCTCGGTTGGGAGCACTTTCTCGAGACAGTCGGGATATGGGAAGTATGATCCTAAAGAGTATGTCGATGCTGCGTTCTTGGCGAGCACGGATAATTTATCGTTGGGAGGGGAAGAGGTGGGGAGACGAGGTGGGGAGAGAGGCGTGCTGATGGTGCCTCCACCAAGGAGTCCATCGGGAGCGTCGTATCGCAGCCTTGCTTGATATTCTTTGCGTTGAGATGTGTTTATGCTGGTTCGTTTGCGTGCTGTGTTGGGTTTGATTGTAGTTTAGTTTAGAGTGTGGGAGAACATATATGTTTGAACAACTGATGAGCGTACAGATGAAGATACAGAATATTATGCGAGCAGGGAATGTGATGTAAAAGATATAAGTGTGCTTAACCTGAATATGCAACCCGCAATACAACGTTGAACGCATGAGGAGGGGATGATCAACTCGAGAATGCCAAAACGGCCACGCAGCATAAGCTGAGATGGAACCCAATGTTAACCGACGTAACGGTAGCGTTCGTGCATGGAGGTACACCGTCCACCGACTCTCGGCCTACCCGTCAAATTTGTTCTCATCATCCCACTCGCCCTTCCATCCCACCGTTGGCCGTTTCACTTTGACTTGAACCCGAACTGGTCCTCGTCCTCCTTCCATTGCCAGTCCGGCATCTCCCTTCTCCTCCGGTTCGGCCTCATGTGGCGTCCCTGTGGAAGGTCCTCGAGGAGCTTAAAAGAATGTTCGTACTCTTCCTCGAGATCGTTGTGCGGCGGCTTCTCCCGTTCTATCATGAATTCCTCTTCTTCCTTCTTCAGTTGCTGCTTCAGCCTGTACTGTCCCCTCAAAAGCGGATCGTTCTTGGTCTGTTTCCACAACTTTCTCGCCTCCTCGTCCAACCTCTCCCGCTCGATGTGCTTTGCCTTCTTTGCTGCTAACTTCTCTTCGCGCTCGATCCACTCCTTCTCATCCATCAGCCGCCATATCCAGACGTCTTTCACCTTTGTTCCGTAGCGCGTGTCCCTGACGGGCGTCGTGATGAACTCTTCGCCGTCCACGAAGACTTTTTGCCTGGTCACGGTTCCATCCTCCTCCCGCACATCCTCCGCGATTTTCACGTGGACCTTCATAAGCCGGCGTTCCTCTTCCATTTGTGGAAGTACATACTTCTTCAAATTTCTGAGAGTAGAGATTGGACAGGTATGCAGCCGACGAGTCAAAGGGCAGCTCACCTGACGGACCGCAGGGGATGCCATTCACCCGGGGGCAACTGGGGCGACGGATTCAATGAGACCGGAGGTACAGGAAGGTCAATTTGCTCCAGCGACTCCTCCCATATCTCCTGGGTGCTGAGGCCCACAGCGTCGGGCTTCGCAGCAAAGACGTCGAGGACGGCTTTGCGGGCCGCGGAAGAGACATTGGCGACATACAGGCTGTCGAAATTGGATGGGATTCTGACTGATTCAGAGAAATATGGCCTGAAAGCAGCCTTGGCAGCATGTCGGAGGGGTGAGAAGACGTTCATGAGCGGAGAGTGGAGAGGTGATGGGTCCTGCGCAAAAGGCAGTCTACCTGTTTGTTTCTACGTGAGGCGCCCGATGGCATTCAGCTCGAGAGTTTACGAGGTGAATACATATTTGGCCATCGAGTGGCTCATAAATCGACACGAGCTCGGCGGGAGGCGTTTTATGAGACATATTGTGGCCCTTGCGATTCTGCAATCGTTCATCTCCGAGGTTGTTCATGACTATGCAATCTTTCACATTGACACCGCTGCATGAGGCTGCCTTGATGATGGCGTACTACGTCTCCCGTAGGATTCAACGCCTCCATGTCCACGGACAATCTCACATCATGCAGGTGACCGTCGTTGCATATATTGTGCTCTCTCCACCCCCTCTTTGCTCGCACTCTCCCTTCCTCCGTCGCCTGTTTTAGACGGGAGATCGATGCAGCGCCGTGCAGAGCCTCCTCCTGCTTCTCGTGCTCTTCGCACTCTGGGTCGTCAAGACGTACGTCGAATGGCGCAAGGTTATCAACTTCCTTCAATAAGTCGTTCCCGTGAGTAATCTGGGCAGGTGTCGGAGAAGTTTCATCAGAACTGCCCTCTCTCGGAGACTCTCAGGGACTGCGCTACCTCCTCGGACCCGAGTCCTTTCTCATGGTGGACCGTTTTCCTACCTTGGATGGGTAGCATGAGCACATGGCACCAGAAGCATCGGGATTTTGTCGATTTTGACTCGGACAAGCTCGGACATCATGTCTTCAGTATGTCTCCATGGTATTTTGCTAACGCACTGCCCGATTTGAACACGTAATACGCTCCCTCAGGTGAGGGTCCTTCCTGAGCCGGATGCATTCCTGCTTCTCGCAGATGTGGAGGCCGCCCAGGCAAGTTCGTGAACGGCCTTCATCGTCGAATCTGTCTCTGCAGGCCGTCACGAGCAATACAGCCTGCTCCCCTAAGCCTCTCTATCAGTACAAGATCCTCACCTTCCTTCAAGTTGTATTTTGCCTCTTCCTTGGACAATACAGGTCTTCAAGCAGCGTACCGGACTCGGAGTTGCGAGGACGTTTTGGAGAGCGGGCAGCTCGGTTGGTGGGAACTGCCAAAAAGGCAGCCACCGCATTTGCTTCCCTTCCACGCGCGTCCGATCGTATGTTACGGCCATCACGTATCGTGTTTCCTCGAAGCGCTAAGTTCTTTCGGATGAATCCCCAGTAGTTGTACCTATATCCCATGTCTTCAAAATACACTACCAGAAGAGCAGTGTAGGCCTAGGCTTTGCGAAATTGTCGATGACCAACGGACGCCATGTGTGTGGCTCATGAATATCCCGGCGTTTTATCGGCGCGATCGCATCCTGCTGGATACGCCCAAGCTGTGTGGTACGCTTTAAATTTGCCTTTCTGTGCGACGTTGCGGCGTTCGAGCGCAAGGTTGCTCATGGTACATGGCTTTGTTTTTGACGGGGCCTCGGATGCTGGGCCGACGGTGGATACATTGGAGCACATGGGGCTTTGCATCCACTGATAACTTCCCACGACATGGACCATGCATCATATGGGAATGTCGGCCATCGCTGTAACATAGCGCACTTTCCCCACCGCTCACTTTCTTCCCACTCTCCTATCCTCACCCGTACTCGTCTCCCCCTTCCCCTCGTCAAAGCATGCAGACGCCCTTCCTTGTCGTGATCGCGCTCTTCGCGCTCTGGGTTGTCAAGACCTATGTCGAATGGCGCAAGGTTAAGGATTCGCTCCGGTAAGTCGTCCTGTGTGGCCGCTCTACTCAGCGCTCAAGGTATCTACGAAACGATCCTTTTGGAACTCGCAGGAACTATCCCGGCTTGCGCTACCTCATTGGATACGCGTCCTGGCTCATTGCGGGCCGCATTCCTTACCTTGCCGCGGGTAACATGAGCGGGTGGCGCCAGAAGCACCAGGACTTTGTCGATTTTGACTCGGATATTATCTCCTCGGTACGCTTCTATGTTTTCTGGTCAATGCACTTCCCAAATCGAGTCCTTGTGTTGCATCAGATCAGGGTCCTTCCTAAGCCGGGTGCATCCCTGCTTCTTGCAGATGCTGAAGCTATAAAGGTGACTTTATCATTATCGCTCTGGACCTTAATCTTCCGGATGATCTTACTGTCACCTGCAGGCTGTCACGAGCGATAGAACACGCTTTCCCAAACCTCTCGCTCAGTACAAGATCCTCACTTTCTTTGGGAGTAACATCGTAGTCACGGAGGCCGACGAATGGAAGCGGCACAGGAAGATAAGTGCTCCGTCGTTCTCCGAGGTGCGCGCCTGTCTGTGTTCGTCACTGCCGCCACATTGCTTACGAAGGTCTGTGTTACTGCTTTGCAGCGCAACAACCGCCTGGTATGGGACGAGTCGATGAATATCGTCAAGGAGCTCTCCGAAGTCGTGTGGCTCGGCAAGGATGAGGTCGCCATTGATAACATTGTCGACCTTACTGTGCCCGTGCGTCCCATATCCGTTGCTTCTCGCCGGCCGATCATCAATGCATCAATACTGACGTTGATGTGACATTGACAGATGGCCCTTTTCGTGATTGGCGTTGCCGGCTTTGGCCGACGCATGTCGTGGATTGAGGATTTCACTGTCCCAGCCGGGCACGCGATGCCATTTAAGGCAGGTATAGTGTATATATGACGGGGGAACATGAGTGTTGACGACTGCATGTGTGACAGGACGCCTTGCACATTGTTTCGAACGATCTATGGCTCAAAGTTGTTCTACCCTCATGGCTGCTCAAATGGGGCCCCATTGAGCGAATACGTCGGTTTCGGACGGCATATGATGATCTTGAGGTGTGTTCTCATTTCTCTCCTCATTCTCTGCGATGTATGCCGCAATTGTGTGCTGATGATCATCGTACAGAGATATATGATCGAGATGATTCGCGCACGGAAGACGCAGGAGAAGAAAGAGGAGCGGTATGATTTATTCAGCAGCTTGCTGGATGCGAATGAGGACGAGTCGGATGGGACAATCAAGTTGAGTGATAGCGAGCTTATGGGTGAGTTCTTCCGCAGTGGCCTAGAAGAAAGTAGACTCATGGCACGAACAGGCAACATTTTTATTTATTTGATTGCCGGTATGCCTTTTACTATTTTATGCAGTTTTCACTTGTTTACATGGATTCATTAGGACACGAAGTTTGTGAGACTCGATGCTCCCGTATTCGAAAAGAACTGAAAGGCATTGTTGTTAGACCACCGCACATACGCTAGCGTATACATTCATTATGCTCGCGCTGCACCAAGAGGAGCAGGAGACGCTCTACCAGCACATCCAAAGCGTCGTTCCTGAAGATGTAATACCGGTGCGTACCTTTCTATTCCGCGCGGTTCATTCATCTCCTCATATCTGATCAATGCGCAGTCATACGAGGAGATGGGCAAGCTGACGTACCCGATGGCGTGCGTACCCGTCGCTGTTTTGAGTTACTTCATCGAGTGATTCAAATGCTGTATCTGCGCAGCGTGTTCCTTGAGACATTGAGGATGTTCCCTCCTGTACGTCGTCTCGGCAGCTGTCATCATCCTATCTACTAGACTTGCAATCTTCCAGGTGAACGCCATCCCCAAAAAATCCGCCGAGGACACGACGCTGGTAACGCGCAACATGGCCGGTGAGCCGCGCACCGTGCCGTGTCCCGCGGGCATGGGCCTCGTCATCCATACTCCCGGGTTGCACTATAATCGTGAGTGATTTTCGCGATCAACTTCTGCGCTTTGATGAACGGAGTTCGATTGATCGGTGCAGCGCGCTATTGGGAAGATCCTTTTACTTTCAAGCCGTCGCGGTTCTTGGCGCCTGACTGGCCGCGTGATGCGTTCTTGCCATTCAGTGGCGGGGCGCGGTCGTGTCTCGGGCGGAGGTGCGTTCGATTGGTCCTCTTTGCTCCCTGCCTAGTCTGATTGTGTGAATGGATTGCGCTGGCGACAGGTTCTCAGAGACGGAGGGCGTGGCGATTTTGACGTACATGATTAAGCACTTCCGCGTGGACGTGCGGGATGAACCCCAGTTTGCGCACGAGACGTTCCAGCAGCGCAAGGCGAGGCTACTGAATTCGAAGGCGGCGATTACTCTCTAGTGCGTCTGGTTCGACGTGTCGTTGGTCGGATACTGATTCTCGGTTGCGTGTGTAGCCCGGTGAAGGCGCCGCTTGTGTTCAAGCGAAGGTGAATGGTAGCGAGAGGATCTCGAGATATGGGATGGCATTTTATGGTATTTGCGACTAGGATATGTATGCTGCATTTTACCTATATCATGGACAATGTAGGTCTTCATGTGCGCTCTCCTTCGTCCGACTCCGTCTTCTTGCGTTGGTCTTGCGACAGGTCATCAAAGAGCTTGATGCTCTCATCATGCTCCTTTTCGATGACTTTACTGGCCGATACCCCAGCAGCTGCAGTGCAGGAAGGTCGATCTCGTTACGCCTGCTATAAGCAAATAGCCTCCGTACCATCATACTATTCGTGCATTTCCCCTGGTTGAAGGCACGTACCGCTGTGTTAGCGACACTATCGACATCGCAAGCAAGACATAAATCACGAGAGGATGAAGATGAGTACGCTGAAACTTTGCAAGCGGTGGCCATGGGGTATCAACAAATAGAGGACGGCAGACTACGCGGAGTCGTAGATACGATTACTCACGATGACAGAGCCCACCGAGACAATGCGCATCGCTTCCAGGGTTGCGATGCACTGTGAAACGGTGTCTATCACGTAAAAATTGGCTTCTTGTTTTCTCAGACTGACTCGGCAAGTGCTTACACCACTGAGGCTGCAGATTTGCCATCCTTGACGACCATTTCATTTGATTGTCATGGATCCTTCACACACCGTCATACAACGTTGAACAGCTCTTCCTTCTGTCACTTTAGATTCTCTGTCATCTGCAGGCATATAAGAGCCCCTCTTGCCCTCAAATAAAGCCCTGCGTTTATTTACTCAAACTTCGCAGCATGGTCGGAACGACAACAACGGTCGCTCAATACGCGACTCTGGGGAATGCTGGTCAAGTCGGAGTCTTCTTCGTAGCGTCTTGTGGACTGGGTCTTCTCATCGTCGCGTGCTTCCTCATGTCTAACACCAAGCTAGTAGTAGGTCGTCCACCTCCAAGGAAATCAGCATTCAAAACTCAATACCAGTATTACCACTAGTTCGAGGCGCAACGTTATGCAAACGTTCCTTCTTACAGTGGCCGTACTATTCGCACTCTGGGTCGTCAAGACCTACGTCGAGTGACGCAAGCTTATCAGTTCGCTTCAGTACGTCGTCCTGGTGGCCAACCTGCACAAGTGACAGAAATGTTAACGAGATAACCCGCTGGCCCTCGCAGCTGAGACTATCCTAGCCTGTGTCAGTTCTTCGGCCCCGAAAGAAGCTTCTTCACCGAGCGTATTTCATACCTTGCCACGGGTGATATGAAAGCAGGGCATCGGAATCGCCAAGACTATCTCCACTTCGACTCGCACATCATATTTTCGGTGTGCTTTCATGGCCGTTGGCTAGCACAAGGCTGTCCAAAAAGAAAGAGCTCGTTCAGTTAAATCAAGGTCTTTACCACACCTAGCGCGGTTCTGTATCTCGCGGATGCTGAGGCTCTCAAGGTAAGCTTACGGATGTCATTTCAACGACCCTTGCTACGGTATCTATTCGTATGCAGGTCGTAACGAGCGGCAGATACGGGGACGAACCTCATGACCCACCTGCCAGGGCTACATTATGACCGTGCGTACTTTTTGTTAATTAGCTGGGAAGTCGGGTGAGTGATGCTGACTTCATGAGTGCAGCGCGACTGAAGATCCCTTCGCGGTAAAGCCGTCGCGGTTTTTGGCGCCTGACTGGCCACGCCACGCGTTCTTGCCGCGGCTGTGCCTTGCGTGGAGATACGTCCGACTTGTTCCGTCCTACCCAAGATTTTCTTCGTTGTGGTTGAGAAGTCGCTGATGCGAGCGAACGCAAGTCCTTCAAGACGGAAGCTGTGCCGATCCTGACCTTTCACGATCAAGAATTCCCACGTGGACGTGAGGGACGAGCTCCTAATTTGCAAACGAGACGTTCAAGGGACGCAAGGAGAGGTTGCTCGAGTCGCAGACGGCGATCACACCCTTGTATGTGGGCTTTCAGGTATTCATGTGGATTGGATGCTGACTCATGTTTGCATTTGTACCCCTGCAAGCGGAGGTGAACTACAGCGAACGACCTTATTATGGGAGACGGCATCCTGAAATTCGTATTACTGGAATGTATCATATGCGAGCTATACTCTAGCTTTGCTTCCGACAATATAAGCCTACATACCCTAGATTCTGGCCAGAGTCATCAACATTCGACTGTCATTCATATCGAGGACACGCTGACCGCTGTGGGTATCGCGAAATTCAAGGATTAAATGGCATGCAGCATCTCGAAAGCTTCGTGAATTTCCGCTATCGTACTTAACACCGCAGGGCGGCACATGCAGGGCGGCACGTTGTGGCACCGCACGGTGCGACTCGCCGCGTCTTGCTCTTTACATTCTCACATCTTGACGTCCACGTCTCGACTGGAATGTCGGAGTCCTCCATCGCCATCTCGCCTTGTGTGGATCCACACATGCTTCGCAGCCATCATGTGGTGCAGGTGCCAAGTTGTCAATCATTTAGTATGGCCTGACACCAAGAGGGGTCTCACGCACAGACCCCCTCTTGTGTCAGAACCTCCGATCGGGCTGACGCTGCCTATCAATTACCTCGGTCCGCCCATGTGGATTGACAGCTTCGAGTTTCGACACCGTATGGTTCTTTTATTTTAACTTGGTGGTCGACTGGGTGGTTTTCTTGACCGTACTTTACAATATTCCGATATTTTCATCCGCAGTGGTCAAACTATCGAATCATCCGCCCCGAGGTCCAAGCTTGCAACCGATGTGCAATGTTTCAAGTTTGCGGATCTAGCGCTCGTTGTTGATGAGAGTACGGGGCCACGTGGTGCATACCGGGAAGTACATGCTTGGTCATCAAATATTAATTGTTCGACGATTCAGTGACCATGCTTTCGCAGACGGCGGAGGTTCACACTGCGGTTTCGACGCCCATCAACTCGGGCTAGGCATATCGACATTGAATGCCTCACGGAAGATAGACCGCACTTCACTTATCAGTTCACATGGAACGACCGCGATGCTGAGGGAGATTTCGAAGTCTCGCTTGACTACAAGTATAGCCACCAACGGCATTCTCTGATAGCACGCGATCACCTTATGCTGCATGTGGGTTTCTCCGCCGCACTCTGTTCCCGGTACCCTAGTGATGCTGGCTATATAAACTTGCTGCGACACAGCAAGGGGGGTCTCGAGACAGCCTTCCTTGACGGGACTGTACGTTGCCTGCATGGTGGGCGAGGCTCTTCTTTGGCTTGCGGGCTCCCTGGTCCTGCTACTCGCGTCCGTTGTTGACGCCCGTCTTCCCGATGGACGTGTTCATGGGAACATGGCCCCGACGCCCTCGGTTCCCAAGGCACCTGTGCCCAACGAAGACCTGCCCGTTACCGACCGCAACGGCAGCACGATTCCGCCGTACAACACGACGTATTACTTCAACCAGCTGATTGACCACAATAATCCCAGCAAGGGCACGTTCGTGCAACGGTACTGGCATACCTGGGAGTTCTACGAATCAGGTACGTCTCCGACTGCACAGATATATGCATTGGTACTTGACAGATTGACGGTTGTGAAGGCGGCCCGATTATTCTATTCACCCCGGGAGAAGTAAACGCTGATGGTAAGTCATCGCCTCTCCTGGACTTGATAGAGTGGTGGCTGAGCGCTCGTCCCTCGCTCCACCAGGATACTACGGTTACCTCACGAACGGGACAATCAACGGGCGCATCGCTGAACAGCAGAATGGCGCGACGATCGTCCTCGAGCACCGCTTCTACGGCTACTCGAACCCGTACAACAACTTGTCAGTGGCGAGCCTGCAAGTGCACACGATCGAGCAAGCGATCCAGGACCTCGTGTACTTTGCATACAATGTTGATTTTCCGATGCCTGGTGGCGACAGTGTCGATCCGGACGAGGCGCCCTGGATCTTGATTGGCGGGAGCTACTCGGGAGCTTTGACAAGTTTTACGGTGGTCAAGTCAGTTTGTATTCATGATATGCTCGATAGCTGTTGTTGACCTTGAATGTCTTCTTGATAGCCAGCCTGATGTGTTCCGTGCAGCCTATGCCTCATCTGCCGTGGTGGAGAGCATTGTGTGCGTATTCACAGGTTTCATGAAATAACGCTTGATCATGAAACTGGCACATTCAGCGACTACTGGGGATACTTTGAGCCCATTAGTGATTACATGCCGGAAAACTGCTCGGCAGACGTCGAGGCTGTGATCGCATACATCGACCAGACATTCAACAATGGGACGGAAGACGAGATCAACTCTATCAAAGAGCTGTTCAACATGAACTTGACACACTTGGACGACTTCGCCGGTGCTCGTGAGTTTCATCACATCTCATCATCAGTGCCAAGGCCTGATCAAACCACAAGTGAGGAACAACCTGTGGGACTGGCAGTCTCTACAGCCAGATAGCGGTCCCGATCAACAGTTCTTCCAATTCTGTGATGCTCTCGAAGTGAAGGACGGTGTGAGCGCGCCCGCGTCTGGATGGGGCCTCGAGCATGCTCTAAATGCATGGGGCACATACTGGGCGAACACGTACTACTACTTCAGTCAGGAGCACCATTGTTCTCCCGGTGCCTGCACGCTAATGGTTGGTCCTTATCACAGTTTGCGGCGATTACGACGCAGAGTGAGCAGTGATATGCCCTGCATCTTTCATCCCCTGACATCATCCCATTGACAAATTGCAGGACTTGCTTGGGTACCTATGACTCCACGGAATCATACTTCACAAGCATCGCTATTGACGACTCCACGCGTTCCTGGGAGTGGATTGTGTACGTATGGTGTCTGAACCTTGGATGCCTCACCTGACATTGACATGTGATTGTGATTAGGTGCAACTACATGGGTTTTCTGCAAGATGGTGCGCCACTCGATCATCCGACCCTTGTGAGCCGGCTCATCCAGCCTATCTACGATGAGGTTTGCGCATCATTGCTGTCGCATATCTCGCAACATTCTAAGATAGCCCGCCCACAGCGCCAGTGCACGTATTTCTTCCCTGAGCAGTTTAGCTCACCACCTACTCCGGATGTAAACGCCACAAATGCAGCGTATGACGGGTGGTACGTGGATGTCGATCGGTTGTTCTTTGCCAACGGACAGCGTAAGTTTATCGCTTGTTTTCCCGCGAGTGAGTCTGATCGGACATGGTGCGCTTCTCGCAGGCGACCCATGGCGCGAAGCGACCGTATCTGCCGACGGGCAGGACTTTCAAAGCACACCGTGGCAGCCGATCGTCGAGGGGAACGGATACCACTGCTCTGACCTCCTGACGGGCAATGCAGAGGTGGACGAGACTATCGCGGCGGTGCAGGCCGAAGGGCTTGCTGCGATGGCGGTCTGGCTGGAGGGCTGGGAGCCCAGGTCTGTGGCTAGCTCACGGCGGTAGCGATCTGTATATCTGGATTGGGGCAGAGGGCAAGCCAGACAGAACCGCTCCAAGTGGTCCCAGCGCGGACAATGCAGGACGCCCGGGCCGCCAAGAGGCAGCCGATGTATCTGGCTTTAGGGCTTTTGTTAGAGAATTGAGTTTGGCAATCGATGTTGCAGATGGCAGAAAAGTCTTGTACTGGCGTATCGCCGTGCTGTCTGTGTCTGTGCAGCCGAGATAAAGCCATGCTCGCGCCCACAGTGATGATCAGGAAAGGTATATGCAGATGCCACGGATGATATCTGCGGCATGACCTGGAGACGGAGTGGTTCAGTTGAGCTGGTGTGGCTGAGCATCAAGGATTGCCATCAAGCTGCGCAGCCATTGCAGCCGGCTGTGGCTGCCACCGTTCATGACGACGGCTTCACCCGGGTCCGTGACCTGCGCGCATCGCTGGTCTCGGGTATCCTGCCATTGTCAAACGATGAGAGGAACACAAGATGGGAATATCGGGCGCGGAAGATGCCTGCGCGCACGGACGCAGCCAAATCCATCGCCACCCACGGGCGCTTATACACATTGTCGCAGATGCCGGCGTCTGCCGGATGGGCGTGAGAAGTCACGTGCGTTGCCCTGTGCCCAACCCTTTGCCCAGGCATTTCGCATTTATTTGCGTCAACTCCTGCTCTGTCCTTTCATCTCCCTCCACCCAACCGCATATTGCCATTAGTCTGCACGTTCGTTGCTCCCGCCCTTCTCATCGTCGTCCATATCGTGCTCACCGCCAATCTTGCCTCCTGCAGTCACCCGCACCCCTCCCCACCCATCACCATACACAGTGCGTATCTGACGCGTTTGACGCGTGCATTCTGCGTGTCTCTGACTGCGATCATCGCTCTCCAGATGTCTGCCCAGCCCCTGTCTCGTGAGGACTCTGTCTACCTGGCCAAGCTCGCTGAGCAGGCCGAGCGCTACGAGGGTACGTGCTGTCACTGCCACGCTGTCGTGACATGGTCGTGACGCGACGCGACTCCAACAGAAATGGTTGAGAACATGAAGCACGTCGCGTCTTCAGACCAGGAGCTCACCGTCGAGGAGCGTAATCTCCTATCTGTTGCGTACAAGAACGTCATTGGCGCGCGCCGTGCGTCGTGGCGAATTGTCTCCTCCATCGAGCAAAAGGAGGAGTCCAAGGGCAACGAGGCCCAGGTCAAGATGATCAAGGCATACCGGGAGAAGATCGAGAGCGAGCTCGCAAAGATCTGCGAGGATATTCTTGACGTCCTCGACAAGCACCTTATCCCATCGGCTGCATCGGGTGAATCAAAGGTGTTCTACCACAAGATGTAACATTTCCATGTGACCGCGTTTGCCACGTTGCTAATGGTCGCGTGGTTAGGATGGGCGACTACCACCGTTATCTCGCCGAGTTTGCAACCGGCGACAAGCGGAAAGAGAGCGCAGACAAGTCGCTCGAGGCGTACAAGGCTGCATCGGATGTTGCCGTCACGGAGTTGCCGCCCACGCACCCTATTCGCCTTGGCCTTGCGCTCAACTTCTCGGTCTTCTACTACGAGATTCTCAACAGCCCCGACCGTGCATGCCATCTCGCAAAGCAGGCGTTTGATGACGCTATTGCTGAGCTTGATACGCTATCGGAGGAGAGCTACAAAGACTCGACTCTCATCATGCAGCTCCTCCGTGATAACCTCACCCTCTGGACCTCCGACATGCAGGAATCTGGTTCGTCTTCAACAGTGCCTTATCCTGCAGAAATTGCTTATGTTTTGGTTTGAAAGCAGACAAGCCGGCTGAGAAGGACGAGGCTGAGGCTGTTGAGGAGTAGACGCGTCCTGTTTCATGGCCGGGTCAGTGAAGTTTTTGCAACGCTGGCAGCTTTATTGTTGTTAGCGTGGTGCTCCTAATCATCAGCAATGTCGCATTTTCTATCGTAGCATACGTCGTCACCGCATTACTTTCTCATTATTTTCTCTAGTATCATTTTCGCCTCAGTCCTCTTCGTGATTGTGGTCCGTCTGAGACGTTCGTCGCCTTTAGCGTTGTAGTTGGCACTGGGTCTCAACGTAGAATGGAAAATGAATGAACTCATGAAACGCGAATGATCGTGAGTGTGTGACGACTGCGAGAGGCCTGAAGGTTTGCAAATTGCGTAGAATGTGTGTAGTCGATAACTAAAAATGTGGCTGCATGCATGGTGGATGGCGTGTGCGACTGTGCGCAGATCTGTACATTGATGTGGGCTCCATTCCAGTGCGAGTACTGTTCCTTGGTACCTTCACAAGCTTGATTAGTATCGCGTAGATGTTGTTTTTGGAGGTAAAGTTTTTTAATTCGGTTTTGATTAATAAACAGATTATGAGATATCAAAGAAATATCAAGCATAGGCCCCCGTTGTCTAATGGCTATGACGTCAGACTTCTAAGGCTGTGGTACCTTATCTGGAGGTTGCGGGTTCGAGTCCCGCCGGGGGTAGTCGGTTATTTTTTTCTTTTTGTCCCCTTTTTGGGCAGAGATCCAGTTTGCCTCATGTTTCCAACTTCGTTCGCAATTTTACGTGAAAATATCGTGGCATCATTTGTATTCATTCATCACATCTTACATGCCGGATGAAATGATCCCTACAGCGCCTTCTGACCCAGACAGTGGGAACGGCGGTCTTAGGGTGACGATTTGCCTAGATGACTTGTCACAGAGAGGCATGCGCTAAATGGCGTAGAACATTCGATTCCTTTGCCACGGATACCAATTCGCCTGCGCGGAAGCGTCCATGGGACGATTCTCCGATTCCGCTTCTACCCGCGCTACCACCCTTCACGCGGGCAGTTGACCTGCCACATTGCAAGCTACTTTGAGTTCTGTCACCAATTGATATGAATAGATACTCGGGCTATCTCTCGGTGGATGAGAAGATTAATGTGGTGAAAACGTGTGTGTCGCAGGATTGGCGAGCGGAGACACGAAGTTGGGTGGTGGCTCATCGCATGTGCCTTGTTCCCCATTAGAATGGAAGGAGACGTGCGCCAGGCCGGCTGTAAGATCCCTCCTGGGAGAGGATCTATCAGAAGGGTACGAGAGAACGTTCGGCTACGGCTGGCAGGAGGGAACAAGGATGGCCGCAGACGCATGTCGATGCGCATCACTCGATCAGCACGCTGATGGCGCCCTGCGACAGACGTCTGCCCGTCGCGATCCACGCAGTCCCGCGAGCGTTGCAGCTCCTGTCGGCGGGGGAGGTTCTGGCGACGGAGTCTGTTGATACGCGTGCGCATGCTTCTGTGGCTCAGGGAATGGGAGCTGAGCGCCGATTAGGCGAAGCACCCACAAAGTTCCGGCACGTGTGGCTGATCGTGATGCTCCCGGATGCATATGAGATCCAGCGCGATCTCGCACACGGGCTGCGGCTAAAACCTTGGGCGCAGATATCTCGCAGCGACGCCGTCTGGTCCGTGTGCAAAGGAGGCAGAAAATATGGAGAGGTGGAGGATGCGATCAGGAAAACGCCGCGGGCATGAGAACGGCATGATCGGCGCGCCAAGTTTGAACTCCGCGGCGATTGGAATTTGCACACGGGAGGGCTCGAGGTGGTGGCTATATTGAAGCACCGCTCTTCGGCCTCTAACTCACGGCGCTCGTCCTCTCTTCGGATTCCGTTACCACGACCACCATGCATGGGAGTCCCTCTCCTCGCGGCACCCCCGCCCGTCGAGGTCGTTCGCCCCGCGCATCGACCACCAGCCCCGATGCTTCCGCTTCGCCCCTCGATATTTCCGCAGCCAAACCCATCGCCACCTTTGCCACTTGTCTTTCAATCGCCGTCGAGGGCGCTGCCCCGATTGAGCATCCCGACCCTACGGGCCCAAACGCGGGACCTGAGTCATCTACATCCACCGCCGTGCATGATTCGAAGCGAGCGCCACGAAAATCAAAGATGGAGGCTATCGTCGCCATTCAGAACCACGCGCACTCCTCGCTGAGCCAGGACGACGGGAATGACACTGTCAACGAGGAGGGTGCATTTCGCGTTCATTTGCGGGACGGTCCTCCAATCCCCACCAAGCTCGCGCTGGACCTGTCGACGGTCAAGAAACCGAATCCGACTTTCAATCCGCCGAAATTGTCGGATCGTCCGTTCGGTCTCACGGATTGTCCCGTTTATAAACCCACCCCAGAGCAGTTTAAGGATCCGTTGGCTTACATCAAGTCGATTTCGGACGAAGCGAGAAAACATGGCATGTGCAAAATTGTGCCGCCGATGGGTTGGGATATGCCATTCGTCACCGATACTGAGGTACGATTCGTCCTTTATTTGCGGATTGTTCTAGCTAAATTCGCCATCACCGGCAGAGGTACCGCTTCAAAACTCGTCTGCAGCGTTTAAACTCCATCGAAGCATCATCGCGCGCCAAAATGAATTTTCTGGAACAGTTGTACAGGTTCCACAAACAACAAGGGAATCCGCGGGTGGTTGTGCCTACAATCAATCACAAGCCTCTCGATCTATGGCTGCTGCGGAAGGAGGTGCAGAAACTCGGTGGTTATGAGGCGGTAAGGCCCATCACGCATCGATATCATAATTCTCCTAATTCATCCTACTGCTGCGCCGGCCACGTATCAGGTCACCCGAGGCAAGAAATGGGCAGATCTGGGACGGATGCTGGGTTATAAGGGCATCCCTGGTTTGTCAACCCAGATGAAGAACTCGTATGCCCGCGTCATTTTGCCGTACGAGCACTATCGCGATCGCGTTCGTAATTCCACCGTCCTATCGGCTAACAAGCCGCACGACCCCACGCTGAAGACACACACCGATGTTCAGTCTGTAGGAAAAGATCGCGCAGCGTCTGTTGGTGGCGATGAAGACAGTCCGCCATCTAGTCCGCTCACTTCGTCGAGCCCTCTGTCTGAGCCTCCTGACGATGCGGAGGGCAAGACCGCCAATGGCAAGGTGGATTTATCGCGTCCAAGGAGAAATACAAGGCAGAGCTCGCATGAGCAAGCGGCGCGAGAGCGTCAGTACTTCCATCATGCTCCCGGTGGCTTTACGTTTACTGAACATGTTGTGGTAGTCGCACGTAAAGCAGCTGCCTCGAGGGACCCTCTTCCTTCACTTATGGGGCGTGCCGAGGCCTTGAGGGGCGTGCCGAGAGATGCGGCTGCAGAGGTCCGCCCTCCCTCTCATACTTGTACACACTCTAGACACTCATCACCACGCGATAGCCTCATTGCGAGATCTGCCTTAAGAAGGATCGCGAAGACAAGATGCTGCTTTGTGACGGATGCGATTGTGGTGCGCCGTCACGAATAATGCATTACGTAGCGCAACCTGACATCCGCCCCTCCAGGCTTCCATACATTCTGCCTCGATCCGCCTCTGACGGCGATCCCCAAGGGCCAGTGGTTCTGCCACACATGCCTCTTTGGCACCGGTGGTGACTTTGGTTTCGATGAGGGCGAAGAGCACAGCCTCTCCAGCTTCCAAGCGCGTGATCTTGAGTTCCGGCGGCTCTGGTTCAAAATGCACCCACCACAGTCTGCTGCAGAGACGGATGGCGATGGCGTGGATGAGACGCCCAGAAAGATTGACTCGAATGATCCCACGATGAACGTGTTTGATGGCATTACAGTCACCGAGACAGATGTCGAGAATGAGTTCTGGCGGCTTGTGCAATCACAACATGAGACGGTAGAGGTAGAGTATGGTGCCGATGTGCACTCGACGACGCACGGAAGGTAGGCTGTTCGTCCTCGAAGATCGGCATCACGAAGCACTGAGCAGAGTTCTTCGCAGCGGAATGCCGACCTTGGAAACTCATCCGTTGGATTCGTATTCAAAAGATCCATGGAATCTGAACAATATTCCGATTCTTCCTGATTCTCTGCTCAGGTATATCAAGTCAGATATATCTGGGATGACGGTGCCCTGGACGTATGTCGGCATGGTCTTCTCGACATTCTGCTGGCATAACGAGGTATGCGAATGTTGTTCATGCTGATTGAGTCTGACTGATGTGCCCTCGCCGGAGCAGGACCACTACACCTACAGTATCAACTACAGTAAGTCGCTTTCGAGAGGATTTCTCGCCATTTCACGGCTGAAACGCAATGTCAGTGCATTGGGGCGAGACAAAGACTTGGTACAGCATTCCCGGCAGTGATGCGGAGAAATTCGAAGCTGCGATCAGGCGAGAAGCCCCGGACCTTTTTGAGGCGCAGCCGGATCTACTTTTCCAGCTTGTGACTCTGATGAACCCTAAGCGGCTGAAGGATGCAGGCGTCGATGTCTACTCGTGCAACCAGCGGGCGGGCGAGTTTGTCATCACGTACCCGAAGGCCTATCACGCTGGCTTCAATCACGGGGTAAGTGCGGTCTAGACACTGCCGAAAGCGGCTTCGCGTGGAACTGATGACTACGGCGGGTGTTTTTCTAGCTCAACTTTAATGAAGCCGTCAACTTCGCGCTCCCCGACTGGCTGCCGTTCGGGCTTGACTGTGTGAAGCGATACCAGGAGCACCGAAAGCTTCCGGTGTTCTCACATGACGAGCTGCTGATTACCATCACTCAGCAAAATCAGTCTATCCAGACGGCATTATGGTTTGTATTCTGTGTCTTGAGCGTACACCGGAATGCCCGAGGCTGATGGGTCGCTTGTCAGGCTAAATGACAGTCTTCAAGAAATGATGGCACGTGAGCTGCGCGTCCGAGATAAGGCCCGATCATTCAAGATGCAAGAAGTGCTGGAAGAGACCGACCGGGCCGAAGACCAGTATCAGTGCACCATATGCAAGGTGTTCTGCTACCTTTCTCAGATCACGTGTCATTGCACCCCGAAGGTGGTCTGCATCGACCATGTCGACTTGCTCTGCAAGTGCGCGAAGACTAACCGGATCTTGCGCAAGCGGTTTGATGACTCAGAACTTCAGGACATTCAGGTCAAGGTCTCGGAGCGTGCGGCGGTCCCGAGTATTTGGCACAGCAAGTTGTACAAACTTCTTGAGAGCGCTAGGCCGCCGCTTCGCAATCTTCGAGCGCTATTGGCGGAAGGAGAGCGCATCAACTACCCTCTTCCTGAACTTAATTCCTTACGTAAATGCGTCACGCGGGCAAACGAATGGGTGGATGCGGCCAATACGTTCCTGGTCCGTAAGCCGAGTCGCAAGCGGGCGCGCAAGGTTCGTGGTCGGTCATCCACAGATGGTACTAGCGGTATTATCGAGGAGATAAACGACAAGCCCGAGCGCACGCTGGACGAACTGTACGCGGTGATCAGCGAGGTCGAGAACCTCGGCTTCGATAGCCCGGAGATTAATCAATTAAAGACCCTGGCAACTGAGGCCGAGGAGACGCGGGATAAGGCCCGTGCATTGCTTCGTCCCACAACCTCCCCTCGGGACCGCGACACGTTCATCCAGGAGTGTGATCGGCTGCTCCTTCATGGGTCATCGTTGAACGTCCTCATCGACGAGTTCTTGGAGGTCGAGAAATTCGTGATGCGCGAACAGTTGATCAAGGACCTCGAGGAGGACTTGGACGACGAGCATATTTCGCTGGAGGACGTCCGGTCATTCGTTTCGCGCGCCCGACAGTGCGATTTCTCGGTGGAGAGTCCGTACATGAAGCGTCTGCAGAAACTACTCCATGCTGGCGAGGAATGGGAAAAGAAGGTGAAGGATGTTATGAATAAGCCTCAGCGTACGTTGGAGGAGCTAGACGAGGCGGCCAACCGAGGACCTGCCGTGCCTGCTGACCCGGAGCTGTTGGACCGCCTTATGGCTACTCGTGTCAGGGCGAAGGATCATGAAAAGCAAGCGAAGGCCTGGCTGATGCCCGAGCCCAACGCGATCAAGCCAAAGGTGCAGGAGGCTGTGAAGTTGGTCGCTCGTGCCGAGAAGGATTTTGCCATTCCTGCGATTCAGGACCTCAAGCGAACGGTTGATTTTGCGCAGGATCTCGAGAATCGCTGCGATGCAGTGCTTAGGAATCGCTACGAACACACCGAGGATGGCGACATCTTCCAGATCATGCTTCAGTGGCGGAAGTATGCGAAGGAGCACTTGACGATGTTCACGCTCCCTAACTTCGAGAAGCTCGACAAGCAGCTCTCTCAGCATTTCCGCTGGCTCGAGGGTCTGCCGTGGTATTGTAGACAACACCAGGAGGCTCACGGCCAGGCGATTCTGGACGATGTGGTGGAATCGACTCGACCAGAGGATGACCTGCCTCCGAATGACGAGTACTTCACCTGCATCTGCACCACACCGGTTCGTCCGCCTGCAGCAGGAACCAGCTCCGACGCTGTTCAGTGCGATCATTGCTTCGCTAGGTTCCATGGTGTATGCGCAGCCAACGGTGGGTCTTGTCCGTTCTGCGATCATCACCATTGGAATGGCACCATACACAAGGAGAGGAATTGGCACTTTTGCTATCTTCCGACCATCCTTCTGCATGCCCCTGATGTTACGAAGAATTATTCCGAGCATTGGAAGCAGCTGGAGATCATTGTCCACCGAGTAGACCGACTATCGGCTGTCATCGGCCAGTTCCTCTCCTTCGCATCACAGCCTGCGAACCAGCGCCCGGAGTATATCCCACAAGTTCGTCACTACATGCGCAAGCTGTATAGAATTCAATTCGCTGTGTCGCCGAACCCGGAGGTATCTTTCGGTCTGGACCTCGCTGGACTGCATCGTATTCTCGCTGGACAGCCGCCAACTGTGAGATTGAAGAAGCGCAGGCGGCCGAAGTTCATTTTTGGTCAGGATATTGACAAGGACTGGCTGGACGGAACGCGGTGCATCTGTCGAGGTCGGACTAGCTATTTGCTCAATTATCCAACAGTGGAATGCGAGATGTGCTCAAAGCTGTACCACGCGGGCTGTGTCTTCTATCCGATTGACGCGACAGCTAACGTGCGCAGCCGGTTCATGTGTCCTCTCTGCTGCATCCGCAAGAACAGAGCATATCCGTACTCAGAAGTTCGTGTGAAGCATATCGGTATGCCCACTCTTGCCTTTGTATTAAAATGTTACTGAACACCTCTTTCAGAAAACCCAGAGCAGGATATGTACGTCAACACCAAAGAGATGCTTGAGACTTTCAGCAAGGACTTGATCTACATGAAGCTGCCTCCCCCATATACTCAAACACTTTTCGTTGAGTTGATCCGCTTCACTCCCGGTGTGCCGGAAAACGTGGGAAACAAGAGGTTATCTCCACCTCTTCCTCCCCCGTCTAGGATGCCTGGACTATCACCGACGAACGGTCACTCTCCGCATCCCCGCAGCGCGAATGCGTATGCGCATGCACACGCGCACGCGCACGCGCATGCTCACGCCCACACACATGCGCCGCACCCTCATCCGTCATCTCAGCGATCAGTGCCCGTCACTCCTCCTGTCGCATACGAGAACGGTCGTCACCCGGCTGGCTCAGGACATCATGTCCCTCCACCGCCGCCATGGTCGAACCAGATTTGGAGCAGCGCTGGGGCCTCTGCTCCTCCGCCAATAGCTAGACCTCACCTCGAGCTGATGCGGTCTCCGGTTGATGCACATGCTCAGGTATCCCGAAAGCGCAAATATCCTGACGATGTCCCTTCCGCTGCAGGGGATGATCGGCTGCCTTCTGCCTTCTCTCCGCTGCTGCCATCGCCTAAGCGTCGGCAGACACCTCACACACCGCAGCCGGCCTCACGGCCAAGCCAAGGCATGTCCCCGTCGCTAGCGTTGATGTTGTCGCCTACACCCAGCGACGTACGGTCTCCTCCGCGTCCCCCTCCACCCGTATCGTCCTCGGGGCGCCCGATAGCTCCGAGTGCCATGTCTGGTCCTGCTCGGATGCTCGAAGAGTTCGCTAATGCTGCACCACCAAATCCTTTGCGCAAACTCGCGTACTCGGATATGCGTCCGGATCGCAATGGTCGGGAGCCGCCGACAATGATGGATATCCATCGTTCTTCTGGAGGACCGCCTCCTTCTCTCCATCCTAGGCGTTGAATGAAATGATTGTGCATGCGAATGGTAATCTGATTACGATTGCTAATGACAAACGTGCTGCTCTTACTGTAACATGTTTACGTTACTGTTTCAATGCTTTTTTTTCCCTTGTAGTCGTATGCCTTACATTATCGCGCACAATGCTCGTTGCTCTGCGATTCTTGAAGTAGCAGAATCGGGTTGTGTTCTTTAGGGCTTTGGTTGAGAATGTCCAATGTCATCAAACAGCGTCCGGAATAAATATATCTATCGCTTATGTTGTAGCGTCGTGAGCGATAGCGAGAAGTACAATTATTCCAGGTCCCAGTAAACTGAACAACAAAAGCGTAATGTACACTCATCACAAACAGGATGGACCTCTACACTAAACGTCACGAGTTTGAGTCGACCGCACTGTCATGCCGAGTCCATACGTTATCTACAGCTCCTTTACGAGCCTCCATCCGCTTTCCTGTCCATTCCTCCTCCCCCACGTGTTCCGCCCAATCGTCGACGCCCTGGTCACCCCATCCAGCCCAACCCTTCTCATCCAGTGCACGAGAATCGGCCAATTCGGGCTCCTGAGGCACGGGTGTCAGCGCAGACGGTGTGCCGTTCACAGGAACAGCATGGGCGGGTGACAAGATCGTATGCAACGCGAGCGCGGGCGGAGGTGACCGGCGCCGGCGCTTAGGGCGCGGAGACAGGCTCTTGGTACGGGCGGATATTGACGACGCAGGGGATGTGCTGGAGCTTGCTGAAAGGCTGGGCGGGTACGCGTGTGCGACAGGTGTCCCCCGACCTGCTGAGAGAGCGATATCCACCGGCTTGGCTGCGGGCGTGGTTGAGCCAGAACCGACGATAGTCGCACTGCCTGAACGGAAGGACTTGGATTCGTCCTGCATGTGGTCGCAAGATGACGACCGCGGGCGCGGATTCTCGATATCGTGTGGAGGGCACACAGCATTACCATCATCGCTCTCGTCGTCGGATGGGGCATTAAATAGTGGTTCTTCATCTGTATCCATCGAGCTTCGAGGAGTGAGAGAGGGGAGGACGACGGCAGCTGCTTGTGAAGACTTGACGATCGAATCGATGAGCCAGAATTGAAGTACATTCATGAATATCGGAAAGAGGCCCATCGTACTGAAAATAGTTGAGCCCTGGAACAAAAAGGGAGAGAGGACGTCCAAAACGTACAAAATGACTTGCAAGGCGTCACTGGAGCCTAGGAAGCTCAATAGCCATTCACCGAGCTTGAAGATACCCGGCCAAGCAGCGAAAAGCGCAACAACAAGAAGCTTCATCGAGAGTAAGGATAAAACGTATACCGCCGCTTGACGCGCCCAGTACGTAATTGAAGGCGGCGAGCCGTACTGTCCCGACTCGAAGCCCTTCAGATGGCATTTCTCGCTGAGGGTCCATGTCAATAGGTGCAAGATGAAGTATATGACACCGATACCTGCAGCATTGATACAAAGGATTAAGATGAGAACAGGGTGAATATAACACTCCACGAACCGATGGTGGTATCAACGAGAATGTTGATGAAGTAAAATACACAGGCATTGCCTGATGAAAGGTGGGCGACAACGCCAGATATGAGCACGTTCACTCCATGTACGACCAATTGGCCGATGACTTGCTTGGACACATCAAACAGCCTGAATCACACGTAACCCGGGTATTCCATGACACGGTCAGTGTGTCGTTCACAACTAAGTTTCGGTAGAACAAACCATATTCGCCACGGACGTTTTGGCGTTTCTCTATGCCGCTTGTAAACTAATGATGAAATGACTAGGACACCCAGGAGTCCCTGAGTAATCTACAAAGAGCATGAGACTTTCCCGAGCGTTTCAGTCCACCCGGAGACCTACGAGTGCCGTAGGACCAAGAAGCCGACATGAACGTTGGTCAACGTCGGGGTAGTCGTCAAAGAAGCTGTCCGTAGTGTCGGACATTGACAAGACGAGATGAGAGAGTATATGTGTCCTTGCTGTCAGCCAGAGTGAAAAGAGTGCAGTGCGATCCGAGTTTGGTCTGGCTGTGGCTACTAGTACCCATCAAGGGTCGCTCTCCATGTGAGTCACGTGAACAAGGACGGATTTGGCCTCGCAGCGCTTATTAGGAGGCGCTCGCTCAGCAGTTGAACTCAGACGCAACCGTCACTTTGCGCAATGGACTCGTCCTCTTCAGCAGCAGCAGCTCTCAAGCTTGAAATTGATCGATTATCAGGTATACTTCCTTGCATTTTCATAATTGGAGATTGTACAGCTGGCGGCTCATTGATGACTCACTGGCTTCCAGGTGCAATCAACCGATTCAAGACCGGAGACTCTCAAGGTCAAGCACGCCAAGTTAACAGACCCAATGTCTACGTCAATCCGAATTACAAGCCGCGGAGCAATCCCGTCTATCCAAAGACTACGCCTTACCAGAGGCCGTCCCCGCCGCAGCGACCTACTACTCCCAAATCTCAGACACGCGATGTAGTCATTGGAGGTGTTACTTTCCAGTCCTCTGGTCGTTCTCTAGTTCGTAAGGACTGTGCGTCTTTATTACGAGAATGTCGAGATTATTGTGGCATTGAGAAAGCGCATGTGGCAGTGGCGAAGCCAGCTACAATCGCCCCCGGCGCAACATCGAAACGACCAATGTTGCCACCTTCTAGGTATCCGAGGACTCATGATGGACAAGCGGGTAGTACGAAGAGGGCTTTCAAGCCCAGAACATCTAGTCAGAACCGCAACATGACTCTGGCCAATAACAGGAGACCATATCAGTTAGTTGCTTACTCCGCGATGCTCTCGGGTCAACCTCACGATCTTTACCAGATCCACCAAACGTAAACTGAACAAGCCTTGTCCTCGATTCACTACGACTGGTGCGTGTGTATTGAGAAGTTTTTCATTGTCTTTGTGTTTGTCGATGAAACAGCATCTATTCACATCGGGTTTGCCAGGATCCTGCAATCGCGGTCGTACATGTATGTATCAACATGACCCCTCCAAGATCGCCATCTGTTGGCCCTTCCTGCAGGGCAGTTGCCCCAACAGCGCCGACACCTGCCCGCTTTCTCACGACCCCACGCCCGAACGCACGCCGCTTTGTGTGCACTTTGCTAACAACGGCCGCTGCACGCGCCCGGACTGCCCGTTTCCGCACGTCCGTGTCGGCCAGCGGCATGGCGTCTGCAGGGACTTTGCCGTCCTCGGCTACTGCGAGAAAGGGCTCGATTGCGACAAGCAACACGTGCGCGAATGCCCCGATTTCGCGGAGAAGGGCGTGTGTACGACGAAGGGGTGCAAGCTTCCGCATGTCATACGCGCCAATCGCAATCGCAAGACCGCCCCTGCTGCTTCAGCTTCTACTGCTCCGGCTTTGTCCGGAGGGGCTGATTCGGTGGAACCTTCTGCTGGCCAGAATCCCTCCGCTTCGGCTCCTATTTCTTCTGTTGAATCTGGTGGTGTTGCTGATGGTTCCAGCGCTCATCGGACGACTGCAGAACATGCGCAGCTCGGAGATGAGTTCATCTCACTCACTTTCAATGAAGATGAGGACGAGAGCGAGAGTGAAGATGAGGATGACGACGACGATGGTGATGGTAACAACCATGGCAATGAAGATTCCGAGGAGGAAATTACAGAGCAGTTACATCATCGCTCACCCGACGGCGGAGTGGATAGTGGAACGTATTCGACATGAATGTAAAGTGTGTACAGTAGTGAACTTGCATCAATATACTATACCTTGGGTTATAACGAATGCTTCTGAGTGTCCAACGCCACCACTGCTACTATAAGGTGGTAGGGCCGGTGCCGGCAGCGCCCGCTACGACGAGCGCGGTTACTTTGCTAACCGGCGCTTCATGCGTTTCAAGCACTGGCAGCACTGAAATAGTAACACCGCCTGTCGTGTAATAAAATCTGCTCTTCATTACTGTGGTTTATCTTTTGGAGAGATGTGGCTTGAACAGGCTTGTTACTTTTTCAAATCATTTCGTTTGTCAGTCATCACCCTAGAATTCGAATTGTGTGCGCGCCATTTCCATAATGGGCAGCTAGTTTGGCCACTTTTCAGTAATAGAGGAGCTCGAATACGATGTGGAAACAGAGGTACATAAATTGACTACATGATCCCTCATCGTGCCACACACAGACGCACAGGGAAAGAGATCACGAGACATGACGAGCAATGGAGCGATCACTTCAGGGCAGACGTGTGCCGCCGATCGCTAATTTTCGCGGAGAGCCTTGTGAGCTTCAAATCGACAAGACCCACTACTATCGTAGCGGGAATATCTGCTTGGACCAGCCTGGGCGTTCGACGTTCAATTTCACGCCCTTTCCTAGACAGCACCGTTTCCTCGGCCTTTGACGAAGGCAAGCGAGCCTTTGCATCATTATCCAGTATTACGATCGCGAGGGAATCCGCTTTCATCCTAAGTAAGATTGAGCATGTGTGACAACGGCTATAACGATGCGGCATGTATTGTATATAGGATATAAGCAAGAAAAGGGACTGTTGATATAGATACAATTGAGAGTAATTCCCAAAACCTCAACGATCTAAGGCCTGTGAAAGAAAAATGCCTCAACAGAAAGCGAAATATCTGAAACGACTAGAACGGGGCACCGCTATGCCTTTAGCAGTCCCACTCCTTTTCTTACTTCTTGCGCAGCTGTGTGCGGAGGTTAGCATTCTCTGTCTGCATAGAGTTGAGCTCCTCGAGGAGCGCCATCTGTTGTGTCTGCTGGGACGTCCGGAGTGACTCGATCTCTTCCTTTGCGCGGGCGAGCGATGCGTTGCACTCAGTGAGCTGAGCCTCCAACTGCTTGCGCACAGTGTCCCCTGCGGAGGCAGCGTCAGAGGCGAGTGTGAGAGCTCGCGCGCTGAGGCTGTTGTTCGCGTCCGTGAGCTGGCGGCACGTCTCGGCTTGCTCTGCTGCTCGAGTCTCGATCTCGAGCCTCTCGGCAGTGATGCGATCGACTGCCTCTTGCAGTTGTTGCACCTCTTCCTCGCTGAGTAGGGAATCCATCAGCCCATGAGGGTATGTAGGACGGAAGTATACTCACAGTGCAGCCTGCTTGGACATCATCGCAATGTTGCGGTCTTCGAGCATCTTCACTTGCTTCTGATACGTCTCAAGAGCAGCGTTGCTGTCTTGTGCAAGCTTCTGCGCCCGCTCCGCGTTCTTCTTAAGCAGATCATGCGCCTGAGCAAAGCGGATGAGCCGCTCGATGAGCGCACGGTCATCCGCAATGAGGGCCTGCACTCTTGCCGCGAAAGCCTCGACGGTGAATGCGCCGCTGCCTTGTGCCGAGGTGCCCCGAGGATCATACAGTGTCTTGAGCGAGCGCACGTCCATCTCCGACAGTGATGTAGTATTGCGGCCAGCGACAGGGCTGGTAGTAGGAGAAGCCGGTCGGAAAGCTCGTGCGCCGAGTTTGTTTGCGCGAGCCTCCGGGGATGGGAGAATGGCCCATAATGGCTGAAGGATGGAGACGATCTGCGCGGCGTCGCCGGTGTATTCGACTTGAGCCTGCGATGCCTGCAGACTTGCAACAGCCATCTGAGCAAAGGCTTGCTCCTGAGGAATAGACCAATGAGCTCGATCAAACAATGAGCGATCAAGACATACCTTGAGCTGTGCTTCTAGCTCCCTGACTTGCGTTCGAGCTTCATCTGTTGCCTTTCGCGCTGTTTCAAGCTCTGCGAATATGGACTCGCGCTTATCCAATCCGGCACGAATATCCGTCTCCAGCTTCATCCTGACATTCACCCATTCCTCCTCAGCTCGTGAGTGTGCCTCAATTTTCGCGTGTAGGTCCTCTATATGTTTACCCACGGAATGTACCAGCCCAGGAAGAGTAGGATCACGCGATGCAAGGAGGATACCGTGCGCGTGCATTAGATCCCGCAACATGTCCGAGCATTCTGTCAGCTGCGCTTTGCTCTCTGCACCATCCTGTAGGGCCACCTTCTCCACCTCCCAAGCTTCACGATCCGCATCCCACATTGTCTTCACCCCGGCCAACTCCCTTCTCGTCTCCTCCAACTGACTCTCCTTCTCGGCCAGTAGCAAGCCGCTTTGCTGCCTCTCTTGTGCAAGCGCACCCTCCATCTCCGCCGCTTCACCGCTCTGCTCCTCGAGCACCTCTAATCGGCGCTCAAGTGTATCTGCCTGCCTTCTCCGCTCCTCCAGCTCTTCTCGATCTTGATCCCATCTCACCTTCTCGCTCTCGAGGAAGCGCAACTGTGCAGCCATGTCATCCATCTTTTTGAGTTGCCGTTCAAAAGCAACGATAGAGTCTTGTGCGGCCTGTAGATCCATCCCCAGCGATGTCTCTACCTGTTCCTTCTCCAGTCGTGAAACGGAAAGATCACGCGCCATGTCAGCCTGTGTTGCCGCGGCAGCTTCAAGCATGGCAGTGGCCGTCTTGAGCTTGTCTTCCAAAGCAGCCACTTCGGCAATTGTTGGTGGATGCCGCAGTGGATGGGGGACGACCGCGTCAGAATGGCCGGCGAAGAAGTGCTCGAAACGGCCTTTGGACGATACTGTAGTCATGCTCGTTACAGATGAAGATGTGGGGCTCATTTGGGAGCTACGAGAGGGAGAGGTATAGCCCGACGTAGTGGAATCCCCGTCCGGTGGCGCAATCTTCTTCTCGAGGCTGCGTACTGAATGACTGAGAACGGCTGCTCTATGCTCCAAAAGTCTCCGCTGGACTCCACTTGCACGCTCAGATATACGCCAAAGATCTGCTTGGACAGACTCGATCTTGCGATTTGCAGCTTCGACCTGCTCGGTCGTCTGTTTCGAGACGTTCTTGTAGGATGCGTTCGCCTTCGACAGTGAGACAGCAGCGTCGCGGATTCTGGTCTCGAGCTGAAGCTTCCTCGTCATTGCATCGAGCCGCGAAGAAAGCACTTGATGCTCCTATGTACATTGTGGTATCCAGCACAGTAGATAACTTAACTAACCACGGACCTTCTTGAGCTCCTCTACCTCCTCCGCACTGAGGATCTCACATCCTCTGCTGTCCACAATTGCCTCGCTTGCCAACAGACTGACAAGCAACTCGTCCCGCGTTGTGAACATGGCTGTGCTTCGCTTCGAGTCCATAGCGCTTCGGTCGACCGGGATCCTCGATAATCCGGATACACGATTGGCAAGAGGTCGAGGGGCCGATGGGCCGGCTACAGGCGGAGGTGCTTGAGCAGATGGACCTTGACTTCGTGCAAGAGATACGCCATTGGACTGTCGCGATGAGTTGGGTGAATGAAAGGATCCGTTGGCCGTTCCCTCGGATGATGGGGGACCCGGAGGCAGCTTCTGCCTATCCTTCCGGAGAAACAGTGCTGCAGTGGTCATTTTTGGACTTTCGTTGGCTGGTAGCTCCGTAGGACTCTGCAGAGGCGAAGGCGGCCATGATGGTTTGGAAGAGCGAGCGAGCGGCACAGGCTGTTGAGGGGGTGATTGAGACGGTGGACTCGAGGGGGGAGAAAATTGTAATGAGGCCGGCGTGCCTCCACCACCAAGGAAGCGGGCTATTCCGTTCATGGTCGTGCCGGATAGTAATGGGTATACAGATGTATGAAGGGATATCCAGAGGTGAACAAAGATGCAGCCAGCTGCCGGAGAAGTCGAAGGAGCAGTCGTGAACGTCGCAATCGAGAGTTGATGCGCTCTTAATTCGTCGACGTTGAACTCACGACGGCTGCTACATTCACAGCATTCGCCGTCGTGTCAGAGTCGACAGACAACTCGTGAGGAGAACACTGCTGTCTCAGGTCAACGATTCAGGTATCAGTGCAAGATCAAACTCTCGAGAATTACCTCATCAACGTAATTATTAGGCCTAGGCAATCCTAACGCCTGAGGTCTATTGATCTGCCACTAAGTGCTAGCGGCCTCTAGACAGCAACCACGGAAGTGGATCTAGAAATACAATCTGGCCAATATTCCGGAAAACTGATGAACATCACGGATGCATGTAAGGAAGAAATTATAGAGACGTTATCTCCCCGCTCCAGTACCCGCGGCCGATTTTGACCAAGACTAACAGTGCCATCACTACACTGGCGGCCTCGAACACTATATACGGTGCCCGCGGTCCAGCAAAAAATGCTGTGAACGCTAGCGCCAATACCGCGTGCCTCGGCCAGGACAATATCCCACTGCCATTTATACAGTATCACGAATTAGCGAACCATAATGCAAAGCCACTGAGTGACCGAGAAAGAGATATCACTCACGCTTGAGTGAAGAGACTGCCACCAGAGCCCGCCCATTCGACTAAGACGAGCCATGGCGCGACGATCAACACATTCCTGTCCGGACCCCAGCCCGAGGCTGATCCCCACACGGCCCTGATCCCAGATCCCGCAACCGTACGCACCCAAACTACAAGCACGGGGGCAGCGATTGGCAACAACCACGCCATGATCAATAGCAGATGCTGATCCTGGTTGTGTTTCGCGTCCAAGACATTCGCATCAGCGGCAGGAGCATCTCGTAGGGAAGGCGACGATGGAGAAGGTGGCTGAGAGGAGGGAGAAGACGACACGCGGGAGGCACCATGCGCACTAGTGGGAAAATTCGAGGACGAGGCTTGCCGAGGGATGAGGGAAATAGCAGTAGATGGTGCTGGATAAAATGCCAACGAGGCGTTCGCTGCACATGTATAGAAGTGGTATATCCATGCACATAGAAAAGCCACTTGCCACGGTATGATCACGATGATAAGAAAGACTACGAGACCCATGGACAACAGCGCATTTCGCCGCGAACTGGTTTCTCTAGGCCTATAAAATGAAACATTTCATCAGCCACTCAGTAAATCATTGATACACGGCCTACCTTGGTGCTCTTAATGCTCTTCTCGGGAAGAAGGCAGTAATCCTTCCTACCAGCTGAACCAATCCGCCGACTACGACCCATGTGATGGCTATTAACCCAACTGTGACACCAAGCAAGATCGGTGCAATTATCGCGAAAGCAGGTTCGCCAGCGTTGCCCAACCAGAGACTTTCAGGCAACGGCAGCAAAGATATCACGATAGACGCCGGAAGTAAACGCGGGAGCACATAAGAAACTATATGCGCAAGACTGTGCACGATGGAGGGTGAGGGCCCTCCTGCTTCTGTGACACTCCATGCATAGTGCAGTATGAGTGCGCAAATGCCCACACCCCAGGCAACTGCTGCCTGAGCATATCGACCTGCCCACCGTCCTAATGAACCCCACCAATCCACCGTCAATACCATGCTCTCCAGAGCGCAACCTCGCTCGTCCGAGGAGTACACCGTAAGATTGAATCCTTTTCCCGCAGCGGGCGCTGTAGGAGGCAGGAATGGCCCGGATGCATGTGAGTGCAAAAGGATCGGCTTGCGTGGACTATGAGGGTCAAGTGAGAAGTAGTGTGTCTCAGACTGGTGGGAGGTGTGTTGGAGGATGGGGACAAACTGTGCATCTGTGTGGACAGCACAGTTAGCCTCCAGGTCTCCACAATGGGGGGATGATGAACAGGTATCAAACAGAACCAACCTGAACAAGATGATTCATCCTTCAGCTGAGGAGTGAGCCGGTATACAAGCAGAGAGCTTGATAACAGCTTGGGAAACGAGACTTGTGTCCAAAGTGGACTTCCCGAAAAATGAAGCTTCACCCTCGACCACGCAAGATCTACGTTAACTTAGTATTGCCTCACGCCCGTTAAATGAGAGCTGCTCACCTAATACTCCAATATCACTCACAACCACATCGGCGGAACTGAATCCAGCAACAATCCAACCCCTTCCATCCGCACCCTCTACGTGGACTGCAACATAGCTCTGCTCTTCTCGCCCTGCCTCTACATCAGCAGCAAATACGACCACTCCCTCACTCTCATCCGTCCCCTCATCTGGGACTGGGAACGACATGCCTGCAATTGGCTCCGGAACGAGTTTCAACACTGTTGGGGAAAGATTTGTACATGTCTCAAAAGGTGATCTGGAGCATTGGAAGACTGAGACACGTAAAGGAAGGGGAGTATGCGGTGATATCGGCGCTAAGGATCCGCGGGAGAGGTACAGCGTGAATTTGGTTCTCGGTTGCAGAGGAATCGGGAGGAAATATGTGCGCGAGCCCGAGAAGGACGGCTGGCGTAATACCAGCGATGAGGACGCGCCAAGGTATTCGACCTCACCACCGTTGACGTCAAAGCTGCTCGTTCGTGTGGCACCTTCTGGAAGTGTGTGCCCATCTCTCAGCCACCGATCAAGTGCCTTTCCCCGTTCTGTCGGTGACGATTGCGATACAGCGGCAAGCTCGATTGCGGCTCTCGCTATGCGCCAGCGCACCTGGTGGCACCACACCATCTCCTTATGTCCTACACCAGTCCATGCGCCCTCTAATGCGCTCGTGAACACTGTCCGCCGGTACGTCTCTTGCATTGGCTTCGACACAGGTATGATGCAAGACTCTGCGGGAACGAGCAGGTCGGTCGCACCTCCGCAAAGAGAGATAATTGGTGTCGGGTCCTCAGCCAGAATGCGTCGGTTGGACGCGAAGATGGTGTCGACGCGACGGTCGAGTCGGGCGGGTGGAAGTTTGTGCGGGGTGGACATCGTTATAATGGCAGATATGTTCGGGTGGGGGAGTAGAGCAGTGGCCACTGTTCCGCCCATCGAGTGCGCAAGCACAATCACGGATGTTGGTTCAGGATAGAGAGCGAGGATGTAGCTGATAGCTGCCCGTGCATAGCTCGTTTCGGCATCAAGAGTAGGCCCATGAAATGCAGAAAGATCCTCGTTAAATTCCACTAAATCATATTGAATGAGTTTCGATGCATACACACCACAGAGATGTGCATACGTGCGAAGAAATCCAGATGTTTATAAGAGTGAGATTCGAACTCCGAAGAGATGTGGTAGGGAGAAGAGAAGAACTGACGAGTCGCCGAGGACGCTATAGACCGAACTTGGTGTGACGAACCCGCATTCCCAGGGATAAAGAGAACTGGCGATCCATGAAGCTGGGCTGGTGCTCAGTCAATCTCCACGGGAATATGGACAAGAAGCCGAGGCAGATGACACGTCGGACAGCACCCTGCCGCTAGCATACAATGAACCGTTTCCAGACATACCTCAGAGGGGGACTCCCATCCAACTTCGCGGTACAGATACAGCGAATATCGTGAGGCCAGTGGCGTCCAGCGGTCATTGAAAGCGGCTTGGAGAACATAGGATGGCGACATCCAGGACATTCGACAGCCCTGGGGTGACAAAGAAGAGATAATGTCGGAGCCTGCATGATACAAAAGGAAAACGCAAGATAATGAGAATACACTGATAAAGACGAGCACAACGAAAGGAGATCGCATTGAGGCTCGACTAAGAGAAGTGCGCCAGAAGGGCGTCTAAGTAGTATCCGGAGCGAAGTTCCCGCGGAGGTTGAATGAGACTACATAACTGTACGCACAGTTCCGTTCAAGTCGACGGATAATCTTTTGCTCTTGTAATCAGGCACTTCAAATATTGTTAGGAGTAATACAATTTGTCGCTATTAGTGGAGACGGGCGTCTGATGCAGGTCATGTTGCATTCTGCCAGGATTCCACCAACACGTCTGCTCGACGCCCACGCCTTCGACAGCAACCACCAGCCTACCAGAACTGGTTTGTCTGGAGCGCGCTCGCTGCTTTCCAACTCATCACATCGGTCGTCGAGCCTGAGCGACCGCCTTGCCTCCTGAGATCTTTTGTCGAGGTCCTTGCAGGCTCCATCGGACGCACAGAGGCAACATTCATCTCGCCATAGACCTTGTGCGGCCTGCCTAGCTAGCGCCAGTTGTCCGGAAGATTTGACAGTATAGAAAGAGTTGTAGTTATTGTTGGAGGTTACCACTCGGTGCGATACGTTGTTTGCTCAAGCTCAATATCGATCATTCAACTGTTGCTCAGACGTTTGCAGGTTTTGCCAGGATGACTTCACCAGATACCCCTTCCACGCTCTCAAGCAACATTAGTAGCTCGCCCATGCCCATTCGTCCTTCTTCTGAGCATTCACATTCACATTCGCCCGATCGTCTTCGCCGCCGAAATAGTGAGATCGAAGATCATGACCCATCTGTTTCCCACTCACGACCACGCCTTTCTCCAACGCTCGCGCGCTCCTACAATCCCAATGATCCCGATATGCTCGAGCGGCAGCGTGCCATGGATGCCGACATGGCCATGCAGCTGTCCCGTGCACGCAGCAACACCATCGTATCTGCCATTTCACCCACTATATCACCCATAGGTCCTGGCCCTCGCCCTCTTTCCACAACTGCGGAGACGTCCCTACAGTTCCCGGCACTCTCGCTGCAGGAAGAGCAGGACATGGCTGACGCGCAAGGACGGCCATACTCGGACTCTGATTCCGATCGCGCTGACTATCACCCTGGTCCGGCACCAGAAGTGCTCCTTAATCACCTCAGCGCCGCTCATGATCCTTCACTTCTTGTATCAATGGACACTGCAGACATAGAGGGGGGACTGCCGATGTACCAAGCGAGCGTTGGTGCTACGCCACCGGAGCGGCAACAGTATGACTTCGAGCCAATGGAGGCATTCGCGCGCGAGGAAAAGATCAAGCTCGGTATTCAGTCCCCAGCATCACCATTGGCTTCAGGGAGTTTTTTCGGTAAGCCTCAAGCTCAACAGGTGCAGGTGTCCGGAGTGGAGACCAACGAGCCCGTTGCAAGTTCAAGCGGACACTTCACCATCCCTCGAACGCGTCATCGCAAGCTCTCCCAGAGCGCCCCCGCACCACGCCGCGGGAAGCTTGCTCTGTTCGAGCAGCCAGGCGCAGTCCCTCCCACGTCTGGGACGACGCTGAGTGTTGTACCGTCCTATGACAATCTGAATGATCTCATCAGTGGCGTCGCTTCTGGAGGCGGGACGGGTATTGGGGGACATGGAGTAGGCGCGTCTGGGACCGGTCACGACAGGCCATATCGGTTCTCATTCTATTCTAATGCACTGAGCGCTACGATACATGCACGCAGCCTCAGCGAATTGCCTGCTGAGGGCCAAAGTTTCGAGGATCTATTTACGGGACGTCAGCCTTCTCTTCAGAAAGTCAACGCCCAAATGTTCAGGCCTACTGTAAATGGGAAGACAGGTACAGCCGGCGCGGCGGGTCCCGGCTCAGGGACACGTTCATCAGCATCTACACCAGCTCCCGGAGGCTATGGAAAAGCACCCGGTGCAGGCATAGAGGGCAGCCCCGATATCTACACCTGGTGGCTGGACGTGCTATCTCCGACGGACGAAGAGATGAGGTTGTTGAGTAAGGTAATGTTGGTGTTTATACTGGGCCATAACACAGACGCCTAACGGCGAATTTGCAGGTGTTCGGTATTCATCCATTGACCACTGAGGATATTCAAATGGAAGAAACGCGGGAGAAAATCGAGTTGTTCCGGAACTATTACCTGGTATGCTTCCGCGGCTTTGATCAAGACCCTTACAGCCCGACATACTTGGAACCACTGAACATGTACATCATCGTATTTCGCGAGGGCATTCTGTCGGTGCGTCGTCGACATGTTACATTCCTCCTGCACAGAAGCACCAACACGATAGCTGGCGAATATAGTTCCACTTTCGACCCACACCACACCCTCAGAACGTACGGCGGCGGATCAAGCAGCTCAAGGACTACATCAGCGTGACGTCTGACTGGATCTCATATGCACTGATTGACGACATAACGGATGCATTCGGACCCCTCATCCAGGGCATTGAGTACGAGGTCGACAGCATCGATGAGTTGGTCCTGATCTTGAAGGATGCAGAACAGAGTGACATGTTGAGGAGGTAAGGCAGATGAATATCGTAATCTCACGTTGGAGCTGATGCAGATTCATCCAGAATTGGCACTTGTCGCAAGAAAGTCATGGGCCTTCTGAGGCTTGTGGGTAACAAGGCCGATGTCGTCAAGGGTCTCGCTAAGCGATGCAATGAAAATTGGCGGGTTGCACCGACTTCGGATATTGTTAGCGTGCTGTGGTACTGTCGTTGATTCTTGCTAACCATGTTTTCCCCTGCAGGGTCTATATCTTTCCGACATTCAAGACCACTTGATCACTATGACTCAGAACTTGAACCATTACGAGAAGATCCTTTCGCGTTCTCACTCAAACTACCTCGCACAAATCTCCATAGAAATGACAGAGGCGAACAACCAGATTAACGATGTCCTCTCCAAGCTCACTGCGCTTGGTACGGTGCTAATTCCGATGAATTTGGTGACCGGGCTGTGGGGCATGAACGTGCACGTACCCGGACAAGACCTCCAGACGGGTTACGTGTGGTTTGGCTCGATCATCGGCGCGCTTGCAGCGTTTGCTATCATCGCTGGATGGTCCACGTACAAGCTGATGGTGCACCGGTGACACTGTGCTCTGTTCATTTCGATGTGTTGGATAGGGTTTGGGTATTCTAGCACGACCTTCATGATAGAGCACGGACCGCGCCTTGACATACATGCAATTTTGTAACATTTATGACCGGTCTCGTACCCAGCACATACATCATAATCATTTGAACGTCTCATTTGGCGTTTCACAGCATGATCTAGGTTTGGATGATACACTGGTCAAGTGCTCTTAGTGCGACGTCGCTTGATATACAGGCAACGGTGAGATTGTTAGAAAGGACATGTTCATCTTGCACCTCGTTTGCGATGCATGGCTGCATGCGTCACGTACGTCTGGGTATGGCTGCGAATTTGGCGTGTCAATGCTGGCTGCCATTGGGACGTAAGTGGTGTGTATGGACTGCATGCTACATGCGTGGTAGCCTCCAAGCGGTTCGTTGCCAGTGAGGCGCTTTCTTGTAGGTAGCATTGAGTCCGCGCATGGGCCACTTTGCAAATAGTAGATCTAAAAGCCATATGATGCTTCTCTGCCCCCGCTGAGATGCAAGATACGGAACCCTTAGCATGAACGGCGACGAACTTGGGCCAGGCCTATCCATACCGCCACCTGAGCGATCTGTGAATTGCTCCTCCGTAAAATGATGAACCGTGTGCTCACTATTCTATGTGAGAACCAGTGCACCGTACACTTGTTGGGTCATGAATATTGTCTTGTGACAATGCATTCAAAGGCACGTATTCCGTTCTACCTTCTTTTGCCTCCATATGGTGTTGTCAGTTCAGAGGCAGCGTATTCAGATTCTGGATTTCCTTCATACCAAGCATGAACAAGATCAATAATCGTAAGTCCATTCTCTTCTATTCTCTTCTGACGCGTCCGATCGCTCAGATAATGTTCTATAGGGTCAGCTGCGCACGCTCGAGGCGGTCGCACGCAAATGCCAGACGGAGCTCCCGCGGACTTGGTACCGTACCGAGCTCATAGACACCTGGGTAACCAGCAGGCTGCAAGGGCTGGCCCAGAATGAAGCCAACCTCGTCCGCGCCCTTACGCGGCTCAATCAAATGGTGCCGCTCGAGCCTTCCAACGGACAAGTCTACGTAGCGGCGCTCCAGGAAGCGAAATCCTCCTCGTTTGGGCGCGGGCAATGCTCGGCGACGGCTTCAGCACAGTGTGGCGATACTATGAGGAGGATTACCCCGCGCCTCCCGACGCAGCCATCCCGCCCGCCGTCGCCGAGCCAGCAGAACAAGTCCCGCCAGAGGTAAGTCTCGACGCCTAGCGCTAAGGATTCTCCGGCTAACCTCGTCCCAGCCCGCTTCCGGATCCTCCAGCGTCCGCGTCGCCCGCCCAGCCCCCTCATTCGCCGCGTCCCCTCCCTTGAATGACGTCCTGGCATTGCGCGGAGGTCCCGAGCCGTCGTCATCCGCGCCTGTCGCCCCTTCCACGCGTGCCGCCCGCCCGCGTCCACGCCCCGCGTACGTGCGCATTCTCCTCGAGCCCCTGACTCATTCCCCCAAAACCCGGTTCGCGGAAGTATGGCGCGCAGACCAGCCGTGTGAGATGTGTGCGGAAGAGGGCCGCCGGTGCCTCTGGGACGGGTGTGGGCATAGCTGCAAGCGATGCCACGTGCTACATAGTAATTGCACGCTCGGGTTCCGTAATGACCCCCCGTCTCCTCACCGTAAGTACTCCCCCTTCTCACAGTTGCTTGTGTGCTAATGCACCCTTGCTGCTGGCGGCGACGTCGACCTACTACGGCCTCAAGGGTGCTATTCCCCGGATCCCTATATTGATGGGGTGGCCATTGTATGGTCCGCATGCCTCAACTCGTGGAGCGTTACCGGCAGACTTGAATCCTGCACTGCACGCTTCGACACGCCGACAGACAGAGTCACTGCCTGCACGCTGGCAGAAGCGCACCATGACTGCACATGTCTCAGATGCGCCGACAGGGAAGTGTGCCCGCATGATGCTGCCGCCCGTTCGTCTGCGGAAGAGCAAGAGTGGATGGGTCAAGTAATCACAGGAAGAACAAGGCCTGTCTTTTGCTAGGACCTGAGTACACCTATTTCTCGCTTTTCACACTGCATTGTGGTGATGGCTACCATTACATATTTTACTCATCATGAATCTCGTCACTTTTGAGCATGGCGTTGAGCAGTGTATAGACATCAACAGTTTGTGCAACGAACTGTAGCTGCGTAGCCACACGCTCCGCATTCAATAATACTAACACATCGGACTGCACAAATGGTCTCTCCAGGCTTCTTGTAATCGATGCTGCTGTCGAACTTCAGTTCGTTGTCCAATAAAGCGGGAATACGAACATCGTTCCGAGTCGTAAAGCCGCGCCCGCAAGGCGTGGACGATCCAATTGTTCGTCTCGGAGATGCTGCTAATGTGCGTCTAACATGCTGGCTTGGCGGCAGAAACGAGATGAAGTACAAGTTGACAGCCTACATTATGAACAAAAGCACAGACTGGTGGAATTTGCAGTTCATTCACTTTGAAATGCCTAGATATACCGCATTATCAAGACAGACGGCCGCGGGAGATTATGAGAGACGCCCCTGGCAGGACACTCCGGCGATGACATTTCGAAGTGGCGGAGTAAGTTGAACTCAAGTATACTGCGTGAAACTGCTAGTGATGTGAGCGATATCGATGACGGCCATTCGCAAGTCTTCATACCCAGGTATACGGCCCCACTTATGTGCCAACCATGATCTGACCGAACGCTCCTTCTGTCACCTTGTCAAGGACTCGGCGAACCTGGAAAACCCTTGCCTACAGTCGTCTCTCTCTCTCTCTGACATTCATCGAGCATCGTGCACTGATGAGCGTTTTTATCCGACGAGAAGGACTTTCATAGAACTTGTAGGCTAAAGTGTCACGGTTCAATGTCAAGGGTCTGTAAGCAAATATTTTCATCTCCGAGACGCGTTGATGGGATCTTGTATACGTAGTACTATGGTGTCACTCACATCCGACCTCTGCGTCAATCTTCACATGCAGTGTCTGCTAGTCACTCAAAGCTTCCAGTTGCCTCGCTTTATGGTTGAAATCAGGTGAATTGAGAAAAGCATTTGTACACGATGGACGAAAAATCTGGAACCACCTGCTCAAACACTCGTATATTTATGACGATGAAGCGGAGCGAAAGGGAGACAAACGCGACGGTATTTTTGCGTTTCGATTGGCATCGGAACGAAGAAATACGATACCACGTAATTTTCGGGGGAAGGGGAATAAAATTCAGAATTGCACTAGACAGTACACAGATGGGAACGAGAAAGAAAGGATTTCCAGCTGGTCGATACCACAACTGCGGGCTGTGATTGCTGTTATGATTGGTTTACTCTGCATTCCGCTGAGCCACAGTTATCGCCCCGACTGCTCTGATATCGAGAGCTGTGACTCACCAGCATGAAACAACCCTAGCATAGCAAATTCATGCAGCGTCAGGGTCGCGCAATGGATAAACGTTTACCATGAGCTCCTTCAGTTCCTGCTTCTGATCTGCCCTGATCTCCACGATGCCGCTCACGAAATCAAAAATCCTTCCTTGCATTGCAGCTTCATGCAGCTTCATCGGGTCCGCCTTCGCCTTCAGAAAGACATCTTGATATACCTTCCTGAGCATCTCTACCGCATCCGCATCCACTCTGCTGAGCGACATCATATTGGGGATCACCCCACGAGACGATGCCGAGCCTCGTCTTTGAGTCCGGGAGAAGAAGTCGCCATACGCCTCTTGAACCAGCTCCGAATCCGGTGGTTTTGTACCTTTCTTCCTATTCTTCACACAATTAACGAATCCATAGTCCCATGCGACAGCGTTCGACATCTGGACACTGCCACGGTCAGATACGGCAAACTGTTTTAAGTGCCAAACCGTCTTAAAGCTGGTGGGAGAACCTTCGAGTACGTTCGCCAGATTGGGGATTCTATCCGCTACATTCTTCAGACCATGCCGCTCGAACAGCGCAAAGAGGTCGGAGAAATTGAACGCATCACAGAGTTCCTTGAAGGAGCACTGTGATCTTTGTCCAGGATGAGCTCGGGAAGAATCTATCAGAGACCGATATAGATCCCCAAGCTCCCCCTCGGACTCCTCGTCGGGACATGCGCAAAAGCCGAACATCACCCACTGATCTTGCGATGGGCTAAAATGAAGGTTCCACAGTATACTAGCAGCCATGAGGTAACAGTGAACGGTGTTTTTAGGCCACGTAGACAATATTTCCGTCATCTCCGTTCGTGTGACGCTGTCCGGAAGGCCAGCGTAGCCTTTGGCACGCAGTAACAACTCGTCCACCGTCGGATCCGGCCGCCGCGGATTCTCCTTGGACCGATTATAGTTTCCGCTACGTTTGTTCTCCTGCGGCTGTTCGGGCGCTGCTCTCTTCATCATCTCCTTCAGGCTGTCCTGCTGATCCTCCCTAATTGCCACCAGTTCGCTCACGAACTCGAAGATTTTGCCCTTGATCGCAGCTTCATGCAGTTCGAGTGGATCTGCCTTCTTTTTGAGGAATGCCTCCCTATACACTTTTCTGAGCATCTCCTTCTTCTCCGCATCAGGTTTCCCGTTCGTTACGCAATTTGTAAAGCCGTAGTCAGCGGAGGCTTGCTGCTGCAACGGCACAGTATCGCATTCGGAGACAGCAAATTGTTTCAAGTACCAGACCGACTTGAACGACGTGGGGGAACCTTCGAGTACTTCTTGCAGATGGGGGATGTTGCTGACGTTGCCCTTCAGACCGTGTCGCTGGAACAGCGACAAGAGGTCGGAGGAATTGTATGCATCGCAAAGCTCCGAGAAGGAGCAATGCATGATCGATTCGGGACGTGCAATTAGCGAAAGCATTCGATAAGTCATCCCCAGCCATTTCTCGGACCATTCATCGGGGCATGCACAAAGTCCAAACAGAATCCATAAGTCCTGCGACGGTTTCGGGCGGAATCCGGATATCACCATGGCTGACATTTGGTAACAGTATCTCTTGTTTTTAGGCCACTTAGATACTATCCTCAGCATGTCGGCTTTGGGGAGGTTGGCGGGGAGGTTAGCATAGCGCTTGGCGTGCAGCCATATCTCCTCCTCCACGCTTCGTCGAGAAAGTGTCGGATCCAGTATCCACTGGTTTTCCAGAAACCAAGGATAATATCCACCTCGGTGACCCAAAGGCAGCTGCTCGAACGTTGCCCTAATCTTCTGTATGAGAATACCGTTGAGGCGCCATTCGTGAATCGTTTTGGCCGATATTCCCAACATTTTGATCAGACCTGTGTACAAGCCAATCAACATTGACTCGTTGGCGGGTACGAGAGCCCTCGAAAACCCGTAGTCTACGCGAGTTTGCACATCTTCCGGGACTTCGTTGTCGTACACGGCGCGTCCGAGTTTATGTGCAGTGGCGAGTGATCGAGAAGGAGTCAAGGTAACGTCTTGAGCCGGCCCTGTGCCGATGACTTGAGAGATTTTGCAGTCAGTGGAGTGTTCTTTCCAATGCTTCTTCTGGCAATCCTTGGAGCAATACAAGGCTGTCGGCGCTTTGCAAGCAGAGCAAGTGAGCGTGGTTGAGTTGCCACACCGAGCGCATGGGTGCGACATAATCGCAGTTATGGACGATGCCGGCTGCTACACAATGCTGCGCGTCTATCTGTCCCTAGCGATCAAATTGCACATGGATCAGCATTGACAACGCACGTACTGCCAACATGCCATACAACTGCGACTCACGAAAGGCGATGCAGCTCCTCGAACTTCCTGGTAGTCGCACACTGACCTATCTACCTTATGTCTACTACAAAGCCAATCGAGCACAGTGCGCTCGAGGCAAGGTGGTAGTCGTGGGCAGAGAAACCGTGGTTCACGTGAGACAACACCCGAACCCAGCCTTTTAAGATGACCTGAGGTTCGTCAAACCTTGAGTTTAAGTTGCTTCTAGAGCTGAACTAGACAGACCTGCTGGCCAACATGTCCACTTGTGGTCATTGACGATGCGTCGAGTGCGATAGGATTGTCGCAGAGCATGATGCTACAGAATTGGCTTCGTATAAAACACTTCTACTGTTAGATGCAGGCATGCACAATTTGGTCCCGCGCCATCCATTGCCAATCAGATGAACTATGTATGTCTCATTGCTTGGATGGCAAGGGAAGAAATTGTAACGGCCATGCGAAATTTCGCACCATGACTCACGAGGCTTTTACGTCGAGTCGTCAGTTGACCTCGACACGTGCGCATTGTGATAACGCCGCTGGCGGGCTAAGGAGCAGCTTTCAGGCGGGACCTGCTTGACTTGCTATCTCCAGAACAGGAGGAAACTATACAAAGGAGCTGGGAAAAGTAAATAGTAAGATAGCATATATGCTACGGGAGCCGCAGCTCCTGGAGCAGATATGCATGTATTTGAACGATAACTAGCGCAATGTTTATGCAAGAACATTGAATACAGGTAATAAAAAGAAGAGAACTCTGGTGGGACACCAGCGAGTGGAAGTCAACATATCCAGAGCGGATTGTTGTTGGGGCCGAAGCGTAACGGAGGCACATTTCAGAGGATACATACAACAAAGAGCCGCGGATCGATAGACCACGGGAATTGGGGCGATGATGGAATAGCTGAAGTTGAGATATTCATCGGAAACGTGTCATTAGGACTCGCGATAGGACGCAGCACTTTATACATCGGGTAGAGGATGGAGATTCTTCATCATGTCCCTCAAGGCATCCCGCTAATCTGCTTTGATTTCGACCAGCCTGCTCACGAACTCGAAGATCTTGCTCTTGATCGCGGCTTCATGCAGCTTCATCGGGTCCGCCTTGGCCTTCAAGAAAACGTCATTGTACACCTTTCTGAGCATCTCCGTCTTCTCTGCGTCAGGTCTCCCATTCATAGTACAGTTCACGAAGCCGTAGTCGACGGCGACTGACTGTTGGAGCCCAACAGTGTCACGGTCTGAAACGGCGAATTGCTTCAGGAACCATACCGACTTGTGGGCCGTGGGAGAACCTCTGAGCACCTCTGCAAGATTGGCGACCCTGTTTGCCATGTGGCCCAGGCCGTGTCGCGCGAACAGCGAGAAAAGGCTCGAGGAGCCGAATGCATCACAGAGTTCCTTGAAGGAACACTTTGTCACTTGCCCAAAACAGGGAAGGGAGGGATCGATCAGAATTCGATAGAGACCCCCCAGCTCCTTCTCGGAATCTTCGTCGGGGCATGCGCAGAAGCCGAAAGGTATCCACAGGTCATCCGATGGGGAAGGACGAAATGCAGATAGCGTTAGCGCGCACATCTGGTAACATCGAACAGTGTTCTCTGCCAATGTGGACAACCTCCTTTTCATCTGGGCCTCAGTGGGATCATCTGGAAAGCCAGCGTAGAGGTTTGCACGCCGTCGCATCTCCTCTGCGATGCCACCTGCCGGTCGCGCTGTATCGAGGACCCACTGATTCTGTAAAAACCATTAATAGTAGTCGCCGCGATTGTTCTTCGGCCACTTCTCAAATGTCGCCTTGATCTCCTGCACCAGAATGCCCTGAACGCGCCATTTGTGTAACATCTTGGCGGACACGTTGTTATATTTCATCAAGCCCTGGTACAGACCTAGGAGCTTCGATTCGTTCGCGGGCGTGAGCGCCTTCGTGAAGCCGTAGTCGTCACGAGTCTGTTGATGATCTGGGATGAAGTCACGGTAGACATCGCGCAGGAGATAGTGAGCTGTGGTAATGCCCTTTGAGGGTTTGCAATCGAGGATGTGAAATTGCCAGTGCTCCTTTTGACAAGCAGTCCCACAATACCACGCCGTTTCCACACTGCAGCCGGAGCACCTTTTGACTGCCGGCTGTTCACACCAGATGCATTCATGAGACATGGTCAGCTGCGTAAAAACGGCTTAAGTAGGTCCAGATAGTGGTTAAAAAGCGCGTTGCGTTCTCTATGCCTCTGATTGTTCAAACTCTATGCTCAGCGCTGAAATTGTCGCACGGAACCAGAGAGAGCTTACAATGTTCTCCTGCAGGATGCGATGATGAATGGGTAGACCAGTGCAGTCGTTCAAAGCGAAGTGGCTGTTGCAGAAGAAAGACCTGAGACCTAAGAATCCATCAAACCTTAACCTTCAACTGTTTCTAGAGCCTGCAGTTCAAGATGCCCCGGCGAGGTTGAGCATCGAGTGTTGTGTGTGGTCCTGACCGTGGCAGGTTGAGGCGGCCTGGCGGCCTGTCTTTGCGCACACGGTGGGTGCCTCACTGAAGCACGGCCGAGTCGCAGCGCGTCGCATCGCGCCGTCGCGTGACCGTGGCACGTGCCGCAGAGCCGCCATCCCTCCGAGAGGGCAGCTAGTCGGGCGAGACTTGGTGTTCGTTTCCGCCATTTCTGTTGCACGTCCTTCGGACGCCCATCTCCCTTAGACATATTTCCACCTTGATAAAGTACCAGCAATCTGTCTCATATCGATCGCCCTTGATCAGCTGCCGCCATTCCGACCTCCATGACCACCGACATCATGCACGACTCTCCCTCCTCGAAGCCACACCATTCCCCCGTTTCGCGTCCGAGTTCCAAACCAAAAGGTATACTGAAGAATGCGCCACTCCCCACCCACACTGGTCAGCAGTAAGTCTGAAATATGGTGCGGTCGATGCTGGAACATGGTTCGCTCATCGCGGCGCAGCTTGCAGTGGGATGAGGACAACTTGGCGTTGACAGAGGCACAGAAGGATAGTCAGATGAAGATCACGGAGCCGAAGACACCATATGTTAGATACAATGCCCTTACTGATACTGTTGAAAGCGGTGAGTCCCCGTCCGTGTTCTATCTGTGCGAGACTGATTGATGCCATCCGCGGGCAGACATCCCATCTCTCGATCTGAATGGCGGCTCTTTCACGGCCTCCCCTGTACGGCCACAATCTCCATCGAGCAGCACCGGTGCCACAGGTGGCGGTTCAGCGCCCTCATCTCGCCGCACCTCCTTCTCCAGTACCGGGCGCGCTTCGTCGGCGTCTGCCCGCCCTGACAGTGGCCGGTCCAGTAGGAGCACGAGCTTCAATCTACCCGACGATGCACGCGAGACGATTAGGCTGGATGGGCGCCAGCCCGGTGATGAGATCGAGTTTGAGGAGATGGACGAAGAAAGTGCGTGGCTCATTCATTTCGATACAATGATTCTGAGTTAATGGATGTTGTAGCCGCCGCAAAGCACGCTGCATTCGTCAAGGCCCGTGGACGGCACTATTCGAACGAAGCCGAAGCCATGAAGGCGAGTCTAAAGTTAACATCGAATAGATTTCTTTTCGTTACTAATGATCTCGTGTTTACCAGATGGCTGCGAAACTGATCGACGAGGAAGAAGAAGACGAGAATGTCTCGACTGAGCACAGCGTGGATGAAGATAGCGTCATGGATGAGGATGCGCCAGTTAAAGTCAACGGCACCCTGCGCACTGAAGGTTGACCGTGGAATGATAGAGTCGATTTCGAGACGTCCTAGGACGTTGGACGCTGCCTGTTGCTGCTGGTGAATGTCGTACTTGCACTGTATACTGATCCGCCTGTCTTCGCAATATATCCCGTAATTGTATTCGTGCATCTTTTGACATCGCTTCCGGACGCGATGAATTTTGAATGTCGTCCCCGTCTCGGATTGTTCACTGCTTCACGCCGCTGCAGTGCCTGAGCCAGACGCGTACATGTGATTCGTGCCTTTGCACAATTTGACGCGTTTGATCGCGTCTTGACAAATGATCGCACCCAAAATTTGTTTATTTCTTCTTTGACCTTTCCTCGGTTTGGTGACACGTTCTGCTCGTTGTGTCTCTCGTCTGCTTCGCACGATGTCCACGGAAGCAAGCGGCAAGGGCATCCTGCTCAAGGCCGACCCCATCGCAAATGTCTTTCTCGACGAGATCAAGGCCGCACTCGCGACGCGCCCCCGCCCGCCTAAGCTGGTCGGCATCCTCTCCACGTCCGCTACTCCGAGCAAATTCTATGCCGAGTTCACGCAGAAGCAGTGCAATGCGCTCGGCGTTGAGTTTGTGCTCAAGCGGACGGGAGCCGCGGCGGACCCGGAGGCGGGCGAAGGCGAGGGTGTGGAGGAGGCGATCATCGAGGCGAATGAGGACGAGAGCGTGGACGGTATCATGGTGGGCCGCGTATCCGTACTCCTTATAGACGCGCTTGTTCATGTATGTCGTGCCCTTGATGAAGGTGTATTATCCCATCTTTGGCGGGCGACAGGTGTGTAGCTACTTGCAGTCTTGAGAGTGAGAAATCCAGACTGAGAGTCTGCTGTGCAGGATCACTATCTCCAACAGGTACGTTGACTGAACTTACAAGAAGAAGTGTAAATTGAGAATGAGGTGGGTCGCCTAGATAGTGTCTCCTTTCAAGGACGTCGAAGGACTACACTTTAAGTTCCACTACAATCTTTACCACAAGTTCGTGCCCGTTTGCAGAATGCACTATTCCAATCGTCCCTGACATATGCCGCAGTATCCGCTTCTTGAACCCGAAGTCCCTTCTCTCCATCCCTCCCACCACCGTCCCCGAGCCTGCAGTCGAGGACCAGCCCCCGCTGGGCACAGTAAAGTCAATCCTCCCCTGCACGCCCCTCGCCGTCGTCAAATGCCTCGAACAGATCGGCGTGTACAATAAGATCCTGCCGTACGGCGACCGCGCATACGGCAAGACCGTGACCGTGATCAACCGGTAGGCTGTGCCAGGAGCCTCGCACCCGCCCGGTTGCAACCATTCACGCTGTCTGCCCGTATTAGGTCGGAGGTCGTCGGCCGGCCGCTCGCTGCGCTCATTGCTAATGACGGCGCGCGCGTCTTTTCCGTCGACATTGACTCCATTCAGGTCGATAGTTGCGATGCATCATGTGAAGTGTCTGTGCGCTGACGATCAGCGTTTTCGCAGGAGTATACCAAACGTCCACGGCAAAGCGCTCAAGAGCGCCGCTACTATCCGCGACATGTCGTGCATCCCTGCACATTGACTCTGCAGGAGTGCCTGGCACAGTCAGACGTAGTTGTGTCAGCAGTGCCGAGTGCAGACTATAAGGTCAAGACTGCATGGCTTAAGGACGGCTGCGTTTGCCTCAACGTCGCTGCGGACAAGAACTTCGAGGTAGATGTAAGGGAGAAGGTGAGCCGAAACGATGAGTTGACACTCATTAGCAATGCAATGAATAAGGCATGTCTGTATGGATGCTTACTCCGCCCGTAGGCATCCGTATACATGCCTACCATCGGCAAGGTCACAATCATGATGCTTTTGCGCAACCTGTGCGCCACTTCAGTGCTTCATCTCATTGTGGTGATGATGCTAACGTCAGACCTGGCAGCCTTCGATTACAGCAATATGGTGTGATATCCAAGCAGGAGTCACGGCCGACCCTCCATGCATAAAATTATACTAAAGAAACGGGGAGCAGAGAAAAGTACCCAAATACGTACGATAACCGCATAATCGCGCGAAAGGAATTGTCCGTGGCCACTATTAGAATACTCTGTAGACCCTTGTATTACATTCAAAGACGGTTAACGACACAGGCTGGAATGGTTGTGTGTGCTGACGATGCTGACGATGAAGTGAGGAGTGAGTGCGGGCCTGCTCCATACATGATTCTAAGCGGCGAGACCAGGAGGACCGTATAGATGACCGAAACAAGGTATGAGGATGCGACGGTATGAGATACTCTAAAACTGAGAGACCGTAATCTGTTCGATCGGTGTCCGGTGATCGAACTCGCCGCTTGTCGGGGTGCAGGATCCTGAACGCGGAGTCACAGAGGCAGAGGGTGTGCCAATGTTAGACGGGTCGTCATCCTCGACCATAAATCGGACGCGGCGACGATGAAGCTAGATGGCGTCTACATTTGAAGTTCTTCGCCGAGCATACGGAGAGGACTCACCATCGGCAACTTTGGGATAAGCACAACAATCAACGCTGTGAGATTGATTGCGAACATCCATGGATTATACTCGGAGTAGTGTGTTGATGCAAGGAATCTGCACGGCGACATAAGTGCGTTGCCACGGCTGTATATGCACGACGACTTACAGCAAAATGGGACAGATGAGTAGCCACTTCTTCGCTGGGGTGTACTGGGCACCTTGGTCAATTTGTTCCCAAAGTGTGAGCTCGTCATACACGCCACTGTGGAGGTCAGACTGGAAGGGAATTCCTGTCACCCAGTGAAACATGAGGTATGAGAACTGCGGACGGTCGTCAGACAAAGGCATGCGCAAGCAATGACGAGGCAGCATACACCGAGGTAGGTCAGATTGGTAATGAACCAGCTAATGTCTTGTCTCATCCCTGGAATGGTGTCGATGACCATCTTGCCTCCAAAGACCAATGCGGGATGTATCAGCCAAGCTCCTACATGAAGATCTCAGCACCAGGGACTCATATGAGCACGCGAGCGCAGTAGGAGATGCTGACCCTTGCGGTTAACCCACTCCGCATTGACATTCTCATAGACAGCTGAGTCGAGGGCTTCGTCCTGCGTGTCCTCTCCGACTTTTTCCATCTTGAGAATGCTGCTGCTGCGAGTGCGGTTGATCGCCTGGCGGACAGTGAGGCCGTGCATGACGTCTGGAAAGGCGAGAGTAGGCGAAGACACAACAGTAGACATGGCTGCGGAGAGCAAAAGAGGAAAGAAGGGCGTGTACGTGGGCAGGATGAAGGCAGTGCAGGACTTCGGCCTTGCAGGCAGAAGGTGGCAGTCGTGGCGGCCCCGCGTCTATTACACGACAGGTATAACGGTCTGTGCGGGCGTCTATTTGCGCCTAGCTCGGGTTGTCCCGAGGTCATATTGGCATAACGTGCGCACTGCGCAGGCCAACTCTAACTCTGTTCTTATCCGCTTTCAGGTTAGCGGTCTCGCCACCTTTCCCCGGATTTACTTGCTGATTCTCGCCTGATAGTGGTCAGATGAACAGGGAATATGCTGCTCCAGTGGTGCACCGTTGAGCCTACCGGCGCGGGCAACTTGGCTGCCATACGCTTCTCGTCTCCAGTACGCGTCCAGTCTATCAAAATATTCCCCACCGGCATGCAACCCTTCGCTCAACACCCCGACATCATCAGGTCAGTGATTCATAATACTCAGAATATAAGGGACTCAAAGAGACTTGAAAGTCGCACCGAGCCTCAAGCGTTCTTCTTGGAAGTGTTCTTTAACGCGTACCATATCGCTAGTGCGAATAGCAAGGAGAAACCGAAGGCGACAAATGCATTGGTGCCAACGATGATAGCCTACCCTGGTGGGCAGATGGAATTCTCGGTACCTATGGGCATGGAGGTGCGTCTCACCCAACTATACCCCAGATTGAAACCGAGACATGTCAATCGCAGTATGCCACACGTCTGATGATAGTGAGAGGAAGCTTCGAATGTGTATCCATGGCTATTTACGGCGACATCATGGCAGAGCTTCCTCCTCCGCCTACAACGTACGATCCTCGTCCACTGCCGTCAATCGAGCCCGTGCCTATAGCACCAGTTCTTGACCCATCGAACTCGCTCGACCCCACCCTCCTCGCACGGCAGCTGTTGAACGTCATACCTGATGCGCCTTCTCTTCCTCTCGCCATCCGTCTCGTATTTTGCCTCAAACCACCAAGCGACGACTGGGACTTGCCGGAGTTCCCCTATTTACATCCGGATTTTGACAACGATACAGCTGATTTTGACCTGGAGAAGGCATTTAGGCTGACAACGAGGCCAGTTTCTGATGATGTGCAAGATGATACACTGCTGCGTTTCGCAGAGAATGTTGCCAAGTCGATACGTGGAAAGGTACGTATGTGCATGAGCCTAAACTGACGCATATATGAAACTTTCTCGCTTGTAGGACAGCAGCGAAGCATATCTTGTTGCTGGTATCTTAGCACATGCTGCATCTCAGCATCCCAACATGGCTAACTTCCTCCTGGTTCGCCCTAATGCTGTCGCAGTAGGGACTTGTTTACTTATTTTACGTCATAGGAGAAGCTTGATCTACCCAACATCTTTGACAGCACCAACATGGATGAACTCACCCTCATCAGATTACGGGATGCCGCGACCAATGCAGACATAGCGCGACGCCTCAACGAAGAGTGGTTCCTCCAGACCGTGAACGGAATCGCCCAAAACCCACATGCTGACAAGGAGACTCAGACGGCTGCCATGAAACTCGTTGCTCGAATCCAGGATTGGGCAGTATTTGAGGATTCGCTCTCTAACACCCAGGGAGACTTCGCTGCTGCGGCTGCCATGCTGAAGGAGCTAGGAACGGATGAAGCATCGCTAGGGATTTGGCTCGCGTCGATGGTTACCCATGACGATCTCATTGCCGTCCTGAGCGAGAACCCTCTCATGCCCATTCCACTCCCTCACCCTCCGTATTTGTTCAGTTCACTCAAGTCTTCCTTGTCCCATGATGCCTTTGTGGCGTTCCTGCGGGCATTCATTGGTGTCGCGGCTGTGCTAGCGGTCTATGCTTTCGCAGATGCCTTCCCTCACAAGCTCTGTCGCGAACGTGCTCTGGCGATTATCAGGTTGTGGCAGGGCGTCAATGGATATCGGGAGGTCAGTCCTTCTGTGACTTCATGTCTGAGAATGTATCCGACGGTTATCTCAACAGATCGTAAACCATATGTTGCTGCTGAAACAAATGACATTCCGGCTCGAATGCATGATGGAGGATGATCCACCCCGCCGAGCTGGTTTAGATGCCGAGCATATCCTGGTCAACCTCGCGAAGGATCCCCACGCCATACTGCAACCCGACCTCGTCAAGTGTGTCCTCTCTTTGAGAGCGCCGCATGCGTTCATCACCGAAGAGGAGGAGGCGTCCATGCACAAGGCAGCTATTGTGGCTGAGGATGGCCTGTTCGGAGCAATCGATGAGTTCATGAGCCCGGTCGATCGTCCGCTTACGTTGACCAATCTTCGAATGCTCCGCGTCGCGCTCGCTGTCATTAATCAGGAGCTAGACAATGACAATGAACAACGCGTGCTCGAGGAGTTTTGGAAGGAGGGCTCGTGTAGCCTGTTGGCTCACCTGGTCGACATCTTCGTGCCAATATCTGAAGAGATTGAGGGCCAGTTCAGCATCCATTTCCCGGAGCGCCGGTCGCAAGAGCTTATGACCCAGCTCTTTCGCGCTGCAGACGAGGTCTTGAAGTTGTTGCTGCGCCTTCTTCCTGTCTATCCGCCTCCTGTTCGCTCAACGCATGCGCTGACAAGCAGTGTCGCCGATCTCTTTGCGTGTACGGACGCTGCAGACATGCTCTACTCACAATCGAGTCCTGCCTGCGTCGCAGCGCAGGAGACGAGGCAGTCCTGCATAGACACTGTTCGCACGCTTTCCGACCCATCATTGCCCGCCGAAGGTGGCAAACTCGGTGCCGAGATCGTGCTCAAGACTCTTCTCGAGCATGGTCTGCATTGCGAAGATCGTGATCCTGTGCACCACCTAGTCCAAACCTTCTGCCTCATCGACTACCTTTTGCCCATGCCCGACGTGGCTGAAGGTCAGTTGTCCGTATGGACACAACGAGTAATGCCGGTCGTCCTGAGGGAGCTTTGGGCCTTCTGCCGCGCGCTGGACACAGAGAACAAAGTGCACTTTGTGAAGCGGCTAACGAATCTCGATCGCGGTGTGGTCGGTGTTGGTGAATGGCTACTGCTGGAAGAGCTGAAGGATCTGCTGCATGCCCTCAAAGGATTGGAAGACCCTTCTCTCCCTCTGCGCGATCGTGCCATCCGGAGCTGTCAGGTTTCGATGTCCATGCGATTTCTGCTGGATGTTGTTAGCGGCGCTTCTACAACGTCCAAGGTCTGCAGAGGTTGTCTCACGTCTATGCAGGACGCTTCATCCATCTTGTCATCATGCCTGTTATCGATATATGCACAGCGGGTAACGGCTCCGGCATTGACAGAGCTCATGCAAGTTTTGGCGCGTGAGGCCCCGAGCATGGACGATGACCTCCACTCTGCTGTACTCTTGATGCTGGTGCAGTCAGCACAGAATCCCGAGTTAGATAGTGCAAGCCTCGTTCATTTGCTGGAGCAATGCATCGCTATCTATCCTGCAACTTCAAACGCGGAAGGTCCCGACGAGACATTGCAGCAAGAACTTGGTATCCTAATCGCCAGTCTCAACGGTGAAGACCACACTTTGGACACTGCCATCGCAGAGCAATGCGTGTTCCTACTTGAAAGACTTACAACGACATCATCAACCTTACGAGGTCTCACACGAGCCTTCTTCATGACTTTCTGCGATCGGTTGCGCGACACTCTCGGTACCGAATGGCACGACCGCATTGCCAGCATCTCAGAACATATAACCATTGCGGAGGATACCTCACGGGCTTCGCCAGTGATACCCCTTTCCGAGACGGTGGAGCTCAGCATGCACGACGTTGAAGAGCTTCTCCGGCACAGCATACCCCCACCTTCCACACCACCGCGCAAGGCACTGAACCAAGATGTCCTCGGCCTCGTCACAGTATCGCCACCTGCCATAATCCGTTCGCCTGCAACAACGGGTCTAACGAAGACATACAACAACAATGATTTCAGACAGCTGCGGCAGACTCCATCGGCGAGACAGAACACCAGTCGGCTTCCGAGTATGCATGTAGACGTAGGTGTAGCGATGGTCACTTGACCTGTTCCTAGATACTGATGGGCGACAGGAATTCGAGAGCGCATCTTCACCTACCATAGTAACGGTACCGATGCCAGTGATGCCGACGGCAGCAATCTCATTCTCGGCAGAAGGGTTTCAGCCCCTTGCTCCGCCCTTCAATCTCGGCTAATACGATGTGAAGAACGGCCCAAGTGTGATTGATCTACAATTGCGTGACTACAAGAAGGGTAACTACACAAAATGCTAAACAATTGGTACGTAAGGTACAAGTCCTGACTATGATGCTTGGTAGGGCACTCGTCGACGGGCGTTTGAAGAAGACGAGATGTGATCTGGGTAAGGGGGGATGAGATCGTCGTTTGAACGAAAGTAACGGTCCATCTCTGAAGCATCGAACTCGGACGTGGTTGGAGGAGGCGAACGCGGCGCGATATTTCCGGGCGACTCAGGTGGTTTCGCGGGCTTACCACCAAGATAATAAGTTCGCTTGCGCCTTGCTTTCACAGGTTGCTTCTCGACACTCGAAGCTGTCCCCGATGACGTAGATCTGCGGGGAGGGACGCTGCGTACGGTGAAGTGTTCAAGGGTCCGTGTGTACGGAGAGAGGGTGTGGTTTGAGTGGCTGAGGGTGGACAGTTTAGATATAGAACTGTTTGCTGCTGCCCGTAGGATGATTTTTGGGTCGTGATCTGGCATGTAGTGCTGATCGGAAGGAGATCCTGGCTGAAATCTATCTAGATTCGAAGATGCGAGGGATAGGCGTCGGGAATCGCTGACTTGAATGCCCATCTCCTCATCTGATGTGGGCGGCGTGGGCACGGAGTGCGTCATGTCGCTCGAACGTGACGGTCCACTCCGTAGGCTCGATGGACTGCCCACGCGGGGTGGAGGAGATCGGTAGAGAGGTGGTACAGGGGGGAGATCAGAGGAGGAACGGCCTTGCTGCATTGACTCCTCGTGCCAGGAAGAGTTCATGGCAACGCTTGCGTTCGAGCGGGTGTCGTCATGGAACGGTGTCATGCCGGCAAGGTAAGGATTATAGGACGGATGACGATTGATAGGTTGTGACCATGGATGAGACGGTTGGAGTAGCGAGCCACGGGCGGTGCTCGACCGAGGTGACGACGTAGGCCCGCGCGAGCGTGCCGCTGTCGAGGATTCCGCCACGGGTGAGCCATCCACAGATGGCAGTATTTGTGACTGCGAATGATACACCCTTGGTCGTGTGATAGTCCCCCCTCCTACGGCCGGGACCGTTTCGTACTCCGTCTCATCATCCGCTGCAGAGACAGATGGTGGAGAATTGTAATCCGAGAAAAGCTCATCCCAGTTGCTCGAACTATACGACGCAGCGTCCTCGAGCGAATCTGCCATGTCATTCGCCTCCTCCGACAAGACTGCCAGCCCCTTGCTTGGGGCGAAAAGACTCCGGAATCCGCTGAAGACGCTCTTCGCGGGCAGGCCTTCGGGTCGCAGGCCGTATGTCGGGTCGTAATTCTCGAGATCTGGGAATGATGTTGTGTCCTCTGGCGCAGGTGTGGCTACTGTGGACGGCGGTGAGGATGCTGTGGAGGATGCTCTGCGGCCTGCACTGGAACACGAGAAGACGGATGCCGTGCGTGCTCGGCTGACGCTAGCAAGACCATACGGCTGTCTGAGCGCAAGACCAGGCGGTAGGCCCATGGGTTGCATTTGCGAGGGTCGATATACGGAGAGTTCCGAGGCAGACATCGAGTCAAATGTGCGCAGACGTGAGCTTGTGGATGGACGTTTCGTCGACAAGGGTGTCTCGACCTTTGCTTTGACCCATTGCTGGCTCAGCCTGTGAATGATCCCCGGCAGGTCTTCTCTGAACATCTGACGCAGCTGCCCCTCTATCTCGTGCTGTATGAACTTCTGAATGACAGCGATCGAGTCGAATGTACTGTTAATGTCGACATTCTGAAGAGGGTCGGTCTTGAAGACGAGCGTGATACCCTTTTGCCGTGAGACGACGAGAACGACGTACGAGTTCAGCTTGAAGTGGGACAGGCGTAGGAGCATGGGGACGACAAGAGGTTGCTTCGCTGCAAGCATACCCCTTGACCCGCCCATAAGGAGAATGTCGGGCTGCTTGTGGTTTAGAGGGTTTGCCTGGAGGTGGTCAGACGACCAAACATATATCTTATGCCGGGTACTACGTACCTGCACCTTCGTCCTCAGCACTATATGCGCATCTCCAGAGTAGGTGAGGCGAAAAATTCCCCGGAACTGATCCATCGTAAGCTCTCCGATGTCCCTAATCTCCAGTTCGGGAGGCTGGTTGTGGCGATACAGCACGTCAAGTGAGCACCCGCAGGCTAACAACGAGGAAACGGACAGACTTGAGTACCCATCTCCAGCTCGACTACCTCTATCTTGTCTGCTATGACGGGCGGCTTGTTGCCCTTGTTGAGAGCCGACGTGAGCAACTGGATTGCATCGGCATGAAATTGGTCGGAAAACCGGGGCCACTTGAAGGTGAACGACATCGGTGCGCAGTGGGTAGGGGAAGTGAGGGCATCCGAGTGAGTCTTGCCGGTTGGGAGAATTCTTGTTCAGCAAGAGAGATTGCGGAGAAACATATAGCGAGCGGAGGGGAGAGGGCATGCAGAAGACGAGACCGATTTTAGGCCGGCTGCCGCCACAGAACGCGGCCTCGCCCACGTGCTCTATGCCTTTTTGGGATTCTTGATCGCGATTCTGGCGACGCCTCGATGCGCACTGGAAGCACCACGGCGCCAGGAAAATGTATGTCATTCATTTAGACTCTGATGCAGAACGAAGGAGTCTCCGGCGCATTTGCATTGTTTGGAACTGTTTCATTGTGCTGAAGTCAATGACATGCAAGCTGGCAGGTCATAGGAAACCACCAGGTCATAGAAAACTGCATGACCAATTCTACATGCCCAAGCCCATCAACGCCTGTGTCAATCTCTCCCCGATCGCCTCGGGCTCCTGCCTTGCCATCTCTGCAGTGCTCAACAACTTCTTGATGCCAATGTTCAGCTTCGACATGGTCTCGTCCTCATCCGTCTCAGAGCTGCCGAACCCGGCCTGCTCCAGCATGCGAATCGTCTTGCGCCGCTCCTCTGTGCTTGGGAAGAGCTCAAGTTCATCCAAAACGTGCTCGACAGCGCGCAAGCTCGAGATGGGCGGTACGCGCAGCTCGGAGTCGAATGCTTCTGACAGACCGAGGTCCGTCAGGACGGGTCGTAGTGAAGAGGTAGCGATTATAAAGAGGCGACGGCCCTGCGGGAGATATGAGGCATGCACCGTGCACAAAAACGACATTGCTCACCTTCGGTGGTCTCCGCCCAAAGAGCACCATGAGGGCTTGCAGGACAGAGTTCGAGAACCTCGGCCCAATGGGCGTAAAATCTGTCTTGACGTCAATTCCGACATATCGACATAAGACTGCGCCGGCGCTCACCCAGTAGTCGCTCTAAGTTATCCACCACAATGACGCTCAGCGGGCTCTTGTAGCTGTCTGAGAAAGTCTTGTTGATAGCAGCGACCTTCATGGCCTCAGAGAAGCCGACCATGTCGTCCGGCGAGAGAAGTTTCATGAAAGGGTATTGCGATGCTTGCGCAATCGTCGCGGCCAGCGCTGTCTTGCCAGCGCCTGGCGGGCCGTGCAGCAGGATGCTGACGAGCGGCGTGCGCGTTGATGTGCGCACTTGGTCGACAAAGAGCTTCCCAGAACGGAGAATATCCTTGATACAAATCATCTAGTCAGAATATGCATAATGTAGCGCGAAAATCTTGTTCACTGACGTCAACGACCTGTGAATAGTGGATGATGCCGTTTTGGACGACTTGCTCCAACTCTTCCTTCGCAACACCGTACGCAGGCTGTACTTCCTCGAGCGCGTTCATGAAATCTTCCCGACTGACCCGCAAGTTCTCGATATCGTCTGAGATGCCCGCTAACGTTCCGACCTACCATATCATCAGTAGTGATCCATAGCCACAACAATAACTCCTTGTTTACCTTAACATGCCGGCTGAAGGCGAAACTCGTCGCACTCTTGACCAGTCCATTGATCTCCGCGCCAGAGAAGTTCTTCGTCAGTGCGGCAAGTTCCTCCAGGTTGACGTCGTCTGCCATCACTTTGTTCGCCCGCATCTTCGCAGTGTGGATGTTCAGGATCTGCAAGCGACCGTGCTCGTCTGGGAGGGAGATCTCCATGTGCACCTCCAGACGTCCAGGACGGAGCAGCGCCTCGTCGATCATGTCGAGTCGGTTCGTCATACCGATGATGAGGACGTTGTTCAATTGGTCGACACCATCCATCTGTGCATCGGTCAATATCTCATCCATACGTTCTTGGCACTAATTAGATTGCATACCTTGGATAGAAGCTGATTTACGACGCTATCACCGACACCGGTCCCTCCACTAGTTGAGCCACGCTGTTTGCAAATGGCGTCCAGCTCATCGAAGATGATAATGTGCAGTCCGCTCTCGTCATGCTTCGCCTTGTACTACAACAGTACGTAATAGCAATGAGCATCGACGACCACTACAGAAATGTACCACTAACCTCCTTCTCCGCGTCCTCGAAGAGTTTCCGAATGTTCTCTTCTGATGCGCCTACGTACTTGTTCAGTATCTCCGGGCCGTTGACGATCTTGGGCTCGCGGGCATTCAACATCTTCCCGATTTGTCTCGCCAGCAGCGTCTTGCCAGTACCCGGTGGCCCGTAGAGGAGGATACCTAACACAAGCATTAGATCCATCGCTCATGTACTCACCGTACCGAAACGAACCTTTCACGTGTTGGATGCCGAGTTTTTCAACGAGCGCTGGAGGGAAGACACGCGAGGCGAAGGCACGACGGAAGATTGCGCCAAACTCCTCGTCCAAACCGCCAATACCCATGTCTTCAAACCTGAAGTTCGGTGCAAGGATGGCATTTGGTGGGGCTCTAAATGTTTGTCAGTACGACATGTATAGAACTTGAAGTAGACCAGGCCATACTTCTTCGCGCTGGACTTGATCTTGATCGCGCTATCGCTCGCCTTCAAGAACGTTACATCTGTCCTCTCCATCACGACCCCATATGAAGTCGGCGCGTGGGAAGCTTTCCCCGGTTGGTTGGGAAGGTCGACTACATGAAGCGCCTTCACAGTCGCCTTCAAGTTCTGTCCGTGAAACTCGAAGACGAGGATCTCGCCGACCGCGAGTACGATCCCGCTAAACGCCTTCAAGAAATTGTGAGACATCTCATCCGCAGAGAATTGTTCGGCGATCTCATGTCCACGCCGCAGGAAGCCGACTTCAATATCAACTGATTGGAGGTAAGGAGGAGAGGGAGAGAGTGGCTCGACGGTGACTTCGTCGCCGGTGAGCGACAGACCAATCCATTGACGTTGCACGGCCGAAGCACCGATAGAACCTGACGATAGTCGACCAGTGTCGTCGTGTCTGTTCAGCTACTGTCAGCACATTGATAGAAAAGGTGTATGACATGGTTCCTTAGAGTATGAGTGTAATCGATTGCACGGCAATGCCGTAACGACCGTTGACTCCAGAGATACAGGATCAACTGCATTGTAGCCCCTCTCTTGTAGTTCAGTCAGGATACCAATACCGCTCGCCTATCAGTAGCATATATGCTGTACTCTCGCACAGCGGATGCATGACATCGGGGCAGACTGCTCCGATGGCATGTACCTGACATCGAGAGCACAGCGTAAACGTTGCTCCAGAGACAGATCAGCTCGTCAAAGTGGAGAATGGATGAGGCATCGCCGTGCAATCGAGGAATTCCAGATACAAAGAGGTATTGCAACTTACTTCGTTGTCAGAGGGAACGCTTGCTTCACGAGTACATGCTGGCCTTGTGTGAAGTCGGAAGGGTGTACGATAAGACAATTGGATAGAGCAAGTGCATCGCTGGGAGCTGAGGCTACCACGAATCTAAAGCATAGATGTGTGAGTACGCATTATGAAACGCACAACGTAGTTGCGTACGTTGAGCCCATCCGTGCATGCGTTCGCTGATCATAACCTCTTTTCTCAGCAAGAGCACCATCATCGTAGCGCGGTGTTTGTATGCGTTGAGATCGGCTTCCAGCATCGTGTTCCCTTTGGAAATGCGCGGCACTGCCGCTTGCAGGGAGACGGGAGTATGGGGGTTGCGGAGGAGTAGGGTTATTGGATGACCGGAAGAAGCTCATAGTGTACACAGGAGCGAGACAGGCGGAACCAAGCGAGATAGTTATATGTACGCAAGAATCTGGCTGTAGGGTATACGTGTAGACCGTGTTCTATGTCGTGGCTGCTGCTGGAGAAGAGTGGGCGCTTGTCGTTGCACGTCTGGTAAGCTTAATCTCAAATCATAGATCAAGATTCGTTGTGGCACATGGCATGCGGCCGCACACGGCGAGGCTGTTCGCAACGATATACGCATACATAGAGCGGAAATTGTTCACAACGGTATACGCACAAACTTGGTGACTTTCACGTTAGACGTGCAGTACAGCCGCTATCAGCCTGCAGTCTGATGTGAGAGTAATTATATATACATATAACGAATAATTTGGACGACATTTCCGCATTGAGAGTTATTTCACAGGATGGTTGTCATGCTCCCACGGTATACATACACCCTGATCGACTTAGAATTTCAGCCTTGTCCTTGGAATCGCAAAGATGGTGGCCACAGATTCAGTATCGGTGTTCGCGGAAGGCACATTTTCTGAGCAGGTGTGTATGCTGAACGCTTCCCCACGCGGCGCCCTGACATTGTGCTCTCCAGATTCGCGAGCTGGTGGACTACCTTGCTCGCGGCCGCCCAGAGGAGGAACGACCGGCTTACGTTCAGCCTTTTACAGACATTTTAGAGACCGCGGAAGGTCAGCCTGCAATCGAGGAAGATGAGGCACGACGGAAGAATGTGTTCACGATGGTTCTGGGAGAAGTGAATGGGCTCGGGGATGGTTCAGAGAAGGGCAAGTCTGCTCACTTTGTCTTGGGACGCTGAACCACAACTCTTCTACAGAGATCGAGGGATTCTTCAACTTACTTTTTGCGCATTTCATCACTCTTCTTCCTCTTGACTCTTCCGACGCGAAAGCGCGTCTCGTCAGTCTCTTGCAAACGATCGCAGGCTCTCCCGATCAAAGTATCATCAAGTATCGGATGTACGCAAGCCTCTGTGCACTCAGTCCGATCCTATGCTCATTGATCTTCCTCATAGACTGTCAAACTTCTTCAATGCGCTTCCTCGTCGATCGAACCTCCGTCTGCTCGTCTACAAGACGTTGCTTGAGCTTGCAAGCACACATGATGAGCTCGAACTGCTTGGCCTCTCACGCGGAGATGTAGAGAAGTGGGCGTCTGAGTGGGACATTTCTGTTGAGGAAAAGAGCGAATTCCTTCAATCCGTTGCCTCCGCTTATACAAAGAGCGGTCAGCCGTAAGTGTTCTCGCATTTCCCCTCGCGCTATCATGCACGAATTCATATCTCTTCAGAGAAATCGCCTTTGGCTATACCCTTTCATACGTCCGTTCTCTCCCCTCCTCATCGCCAAATGCTCAGACTGCCGCCGTGGACGCCATCGTGGATGCCCTCCGCCTTCCCTTGTACTTCGACTTCGATGCTTTCTTCCGTCTGGACGCTGTCGTCGCAGCAAAGGACCACGAGCTGTTCTCTCTCCTCCAGATTTTCTTGAACGACGGCTTACCCGAGTACAAAGCATGGGAGGAGGGTCATGCGGACGCGTTCGCAAAGTATGGTGCGTGATTGGCTGCGTGTGCTCGGAAGTAGGCCAATGACATGCAATTCATTCGTTCGCAGGCTTAGAGAGGCCGCAGCTCGAGCGTAAGGTTCGCCTGCTCAGCCTGGCGACCCTTGGCTTCCAGAACATTGGACATCACCTGCCATACTCCACGATTGCCTCGACGCTGCAGGTTGAGCAGTCCGACGTGGAGCGATGGGTCATCGATGGTAGTAGCTGCTCCTACTTGAACGGACCTTCCACGCATTTGCTCACGTTACTATTCTATACAGTGATCCGCGCTGGCCTGCTGTCAGGCCGCCTCTCACAAACCTCACAGACACTGCATGTCACTCGAGCCGGCATACGCGCGTTCGAGCGCCCACAGTGGGAGCTGCTGGAGAAGCGCTTGCTCGCCTGGAAGACTGGCCTGGCAGGCGTGCTGGACGTCATCGCAGACGCAAGAAGGAAAGGTGGTGCCGAAGCGGTTGCTAGTACGAGCACCGCTTCCCCGGCAGGGACCGAGGTGCCTGTACCTGCGCCTACGCCTGCGCCTGCGCCGCCAGCGGCTGCCGCGGCGTAATTATCAGGTGGAGTCTACATACAAAAGGGAGCTCTGTTCCCATATTGCGGACGGGGTATAGGAGAGATGTACTAGTGCTGTATCCTAATGAACCTCGGCACTGAAGGACAAGCCGATTTGCACAAATATTGGTCTACGGGAAAGTTCATGGAGCGCTCGACAGCAATGCAATAATTCGGTATGACATCTAATGAAGACACTCGTCCATTACCACTCTCCATCGAAGCCGATGAATCCTGTTGAGCGAGATCACAATGAGAATCCGGTCGTTCTTAGAACTTGTAGACTCACCTGTCAACAGGAACAACGGGAAGAACCGCTTTTTTTCCAGCGAGGAACACCAGTTCCACGCGCTCGTCAGCCGTCCGTCGATGCATGAGCCAGCGTCGTAGTAGTTGCCGGCCCCTGAACCGTCGAACCCATGACGGAAGAAATCCCCGAGGATCTCCTTGCATAGAGAATCCATACTGCCAAACTCATCCTCGATGTATGAGCGTAACGCGGGGTTTTCCGCCAGCTTTGGTACCTGTGAGAGCGTGTTGCATATAGGGAGCAGGATGCGGTAGATTTGTGAGTATTTGTCTGGAGGATTGGTCAGTGAATTGGAGAAATTGGCGAGCAAGCAATAAGGCTGCTCACCGATGAACATGAGCGCATTCGGGACGTTACGATCGCCCATGTGAATGACAGATGAACCGATCCACGAGCCAATACTCCTCTGGGCACGGTTGAGGATGATGTGCATCATGCGCGACGTCTTTGGCGCAGCCTGCACACGGTTCAGGCCCTGACCAGTATCGCGCAGATGGTAGTGCACATTTTCTGAAAGAAGATCCTGTTCGGCGAGGGACCATAGATGAAACATATCTGAGTGCCGCTTGTGAGATTGATTGCCTGTAGTGATGCATGAATGGATTATATACCATGTAGAACTTCGCGCCAAAGCGTCAAGCTCTGAATAACGTATGCATATTGCTTTGAATGATCGTGGGTGAGCCTTGCGCCGCCCCTGCCATTTTTTATTGCCAGGCTACTCTTGCCATCTCTTGCCTCCGTCGGATGGAAGTATTTCTTCAAGTACGCAATCATCTTGTCACATGGGTCCCGATTCACCCTAAGAAAGGCGTGGTTATCGCCTATGCTATAGAGACACTGGCAAATTTGTTCTTGGCTGAGCCCTTTGCGTTCATATCGAGCTGCAAGGACCTCGATCGCTCGCTCTTTCGATTTGATGTCTTTCTGAATTTCTCGTCGCGAGCGGCCCTCAGCTGTGATCTCTTTGGTAGCGGTCGCCACGAGATCATCGCGCAAGAGGCCAAGGGCGTCGTGAGCTTCCAGGACGGAGTACACTGTCTTGATTGGCTTCACACAGCTGAAGCTGAGTATATCCTTGACCTCCGGCGTCTGGCTATCCTAGAACATCTTGATGTCGGTACAAATCCGGAGCATGCGGACTTTAAGAGGACTGACCTGCAGGAGATACATGAGTTTGCCATATGTGGAGCGCATCTTGTCAGGGTTTACAATCTTATGCCGTCTCCCAAGCTCGAAAATTTGCTGATAGAAATCTTCGTTCGCCTGGAAGTCACGGTCGGCAAACAGCTCCTGCCCTTGCTTATAGTCCGCTGATAGTACCAACCCAGACAGGATCGCACATAGCTCGCGGATCTGGTGCACTATGCGCTTTGCCTTGGACAGCCCGAAACCGATTGTGTCAATCTTGTCAGTGTACTCAGAAACGTTCAAAGCAGCCTCCAGCAAGCGCAAATATTTACGTTCGCCAAGGGTTAAACGCATAGGGATAAACTTCGCGCGGTCAACGAACCACTCGCCGACGGTCGACTGCTGCGCCTCATTCGATGCAGTCTCGGATGCTGATGCTTCATGCACGACACGTTCCAGTTCTTCGTCGGAAGCACCATCATCGCGCATCTGATGAATAGGTGTCAGTCCAGCAATGAGCGCGCATATCGGGAAGCGGCTTACGGCACTCCCATTCTCCTTCTGCGAATCCTGCACGTCCTTTGAGGCATGCACAGATATATCATTCCGTAACTTTGCCTTCTTCTCTCTCTGTCCCGTCAACGGCATTGTGGCATGCCTCTTGCGAGTGCCTTTTCGATGCTGTGCGGCGAAGCAGACTTCACAATAGTTGTCTGTGCAAGTTTCACAGAAGACTTGTGCAGGCTGATCTGACAAGCCAATCGTCAGACCTCGCAGAATGCAGAGCGCCAACTCATTTATGTACCTTCGCATTCTACGCAAAATCCATCTACTATGTGTCCAGTCTGAGCACCTTCATCTTCGGACGCATCCTGGACATTCGGAAGCCCTAAGTTGTCGTGATCCCCGTTCAGGACGCTGTCAAGCGAGAAACCAGCAGCCTCCTTCTGTGGCTGTGCGATGTTATCTTCCGCTGAGGGAGTGTCTCCCAACGACATGCAGGCTGACGCTGGATGACAAATTGACTGAAAGGCAGAGTCCGCGAAGACGGGTGAATAGTAGATCTGGAGAGAGTACAAAGACAAAGGAACGGCTGTCGGGAGTCCTTTACGAAGGCTAATTCGTGAGCCTACTAATCAAGAAAACGTTTCGCATATGGAAATGTCGAGTACACGATTGGCGCTCGAGCTCCGCGCTGAGCAAGATGTCGGTCCTCGTACAGCCTCTCATGGTCAGATACGCCTAGACGAAGCTTCAAGGAACTGTGTATGATCACTCAGCCAACCGTTGACGAAAGAAGCCGCCTTCCAGCCGTGCATCTGCTATCAGTCAAAGATGCAAATGAACTCCAAGGCTCAGGTTTAACACGCCTGTAGCGTAACGTATTCGTATTTACATTAGGAAACGAGTCCGTGTGCAGATGCATGGTGGACAAGGCGATTGAGTACTGTATATAGACAAAAATTAAGGAATAGTATAGTACAGCCTTACAGTGCAACATCCGCATAGTATAGACTGAGTGCTGCAGTCACTATTTCCTCATTCTCTTCTTGAAACGCTCCATAACCTGCAAAGAACTCAGGAGCGAAGGGACAGGCAGAAGCATGATACATACGAGCTCGTCTGTTGCCATCTGGGTACGATCATGTTGAGGTCTCCGGTACTCATGATCCTCTGGAAGCAAGCCCATGGCTTCAAGCTTTGCATCTCGGATGATATCTGCATCGGACTTCATCTTGAGATTAGGCCGATAGACTAGCAATTGGTTAGAAAGACATTCAGAATGTGGAATAGACTCGTAACTCACAGCGAGTAGCAACGAGATGCTCCTCTCCGTCTTCCTTCTTCTTCCGCTCCTTCCGCTCCTCTGAGATCACGCGTTTCGCCTTCTCCGTCTCTTCTATGTTCTTCAATCTCGTGCTGAGAGACGGATGAGGTGAGCAATGGTTCACAGTCGGGATCGGCAAAACACTCACTCCATTCCGAGATCGACCTCCGGAATGGCAGTCAGCATGGTCATACTGTTGGTTACGCTGCCCTCGTCTTGTTCTCGTTTCTCTTGGTTTACCTTGTACCTCTCTGGTATCTTGAACAATTCAGCGTATGGATCTGGTGGCCCATCATCCCTCTTCGGCTCATTCTGTGCTCCTCGTCTTAGCTTCATGTTCTCCTCGATATATGCCATCCTGTTGTATCGTCATTCACTCGTTATCTCTGTCACATATCCATTGGACTGTACGTACATATGCTTATCCACGTCTAAAGCATTTGTTTGCTGAGTGAAGTTGTTCGTCCTCACTACCCGACGTGCCTTGGTCTCCGCATCATCTTCCTCTCTGAACATCTCATCAGTAAATCAGACATTGCAGTGGATTCCAACGATGATATTGACGTACTCGTCTTCGTCTCGACTCGCCTGTGCGCCCTTCTTTAACCCACCCTGCTCCTCTTCCTCGCGTGGCCTCTTTCGACGTTTCTTTGCATCACCCTTAACAAGCTTCTGGACGTCAATGCCCTCCCTCGTTCGTCTGAGCTTGCGCAACTCGATCAGGTCCGCGAGGCTGGACAGTGGACAAGCATTCGATCAGCTTGAAGCCTTGGCTATGACCTATAGGACCTACTCTAGCGTTTCATCTTCTGGTTGATGCTCTTCCTGCTCCGACGCCTCGTCCTCTACTTCGAGGGGCTTCTGCCGAATGTGCGGCGGTGGGCGAGCTCGTCTCTTGATCATGGCGGTACTTTGTCAGTAAAGGGCTCAAGCGGTGGCTGAAGCAGAGTAAATCGGAAGCGCCCATAAGCTTGGTGTCATTTTGAATTTTATTGAATGCACACAAAAATTGTCTATAGTAAGTACCCCAGAGCCGCAATAGGAGGCAATGTTCTACAGCTCCCAAACACGAAACCGAACGACTTTCTACAGACAATACATTCAGAGCACATTGGATGGGTCCGTGGCCGGTGTGGCCGACCTTGGGGTCGGCAGTTGTACAACATCGCTGCTCGTCGAGTCCTCCAGCGTCGATGCATCGTCCCTCTGGTCTGAGTTAGGGGGTGAAGGGCTAGAAACTTGCACGCGAGATCCATTCAGTTCAATGTCTCGCGCGTACGCCGAACTCTCCCCTAGGCCGTACTCCATGATGGCAGGAGAGGCGTAGCGGGATAACAGCGTCTCAGGCGGTCGTAGACCACCTCTGCGAAGCCGAGGAGCGATAACGTGTCTCCGAGCTTCAGTAACGTCTGCAATACTAGCCCTTCTGCTAGCAGGCCCACCGATACCCTCGGATGCCACAGGCGCAGAGCCCGTGAACAAATGCAACAGTTGTGATGAGCTCATATTATCGGCGGTCGAGGTTCCATGAGAAGCCGTATCGTGATTATCTCCAGAAGGCTCTGAAGGCTCGGGACTCCAAGGAAAAGAGCCTGCTATCTCTGTTCGGCGCGGCTGGCGACCTCGGAAGGTGTCGCTCAGCCAGCTCGCGTAAGGCCCGGGGGACCATGACGTTGATGACGAGGCAGATTCTTCAGTTCCGGCGGTGTCAAGGGTGTGAGTAAACCTCCAGGTCCCGTCTGAGGAGTCTTCTGCCCGCACATTGTCTTGCTCTTCTACGGATTGTCGTATTGACGACCGGCGTCTCTGCGTAAACTCATTGAAGTCGATTGTCCGTGAACGCGATGGCCGACGGATCGAATTCTGCCGGGTCAGGGTGGAGGGGCCAGCAGAGGCATTATGCGGCCAGGAACTTGTGCGAGACGCGATAGACGACCACATGGGAGACAGAGGACGTGGGCTGGTCACGGTTGCAGCAGGACCCCCCTCTGCCACGTCTAGAGATCTGGAGGCTAGCGAGCTCGTCTCAGAGGGAGCAACATTGCCCAGGACATCGTACGAAGGCGCTTCGTAGGACCTCGTAGCAAAGGCGTCGTACAGCTCTGTGCCCAGGCGAACACCTTCCAGGGGCGCCTCAACCTCACTATGAGCACTACGATGGTCCACATGCTCGTCTTCCTCATCCGTGATCTCTGCCACAAGATCTGTGTAGGCGACGTTGAAGCCCGGTCGATCGAGGTAACGACGGAAACCGCGACGACCACGATATATGTGCAGCGGCGCTGCTTGCATGCGGAGAATTTTGGCTGTATGCTCGGATATTAGCCGTCGGTCGAGCTTCTCCTTACGCGTGCGACGATCTGCCATTTCCTGTGTGGATCAACGAAATTGCTGCAATCAGCACAGGGAAGCGCCTCCAGAATTGACACTTACGTTGACAAGCACGTCTATAAGTGTCGCAGTGAACGAATCACCCTCGTCAAGCTCCTTCACAAACGTCTCATATGAGATTTGATGGTCATCCTTCTCCAACTTCTTTCTCTTGATGGCGCCCATTCTGAGTATGGAACATCCATGAGCAGCCTACAACATAGTCGCATGTCTAGACGTACACAAGGGTCTTGAATTTCAGACGGAGGACATCGTCTTGCTGAGAAAGACTCCTGGTATGCACGATGAGCGATGTATGCAAAAGACCAGAAGAGCACTATTTTACCATTGACCCATGGTCCAGAGACGGGGAAGAGTACAGCTACGGTGGGTCTCAGTCAGGTAAGCGGTTTATTTACCATCCATTGCTGCTGACTAAGCCATTGATGAATGAATGGCGGTGGCTGCTCCAGGCGATTACACATCCTCCTTTCTCTCTTTCCCTCATCATCGTTCTCGCCGAGAAGACATATTTAGACGGTAGGCTTGCTCCATGTCTCCCAAAAGGCTGATATTCCTATACACCTTACAGGCATCTTCCCTCGTGCGCGTAGAAATCCAATAATCGCTCACTACTCCGCCCACACGTACCATGGCATATGCACAGCCGTTCCCGCTTGCTCAGCCCGTGCAAAAAGCGCAGCAGCCGACGTTCGGTCCCGATCTCGCTGTCCGTCTCATCTGCCCTGAGTGTCGAGATCCGAATCCGAACATTGTCGAGCAGTTCAGCAGCGGCGATCTGGTGTGTGGTACGTGTGGGCTGGTCCTGGGTGACAGGATCGTCGATACCAGGAGTGAATGGAGGGTAAGATATCTTTACCGCTTTGTGCCTTCTATGCATATGGCTGACATTGGACGCTGACTGCTGTGTAGACTTTCGCCAATGACGAGGGCGATGACCCGTCGCGTGTCGGTGCTGCGTCCGACCCTCTCATGGAAGGCATGGAGCAGCTCGACACGGCTATCTCTTTCCGAGACGGTGGCTCAGGCATTGCGCGAGAGCTCCAGCGCGCAGCCTCTCGCGGCTCTGCCAATCGATCGGAGCGAAATCTCCTTGTCGCATTCCGGGACATCTCCAATTGGTGCGACCAGTTCTCGCTTCCTAAGACGATATCGGATATCGCAAAGCAGCTGTACAAGAGGTCGGATGAGGAAAAACTGTTGCGTGGGAAGCCACTTGACGCTGTCATCGCCGCGTGTATCTTCATCGCATGTCGTCAAGCGCACGTCCCGCGTACCTTCCGCGAAATCTGCAACCTCACCCATGTCAGCAAGAAGGTCCTGGGGCAATGCTACAAGGCGCTCGAGCAGGCGTTCAATTTGACGCAGGGTGCATCGACTACGGCGGATCGCCACTTGACCACACCTGCCGCTGCGAGGGGTCCGGAGGACCTCCTCGTGCGATACTGTAACCACCTCGACCTGCCGCCGAACGTCCAGCCTATCTGTGCGGACATCATCAAGAAGGCGCGTGAGCTTGGTATTGCGGATGGACGGTCCCCTGTCTCCATCGCAGGTGGTGCGATCTACTTTACATGCCATCTACTCGGTAAGGCCAAGAGTGCACGGGACATTAGCCAGGTAGCCGGCGTCAGTGAAGGCACCATTAAATTGGTGTATAGGCTGTATTACGCGGAAAAAGAGAGATTGGTGAAGGAAGAGTGGATAAAGGAAGGCAAGGCGGACCTTGGCAGGTTGCCCATGGACAATTCGAACAAGTGAGGTGGAGACGATGCTCGAGAGTTCAGGTGAATGGATGACCTTCTCATATGTTACACCAGCAGTTATTATGCTGTGCTGTAGCACATACACTATGCCATCTATACGATGTTATTCATCCCAAAGCAAAGCAGTACAGAAGTCACAAGATAGTACGCAGACGGACTAGAATGGTGAATCATCTTCTACCCTTCTTTGTTTTGTTCGTCTTTCCCCCTCTCTCGCGCACGAGAGCCGCACTGCCTTTGCCTTTGCTTGCAGTCCTGATTGCCTTTCTGACATTGAGCACGTCATCTCCGCCACCATCTAATTTCTTCATCTTCTTGGCTGCTGGTTCTCGTTCCAACTTTTGCAGAATAGCCAAGTTATGTGACTTCTCTTGGGATGCAGACACTTCGGTTGGCTCGAACTGATTCACGCATACAGTGAGTGATGGAGTTAAGCTGGACAGGCATACTGCACACCTTCCGCTTGACACCCTTCAGCTTCTTCTCACCTTCGAGCGTACGGTCAAATTTACCCATACTTGCAGTACTTGTTCGCGTCATGGCCAGCGTCCTTGAAATTTTCACTTTCCGATCGGCCGTAGCAGGTATGCTTGAGCCAGCGCTCGCGCTCTGAGCGTGAGCAAGGTTTTGCTGGTGCTGACGCTCGTTCTTGGTGATCCTAGCTTTTCTTGCGTCCCGCGCTGCCTTTGAAGGGTCGTAGTCGGCATCTGGAGGAATAATGATCCTTAGCACCTGCGTGATTGCGTATAAGAGAGGTACATACCAGCGTTCGCAGGCACCTCTGTGAGCCACTGAACTTCCTTTTTTTTGTTCGCACCCTTCCAACCCCAGCGGTCCACCCATTCCTGCTTCTCTTCGTCCCACACCTTCTTCTCTTTCCTCTTCTTCTGGATGTTCTTTGCCTTAGCAAACTGCTCCCACTTGGTGAGCGGCTTGGGCTTTGGCAGCGCTTTAGCACGGGGAAGTTGCGTTGTTGGCGAGGGTAGTTGTGCGAGGGGACCATCAGGCGAGGAAGTTGTAGGAAGGGAAAATAGGGCTGCGACGAGGGTCTGCACACCGTCGCGAGCAGTAGACATCAAGTATTCCTCAATATTCTCACTACAAATCAGTACAGAAGTCAAAGATGTCTCCCCGAGTTCACGCAGAGACATACTTGTAGCTTTCCTCGTCCACAGGATTCAAGTCAGTGGCGGTCAGGAAACCTATGTCCACCTCAAGCGGAACGTCCTTGTAGACGGTGACCGACTGTCTGGAAAGCAGTTCAGTGGAATATAATGAGCAATGAAAGCTAGACGGACTGCTTAGCGACATGCTCTGCGAGAATATCAGAGACATCCATCCTGTCCGATACAGTTGAGAGAACATTAGTGTGACTTTTGCTTTTGACGAATTTCGATTTCTCACGCGCTCGGTGCTTGCCGACAGATAAGACCGAAATGGTCAATGACTCAGCAGGTAGTCCCTTATAAATATTACACTGCACGCCCAAGGTTTAAAATCTAAGCTGAAGATGCTCTGAAAACAAAGTGGTATTTAACTTACCATGCGTAGGGTGTTTCAGGAAACCTTTTGTTTTCTCAGAGTTTCTCTACATTTCTAGCAGAAAAATGTTGTTTTGCTTGCTGTCTGCCCTCACATCGCCTCCTTCGCGCCTCTCGCTCTCTTCCTCCCTCTACCTCCTGTATTTGTTTCACCACTTGTTCTTCTCATATATCTGTTATTACTCTCCTCTGAATGAGTATGCAAGAGACACATATCTGCCCGAATAGCTCGTGCTGATTATTTCCTCTTCACAGCCACCATGTCCTCACCAACCGCGCCAGTCACAAGTCTACCCGCATCTACATCTACACGTTCTCCTACCAAGAAGCCACACGGAATTAGACGTCGTGGACGAGCTAGACGTGATGTTGAAAGCGACGATGAAATCGAGCGCGTGCTCTCGACTGACGATGAAAGTGACGATGACCATTCCTCTGTGGACTCGGACTCGGAGACCGAATCAGACTCGGACGACGTTCGCCAGAACCGCCGTTCTGAGGTCGTGACTCCAAGTACAACACAAAGTCCTCCTCCTCCGGAGCTTGATGGCCGTAATAGTTTGACGGAGGGGGTGCAGTCCAAACCAGAAGCTGTGCCGTTCGCGACATCCTCCGATTGGGCAGAGATGGTCACCGCTGAGCATGGCACGGGGATAGAAGACCTTCCCGTCATAGATTTCTCTGAACTCGGTGCCCAAAGTATTGATCAGCAAGTCGTCACCGCCCCTCGCTCGCGTAGGATGAACAGGGAGCCCCCGCCACATCGTTCAACTTCTGCACCACCGACATCTCCGCCCAGACGCGTCACTCAGCTTGAAGAGGCTGCTGCAGAAATTGAACAGCAAGAACAAGCTGTGTCTGCTACCGTATCTATTCGTGGTCGTGCCCGTACGCAATCTGCACGTCAGGCCTATCAGCAACGCCTGGAGTCAGACCCTTCTTTTGTTCCCAAAGTTGGCGAATTTTGGGGCCACGATGATCGGCTGCTTGACAAGGATCTCCGCAGTCTCAGTGGGTGGTGGAGAGGTCGCTGGCAGTCACGAGCGCGGGGGCGAAGCTTTGGTATCCGTGGACGGGGCCGAGGGTTCCATAACGAAGGGGCTGTACATGTCGCAGGTGACAACGCTGAAGGTGAGCCAGGTAGTGTGGCGGCTGAAGCAGAGGTACCTCCGGTGGAGAAAACTTGGACGCATGACGGCTTCGAGGAGATGAAAAGACGAGACGAAAGGCGGCGTGAGCAGCAGAAGCAAAGGCAGGAAGTGCAGGAACCTCGCGCCGTTTCGCAGCGAGGTACAGCGTTCCGTGGCAGGGCCGATTTCTTCACCCCTCGTGGACGTGGTGCCTTTGCTCGAGGCACTGCATCGCCCATGGGTGTTCGCCAGGGTAAGCCTGCATCTATTCCCGCCGGCAGGCCGTGGTTCGCTATGAAGCCTGAGCCTCTCTGGACAAAGCAGCTCGACGCTCCTCTCTTCTGGGAAATCTCGTTGAAACCCCGTCCTGGTGTTGGTCCAGGCTTTCGGATTAAATTCCCAGGTGGACCCGAACACATCATCAGAGGGCCACCACGCTCGTACCCTATATCCAGGGTTGGGTTCGAGCCTGTTCCCATTGATGACGGCGAGAAAGCGTTCGTTGTGCGGCTTCCTTACAGTCGCGGCAAGGAGAAGGCAACTGAGCAGTTGGTATCCCCGGAAGTGCAGGGCTTTGCTGTGGAGGAATCTGCGACGACGGTTGCAGAACTCTCGATCGAGGATGTGTTTACCGTTCGTCCAAATCTAGTCCCGAACAAGCGGCCTGAGATACCATCCAAGACCCTCACAATCGAACCGGGGCTGCAGATAAGTTCGTCTACTACGCCACCATCCCCATCTATCGAGCCTTCGTCCGGGACAAAGACTGAGGTCACGCAAGAGGCAGCGGCGTCCGTAACGGTAGTTGCTGTGACTCCGGCAATTTCAGCAGTGAAGAATCCTCTTGAGCTGTTGTCATTCAAACCACCTGTTGTACGCCCACGCAGTGCCTCCCCAAGCGCCCAACTCAAGGAAACTGTGCTTCGGCGACCGTCTCTCACTGCTCCGCCTTTGACACAAGTCCCGTCTGAGGAGCCGCAGCGGCCTGCTCCGCCTGCTCTGCCCCCGCTCCAGACGACATTCTCTCCCGTTCCTCAGACGTCACCTCAGTTTGGTTCGCCGTATGCCTATGCGCCTTCCTTACCTCCGGGTATTGGCATGGACCAACATGGCATGACATACGAGATTGCCACAGGTCGTCCGGTCTTCCTTCATCAGCAGGCGCCGCCGCCTATGTTCACCCCTCGCCCGATGATGCATGCGCATGCGCCACATCCTTCTACCGGCATGCCTTTTGTTCCCGGGCACATGAATCACCATTCCGCATCGTCTCCCGATTTCCTCTCGCAGCCGCACACCCCATCTGTGGGGTCGTTCGTAGACCCGTCCACAGGTGTGCCAGTTTTTGTTCCAGCGCGTCAGAGTAGCCGCATCGAGATTCGCGCACCGGCCGACGTAATTGATGGCAGGAAGTCTTTCTCGAGGCCTTCAGGATTGAGAACGGCTGTATCAAGTGCCGAGGCTCATCAGCGGGACGTCCTAGCGGAACATACGGGTGATTTATCCGGAGCGAACGGCGCTGCGCCGGTCGACCAGCCTCCAGCCCAGTTCTTGGAACAAGGAATGGCGTACCCTGCCTACCAGCAGCAATACTATTATCCCGAGCCCTATGCTTACGGGCCGTACATGGATATGCCGCCTCAGACCATGCATTACGAGATGTACTCTGCGGAACATCATCCTTCGCAGCCTCCTATGATTTACTATTAGTCACTCTACGCATTCAATCGCCGTTTGTCATCTGCTCTATCATGTTCTGCATATTCCTTTCTGTCTTCAGACGCCTTGTCACGATTGTCCAGAGTACCGGCTGTCATACCCTCATGTCTTCACCCTACTCCATGTGTTTACTTCAGTACCGCGCGTTATCCTCATGACTCCACGCTTAGCTAGCCTGTTATCACTTTGTTTTCTTGATCCATTGGTTACATCCGTTTGTTTTGTTGCACTGGCGTTCCACACTGGTCCATCATGGACACTGTAGCATCTGTCTCATGCCCATTATCCCTGATAGCAGAGAGTATCTTGCCTGCCACTGTGTTTCTTGAGGAATATCGTGCCCACATAGGGTAATGATCTGCAACCCCTTTCGCCAGCTTTTATCTTGGCTCTTAGTGGTACGGCGATTGTTACGGGTTGTGATTGACAATATGCACCTGATGTTAAGTTCGTTGATTGGCCCGGTTCCAAGACAGATGCAGTGGTATCGAATTAAATCCAGTAGAATCAACAATATCCTAGTCCGCGATCCATATTACAACCGACACTACTGCGCCTTCTCAGTATCAGGGCCGTTCACGCTCCCATTAGCTTTGGTTGGAACGTTGCCTGCTCTCGACGCTGCAGCACCCGCGTTCGCACTACCTTTGTTGGAGCTCAACAAGCTCTGGAAGAAGTTTTGAAGCACTTCATGTTGCGTCTGTCCTCCCGCGCCCGGCGATGCGACTGCAGGCGACGACGCTGCAGAACGTGATGCTAAGGATGCCAGCGGCGCGGTAAGCGTAGAGCTTGAGGTCCGGCCTGAAGATCGCCCAGAAGTCTTCCGAGTGGCCTCACCGCTAGAGGAAGCGCTTGCTAAGTTTGGTGCTCCGGCGATGGCACCTCCTTCCATCTCCGTCAATGCACGCTCGACATGAGGCATACTGAAGCTGCTGCTGCCCATCGGGCCAACGACGCCTGCGCCAGCGTTCTCGCTTGGGTTCCGGAAGGCACCCCGAGGGTCTCTGTCGGGCTTTTTCGAGTTTTCGTCATAATTCTTCGCAAGGAAGGTCTGTTCGGGGATCGGATTGTTGAAGGGTGGCAACGGCGGTGCCTGCAAGGACGGAAGTTCAGCAATGATGACGCGCAAACAGATAATGAAGCTGACCTTGGCGCCCTGGTCTGGCACAAGAACGCTATACATCTTCTTTGCACCTGGTTGATTCTCCTCCTCGGTATGTTCCAGATCGCGCTCCCATGCTTCATTCCAGAACCTGGGGTCGAAGTTGTCTCGAAGCACGCCGATCTTACCCCAGCTGTCCCACCCGGCTGGTATAACGATCCTATCTCTGTCAAGAGCATTTGGTTTGTGCTGGAACGGGAAGGGGTTGCGAACGGGAGCAGTGGGCTCTATGGGCGAAGAAATTCCGGGTGAGGGGGCTGGTGGCATGAAGACGAGGTGGAGAGCATATTGACGCAGAATCTGTAACGTATCGGGCAACAGTGAGGTATAGAATAGTCCGGCACCATCTTTGACGCATTCAGCAAGAGTCATGACAGCAATGAGGAACAACACACATTTCAAGCAGATAGTGCGCAGGACTTGCATCACTCCATCCGTCCGCTCTTCCCATTCACCTCCTTTACCCTTGACCATACCACCCATGCCAGATGCCCCAGTGCCGAGAATGTTGTTATTCTCGTCTATGAGGTCGGCCTTTGTGCATGCGACGATGACGGGCACGCCCGTTGAATTATGCGTGAGCGTGCCTGGTCCTAGTGGCAGTACCGTCCCAGACATGGTTGAAGTCGCAGGTAGTGGTTCAGCAGTGGGTTCTACGTAATGCTGTAGATGTGCCTGTACTGGAAGTGGCTACTTTAGAATATAGTAGTTGCAGAAGAGAAGCAGCTCACGTCGTTCGCGATTCTCTTCTCGTACAATCTCTAGCTCTCTTGATCCATCACCTTTGGACCACTGCTCGATCCATTCAAGCCATGTCTCCAGCTCCTCCACAAAGGCCCATGGTCGTGTCCAGTCTAGGACAATGATGACTACTGAATGTGGCAACGAGGTTCGCGGCGGAAGGAAATGCGATAACAGCGCAGTATATGATGGCGCAGACGATGGCACCGTATATACTGCCAGACGTGCGAGGGTATCTATCCTCAAGAACGCGTCACTTAACTTCGCAGTATCGCACACATGTCGCCACGCTCACCTTCATCCGCATCATCTCGAACGTCGGCCCAATCGTATCCTAACGCGAAATCAGTCCGCTCATCTTTCTTCTCACTCTCTATAAGAGGTTTGTGAAGAAGCGCAGACACCAAGGTTGACTTTCCAGACGATGGCTGCCCTAGAACGAGCACTTGTTTGGCTGGTATTGAACGTGAAGTGGACACGGAGTCCAGAATAGAGGACCAGAGATCCTGCGGTGGCGTCTCCATCGGCAACGGTTCTGAGTTATCCATCGTTCCTCAATATCCTGAACGGAAGAGCTAGGTTGACGACAGTTCAAAGCAGATGGAAGAGCACGATGGAGAGGACTTGGGGTCGCGTTTACAGTCGCGCACATGGCAATCTCCGGCAGCGCGTCCCTTGCACTCGAGCCACAGTGATCAACGACCTCCGCGTTCAGCAGACAAACTGGAGCCGTCATCTATCAAAGTGCCCTCTTATAGAGCGGTCATAATGTCTCCGTCTATCTCTCTTCCCCATCACACTCTCAAGGAGTCGCCGAACTCGCGCACTATTGAGATCGGAGACTGGTCTATCACTGCTCGAGCGAACCCGATCTCAAATGCAGCCGAGTTGGACGCCCTGCAGGCGGCTGTAGGCGGAATACCTCTCCCGGAAATGACGTTTGGTAACAACGCGCTGGAACTTGAGCATAAGCCGAGTGGATGGAATTATGGCTTTGGGACGGAGGAGGCGCTTAAAGGTGTCAAGAACGGCGAACTAGTAGAGGGCGACGGAGGCGTGAAGGTTGGATATGCGGATGCTTGGCTAGCCAGCCGGTATGGATTGTTATGCGAAAACCTGCCAGAGATGTCTCACGAAATCGGTAGGACAGGTCCATCGTCTCAACTACCGATGCCCAAGACTGTAGCGACCAAGCCGTATGATTGGACGTACACAACAATCTACTCTGGACATGATTTGCCCTCTTCCACAGAGACAATCAAATGGCAGCCCGGGGATCCTGACAATCCGTTGCACACGATCCCACTAGCTGAGCTTACCCGGCATGATCCCATATTATTCTATGCAGAGATCCCACTCTTCGAGGACGAGCTGCACGATAATGGCTCTTCTCATCTGCTCGTCAGAATTGTGAGTATGTCTCCCTAATCAACACTTCCGCCGCGCTTTCTCATGCTTTCTTGACACTCTCAGCGTGTCATGCCAACGTGCATTTTTATCTTGTCACGGTTCACCTTGAGGGTGGATAACGTCCTCTTTAGGGCACATGACACGCGTATATTTCACTCATTCTCCTCAGTACCACCTCTGGTAGTCCGAGAAATGAGCGGATGGGAGGCGCCGTACGATTGGGTCCGGAAGGTTAGTTCATGGAGCACAAGATGATGCATTGCCTCACTAATGTTGATACTTCGCCAACAGCGTCTCCCGAAACGCGACGACTTGACATCTTTGACGGACCCAACATGGATATCCAAGGTTCTTGCTGAGATGCCGAAAGAGGTATCGCAACAGGCGGGCGCTGGCACAAAATGGAAGGGACTTGGAACCAGGACTGAATTTGCAGTCTTGGAAAATGTTCCCGCTGCTCAGATCGTAAGCTGAGGTCTTTGCGCAAGCGGTGAGAAGTGACGTATCAATACCTTGCGCCGTCTGTTTTGTTACGACTTTGTACAATCGTACGTATCGTTGCTTCGGAAAGTATTTATTGGCTTCATCATGCCCCGCCGTTGCTGGGATGGCATAATATCCTCCAATTCTCTCCTATTACTCAACGCAAAAAATGCTGTGCGAATCACGCTTTTTTCGATGTCTCCCTGAATGCGCTTGTGAGTAGCTCGTCATACGATGATGAACATGGCGTATTACGCATGAAATGGTCATGATTGGTTATGTAGAATGTAGGTTACGACTCATAGTAGGTACGATCATTACACATTTGGATCGTGTTGATCATTATCACGACTCACAGCAACGATGATTTCATCGCCCTCAGTAGCAAAGGTGGCAGAACAGCTACTTTAGGACAACACTGCTTTATGCGGAGATGCCAGCCTCCTTCATCTGCTCCTCGCACCACTCCCACAGCTTGGTTGCCAGGACAGGATCGTCCGCCTGCCAACGTTTCATTTGATTTTCCACGAAATACATTCTTGGACAGAGACTTACCTCGTCTCTCACAGGTTGACCTTTCGTAGCCCAGGGTCGGAAGTATTCACCGCTGTCAGCCTTAGTGATATCGGGGGAGGTAGCCGCATACAGCTGGGTCAGAATACCCATGGAGACGGGGTACTTTGTCAAGAATGTCTGCAAGGGCTGACGGTCAAACACAGCAAATAATAAAGATCACAGCTTACGACGTACGTTCGGGGTAAAAAATGACGTCTGATGGTGCCACAAAGCAGTCTTAATATTACCTGGACTGACCGAAATAGAGATGATGCCTGTGGGGGTAGGGATCGCATCTTCATCAATCAAAAGGTAAGCGCTTGTCACTTACCTGAGTCAGTGTATCGATGCGCGAGTTCCTTGCTATAGATCATGTCAGCCAGTTTGGACTGCGCATATCTCTCGAACAAGGTGCCCGAGTCGAGTTTGTCAAGTCTGACGCCTCCCTGTAATGTCTGCATGAGGAGAGAAATTCCGCTCAAATAGGCTCAGAAGACGTACCGGAGGTGCTCCGAAGTGAGCGAACGAGCCCAGTGTGATGACGCGAGTGGTGCCGCTCTCAGATGTCTGAGCGGTATGGATCAGAATAGGCAGAAGTAGGCGCGTGAACACAAATGGCCCGAGAACTTCAAATGCGGGGTTGGATCAGTTGGAAAGCAGGAGCAATCGAGAGGTACGTACCGTTGACGGCAAATTGCACTTCAAGACCAGTCTTACTCTTGGTCCCCTCAGGAGGCATCATGACGCCCGCGTTGTTCATGAGAATATCCAGCCTAGACTCTTTACTAATAGAATTAAGGCGTGCTCAGTTCGCGAGGACCATGACAGTAGGACGCGCACAGACATACGCCTTGAATTCATCTGCGGCTGCTTTCACGCTCTGCAGGTCGTCAAGATCCATGTACAAGAAGGCCGCCTGGCCAGACTTGGGGCCTTCTGTGGCGGCTGCCACTTTAGAGTTGATCGTTTCTACTGCGGGGAGTCCCTTATCCTTCGAACGTGCAGTCACATAGACCTTCGCCCCATGAAGTGCGAGTGCCAGCGCAGATTCGTAGCCCAGACCGGTATTCGCACCTGGTGATGATGAGATAAAGAATTGCCACCCTGTGTCGAACACCACTAACCCGTCACGATCACGACTTTGCCGCTCAAATCCGGGATTTGCTCCGTAGACCACTACAAAGATTTGCCTCCATTAGATTGAGTTTGCAACGATCTTGAAACTCGGGCGCACCTGAGGTTTAGGAGGAAAGTTCTCCACATAAAAGCACCATGCTCTTGATGGTCTCAGAAACGATAATTGGGTGCCCATATTGATTGATCAGTCGGTCGAGCTGAGATGAGAAGTTGTACAAAAGCGATTCGAGCATTGCGTGTCTTTGCTCGAGGCTTATGTATCTTTCCGTCCATGTGAGCGCTTCACCTTCCACGACGAAGCGGAGGTTTCGCATAGCTCCGGCGTGCGTCTAGGGGCATGCCGTCACGCACATGCTTACGCGGCTTGCTGCCTGGATGAGCGTGAAGCCCGTACCGTTCGGTCAGAACAGCCTCCACCATGCATCAGAAATTTCGGATTCCGTCATAAAACGTCTTCTTTAATGCCCGACATCCCCTCGGCAAATCCTGATGCTTGGCAAGAATATCCGCCGTGTTGGCGTATGTACGCTGCATGTGGGTCCAAGGTGTTTTGTCGAGATCAGCTCTTTGGTTTCATGCCTCATTGTCGAAGGACACACACTTGCCTACTCTCGCTGATCATGCTTGAGATGCATTAAATGGGCGTAAATGACTTGTTTCTCGAGTTCGGGGGACCGGCGGAGTGACGAAGGACAACTGAAGGAACCGCGATAGTGTCCGATCAAAAGAAATTCATGGCGCAAAACAAGTGACTGCGGAACACGAAAGGCGCCCAGCAAAAGGCAGCCGAACATCTTTCACTGACAGAGTCTACATAGCCGTACTGAGCGGCACCTCGACCCATGCTGCAGATAAGCATGCCCTAGCCTTTTGCATCCGCCATCCGATTCAGTTCCCTCCAACAGTGAAACGTCAACTTACGAGCCGAGAATTCGTCTTTCTAATGGCGAACAGACAACCGACAATCACGAAATACCAGTACAATACTTTACATACCAGGTCCGAACAAGCTTATCCAGGCTGACGGCCCAGGTCCTCCTTCTCTGGTTTTTGTCTGCCCGCAATATGCGATGATGTATTTCGAAGGGTGCCATGCCACCGTTGGAGAAGGACCAAGAGTAGGAACGCGGTGCAACGGCATCCCCGTTTCCGTGGAACACTAGATGCGCCAAGGTCATGAGAATCGAAACGAATCGCATTCAAGCTACCACATACAATGTCAATGTACGATCCTGAGTTGGCAATGGCGAGGAATTCTCCATCGTGTGAAAAGCTTAAGGCATTGATGGCGTTGCTGTGATTGTCGATTGTCAGTTGTAGAGAGAAAACAATCAAAGTCGCACTAAGACGTACTCGCAAGCGGTGATGGTACGTGCGAAGATCCATTCTGACAGATCGAACAAATTCACGATTGCATCATGACCTCCGGATGCGAGATATCTGGCGGAGCTTAGCGTCAAGGGTCCACGACCGTGAAAAACCTAGCGCACCTGCCCCTAGGGTCCAGAGCTATAGCTGAACATCCTCCAACGTGCGCCGGGGCAGCGTGAATGAGCGATAGAGAGGGAAAAGTGTAGGTGCGAATGTATGTGTCTGACTGACTTGCGAGCACCACGCCATCACCGGCATGATTGAAGATCGCCGTCGACGCTCCTACCCTGGGCTTGTCGAGTGCATGTTAGATCACATCTGCAGGAAAGTATGGTCATTACACACTAGGTCCCTGTCCCAGAGGCGCCATTGTTCCTTTCCTCCATCTCCACCGTTTCCGTAGAGAAGGAAGCTAAAGTTTCTAGCTTGTGTGGCGAAGACCAGGGCTCTGCCGTCGGGAGCGTAGCTTGTCATGACAGGGCGCAAGCCGCCATGCGCTCCGAGATTTATTTGCTGAATATAGCGTGTTTCTAAAGTGCATGTACAAGTTACCATCCATCGGCTGTTGGGGTCGCTAGAACTTACGTCGGGCATCCCAGAAAACAATCCTCCTGTCCTTCTGGCTGGAAGTGCAGAACAAGTCCGGATGTGTCGGATTCCAGGATAGGTAATCGACATCGTCCGTGTGTCCGCCAGAGAATAGCGTCGCTGATCGCATCTCCATCTGGAACATACCACCAAATTGAGCAAACAATGGAGGACCTCATATACGTAGCACGTACACTTTTCTCTGGGTACCATAGCCTCACCGCCTTGTCGATGCCAACCGCGCCCAGTCTTCTTCCATCGCAGTTCCATGCGACATGGTTCATGGACTGTGGCGAAGGAATGCGGATGTCGCGTGGCCTGAAGGCCGAGAAGGTGGGGGCCTGCGGGTGAAGCGACGACAGAAGTCACTGACTAGTGTCATATATTGTCCATGAGCGTTCGTACATGAAGCCCACGCGCAGCGAAGGTGGTGTGAGGCGGTGGTGACGGCGGCCGCTGAGGAGCGGGAATCTCATCCTCCTCCTTCCCGTTAGCGGGTTGGCTGGACATGGCTAAATGCAAATACTACAAGGCAACCGTGGTCCTCTACAAAGCATGAAGGTGCAGTTATTTGCCGACGTATAGAAGCGATTGAACAGGTAGCAGGAAGAGGATTGTTAGGCAATGGAATGCGTAGAGGAGCAGTAGCTATGGGCGTCTACGAGGTGAATGGCGAATAAGGGCGAATAGGACGAAAGTAATTTACATAGGAAAATGAAAAAGAGCCTCAGTTGAGTCGACGACTTTATTGTTTTCCGCACAAAATGGCCAAGTATGGAGTCAAACCGGGGACCTTGGCGTATCACGTAAGCCTCTGACCTATACTTATTGGGTGACTTCTTGAAAAATAAATCATAATTAGTCTCTGCAGTGCGACAATGACGACGCCTTCACCCTTCACTGTTGCGCATAGACGCTATGTACAGTCTCTGTACAGAAGAATACTGAACAACGAGCTGGACTGGATAGTGGATCGTAGTTTGTGGAGAGGAAAGGCGATTGCCATCCGCGCAGAGTTCGAGAGGAACAGGTGTGTATCGCATTTGTACCGCCTCGAAACCCAGGTTCACGGACAGCGCTGGTATCTGCTCGGTGAATTCGATACATCGGCATAAATCTGCTGCAGGAATGTGCATGACCCTCGGGAGCTTGCTACTATCCTAGAGAAGGCTGAAGCCGATTTGGATTCCAGGAAGCACCCTGATCCCTACCGACGTGAGTAGATCCTCTGAACACCCCAGAGCCTGTTATGACCATACCTCCCAGCTCCTGAGGCGGTGGACGGTGTGAAATGGTACGTACGTTGTCAAAGCGCCCTCCACTTCGCTGAAGCTGGACATGTTTCAGGGAGCGAAACATCCCGGTGAGTTCACTGGCTGTAGCCGGTCATCGCTGATGGATCCCTGATAACCATTTCGCCAGCCCCCTCTTGGACCCATCTTCGATTTCGAGAAATTCAACAGGGATCACGCCCTTGGCCACCATTGATTTGCGTGTACCATTGCTCGACATATATACAATCATTGAAGTCCCGCGTTTTCACCTCCTCATGAGCTTTCCAGTGTCAGTTTCACTGAGCATGACTACTAAGTGTCTTTTATGCGTGATATACTTCAGTCCGGCGGGCTAGCGTTTGTGCTCGACTACCTGCATATCGATGCACGGTACTAACCGTTGGAACCTCTGTACATGCGACTTTCCGTGAGATTGCTCCGACCTTCACTGGAAAGGTCACCGATATTTTTGTCGAGACTTGGCTGCACTGGCCTAGGCAGCTGGGCTTCCTCCTTGGCAAAAGCGGTCTACAATCGTCCTTGGTGGCGACTGCGCTCGTAGCGTCCACATGCTGCTCCCGCCGACAACCATGTGTGGCTATCCCCGCGGCGATATATATGATCCAACTGACGATTGAGCGACGAAATCAAATGCTTCGCGTACCCACGTGCAAAACCTGGGACTCATCAAGCCCCAGACTGAGCCGCCGCCGCTGGGGCAGCCAGCGTCCTCCTTCCATCACCTCGCGCGCAAGTCGTCTCTTCCACTCGTTCTCCATCCGATGAATTATCTCCGGGGGGCTGTCAGCGCAATTAGTGCACCTTATCAGTACTACAAGGATATCAATCCCGCCACCCTCACCGGCGCCATCGACGTCATCGTGGTCAGTCGTCCCAAGCAGCAACCCACCGATACTAGCCAGGAACATGCACAGCAGGTCGAAGGAAACGAGCTTGTATGCTCGCCATTCCATGTCAGATTCGGGAAGTGGCAAGTACTCAGGCCGGGAGACAAGAAGGTATGGTTGAGCATCCACATTGACTGTGGCGATCACTCAATCAACCATCAGGTCAATCTGTTCGTCAATGGAGACTTGGTGCCATTTCCGATGAAGATTGGGGAAGCAGGCGAGGCATTCTTTGTGTTCGAGACGGACGAGGATGTCCCGGAAGACCTTGTTACCAGCCCATTGCTTGAGGCAACGAAGCCTGGACAGACCAACGCTGATGTGGAGACCGCAGGCCGCTTTGGTGCACAGGAGGGTCCGGAATCCACGCCGGAAGCTGGGGAAGAGATTTCATTTTCACAGGAGCCCGACTTCCTCGATCTAAACGCATCCGGTTCTGAAAGGCGAACACCGGAGCCGCGGCTACAGGACGCGCAGGAAGGCGTATCCGAGCCATCATTATTCTCTCGTACGGCTCACCTTGGAAAGACTGTCGTTGAGGCCGCGATAGGAACAGAGAAGGTACTGAAGGATAAGCTCAAGGAGGAGATTGTCAAGGATGCCATTTCTGAGGTGGCGCATGACGATCAAACCGCTCTGAAGAAGAAGGCCATCGCTGCACAAAACGGGGCAGAGAATTTGCGGAGGAGCTTCCTTGAAGGGAAGGGAGATGAAGTCCTGCCGGACACGAAGGCTCAGGGTCCGGAGGTTGTTTATGCCAATGGTATGTAATATACACCCTTATAGTCAATCTCACTAACGAGGGGGCTTCAGACATGGTCTTCGACATGGAGGGATATCATTCACACGAGCGTGGTCGTTCCGGTGATACTGTCGCACTCAAGCACGGTGGGTCTCCTTCAAGCGAGCCCAGTACGCCAGGGTCATCTCGTATGTGGCTCAGATACTGCACTAGACGTCATCTTCATTATATGCTTTAGGAAGCCCATCGCCATCCGCCTCCTCTTCCGCACTCGTTCCTTTCCCCACCATTCGCGCAAAGTCCGAGCCACCACCTGAGCACGAAACCAGGCTGACCCCATCTGTGGTCACGTCCAGCTCGCCGACCAGCCCACCGACGCACACATTATCGGATCGCATGCACGCAACACAACCGAAGTTCGTGCAACACAGGCTCTCCTCACTTCCCGCATCACAGGATGCAGACACAGAGGAGTACATGTGGGATTGGGGCAGCTTTCCTCAGCGTACGCCCATTCGGACGGCGTTCCCGCCTTTCGATGGAAGTAGTGTGAAGGAGAAGGGAAAGGAACGGATGGTAGACTTGGGCCTGAACACGAGCGTAGACAGGGGGGGAGATGGAGATACGGTGGTGGCATCCCCGCTGTCGCCCTTGGAGAGCGACGGTGAGAAAGAGGAAAGTCGTAAGTTTGGTGAGGGCGGACGGATTGGAGTCGATAGGAGAGACCCCACACGGTTCAGAGTGTCGATCGAGGGACGGACGGTGGACTTTGAGTTGAGTGTAATTCCCGGTATTAGCAAGGAGAATCGGACGGGCGAGGGTCCGTTAGGCGGGGAAAATGAGGTGATGGATCCTCAGCGATTTGATGGCGGAAAGATTGATTTCCAACGATTCCTGGACGATGAGAGGGTTGTCAAGGACCCAGACCTTACTATGAGATGGGCTGGGGATACGTAAGTGACTAACATGAGCGCATATATGTGTGGATATAACTGACTGACTCTGCCTGGTTAACAGATATATCACGCGTAAAGATGCTTCTCCGCTCTTCGATGCACTTATTCCCTGGCGCGAGGCGGCTCTGCGTGGCAAGCTTACCACGTCTCCATCGCGATCGCCGTCGCCGGGCTGGGACGGCCGTTCGCGCCTTAATAACATCGAGGAGGAGGCACCATATTCGGACGATGAGCAGCGGAGGGCCGACATCGCGAAGACGACTGCAAACACGAGTAACACAGAAGGTGCGGTAACACATCTGTCATCATCGTCCTGGGTACGGTGGTGGAGTCGTAGCCGGAGGACGGATAATGCACAAAGGCCAGGATTGAGAGCTATGAACACGGCGCCATCCACACTAGTACGTTTTCTCGACATCAATAGTCGACTATATGCGCCGTTCTCGCATGCTGACAATGTCCTCATGTAGCATAGAACAAGATCTGAACACGTTGAGACAGTCCATCTTGCAGTGGCGAGGCGCTCATCATCTCTAGCGCCGCCGTCGCCTGTACTAATACTCGAGCCTGAGATGCCCGCTTCAGAAGCATCCTCAGAGGAAGAGAAGCCGAGGAGGAGGAAGCGGTACGCGAAGACATTACGGCTGACGTCAGACCAGCTGGTGAGTCTCAAGTTTGGATCCTAGGACACTGACGTGACAATGCGACACAGAAATCACTCAAATTGAAGTCCGGCGCGAATAGCATCACGTTCTCGCTGTCTGCCACTGGAGCGGTTGCATGCACGGCGCGACTGTTCGTGTGGAAGCACACAGATCAGGTCGTAGTATCCGACATCGACGGCACGATCACGAAGTACGCCTATGCTTACTTGATAGTTGTCATTGACTCACGTCCATCGCAGGTCCGATGCATTGGGCCACGTCTTCACGATGATCGGGCGTGATTGGACGCATCTTGGCGTGGCTAAGCTGTATACGGACATCTGCCGGAATGGCTATAAGATACTCTATCTCACCTCGAGAGCGATCGGACAGGCAGACACAACGCGTGACTATCTGAAGGGCATCAGGCAGAATGACTACCAGCTGCCAGAGGGCCCTGTCATCATGAGTCCGGATCGTCTCCTGGCCTCATTCCACCGGTGAGCTTCACAAGAGTGTACTGACCCGGGCCTGTAGCTGATAGATATCAGGGAGGTCATCTTACGCAAACCGGAAGTGTTCAAGATGGCGGCTCTGAGGGACATCCAGAAGTTGTTTGGGAACACTGCGAAGAATCCCTTCTACGCGGGCTTCGGAAACCGTATCACAGATGCCCTGTCCTACCGTAGCGTGAATATTCCGAGCTCGAGGATATTCACTATTGACTCGTCCGGCGAGGTGAAGATGGAGTTGCTCGAATTGGCTGGATACAAGTCATCGTACGTTTGCAAGGTTCATCACGCCAATATCAGATACTCACGCTCTCGCAGGTATATTCACATGACAGACTTAGTCGACCAAATGTTTCCGCCAATTAACAAGAAGTGGGCGGCGGAATACACGGACTTCAACTTTTGGAAACCTCCTATACAGGAGTTCGCTCTGCCCGACCTGTCACCACCATCGCCCGCCTTAAGTGCGCGGTCCGATACGTCCAATCAGAGCGCGTTGGCTCGCTTGCGACATTTCAGTCTCGGAGGCGGCAGACAGGCGAACAACATGTCAAAGTTTACATTGCCCCCACCAGCTACGGCGACACATGGAGCAGAGGACGACGGACGCAAGACCGAAATGCATTTGCGACAGATGTCGTCGTTTGAGAGGCTGAGCAGCACACTTGTGGGCCTTGCCTCCCCTCTCAGTAGCCCACGGTCGAGCACGCCCACCTTCATCGATTCTGGCTCAGAAGATGAGGACTACGAGGGAGATTTGGGTAAACAGAAGGGGCGGCGACGACAACGCCGAGAGAGCATGCCCGGATCGCTACCCGGATCGGATGGTTCTGTCTCCGACGACGACCTCCAATTTACGGTCGACGACCATAACGGTTACGAGTATGATAGCAGCAAGGAGGACGAAGCTGCGAATGAGACATTTGATGAGGATCTGCTGGCGGCAGGAGAGATGGAGAAGGTGCCATTCTTGTGAAACACGCAACATATCGGATCTGGAGCAGCATTGCATATTTCCATTCACTGCATTTGGCCCATGTAATACTATCGTCTACCGGCGTACACTACTGCTCCTACATAATGCTGTATTCTTAATCACGCTAGCGCGGACTCGGTGCAGATATCCATTATTTCCGGTGTGCGTTTTTTTACATGATCGAGAGATGTTCTCGACGGTGATACAAGTCGCGCGGAGCCAACTAGAAGGGTGTCGATGGGAAGATGCGCTCGGCAGATGGGCGGTGCATACTGAGAGCAATAAAGAACAGGGTAGGAAGAGTGCATACAGTGTCGCTAAGGACGAACACAACAGAGATGCTGGGGCTGCGTCCTATGCAACGACCAAGGCCGGCCCCAACGGACTGATGCTCATGCCTCCGAATGATTCTCCCAACCCGTCTGCTGCATCGTCCACATCGGCAGATTTCGCGCCGGTGACAGGAATGCCTTGAGGTTCATGTTCTTCAATGCCATCTTCTGCTTCTTCCATCCCCATCTCATCTTCATTATCAATCTCGTCCTCGTCTTCATTGTCGATAGCAATGGATGACCACTCCCGATATACGCCACGGATGTACGAGCTAGAACCGGGGAGCTTGTATGGATCGAATGGGAAGAAAGAGTCCAGCTCCGAAGTCATGGAATGCTCGAGCAGCGATGGGTGGATCGTGGATGCCCATCTGCTTCCGGTGGCGGCATTGTTTGATGCCGGCTGTTGTGAAGCGTATTCTGACCGCCGATTAGCCTCCATGATGGAGTAGCAGTAGATGAAGTCCGTCGCGTGTGCAATTTGTGCGAATTGCATCACCACGGTTTGTGAGCACACCTATGAACTAATGAGCCGACGTACTCACAGACAAGGTAGCGAGACACATACCTTGAGCGGATTGAGCTCCGATGTCACGACACGTTGTATGATGTTCAGTTCCATCATCCACTGTTTTGGCGGGGCTCCTACTGAAGTGAACTCATCTATGTCCTCCTGATACTCGAGCAAGTCTCTCCACCTAAAGCAGAAAATCAGAAATACGGCCTGCGCGACGGCATAGAACACGCTATGATGCGCCATGCTCGGCGGCACCGCGCCGGCCCTCGTCACTGCCTCCAGAGTGTCCAGGCGATTCTGCAGGAAGTTGCATAAACAGGCGACGACTCTCCGCGTGCTGTCCCGGTCGACGAACTGTGCGCGGCTGACAAAGCTTGCAATATAGCTCGCCGCAGCAGCGCGCGTCACTGCAGGCTGGTCCTCCTCCAGGAGGGATTTCGACACGAGCATACCCTGGAAGAGGTCGCTGAACTCGGGATCCAGCGAGGAGTACCAAAACACGAGGAACTGGGTGTAGCGGGACTTGAACGTGCGGAGAATAGTGCGGTCGAAGATGGAAAGGAGCACGTGAAACTGCTGGCGCCTGAATATTCTGCCTTCCTCGAGGATGGCAGCCGACGGTGGTCTGAACTCAGGTGCAGGCGACGATGGAGTATGAGAACTCGAGCTCGGGGAGCTAGGTGCTGATATTGACACTGGAGAGGTCTCAGCGTGTGTACGGCTGAAATGGTCGAATATATTCTTCATGATTGCATCCAGTTTGCTGACCATGCCCTGTATATGGTGGTAGTTGATCGGGACATCATCCTGAGCCTTGTCATCGGTATCTCCACCTCCCTCCGAGGATAGATCGCTGAGATTATCTCTGTCTTCGTAGTCATCGTCGTCCGACTCGGACTCCTCTCCCTCTTGGCCGACAAGGGTGTCGAACGGGTCAAGCTCAAAGATTTCCTCCTGCGCCTGATCAACCAGATGCTCTTCCAGTTCTTCGAGCTCTACTTGAATCTCAACCTGCATAGCCACCTCAAGAAGGGACAAAATGGATATAGATGTCAGAACTTACATCAATTTGGGTGGCGCGATCCACGATGAGCGCCAGAATGCTTTCCGCCAACTCCGGGCAGTATTCAGTAATCTTCAATATGTTTTTAATATATGTCACCTGCGATACCACGCTGTGACTTTTGTGTGGGAAATTGCGGACGAGGAGAGGATGTAGCGTTGATGGCAAGGTAGGAACAAGTGATAAGAGATGCTGAAGCAGATAGTGTATCCGATCATACACTACTCTATGAGTGAGGGGCGTGGTCGAGCTTGAAGGCAAACTGGAATCCAGGCCGGATTCTGAACAAGAAGATCAACTATGTACGCTATCAATGCTATACCGATATAACGCACGATGTGTGAAGCTTCGAGCGATCTTTCCAAGCACTGACGACAAGTATTCCGGTCTGGCACTAATCAGCATCCCAATGAAAGAGGTGTATGACTTCGCGAAGCTGGTGTCCATCGTCGCCCATGGAACACTGAGTACGGCCTCTACCAGAAGAGAATGACAGCGATCAAGTTGAGAGACAACATGCGAGAGGGCAAAAATCCAATGACGGAGTTGTGACGGGGGTAAAGACGTTTCATCGTGAGGCTTCTTGGGATTGAACTGATCGACTAGTTCGTCGAAGGCGTCAGAGATACCCTGATATGTGCCAGTGAGCGTTAGCAACGTAGAAACACAGGCAGTTAAATCGTACATTTGTCTTTTGCTGCAGTGCGTTGCGCACAAATGCAAGATACATATCCTTACGGTACTGTTCATCTTGTCGAAGCAGCTAGTGAGGAATAACTGTAGATACTTTTTAAGATAAACATACCTTGCTTGATCCTTGAGTTAGTCGCAATAGGTCTTGACACATCCAGAGCTAACTCGGACGCTGAGGATGACCACTGCTTGGACGATGCAGATCGTTCCTTGAAGTCTTCCAGGGAAAAAACAAACATTTGCGGCGGCTCAAGGTGGCGAAGGCTGGTCGCCGTGGGTCCTGCCTTAGGCTGTCTGACATTGCACTGGATAAAGCGAGAGTGTAGATCCATCTCTCCTGCAGATTCGAACAGACATGTAGTAAGCACGGACCAAAAGGTAGCTGACTAAGCAGGGCAACAATTTCATACGTCCAAAGCGCCCAATGCGGCAAGTGCAGTGTTTAACTCACCTTCCCGAGTCTCTGGCAGCTGCGGTAGCCTGAGCTATTTTCTCAGTCAGGAGGTGAGTTCAATATGATAACGTCCTACTATCTTCATATAATTAGAAATTCAGTGACTTCAAGCAGAGTACTGGTAGTCGTTACCAATAGTGGTATGACTCGGTATATTTGGCTTGATTGTGATCCAGTATGTCACAAGGCTGTTTCATCGTACAGCTGAGCCTCCCGGTTGATTAAACTGCAGGGGCACGACGATGCAACAGCGATAATGCTGGCAGTCCACTGTCCTGGTGTGCAGCTGCTAGGCATCTCAACGGTATTATCATCGCATGATGGATTTCGCATGGTGGCTGAAACACATGCGCTATGGCATACAGGTGCATGGTAACACAAGTGCAGAGAATACCAATGGAAATGCAGCTCGTTGCTTGTATGCGTTCGCTGCTCCTGCAGACGTGCAGGTCTATCCAGGAGCCACAAAGCCACTGATAAGACCCACGAGGCATGATCCTGAAATCCATGGGATCGACGGGCTTGGAGGCGTCGATGGCCTGCCATCCGTGGAACACCAAGCTGTACGAGTACGACTCACTGACGTTAATCGGTCATCTCGAGCAGTAGAGGCGATCGCTCGGGCGATTCGAGATACGTGGAAAGACGGTGCAGGCAACAAGCTCGTTATCGTATCTTCTGGACCGATGACCAACATTGCGCTATTCGTGAGCGTATACCCTGACCTCCTCAGTGGGATAGGTAACCTTGCCCCGTTATTGTCCATACGTCTATTCCCGACTGAAGGACTATCTTAGACGAATTTGTGTTCATGGGCGGAGGGGTTGGCATTGGCAACCGTTCCCCATCGGCAGGTAAGCTTACCTTCATCGGTTTCAGTGATATTACCGACGGATAATAGAATTCAACATTCTTTGCGATCGTGCGTTCCGCCATTTGGAAGTTCTTGCTCTCGCGTGCTCTGATGCTCGTTAAAGCCGAAGCCGCACAGATCGTACTAGACGTACCTGTCAAGAAAACGATGATACCCCTCAACGTGACACATACCGCAATCGTAACCCGCCCTATACTCCACAACCTACTCTCGCCCAATTCTCCTATGATCACCAACGCACGTCCTCAAGCTTCCACGAAGCTGCGGCATATGCTCTGGACGCTGATCAGTTTCTTCGCCGCCGCATACGAGTCCACCTTCGGCTTCGTTGACGGACCGCCACTGCATGATGCTCTGACAATTGCCTATGTTGCCCAGCCGGATCTGTTCACCTGCAAACGCTACAGAGTGGATGTGGAACTGAGCGGCATGCACACCGCTGGCGAAACTGTAGTTGATATCTGGAACTACCGTGCATGTGACGAGACCTGGGGACGGAGCGGGAAGAACTGCCTTGTTGCAGAGAAATTGGATGTAAGGTCTCGTATGTGCCACGGCCGCCCCATGCTGACGACGTGTACAGGTGCCACGCTTCTTCGACTTGTTTCTCGATTGCGTCGCCCGCTGTGACGCGGTATCCCCTTTGAATCAGTGACAACTACATCCAAATGCTGACAAGGTATCGGAACGGCATGAATGGTCATTCAAGAAAGGGGTATATACATCCATAGATCTACGAGAGAAGTACAACACGCGTATTCAGCCTGATTAAAATTTGGCAAATTGTCTGCCGCTCAGATTGTCCGCTAGATCACTGATGATCCATGAAGCGGCTTGTCCGCGCACCATCAACAAACATCTTGCTAAGGGGCCTGTTTGGTGCCCTTGCTCTGCGTTGACCTGTGCGCATACTGCGGATGGCTTGGTCGAGATCGCCCCTGCCGAGCGATCGTCCGGTGGCACGACTGTAAGAGCTCGGCGGAGGCAATAGTGGCTTTGATTGCGATGAATCCTTGGTTTGCTTGATCGTCTGTGTTACATGAGAGATCTCTCCGTCAACTGGCACGACACAACTCACGGGTTCCGCTGCAGGTGCGGCCTCTTCCACCTTGACGGTCACGCTACCCACAACCTTAGCTTCCGTATCATGTACTTCCAACGCCGCTTTCTGCAACATCATAAGACACAGCTCGCACGCGGCATATCGGATTCATACCTGAAGCGATCCGGAAAACGTCAGAATTAGACCGAAGAAGTCTTCGGGCTTCGGCGCGTCCTGGGAGTCGGGATTCTCGCCATAGAAGGCCAAGAGTGACCGCAATTGGCTGTCAAGTGCAATCATCATGTTCCTGAGGGCATCGACACTTGAGCGTACTTGCGCAGAGAATGGCTACCGGTTAGGTTGTCAATTGACGCCTAGCCTTTCAATTGATTTCAACGCTCACCTGCATTACCTCAACGAATTTGTCGTTCGGCAACGTTGTTCTCTGCAGCACTCGGATCTCCTCTGTAACCTGCTTCAGACCATCGACCATCGACTGGACCGATGCTGTGATCGACTGAACAGAGACTATAAACAGTAAGGCTCAGCGCATGGAGATTCTGTTTGCGCCGATATACGTGCCTCTAGCAGCTGCTTCTAGATGCGGCATGTCCTCGATGAACATTACTAAAGCAGGGTCGCTTCGCAGGAGGACACGTGCAAGATAATGCAACAGCGTCGGACACTCGGGTCCTCCCTTCGTCGTCTTCGTCTCCCGCAACTGCAAAGACACCTCAATGGAGTCATTGCTTGAGTGTGATCAAGATTCTTACCTTCGTCAGCGCCTCTAGCTGGAAGCCTCTGGCGCCACCACGGAATGTAGACCCATTCAAGGCATTGCCGACAGACAATACAGCCTGCGAACGGCAAACGGCTCAGCGGTTTGTGAGTCTTGCCTCGTCAGTAACAGAATCGTACCTGTAATACTTTCTTGAACCTCGCCGAAGAACGAAGTTCATGGGAAGCATTGCGGACGATATTGAGCTCTGGTCTAACCTCCTCTATCTCGAATTCAAGCTTCCGGCGGTAAAGCATACAGTCAAGGCGCTCTTGTAATCGAGGAACAGACATGATCTATGGGACGGTCATCGTTAAGTTGTTCAGACAATTATGAACACATACGTGATAAAAATATTGATCAGCCTTCGCCAGCTTGCTAATATCATCGAAGTCTTTGAGTCTTCTGATCTGTGCACCGTGAATCAACATGCACGGTCGGTTTCAGTGAGTTGCAGTTGCGATTACCTCCTCTGCAGTCGGCAATTGCCTTCCGATGGCTCTGAGATCATCTATCGAAAGCTTGCTATCGTCAAGGACTAGGATAGCATCACGGATATCGGACAATCCCGGCTTGAAGCGTGACAGCATGATAGCTACACGCAGGTGAGTCTCTACGGTGTGTTTGTGATGAATTACTACTCACCAACATTGTTCGCTCTGGTAATGTCGAGCAACGTAGTGACAGATTGCTTGCGTGATGTTGATATATTAGCCTGCAGATTGCTTGAAGAGGCAGTATCAATTGCAAATGTAGCTTCCAAATCATTCAGATCGAAGGGGGTATCGGAGGCTACGTCGCTCCAGACAGTGGATTGTAACGACGGCGCGGCGAGTTTATTCCAGAAAAAAGGCCTAAGACGGTTGGTAGGTCTCGATACATGGACTAGACGTCCCTTGTGCGCCATCGGAGGAAGAGGAGGAGGCGGCGGCGGCCCCGGGAGAGGGGAGATTCCCGTTGGAGAACGTGCATTCATGCCACTTGGCGGAGGTGGAGGAGGCGGAGGAGGAGGCGGTGGAAGTGGGGGTGCAGTATCCGACACCTCATCCTGCTGAGAAGCTGGGGAGACGATGAGGCCCAGCGGCGGGGGGGGGGGGGGGGGCGGGGGCGGAGGCGGGGGAGGCGGTGAGGATGGTGGTAATGGCGATGACGGTGGTGGTGGTGGCGACAGCGGCGCAGAGAACGTTACCGCGGATGATACTTCATACTGTACAGCCGTAGCACGCTCGTTCTCTGCAAGGGGTTGCGAGAAAGGTGATCTCAGCGGCCGAGAAGGCGGAGGTAGGGGAAATGGGGACAATGCCGTGGGGCTCTCGACCTGTGATGTGGCAGAATATAAAACAATGCCAGTAGAAATAGGTATTACAGATGGCGGACGTGGTGGAGGCGGTGGTGGTGCAACTTGCCGCTTGAAGGCAGACTCTGTGATGAACTTGGGCTTCTCCGCTAATTCCCTCTTCAATGCCTCAACTTCTGCTTGCAAAGCAAGTATCTCTTCGTCCTTCTGAACAAGTCCATCGATCGCACGTTTGGCTATTTGCTCGGCATCAACCTCTGTCTCTCTGCTTTCCTCTCGTGACCGGAACCGAGAGTAAACGGACTCGAGCGCTCGCTTCAAGAACAGGATTTCTTTGTCCTTGACGCTGAGATTCGTCTCAAGTTCGCCCGTCTGTGGAGACGTGAGGGATACACCACCATTGATGACATGGCGAACATACCTGGATCTTCAGTTTGGCAATTTCCTCATTCAATGTGTTCCATTTCACTCTGTCACGCTCTCTCCTGGCTCGCTCGTTCTAACATTAAGGGAAACACGTAAGTATGTGACACGTCTGGTCACGCCTTCAATTAGGGACTCACATCTCTTCCCTCGCTCGGATTGAGCGCTTTGAGACGGTCGAGTTCTAATTGTAGCTGTGACACCTGCTTCTCTTTCTGTACCACGCGCTGGACAAGGCCGTGGAAGCCTTGACTTGACTATTAAGAAGTCGACATCAACAAATCAAGCGACATTGCGCGGTAGCTTACCTCAGCGAAAGGCTTCCCAGCAGCTTTATCATGCTGCGGAGGATTAACCGAGTTTAAAGACCTCAGAACATTAATCTCTGTGATCTGCTGATCGAGTTGATTGCTAAGTTCGGTTCTCTGCGGGATTGAGTGAATCATGAAGTCCGCTACAAAGCTATAGATACATGCTCACCTCACTGCTCAATTGGTCGACATGAGCTTGAAGAGATCGAAGCTCTTCAGCCAAAATTAGCTCATGGCCGTCCCGAGGGGCTTCGACAACAAGTTCTTGACCGGTGAACCGTCGTACGTCTTGGACAAACGTATTCAGAAACGGCACCCATCCGTCTCCACTATGCCATGATATCAGTCATGTTCTGTGATGAAACAAGGGAAACATACAGATCATCGAGGTTCACTGCTTGATCTGTGAAGGCATAAATCACTGCAAGAAGATCACTCTTGACCTGGCTGTAAAACATCAATGCTAATTCATGGTACAACAGGAATCTCATCATACCCGTCGATTTCGTGTCCGAAAAGATCACATAGACGCTGCAGGATTTTAGTAAGCTCTAGCCAGAGAGTCTCCTGTTCTGTCGCCAGGCGACATAAGCGTTCCAGGGTTCGATCGGTCAACAAAGGTGAAAAGTCATTGTTGACGAGGCCGCGAGCACGCTCGCGCATGTCTTCCTCATCCTCGAATTTTTCCTCCGTATATACGTCAAGTTGCGTTGTCAATGACTCTGGTGGCTTAATGTAACGCAGAGTCTACGTAGAGATTGAGACGTTTAGTTGAAGAAAGTATGCTCAAAGACGACATACGACGATGACTTCATTCAAACCACGTCGTCCAAACTCCTCCCTGAGAAGAATACGTTCTTCAAGTGCATCAGGACAATTTGTGAGAGCATTGACGAGCGCCATAGATGCTGTCCGAGCATCCCAGACACCCTCTTCCTCGTTAGTGTAGCCGAATTCATTAGTAACCGTTCCATCGTCCGTGATGTCAGGCAAACGTAACGAGGCGATCAATTCTTGGAAGCGGAACGCTTCCTCAAATTCGATGCGATAGTCGGACATCGCAGAGAGTACGGCTTTGTGCCCTTCCCTTAATGACAGAACACATATTGCCGCGAGGACCTCGGATGAGAGAGTACGCAGTTTGGGGGACGAGCCATGCAAAGAATAAGCGATATGTGTGATAAGCGTTGACCCCGAAAGGACTTCATTGAAGCCTGGCTGTACGAACATGAGAGAGGTGGCGGGTTAAATCTCCATGCAAACGCACCTCAGTATTCAGCAGAACTCTGAGACATTTGATGACCTCAAGCAATACGGTATCTTCTACATCGTCAAGCTTCTTGCGTTTGCCACCCTTGCCGACAAGGCCCGCTAATAGTTTGCCAAGAGCATCCATTCCCTTCTCTGCCTCCACAAACTCCTCAATCCATGCAAGATTCGCTGTAGACAGATGCACGCGAAGGGAGATGAGGTGCTTCACGACCTTCCTATCAGTGGCTTTGCCAGTACGGATGCCATCAACGAACCACCTTGCGGTCTTCTCCGCCTCCTTTGCAGACGACGCTGCACCGCCACCTGAGGAAGCCCACCAGCTGCTCCACAGGCCGCCAGTGGTTTGCGGCTGGATGATCTGAGTCGTTACTTCGGCGGATTTCGTCACAACTTGCGCCTTTCCTGAGCCACTGGAATCTCTTCTGTTGCTGACTGATCCGACACTAGTACGAGGAGAATCTGCCGCGCCTGTGGTCGTTGTGCCTCCCCATCCAGCGAGGGAGAAACGTCTCATCAATCCAGAATCCCCGGTGATTTGAGGGACCAGACGAGGTAGCAATGCTGTCGCGCTTGCTGGTCCATAAGTTGAAGACGTCAACACATGATTTGCCGTCGGTTTGATAGCGGAAGCTTTGGATAGTGTCGAGGCACGAGCCTCCTTGTTGTTCCGCATTAGGTACTGCTTCTGCTGCTCAGGCAGCTGATACATGGCGTCTCGTCTGTAGCCTTTCAAGCCCATCTCATCCTGAGAAATGAATGACACTCAGTATAGCCAACACAGCTCAACAAGACCTCGGTACGAAGACATACCAAGAATTGTTCAAATTCGTCAGAATCGACAGGATCCGTATCAGATGCGGCGTCCTGCCCAGCAATACTGTTACGAGACAGGCTATCGCCTGTCCTATGTGCTACAAGCTTGGGCTCGCTAACGCTCTTCCTCTCGGTGCTCGCGGTGTCGTTACCGTTCTCCGGATCAGTCGGACGAATCCAATTTTCGAAGATGCTGGAGAATCTGTTCTGAGATATAGAGCTGCGCCAGTCAGTCGGTGCTGTGGATCCCGGACTTGCTGGAAGATCTGCTCGTGGCGCAGAAGGGGACTCTTTCAGCTTAGCGGTCCCTTCGCTTTCCTCTATCACTTCCAACTGCGCGAGACGCTTGACGGTATCGTCGGAAGGCTCATTGGAAGTGGTCGACATCGTCCGAACCTTGGACCTGCGGTACCATTCGTCTGGAACGCAGAAACGGAAGCTGCGCAATGCTGCGGAAGGATTCGCGCTGAACGGATTCTGAACATACGGCGTCTCGATTATAACGGACAATGTGCCCGTAGGCGGTAACCTAGATGGCCCTAGCAAGAATTAACTCAATGTGAACAAAACTATAACCGACTCTTACTTTCAGCATCATTCTGCACCCATACTTCCTCGAGCACATATTCCAAGCTTCCAGCGCCAGGTATGGGCAGAACCTTTGCAAGACCCAATTGCTCTATGATTAAATCCACGACGTCACGAACAGTTGAGCGTCTGGAAATGAAGACCTTCCACTGGAATCCATCATGTATCTCGGGCACACGCAGGAAAGAACAAGTCAGCGCCAGGAATGGATGGAGTGAAATGAGACGCAGAACGGGCGTATGGAGGTGGGAGGTCAGCGGGAACGCCGAAAATGTCTTCTCAGTACGGGCAGTCGGCGTGGAGGAGTTCAAGAGAGGCGCTACAATGGTAGATGGTGGCAGAATTCCTACGCAATCCGTGGATCACGTTCAACATATGTCTCACATTTCGAAAGGACACGCACCATTTCCCAGTCGCTCCAGCTCCTCCTCCTCCCACTGACATCCGTTCTGCTCCCTGCGAATCTTCTGCAATGCCCATCCAAACTGCTCGAGATCTCCAAGCACTTCCACGGTTATGGCTGAATCCGAAAGCAGTGCATCTAGCACATCCTGGATGGTGCCGAGAGATGTGATTGTAGCGAAGTGGATTGTCCCAGACGGTGTTACAACGGGGACAATGAGCACATCGTCGCCGCTCATCATGCAATACAATGAAAGTAAAGGGACAACGTGAACCGAGCTAGTTCAAAGACGTCGCGTCCGATACCCTTTAGCCTGAGGTTCTCCGAATCGAGAGCTGGGCGTGGCTTGCAGGACAACTATCATTCGCAAAGCATACAACGACTACAGTTACAGCTGCCAGAATGAGGCTTCCACCAGCAGAGAATGCCAGCAGAACTCTTGTTTCACGGGTAGCACGGGAGTGCAGATGAACTCGAGGGTGGGTAACAAAGTCGCGCAACAAGTCACAACACCCGGAACAGCCTGAGACTAAGCAGAAATGATCAGATATGGATTCCTCTGGCTCTTTCCTGGGCAACTCGACATAGCAACGCAAGCGATGGATTTATCAAGGTAAACTACGGACAGGGCGGACAAACATGCAACTCAAAGCAACAACGACGTCAGATCCTAGAGAGACAAGGTTACACGGAAAGAAGCATTGGGCTTGAGGACGGCTCGATCAATGCAATTCACCGAACTGGTGAAGAGCCCTCTGTGTCGACAGAAGGGTGGACCATGTAGTAGACGCGCACATTGTCACCCTGGTCGTCAGTGGAAGGCTGGCCACTGCTCGCCATGGATCGAGGCAACGAATCTTGGACGTCTCCTCTGATTTCTATGAGGTAGTTGTCCTGATAGAGGTTTCGATCAGCGAAGGAAGCACTCAAGAGCGGGAGCCTACTTGCCTTCACCAGCTTGCGTAGTACCTTTGTAACAAGCTCTTCTTCGTAACGCAATCCTGATTCATCGTGGACTTGATCCTCTATCTCGTTCAAATACCAGTCAACCAGATCATCTCGATCCATACCCCTTCCTGTCTCACGCTCAACCTGAGACAGATGAAGGACGATGAGACTCTGTATTGTCATGTATTTATCGGAAGTGATGACCATCCTCCTCGGCTGGGGGTGCTCCGCCCCCCCAGCCGTGTTCGCCATTCCTGAAGGTCCATCGGATGTGGCAGCACCATTGAGACCATTGGAGCTTGCTCCATTAATACCCGAGGACTCATCGTAACTCTGTTCAGTTTCATCCATGGCTGTAGACATGTCGACATCCTGACTGTCTTCAGCTTCGTGAGAGTTCGCGCGAGACCGCCTATCGCCTTCCCGCTCGCCCTCTAGCTCTTCTTCATCGAAGTCGATATCATCTTGCTCGACATGAATGATCGATTGGCGCAACAGACTGTAGGCCTCGCGCACGAATGCGGGGGTTATCTGTATAAGTAGATTACTTCACTCTTGGAGCAAGTGCCATGAAGATGCTGGACTTTCCTCTGCCGTGCAATTTGCTCTCGCAATCGCTTCGCTCAAACGTATCATGCTTTCGAGCTGCCGGACCGTAATACGATACGAGTTTCTACCTGTTCCGGAACTGTCATCTTGTCTCAGAATGCGATATTTCTCGACCAATACGGCCGCTGCTTCTGGCGTAAGCTGTGGAAAACAATCAATTTCGCGCAACAGAGTCGCTATTTGCGATGTCCTGATACACACCTTCGGTTGGAATGTCCTCGCGTAGCGGATATATCGTTGCAAAGTCTCCGTACTGAACTCCGGATTAATCGCATCATCCTGAAACCGATGTACATTCACGATATGCCTCGCAATATTTAAATCTGACTTTTCGTCGCATTCATCTAGGACCACGAAGAATAGATCGAATCGGCTCATGATTGGCGCGGTCATCGCAACGTTCGCACGCAGCGACCGCTTGCGGTCGTATCGCCCGCCGATGGGGTTCGCAGCGGCTAAGATCGACGTGCGCGCGTTGAGGGTTGCGTGGATCCCAGCCTTCGCGATGGATATCGTCTGCTGCTCCATGGCTTCGTGAATCGCCACTTGATCAGAGAGATCCATCTTGTCGAACTCATCAATGGCACAGATGCCATTGTCTGCCAGCATGAGAGCGCCTGCTTCGATGGTGAAGTCACCCGTCTCTTCATCCTTGACAACAGCAGCAGTGAGACCGGCCGCTGAGGAGGCTTTGCCAGAAGTGTATACCGCTCGAGGCAAGAATGCGCAGATGTACCTGCAAATTGATCATTAATCGAGTCAGGTATTCAACCGGAGCAAGTGTACTGCTCACTTCAAGAATTGCGACTTGGATGTTGAAGGGTCTCCAACGATACAAATATTGATGTCACCACGCAGATGCATACCTTCCGCCGTTTGCTTGTGGACGCCTCCCAAAAGCTGGAGCAAGAGGCCCTTTTTCACAATCTCGTGGCCATATACAGTGGGTGCGATGCTCGCCACCATTCGAGAGTAGATATGGTCAGACTCGATCATGCGCTGCAGCTCCTCCAATTCGGGCCCTGTGAGCGAGCGAGCGAACGCCTCTCCGTCATCTACGCCTTCCTCCTCCTCACCCCGGACATTGACACCAACCTGAATTGAGCTCATCTTAGTACAGAGAGCGGCCGCATCCAGATTCATTAACCTACCCGACCATCCGCGTCGTGAACCATGCACGCCAGGAACGCAGTCTTGTACTGGAGATCTCGGACACCGAGGCTCTTCAGACCAGTTACCCCAGCACCCCCAACTGATGCTGCAGCAGAGTTGTTACCCCGTGCTGCTTCCCTCATCAGCTCGGGCTTATTGCCTCCAGGAAGTCCAAGTTGGCTGACGTCTGGCACGACGATGAATGTGCCTGTGAACACACATTTGTCGCCTGCCTTTGCTCGTTCGACGAGCTCCGAGCGTAGGATAACGTCCAAGGATCGGGGCATAGACCCTGTAGGAATCTCCGAAGGATTCTCTTGAATGCGAACTTTCTGCCAATCCGTGAACTTCGAACTGTCGATCTGCAATTGCCACGCAACCCGATTACCACAAGTCGGATTTGGACAGAGGCTCGGCTAAGGAGCCCATAATCAATACTGGCGTTGCTATTCACATTATATGCACTCACCTCTGTGTATTTGAACTGTTGCTCGATATCATTGACTATTCCTCCGCAGACCTCGCAGACGAAGCTGCCATATAGAAGTTCTGGGCGTACTTCGCTGGTCCTGGTGACCGTTCCGCTGATGCTCATCAGCGTACCGATTTTGTCTGTCCTGAGGTCTCGTATACCGGAGACCAAAGGAAGATGGTAAAATGCGACATTGAACTCACGCGACTGCAGATTCACAGAGTCTGTGGCAGCCGCGGTCGGATTCAATTTGAGGTATTCTGGCTCAAACTCTGCCACAAGGTTGTGGACTGCGCGCCGGATGTAAGGGAGGAAGCGGTAGTATTGCTTCTGGATGGCATCCGCAAGGACGTCATCCTTTTGCAGCAGGTGTCCATAGTCGACATAGAGAGTTGTTAGCTCCTGGTCTCGCATTGTGTGGATTTGTTCGATATAGATCAGATCTCCTTCAGGCGCAGCAGGTAATCCACCATCTGAAGAGGGGGTCGATGCAAGGGCGATCTCCTCAGTAAAGCTAAAGTATACAAGTCGAATAGACCGTAGTGGGCAACGAATTATGATGGCAGTCAGGAGAGTATCGACTCACGTTCTTAGGAACGTCTCAAAGCTCTCCTGCACACTCTCGCCGACCGCGTCTATTACGATTGGAATATTCTCATCGAGCTGCCCCCTGGCCCTTCTTCTCCTTCTTGCGGTTGTACCCTCAGCATCTATGGCATCGTCCATTTGATCATCGCCCAAGTCGAGCGCGTCTGCCGTCGGGCGAGGTCGTCGCGGAGTGCTCGATCTGTCATTCGGGGCTTCCGATGCGAACGGCGCGCTGCTTGGAGGCAAAGAAGAATGTCTCAGAAAGGGAGAAGTAGAGACGCCGTCCATGTCCATTGTAGGATGTTGTGGGGGGCGGATGTAGGGGAACGATGAGACGCGTTCTGCGCCGAATTGAACGCGACAAGGCCTGCCCTAAACACACGCGCCCTCGTGCTCAGTGGCACAGAGCAACGCTCGCAGTCGTTCTTGGCCTCCGCCTTGAACATCTATCTCCTGTCCTCTCCTTCAGCTATGGAAACATGGAAACCGATCCTCTAGACCCAGAATATGTTAATGAACGGCTATCCAAACCACCATTTGTCTCGATTCCCGGCGTCGTCAACATCCGTGACCTGGGCAGCTATCCGAGCACTACATATCCCGGACGGGTGACTAGACCAAGACTGTTATACCGCTCGGCGGAAATATCGAACATTACAGAAGAAGGTGCATTAATGCACTCATGCCTGCATCTCTCATTTACGGGCTTAGTGATGTCGGCTGGCCCATCTGACTTGTAGAGTGGTAGGAAAAGCCAGATTGAAGGAGTTAGGCATCACCAAAGTGTTCGATCTGCGTTCAGATCCAGAGATAGAGAGATACAAAACACCTTGCCCCGACATCGATGGCGTCGAGATTGTGCGACTCCCAATATTTCGAACAGAGGACTATAGTCCAGAGATGATGGCGAAGTGCGTAGCGGTCCATAATATGTACCCAATAGTAAATCATTGCTTATCCGCCCCTTGTCCAGACGATATGAGCTATACGCTAGCGGAAAGACGGAGGTACACATTCGCGACATATATAAGTCCATATGTGGCGCTTATACGTAGCCTGGAATCTCACCAGGCATTCATGGAGTTGTACTCACAAATAATGGACCACGGCGGACCAGCTTTTGGCGTAATCTTCCGACACGTCAGAGACAAGCCAACCGAAGGCTGTATATTTCACTGCACAGGTTCGTCGAAACGATTCGACGTCGCTCCACCATTCCAGCAGAGGATGTCTGACTACTTCTAGCTGGCAAGGACCGAACTGGTGTTGTCGCAGCGCTTTTCCTCAAGGTACATTTTCGCGACCGAGGGTCACGTACAGTTCTCATATCACTTCCCCGTTTACAGCTGGCAGGCGTCGATGACGCTCAGATTGCTGAAGATTATGCTCTCACAAGAGTTGGACGAGAGCCTGCTCGGCAGATGGTCATGGCTCGACTAGCTCGAATACCGATGTTCGCGTCAAATACACAGGCCGCACTCAACATGTTGACTTCACGGTACATGCTACATTATAACTGTTGCCCGCGTTTGATCACTGGATAACTATTTCAACTAGCTCCGAAACGATGCTATCGTTTTTAGAATTATTACAGAAACGCTACGGCGGCATCGAGAACTATCTGAAACAACACGCGCAGCTCTCGGATGAGGACATCGACACAGTCCGTAATAATCTTCTGATACCTCAATCCGAATGCTAGAGTTAAATCGCCTTACGCCTAGCGAACTGTGTGGGTAATTATATATAACCACCCAATGTACATAATGATACTGTATCATAAGGTATATGTATTGTTCATGACGTTACGTGATGGAGTCTATTCACTGATCGGTCTTATGATATCGCCCTAAAGTCGTAATCCAGAGTTTCGAAGAATATAGGTCGTCATCCTCAGCCTTTGCGTTGAAGGCTCGGTTTTCGCTGTGGCTGGCCAGACTGTGTCTGACCTGCGAACGTAGGGCTATTTGGTGGATGCGCCAATGTCGCAGCTAGCAGGCCAGTCTGCCCGCGAGCCTTCGGATTCAGCGGAGATAATACTGCTGATGACCGCGAAGGTGGCCGAACCTGCCCCTCTCCACCCGTGACTTTCCGACGTACGGTCGGGCGTACCGACGATGGGGGCGCTGGAGTGGACGGTGTTGGCAACGCAGCTGTTTTGTCCTCGCTGGAGAGGGCAGTGAATGCGGTGCTGTCGGTACCTAGCGCTTGCCTGCGCGCTTTTTCGTGTCTTCCCTGCATCTGTCGGAAATGCGACAGAAGTTCTTGCCATTTTATTTCATCGCGACCGATCTTGGATCGTGTCGACGAGATGTTCCCGACCGTTCTATATGATCGTCAGTCAGACAGGAGAGAAGAAGATGATTCTCTCAAACCCTTACGATTTGGGGGCTATATGGAGGAATCCGGCCGAGTTCACTGCGCTCAACCGATTCCTTAACGAAACAAATGCGGAACTCTGAGGTAGCAGCATCAAGAGGCCATACAGGCATTTGAACAGATGCGGATATTTTTCAGGTTCCAGGAGCTGTAAGCGCAAGTCTAATGTTTCGCTCAGTTATGTGCATGTGATGCACAAGGAGTAGGCGCTCGTACATGTAAAGACGGGCGATTCGATGAGCTGGACCAGTTTGTCGATCTGCACAAGCAGCTGCACCGTGATCTCGAGATCGGCTCTATGTGGCTATTAGACTCCATAACCATGACTGCACAGTTCAACTCACAAGATGTATAACAAGTTGGATGCATGCTCATACGCTTGTGCGAGAAGGCACAACGAGAATACCGCCACGGCATTGTGGCACCACGATCTGTATAAAGTTGTGAATAGAGCTTGGCCGTCTTGCTGCTCAAGGTCAGTATGTGATCTAACTCACAAAGACGGACACTTACACGAGTCTCAAGACTCTTGAGCCGCCTACGGAAGTCCGCCAATTCTGGAGAGGTGATGAGGATCATATTAAGCTTCTGTACCATACTGCTGGCAAACTCTAGATCCTGTACAAACAAATTCAGCACCCTTGCAGTGAGCCAGACTTGAATTACTACCTCTTCCTTCTCGAGAATTTCAGCGAATGTACGATAGATTCTCTCGGTGTTGAGGTTCAGGCAGAGCTGCCGTATTATCAAACTCCCTCGAGATTCCAATAGTTCTCTATCCGTACTGAATAGACCCAGCAGGTTGATCATGAACCCTCTGAAATAGCGCTCATCTGAACTGGAGGAGATCTGAGCGATTAGCTGTAGATCGCTCTTGACCACCTGGAAGAATGTTATGAACCCGTTTAGCTTCCGCATTGATATTAGCGCACCTGTTCAGAGTCATCGGACAGGGTCTTCAGTAGTGCTGGGAAGGTGCCATCATCAATCGCAAGAATCTGTCGTTACTATTCAGTTGAGCGTCAGATCCGTTCAAGGATGCATGCGCACTTTCTTTGGCGCCTTCTGATGCAACATGATCAACCATTTCAATGCAGCGACACGTGTATCCTCGTGTTCACTCATTAATTGATATGTGAGAGCGAGAACGGTGGCCTGGTAGTCAAAAGCTTCAGATTTCTCCTGCAACATTGAGGCTTCCGGCGATTGTTGTGCTTGTGGGATGCTGACGGCAGAAGTGGGAGAGCCAGGTCGGCTGGTGTGAGATTGTGTAGGCTGGGTGTCCGATGACGACCCAGTCGTATTAGCTCGCGTCAGCTCGGCCTGGTGGTTCACGCTGCGCGACCGCGCAGCGGAAGTTGCAGACGCACGATCAGATGTCATGAGAGGCACATTGTCAAACGGAGATTCAGGAGAGTTTCCCTCTCGATTTGTCATCGGTTCTCTGGTCACCGTCGACTGTCTGGATGGCGCGAGAGAGTGCGTCGTGGTGATGGGGGAACTGGGTGCGACTTGAGAAGCAGCAGAAGATGATTTGTCGGTGCTCTGTCTGGTCGGTGCATCAGATGGTGGAGGAAGCGCTTGTGTGACATTCATGAGTAGTTTGTTGGTACGGTTTGCTGCAGCTTGTATCATGGCCACAGAATGGGAGAGGTTTGGCAGTACTACAGCAATAAGCCGCGGGGTGAAAGATACCATAACATCCTGTACAATGATCAAGAATTCGGATAACCAGCGCAGAGCGGTACATTGCTGGATCACATCGTCTGCAATAGAAGCATACGTTCAGCTTCAAGCTATGTTATACACACACTATGCGACCACTTACGTTGATCGTCAAGCTGCTGAATCATAATCTCGACGATTGCAGCGTAATCTATCTTTACGCCTTGGCCGGGTATCCAATCTGTATCTTACGGTGAGTAAAAAAAAATCTGCTATAATTCTTCCCACGTACGACCAGTCTCCCGTCCTTCTTGGTCGGGATGTTTTTCCATAGGCGGCGTCGACGATGCATCATCAAATACAGCGATGTCGTTCTCTGGCATGAAGACTCCCCGGTCCCCGTTTATCGCTACAGGTTCTGGCGATCTCTCGTTTTCGAGGTCTGCACGACGCGATTGCTCTGCAGCCTCCCGCTTAGCCTTCAATTGTTCCTCATTGCGCCGCTGAACGGCAGTGACATCGCGGATCTCGTGCAAGAAGTCGGCGAGTAGGTTCTCCGTAGCCATACGTACATCATCCACTGGGTCTGACAAATACTTCCTGTCAAGGATCATGAGCAAAATGAAACAGTTAGCGAGATGAACGCACACATACAGCAGGCCGTCCAGGAATTCTGGTAAGTAGGTGATGAGTTCTAGCTCGGGAACAGAGTCAAGGACTGTGATCCACGACACAAGATAGCTTCGTGTGAAGGGACTTAGGACGTAAATTCTCTCGGACAGAAGAGGAATAAAGAGCGCGAGAGAAAATGCTTTACGTGCACCTTGCATGTCCTCCCCACTAGCAATGTCATCAGGGTGAGGCACTAAGATGCTCACGCCATGCGCTTCATCCACCTGCCTTCGAACCTTCTCAGTCTCTGGGTAGTGAGGAATGTACACGGATGCCGTCTCTGCAACGATGTCCTTCAGAAGACGGTCCAGCAATTCCGCGCCGTTTTTCACGGATAGCTCCGGATCTGCCGCAAGCTACGCTAGACATTTCAGCATTGACCGAAAACGAGTCGGACGATGGAATACCTTGCTTAGAGCATCAAAAATCGGGTTGAAGTATACGAGAATCTCGCCTTTGGAAACCTTGGCAATGTTGTACAGACACTCCGCGGAGAAGTATCGCACCCTATTCTCGGGATCCGAGAAACAGGCCAAGAGAGACTCGACGAACTTCTCCATATAGGGTGCAATATCGACTCCAAGAGCAATGGCGGTTCCAGCCAGACCAATGAGGCCACCGTTCCGTACGTGCAGAGGATTTGACGGATTGCTGAACATGTCTACGAGTTGGTCGACGATCTGGCTAATGCGTCGCTGATCGCCTTGTTGGTGACATTCGCGGATTTGCCTGAAAGTACGTCGGTATTTGATGAAAATCAAAGACAGCATCTAACGTTACTTCTCAAGTTCAAGAGCAGCCGCCTTCCGCTTCTCGTACATCTTGTCGACCAGTTGCTTGGAAATACTCGACTCTGAGGAAACAGGTAATCAGTTGATAGAGGCATCTTACCCGTAGAATAATTACCCATGTTGCCTGTATAGCCAATCTGTCGCGTACGTGCAGCGGTCAGTTGTTGAAGTGGGTGACCATGAGGGCGACGCGCTCACGCGCAAGACTCGAATAGGCTCGCAAGGCGATGACGCTGCGAGATGCGCGTTCAAGAACACGTGCTTATTGACGACTGCGACCACGACCACGACCACGACGGCATGGATAATGACAACGAGGCCTACATTCTCCTGCTTCTATCAGACAGTAATCTACCAACAGGTTCCTTTGTTGCATCAGCGGGCCTGGAGTCTTACGTGACGCACGGATTCTTGTCTTCACCACCTTCATCTCATTTGCGCGATAGATTGGGCGCGACTATGGACTTCGTACGCGACAGCCTAGCTGCCTATGCGAGAAGTGCACTGCCTTTCGTCTCGGATGCCCACCAGGCTATGAAGACGCTCTGCGATACCGAACTACATGCGTTCGAAGAGATGCTGGAGAGCACGCTTGTCCGCATCAAGAATCTGGACAATCTCTATGAGGCTATGACACTGAACCAAGTTTCACGGCGAGCATCGAGGTCGCAGGGTGTGGCACTGTTGACTTTATACTCGAAAGGCTTCGCGAGGCCACCATCCCTCGAACGACATTTGGACAACTCCGATCTGGCGGACGACCGTCAAACACGTCGCGAGAGCTTTGCAGGCAGGTTCATGGGCAGGCTGAAGCTGGAAATTAGAAGGGAGGACACTCAAGGACACCTGCCTGTATGCTGGGGTGTCCTCACAAGCTCGCTAGGACTTTCGCTGGGTACGAACATCTATTTCTCTCGTAGTTACTGTATGTTAGTGGGAGCATGTGCGATAGCTGAGACTATGACATTCAGAACGCAGCCAATTCCTGCATCTATTCTTGCACGCTCGCAGTCTGCTCTCAGCCTCCGTGCGACTCAACACAGTTGGTCCTTATGCTGCACAACAGCTCCTTTTGCACGGCGTCCGACCCTTGGTGGAGACCGAAGCAGCACGCTGCAGGAACCTCCGGACAGGATACGAAAGCGCAGCGTCGGAAAAAGCAGCATTCGATGAGACCGGGCAAGGTCCAGCAGTCACCTGGCCATTGGGCGAGATCCTCGCCGCCCGACACGACCTGCAGCACTCGCGAATCTTCAACAGCTGAGTTGCATGCTGGACCCGATTTAACCGCTTATTGCCAAGATCGATGGATATCACTATAACATACAGCACAATTGACCAGTCACTACGTAGCTGTAACAAGTGCCAACCGTGCCGATACCTCTGCTTGCGAACGAACGAGGCTGGCGAGGTAGGACACCATGAGAGTGTCCTGTCGAGAACATGATTCACAACGGTGTAGAAGGCGAATGGGATGCGCGGACGTACCTGTAGGCTGGCGTTGAAGCCCCCCTTCTCCAGATCCTCGGTGCTGGCACCCAATGTGTCCATCAGGTATCGACCCACAGCGGGATCTCCCTTGACCTCTCCCGTGAGTACGGATTGCACATAAGACAGCACACGGTCAAGCATGTCAGAGACCGACTGGAGGGCACGCTCAAGGACCTCCAGGTCCGTCGTGGGATGCGAGATGGAAGAGTTGGGCGAGGTGAAGGCAGTAGTGAGGAGGTCAACTGCAACCAAGTGTTCATCAATTCGATTGACCTTTCGGTGACGCTGAGTTGTGATACGCACGACCACTGCGCTCTGCACTATGGAATCGGAGCTCGCACGGTATTGGTACGAATACACAGTTTTCAGGCTTGGGGAACACGCCGACAGGTGATCTGCTTTCACGGTCAATCAACGCGATCTGATTTGACGGGAAACTAACGCACCCGATGTACGCCTTCACACCCGCCTGCTCCCCTTCGATGACCCCAGTATTGAGAGCGAGATGCACCGCCTGGTGAGGCGCGGTCTCTTGCGAATAGAAGTTATGGATGAGGGCAGAGTAGGTGTTGAGGTTGGACCCTGTGGAATACCTACAGTAGATTATGAGCTCCGAGATTACGACGCTGAGCCGAAAATCGTGTACCAGCCAACAATAACCTCCTTGGGGTTCACCTTGTGGTGAAGGTCGTACATCGTTTTGAGATACTCCATGTCCACTGCGACCTGCTCTTCCGTCTCGCTGTGCAGAACCGCGAAGGACGAGCGGACCTCGATCTCGCCATTATCCGAACGTTTTCCAAGAAGTGTTCCAATAACGCGTTCTTGTGCATCTGTACGGCGAAGGTAGTGATCGAGGATGGAGAAGAGAGCCACAGGGTGCACGGTCACGGATGTCGGTGCGCGTCTGGTATGGTTTCCGTAGATCAATAACAGCTACTGCCAGGCATTGCTATGCAGCAGGTGCTCACCCTGGTGTCCCGACGAAACCAGGTGCTACATTTTGAATGTACACCGCAGACGATTCCGCAGCGAGAGGCATTTTGATGAGGAGTACGCAAAGGGAGAACGATGTGCGCTACCTTCAGCCACACGCGATCTCAAGACGAAAAGTTCGTGTCGGCAATTTCCGCAAGACTCCTTCACTAGACCACGACGTCTTGATACAAAATGCCTTCGGAAGAGACAAAGGTGCTTTCTATCTCGCATTCGCGCTCGAGCTGCACGCTGACAGTCTCTCAAACGTAGGAGAGAGTCATGAAGGCGGTCGAGTTTGGACGCGTATGTGCTGTTCAATTGAGTGCGTCAACGGAGGGCAGCAAATGCTTACGTCTTCTGCTCAGGTCGTCCTCCACTACGGCTGGATCCCCTTCATCATCTACGTTGGCTACACCCGTAGCAACCCTCAGCCGTCGCTGATAAAGTACGTTCAATCACACTGGTTCTATGGCAGCAAAGCTCACGAAATGCGTAGGTTGATCAGTCCTCTCGCATGATTCATGTACTACCCTGTATATAATTCCTGCCTGCTAGCATTCGTTTCTCCAGAAGGACGCTTCCTCGTGTGATATCGTGACGCTGTTCTGTACAAGGAACGTGCTCGAGGGGCCTCTTGGTGAGTGCTTCTCTCGTTAGGATATGCAGTGATTATATGTGTCGTGGTGGTACCGTTTTCTCGGTGCCCCGATCCGCTCGTGCCAAACGCACGAGTGTAGGGCCTGCCGTAACCATCTCGCAAAGATTGGTTTGTTGGGTATCCAGAAGTGAGGAATTGACAAGGCCAGATATGAGCCTCTATATTTATATCTCAAATGCGGCTCCTTGTCCAGCTTGCTCAACTTTTAAAAACATTACAGATAATTACAGTAAGGATACAAGCAGAACAGCGATGAAGCTATAAATTACAAGTTTAAATTACAAGTATATTCCTCGTAAGTCCACGGCGGCAGTAATTCTCTTACAGATGGGACAGAGCTTTGTGGATCCCAAGCAGCGCAGCCAGCATTCACGACAGCATGTATGCCAGCATCCTGTAGAGACTGTAGGCTCCGTATAGGGATCGAGGCAGATACGACAAATCAACGATGTCGAGGTCGACACACGTGTCGAGACCTGTTTCGCAGAATTGAATCATCCATCGTTATAACAAGGTAAGCGCAAAGACTCACCATCAAATTAACCTTGCGCTCTAGGGCCTCGATCAAGGCAGTCCGGTCACCCTCTCTAAGCACTTTTTCGATCGCGCTGTCGACCTCTTCAGCTTCGTCTACCCCTATCACCTCACCAATCGTCTGTTTCACGTCCTCTACGGCCTCGAGTCTCCTCCTCAACGATTTGCCCTCTGCCACGAGACTCCTTAGCATCGCTGCGTCCTGTGTGTCATTGTTTTCCTCACGCCTTCTAGAAATAGCCGTGTCACCACTCTCTTCTGTATCTGCATCTGCATCGACCTCAACGTCTCCTTCTTCATACCTCGCTTCACCTAGCGGATTGGACAATGCAATGATATCTCCTTCTGAGAATTGCGCAGCACCATAGAGCATCTCGTCTTCTCCATCTACATCCACCTCATCGTCGATATCCTGCTGTGTACGATCCCTGATATTGAAGCCGGTTCCTGCAATGGTCCGATCAGCAAAGAGCGTAATTTGCAGCATGATCGGTATACCTTGAAAATTGACACCTGCTGTGACGCTCTCTATCGCTTCGCCGTCGATATCCACTTCCAGATCAAAATCCATATCTCTCCGGACGTGCCTTGAGGCATGGCTTTGCTCCTCCGACATCCTTACATGCGCAATGCAAGAGTCTACATGCGCCTCAACCACGTCTAGATCGCCCATCACTACCTTTGCGCATATTGGACAGACTGTGCCCTCCCTCCGCTCCTTTTTCCCAAATCGCCGTCCACCCCACCACAGCGCATCCTCGTTTCCCCGCGTCATTTCGCGTAACTTCGCGTGTCGCTGCTTGCGGCGGTTCCTGATCATCCGTACAACCTTCGGGATCTGGTCGAGGGTAGTTTCTGAAGTGGACGCAAGCGCACTGCCGGTAATTCCCTTGCGGACCTTCAACGTCGATCGTCGCGACCGGGAAGTCAACCTGAAAGTGCGACGTCAAGTCCCGATATTACGGCTGTACAAGCGCGATATGGTAAAACAAACTGACGAAGAAATCAGACGTACCCTTCGTCTGGCTCTGCATCCGCAAGTACTTCAGCTGATCCGATATGATGCATGATCTCCTCTACTCTGGCCATCTCAAATTCACTATGCTTTCCCAACAGCCGGACCGGGATGGCTTCATCGCAGACGGGACAAACTCTTGTCTCTGCCCGCTTCTCTAACATCGCATGCAGTATTATCTCACTGTTCGCTTGCGTAGGATGAGAGAAACTCACGCTTCTTGATTCTCGGAGCAGGGGCCGGTTGAGAGTCCATAAACATGCCGGCGTCGCTCTCGTCCACGTCGCTCGAGCTCTTTGCCCGTTCCCTCTTTTTTCCCCTGCCGAGGTGTTGCACTGTTTAGCTCTGGGGCAACCTTATAGTACTCCCAGCCTGAAAACGTACTGCGCTCTCCGGGACAGCGGCATCTGGGGCGTTGTGATGAAGTTGTGTTTTCGATGGGATCTGCGGATTATGCGCGTTGCTTGCGGGCGTTGTGGTCGTGCGAGATGGGATGGATGGCCACGCTCTCCGCCGGATGGAACAAGCCGCGATGGGCGCGTCGCAAGTCACGTGCGCAACAGCATCCATTTCCTGCATTCGGAAGCCGTACCATGGAGGCTCAGAGCGGAAGCCTTTGTACAGTGGTCCGACGATCATACTGCACGTATACACATGCATGTCGGACCCATGACCGTCACTCACTTCCAATGTTCCAGCTGAACTGGGTTGCTGTACGCTGTAACCTGGGCACAAATGTTTGAAAGCCGCGATGCAACTAATGTCTCAGAGAATTTGTCAACCATCATGTACACATCGACATCCTCATGACCACCATGCGATTTGGATCTCCTCAACTGAATTAAGCGGTGCCGTCAAGAAAGACGTTACAGCGGCCCGTCGAAGCGACGAACACATGACAGGTGAATCGTTCTTCCGGTCTCCACCAATGGACCTACTTATAAGGCGGATGTGAACCGAGTCCTCAAGCGACAAGATGCTGTTCAAAAGCATACTGCTTTTCCTTTGCTCCCTGCAGCCGCTCGTCCACGCCCTCACTTATCGCGCAGCCGATATCTCGTCCATACTGGTGGTCGAAGATGGCGGGATCACTTACTCTTATGAGAATGGCACAGAGGCTAAATTCGAGGACATTCTCGCCGCAAATGGCATGAACACTGCACGTATCCGAGTGTGGACCTCTGGAACGTACGATTTGACCTACGCCTTGAAGCTTGGCAAACGTGTGAAGGACGCGGGATTAAGGCTTCACATAGACTTGCATTATAGCGACACGTGTGAGTCCCACTACTTGGGGACTTCAGCAGTCGTAATTCTGATTGCTTAGGGGCGGACCCGGGTCATCAAGCTATTCCTTCGAGCTGGCCTACTGATCTTGATGGTCTGAACGCGGAGATTTATGAGTGCGATGCGTTACCGCCTTCTGATCTGTATCGCGTCGCTAATCATGATTCATCTGCTTCAGCTACACTATGGAGGTAGTACAAAGCTTCTTGGACCAGGGAACGCCCATTGATATTCTTCAAGTTGGTCGCTGCGGTTCCGCTGCTTGTTGCAGAAGTATTAACATGCCTACTCTGTCTTAGATCGGCAACGAGATCAATAATGGACTACTCTGGCCTGTCGGCGAGATCTCGGAGAATGGCTTCTCTCCCGCTTCCCAGCTGCTTCACTCCGCGATTCAAGGAGCAAAGGCCACCGGCGAGAACCCGACCATCCTCATCCACCTCGCGAACGGCTGGGATTGGTCAGGCCTGGAGTATTTCTTCGGAGGCATTTTTATTTCGGGTGCATTGGAGCTGTCGGAGGTCGACATGATGGGCGTATCGTTCTACCCCTTCTACGGTACTGACGCGACGCTGGCCAACTTGTCAATATCTCTGACGAACTTGGTCAATGAATACGGCAGAACAGTGGTGGTCGCTGAGACGGATTGGCCGGTGTCGTGTCCGGGGGTTAATTTGAGTGACACCAGCATTCCCATCTCGGTGGCTGGCCAGGCGGAATGGGTAGCGGACATCAGGAGTGTTCTGGAAAGTCTACCGGACTCAATGGGCCAAGGAATCTGTGAGTGTTTCGGGCGGTCCATAGCAGATAGCACATGGTTGACCGTTCTTCAGACTATTGGGAGCCTGGATGGGTCGGTAATGCGGCTCTTGGCTCTTCGTGCTCGGTATGTGCAGAGGCTCGCGTCTCCAATGCATAGGTCGTATACTAACTCGACTCCAGAACAATCTTCTCGTAACGTCCAGTGGCGAAGCTGAAGCATCAATTAGTATGTTCAGCAGAGATATGTAGGCAGAGACTATATTTTATTGGCAGAAAAATGCACATCAGTGGAAGGCATGCCATTGAATGGTTTATGGACGGCTGCTCACACTGATGGTTCCATTTGTCAGTAAGGGCCATTAAAGAGGTCGATTGTGCTCACCTGTGCAAACCGCTCAAATGTAGTTAGACGGTCAAGAATTCTGTGGAACATGGTTCGTTGCATCTTTCCCTTTTAGTGTTGATGAATGTATGACTGAACCCCACTAATAGTGTAATATCGAAAAGAACTACCGCAAGCAGCTGGTTGTTTCGAACGGCGCTGAGTTCCTTGTCTGTGGTCGTATTTGTGACATGGGTCAGACTCCGCGGTAAACGGGCAGCGTTCGGGCATACAACGTGATTACTGACGCGACCACGTGACCGCGTCGAGTTGCTTTCGCGGCCTTTCGGCTGCTCTAAGAGCTTATTACATCAAAAAGTCTTGTATAAGCTCATCGTCTTGAGCTGATGAGTTGTTTTCTACACAAATGATATTCTAAATTCATTGCGGACAAGCCGTGGGTGCATTCTCTGTTCAAGGTTGTGGTATCTATTAATGTATCTCGGTTTGACAATAAGGACTCCGTATTGAACGAACGGATACCATAATCACGAAGGTATGCTCTGCTTCCTGCCAGCGCTCATACTACTCGTTGTGTGCATCACAAATGCAATCGTCTGTGACGGGCCTGATCGGTAGGGTACTACTCGCCTCGCGCAAGAACACGTCATCATAAAGCAAGCAAGACCGTCAGTTGTCACGAGGTACTAGACGAGGTACTCTAGCTGGGCCTTCGGATCGGGTGGTATTCAAAGCACCCTCGCATTGGTTAGGACGGGATGAGAGCACATGTTCAACAACGCCGGGTAGCAAATGATAGGCTAAAATGGCGCTGCGTTCAGTCCATGAATCTCATGCCAGTCATACGGCTGAGACAAGGCCAAGACGTGTCGACTATAATAGCCTGGTTTGTCTCACGGGGAGTCCGTCGCAACTTGGAGGCGGCTAGGGCCCTCACCCGGGCCCTGTCTCGATGTTCGGCAAGGGTTAGGTATATCAAGATGTCTGAATACTAGTAGTAGGTTGACTCTTTTGATCAAGTAACGGTTCCTGGAGCGTCCGCTGCGATTCAAACGTTCATTACGTGAGCGGATACATTTTCTGATAGAGCGCTACGCCGCTGACTGGGACTGGCGCCTATGAGTGCCCGACGCTCCATCCGATCGGTCGTTCGTGTACCCGCATCCCTATAAAAGACGGATATCTCGTGCCTTTGAAACACCCTTCCTCTCACTCTTCCTTGGCGGCCCTCTTCATTCCGTAGAACCCCGGCTGCGCCGTACGAGCTCAATGGACCTCTACAAAGGCATAGAAGGGGGCATCTCCGACCTCGCCCTCCTAGACATGCTGACGGCCCCGGATCTGCCCACCCCCAAGCACAGGTTGAAGAGGAGGGATTCTGACTTGGATCCGCTGCTATTAGCGGCCGCTGCTGCATATGGCCCGCACGTTACTCGGAACCACTATGCACATGACTTCTTCCCTGCAGTGGGCGATCCTCGCGCGGAGGGAGCGTACGACTGGACTCAGTGGCATGGAGAGACGACGCAGCAGCGGAAGCCTCGCTACAGATACGTGAGCAGGCAGGCTCCCCGGAGTCAGAGGCTAAAGGAGCAGGGTATTGCGCCAGAGAAGGAGAACGAGCCTGTGAAAGAGGCTGCGACCCCTCTGCGGCGTACGGACAATCTCCCTCTCCCTCCGCCAAAGACTCATTCCATAGCTCGCCCTCCCGCACCACCGTCATTACTATCTTCACAGTCAGCTTCGGTTACCGATGCTTCGGCGAGCGTCTTCACGTCTCCGACAATTTCGGCCGTTCAGGTCAAGTGCATGGCACGCACGAGAGTACCCACTCCGCACGGCCCGGTCTTCTTACATTTATACCACAACAATCGAGACAACAAAGAGCACCTTGCCATCGTTGTAGACCCGGCGCAGCTGAACGACGATAGACCTCAACTCGCACGTCCACTACGTAGTCAATCACTAGATGCTGTCTGGTCAGATTCTGAGACGGAGATGGACCGTATCACGCGGGGAGCATACGTCGGACGGTTGTCTCCCACTTCGCAAACCCCTTCCACTCCAATAGAGCAGTCGACCATTACCACAGGCACCATCCCGTTTCCTCTTGTTCGAATACACTCGGAATGTTTCACTGGGGAAACCATCGGGAGTATGCGTTGCGACTGCGGCGAGCAACTTGACGAAGCCATCCGGCAGATATCCCAGCCTATCGTGATCCCTGCTTCATCTCCATCGGCAGAGCCGATCACGATACCCGGACGCGGGGCCGTAGTTTATCTCCGTCAGGAGGGCCGCGGTATTGGTCTTCTCTCCAAGATTCGGGCGTACAATCTGCAGGACCTTGGACACGACACTGTCACGGCGAACATAATGCTCGGATATAAGGCGGATGAGCGGGGATACGAGGTCGCCGCAGCCATCTTGCGGGATCTGGGTTTGGGGGCGGAGACAGGGGAAGGTATGCGGTTGTTGACGAACAACCCGGATAAGGTGCAGGCGCTAGAGCAGGAAGGAATTCGCATCGTAGAGCGCGTACCGATGGTTCCAAGGACGTGGCAGCATCGTCAACACAAACATGACGATGTCAAGAAGGTGGAAATGGTGCACGGCCTGACAATGATTGGTGGTGGGGAGGTGTACGGTGAGGACCTGGACCGCTATCTGCGCACAAAAGTATTGAAGATGGGACACATGCTGCCTCTCTCGGACGATGCATACGCATAGCATATACCTCAATCCAACAAATCGTCGCTTGCATATATAGCTGCATCTATCTCTTATTATTGACTTGTGTCACCTAAATGGTTGCGGAGTGTGTATCGTACATCGGAATTTGGATGTATTTATTCCGAGCTGTGTACGCTGCCCTGTCGGCTGCAGCTTCGCTGAAATATGTCGGAAACCATCATGGTCTGGGCAGGGTGTGTACGACGTAGTAGCCGAGCGCAGTCGCTGTGCGTCGACGTCCCAGCGAGACATTCAAGTCGACGCGCTCGTGGCGCGTGAGCTCGGCATCGTCAGCGGCAGCACTTCCCGTGCCTGTTTCTCAATCTACCACCGCCTCGTTTTGCTCGCTGCTTTTGACGGCGCCGACGCTGCTACTATGAATACGTTCGACCCTCTCAGCTCAGCGTTCCCGACGGAGGAACCTCCCTGGCCAACCACTCCGCATACTCCCCACACTCCGATCCCGAACTTGCCACGCCCATCTCCGCATCTCGATACTTCACGAACGCAGTCGTCGAACGGCTTATATGGCAAGGAGCCTCAAATATACGGGCAGCCAGAGCCTGGACTTATATCCCCCCGATTGACCACTGCATCAAATGGGACTAAATTCGAGAGACCGGAGCCGTATCTCAGAGTACGAATTACCGGTTTGGACAGGAACAGACGGGACATTTTGGTCAAGTTCGATGCGCAGGTCAGTGCCGCACTGCATTAGGGTCGTATGGCCGCTAGCTCCGTCGCTGACTTTTCGGCTATCTAGACGAACCTGGTGAATTTCACCGGGACGACGTACCGCAACGTGTCGCGATCGTATCAGGAGTTCCAGCAGTTCTACGACGCCATCATCCACACTATTCCACAAACCATCATTCCTGCTCTCCCGCTGCCCAAGACGTCGGCGCCGACGGACGAGGAGGATGACAGGCTCGTGAAGATCATGCTGCAGAGATGGTTGACTAGGATCTGTGAGGATCCAATCCTCCTGCAGGAGGAAGAACTCCGCTCCTTCATCGAGAGCGACTTTGGCTACCAGCCCACACCAAATGTCCGACGTAAAACCTCGAGTGGGTTCAGTCTGATCAAGTCGCGAGTGCCAGACGAGGACGAGGAGCTCCAGCGGGCTCGCTTCGAACTGACGAAGTTGGAGAGCCAGTATCTCGAGGCGGCCAAGGCTATTGACAAGCTCTCTCGAACACGGAAAGGTTTGTCGCCACAATCTCAAATCTGTTTACTTTTTCTGATAATGCCCGCTAGGACTTGGGTTGGTGCGAGCTGAGATGGGAAACAAATTCGTGAACGTGGCGACAACAGAAGCTCATCCTCCTTTGGGAAATGCTATCCAGAAACTGGGCAGAGCGTGGCACAGCCTCGCTGATCTTGACCAGGCGCAGGGGATCAGTGAATGCGTTATCGTCGGTGACTCTCTGGGCTACCAAGCGTTGAACGCACGGTCAGCTAAGGAGACACTGCAACAACGCACAGCTGTGTTGGAGGATTACCAGGCCGCTGTGAAGACCACTATTTCCAAGCGTCGAAACGTGGAACGACTCAAAGCTAGCAGCAACATCAGGTCGGACAAGGTTGATGAGGCTTTGGAGGAGATGGAGGAGGTCAGTTCAGATTGTCGTGGAAGACAATCCCAGTCTAACCACCTTGTCTCAGGCGAATAAATACGAGATGATCCTCGCCAAGCGAGCAGAGGGCATTTCGCAGAACCTCCACCGTGCTCTGGATAGACACAAGAAGCTTGTCACGGAGGACGTCACAGCAGCACTGGTCGAGCATGTTCGTTCGTCCATCATGTACGAGCGACAGCTGCTGCGAGAGCTCGAGGCACTCAGGCCAGACGTGCAAAACGCGGCAAAGAAGCACGTTCCGGCCAAGCCTGCTGCAGCACCTCGTCCAACATATATTCCGCCATTAGAGGATTTCTCGAAACCGCCAGCACCTCGGCCTGCATCTGCTGTCCCTACCACTAGCACATTCAAAGTGTCACCCAATACCACACAGGGGCCGCCTCGTACCGCCAATGCTTCGCCCCAGCCTCCATTGCCAGTATCACCTTCACCATCCTCGACAGGCACGATTAGGAGCACCTTGCCTCCACAATCTCCTGGGGCCGGGCCGTCTTCTCCATTCCCACAGCAGTCTTCCTTCACTCCGCCTCAGCTTAGCAGCGATGGTCCGCCACTCGGCGGCCGTTTCGTCGACGGTACGAAGTCGATGTTCGTCAAGTCGACCTCTTCGCCCTTTTCGCCTGTATCCCCTCTTCATCGCCCGATCTCACCCGCGCCATCAGCAAGGGGCACGCTGGATTCCCCATTGCATGGGCCACATCCTCTCACGAACCCGCCCTTGTCGCCGCTGTCGCGTCCGACAAATGGCGGCTTTTCGTCTATGCCGTCATCTCCGGCGGTAGACCCTCTTACAGGCATGCCTGTCACCATGTCACAATCTATGAGGATACAGCCAACCAGGCCGAAACTAGATGCGAGGGAGGCTGCAAGCAAGCTCGCGAACATGTTTTAGAACTCTTCCTGCCGTATCGATACCTCAGTATGCTATTTCCTAATTCCCATGTCGCCAGGATGCGTCAGGATGTCATATGCTTTCTAAGGACTCTCATAAAGTACGCGTGCGGCCGCATCCTCTCACTCCGAGAGGCTCTTCCCTGCGTTCCTGGTCATGTGACCGCGATATTCTACTTATGTCCCATATGACTCGCTGCGGGGCTCCGCGATTGTGTCTTCCGTAAAACTAAGCTTGAGGCGACTGTCTACCAGATCAAAGCAGGTACATCTCATTCCTCTTCACCATTCTTCTGTAAGACACCTGCGTTGATCATGCCCAAGAAATCGTGAGCCATGATGTCTGAGATGCCTTGAGGGCCCTTCATTGAAGCTGTAACCAGCTTCCGCGTAGTCGTCCTACCAGGAGACGGAATTGGTATGTTCTTGGTTGCTGGGAAGGCGAGCAGACCTTACCGCTCACTCGTTTCATAGGACCGGAAGTCATCGCTGAGGCCGTCCGAGTGCTTCAGACGGTGTCTGCCGCTTCGCCCGATGTTGAGCTCAAGCTCGAGTCACATCTGTTCGGTGGTTGCGCCATCGATGCTACTGGGGAGCCTCTCCCGGAGTCTACGCTGAAGGCGTGCCGAGAGGCTGATGCGATTCTCATGGGTGCGCATCGTCGATCCTCTACCTCAAGTCCGTTCAGTTACATTGTGCGGCGGCAGGTTCCGTCGGAGGACCCAAGTGGGATGTTAATAGCAAAGTACGTCCGGAGCAGGGCCTGCTCGGACTGCGCAAGGCCCTTGGCCTCTACGCCAACATTCGACCTGCGAACTTTGCGTCGGACTCCCTTCTCGCGTACTCTCCTCTCAAGCCGTCCGTCGCGCAAGGAGTCGACATCATCGTGATCCGCGAGCTCATCGGCGGTGCATACTTTGGGCCGCGCAAGGAGCTCGGTTCAGATCCTCAGGACGACTCGGCGTACGACACGATGGTGTACAGCGTGCCGGAGGTGCAGCGTATTACCCGTGTTGCGGCGCAGATCGCACTGGCAGCCAACCCTCCTCTGCCCATCCACTCCATCGACAAGGCGAATGTGCTCGCGAGCTCCCGTCTGTGGAGGAAGGTCGTCGTAGAGACGCTGCAGGCGGAGTACCCGCAGCTGAAGCTGGATCACCTCCTGGTTGACTCTGCGTCCATGGTCATGGTAGCGAGCCCCAGGAAGCTCAACGGTGTCGTCGTGACGGAGAACCTGTTCGGAGACATGTGCGTGCTCTCGCTCTGACTTATCCTTCAGCTACTCACTCGCCAGCACAGCCTTTCCGACGAGGCCAGCGTGATTCCTGGCTCTCTGGGGCTGCTGCCGTCAGCCTCTTTGGCAGGCGCCCCCTCCGTCGCGGATGCTACCTCACCGGGCTTTAAGCCAACCTCTGGATTGTACGAGCCCATCCACGGCTCTGCCCCTGACATTGCTGGCCAAGGCATCGCAAACCCTGTCGGCACAATTCTCAGCGCAGCGATGCTTCTGCGATACTCGCTTGGCATGGATCGCTATGCACAGGCGATCGAGAATGCTGTCCGCAAGGTTCTTGATGATAAGGACAAGGGTGGCTTCGAGTTGAGGACTGCTGATCTCGGTGGCAAGGTCAAGACGAAGGAGATTGGTGACAAGGTCATAGAGGTGCTTAAGAGCTTGTTGTGAGCGGTCGAGCAGAAAAGAACAGCGTAATTAGGCCGATGTCATAAGTTGTATCACATATCTCAGAATGTAGCATTCATTGCACACAAGCTGCAAGGTGAAGCGCGTCGTCGGCGCGATCGAGGCGCGCTGGTATACGCGCTCCACGTGATCGTTCTGAGATTTTTTGGCCTCTTGCATTCAACGCTCATGGCGAACCCAACGGCAAAACCGGCGTGCAAGCATCTTGTCCTCGATGCCGGCCCGTTGCTCTCACTCTCTCCCTTGCGAGGCCTCGCGGAGACCTACTACACTGTACCACAGGTCCTAGATGAGTTGAAGGACAGGAACGCGCGGGAGCACTTCCAACAACTCGGGCTATCGGCGGGTGTGCGAATTGACGTTAGGGGGCCTGATGCTGCTTCCCTTGCGTACGGTGTGTGAGAGTGGCAATGGTTTGCCGACTATGTGTTGATGGCAGTATTTACAGTGATCGAGTTCGCGAAGAAAACAGGCGACTACTCAGTGCTCTCGCATGCAGATCTGTGCGTTCTGGCGCTAACATACGCGCTGGATGTGCATGAAAGGGAGGCTGCGAAGAAAATAGCTGAGGCTCCCAAGGCGCGTCTGGGACTTGTATATCCGCGAACTGTCCAAATTCATGAGTGCTGCAGGTTGATCCAGCGACGCCTGCTGCGCCAGAGCAAGCTACCCAGGAGTGCGAGGCCGAAGAACATACTACAGTTAATGAGGATGATGCTGCGAGGAAGGACGAGCCAGCCGTTGCAGATGAGGAGGACGTTACTGAGCCTCCAGAATCGGAGCCACCATCCTCTGACGAGGGAGACGTGGGCCACCCGGAGGAAGAAGATAATTCAGTTGGTGATGCGGAACTCGACAATGAGCAGAAGAGGGGATCTCCCGCTGTCGAGCTGCACCGCATACAGGAGGTAAACGAGAACGCAGCTAGTCGGCAGACTGCACATCCGCCGCTAGCTCCGTCTCCCGCCCCCAACGCTCAAGCCTCTCAAAAGCCAGATCCTGCGACAATCTATGACGATCCCTCTGATGAAGATGACGGAGAGGGCGAATGGATCACGCCAGCAAATGCTGCACTGCATAAGTCTCGTGCGCTGGAGCTCCTACCATCTGCCGCCGACATGGGGCGGAAGGGGAAGAGAGGAAAAACGGGAAAGCGGAAGGGCAAAGGTGGACCGAAGCAGGAGGAGGGGGTTGTGGTGGGATGCATGACAGCAGATTTCGCCATGCAGAACGTGCTGTTGCAGATGGGGCTCGGGCTTGTTGGAGTGGAAGGGAAGCGGATAGAACGGGTGAAGAGCTGGGTGTTGAGGTGCCATGCATGCTTCAAGTACGTGCTCTCTGTTCTTGGATCCCTTACGATGCTCACATCTATGCTTTTAACCGAACCGTAGAATATGCAAAGACAATTCAAGAAAATTCTGCCCCTCCTGCGGGAATCCATCTCTCATACGAGCATCCGTGACCATTTCCTCGCCAAATGCAGGCCCAAACACGCCAGCAATGCAAGTCCACCTCAAACCAAATTTCGTGTACAGAACGCGCGGGACGATCTACTCGATCCCTGCGCCGAAGCCAGGCACCGCGAAGACCGGTCCCGGCGATGGGCTCATCCTGCGGGAGGACCAGCTCGCGTGGCAGCGCGCGAAGAAGCGGGCAGATGGCAAGCGGGAGAGGGAGGAGAGGCGGCTTCTGAGAGCCGCGAGCCGGGGTGCGCGGATGGGCGAGGGCGGCGCAGTGCTGGGTAGCTGGATGGACCCGGATTGGGTGCCTGAGATTATCAGTGCGGGTGCGGGCGGTCAAGGGAGGAGTATGAGGAGCAGAGGGATGGACGGGGATATGCCTGTCATCGGGTACGGTAGGAAGAACCCCAACGAGAAGAGGAAAAGAAGATGAGAGGATGCCTGTTTCTTGTTGTCCTCGTCTGCTTCTACGTGTCGATCGTTAGTTGACGGTTGGTTTGTATGCCTTACTGGATCATCTCGGCTAAAGAATATGAGGGCACCGGGTGTAACGTACATGTTCGTGGAGTAGAGTCGGTATGTATATATTGCTTCCTCGTCAGTCTATGCGCCCAAGCTCCTGCTCATAAAGCGCCTCTTCTGAAATGACATCCACCATTTGCTCGGCTTGCCAGTGCCGTCTGCGTAGAGCTTCTCCGCAAGGCGGCCAGCCAGCTCTTGCCGTACCTGCATGAGGTACTGACGGAGATAGTCTATGAGGTTGACAGACTGCCATAAGCTCTCCCATATTGAATATGCATTCGCGGAAATATCGCACCAGCATCTGCCCTACTCGCTGGTGGCGCATAGTGTGCGTTGAGCGAGAAGTTCGCGTCGCCGGGAATTGGGAAGTTGTCCACGGCAAGCGTGTTCAACATCTTTGTAGCCTCTATCTGGCTTGGAACAGTGCGTGCCGACCCGAGCTTGGCAAGGCAGTCGGAGACGAAAAGAATGAGGACAATGAGTAGACGATCGGCAGGGCCTTTGATCTCGAAGTTGCGGAAGAGAGAGTTGGCGCGGAAGAGGTCAAGGGTCTCGTCGATGATGTCGGCTTGTGACGGATCCGCTAAAGAGGTGTTTTAGTCGTTCGAAAACTACACCGATATGAGGCTACATCGGACGTACCCTGCGGTGCTGGACCACGAAACTTGCTCTTGATCGGGAGGACGGCCATGTTCCCGACCTCCCGGATGTCGGGATCCTCGTTGAAAGAAGAGTGATAGGCCTGTAGCCCGCAGAGCTCAGGTAATGTAGCTAATTGACATTCTGAATGCAGACTCACCGGCATTGTGGACGGAGTATGCTGTTTACCCACTGACAGCAGTACTTCCCGCCACAAATTCCGGCGTTTGCCGGACGACGCGCACACGTGTTTCGCACCAGGAGCTCGCTGTGGCGCAGGCGAATGAGCAGTGATTGACTTCCCCCTCTTCGTTGTTCTGCTCGCCTTTGCCGGCATCGCCCACATTAACTACCACCTGAGCGTGTGTGATATCTCCTTGAGATGGCAGAACAAAATACGGGCATTGAAGGGCAGAATCATGATGAACTCTTTCGCTTTGTGAATGCGCATCGTCCTTCTCCGGACACTGTCACAAGTTGCGTATGGTATTGGCCTGTCAAGTCAACGCATTGACATGAGAGATAACGGAATCAGGCTTGATCAGACGTATGCGCGCGTTGACCTTGAAGCTGCTTCCAGTAGAGGTCCCTCCCGAGAGCCTCGCAGATCCGACCAGCAGAGTGATCACTCCTCAAGTGATCGAGGCATATATGGCAGCAGCGGGAGACTTTCTGGAAGTTGTAAGTCAGGATGTGTGACTTTCGGATATACTCCCTATCAAGGAGCCTACAGTTGCCATATTGTCTGCTACGAGCACGCAAGGAGTTTGTATGGGATGCGAACAACAATCCTGCTGACTTTGGAGAGAATTCCGGGAGAGGTGAGCATGCTTAGTGCTATTATTTATAGTCACACTGATTGAAGTGGTGGGCAGCTGTGGCTTGCGAAGTACTAGCTCGCCGTGTAATTCACCAAGCCCCTTCGGACCAGACGGTACCGATGATGTCGACTCGTTTTCGGTACAAAGAGACAGACGACGGCATCAGTGAGAAGGCGAGTGCTCTCGAGCTTGCCATAGACTCCCATTGGTATGTCCATGGATGCATATCATACGAGACGCCGTGAAAATTGACAATGCTGTTATTAGTACGATATTCCTATCGTCCACTGAAGCTCAAGATGGTGAGTTAGTTAGTCAATCCAGCGAACTCAGGTATCAGCTCTCTCAAACGACCTCAGTGGTGAACTACTTGTGGAATGGTCAACTAGTCCAAAAGCATGGCCATGATCATGATATCGACTGTACGTCGTTACATGACGATGCATATTCGTTCTGACAAATGATTCGTTGAGAACAGTCGTTCCATATAGGAAATATGGGTGTGATGGATTCTGGGCACATCTTGACCCAGGCAGGTTGTCTGTTCCTCGGTAGGAACCATGAACCCCACCGCCGAAACCTGCCGTTGACGACGTGAATATCAGATACCAGAACATCTTCCGCATAGTCGTATGGTTATTCTTCCTCTTCGCATACTCACAAGCAGGTGAAATTGCTTCCGGATTTTGCGGCGTTAGGAACGAGGCTTACACACTTTGGTAGTCCGTGAGCCTCTGGACAAGCTGGATCCTGATCACTCCGAGCTGGACATTTGGGAAGTGATCATGTACATTTTAGCACTATCATTTTCATTCGAGAGTGAGTCTTGCTGTTTTATCCTCCGGTCATGGGCCTCAAATGCCGTTCGCCAGATATGCATAGGGTGAGACAGGATTTTTGTGGGCCATGTGGCCATCTCATCTTTGGACCTCTAGATCTACAAGCTATTCCTCTTCGCTTCCTGGCGCTCTCTTGGATTCTGGGACATCGTGTCATTCATGACGGACTCGTTGCTGCTCGTGGCATTCATTCTGCGGGTGGCCGGTATTGCTTCTGAGGAGCCTAGCAGTGTGACGCTTCGCATACTGAGTTTTCAGTGCCTGAGTTTCGTCGCTCCGTTGATCTGGTAAGGCACTTTCCTGGGCGGTCCATTGCTTCTCACGTTGATCTCATATTGAACATAGGATGAGTGAGTGTTCCCAATCGGCACGGTATTTGCAGTTCCCTTGACATCTTTACCCAGAGGTTATCCAAATCTTTGACGGATTCAAGTGCGTTCACTCTGTCGCATTTTGAACCCACCTGACTCAGTCATCTCGCTGCAGGTTTGTGGGAACGATGCAGATCTGCGTCGCGCGTATGTTGAAGGAGTCTGGGATCTTCTTCGGAGTACGCACTAATCCTTCATCTGATGAGTCTTCAATTCACGGTGAACATCGCACAGCTCCTCGCACTCCTCGGGATTGGATTCATGCAAGGGTTATATGCCCTCGATGCTGCGGATGGGCAGGCGGATCATTCCCGTGAGGTACGTGGATGTTTCATTGCTAAAGCAATACCGCTGATACCGAGGCGTGGCACTTCAGGTGGTGCACGTCCTGGTGCAGGCACTACTCCAGTACGTGGTAGTGCAGTGAGCTGCATTTATATGTTGCGAATTCATAGGTGTCATTGATACAGATCGCCCAACTATGAGATGTTCGCTGGGAGGTGAGTCTAGCATGGCAACGCGAGAATTGTCAAGAAGTTAACACTTCATGTGGCAGCCCTGCTGGACAGAGCTTGTACTACCTGTACGTCACCGACCTGCAGTCCACGCTTTGCCGATTTTGATACCGCGTAGATGGAACGTCGTGACGGCGGTCATCCTCTTGAACGTCCTGATCTCTCTGTTCTCCTCTGCGTATAACGATGTAAGCGAGTTCTGCAGTGTCCCGTCATCGCCTCGCCCCACTGATCATTTCTCGTCGCAGGTTGTTGAGGACGCAGCGGCGGAGTACATGACATACTTCGCCGGAAAGGTGAGCAGTATGATCAGGGCGCCGGACGATTACGTGTATCCCGCACCGTTCAACATCTTCGAAATCTTCCTCGTCGCGCCGTTTGAGTCAGTATGATTTTTTTTCTTGAATTAAGAAGTTCGTCTGATTGGACGTCTGTAGATTCTTTGTGAGCGAGACTACGTACGCCAAAGTCGGTGTCGTGCAGTCAACGTCTTTTCCGCAGGCAGTCTTACCCGTGTTCATAGATCAACCGCTACGTGATGCTGGTCATCTTCTTCGTTCCGCTGTCGATTGTCGCGCTGTACGAGGCGGAGCTGGAGCCGTCGAAGAACAGGTGGATCAAGGACTGGCTCGCGCATCCCGATGAGGGCGGTGAGGGCACGCCTGAGTTTGAGAATCCGGAGGTGCATGCGGATGATGCGGCGAAGGGGCTGAAGATCAGCAAGGTGCCGTTTGTGGAGCTTGTAAAGCTGTTCCCGGATGCGACGCATGTGAGTGGGAGCTGCTGCTGCGCGCGGTCTTTTACTGTGAAGCTGATTGTTGTTCCATAGTCAACCGAGGCGGTTCTGCTGAAGGAGATCAGGCAGGTAAAGGAGCAGATCGAAGAGCTCAAGCAGCTGATGATTAAGAAACCGGAATGAGCTAAGGTCTTACCAAGGCTTTCTGTATGAATATAACTGCAGTCTTCATTACGATAAGCAAATACCCCGAACAATGGCTGGATGTGGTGTTGTAATGCTACAGACGTGTTACACAACGCAATGATACAAGCGAAAGGCAGAATTATATAAAGCTACTGCTCGAACTGGTCCTCCTGCTGTGCTTCTGGTTCCCTCACGAGCTGTGTGAGGATACCCATAGAGCGCACAAAGAATGGTCGGATCTCGTTGATCTCCATGGAGCACAGGTTGGGTAACTAAGTGTGAGACAGCGTGATTAGATGGAGGTGCGCTGTCTATGATGCCGGACTCACGCTCAGTTCACTGTGATCAAGCTTGGAGAGACCTTCTTGACTCTTCGCCTGCCGAGCCTCTCGAATGTCTTGCAATAGTGACCGAATCTTGTCTGGGTTTGAGACATCATCCGGAGCGCTGACAAACATCGTCAGTCAAATAAGACAGAAGGAGAGGGCAGCGCGTACACGTCCAACAACATCTTCGCAATCTCCACAAAGCGGAACGGCAGCTCGCTGAACTCCGGCTGGCTCGTTTCGCGCGCTAGACAATCCTGCAAGAAGTCTGGCGTCCTAAGCACGTACTATCGTGCAATCTGAGCGATAACTTTACACACCAACGTTCAGCCAGGCCGGAGGCATGATGTGGCATTTCTTCTTCAGTTTGAGATTCTTAGCTATCCAGATCGCTACTTTGCATTTGGCAGGAGGACGCAGAGGCCCATACGCTCCCTACGCAGCTGCATGAGAACCCTCATCCACTTTTTCCTGGAGACATGGTGTACCGCACTGAAATGAACGCTGTCCGCTCCATTGCGACGAGGGGGACAATCTCCACCAGCTGCTCAGAAGCTATGAACTCCAGTTCTGCGGGAGTGACTGATGTCCTCAGAGAGGGTGGCAAGGCCATTCCGCGGCACAAAAATTCTTGTTGGGTAGAGGATTAGTGGATATGTATGGAGGTAAGAATGGAGGGACAGATGATATTACTCGCGACGCGGAACGCGTCAGCCACGTGAGGAGCGCGTCGCGAAGCTTGTTTCAACGTCCAACGTCAACGTTCAAGATTCTGCGTCCTCGCGGCTCTTACACGTGTGCTTCTTGCGGTGTGCCCCCATCTTCTGGTCCCATTTCCCGGCTCGTACGTTATGCTCGTTTTGACTGTTGAATCTATCTCAAACGGATGGATCAGATCATGCTAGGCGCCAGGACGAAACAGGTCTATGCATACGGGCGACGTGGATCCAGAATCGTGAATGTCTCTGACGACCGTGACAATGCGGTCAAAGACAACGTCGAAACCCGCAGGCAAGACGACGACTCTTCTAGCGATTTCGGCTCATCGCCCCTCGAAACAAATAAGAGAACTCTGAACTCGCATCGAGGGACCTCTCCAATACCATTACGGCTAGGTCTGGCACCTATTGAAAAGAAGAAACCAAAGAAACCTGGACGGCCGAGGGAATCTGCTGTCTCCAAACCTCGGAAGCCCTTCGATCCATACCAAGAGAGAAAGGCGGAACCTGCCGGTTCTAAACTAGATCGTATAGCAAACATACAGAACCCTGTCGGCCCTAGCACGCGAAAAGCGAGAAAATCTTCAATCGCAGTGTCAAAGCTTGTCAAGCAGAAATCGCCAGTTCTTGCCCGTCGCCCTCTTCATCCGCTCCCTCCCAGTGCACTGAACTCTCCGGTCGTTTCCACCGCACTGAAAAAGACGCGAAATCCAGTCGGGAAAGGCTTGCCGTACGCTCCCCGCTCTCCAGTTGTCGATGTTGATATCTTCGTCCTGGACCCCTCCGGACGCAGAGTGAGCCGCGAGCGGCGGGTCTCCAGGTCAGGCGTACAGGCCAACTGCTTAGCAGGGCCGTCCAATTGGAGAGATACTAAGCTACTTATCGATCTCGCGGAGGACTCAGACGAAGGAGTCCCACCGGCGAAGCGCAGAAAGGCACCTATTTTGACCATAATTTCTTCAGACGAATCGGATGAAGAATCTGACATGGGCAAGAAGCTGCCAGGTCTTAAGCTTTCAGTGAACGATGAAGACGATGATCCCCCCATCCGCCCTCCAAGGGCTCGAGCTGCGAAAGCAAGACGCCGCATCAACATCATAGCATCTCCGGAGACTTCACCGTCTCCGCCTCAAGTTCTGCCGCCCAAAGCAAAGGCCGCTACCTCTTCAAAAGCCCGCGGCCTTCCGGAACCTGCGCCAGAATTCGTGCTATGGACACCACGCCCGGCTCACGCTGAGCCAGCAGCGCCCGCTTTCCCCACTCTCATCTCTCAACATACTAAGGTGAGACAGCTCACCCCGATCCGGCGACGCCCAGGGCACATCCCCACCTTCCTCGCACCGCCCTCTCCTCCCTCACCCACTACTCCCACGGACCTCGACCTTTCCCTTGATTTCGATGAGCTCTCGCTCTTAGACGCCGACCTCAAGCGCGCAGAGTCGATCGGGTTGTATGCGGCGCCCCCGCCGGCTTTCATCCGGCCGCTACTGGACGAGTGCGCTCAGCGGACACCACACGAGTTCTCCGCATTCATAGAGACGTTTCCGTTTGACCCGATCGTATACGCGGAGGGGACCGCGTCAGCATCTGCGCAGTTCCAGAAGATCGGCGAGGCATCGTATTCGGAGGTGTTTGGCATTGGAGACGTTGTGTTGAAGGTTATACCTTTGCGTGACGAGGAGAAGCAGGCTCATGGCAGAGCGTTTGTTGACGAGAGCCTGGATATACCTGCGCCTAGTGACGCTAAGGACGTCTTGAAGGAGATCATCGTCACAAGAGCTATCGGAGACATCTGCGATGGCTACGTCAAGTTGCTCCGCACGTACATCGTGCGTGGAAAATATCCATCCTTGCTGCTGGACCTGTGGGACGAGTACAACGAGAAGAAGGGCAGCGAGGCCGTCAGACCTGGTATGTGCCGTGCAGTATAGTGGGACGCAGCGGCTGATATTGTCGTCTAAGATGGGTTTAGCGTATCCCAATTGTACGCGATCATCGTACTGCCGAATGGCGGTCCGGATCTCGAGGCGTACACATTCAAGACGGCGTCCAAGACCGGCTGGACACAGGCATGCAGCCTGTTCTGGCAAGTCGCGCGCGCGTTGGCAGACGCGGAGGAACTTGTTTGTTTCGAGGTGAGTGTCCCGCTCGCCGAGGACTGCTTGTGTCAACTCACCTCTATATGTATGTGTGTTGCAGCACCGTGACCTCCACTGGGGCCAGATTCTAGTGAAAGATATCCCCGTCACATCCAAACCCACCCGCAAGACTACCAAGAAAATGCCGATGGACGACGAGTGCCACGGCGTGGAGGTCACCCTGATCGACCTCGGGCTGGCGCGTATGAATTCATCAGACAAGGGCGTTCACTGGACGCCATTCGACGAGGAGATCTTCGAGGGACAAGGTACGTAGCTCAAGCCTCCACCGCTGTGCTGGGAGCTCAACAGTATGCGATGCAGGTGACTATCAGTTCGACGTGTACAGGATGATGCGCGAGCATAATGGGAATTCGTGGCGGGAGTTCCGCCCGTTCACGAACGTCATGGTAAGGTTCCCGCGTTCCATGCCGCGCGTAGCTTATATGGAGCCTGTGGGTCTTCCAGTGGCTGCACTACCTGGCGCTCAAGCTTTTGCATAGCAAGCGACTGCGCGCTCCGCCTGCACCGCGGAAGAACGCCGCGCCCAAAGCCGTCACGAAGCCCGCTCACACTGAACGCGAATGCTACGAGTGCCTCGTCGAGATGCAGGCGGTGCTGGCGGACTGCCTCGAGTCGTGCAAGCCGCCGCGCGCCGCGAAGAGGGGCAGGCGGAAGACGCAGGTCCCGGTTAAGGTGATTGCGTCGACGATGCTTGAGAGTGCGGGTGATGTCGTGCAGCTCGCTGTGGAGAGGGGATGGATTGAAGGAGATTGCGAGCAGTAGGTTTACGGAGTACGACATTGTGTGGTCGCTGCGCTGTCCAGTCTGTACGGATAGGAGGCTCGAACATTGAATATTGACCGACAAATGCGATCGCAGAAATATATCATTGGGCCCGCTAATGGAAGCCCGAAGCCCGACGAGCTCGCTCGAGTACATAGTAACCAGTGAGTACATGTGTAACGGAACTTATTCAACATATTTCACGCTCGCAATCGGTGCCATGTCTGCGGTGTATACGATCACCTCACCGGCACTAGCGCTTGTCCCACATTACTCATCCAGACAAGCCTACCTTTGCAACCGCCCTGGCAGCTCAGCGCTTAACAACATTCAACGTTCAACCCTTCCCCTTCAGCCAAGCTTCCTCATCATGCCCAGGTCATGCTCTTTCCGCATAACTGCCGCGGGTGCAACATCATCTACCCCATCAATGTTTTCGTTGAGCAACGCTGAGTATCGGGCCTGACCATCATTCCCAGCCAAGTCAAACATCGCATCAATACTGATCCCTGCTACTTCTTCCTCGCCAGACTTTGTTTTCACTGTGCAGCCAACCTTCTCGGCTATCATGATGTTGATTTTTGGGGGGGGTTGCTTTCACGGAAGACAAGATCCATGCTGTGCAAACCATTCACTGCATGTTTCACATCGTCCAAGACGTTCGGAGGCAGAGCCGTCTTCCGGTATCTGGAATGTGATCTTTACCCTCAACGAAATCCATAATCACCATGATGATGTCCACATACCTTGGAGCAAGTGTGTATCTCTGGTGCGAGCTTTATATTGGCTAGGTGGCGATGAGCACGCTCGTTGTACCTCTCGCGGAACTTGACAAGCACGGGCTTGCCATTCAATTCGGCGTGGAAAATGGGTCGGCCGCGGTAACTGCTTTTTTTCTCCATCATCGAACCGTGTTTTGAACCAGGCTGATCCTGTGGTGAGCACAGCAGACTTTTCGGGAGAATTCGAGGACGACGCACTGCATACAAGGAGTCGATCTCAATCACGTCGATCTTTCCGCGTTCAAAGAACACCTTCTGCCCCTCGTAAATCATCTGAGAAGATGTACGAGGAGAGAAGGTGTTCTTCCTTACGGACATGAATTGAATCGTCGACAGGCTCAACTTCTACTGCATTAGGCTTGCACCTTTCATGCTTGATGTAATAGTAAAGTGTCAGAGTCGTGGTCCCGACGACGCGGACGTCTTACTATCACGACCACGGTGATCGTGGTCAGAGGGTGAGTTCGAAAACCAACGTACCGCGATTGTCCTAAACAGGAAGGCTGCGCCACACCAAAATGGGCCACAGACCCCTGGTTCTCATGCGATTATAGTCTGCGCAAAGTGACTGCCCGGTTCATCGATAGAAATGCACCGTATCTCAAGTAAGCTCGCGGGTTCTGCACGAGTCGAACTTGTTCTCAACAAGTGTTCCTACTATAGCGACTCAGGTGGACAGTACCAGGATGGTACGGTGTACCTGTGACACTACCCGCACTGTACATGCCTCCGGCCAGCCCTGCATGTGAACTTGAAACATGTACTTTCTTTAAATATGTCACCACATTTACGAGCGCAACAGCTACCAAACTTAAAATTCTGAAAGCTACATGTCGCGGTTGCATACTCTTACATCGACGTTAGTATATGTGGGAGAGACTGCAACGGACCATCCTGAATGCCAGTATACCTAGGATGTCGACTATCGTACAAGTATCGAGAACATGAGGGTAGACCTGTCCGTCCAGTGAATCGTGGTACGCACGGAACGTAAGCATAGAGAGCAAAAAAAAGGATTAAGTTACGACAATCGAATGTACTCAGACACTAGCAGTGACGACGCGCAGACCACAGCAGAGATTGGACAGTGGCACGCACGCCTCACACGAATATAGCCAAACGGCAACGACAAAACACTATACGAACACATCTCATCTCACTCCTGGCCTTCATTCACGTCCGCGACAATCTCGCACTCTTCCTCGGCCGTGGGCTTGTCAAATCCTTGACGTCCCTATGCGTCTTGGCGGGCGAGCCGCGCTTTACGTCGACATCTACACATATCGTCATGGACCGCGTGAGGCGGCCGCGGCTGGCGGACCTGTACAACGCAGTGGCCCTTTCGCGCAGGTTGTAGTGAGAGGACCGGGCAATGGACGGGTTCTCGGCCACCTCCTTGTACTTGCGTTTGCGTGTAGGCGTGGGCGTAGCGGGGAGACGAGCTACCGGTGACTGTGGCGCGGAGGCGTTGTGTGTTGAGCTCGGAGTAGTCGGGAAGTACGGCTGTGCGACGGGCAATTGCGAAAATGCGCGTTGACGGCGCAGACCATGCGTGGACGCGGGAGAGTTCTCGGGAGTGAGCCCTAGCTGAGAGAAGGACACGTCCTCCGCAGGGGGGACGCGAGAGGGCGTGTCGAGCTCCGTGGCGGGGATCGCGCTGGTATTTGCGACAGGCGACCGTGCGTTATTGCGCGGAGTCGCTAGCGGCGTGTCCGTCCAGTCTTCTGTTTCTTGCGAGACCCCTTGGAGGTCGGGTGGCGAAGACGGCGAAACGCCTCGGCGATTCGACGGGCCAGCGACCGGACTCCCGATGAGGGCGAACGTGCGTTGCAGGGTGTTGCGTTGCGGGGTGACTGGGGCGGCGGCAAACTGGACGGCTGGAAACCCTGACAGGCCATAGTCGTCCGTTGGCTGCGGCGGCGCAAAGTCAATGGCAGGCTCCGTAGGGACGCGCTCGAGGGCGCGCCGCTTATAGGGGGGCAGCAGGCCGACAGAGACGCCTCCGGTCTCAGCGTCAAAGTAGGCTGTCCGGCCGGTGTACTCGTCGGGCTCAAACTGGTCCTCGTAGGTCATCCTGGTGCGATTGTACGGGTCGGGCTGGAACTGGATCGGCGGGAAGTACGGCACAGACTTGATCGGCGGGTGCCTGCTCTCGTACGCAAAGTCGCGGGCCTTGATGCCGTGTTCCTCGAACAGCTTCGCATGGCGTGCGCGTCGCTCCTCCTGTGCTTGCGCCTTTGAGTCCTGCACGGGTGCCGCGGAGGCAGGAGCAGGCTTTGCGTGATGAACGCCGGAGGACGTGCCGCCGTGTGTGGTCGCGCTCCTACTTGCGTGACTACCGCTCGCGACTGGAGTGCTGCTTGATGGGCCAGTGGAGGAGGTGCCGCCAACCGGGGCAGCTTCTGCCCTGGGTGCGGGCTGTGCATTGTTCTGACGTTCCTTCATCTTGGCCTCGCTCGTCGTCGCACGCGAGAATAATTGAAAAATCGACTTGCGGAACATGGCTGTCTACAGTGTAGGGATGGAGAGAGAAGTGGGCTGAGGAATGTGATGCTTGTGCCACCGGGCGGGCTGGGATTTATAGGGCGGGGAGGCGCGGTGGCTGGAGCGTGCGCGTGAGCAAACGTGGAGGTGACAATAGAGTTTCAACTTGTTGATCCCCTCATATGGAAATTGCCGGTCCGGCACCGTGTCGCGGCCGCCCCTACGCGCCGACTTCCCGATTAGGCAGTCGTTGAGTTTGCGGTCGTGATGACTCGCCCAGAGAAAATCTCAACATGAACTCCGTCTCAGCTTTCATTTCACACATCGCTTGTGCCAGTTTCAACTTGAAACACAGCTGTTGCTTTCTTGGCGCAAGTGTGGGTCCAACTCGATGTCCGAGCGCTCGGCACAAGTCAGTTGCTTGGGCCGTGCGTTTGTGGACGGTGCCACGCACTTGTGAAAATCTTCACCGTGAGCAGCGACGGTCGCATTTATGAGAAGATCGTGTCTACTGCATAGCCTCCTATTTTTCGTGTAAGAACCACGAGTGGCTGTGTATCTGTCCGTGCAGGGAAATTACAGTATGCTGAAACACACTAGTAGCTTACACGTAAAGATACCAGCCACGCGCCAGCAAGGCCCCGTCCAGAGAAACACGCGCATACATACAGCGCAGATGGGTATAAAATGCGGCTCAAGTCATACCGAGTCAGAGTATGCGGGCCTGAAGTATACAGACGTGATGCATCATGCATATGTCCGGACTGGCGGCTAAGGATATGAATGTGGCAACAGTGCGAACACTCCGACCGTAGCCAGGGGGAAGGATTGGGAGTTCTCAGCCGGGACGCTGGGCACACTGCCTCGCTGAGACGCCTTTACTCACATGTGCGCCTTCCGTTAATGCGGCACTATCGATGTGAAGAGAGTGCCATACGTTCTCGGATCGATGACTCTGGAGCCGTGGTCGCTTGATCATGCTTGAGTATACGATGATGGAACGTCGATGGGGATATCTTAGACATGCGCCGCGCTACCAGGCGGGATCCCCGAGTCAGCATGTTACATCGGCGGCTATGCGACCGGGACAGCACTGCGCGCGCCGGCTTGCTGTTCCCCATGTTCTACGATAGACCGAGGTCCAAATTATTTTATAAGCCGGTCGTAAATGACCGCATGTCGCTGCTTCCCCAGCTCCATGCTGCCGGCAGAATTGGTACGCCGTTGGTGCCGACTTCGATAAGATTGAGCGGAGAAGACATGTCCGGCTAGAAATGAGGTGATATGGCTGTGCCGTACGCCTTTTGTTCGTAGCCCGAAAGTTGTGGAGCGAAGACCATCTTTGACGGAGGGCACAGCTTCAGTTTCGTTTCTGCGGTGCATGAGCTGTATCAATGAGACATTCGGGAAACAATGACGGACGAGCGGCGTACCTCCAATTGCCAATAGGACCTGTTGGTTGGAAGAAACGTGCCGGACCTCTTTTGTGTTAAAACGGAAAAAAAAACAGTAAAAGCCACAACCATGACGAACGCCACTCCGCCCACGACGCTCCCAACAATCGCACCCAACGACGCCTCCGACGCATCTAGACTTTCACCGCAGAGCTCAATGTAGGCGCGGCGAGCAGCAAGGACATAGAGCTGTACTTCGCGCCCACGCTGTCCGTAGATGCCAGGATGTACAGGATGAATTCGAGATCGCACGGATTTTCCATTCGTCTCCTTCTCGACGGCGAACGTGAGCTCGAGCTCGCCCGCAGTCAGTATCTCAGGTATAGAATGCGACGGAGTCCCGGCATTGGTGATATTAGAGTGCTCCGGTGTAGGTCGCATCCATCTTGTCGTCAATTGCGTAGCTGAAAATGACGGGCAGCCCTCCATCGAGGATGTCGTCATAGCGAGCTGGATCCCTGCGCGACATGCCAGCATAGAAGGAGAATAGCCATGAACACAGTCGCTAACTGCTGAGCTTCAAAGAGCCGGGGACGCCGCGATGCCTGGCCGCCATGGTGACATCCGAGGAGATTTCCCCGATCAGCTCCGTCCAATTCTCCTGTAGGTCAAGTACTGAGCTGGATGGGCAGACCACAGCAATTTTGTCGTCTGATGACAGCGTAGCGGAAAGGAGTGGGCAGCGGAGGAAAGCGGTACTGTAGTATGCCAGATGCAGCCGGTGTGGTGATCTTATAAAGCCATCCAATACTGGTTGTCACGGACAATGATCAGCGAAATTGAAGTGACATTGCGCAATTTGATGCTGGTTGTGATCTGAAACGGTCCATGTGCGGTGTTCGCGGAATAGCGATGAATGCAGTACTTGTTCACGAGGTTGTGTACAGCACTCTAGACATGCGGCGCGATGAGCTCACCTGGTATGGTTTCCTGCATAACGCATAAGATAAATGGTGAACTCTCGCCGGGGAGCCTCTGGCGTTCTGAACCGCTGTGGTCTGTGGCTGTTGCACGCGTGGAAGGGTGGTGGCACTCGCCTAATCACCGTGCGGCCATCACCATGAAGACTCGAAAGCAGAGACAACCATCTACTAATAACGGCGTGAGCGTTCGCGGTGATCTCGGCGCGCGACTGATCCGTGTCGGACTCGGGCAATTCCGATCAATATCATGGTATCCTCGATCACTCACACAACGCGGTGAGTGTCGCTCAACCAAAAACAAAACAACTTATGAAAGTTCGTTCTTGTCGTTTTCACAGCACCGAGGAGTCAGGTCAACCAGAGCGCGTAATAACTGCACACGGGTGAGTCGCTGATTGAGTTTTCACATCAAATTCTGACCCATTTCAGGCGGACACAATCGAGTGTCCCCAATCGCACTGGCAGCGCGTCAGCCAGCTGCAATCCTCCACAGAGGCGTCTCTCCCACCCGCATGCTCCGCCGCGCCTGGAAGCCCGTCCTCGGCACCGCCCTCCTCGTCGGCGCCCCATCCTACCTCTACTACCGACACTACTACCACAAACCGGCGACCGAGACCTTCGACCTCGCGATGCGCGTGCGCGGGCCCGACGGCCGGCCCACCAGCGTCACCCGCAGGCTGCCCTTGCTCTCCAAGGCGCAGGCCGATGCGCGCCTCGTCGAGCACGCGACGCTGAAGACGGTGACGAGGCCCGGGGGAGTGGTGTGGAAGCAGGCGACGGCGATACTTGCGTCGAACGACCCCATCGAGGACGCGAACGCGAGCGCGTTCATACATCGCGATGTGGCGGACAAGGCATACCCCGGCGACCTCCTCTTCTTCGCCGTCATGGACGGTCACGGTGGCCCCGAGACGTCCCGCCTGCTCTCGCAGGTCCTCATACCCGCAGTGGCTCTGGAGCTCCACCAGCTGACCAGCCCCGACAGCACCAGCCAGAAGGCCGGCGCTCTTCAGACTCTCAAGGCCTTACTATACCCCACATCTTCTTCCATCAGCGCACAGATACCACTCGACTCTGACCCTGAGCTCGTCAAGCGTGCCATTCAGGACGCATTCGTCAACCTCGACACGGAGCTCGTCACAGCACCACTCCGGATATTATCCCAATACGTTGACAAGAAGTCTCTCAAGAAGGGCGCCATCCCCGACCTCAGCAGCCATCCCATGGCCATCGCGAGCATGCAGCCCGCCATCTCAGGTAGGTGCCCTCCCTCTCCCACGTCTGCTTGCGACCTGCACCTGAATCGAGTCCAGGCAGCTGTGCGATCATGGCTCTATTTGACACTGCACACGAGAACCTGTACGTCGCATGTACGGGTGACAGCCGCGCAGTCGCTGGCATCTACGAAGAGTCTCCAGACGGCCAGGGCCGGTGGCGCGTAGAAGCACTCAGCGAGGACCAGACCGGTCGCAATCCGAGCGAACTGAAGCGGTTGGAGTCCTTTGACGTGTACTGTGAAGCCACACCCGCTGACACGGCAATTCTTCCAGGTTACAATCGGAGCATCCTGCAGACGAAGCCAACGCAGTAGTCACCCGAGGCCGTATCCTCGGTGGCCTGGAGCCCAGCCGCGCCTTCGGCGACGCCCGCTACAAATGGCCCCGCGAAGTCCAAACCCTGTAAGCCCACCCACCCACTTCCCTCCTCTCCAAACCTCCCAACCCCACCTAACGCCCACCACCCACAGTCTACAAAAAACGTTCCTTGAGGGCAACGACCAATCCATGCGCCCGACGCCCGCGCTGCTCAAGACGCCGCCCTACGTGACCGCGCGCCCGGAGGTCACCCACCGCAAGCTCTCCCTCCCCACCACCGACTCCCCCCACCCCGCGTCCGCACTCCGCTTCGTCGTCCTCGCCACTGACGGCCTCTGGGACGAGCTCTCCTCCGAGGAGGTCGTCGCCCTCGTCGGCGGATACCTCCAGGGTCTCAAGGGCACCGTCCCGAAAGCGCGATTATCGGACCTCGTGAAGACTTCCACGGGCGCACCCACGGTAAATGGGAAGGCGGCGCGCACGAAGGTCTCGGAGGGCTCCTGGGCGTTCGTCGACGACAACGTCGGCACGCATCTCATCCGGAACGCCCTGGGCGGGGGCGACGACGACAAGATGCGGAAGCTGCTCAGCATCCCGCCGCCGGCGTCGCGAAGCTACAGGGACGACATCACCGTGACCGTCGTGTGGTGGGAGGACGGCGCAGAGGCGAGTTCCTCCTCCACAGCAGCAGAGGAGAAGGTCCGAGCCAAGCTGTGACACATGCACATTGCTCGTTGTATTTACATTCCGACGTAATGTAGCATACCAGAAAGCGATGACTGTCCTCGCTTGAGCCTCGCTGAGCCGTGCTGATACCCGAGCTCCCACACCAAGAAGACTCGACTGCCCTATCGAAGCACGAAGCAAACAAGTGCACCGATGCGCAGCCAACGTCCGGCAGGGCAAATCGACGAGTAAAACGGGTATCTATTACAAGGCCATCCTCCTAGAAGACTTACCGTATCTTTTACGTACATAAGAGTTCACCTCCCGACACTCCTGCAAGTTGTTGCCCCCCCTCATCTTGCTGTACGGGTTGATCCCTCTGCTAATCCCATCCGCGAACCTCGAGCCCGGGCCAGAAAACCTGCGGCCCCGCGCAGAGTTGGACGGTCTGGAGCCGTTCGGGGAGATGGGCGTGCGAGCCCACTGGCTGAGGGTGTCCTCGTCATCACGCTCGCTGTCGAATAACTTGCGCTTCTTGTCGTTCGTGCTCGGGGTCCCGTAGAAGCTGCTCGCCGAGATAGGAGCAGATAGCGCAGATATGCTCTTCGAAGGAGTAGCTTCCTTCGCTGGTGGCAATGGCGATGGGGGCGACGGCAACGGTGACGGCGGTGCTGGAGATGAAGGAGGCTTAGCTGCTGCACTGATAACTTCGTCGATTTCAACTTTCTCTCCAATGTCATCGTCGTCGCTGTCATCGTACTGAGCCAGACTTTGAAGCGCACTACCCGGACTTAGCGAGACAGCGGCGGCGATCTTCTTCTTCAGCATCACTGCTTGCGGGTCGTTAGCAGCGGACTTGACTTCCGCGCTTGCGACTGGGGTCTGAGGTGCGGGAGTTGGTGAAGGCAAACGTGGGCCGATGAAGGGCGCATCGGGCTTCGGCCGGCCACCGTCGTCTTCATCATCGCTCTCGACGACCTTCCGCTTCTTCATGTTAGCCACCACTCCGGGCTTCGACGACGATGCCAACGAAGCACGCGTCCCTGCATTGAGAGCAGCTTCCAGCGCCTGTCCCTTCTCGCGGATGTAGAATAGGATGTATGCGCTGCGCATGCTCGTTGGTGCCCCATAGTGACGCATGACCGACTCGTCATTCATCTCGTACCACTGGCCGTCGCCACCCTTCACGTGCGCATAGTAGTGTCCCGAGTTGGGACCCCCACCCGCGTGCGAGATGACACCGTACAGCTTGTATGTTGGCCCGTACTCGCCCTCGCTCATGACGGGCTGTAATGATAGCCGCTCGTCGTAGTTGATCTGATGCGCGATCTTGCGGCCCATGGGTGAGAACCGCTTGAGATGGATCGTGAGCACCAGTGGCGCTTCATGTACCGTAAACTGTTTGTCCGCAGCGACCGCCTTCTTGCACCTGCTTTCATTTAGGTAAATGCGCCCAAAGTGATGCGATAACGCACGTACTTCTCGCATTTGTACTTGTCGGCACCTCTTAGGTGATCGACAGCAGTGAACTTCCGCAGCGCCTCCTTCACCCCACTGACACCATAAATATCAACGCTCAGGTCAAGAACACTGTCATATGTGTCGCTGTTGTGCCCACACTCAAGGCAAGTCACTCTCGACCGCAACCGCCCACCAAAGATCTTGTGCACCCACGTTGTCTCGGCTAGCTTGTGATCGATTTTCCTGTAAAACAGTCAGCGAAAATTCAGGACACGTTCCACGGTCAGGAACCTACGTTGGGAGCCCTGCGAGACATGACTTCTGCAGCGCGTCAATCGCGTAGCGGAGAAACTCGTGCGCGTCCTCCTGGCGGCCTCGCCGCATGTGCTTCGCGATCACTGCTCCGCCACGTCAACGTGACTCTGGCTGTGCTAGGCTATGGCGCACCTTGCAATTTTATCGTAATAGGATACGGAGCAAATGCATGGTGGTTCTGATGGGCTTCCAGCATGACGTGCCGGAGGCCACAGGCCATACAGAATGTGCCTTTTGGCACCCGACCTAGGATAAGCGCGCTAGTTTAGCATGCGGCGAGACGGACAGCAAACAGACTGTCACGTACAACGATCGGTGTCCGAATGAGATAACAAGACGTTCAGGAGGGGTGTTGTGTGTAGCAGGCATTGCAGCGCGCTGTTGAGGAAGCAAGTGTTGCCCGTGTTGTGCAGGCCAGATCCGACGGTTGAGCCACTCGGCCACGCAGTGCTGAGTGTCCCCGTATATAGCTCCTTGATCGGAGCGGCCTGAGTTTGTGATTGCAGAGTTTTGGGCGACTTTGTGGGCGAACTGGGAGCTTTCCTAGTCTCGGGCGTCTGTTGGCAGACAGTTGGCTGGGGATCCTTACTCGTAGGATCTGCACCTACATCGACCTTCGCCGGCTTGGGCGTCGCGTTGATAGGCTGGTACTTGCTCTCGTCCGCTGCAAACGCCCCCGTAGATGATCCCTCAACAAACTCAATGGGAGGCGGGAGCAGGCTCTTGAACGCCTCCAGGTCCTTCGCGGGGCGGTACTGCGTCGCGTCTTCAGAAAAGCCAGACGTCGGCATGAGCGGTGTAGCAAGCATTTTGATGAAGTGCACACGACGAGTCTCAACGCGGAGAGCGGCACGCCACGTTGTGGCGATGGGATGGCTGGATGGGAGGGAGAGGGAGAGGGAGTGGAGATGTGGGGGGTAGTGAGCCGAGGAGAGCTAGGGCGGAGGCGCTGCCAAAGTCAGAGTCGCGATGCGGTACATTTTCTTCACGTGACCATTCAACGCGACGCGTTTCCCCGGTGGCGCACCGCGTCTCTTTTCCCTTCCGTTTAACGTTTTACAGTTTCGCCCCTTCATTTGCGAGAGTTACGTCGTCCATCTCACATACATCGATCACGCAGACTGCATATATTACACGGAAAGACGAATGCAGGGTACAGAACAGCGTCCAATGATCAAGCAGTACTACGCGAGCTACAGTACTAAATAGTGTTCACCGTTCAACGTCGCATCAAATGGGTATGTATTTGTACGGGAGAAAGAAATTAGGGTCAAACACATTATCATAGGTGGGGGTATTCTGCAGGCTACGTGTAGCGGCCCAAGCGTGGACCTGCTCTGAAGAGAGTACCGACGGCCCCTGCATTAGGCCGAAGTTATTCTTGACTGTCCAGACAGCGGGAGAAGGGTTGCCGTGCGGCGGGGATGGCGAAGGAGACGGCGTGGGAGAGGACGTCGAAGACAACACAGAGGACTCGGAATACAGCGAAGGGGAAGCTGTTACCCGAGGCGGAACGACCAGATTGGTGCCAACATGACCAGGAAGCAGGGCCAGCGGATCAATGGTGCCATACTCGAAGGGAGAGCAATATGACGGTCCTGCCTTCGTGGTGGATAGATAGGGATCAACAAAGTCGTCCGTAAAGTCGAAGTTCCCTGTTCAAGACGGTCGATACGGCTGAACGACTTCCCACGGAGAGGTTCACTTACAAGTGGGCATATCGTCGAGTCCGTACTCAAATCCGGCGGTCATGCTGAAATCCATCGGCTCTTGCGGGAACGTCATGTACGAGGATGCATCAACTTCATACTTGCCATAGTGCTGCGACATGATGGTTGGAGGTTGCTCGTTGAACGAAGCAGGGAGTTGCGGTTGTACTTCATCGACACACGAGGAAACGTGTAGGGTATCTTCGGAAGGGATGGAGAGAAGGCCATCGAAAGAGACCGTCGAGGGATCCTGAGGCGGGTCATGAGACACGCGGGCAGCAGAACGCTTGGAAGCGCGGGTCTTCGACATACGAGCAACCTTCGCCGCCGGCTCGTACTCATCATCATCGTCCGAAGTATAGGCCGCCCTCGCTCGCTTTCCTTGCGACCGAGTAACCCTCCCCGAGGGGTGAGCCGAGGACTCCAGAGGAGCAGGAGAGGGCGCAGGGGGAGGCGACGGAGACGTCTCCGACTTGATGCGCCACACCTTGTACGACCTGAGGTCCATCGTGGCCGCGTCGATGTTGTACCTCTTCTTGAGGTGCTTGACGAAATACGCTCGGCGCTTCAAACTGCAGGAAGATATGCACCGCGTCAGGTCCAGATCGCAGTTCTTGCGGGAGAAAAGCATACGTAGAATGGCAGCGTGGGCACCGATAGCCAAGGAAACCCTCGTGCGTCTCGTGTTCATGCCGCTTACACGATGACGGATCCGCAAAGCCGCTATCACAGTACTTGCACTTATGCGGCCTCTGATGGGTGCTATAAAATCCATCAGCCTCGGCAAATAAGGTCAAGAAGGTGAGCATACTGGGTATTCATATGAGTCTTCAGACCGGCAGATTGGCCAAACTTCTTCCCGCAGACTTTGCACTTGTAAGGCCTGCAACAATCTCAGCTCGTACGAGTTTTGACAAGACGGGTGAATGAAGGGGGGACTGACCGTATGTTTGCATGAATGTTTCTGTGACGGGCGAGATCTGACTTCCGCTTAAAATGCTTATTGCAGTTTCCATGCGTGCAGACATAGGTCTATAAATGCTCGCAATAAGCTCCTATGGCGAAATACGGTAAAACGTACCTTTTCAAGGCGAGACATGGCAGTCATGGCGATCATCTTCAAAGGTATACTAGACCGAATATCAAGAGAGCCAGCGGAGAGGGGGTTTACAAAAAAAGACAGCCAGTGCACTGCACTGTAATGGGACGAGGCCGCAGGCCAATCGTAAGAACGTAAACTACTGGAACGCCGCGGTCCACCACGCTTCGCGCGAGGGGATCAGTCGTAAATTCGTAACAGGACCTGAACGCAGGGAAGGAGAAAAAAGGCGCGAGCATTCCTCCCCGCCCGCGCCATTTAAGTCTCACTAGCACTGCTCGGCGCAAAAGACACGGATCATACAAGGGGGGACAAGGCGCGCTCCATTATTGTCTGTCACGCGCAAAGAAGGGGAGCGTCGGGGTGCCTCCCCGAACCTGCACACAATTGATGGCGAGGTCAAACAAGGCGGGCATCGAGATTGGCGTGATCGCCGCGGGATCGAGATCGGGAGGACAAAGTGCGCCGGTGGCGCTGACGAGACGGTGGCCTGACAAATATTGTCGATCCTGCACTGAGGGTTTCTGGAATCGTTGCAACTGACGGGGATCAAAGACTCTGTGCACACGGACGCCCACTGTGGTCCGGCCGCATCGAAAACATATATTCTACAACAGATACTAGAAGACTCGCATGTTGTACAAAGCCAGTACAGGTATCAGCTACATCCATAAGAGCACAGCAGAGAGCTTAATCGCCTACATCCAGTAAATAATGATGATCATACAAGTGTCGCGCGGCGTCTGCGCTCCGTCAATCAGCATGGCCGAGGCCAGGCCCCTCGATCTGCTTCGTCGTCTCGAGCCATGGCGCTATCGCGTTCAGATCAGCGAACGTCAACGACGTGTAATGATTTGGCCCCAGGCCTTCTACGAGCGCCCTGTCTTGTAATGGCGGCACGGCATCCACCGCTCCAAAGGCCTCTTTTGTATGCGGGTCGATATATTGCGCGATGATCCTAACGGTCGAACGACGTAAAACACAAATCCTACAGTTCATATTAGACGGATAAAACTCACATCATGCTGCCGACCCACTGTTGACCTGTTTCTTCGAGATCTCCGGTGCCCATCCAGCGGTTATCTTTGCCGCCCGGTGTGTAGAAAGGATAATTCTTGTGAGATGGAGCTGGCGACGGATGTGTGAGTTGGCGGTATATCCCATTCACACCTCCTAAATACTCGTTTTTAATATTCCCGCCACAAATGATTTACACGGTACTCACTCCCGTTCACCTTCCTCATGTAAATCGGCCGTTCGTTTGTATGGCCAGATTCACTTTCTGACTGAGATGAGCTGTCTGAATCCGGGTCGACTGCTGCGTCTTTCTCAATTCCTGGTGGGTGCAATAATGCTCGCGCATTATTGTTCAGGCCGAAGGACGCTCTCGGTGTGTGCAACACTCCTATCGCCAGCATGCGGACATCGGTGAATTCACATAACACCTAACCGTAACGAAGAGGTTATCGAGCGAGTACGACACAATTAAATTCACAGCTCACATACTCTTATGCTGGGCTGCAAGTGCAATAGATCGTTCTGAAATCTGCGCCAATCGTCAGTTTGGTCTTCTCTCGCTAAAAAAAAGTGCCACAAGACCTCATCTCCTCAAACACGTGAAGGGGATCAAAGTTCCGGGCGGTGCTGTCGACTTCATTCGCCGTGCCGTTCTTGTTGAGGACAATGTACCTGAGTCAGAATTAGAACGCCGATCCACTGCCTAGCAACGAGAGCGTATCACACTTTGTCCACGCTTCATCCACGGTGCACGCCGTGCCAGTCCGGTGCCAAACCCGATATAGGGACCTGCCCAAGGCGACATGCGTCAGCCACACCTCCCAAATAAAAGACGGACAGGAGAGGCTCGCACTGACTTCAAGAACGCCTCCTTCCACGGGCCGTCCTTCCTGATCTTCTCCCAGCCCGGCAAAAACCTCCTCCGGAAACACTCCTCCCACTCACTATCGCGCAAGTTCGGCAGGGAGGCCTCATACAGGAGGTACCGCGCGCTCGCGAGGCTCAACACCTCAATAAAGTTCTGCCTCGGCACAGTCGACCGCACGCTCAGGTGCTTCAGGCTCGGGTCATACTCGCTGTTGGGGTCGCGGAGCGTGCGCAGGATCGGGCGCCGCCACGGGTTCAGCGAGGGGTCGGAGGACACTCCGCGCAGGCGCTGGGACAGGTTCGACACCGTCACGAGCGACGAGAGGTCGAGCTCGCTGAGGGTGTCGGCGATGAGCTCGACCGGGAGAGATTCGAGAGAGTTGTGTTGGGACTGGGTGACCATACCGGAGGCCAAGGGCTCATTACTCTCCGCCACAGGCGGGGACTGCGAAGCCGCGTAGTCATACATCATTGGTGCCGCTTCAGAAAAGGCAAGTGCAGTATTAAGTGATCTATCTGGTCGAGAGCAGGACGAGGAGAAAAGCAGGCGATGAGAAAACGTCGAGCAGCTGTCCGCACGAATTTACACTGGGTGAAAAATGCGATAGTTCACATCATATAATTGAGATAATGTACGAAAAAGAGTTCAAATTATGTAAGGGCATTCTCGGTTGAATAAA